GCTGAGGAGGCAGGACAAGGCATGGGGAGAGCAACCCCTGAGAAAGGCTAGCTGCAGGGGGTGACAGGGAGACATCCCTGTTCACTGCCCCGCCACCAGGAGATGTTTGGGGTTAAGGGGCGAAAAATCTGGGAATGGTGGTCCCCGGCCAATGACCCTGCAACTAGCATAATAGGCACCGGTGGAGGTGTGGCAGGCCTAAAGCATAGCAGGTGAGAACATCTATTGTTCAAACCATTTATATTGTGTAAATATCAGATATGGATTCCACATTTAAATGTAAGACTAAGATGTAAGTCAACAATAAACCCAAATCTAAAAAAGTCAACATCAACTATTTGTGTCTTAATAAAAGAGCTCTTTTTTGCTATTAAACCCAACACCTGTTTACTGATGACACCATTCTTTAAGAACATTTTAAGAAAGGAAAGGAAAAACACAGCTTTATCACCTGTATGAGGATAAAACAGATGAAAAGAAAGCTCCCATTTCATGAATTAACCGCATCTCATCATTTATTATATTTTTGTTTCTTCTCTTCCTGTTTTACTGTCCTCCTTTCAACACTTTTTTCCTGTTCTTAATTTTATTTTAGTGCTGTTAAAAGACTAATAGTCCAAAAATAATATGTATATACTGTTTATAGATAATACAGATGAGACTTTCTATGAAGCCTGTCTCTATTGTGCGCAGTGATGCACCTGCAGTGCATTGTTATCATATTTATGAGCTCTTATAGTTACTTATAATGCTCTATACAGTTATATATACAGGAATCATGCACATAAAGTTACAGTGTTACAGTAATCAGCATTATAGAAACAGTTATAATGACTTAAAAGGTTAGGTGTCAATACAAGGTATTTGCAGACAGCATTTTTTGTTCTACAACACATAATGGTATTATGAATGCATTATAATGTCATCACAAATCCCTGTTAAGAATTGAGTCATACATTTGACTGCTTAGAGAAAGCAAGATGCCTTTTTGTCAGAAAATACCATTTATTGTACACATGATAGAAGCAGCAAAGATGTGAAAGGTAACATTTGTCCACAGGGGGGTGCCACAATCACACAAACAGAGAATTCATCAAAGGAGCTTTAAGGGGTGAAATAAACAAAATGATATGCAGTAAAGAATAAAAGGAAATCATGTTTTCTTTTCATTCACTTTATTTCAAAAAATAAATTTGAATAATAATGCCTCATGTGCATTGCAACATACAGTTCATACACAGTTGTCTGGTGTCTGACTGACCAACACCAGCTTTAACTATCATTTTAAACATACATCCCTCTACTGACTAAAGAGCCTGTTAAAGAGGTGAAAACATATCATTCATCTCTTTGGGGCAACGTGGTTTGGTACATGAAGGTGGAGAATCCTTTTCCAACATTTGCTGTCACTGTCTGATATTCTGTTTTTACCTGAATACTGGAGGAATGAGTCATTAGAAATGCAAACAAACTCAGCCATCCCCTGAAAAAGCCATGAGTTTTCTTTCATGCCAAACATGTTCACATGAAGTTTATGCATAGTCATCCACTAATGTCGGTGTCCGAAACTTTCCTAGGGTTGCTACAAACAGATCTTAGGTGCTGCCATATGGCTGAAAAAAAGAAGAAAACATTTGAAAAGTGGCAGATTTAATCTTTACAAAGTTGAAATAGAGCTGATATAAAACACCAAAAAGCAACATGCTGACCAGTTCCAGTAATAAGTAAGAACATGGGTTAGAAACCTGTTAAGTTTGAGTGTTTTTACATTGAAAAGACCCCCACCAAGGTCTAGACCTTTTCCAGGGTAAAATTTCTGCAAGAAGTCAGGTTAGCAGATTGGTAAATGCAGCAGGTAAAAGTAAGTGAGAATCACCACAAACATTTGAGTGGAAAGGTTCAAGGGGAGTGTTTTGGGGAGGGAGGAGATGATTCACATTTCCAAAGTGACTCCTGCACACTTGATGTGTTGCACAATGAAACCCCAGCATCATAATATAACATTTAAATAATGATAAAGAGCTGTGTGAACTGAAGCACATTTTGGCGCTGGTAGCACCTGTTTTCTGTTCTAAATCCAGTTATGCATTTTTGTGGTATTTAGCAACCTCAATGTTCACCATTTTTCCTCACTGAGTTCTCTGTCAAAAATTTTGAGATATTTTTATTTCAGCTGGCAGCACCCATGACCTCTGTTTCAGAGCACTTCTCATTAATAGCTACTTCTACAAAAGTTTGGCTCATCAGTGTCACCTCTTGATTAGCGACCAATCAGGATCAAGAAGGGTGGGACTTCTGACATTATCTTTGTTCACAACAATAATAGAGGTTTGGGAGAGAGGGTGGCCACAGCTGTTTTGTAAAGGTTCAATTTCCAGGTTCACCTCTCATGTTTCATAATGTCAGAATAAAAGCATATATAAAGTGTAAATAGTATAAACAGAGACAGTATAATGCAGTTAAATTATGTCACAGTGCAGATCATTTCAGACAGAGAATAACATTGTCTTAGTTTTAGGAGAGCATGGCTTACTTTTTACCTCACACACTGTAGAAACATACAACCAGTCCCATTTTTACTATCACCATCCCTCACACAAGAGTCCTCTCCTTTATTTCTCTCTGTGTTTCAGTTTCTTTCATTATTGTCCTTTTCTTCTTCTTCTTCTTCTGTTTATTTTCCAGTCTTGGGACACCGCTGCCAAACTGCCCAGTTACCTCTGTGTCTCTTTGTTTGATCTATGCTGTGAAGAAGGCAAAAAAGCAGAGTTTAGAAACAGCCTGACTATACAGAATACATATGTTAGTAAAGGGACAGCAAACGGGGTCCCCCTGGAGTCCTCATGTCCCCTGCATCTTCCGTTTTCTGTGGAAAACTCATGAATTATGTCTTTGGTAGCTGCTTTTCTGATGAATAAAACATGATAAAAGGTGCCCTCTGAATGACCCCCATGGGAAAGAACAGGTAAGAAAAACCATAAAGGATACCATGACAGTAAAGCATTGGCGTCTGTCTTATTTATCAGGTTTCGTTTTACCATATGATCCTGTAAGGGCTCTCAGGTCTTCAGTTACTGGTCTTTTAACTGTTCCTAAAGTAGGGACAGATACCAACAGTGAGGTAGCTTTGTCTTATCACAGTCCATGTCTGTGGATCATCCAACCTGAAGACCTGAAGATGGTACAAAGTCTTAGTATTTCTAAAAGCAAACTCAGCCCTACCTTCATTTATGTAAAGCACTTTGTGTTGCATTTTGTTGTATGAAAAGTGCTATACAACTAAAGTTGGGTGGATTGATTGATATTTGTAATGTTAAAAAAGCACCTTCTGGATGCCTTTATCTAAAAGAAAATTTGCCGGGGAAGCCCTTCCAGAAATCAGAAGTGATAACTGCCTTTTCCATGTACTAATACTAACAAAGTCTTCTATTGGGATGTACATTTTTACACAAAAAGGACCCTCTGGATGCCCTTCTAGTAGTGGGAAGTCAGCTGCTCCCTGAATGCCCTCTTACTAGGTCAATGTCTGCCTGTATATAACATGAAAAAGAAATAAAGTGTTGTGAGGAAGCCCAACTTTCCTACTTACTGGATAATTATCATGTGTAATTACCATGACTGTATATCCAATAGACAACTTGGTTCCACCTTCCAGCAGTAGGCCTATACGGATTTGAAGCCAAAAAGCTCTCTGTAAGACTCGGATGAAATATGACTGTAAATTCTGGGACCTGGGGGCGTGAATCTACCTCTGAAGAAAACCTGATGCAGCCTCCCTTTTAACCCTCACATACTGTTCGGGTCAAATTTGACCCGTTTTGACTTTTAACAGCAGTAAAAAATACCCTAAACATCATTTTTTAAGCCTGAAACTTGATGACTTTTCCTGAAGTTGCCCAAAATAAATGAAATTAATTTAAAAATATTCACGTGTATTTTTGTTTATGTGCTACAAATTTTTCCCCTCCATGGCTGTTACAGGTCAAATTTGACCCGTATCTATATTTAGATGGATCTTAGATCTAGCAGTGTGGGACAAGTGACAAACAGTAACAACCGTGTTCAATATAAGGTTTGTTGTTCAAAAAGATATATTCAAATCATTATGAAACTATCATTACCTTGATAGAAACACACACACACACACGCACACAGACATACAGTCACACAGACACACCTAGACAGAGGTCAAAATGACCTAACTAGTCAAGAGAACTTTCTGTGACAGAAAGCTGCTCTTTGAACTCTTTGAAGGGGCAATTTTGACCCGGAACATACTGTGAGGGTACAGGATTTGAACAGTGTGAGGGTTAAGCTTATTCACTGGGCATCTTGATTTTTCCAAAAGGTTAATCTTAACTACGTGTATCCTTCCTGGCTCTCTCTTCACCTTGGGCTTGAGCTCATAGCTTTTGTCATTCTTAACACAGAGGAGACAGAAAGATTCAAGTCACAAAGTGACTCAAAAAGTAATTCTTCCGCCCCTTAGCAAAAGTAATTTGCTAAGGGGCGGGATTTATTACCTATACTGCAGCCCGTCACCAGAGGGTGCTGTTCTCAGGATGGCTTCACCCAGCGACAAGGCAGACAGCATCCATTCTATATACAGTCTATAGTACTTACAGAGAATAGTTTCCTTTCATTTAGAGTATATGAGTATAACAAGTTCATTTTAAAGTAAAATGATCTTCATCATTCAGAGCTGTGCACTCTTTATCAGTGGTGTAGATTGCAGGCTTATAGCAGGAAGTTCAGATATAAGCTCATTTGACACAGTTTGGAGCAAAGTCTGCCTGACAGGCTGATTTTCAGACGGCAAGACACTGAATTTCTTTTAAAACTTTACACACTGTTCCCCCTTTTTTTTGCAGGAGCTGAAATAAGAGGCGTAAAGGTTATTTTTGTGTACAGGTTCATTTCCCCAGACTGACCTTTAAATGTGGGACAGCCAGGTAAGTAAAGATACAGAGTTTTCTGCTGTACCTGGATGTTTATTGTGCTCAGGGGAAGTCCACTTTGCTCTTATGTCCCAAAGCAATCATGGAGTTCCTGTTTCCATTTCTCACAGCGGGCTCCACTGTTTCCAGATCAGGTCTGTGAAGAAAAGGAGACACTTATCATGAAACTTAAATCATCTCTGAGCAGGAGCAAACATTTCTGTTCCCTTTTATTCCCTGTGTCAAAAAGTCTACAGCGAGCCAGCGTGCATGTTTCAGCAGGAGGCTGCTGTTCTGCTAATGAAGCCTGGACTGTAGCCATATCTCAGCAGGCCTCAGCTTACAGCTATGCAGGAATGATCCCACTCCTCCAGGCATCCCTCAGCCCTGAACCCCCTCCTCTTCTGCCCTGCTGGGTCTGAGCCAAACCTGGGTCAGGACAGAGGAGAGGTTGGAGGCTCCTCCACCTCCCATCAGATTCCTTCACAGCACAACTTCTCAGAGTTAATTCAGTCCTGCTCTCACAGACAAACTTGGAGCTAAAGCTTCTTATTACTTCATCTGCCAGGAAGCTGTCACACTCCACTTCATAAGGAAAAACTCACCGAAGCTGTCACGACTTCCCACCACAAAAATCCCTCTTTCACTCTCATGCTGGCTTTAGTTCACTGCAGTCAAATAACTCACATTCCTTCTCTTTCTTTTTTCCTTTTTGTCCAACAAACAAGTAGCTTTGTGGAGCCATTTGAGTCTGTGCCATTTCAACCCTAAAGGCTGAGACATCCCCACAAAAACAGAGAACTGTAAAGTTTGTGTTTTTATGATGGAGTAGACACAGAGTTTCATTTCTCTCTGACACTCTTTTGTCCTGTAACACATTGGGAATGAAGAGAAAACAGGATTCAAGCTGAAAAATGAATAAAATACACACTCTGTCAGCTTGTTTGGGTATGTGTAAAGTTGAGGTTTTATGTTTTGTTTCAGTGATCTGGACCAACTTTAATTTAACCAACAACATAAGGGACTTGTCTGCTTAGTAAACATTATTGTTTCACATGAGCCACAAATTCAAATCGAAGAGAAGATTGAGTAAGATTTAGAGAGTTAGTGGGTCAGTTTTTCTAGGAATGCCAAACCCATGCCGAGATTTCCACCACCCTGCAGCAGTCAGGAGTCTAGAAATGTTGATCAGACGGTTCTGTGCATAGCACTAGTTAAGGCAGAAAGGACTCATGTCAAATGCACAGTTGGAGACAGCAATTAGGTCATCAATGGATGAGGTAACTTTGTGTGTTCACATCTTTAACATTTACAAACATGTACGCTTTCAATCATTTTTCATAACTTGCTCAGTGATATTAGACTGTATATAATCTATAATTGCAGTAGGTCTCCACAAACTATGCCATAAAATCCCTGGCAACCCACACAGCAACCGTATAGCAGCTGCTTCTCAGCTAATCATCGAGACATAGATGAACATTATGGGGAGACATTTTACATGAAGTACCAGACACAGCTGATAACCTCTGTAACATCTTTTTGTGGAAGGAGGACATAAGAACAATCATAACACGGAAGTGTATCTCAACCCATCAAGAGTGGAGCAAGACCATAATAGTGCACAAGGTCTGTAGTTTAACGACTTTAAGATGACTGCTATATGACCATATTTCACTGATGGAATGTGTTTCAGTGCAGAAGGGCTATCAGTGTCCAATGACCTAGGTGTATGTGTCTTTTCCCCCTGAACTGGTATTGAGCACAGAACCTTCTAACCGACATTTCTGAGTATCTCTGGGCTCCATAATACAAAGTTCTTTTACTTTGTGGGCACTCCAAAGCATCATTCCTGGGTCATGTAGCTTGTGCTAGTGGGAGATGGAACAATTGAATAAACTTGGTCGCTAACCAATTTTTCCATTTTGTTCAGAACAAACAGAGAATCTAGAAAATGAGTCATTATCCATTTTTCCATTCATGTTTTGGAAACAGAGATCAAGTATCATTGTAGTTTTCTTGTTTTTTCATTTTTGCTTTTATTTTGAAAAATGAGTGAATAAATTATGTACTGATTCTTCTATTTGAGCTATAAGCAAATGTACAGTATGATGTGGAGACAGCCTTTCTTGACAGGACCTTTGAGGAGTGATACATTTGGCTCCTCATGGAGAGAGAGAGAGAGCAGATTTTTATTTGAACCAAGAAACGAGAACAGGAGAGAATCAATATATGCTTTTTATAAAGATATTTTCACTAAAATACCTAATAAGATTTATATCAAATGTGTGTCAGGAACAATGTTGTTCTCTTTATAAATGTGATATTTTCAGGGCCCTATTAAGATCCTGCAGGAATAGGAGGGAATATTATTTCATTTGCCTTTGTTTCTGACGTTCACCAAATTAAATAAAATGTTTAACATTCTTGACGAGGCCGAAACTCACTAAGCTTTGTGCACACATCAGTGTGTCAGTGTGTTGTACACACCTTCAAGATAGCTGCTGTTAGAATATTTAGTTGGAGTTGAGGGTGTTGCCACAGCTTGTGTGAACTCAAATGTACTCAGTCCATGTGTACCAGGTTTTTGCAGCCTGTGGTCTTCAGCGTTTGCCTCACCTGTAGAGCTGTGGACAGGACATCTTCAGGGAGGGGGAGGTCAGTCCCAGCCGGCTCTGGTTCCTCAGCTTAGTCTTCCTCACAAGATCTTTGACTCGACCCCAGGTGTAGTTTTCACTTGGCTAAAAAACAAAAACACACAATGACAACAATTTAACACACATTTACCCAAAGCTCTGCAGGACAAGAACCCAAAAAACAAACAGGTTTCAGGTTTTGTTTTTGATCCCATAGACAGGAAGTGGAGTATTTGCTGGTAGAGTCATTTGTGCAGAATTGACCGTTTATGGTGAAACGTTGACTCAAATCAGGACCCGTCAGGGACATTCTCCTCAGTGTCCTTCCAGTTTCTCTATTATTTGCATTTATCTGAACATTCCTAGAAAAGATGTAAAACCCCTGAGATAAGCTCACACGCATGACCACAAACATTTAAGAGCTCATGATTTCAGACACTTTGCACAGCTATTGTCATTTAAGTCTTTATTTGAAGGCCAGAAACTTGGTGTGTTAGGACTGCATCCTGCTTCAGGTTTAAGAAGTCTATTAAAGCCAGCATTGATTCAATCCAAATCTCTGGTCTGTGTTTTAGAGCACAATGTTCAATTGTATTTTTGAGTCACTTTGTGCTTCTCGTGCCTTTGAATCTTTCTGTCGCTTCTGCGTTAAGAATTACGAAAGCTATGAACTCAAGCCCAAGGTGAAGAGAGAGACAGGAAGGATACACGTAGTTAAGATTAACCTTTTGGAAAAATAAAGATGCCCAGTGAATAAGCTTAAAAGGGAGGCTGCATAAGGTTTTCTTCAGGGGTAGATTCACTCCCCCAGCTCCCAGAATTTACAGTCATATTTCATCCGCGTTTTCCCTGACAGTAGTGAGAGGACATTGGGAAACTCACAGTGAATCACAGTGAGGGGCAGTAGCAGGGATCACCCTGCAGACATAAATTTCTTTTGTGTCATAGTTTCTCGAGTAAACACCTCCTGTGGTTGATAAAGAACCCAAAGCTAAAATTAAAGGTCTCATTCTTTGAAGACCTGCTCATTTATGGCAAGAACCATAATTATGATTATTATGATTGATACCCAGGTTGATATGACTCTTGATTTAATATCTGCACCACAAATACTGACACTACTTAAAAACTTTAAAAACTTCGATACTCCAAACTTTCTGAAAAACACAGCACCAAGTGAAATAAGAATAAGTTTTACATTTTTTGTACAAAAGCATGCTGGTTGGATAAACAGGACATTACAAATAATAATAAAAAAATAATCATAATGATTATACTCCATAAATTCAATGCAAGGCTACATTTTACCACAAGCAGCAAATCCAACATTCAGTCATATCTGCCAAGCTGTCCTCCATGCTGGAAAGAGACTCTCACCCCCTCCAAAAGACACTCACTGCACTGAGGAGTGTGTGACAGAGAGGTATTGCAGGTAATTCCTTCCTGCAGCTACAGACTCCTTAACAGAAACCTCAGCATGTGATAAACCATATCATTATATTCCGTAGACATGTAAATATGACTCACGTACATATCTTTTTTTTAACTTGACTCCAAGTTTTTCTTTATCCTCTTATTTCTCTTTGTATGTCTGTACTATGCTGCTGTAAATTTTGAATTTCCCCCTGTGGGACTATTAAAGGAACATCTTACCATATCTTATCTTTCATTGTTATTACACAGAAAAACTTAGGGCTCTATTTTCATTTCCGCCGGTGAGGCGGCGGAGGGTGGCGGACCCCGCGCAGTTGTATTTTCGTCTGGTGGAGCCCGGCGTACAGCCAGTTTGGTATTTTTGTGGACTGAGGCGCACAGAGGCGAACCGAGATTAAATTAAATTAAATCTAGTAAATTGACACACATGATGAAGTTAACAAGATATTTAATTTGTCTCCCTCTTTTTCTTTCTTCCTCTTCCTCTTATTTCTCGCGCAGCTCGACCTGGACATGTCTCCGTGTCCTCTTAGTCGGGTCACAAAGTGAGATTCTGTGACCATCCTCTGGCAAGGATGTTTTGACGATTGATTTGACCTCTATGGACCCTTTAGAAAAGATTTAGCCCCCAGGTCCCTCGCAGAAATCCCGGCATTATTTGCTAGACAGCTAAATTCAAGATGGCGGCCGGCGCCATCTCTAAGAATTAACTTTTGACCTTTGGACCGGCGCCATCTCTAAAAATTAACTTTTGAACTTTGGACCTGGGGGCTAAATCTTTTCTAAAGGGTCCATAGAGGTCAAATCAATCGTCAAAACATCCTTGCCAGAGGATGGTCACAGAATCTCACTTTGTGACCCGACTATTACTGGCTGTTAAGACTGGCCTCTTTTTTGTTGTGCGTACTCCGTCCTTTGGCTTTTTTAGACACATACAAAAACAGACCAGTCTCCTCCTGCTCCTCCAGCAGTATGATTGTTTTTACTTATGTTGTAAAGATGGCTGACCACTACGAATGTGAGCAGCATCCACAGCTTCTTCCTGCTCTCAAACTTCATGCACATCAACCTGAGCTCATGATGAAGTGAGCTGAATAAAGTGAGGGGCACACAAGTCACAGCAGGCAGCACAATACCATTCATTAGAGTTAGCATCTTTCAAAGATCATGGGGGTTTTAAGTGAATCGATGACTCACCCTGTGATAGGGGACACACAGCCCTTCTGTGCTCTCTCTGAAGCGGACCTTCCCCTCAGTGTAGCTCTGTTGGTTCAGACTTCTCCTCCACAGCAGGATGGGGGTCAGCTCCTCTCTGCTCAGATCTAAAACCCAATATTAAACAGAACCTGTTACTGTGTGTGTGTGTGTGTGTGTGTGTGTGTGTGTGTGTGTGTGTGTGTGTGTGTGTGTGTGTGTGTGTGTGTGTGTGTGGCGGGGGGGGCACGGCTGAGCTGAGGGGGTGAGGTCAGTATTCTCACCTCCCTGTAATGAAAACACTCACAGAGTTAAAATCTGCTTAGATCACATCTATTGTGTTCGAATTGTTGGTTCTTTCTCTTCTGTTATCCTGCTCTCTTAAATGGATTTGTTGACATGCTGGAAGGATAACCTGTTTTTTAAAAAAGCTTTATTTTATTGGGACTGTGTCAACAGCAGATGTTGGTGCACCAGTTACCTCAGGAATAAGTTTTAAATTCTCCCACAATCTGACAGGGAGAAAAAACATGTTGAAACTGATTCAGGTGTAAGGAGAACATTTGTGCAAACCTTTATCAGGTTTGTTTGTTCTGTGACTGAAAATCAATCTGTCCTCTCCTGATTGATGTTTTTTCTAAATTGTCTCTTTATGTCATTTGCTCTTCATTTGATAATAGCATGATTGCACAAACAAATTGTATTCGCTTTTAAATCAGGTTTTACACCATTGATGGACAGTGTCCACTAACTTGGACAGAAAAAGAGCTTCCCAGTAATTACACATGAAAATGTTTGGCACTGACATGATTTTTCACTTCAAATAGAAAGAAACACTGAAAAACACTGATATAATTCATGTGTGAAAGGGCTGGAATTTCTATGAAAGTGCCCCTCAGTTACTTCTTGATATCTGCATTTTGGACTGACCTTGTTTGTTAACCGCTCATCAGTATTTGACTTGCAGGTTAATAAAGGGACATATGTGATAAAGTTCAGAGGGGGCTGTACTATCCTGGGGGCGGCATTAATATTCAGCCTGGTTTGGGATGTGAGCAGTTTGATGGTGCGCTAAGAGAAGGGTGCTGACTGTTATGACAAATGCTGATGGAAATCAGCACAGCCTGTTATTTTAGCCTCTGAACAACACCACCACCACCTCTCCAATGAGTGTGCAAACACAACCCCCTGCATCATAGACTCACAATTTCTCCAGATCATCACTCTACTGGAGAAAGAAAAACAAACTAGACCACAGCTGTGTCCAGGGTTTGTGTGTGTGCATCAGAAACAGAAGGTATAACATTTTCAGCAGAACTCCACCAACTCTGGAACAAACTTTCCTGTCTGGTGGTTTTCCACGTCCTCTCCATAAATCAGATCTCTGTCATTGTATTGTACAAACACCCCAACAATCTGAGGCTGGCATTTACAAATATAGCTGAGCACAGAGCAGGATTTAACCTTTCCTGCACCTCACCCTGATCTCCCTTCTCTCCTGACTTCTCAACCTCTTCTCCAGATCCAGTTTCCTGGCCATCTGAGGAAGAGCCGAGGCATTCCAGAGTCCACAGGACGTTTTGTGTTCCCGTCAGGCCTAGGATGCCAGGAATTCCACTCAGATCTCCCACTCCAGTTATAATTTCATCTTCCAACCCCACGGGACCACCAAGCTGTGGGCCAGCACCACCTCCTCAAGCAACACGAGCCACTCAGAAAACAGCCAGTTATGATAACATTCAGGAAGAGGACAGTGTTGTCCTGTCTGACAGACACCACCTGGACCTCGGCTCTGATGACAGACTAAACACCAAGGTGTAAAAACACCAGGGGTACCTTCAGGGTCAGGTTGTGAAACACAAAGCTTTAAAATACAGGTCCTTTTCAGGGGGGTACACTGAAATTCAGTCTAAGACTCATGGTTGGGCCTGAGAGTGTTTGTTGACACATCCCTCTGGAGCAGCTTATTAAGAGCTGATCTTTACTGTAATCAAAAGCTTTGGGTTAATCTGGGGTGGTTTAAGTGACCTCCATGCTTTCAGCATGACTCACAGTGACAGGACACTACCTCTCAGAGATACATGTGACTGGACCTGTTAGATTCTTTCATCCGGTATTGTGTTTCTTACCTTATCCTCTTATATCCTTTTTCCCTTCACTGTTTCATTCTGTATTGCCAGAGTCAGCAACTACCAACCGCAGGCCTGATTTGGCCCGCTGTTGCTAGTTGCCATACTGTATCATATTGTATCGTACTGTATTATATAGTATTGTATTATATTGTATATGTATATATAGTATATAGTATATAGTATATGTACTATATCGTATTGTGTCATGGGGTACTGTTATTGTATCATTGGTTTTGATACATATGGTATTGTATCATTGTTGTACTGTATTGTATCGTATCATATCATACTGTATCGTGCAGAATTGAATCGTATCATACTGTATCATATCATATTGTATCGCATCCTATTGTAACTACTACATCACGAGTTAAGAGTGCTCCACATAAACAGCCAACATTACATCTGTCTGTCTGTCCAGATGCTTTTTCTTCTAAAAGAAACAATGGGTGATGTTGCTTTAGAAGTCCAAAAATTGTACAAGCCAATAAGACAACCACAAGAAAACCTGAAAACACCTTAATTATATCAACACTTTAAAGTAATCAAACATTGAATTGAAAAACTTAATCTTCAAACCATAACCACACATTTTGTGAAAGACAAAAAACTCGATGCTAAAGAGACCAACAATTTCACTAGTCAGTATAACCAAGGTCATAACATCCATCTCAGATATAAAAAATCTGCTTTAGGTGCCATCATTTTCAGAGTTTAATTCCAGTCGACTCCTTTCTCTTCCAGCAAAGTCAGTAAAATCTGTATAGAAACATTAGATTTAAAGATGCCTCACTCTTACCTCTCCTGGTGGCTATGAGAGGATGGCGGGTGATCTCAGGGATGGTGGAGAGATCAGAGAGGATCCCGCTGGGTGACAGAGATTCACTCCTGGGGGGTCTCCTCTGGACATCATGGAAGGCCAGGTCAGCTGCTCCACAGCTGCAGTGCTGCTTGAAGAAGTCCTGTTCAGAGAGACAGCAGAAAGTTTCTGTTTCTGAAATACATGGGTTTATCTTCATAAAGGAAAAGAAAAGTCTCTGATATGGTTGTTTAAATTAAGTCTGTATTGTATCTGTGTGTCTTTATACCATATGTTAATCCTTTAATTTTACATCTGAGTCCAACAATGAACAAGATAAATGTCAGACTCATCTCGGAGCAAACCAAGTCTCACATCTGCCCTCTCTGTCTGTTAGAAAGCTGCAGTTGTTTTAATATCAGGTCTTTACTGGATACTGAAGTTATCTCTCAGTACAGGGAGACAAGGTTCACACAGGCCTCTATAACAATACAGAGTGCATATCAACATATGCACACATATATTTCCTTCCTGTTTTTAATAGAGGGGCCCCCTCCCTCAGCTATATTTACATTATTACATAACAGCTGGGCAGAGAGGGTCCCAGAGAGTAATGGGAGGTCAGAGGCACCACAGTCAGATTTCTTCCTTTTTGTTTGTGTTGACCCTCATCATACTGATACTGTACTGAGCAGAGACAGCATCCAGATTAACAAAAAAAATGTTAAAATCCTATGAATCACTGATTAAATATGAGTGAATAAAGTGAAATTCCGTTTATCTCAGCTGCCCCTGAATGGGTTTAAATTTGGTTAAATCCTTTACTTCTCTTTATAAAGTATAGCACTTCCCTAACCATTGGTTGGTTGTTTATAGTTTTCCTCTCCATTGATTTCACATCTTCCTTTACACCTTTTAGTGCTTTCAGATGATCAGAAAAGTCCATAATTTCAATGCCCTTCCACTTCTCATTCTCTGAATTTGAAGCTTCCTTAGTGTCTTCTACCTCAGGCAGTCTAAATGTGCACTGTAACACCTTCAGCCATCAGAAGAGCCCAAGTCATGAGTCCTGTCCTATACTCCAGGGTTATTCAATTTCATTTTTAACATTGCCAGGTTTAAAGACCAGGATAATCAGGCGTGCCAGGCATTTTCAGCAGTATTCAACAGTTCTTTGTTTTGTTTTGTTTTTCTGCTACTGCTGCAGGGAAATGAGAGTGGTAAAATGAAAAACTTTTTGAAAAACATTTGAAACACTTTCAGTCACATATTTGGCTGGGGCTCTTTGAAGGGCGTGAACATTATTAAACCAGCAGTCTGTGTTATTACATTATTACTAGTGACTCACTTCATCTTCAACAGCCAGTGTGCGCTCTCTCACTACTTCAGCTTCTCTGGGTGGTGTTTTTTTAAGTGGTGCCTGTATATGTTACATACCTGTTCATTGGTTACTGCCACATTGGGTTGTCACAGTACCAGAACTGTTTGATACTCTTGATTTCCAGTCTGAGCCAGTCCCTCACCAACAGCAACATACTTCAAATACTCCTGAATGACAGTAACCTTGTTTTAAGTTTTCTGGACTTCTCACTTCACACAGTGATGAAAGAAAGGTTACCAGCTCCTGCAGTACTCACAGCCTCTCCCACAAACCCACCTGTATCAATAATGAAATGGCTGGGATGCTTAAATGCTCTGTATATCTCAGTCTCATCCAAGACAATAAACACCACTGACATTCACACTCTCTGCCATTCATAGTCTCAAAGCACCTCCAGCAGTTCCCCTGTTACTCACACATATCACAAACACTTCCATCAGAATTATCAGCCTCTCCACAACCAACCAAACTAAAACAACAAGGCCATCATGCACAGAGCATGCTCCATCAAATGTTTATTTTGGGCTCTCTGTCAAAGGCACCTCAGTTGGCCACAACCCAAAACTGATTTAGAAAAGATCATAACCCCTAAGCTCCTCAAACCCATTTCTTACCCCAGAGAACAACTGAGAAGGCATGTCCTTTCTAACCCCTTTCTCATAAACCCCTCCCTGCTCCTCACAGCAGGATGCTTTCTATGTTACAGAAGCACTCACAGCTACAACATGAAGGAGGACAGGTCTTCAGCAATGTTTCTTTTTTGTATGTTTTTATCACTCACACATGAATGAAGATGTTCCAAAATTACACACAAAAACAGTTGGAAACACAAGACAGACGAATAAATTATACAGTAAAAGCATCAAGTTTGATGAGGGACTGTGTGCACTGACAGCATTTTCTGTGTTGGCAGTGCCTGTAGTCTCAATGACAGAGCTCTTACTGATGCTGGGCTACAAAAGTCCCTCTCAGGCAATTGCAGCAGCACACTGACATTTGCGTCTTGAAAAAGTGAGTAGATATGGTTAGTGGTGGGGGATATATCGAATATACTCAATATATCGCGGGTTTTTCCACGTGAGATGTAAAAAATGACCACATCGTGACCATCGAGTACAAATTGACACAAAGGCTTTATGTTTTGAGGCGTCAGTATGCAACTATCTTTGGAGTTTCGATCCTCTCACTCTCCTGCCGCTCTTCTCATTGTAAGCAGCACTCTCCCCCTCCCGTCCGGGAAACTCTCCTGCGCGCATGCGTATTGTTGTTTAAGGAAAGGAGGGAGACGAGCACGGAGAGAGCGAAAAAAGTTGAGACCCGAGGCAAGTTTTCGAGTTACTAAGAGGAGGGAGGGATGGAGAAAAACACAGCACTGGCTCAATCATCTGGCAGTGGTTCGGGTTTCGCCAGGAAGAAGTGGAGCAAAATACGGTTATCTGCAAAGTATGCCGCAAAACCGTAGCCACCAAAGGTAGCAGTACCACAAACTTAGTTCACCACCTGAAATGCCATCCACTACAAAACGAAGAATGCATCAGACTCCGTATGTCCACGTCTCCTCCTACACCACATAAACCATCACCGAAGCAAATGACGCTGTCCTCTTCGTTTGCCAATTCAGTCCCATATGACAGAAAAAGTCAGAGGTGGAGAGACATCATGGCCGCAGTGACAAAGTACATCGCCAAAGACATGGCTCCGGTCAGTGTGGTAGAAAAGCCAGGATTCAAAAATCTTATTAAGACACTTGATCCAAAGTATGACTTGCATGGTCGCAATATTTTCGCAGGAAAAGCGCTGCCACACTTGTACATCTTAGTTAAAGAAAAGGTGGCCCACCAGCTGACAAATGCGACCCACTTCTTACAGGAGAGATCATTGCACAGGGTCTGCAAGATGCTCTCCTTTCATGGAACTTGTCAGAAACTCATCAGATGTGCATCACCACGGACAATGAGGCTAATATAGTCAAAGCTGTGAGCCTGAATGAGTGGACAAGACTGCAATGTTTTGGCCATTGGCTGCACCTTGCAATTGGTGAGTATTTGTGTAGGCTTGCCTTCCTCTAATGGGAAAATAGCAATCACTGTTATTATCAATAATTGTAAAAATACCAAACTGATACAACATTCATATGTCACATGCAATTACAAGCTGCGTGATGGTGTTTGTTTTTTTGAGTTTTAAACTGAGCATTCTTCATTATTTTTGAGATGTTGACATGTTTTTAATTATTTTTTAATGAAGTAAAATCTGTGTATTTCATTATTTTTTAATGCAATTAAAACCTAAATTGAAGTTTTTCACAATTTTTCCAAAAACATTTAAACATTTTAAACGAATTCTTGAGTTACAGTATAACCAAGCATCTTTTTTTTTTAAGTATTAAAAACTATGTAGGAATATTTCATTATTTTTCATGAATTAAAAAACTAAGTGAATTATTTCATCATTTTTTCATGAAGTTTAAAATCGTGAGAGTATTTTTAACTTTTCAGCAGTTACAGAATAATTAATCATGTTTACATTTTTATGTAGTAAAAACTGAGTATGTCATGAAATTTTTCATACAGTTAAAAAGTGTTTCATGATATTTTTCAATTCCAATCCAACACAAAAGTCTGCTGAAGTCATTACACTGGTGTTATTTTATGCATCAAAGGGTTGAATTTAATATTTATAGAGTGATTTAGAGGAGATGTCAGAATATCGGGATATTTATCGTGTATCGCGATACAGCCTAAAAATATCGAGATATAGTTTTTTGGCCATATCGTGCAGCCCTAGATATGGTTAGTTTCCACCAGCTGTTACTGACAAAGTTCAGGAGTTCTGATTTTTGATTGGTTCGTGGTGGAGATGTTCACTACAGAGTGCCTGGGAAGAGATAAACACCTCGAATGTAGGTAATACTCAATATCCCTGTGACAATGGGGGATAATGAGGGCTGCAGAGCATTTGAAAAATAGATTCGTCCAAAAGAAAATTTTCCATTTGTTTTGTCTGTTCAAAAATTCAGGATCCACATTTGACATTTAGTTCAGGAACCTATGTGAGCGCCTGGTTCATTTTAGAAAAGGCAAATACAAGACAAACAAATGGCATCTGTCACAATCTACAGGCGTTTCTGTTAAAGCTTAAGAGCTTGAGAGAAATGGTTTTAATTCACCAGACATAATCAAGCATCCACAAAGACTAAAAAGTTCCCCAAATGGAAATCATGAGTGGACAAAAATTCCCTGTGTGTGATCAAGCAGCATGTGTCTAAAAACAGGAAAAGAGGGGTCAGAGTTTGGAAAAATCTGCACTTAAACTGATGATCCACATGAAGAGCTGTTTTTTTCCTAGTCTCGGGTTGTTTTTGTGCACGCGAGTGTCTATTTTTTAACTCCTACTTTTTCTTTTTAGTCCATCTGTTTGAACAGGAAGGAAACAACCAAATGTGGTTTCTCCAAGTCTGACACACCTGCCAGCAGTCCTATAGGTAAAGGAGGGAAACTTTCCAAACTAGATTAATTGTAGCTCCTCTTACAATGGGGGGCGGATGAAAACCAAAGACTGGAGTTGATGATGTTCTGTGTTTTTTGCAATGGTATTTGTAGCATTTTATGTTACATATTATTAATTGTCCATATCTTAGAGATGCCAGAGATAATCCATCAGGATTGGTTGTTTGGTATCATGTTTTTTGTATGTTGTTTAAATGTATGTAGCACAAGACACATTTCCTACAGTCAAGTTAGTCTTTTCTTTTCTAAACTGAATTTTAATTTATTTCATTCAACTGAACGTTTTTAATGTTATAATATGATAATTTTATCTTTTCTTTCATTCTGTAAACTAAAATTTATCCTCCTGTGGTGAAAGCCATGCCATGTGATGCTGCCTTCAGTTGCAGTACAAATGATCAGCTGCAATTCAGCGATCTGACCAGGTAAATCAGACAGCCACCTACAGACACTAACAACTGGTAGACCCGGACCAACCTCTGATCCAATCCTTTGATTCTGAGGTTATGTTTGTCTCTCAGCGTCTAGATTTAATCTATAAACTAAAGTGAACAAACTCTTTTTTCCTCAGCCTCCTCTTCTTCCTCATTAGTTATTCATGAACAGGAAGCGATAGAAGTGACATTCCTCTGTGTTTTTTTCTCCCTCACTAACTCTATATTACCTCAGACAGCCTCATCCTTTGAAAACAGGTCAAAGGTCATCGATTCACTGCAAGCATCCTCTTTGAATCCTCAATGGTGTGTTAAATTGTTGATAAAAGGCTTACACACAGAGGGTCTGGTGTCATCTACTTCCAACATGAATGCTAAATTATCAGCTGCTTCGGTCAACCACTCAAGAGTGAATCTTCTGTTCCTAGAAAACTGGCTGTAGATGTCAAATTGAAGGTTTATAGACTCAAGGTGGGTCTTTTCAGTCTGAGGGCAGAGGCTCCTGCTGGTTTCAGTCTTTGCCTCAACAGAAAACCTTCCCAGTATCTGAGCCAAAACTGACAGTCAGGGATTCTTGAATCCCATCTTAACATATTTCACCAAGACCCCAAAAAGTCAACCATCCTCTCATAAGTGATGATTTTACTGTCAGAGAAAGGCTAAAGAAGCTGGTATTAAATAACTCGTTAAAATACAGAGGACTGTGTTTTATTCTTGATCTAGAACAGATAGTTTGCAGACCCTCAAGCAGATATTTTAAAACCTCAGATGATCAGTGACTGGAGCTAAGATGTCTTACAAAATGGACTGTGTTCCTCCGGCTTTTGCTTTCCATATGGCCATTTTTTTTTCCGCAGACACCAAAGCTTTCTGAAACCTGATACTCCTCAGACTATAAATAAAAACCACAACACTTCATCCTGAGACTGCCTGTGGGCTTTCTGTAGAATATGAGAGCATTCAGGCACAAATATTCAGGTGTACTTCAAAGAAAAAAAACAGGTTATCTGTTTGCAGACAGTATCCTGAGTAAAACTCAGTGAAAGAGCTGTGTCTCACCTCTTTGGCCTTTGTCATCCTGCTGTCTGTCTGTAGGCAGCAGATCTGCCTCTGCAGACGCAGGTTGGTCTCCTGTAACTGACCGATCTTCTCCAACAGCTGGCAGATGTGCTCCAGGTAACCCAGGCCTGATCCCAGAGGGTTTGAACTCTTCTCCTGAGTCTGGACAAAAAAGAGAGTGTGCAGGTTAGTTGAGGTCCTGGCAGCACAGGAAAAAGTCCCAGCTAACTTTTGAAATGGAAAGACTGTTCAAACTGGTATTACACCAACCACACCAGCCAGACAGAAGGGCACTCCTGATTTACAGTCATTTTAGGGGCATTTTCGCTTAGATGATACCAGATCAGCACACAGTTTAAAGCTTCTGTAAGGAACCCTGTGTTTGTGTTAATTTTGGTGCCCCCTTTGGACAAACTAATACCTCATATCTTTGTTGGTCTTGTTCTGGACAAGATTCAGCCTCATTTACTGAAAAGAAATCTACTGCTGTCTTGAACCGTGAAAAATTTCACTATGATTTCATTAATACCAGCCCCACTACAATTATCATTGTTATAAAGATGAAGAGGTTTGTTTCAGAGCATTTTGACTTTATGGGCTATTATGATTCCTACCTGTACTTTAACTTCACAAACACCATTATCACAGACCCGCTGACTTTAATCACCATAAATCAAACTCTGTTGATCAGTCTGTAATCATCAACATGCTGTTAATGTGTACAGTTCTCGTCCTTGTTCCTGGCACTTTAACCATACACCTGGGGTCCGTTTCACATAGGTGGTTCAACAAACTCTGAGTTAAATCCTTAACTCTGAGTTGATCTACTCTGAGTTAGGAAACTCTGAGTTTCCGGTTTCACAATACCTGATTTGAGACGGTTTTACCAACTCCGAGTAGTTTGACCTGGAGTTAAGCACGTGCATGCCAGACATAAACAGCCAGCATCTGTGGAGCGCAGATTCAATGATCAACCAATGGAAACAGGGAGAAGGAGGGGGCAGCAGCAAGCCAACAGCGAATTACAGCACGTTTGTAAAAGAAAGTGCAATACAGCAGCAGCTGCAAGGGAGAGGGAGAGGGCTTGGGAGGAAATCGCTGCTCGCGTCAATGCGTAACTTTAAATCTAGTCTCGTGCAATCACAATGACAGACTGTTGCAGGGAAACTGCTTGAATCATTTTGATCATGTTTTACATTGTCAAGTAAGTATTAAGTGGCAGTTTGATCCCTTAGAAAATGCTCTTTTCACACTCAAAAATGAATTTTACTCTCTTATGATGTTCCGTTAAATGATTAGGAATATTAAACTAACTCTCAGCATGTATATGTACATATATTAAACTAACACACACTACACTCAATATTAGACTTTCACTCAGCAAACAGAAAGAGGGCAGATGCCAGAAAAACGGGTGGTGGCCCAGCAGCCCCACCTTTAACGGAGGCAGAGGAGCTGCCCCCCCCCCCCCCCGACGATCGTCCCCCACCTCGTGTGTGTGTGTGTGTGTGTGTGTGTGTGTGTGTGTGTGTGTGTGTGTGTGTGTGTTGGGGGGGGGGGGGGGGGGGGAATTTGCGATCGGACCGGCCGCGATCGTCGAACGGGGGGGGGGCAGCTCCTCTGCCTCCGTTAAAGGTGGGGCTGCTGGACCACCACCCGTTTTTGTGTTAGTTTAATATTCTTAATCATTTAACGGAACATAATAAGAGAGTAAAATTCAGTTTTGAGTGTGAAAAGAGCATTTTTTAAGGGATCAAACTGCCACTTAATACTTACTTGACAATGTAAAACATGATCAAAATGAGAAAATGCCGATGTCTCACCTGAAACTCTGGGTTTACTGAGTTAAACCTGCTCCCGAGCAGGTTAGGTTCACGGAGTCTGTTACTGTGGTAACTGACCGCGAGGTTGAGTTACCTCTCTTTGTGAAACAGGTTAGAGTTACCCCTCTCTCCCTGGTTTAACTAACCCTCCTTTGTGAAACGGAAAACTCAGAGTTTCCCTGATTTCAGGGTTAACAAACTCGGAGTTTCCACTAAACCTGCTACGTGAAACGGACCCCTGTACTGTTGTTATTGTTGTTGTTGTTGTTGTTGTTGTTTGCCTTTTCCTTCTCCCTCTCTCTACCCACTCTAAACCCAGCTCAGTGTCGGCAGATGGTTGTAACTTGAGTCTGGTTCTGCTCAAGGTGTCTGTCTGTTAGAACTTTGACATCATTGCCTTTCACATTGATCTGTACCTTGTACGGAGGAGGCTGAAACATAGATTTTATTTTATTTTTTTCCTGATGAGATATTTCATGAATATTAATAACCCTACATGCTACATGAACAGAAGTGGTTCTTTGGTCGTGGCTGCTCTCTGTACATTTGTTTGAACATTATCCAACAGAAATGATGGATTATATTCAATAAGACTTTGCTCTTGATTTTCCCTACATCATCACATTTCAAAAGCAGCTTGGACGTCTTTTTGACTGACTGACATCATATCAGAATTTAAACACTCCTAAACTCCTCTGGCTCTACATAGAGAAAATGTCGTTCATACTGCTTTAATAGAGAAGACCCCTGTAGTTTGACTCGAGGTACGGGGTCCACAAAGGTGGTATTTAAAGACCACAGTTATGTTCAGTTTTGGTTTGAATATGTTTCATTGCTCCATCCTATACTGTCTAAGGATGAAGAGGCTACAACGTGTGGTGTTAACTGTCTCTGTCTGCTGGCCCTGGAGGTGCAGGTGTTCACGTTTGCCAGTGAGACAAAAAAAGGAACTTTTGAGCAAATATTTGTCCAATTATCAACATGCCTAAAAGTGTCCCAACCAAGGGCATAGGTTTGGTCTCAACATTGGTAGGGATGATATAACAGCATAACCTGCATGTACATCACGGGACGTCCCCAGCAATTTACAGTCTCAATTTACAGCTTTTGTCCTTCATGTACCACAAAAGTAATACATTGCTTTAATTGCTTGTCTCTTTCACCGTCTTCTCTGTTATTTTCATCTCTAAACTGCATCAGTGTTTGGGTGATTATGGAAAAAATCTTAATCAAGATGAAATGAACTTTTTACCTCTATTATGATTAATGTATGATTCTCTGAAAATAATGTCTGCATGGGCTGCAAATAAAAATATTTTTAAATAAATAATTTAGAAAATAAATACACTTTAATGAATAAATACATGCACTAATAGGTATTTGGTTTCAAAAGTGTAAAGTCACAACATGCTCTAGCCTTCTTTCCTTCTAAACCAGGCCGTTTACAAGAAGAAAGCAGCAGCATGTGTTGTTTTTGTTGTTGTTGTTGTTGTTTTGATTGTCAACACCTTTCTGTTAAACACAGACTGGGACCTCTCTCTGAGCAACTTCTTACTCACGTTTTTCTGGTTATATAGTTTCCAGCATTTAAAGTTAACAGTAAACACATACAGGGCACTTCTCTCTGAGCAGCTGCCTACTCGAGTTTTGCAGGCTAGCAAGTTCACATAGTTTAATGTTATGCTCACTCTAATGCGGGTCGGACATTCAGTAGCAAAATTAGGGGTGTTCCCCCACCTCCAACAAAAGCAGGATGTGAGCACAGGTAGGGGTTTCCTCCCCTCTTTCCCAGGCTGCTGACTCTAAAACCCCATTCAGGCAACTGGGAGCTGTGGTGGAAAGATCAGCTGAACAATGGGCCAGGAGCCATAACAGGCTGGAGGACTGACATCACTTGTTTCCTGTGACGGTTGAACCTGAAAGCTCTTGACCATGAACCCCCTTAAGCGTATCTTCTATGAACAAAAATACACAAAACAAGGCAGCAGCTTTGGACATTAGCTGTTCAGGGACGCTGTGCTCTTCCCAAATCATATCCTGAACCCACCTGTTAAAAAATCTTCTCTTCTCTCTGGATACTACATGCAGCTGGTTAGTTTCTTAAACTGTGAACTCCTCAGACCCTGTATGACATCCCCACTCTCAGACGTCTTGCAGTTTCTCGGTGGCTAATTAAGATAAGGAGGGGTATTCCTTCCAGGAGATGACCCTCACTTCCTCAGTGGTGGTCGTTGATGAGGGGGAGGGTCTGTAATCAGGGACCGTTCTGCCTTTTGACAGTAACATTATCAGGGCTGGTGCTGATCTTATCCACAGCCTCACAAAGACCACTGAGTGATCCACTGCCGGGAAGACAAAGTGAGACTCAGGAATGCCCCCTTTGCGTGCACAAACCCACTTTAAAATGGGCAAGCACACACAAACAAACACACGCGCCCTAGTTGCACTTCCTCTGAGTTTCCTCTGATCCCATGACTCAAGGGGCAGTAATGTCACACGTGAAAGCTGAGCGGGTGGAAAGGATGTGAAAAGCTGAATGGCTGACACAAGAAATAAAGATTGTTAGGATCAGGAGAGGAACATAAGACGTGAACAATGTGTGCTTGTGTTGGCAAGAAACACCAGAATTAGCTGGAATCCCAAATGCATGTGAAGATAAATGCAGCTTTGCAAGTGGACATGAGCCAGGAACCAGTTATCTGTTCAGTTTTATCATCTTAGGCTTATTTATGTAATGCAGCTGAGGTAGACCTACAAAAACAAATGAGTGACAGGATTTCAGCCTGAGTTTAAAACAGCTAGTATTTTCAGCCAACAAGTTATATTTGGTGGTTTGGCTCTGTTCTGACAGCTTTCAGCCCATCACCCTGTATATGTGGAAAGCCAAAGCCTGAGGCAGGGAGGGCTCACCTCCCCTCTGTTACAATGAAGACATGAAACAGAGGAGAGGCTGGAAGGACAGCAGTAAAGTTCAAAGTGAGCATATGGCACCAGAGAAGTCAGACCATTTTTGACATTTGGCAATTGAATGTGTAGACGGGGCAGAGCTGTCATCAGTCCATGGAAACCATGATGGAAAGAGACGTCCATTTAGAATTATGATGATTTTTTTTTTCCATGATAATGATAACACAATGACAGGCTTAAACTACATCACTGTACCTGAGCAAATCCTTGGGTTAATACTTTTACTAGTACATGAGTCAAATATTATCAAAGTAACTGTACTATACCTGATTAGCATAAGTTACTTGTCTTCATTCTCCTTTCAAACAGGCTGTTGCATATTAATGTTGTGCATTGACACAGTCTTGTATTGTGCTGAACGACCTGGTGGTTTCTATGACTAGTCTAGCTAATATTTCTTGTGAAAAAAAAAGGGTCGTATCTGGCTTACATTTTTCACTTTGAAAGTATGAGATTGATGGGTGGATAACATTTAAAATCACCAAGGAGACTGAGCTCTCCCCATCCCATACTTCTGGATGTTTCCATTATCTCTGCCGCATGTTGGATTTCCTCAGCATGACTGTGTTGGAAAGGAATGAAGCTCCAGATGTGTGTAGAGCTTCCAGATAGGGAGCGGGGTCTCTCACAGCTCCTTTTGGCTGAGCCTGGTTCACTCTCGCCTGGGGGTGTTCTGTTCACTGTTAGTCTGACACCTGACCCTAAAATATACCTTCAAACCTTAGTCTCATTCTGTTATTTTTGTATTTACAGGTAAGTGAAGTTGGATTTAGAGAAGAAGTTTATTCAAGTTTGTGTTATTATCCTGAAGCTACAGCTCATCATTTTTGAGGAGTTTTCTCAAGCAGAAAGATACCTGTCCAACTAACTTTAATTCACTCTGGCCTTTTGCTCTGCGGGGAAGCTCAAATGCTGATATTAAATTGTAATTGCTGAGGATCCGGAAATGGTTTTGCAAATCCTTTAGACAGAGATAAACTGACTAATTATTACATTGTCACTCCTGTTTTAATCAGCACGTTTATATGCATTGCATAAATCAGCAAATGAACAGCATATGGTCATTTATGTGTATTGTGTTTTTAAGGACATCACATCTCTTTGTGGTGAAGTTCTTAAATTTTCTTTTCTACGATAATTTGCCGATGGTCTCTATGCCATTGAGCCCACACCAGCAGTGAATTGAGACAAATTGCAGTTGTCTGGCGGCTTGGAGGACGGCTTGTTTTGTGGAAAATGAGATTGAGGCTGATAGTCTTCGTGACAGTTATTAAAAGAGGGTTTGACTCTACATTGTTTAATTAATTAGTTATTGACCTGGAAAGTCCAACTCTGTGAATATCTTTTTATCTTTACCCTAGTTGAAATGTCGTGATTAGTCCTAAGTATATCCAGTGTCACCTCTTGTGTATGTCCTGAAACAAAATATTCTTTACATTTTAAACACTCGAGGCGCTCATGCTCAAGGTGGAATAACTTCCTGGTCAAAGGTACCTTTGTCCAATCTCTCTCTCTCTCTCTCTCTCTCTCTCTCTCTCTCTCTAATAATACAGAGAGAGAAGAGATAAATTCGACTGAGATCAATATCTGAACAGAATTTCCATGATGTAAAAGACCCAGATAATGATGTTTAAAAAGCAATGAAAGCACAAAGTGATGCTTACAGGTGAATTCTGCATTCTATATTGAGTTACTAAATAAAACTAAATATACTAAGTATTTGTATAACAATATTAACGTCATAATAAGATTTCACCTTGTGAAAAGTTACCTGCGAAGTAGATCAATGTTGAGTTTACATATTTGTATAACAGTGTTAGGTCAAAACTAGATTTAACCATAAGAAAAGTTAGCTGTGAAGTAGACTGGCTCATATCAGATTCAGGTGTGTTTCCTTAATGTAACAGAAAAATGAGTTACAGGAGTGTGTTTTTCACATTTGAGTTAGAACTGAGCTAACTTCAGTAAAAACACGGAATCAACAAACGTGCAGCAAAGATGTAAAGATTTTTTTCCCTCATGACCAGTTCAGAGCTGTGAGGAGAGGAGTGATGGGGATGTAGGTAAAAGTGAAGATGCTGAGGAGGTCAACACAAGACGCATCAAAGCACGACCCCAACACGATGATCATAATGAAACTGTTCATCACACCTGTAGTTTTTACAGTAATAATATGACAGAGTACTAAGTGAGGTAGGTAAGAAGATAAGACTTTCCTCTTGTAGTGTTGGGGGGAATGACGATATTTTATATATGAAGATTTTAGTGAGGATATTGAGTTATGCAGCAGTTGGGATTCCTGTGTTCCTCTCCTCTTTGTGTGTTCTCTCTCTCTCTGTCTCTCTGTCTCTCTCTCTCCCTCTCTCTGCAGTGCTGGAGGCACGGCGGGGGGCGGGGCTGGCCTGGACTGATTGCACGCACCTGATTCACGTTGGTGTCAATTACCTGGCTTTATATGCCAGCTCCTGTGTCGACTCAGTGCCGGATGATTTCTCAGTCGGGCAACACGTGTCTTGCCACGCCGAGCTCCCTGATCTCCTGCCCGTGTATCCAGCCTGCCTCTTAGTGTTTGTTAGTGAGTTCTTTTGTTGCTTTCCAGAGAGTTTTTCCCTTGAGCAAAGGTGATTCTTTGTTTGTGTTTTTTCCTCCAGTTGAGAAGATTTTTAGCTATTTTACCTTGCTTCTAACCCTGGTTTTGTGTTTTTTAGTGGCCGTCCAAGCTGACCGTACCTTTACCCGGAAACAGCGATTTTCTGTTGTTCACTTTGTTCTATTGTTTATTGTCAATAAATTTGGGCATTTGCCTCCGTATTTTTGGATCCTGGCCTTTGTTCAATTCGTAACAATTTTATCCCAAAGCAATCATGCGTATAATGATAATCAAATAATCTGTCGAATGACACCATTTTCTTTTCTCATATCACCGTGGTATGTCCCAGCTTCTCTAGTGTATTGTCTTATATAACTCTCAAAGGTGTTTCTGGATAAATTTAGTGAAAAAAACAGAATTTTTCCTTCACGATCAAAGTAAAAGATTTCAGATATGTAGTTGAACAGAACCACATGATTTTTGTCATGACCTGATGTTGGAAGTATGACAGCAATGCAGCAATTCGTATCCCAACATCTGAGGCTCTCCTCACACGAGGACGGCCCCGTATTGTCTTGGCGTCTGTACCAAAACATGTATCGCTGTTAACACATCGTATTGTACATAGGCTTAGTGCATTTACATGACAATGCAAAATCCACGCAAAATCCTGTAGTACATACGCCCGGCCTAAAGGTGACACTGTGAAATTGCCACAAAGCACCAAAAACAGTGAATGCGCATGCACATACATGTTGTGTGTGTGACAGGAGGAGAGGCGGAGGGGTGCTATGAGGTCACCGTCTTTTCTGGACCAGATATCCACCTGCAGACCTGTTTTCAAAAAAGATGCTGCGTCATGGACAAATTCGCGTCTCCGTGTGTCAATATCACTAGATCGATAGTTTATTTTACCAGTGTCTTACAAATTCGTACTTGTGTAAAGACCACCTGAGCCTGTGAACTCTGAGAGATCAGGTTTTCTTATATTTAATGACTCACAGAGAAAGGGGCAGGGGTTTGGAGGGCTGTCGTTGGACACAGAGGGGGTCCTTGATGTTTGGGGTTAAAAATTCCAATATCCCTAATTACATTATAAAAGTAATTACATTATTAGCTATGGTGACAAGTGATGCAGATGACAGTGAAAGCAGCACCAGCACCTGGCCTGTCAGCAATGTACCCCTACAGTCCATCATACGGGGGCCCCTAAAGCCACTGCCACATGCCATTACCTCACAGGGCCCCCGAGGCTTTTCAAAGAGCCTCTATCTGGGTAAATATGTGTGTCATCTGAGATATTTGACACCTATTTCATGCATCCAGGTAGGCTGCCAAGCAGCAAGAAGGGGCCCAGCTGAGAGCGGGGCCAACAGTCAGCAGCGGTGTCATGGAAAAATCTCCAGTTCCTTCATACAGATGAACAGGTGATGTATGACATCCATGAAAAGCTGCCACAGACTGTAAGCACCCCCCTCCCTACCTAACAGAGTGCAAATAGCCCCTTATGTTTGGGTTACCTTGATGTGCCTGCAATAATAAAAGCCTTGTCGTCAGGACAACCTTTGAACGTGACATTATTTTGTTTTTGAGGAATAGGTGGAAAGAATGTGGGGGAAATATCTGGGTCTGAAATGCAGCTTTTTCCTGGTTTAAGGGTTCACCCACATGTGCTAAAGCTACCAGAACAGTTACCAACCCAATTAAGGACTACACGTTTAACTGCTGTTTATATGTCATCAGTCAAGTTACTCGTGCTGTGAGCAGACGTTCATCATGTCCAGAAGTGGAGATAATGGCCCTCATTTATCAATCTTGGGCAGATCTGAGCGCAGATCTGAGTGCAGGATTCATCATAGGATAGGACACACATGAGATTTATGAAAGGGTTCGTATCTGACCAGTCCCAGCGTACGTATAATTGGGTCTTGGTAAATGCGGCGGCTGAAATCGATCGTCATTAACATGTCATGCCCTTAAATATTTGTGGTTCAGAAGTGTCGCCCACTGAGGTCAAACATGAAAGAGGAGAAATATTAGAAAGATTCAAAACTTTTCTGAGCTGAAAGTGGATATCCTCACATCTGTGCTAACAAGGATTTTCTCTTTGGAAGCATCAAAACTGGTCTAAAAGAAGTCCAGCAAACTCCTGTCTGGAGCAGGACTATGGAGGCGGTGAACAGCGCCGGAATAGTGGACATTGGCTGAAGTTTAAATAAATCATTTGTCATTAAATTGCTCGTGATGATAAATTAATATCTCATACATGCCTCACATTTTTTTATTGCCATGGGTACGTTACACCTATTATTTAAAGCATTTAGTTTAAATTTGTTGCGTCTTTGTAATGTAGAGCAGACTGGAGGGTCTGACAGAGGCTGAACAAAAATAATTATTAACGTCATCAAACGGTGTGTTGCTGCCCCTGAGGCATATTTTTATGGATTTCTATTGGATTTTTATCACTGATTAAGTAGCAAGAGCACTTTCTAAACTTATATTTTACATGTCAGAATCCATCAATAAGGTCCTGCCTCCTCTGCACAGCACCTTTGTGGAGTCTCTCCTCGTTATTGTTCTCCGGGCATCGGGTCCTCATGTTGCACTGGCACAGCCAACGGCACTGTATTCGCCAGTGCAACATTGTGCGAAACTGAACTGGCCCAAATGATGTCCCACACCCTTTCAGGAGTGTAAAAGCATCCCCTCTGCTGGGCCAAGATAGAGACACCTGCCTTTTAGGAGTCAAATGCAGTGCTCCACAGTGGTGCGTGTGTGCGTAATGTTAAAACGGCGCTTCTGCTCTGAGGCAGTGTTTCTGGGCAGTTATCAAATAGGCCTATTCACTAAGGACATAATAAATGTATTTTATTTTATTTACGTCGTAATCTTTAATGAAATCTGGCTGATTGTGCTTAATGACAGGTTTGAGGTTTGTTTATCAATTATTTCGAAACAGACATTTGTTGCACCGCAGATCCACACTGACTCAAACTTGCGTACACAATGTCAGACCTGTCATGAGATTTGGTCAAAATTTTCGTACGCAAGCTTGATAAATGAGGGCCATTGAGTGGAGTGGAGGCATGCATCCTTGCTATCCTGACTATGTCTGCTGAGAGGCCTGCATGCAAAACAGAAGTGAGCTTGTCACAGGTGAACAGACCAGCTATATTATCATGTAGCTCTGAAATATTAAAGCAGGAAGAAGGAAAGGAGGTGTTTCAGACCTTCAGTCTGCAGTGGTGTACATGATTTGTCCCTCTGGTTAAAAAGAACAGCAGTGATTGGTGCAGAAAACTGAAGGTTGCATCAAAGTCTGGGTCTAATAGCTGCTGTAATGACAGACAGTCCCAGTGCCTGATGGAGATGTTTTTAGGGACATCAAACAGGTGATTATGACTCTGCAGCTTCCACACCTGTCAGGTGCTCAGTCTCTCTCTCTCTCTCTCTCTCTCTCTCTCTTCCTCTCTCTTTCTGTGAACAGGGAAGTTTTTCTGGTAACATGAATGAAACATGCCCTTACCTGTGGCTTTTTCATCATGTTTTCACAGCAAAGAGGTGACTACAGGTACAGCTGCGGGGCTTTTTACATCCAACTATTAGTGCTGAGCTACAGAGAGTATCTGAAAATCAAAGGAAACCCATGTGTCTGTAACAGCCCTGAAATGACAGAGTCTGTGAAGCTGATTTCAGTCACAGTAATGTCATTACCTGCTAACATGGAGACTTCAAATTAAAGGTAATGACAGAGGACATAGCAAGCTACATAGCAAGGACATGCTCATCCAGAAAGGATTAGACTCTGGTCTGACACAGATATAATTATTCTTAACTCAGACACACACACTCAACAAATGCACACACAAACATAACATATCAGTTTTGTTTTTTTTGACTGACTGTAAAAGTTGGTGAGGACTACAATTACATATGTTGTCAAAGTCAACCCTCCCACAGCTGAAATCCACATTTGGAAGTTTGGTGGAGGTTAGGATGCCAGCCCTGTGTGTAAGAGTCAGAGAAGAACTATACATTAAGGAAAGATGGGAAAGGGATGCTGGGATAGTGATTTCGGAAGAGATGTGGAAGGGGATCTGGGAATTCCAGTCGACCTCGACATGCTTCATGGACTGGAGAGAACATTGTTGGAAGAATATTATCAGATACTTTAAAACTCTGTACCAGGAACGATATAGAGGGGATAATAGGCCATGTTGGAGACAATGTGGTGCGGAAAAAGCTGGTCACTTTCATATTTTCTGGAAATGCCCTAAATTAACAGTTTTTCTGGGGAAGTATCCACAGATCACTATGCTCAGTGTTCAATACTCAAATACCCTCTGATTTCGCTACCTTGTTTCTAGGAAGGGTTGAATGCCTGAGCCAGTCGAGAGATACAAAACTGATACAGGTATTATTGGCGGCCACTAAAAAATCGATCACTAGAAGATGGCTAAACGCGATCCCGCCCAAGCTGGGAGACTGGCATGGGATAGTCTTGGAGATCTTTCGAATGGAAAAGCTCATATACCAGATAGGAACACAGGAGGATACATTTTATCAAATTTGGAACAGATGGATAACGCATATCGCCCCATTAAGAGCAGATTTTGTATGATCCAGTTGGCTCCCCTGCTCTAACGTAGAGCGCTTTCACAGAAATTCTGAGTTAGGCACTCCTCTCTCCATTGGTTATATTTTCTTTTCTTTTTTTTTTTTGTTACCCTCAGCACATTTGTAAATATTTTCGTTTGGTGGTTTCTAATTCTATTTTATTTTTTATTTCTGGTTCTTGGTTGCACAGTGGAGGTTAGGATGTTGATATTCCTCTCAAGAATATGCCCTCGATGGGGAAAGGTTAAGGACATTGTCTACAATGGACATGGGGAAGGACGCAAAATGGATTAAATTCCTTTTTTCCCTCAAAAGTTCTACACAAAATACCCCATAATGACAGAGCAAAAAACTTTTTTAGAACATTTTGCAAATGTATTAAAATAAGACACTCAAATGTTGCATATACATAAGTATTCACAGCCTTTGCAATAAAACTCAAAATTGAGCTCAGGTGCATCCTGTTTTCACTGGTAAGCCTTGAAATATTCCTCCAACTTGATTGCAGTCCACCTGTGGCAAACTCAGCTGATTGGACATGATTTGGAGCCACACCTGTCTATAAGATCCCACAGCTGACAGAGCATGTCAGAGCACAAACCAAGCCATGAAGTCGAAAGAATTGTCTGTAGACCTCCGAAACAGGGTTGTATCGGCGCACAGATCTGGGGAAGGTTACAAAAAAATATGTGCGGCATTGAAGATCCCAAAAAGCACAGTGGTCTCCATCGTTAAGAAATGGAAGATGTTTGGAACACCAGGACTCTTCCTAGAGTTGGCCGCCCAGCCTAAATGAGCAGGGGGGGAGAAGGGCCTTGGTCAGGGAGGTGACCAAGAACCTGATGGTCACTCTAACAGAGCTCCAGTGTTCCTCTGAGGAGATGGGAGAACCCTACAGAAGGACAACCAACTCTGAAGCACTCCACCAGTCAGGCATTTATGGTAGAGTAGCCAGACAGAAGCTACTCCTCAGTAAAAAGCACATGACAGCCCGCTTGGACTTTGCTAAAAGGCACCTGAAGGACTCACAGACCAGGAGAAACAAAATTCTCTGGTCTGATGAAACGAAGATCGAACTCTTCCAATATGACAATGACCCTAAGCACACGGCCAAGAAGACAAAGGAGTGGCTTCAGGACAAGTCTCTGAATGTTCTTGAGTGGCCCAGCCAGAGCCCAGACTTGAACCCGATTGAACATCTTTGGAAAGACCTGAAAGTAGCTGTGCACCGACGCTGCCCATCCAACCTCACTGAGCTTGAGAGGATGTGCAAGGAAGAATGGGGAAAAACTCCCCAAATCCAAGTGTGCCAAGCTTGTTGCATCATACACAAGAAGACTGGAGGCTGTAATCGCTGCCAAAGGTGCTTCGACCAAGTATTGTATAGCACCGTTATCACACCACTAACTGCGCCACTGGACCAGTTCTAGGCTCTAAGGAGTGGGGAGCAAGAGTAATAACACCAGAGACAGTTGCTTTAAGTAGAAAAGGCCAGCAATTTACTGAATACAAACACACATATAAAACACAGTATATGAACCCAAAAATACCCTGCAGGTTTTCAATGAAAAGGTAAGTATAAATGGAGGAAAAAAATATATCTCACTCTTCGTTTTTGTTCTTTAGTTCACCTAGTTTATTTTAGTAAAGCTAATCTAATTTAATTAGACCAGTCTCTTTTTCCTAGGTTGTACCTATTTTAGGATTCCTATTTTTTCTTCCTAAGTTAACTCTTTTTTTCCTTCTTTTACAAGTAAGAAAACACCGTAACCACAAATAAATCAAAGTGGACCACAGTTATTCAAATCACATTCAAAAAACATAAACTTAATAAAATAAAAGTATGACACTTTAAGTTTAAGTTCAAGTCCAAATGTGAATTCAAGTGTTCAGTTCAATGAAAAGTTTCAGTTCGATTCAGTCCAAAAATAATAATTCAATCAGTTCTCAGTTCAAACTAGTTCCTGGTACCCCTACCACTGTGGCAAGGAGTTACCACACGCAGGAGACACCCTCACGATGCGATGGGAAAGATGAGTTCAAGGTCTGGGTCTGGCTCGCCATCTTGAATCCCGTCTGTGAATGTGCATGCCTGCACATGGCAGACCGATCCTCGCTCCGACCGAGCTTCCAACCGTGCAAAAAACCTGACCAAAATCGATGTGGCTTAGTTCTCATAAAATCCCTGTCAGTTCCCGACCAAGTAAGTTATGGTTTTCAACTGTTTTATCAACTTTTTCACTGCTTTTTCTGTTCATTAATCACTGCTCGTCTTCTCCGGTTCCTCCTCTGCTCTCTCCCTCAGGTCTCTTGCTGCAGCGTCACTGAGGTGCTGCGTTTGTGTCGCTGGTCCCTTAAAGGGGCAGCGACGTCTTTTTCTGTCAGCAGACTTTTAATTTTTAATTATCTCTGATGATTAATTGACATTAAATTAGTCACTTTTAACTTTCAAACTTATATATGCAGCTTTTATTCAACTATTTATTCTTATTTATGTCATATTTTGACATGGGTTACAATTGAGTAAAGGGTATAACTACTTATGTAAATGCAACATTTGAGTGTTTTTATTTTTAATAAATTTGCAAAATGTGCTTTAAAAAAGTTTTTCACTTTGTGATTATGGGGTATTTTGTGTAGAATTTTTGAGGGAAAAAGGGAATTTAATCCATTTTGGAATAAGGCTGTAATATAAAATGTGGAAAAAGTGAAGTTGTATGAATACTTTCCGGATGCACTGTAATTATTTTAAAAAAAGAGTCAGAGATGGGAACTGTGGAGTCACCAATCATCTCCATGCTATGTATTTGTTCTGCTCTGTCACTGAACCAGCTGCATCCAATGAGTAGCCAGGAAGGTGAGCTCATTAGTGAAGGCACCTGGTTCAGTAACTGAGCAGAACAAATACATGGCATGGAGATGACTTGGTGACTTTACAATTCCCATCTCTGGTAAGAGTACGTCCATGTTTTATACTGTGTAAGAGATGGCTGCAGAGTAACTATAGAGTCCCTGTTGGCCTGTTTTAATCTAGTTAAGGGATCCTATGATCCAAGAGACAGACAGATGAGTGAGTAAAGACCCTGTTCTTCTTACCTCACTTAGTCTGCAGCATTCATCCATGTACTCCTCCAGGCTCTCACTGGTGCCACTCCTCCATCGAGGCTGAGACTCAAAGTCATTCACAATGATGTCCTCACAGACTTCTGCTGAAGATCGCCCCCCAGGCCTCATGTCCTCTGAGCATGTCCTTTCTGTGACAGTAATATTCTCCTTCAGCTGTTCAGACGTCTCCTTGGTCTCCTCAGGGATGATATCTGAAACTCTACACTGCTCAGTATCAACGCCCTCGCCTATATGAAGCTCTCCTGCAGGTATGAACATGTTGTCCTGACTGTCCTCTACTGTATTTGGACTGTTGTCCACTGAGTCCTGCTCCTGTTTCATCCCTGAGCTCTGTGCATATGTGACCAGTTCACCAGGCAGGTTAACAGCATCAGAGTTCAAGTTGCATGAGTCACAGGATGATTCTCGGCTGTGGACCACAAAGCTTTGCTCAGAGCCTGTCGGGGTGGATGGAGAGTTGGCTCCACTAGGCAGCTCCACACCAGAGTCCTCAGACTCAAACTTGTACAGCCTGGGGAGCTGGGAATCAGAGAAAATCTCTGACAGGTAGTCCGAGCTGGACTTGGTCTGTGGTCCAATAGATTTTTCGTCTTGATGTGGTTTCATCTCAGAGGACTTGGTTTGCTGCTCAGGAAGTGTCACCGTGGAGTCATCATTTATGAAGAGCCTCTCATGAAGATGACTGAGGAGCTTCATTTTAGTCAGGACAACCTCAGTGTCCAGAACAGCATCTCTGTCTCCTTTACCTGTCAGACCAAGAAGAAAGCACCGTTACAGTCAACAGTCAGATATCAGCTCATGTTTGCACCACTGACATCTGAGCAAACACAACTGTTTGATATTCATTCATAGTGGGACCTTATATAACATCATCATGAGGCATGCTAACTCAGTAGGCTTACAATTAAACCTAGACGTGGCGTACTCTACAATGTTTGTGTGATCACTATGGGTGGCAGTTGTCTTAAACAGGTCCCAGTTGGTGCACTCAAAACAGCCCTGAAGTGCTAGAGCCCCCTCAGTCCATACTCTTACCTGCCTCACTGTAGGTTTTCCTCTAATGAACAGGGGCTTGTATGCAGGTGTTAGCATAAGAGATAGGTGGTCTGGTGAGGGGCTGTAGCAACTCATAATGGAATAAACTGTTCCATTATTACATTATGCATAAAGATGTTATTAAGATAAGATGAGATAAGATAAGATAAGATAAGAAGAATTTATTTAATCCCCGAAGAGAAATTCAACTGTCTGTTGTCTCACTTTACATGTCTCTAAAAGTTATCTACTATTTATACAAGAGTTATAAAGTCTGATGTCTGTTGGTACGAAAAAACCTCTGAATCTTTCTGTCCTGCAACGAAGAGAGAGGAGCCGTCCACCACCATTGGCCTTTTGGTCCATCAAGGTGTTGTGAAGTGGGTGATCCATGTTCTTGAGAATAGTCTCCACCTTCCACAGTGTAGATCTCTCCACCACATCCTCCACTGAGTCCAGCTTGAGTCCTACCACAGAGCCAGCCTTTTTCACCAGTTTGTTAAGACGTCTTGCATCTTTGTGTTTGATGCTTCCTCCCCAGCAGACTGCAGCGTATAACAGAACACTTGCCACCACAGACTGATAAAACATCTGCAGCATCTTACTACAGATGTCTATTGATCGGAGTCTTTTTAGACAAAAGAGGCGGCTCTGCCCCTTTCTGTAGATGAAGTCTATGTTCTTAGACCAGTCCAACTTATTAACCAGATGTACACCTAGGTATTTATATGATGTCACCACTTTGATGTCCACTCCACAGGTGTTCACTGGCTGAAGAGGGGGTTTGGATCTACGTAAGTCTATGACCATCTCCTTTGTCTTTGAGGTGTTAAGGAGGAGGCAGTTTTTGTGACTCCAGTCACTAAAGGCTCTTATCAGATCTCTGTATTCAGCTTCTTGTCCATTTCTGATACATGCCACAATAGCGGTGTCATCTGAGTATTTCTGGATGTGGCAGGACTCAGTGCTGTATTTGAAGTCTGACGTATAGCCTACAGTGTGAACAGGAATGGCGCCAGCACTGTCCCTTGTGGAGCCCCTGTACTGCTCATTAATGTCCCAGAAACACAGTTCCCCAGCCTGACAAACTGTGGCCCTCCTGTCAAGTAATCTGCGATCCAGGAAACACAAGAAGGATCCACTCCCATCTCTGTGAGCTTGTCTTTGAGTATGGTGGGTTGGATGGTGTTAATGCACTTGATAAGTCGAAGAACATGATCCTCACATAAACCCCAGGTTCCTCCAGATGAGACAGGGCACGGTGAAGCATGTAGAGGACGGCATCATCAACTCCAATGTGTTCTTTGTATGCAAACTGCAGGGGAATCCAGTTTGTCTCTGACCCTAGACAGCATAGGATCAGCCGCTCCAGGGTTTTCATGATGTGTAAAGTGAGGGCCACTGGTCTGTAGGTCTGTAAGGATTGCTTTTATGTCTCTTGTGATCCAGGGTTTGTTGCTGGGGAAACAGCGAACAGTATTTCTGGGTATAACTGTGTCTCTACAGAAGTTGACATATTCAGTGAGGCAGTTAACCTGTTTTTCACTGTTCATACTATCCACATCTGTTTCCAGCAGCACATTCCAGTCTGTTGATTTAAAGCAGTCCCTTAGAGCTTCACTGGCTTGAGGTGTCCATCTTGGAATCTTGACTTTGTCACAGGCTGCCTCAGTACACAAGGTCTGTAACAGGTTTGCAGATAGACCAAGCTATGATCTGACTTGCCCACTGGTGGTAAGGCAGTGGCTCTGTAGGCTTCTTTGACATTGGCATACAGCAGATCCAGGGTTTTGTTTTCTCTGGTAGGACAGTTCACAAACTGTGTGAATCCAGTCAGGTGATAGCCTGGCTAGGCCATCCAGTTGCGTGAATCACTTGCCGTTCCTTCCCACAACAGTATGGACTTCGGCCAATTGGGAGCGTGTATTGCAAATCAGAAAATAACCGGGCCAATCAATGACTGTTTCCACTGTTCCCCGGACAACAGGGAAAGGCAGCCCCTGATTGGTCAATGTGTAGATGGTGACGTCTAACACATGCTGAGGTTTTCAAAGAGCGGTTCATTCAGAACACCGTTAATTCTGCAGTTGACTTTGCAAAGTCGGCAGAAATCGTTCATATCCGCAGAAGAAGACGTAAAAGACATTGTTTGCTCGCACATGTTGAAATATTACCAAACCTTTACTTGATGCTTGAGAGCCCAGCAGGGAACACAGTTTCACACTGTGATGATGTCAGATGTTTGGTTACGGTGATTGGTTACATTAGTCTGTCTTTCAATGAAAGTACTCCCGCCCACTTTTAGGGCTCCCAATTGGCCGAAGTCCAGACTGTTGTGGGAAGGAATGGCAAGTGATTCACACAACTGGATGGCCCAGCCAGGCCAGTCAAGTAAGAGGAGAGGGTGACATGGTTGAAGTCTCCTGATATTATTATTATTAGTGCCTCCAGGTGTTGAGTCTGTAGCCTGGCAACACTATTTTGCAGAACATTGCATGGAATTACTTCAGTTGAATTAGGTGGAATGTAAACAACTACTGTTATGATATGACTGAATTATCTTGGAACATAATATGGCCAAAGAGCAACTGCTAACAGTTCCATATCTGGACAACACAACTTCTCCTTGACAGTTATGTGAGAAGGGTTACACTATCTCTGGTTGACAAATAAAGCCAGACCTCCTCCTTTCTTCTTGCCACTAGCTTGAGCATCTCTGTCTGACCATATAAGAGTGAAGCCAGGTAGATCCACATTGGAGTCCGAGTTGCTTTGATTCAACCAGGTCTCAGTGAAACACAGGAAACTTCACTCACAGTATGCTTTCTCAGTCTTCACCAATATCTCCAGCTCATCGTTTTTGTTGGGCAAAGAGTTGACGTTTCTCTGATCCCAGATTTGGTTTTCCTCAATGAAAGGAGCTCTTCTCTTGAGTAAACTCTTCACCCAGCAGAAGTATCCATCAGCAGCCAACAAAATGACAAGAAAAATATGAAAAAAATCTCGCAAAAATTATTTTTATTATTAGGTTATGCACTCATGATTTTATAACATTATGAGTGGATTATTACATTATGAGTTAGTACATGAGCCAAGGTGGGAGCGGGGGGTGCTTTGAATGCATCTTTGATGTTGGTGTAGGCCATGTCTAATGTGTTCTGTCCCCTGGTTGTACAATCCATCTGCTGGTGAAAGTGTGGGAGAACTGTTTTCATGTTGACCTGGTTTAAGTCCCCAGCAACAATGAAAATGGCCTCCGTGTGAGTTGACTGCAACTTGTTGGTGGTCTGGTAGAGAACAGTCAGGAGCCACTTTTGTGTAAGCACAAACCCCACTAAGCAATAGAAGGCTATTAGACATCTAGTTTCTTTTTTTTAGACCTAATTTCAACTGTCTAGATTCTGAATTTTGGGGCGGGTTATTTAGACGTTGCACTTTGAGCCATTATTCGATAACTATCTATTTCAAAAGGCAACTGTGAGTAGCACTACTGATCTCCAAGTATTTAACCAAAATACTTATGATAGCCATTGAGCAACATACAGTATGGATATAGCCCAGATTTAGATTTAGTCTAAATTTGGTCTAAATTTAGATGTCTAAAAAACTTTCATTTTTAGACCTGTGGTAGCCTGATTTTAGATCAGTCATCTAGGCTACATTTAGATGTCTGTTAGACCTGTTTAGACCAAGAAATGTTCAGTGGGACACAGCAGTGATGACAACATAGCTAAACTCTCTGGGTAGGTAGAATGGTCTGCAGATTACAGTCAAAAGCTCCAATTACGGTGAGCAATGGCTTGAAACAGTCTTAGCCTGTTTACACCAGTCGTTAGTGTAAATACACAAAGGAGATGGTCATAGATTTCTGCAGATCCAAACCCCTCTTCAGCCATTGAACACCTGTGGAGTGGACATTGAGGTGGTGACCTCGTATTAATATCTAGGTGTAGACCTGGATAATAAGTTGGACTGGTCTAAGAATATAGACCTCATCTACAAAAAGGGACAGGGCCGCCTCTTTTGCCTGAGAAGACTCCGATCAATAGACATCTGTAGTAAGATGCTGCAGATGTTTTATCAGTCTGTGGTGTCTACAGTGTTCTGTTATACGCTGCAGTCTGCTGGGGAGGAAGTATCGAACACAAAGATGAGAGACGTCTGAACAAACTGGGGAAAAAGGCTGGCTCTGTGGTAGGTCTCAAGCTGGACTCAGTGGAGGATGTGGTGGAGAGATCTATACTGAGGCAGGTGGAGACTATTCTAAAGAACATGGATCACCCACTTCACAACACCTTAATGGACCAAAAGGCCAATGGTGGTGGACGGCTCCCCTCTCTTTGTACCCACAGCCATCAGACTTTACAACTCTTCTGTGAATAGTAGATGACTTTTAGAGACATGAGACTCCAGAGAAACGAATTTCCCCTTTGGGGATGAATAAAGTTCTTGTGTTGTATTGTGTTGTATTGTGATGCAGAGAGGGCGATTCACCTGCATACCTGCATCCTGACAGTTCATTACATTTTCACATAGTCTGAAATGACTGAGGAGAAAACTGGAGACCTCGAAATACCTGAGCTTCAGCCAAAATTGTAGCCAAGTGCTGCCAGAGTGTGGATTAGCTCAACCAAATATATTTCAGTGATGGCTCAATTACATAATACATGACTGCAGCAAAACTTTAATTAATTTAAGGACTCTTTTCTGAGCAGAAATCAGAAGACGGTCAGTTATTTCAACCCCTCTGTGAGCATTAAATGGCTAATCTACCCTGGGTCTATCTTTTGACCATGAAAGGTCCACATACACCATCAAAAAGTACATCCATGCATCGTGAAACCCGAGGACTAGCATTTATGTAATACTGCATATACTACCTCAGATTCCACAGGTCTACTACAATTCATCAGTGTCCTCCACCCAACTGTCCAGCTTTGATGTGAAGCTCCGACTAAGCTCATTATGGGGGGCAGTCAGATGTGTCTTCTGCTATTTCTCACTGAGGGAAACCTGATCTGTCAGTCTGTCAATCAAAAGACATTTTTCCTTACAAACTTTGAAGAGAAAGACACAAAGCAGAGCCTCTTTCCCAGGGAAATGCAGGGGCCCTGGATAAGCTGAGGGTCTGTTTTATTGGTTCATAAGTGCTCGAGATAAAACTGCAGCCAAGCTCTGTTCAGTGAGAAATATTCAAACAAAAGTGGAGGCTGTGGGACTTCCTGCATGGTGAACTGGAGATCTTATCCAGGCAAATATGAGATTAAAAGTTCTTTGAAGTGTTCAATCTGAGGCTTTATCCCCTCTTAGGGGGAACTCTTGAGGGGGAACTTTCCCTAAAGCACACTGTGAGAACTTGGACCAAAGTGGACGTCTTTGGCTTATTCAGAAAGAAAGGCAAAGTGTAGATGTCAAGTGTGGACCGTAGAGGGTGAAGCACTTTCTCCTGTGGGGTTAGGATGCTTTGATTGTGGAGGGTGGGGGGCTGTGTGAACAGATGACAGAATGAGTCCCAAACAGGATCTGAGCTGATTAGAGCTTATTTTAGAGCCTCTTAATTTGATTGCTATTCATCACAGCTGCAATCTCAAAATGAGCAATATCTTTAAGAGATGTTTCAGTATTTTTGAGTATGAGTCACATGCTACTCGTGTCAGCTCAGGCCCTTTAATGAAAAAGTGCCAGGAAAACTGACACATAAGCTCAACCACAGTATTCTGCAGAGTCTGCCACATAATTGAACTAATTTTGAGGGACTCTGACCATGACAGGTCATGGCTAAGCATCTTGAGTGTCATAAGAAAGCCCATCTATTTTTCCACTGAATTTGGATACAACGCAGACGTGCTCTTCTGCATGTAGTGCAGTGATCAGTTGTTTAGTCTATGGGCTTCAAAGAAACAAAAGTAAAAGAAAACTAAACACTGAGTAATTCTGACAGCAATGATGAAATGATGCTTACATTCTGCAGAAACACACTGACACATTTATAAACCAGGGTTCATTCAATGCACCAAAGGTAAAAGCAGGGAGATTTCAACATTAACTGGAGAGCAAAAGTGATCCCAGGTCACCTGGTGGCTCAGGTGTTTAAACTGTGAGCTAATACCCACTGCTTGTCAGGAGTGGGACTTGGTACCAACAGCACCTCTGGATCATTCAAAAACCAAATCCAGCAGCAGTTCATACCAGGCTGCAGTCTGCACTCTCACCAACCAGAGTCCACTGCTGGACTGAAAACACGTTCCGTTACCCACTTTCTTCAAGGTTCAGAAGTTCTATCAGAAAGGCTGAGAGTCTTCAGTCAGAGTTCAGCTCTCAGTGTTTTTACTGTCCAATGACTCGACCCATGGACCACAGGATCTGTTCACCTGATCTGAATACACAGAGTTAGCTGCTGAGGCTGGAATAACAAACTCTTCATACATCACTGCATCTGCAGACTGATCTGAAGCTTCTACTGCTGAACATCATGCTTGCTAAAGTATCTCCATTTATATCAAATCAGTGACTTGTACATCATGAACCCTATGAGCTGATCCTACTGCATGCAGAAGAGCATGCCTGTGTGTGTGTGTGTGTGCGTGCGTGCGTGCGTGTGTATGTGTGTGCAAAAATATATATTAGGGCTTTCTGATGGTGAAGTAAAGGGCTGTAAACTCTCTTAATAGAGTGCACACTTACACTGAACACTGGTTCAGAGTCTCTTAAAAATAGCTGAAGTCTGTGGCAGAGTCAGCACCATTTTTCAGAAAACTGTAGCCGAGCTTGCATGCCAGTCCTTCTCAGTAAAGCAGCCAGGATGACTGACATTCATTGTAGTTAATACATTTACTATTGACACACAACTCATACAACCCCAGTTCAAAAATATTGAAATATCCCTTTAAATTAGACCAGTAGTATACAGTTTAGGTCTTCACCTTGACTGTTTCTTGATGCACTGAATATCCTGAGGATGGTCCTGAAAAATGCATCTCTACAAAACAGCACAGCACAAACAGCACCTGCACACTGAGCTCTGTTTGGATAACCCTGTGGTTGGACAGGATCTGCTGAAACACTGATAGCACTCTGTTTGATTCTGCAGTATCAGCACATAAAAGCTCCCAGGCTCTTCCCGTGAACAACAAGATCTGTTTCCCCTCTGAATTTCAACACAGGCACAGAAAGCTCAATCATGTAGAGACTAAATAATGTGCACTTCACCTCTGCTTCTATAAAGTGTTCATGTTCCAAAGACACACTGGATCATCACTCTTATCCATCCAAAGAGTCACTCAGGTTTCATCATATAGCATGTTCACCTGTAAACCCATACCATGTTCCCCAAAGGACTTTTTTATTCATCCTTCAATTATGACCATTGTTCCCTAATATTTCACATGAATTATCACCATTATTTTCTGGATTTTTTTGGGAGTCTTTTTATGCTTTTATTGAGAGCTATAGAAAGTTAAACAGCTTAGAATGACATGCAGCAAAATACCCAGGTTGGGAGATGAATCCAGGGAACTCACCTTAGGCTCTGTGGCCCTGTACGCACGGTGTGACATATGAGCATGGACTTAAACCAGCACTCCACTGATTTCTAACTGACCACAACTACAAACTTTCCCTCTGTTAATGAAGTCATTCCTGTGTCAGGTGAGGTCCAAAAAACAAAATCAGAGAACTCTGCAAATGAACTAATGGTGATTTTTTTGAAGACCTTTACAGAGAGCAGAGGCAAAGACCACAGTGGCCAGGATTTTTTTTTTTTTTTTGTCAGACCCCTGCAGGAAGCTGAAATGAGCTGATGTGGGAAAAGAGCTGCTGAAATAATCATTGGATATGTCTTTGATAGAGAATTGAAGGCGGAGATGCAGTTAGCTGAGAGTTGAGATGAATGCTGTGCTCACATGATCCGAGCCTAGAGGTCATTTAGAGAACTATGCGGGTGTAAAAAGGCCCAGAGTTTTATTCACAACCTGATAACTTCTTGCAGGTTTGAAATTGTATTTTTACTCTGAACACGTTATGCAGTAAAACAAGAACTCATTTTTCAGGAGCACACTTGTCACAGTTTCCTTATTCAGTAACACTAGAAAACAACCAAAGTTATTAGATTTTCAAAGGAATTTAACCTTGAGGAGGTTCACACTCCGACTTGAAAATACTGGTCACCTAAGGACGAGGGATATGATCTCACGTGTGTTGATCTGGACTTTGAAGTTCCTGTAGGACCCAGCAGTCAATCCTGCTTTATATTTAAAAGATTTTAGGGATTTATTCCCATCAAAGACACCATTTTGATGTGGTAAGTTATTCTTCCAGGCATTTGTCACAAGCATCCTTGCAGATTTATTATGTGTATCCAGTAGCGGTTCTAGGCACGGGCGAACAGGGCAGCCGCCCGGGGCGGCATTTGTGTCATGACTCATGGGGGGCGGCACGAGCACTTCCAAAAATATAAAATAAAAGATAATAGTAATAAATCTTAACCGCAAAGCGGTTTTGTGTTAACTCTTGTTGTCAAATTGGCGCCCCCCCTGCTGCTGTAGGCGCCCCTGCTTGCTCCGAAGGTGCTGCACAGAGGCTGACAGACTGTAGGAGACGAGGCGGGGAGAGAGTCGCAGGGGGACAGCTCTGCTCTGTGTACGCATGTCAGCATATCAGCGGGAGCGCGGATACGTCATTTTGTAGTTTTTTAATCATTTCTGGAGTCGCGGTGAATGAAATCACCGTACCCGTCTGCCTTTGATAGGCGAATAAAGCGCTCGGGTTCATGCTCGGATCTTGCTATGTGCTTGATGAGCTTCATGAGTGACGTAAACAATGACGGAGACAGAGAGGAGAGCAGCTTCAGAGGAGAAACATCCAGCAGTGTGAACAACCTCTTCATATGGAGTGCTTTGGCTCACACTATCAGCGTTTTCTCTGAGTGTTGCATGACTTTGGGTGAGAACAGAGATGAACACACTGTCAGCCACGTATTTATTTATTCATTTTTTAGTTTTTAGTTCTGCTTTTGTACTGGCACTATACTGGGGCAGCTGTATACCCTTTAACACCTTGTTTTCTATATTTACATTTGTATTGAATGGACACTTTATCATGACTGCCACTTGTTTTACAGAAAGCAAATTATTTGTCATTCTCCAGTGCAGAGCCTTTACTTTTATTTACACAGCCACTTTATTTCATTTAAGTTTGTTTGTTCAAGGTTTTCAAAAATGTGATGAAGGTTCGCAAAACTAAAAGAGAGCTTTCTTGAAAGCCACAAGTATAAGCTCTCAAATACTTTATGAATTTTGTTTCTATCTACTACAGAGGCCGAGATAGCAGCTTTTTTGTAAACCTTAACACATCAGAAAACCTCAGGATCTGGGGGCCCTTCTCAAAATGGCCCTCAGGATTGTGTTTTTTTCTATTGAAGGATTTCTGCAATTGAGAAATATATTATTTTTGTTGTTATAATAATAATAATACTACATAGTAATACAAAACTATCAAAATTCTATCTCTTTTTGTGTGTGTGTGTGTGTGTGTGTGTGTGTGTGGGGGGGGGGGGGGGGAAAAACTATAACCAAAAAAACAAAGCAGGTCATGACCAGGGCTCATGGGTTTACTTTTCTACTAAATATCTAACTCTACACAGCAGTGATCAGGGGTCCGTTTCACGTAGCAGGTTTAGTGGAAACTCCGAGTTTGTTAACCCTGAAATCAGGGAAACTCTGAGTTTTCCGTTTCTCAAAGGAGGGTTAGTTAAACCAGGGAGAGAGGGGTAACTCTAACCTGTTTCACAAAGAGAGGTAACTCAACCTCGCGGTCAGTTACCACAGTAACAGACTCCGTGAACCTAACCTGCTCGGGAGCAGGTTTAACTCAGTAAACCCAGAGTTTCTGGTGAGACATCGGCATTTTCTCATTTTGATCATGTTTTACATTGTCAAGTAAGTATTAAGTGGCAGTTTGATCCCTTAAAAAATGCTCTTTTCACACTCAAAACTGAATTTTACTCTCTTATTATGTTCCGTTAAATGATTAGGAATATTAAACTAACACAAAAACGGGCGGTGGTCCAGCAGCCCCACCTTTAACGGAGGCAGAGGAGCTGCCCCCCCCGTTCGACGATCGCGGCCGGTCCGATCACAAATTCCCCCCCCCACAGACGCACACACACACACACACACACACGCACGGGGGGGGGCAGCTCCTCTGCCTCCGTTAAAGGTGGGGCCGCTGGGCTACCACCCGTTTTTTTTTGCTGAGTGAAAGTCTAATATTGAGTGTAGTGTGTGTTAGTTTAATATATGTACATATACATACTGAGAGTTAGTTTAATATTCCTAATCATTTAACGGAACATCACAAGAGAGTAAAATTCATTTTTGAGTGTGAAAAGAGCATTTTCTAAGGGATCAAACTGCCACTTAATACTTACTTGACAATGTTAAACATGATCAAAATGATTCAAGCAGTTTCCCTGCAACAGTCTGTCATTGTGATTGCACGAGACTAGATTTAAAGTTACGCATTGACGCGAGCAGCGATTTCCTCCCAAGCCCTCTCCCTCTCCTTTGCAGCTGCTGCTGTATTGCACTTTCTTTTAAAAACGTGCTGTAATTCGCTGTTGGCTTGCTGCTGCCCCCTCCTTCTCCCTGTTTCCATTGGTTGATCAATGAATCTGCGCTCCACAGATGCTGGCTGTTTATGTCTGGCGTGCACGTGCTTAACTCCAGGTCAAACTACTCGGAGTTGTTAAAACCGTCTCAAATCAGGTGTTGTGAAACCGGAAACTCAGAGTTTCCTAACTCAGAGTAGATCAACTCAGAGTTAAGGATTTAACTCAGAGTTTGTTGAACCACCTACGTGAAACGGACCCCAGGTCTGTGGTGTTTCTAGTCCAGCTTCACTTTCTCTCACAGACAGAAAAGGGGAACCTGCACTCGGGGGTCTGGATTTTGGTTTGTGAAGTGTTCTGATTTCTATTTATGGTACATTTGTAGTCTAAACAGGAATGACCAATTAGGTGTCAGTGGGAAAAGCCAGCTGTATGGAGAGCAAAAGCAGAAGTCACTGAAGGCTGTCAGTGTTTGGGTTACCTGACTTCCCTGAATGCATCAGACAACACTTTCAAAGTAGTCTTTCCCTCCTCATGTGGACAGGCCTGACAAAAACACTAATATGCATCATTATGTTATTTTGGCAAACTGAAGACCTGTTTATAAGGAGAACATCACAAGAAAAAATACTTGCAGCTGAAGTAAGCCTCTGTGTACCTTAATATTTACAGTGAAACTGAGATTCTCCACAAACAGATAAATGGGCGCTCCTGGAGGTTGCAGCAAGCCATTAAGTTTGACTTTTAATTGTACTCCTATTTTTGAGCATAAGATTTGAAGAATCAATCATCCCAAAGGGGTGACCTTGTTATTCTTCAAGTTGTTGACTTGGCTGTAAAAAATGCACTGTATGAAGAATTGCGTCTTTAGTAAATTGATTGTTGCTTAACACTGGATATGCCAGACATTGTCAGAAGTTGATCATTGTGGCCACAAACTAAAGCTAGCAAGTTTGGGGCCTTGTTTCAGCAATAATGGCTCCATTAGAAAAAGAAACATAAAACATCTGCATTGTGAAAAGGATTTGCATGCACCTTATTCCACAAAAACAACAGAAAATGCTGCAGGGTGCATGCCAGTGGGCCAGTCATTGGTGGTATAACTATTATGAAAAGCAGCACGCTCCTGTGCATAATGACACTCTTCAGCTAAACGGTGAGTAGAGTCAAAATGTTTGGAGGTGTGGGTTTTTGTTAGATATGATTCCACCATTTACAGTAAATTTGTTCTCTGGGTGCACTTAGCTTTAAAAGGACTGCAGACCCATCAAACAGCAGCTCCTCCAGCACCCCACTGTTCATAGTACTGAATTTATGAGAAAAGCATGTGGCCTGTTGTGTAATCAGTGAGTGAGGAGAGCTTCTGTGGCTCTCACAGCTGCCTGGAGGAATTCACGAGGCCAAAGAGCAAAGAGATAACCTGGAGCGCACCAAACACTGTGTACTGTAAAATATGGAAAGTAAACAAAAAGCTTTACTCAGATATGAGAGGTATTTTCAGTCATCTACATCACATGTAATCAAGGCCTTTAAATTAAACGGCTGTCTCCACATCTACAGAGTATTTGACATTGACCACATTAAGCAGACAGAAATATTTCTGCATACTGATACAATTGATTGGGGTCCTTCAGAGCCTCTCACACACAAACATCTCAATAATGTCAGGACATTCAGGATCCATATTTTTAGGGCTGTGGACAAATGCAAAAACAAGAAGAGGGGATATATAGTCACTTTTTTGTATTCAGCTTCCCCAAACATGTTCAATGTTGTTTACATGTAAAAGCATCCATCCATCATCTTCACGGGGTTGCAGGTAGCTGGAGCTGCCACTGGATCACCAGTTAATCACAGGATAACAGGCAGACAACCAGAAACACACACCTACAGGCAAATAGAGTGACCTGTTAAGTTTTTGGACTGCGGGAAGAGGCAGAAAACCAGTGCACGCTCAGAACATGCAGGCTCCACACAAAGAGGATGAGATTCAAACCAGGAACCCCGTACTGTTGCTATGGCACTGCATCACCACATTGGTCACATAAATGGTAAAGAGCTGATGAACACAACCTGTCCTTCTCTCCCACTTCCACTGCTACTCCACCTCCCTCTCCACAACAAATCTCCACTACAACTTCTCCTGTTCCTCCTCCATCTTATTTAAATGTCTCAACCACTTCAACTTCCTCCCTCCTAGAACACCAGTCCTTGTCTGTCACCGAAACAGGGGTGAGATTGGAGCTTGGAAGACTTTGTCCTAGTAAGGCAGCTGGTCAAGATGGTGCGTGTCCAAGGCTGCTTAGAGACTGTGCTGCAGAACTGTGTCAACCTCTACGCAAGATCTTCAACCTGAGTCTACAGCTGGGGCAGGTACCTGCTCTGTGGAAAACATCCTGCTTTGTGCCAGTACCAAAAACAAAATGTCCTGCTGAACTCAGTGACTACAGACCAGTGGCCCTCACTTCACACATCATGAAAACCCTGGAGTGGCTGATTCTACGCCTTCTGAGGTCTGAGGTCAAAGACAAACTGGACTCCCTGCAGTTTGCATACAAAGAACACATTGGAGTGGATGATGCTGTCCTCTACATGCTTCTCAGTGCCCTGTCTCATCTGGAGGAACCTGGGGTTTATGTGAGGATCATGTTCTTCGACTTATCAAGTGCATTTAACACCATCCAACCCACCATACTCAAAGACAAGCTCACAGAGATGGGAGTGGATCCTTCCTGTGTTTCCTGGATCGCAGATTACCTGACAGGAAGGCCACAGTTTGTCAGGCTGGGGAACTGTGTTTCTGGGACATTAATGAGCAGTACAGGGGTTCCACAAGGGACAGTTTTGGTGCCATTCCTGTTCACACTGTACACGTCAGACTTCAAATACAGTACTGAGTCCTGCCACATCCAGAAATACTCAGATGACACCGCTATTGTGGCATGTATCAGAAATGAACAAGAAGCCAAAAACAGAGATCTGATAAGAGCCTTTAGTGACTGGAGTCACAAAAACTGCCTCCTCCTTAACGCCTCAAAGACAAAGGAGATGGTCATAGACTTACAGTCAGATTCAGTACGCCACTGTAATCAGTGACTACAGATTACAGTCAAAAGTTCCAATTACGGTGAGCAATGGTTTGAAACAGTCTTAGTCTATTTAAACCAGTTGTTAGTGTAAATACACAAAGGAGATGGTCATAGACTTCTGCAGATCCAAACCCCTCTTCAGCCAGTGAACACCTGTGTAGTGGACATCGAAGTGGTGACCTCATATTAATATCTAGGTGTAGACCTGGATAAAAAATTGGACTGGTCTAAGAATATAGGCGTCATCTACAGAAAAGGGCAGAGACGCCTCTTTTGCCTGAGAAGACTCCGATCAATAGACATCTGTAGTAAGACGCTGCAGATGTTTTATCAGTCTGTGGTGTCTACAGTGTTCTGTTATATGATGCAGTCTGCTGGGGATGAAGCGTCAAACCCAAAGATACAAGATGTCTGAAAAAACTGGTGAAAAAGGCTGGCTATGTGGTTGGCCTCAAGCTGGACTCAGTGGAGGATGTGGTGGAGAGATCTACACTAAGGAAGGTGGAGACTATTCTCAAGAACATGGATCACCCACTTCACAACACCTTGATGGACCAAAGGGCCAATGGTGGTGGACGGCTCCTCTCCTTTCGCTGCAGGACAGAAAGACTCAAAAGATCTTTTGTACGACAATTGTAAGACAATTGAATTTGCCTTCGCAGATTTATTAGGTTCTTGTTATTCTTACTCTCTCTTTCCTCTCACTTAATAGAGTGCCCCCTCAACTGAAACGAGTGCTTTAGTTCAGACCCTTAAAAATTTGTTTGATCATGTGGTTGACTCGTCTGCACTGAGCTGTAGCCTAGCTTCCAGTTTCTCATTGAAGGCTCTGAGCTGTGCGCCTCCATCATAACTGTGACATTACTAATGACTTGTAACTCTAACAACCTCACTTCAGAAATTCTGAAATATCCCTTTAAACTATTGCTACCTTTCTGCACAGTGAACCTGATAACATCTTTTAATTGTCATGCCTCAGTTTGCATTAGCCTGAAGTAAACAGGTTGCCAATCATATCATGTCATTCTATACCATGACTTTCATTTAAACCTGCTACTTACTTAATACCATGTCCATCGCTTTTATTTATTCAGAGCTATTCTGTTGTATTTCTCTCTGATCTTTTATAGCTTGGAGCGGCAGACCTGATGTTAACAACTAAACTGAATGATCAGTGAGCGGTAGCAAACTTAGTTGAACACATTGCCCTTGGGACACACCTTTCTGTTTTACAGCTCTTAGATTCACCTGAACATGTGAGAACAGGCAGGTAAACTTTAAAATCAGCCTGTCTGGAGAGTTACGGCAGGTACTGACGTCTGTTGACCCAGATATTATCTGATTATTAATATGTCTTTCACTTATAACAGTTTCTACTCAGTGGGGTTTTTTATTGGCTCATTGTCAAGAATAAAAGCTTCCTGACCCCCCTGAGGTTTCACTTAACAACCTGAGGTCTGGACTCTCCTACAGGGATCAAAACCTGGCTCTAAAGGAATCCCAATAATGCAATTCATGGTGAGCTACCTTTCCAGGAGTGAATATATCAGAGGGATGTATGAGGGAAAATACCAGAGAGGGAATGTAAGTCAGTGGCAAACTCAGGTCTCAATCAGAGAGGAGGATAATACTAGACTTTTGTTTTGCATTAAGATTAATTTTATTCAAATACACATCGACTGAATCAAACGTTTACAAAAAGGAGGATTTTTTTATATTAATGTTTGTGAAACTGGTGGAAATACACCATCTGAAAACAGAGGCTATTTTAAATCCTTGTCCTTCTGCGACCAGGTCAGTCAGAACGATGTACAGCACCCAAACAAAAGTCCTTTTTTACTTCTGTAACTCAAACAGTGAGGATTCACTTCTCCAGCACTACATTTGTCACTTTTAAGGCAGCAGGATAAGATCTGTGGTTGGCTAATAGAACTAATGTTACTTGGCAGTGGACAAACTTTTGCCAGTCAAAAGATTCTTGCCTGTGCAGTGAAATCACCTGCTCCATCACCAGCTTTAACGGTAACCCTCCTCAAAGGACATGGAAACATCCTGACTGGTGCTATAAATCCAGTCTAGGAGTTCGTATGCCTGCAAGATCCCAAGAACACAAACATTCAGACCTCGACGTTGGCAGGGCCTCTAAAATCCATCACATCTAGAGAACAGAGAGCATCTACTTTTTACCATGAGACGTGTGCAGATCTCAGCAGACATCCAAAGAAACAGAGATAAGTGCAGCCTGTGATGAGCTGATCTTTTAAACAGACTGCATCATTTTATTAGCATTTTTTGGCGCAAGTTTGAGAGTTTCCTGTCCAAACTGTGATATGTAACTTTCTGTCCATGTTTCTCAGCAGCTGTCTGTTCCTGGCGGTAAGCAGCAGACAATAAGAGGAGAGCAGGTCAACTTTAATAACAGGTTGAAGTCATCAGACTCTCTCTGCTTTAAAAGCCACACAAATGTTGTCCTGATCCAGCTGTCCTCATCCCTCCACAACACTACCTGATCCTCTCTCCTGTAATTGTCGTCACAGGCTGACTCTGACTATTTCCAGTCTCTGAGCCTGACTCAAATCCACAATGTATAATTACAGATAGTCTGCCTCCCCTCCCTCTGCCCTTCACTCATCCTGATGCCTGAAAACGTCTTTAAGCTGTTTCCCATCATATTCACTTCACACATTATTTACTCTTCAGTGATTTCTCTGCAGAGACGTCGTTGTAAGGTCTGCAAGTGTCAGAGTCTTTGGGTTGTCCTGCAGATCAAAGCTCTAAGTTGCCTGTAGAACAAACAGCTCACACCAGGAGGTCAGCACAAAAAAGTCTTTCTGAGTCCAGGTCATCCTCTAACAGTTATCTCATCCAGACAGTGAGTCATGTATGAATACAGCACAGGGGCTGAATAGGAACACCTGTTTTCAGCCAGATGTGACACTAAAGAAGAACCAGGCTGATAACACTGATAATCAGAGCATGTTTCCAGGTGTTTAGGGGCACCTCTGCATTCCTGACACATGTCGTAGATAGGTTTAGTGGTGTCAGAGAGAGCAGTCTGAGGACCTCTAAAACTGATGTCACTTAAGTCTGCCTGGTTCAGACTGATTTTTTGAAGATAGGTCAGCATGCAGTTTTGAAACTTTGGCTTAGACTGAGAGTCTTTTTTAACTGCTGCTAGAATAATATGTTTAAATTTCCCTCTAAATGTGCAGCATTAAACATGAAGAGAGGCTGAGTTTGACCACTTGATTCTGATTGGTCAGAACCCCATAAATCTGAAAGGTGAAAGCAACACCAGGGACAAACAGATCACACAGGTAAGCCTTTGGAAAGAAGTCATTTCCTCTCTACCTGTTGACAATGTGGTAGAAATGATATTCTGCAAATAAGGGCTAAACAACCTAAAACTTTTTCTGAAGTCTGTCGTAGGAATATTTTGAGAGCCTGAAATACTGATCAGCGTCCAAGAGGGAAAAGTGGCACAACATCTCGCCCTGCAATCCATGCAACGGCAGCAGATGAGAGCATCTCTGAGCTGCTGATTTCAACAAAGTAATTCTGACCATCAGGTTTGGTCAGAGATTTGGACAGTTCTGCTTTCAAAACCTGGCCCAGGTAAGCAGCGCGCCACGACTTCCTGCATAATCCCTCACAAGGGCTGGCGTACTGAAAGCAGAGCTTTACCACCAGCAGCAGAGTGTGGGGAGCATGTGATATAGCAGGTATCAGTGAGAGGGAAGAGATGGTCTAATGGGCTGTATGAACGAAAGCTAAGCTTCATGTACAACAAAGTTGTGGCACATGTCGCTTTGGGGTCCTGTTGTACAACCAGTGTGAAGTGTTGTTATTTTCCACCTAATGCACTCATCATTTTAACACCCAGCATCCAAACTGTGTCAACAGTGAGTGAACTTGAGCCCATGTTAGTGCCTTTGGGAGTTTTATTCAGGCCCAAAGGTGCTGTCTTGCTACCCTGAGGCAGACAAAGAATGAGCCTTAACCCAATAAAAACCTGGTCTAATGTTGTAAATCACTGGCACTGTATTTCCCTTAATCTGAGGCTCTCTTTTTTACCAGCATGTATGATCTGTAGTGCTGCAATCTGTGTCACAGCTCTTTTCTAACAAACATAATTCATACATCAAACATGGATAATAAATACAGTATGTGTCATGTGTAAAGTGAGCTCCAGACAGTAAGCGAAGGAAAAACTGATTCTGATACTCAGCTGGTGATCATGGTCATGGGTGTGTCTATACCCCATTAGCTTTCTTGGAGGTCAGCAGTCAGGATGGACCTTTGAAATGTTATGAATGCCAAAGATGTATTCTAGTTCATGGCAAATCTTCTTATGAGCCCTGTGATGAAACGGATGGTTGTTGTCTTAGGTAGTATCATTGCACTTTTAAATCTATGAAACAACATTTAGTTGTTATTGAAAAGAAACCTCAACAACGAACCTCTTCAACCCCCCACCCTCCATCCATCCCCTCAGTACCTCTGGTTTCATCTTTCAACACGAGACCCTGTCAATATCTCTGCTCTGTTTTCTACCTCTTCTTCAACCCAGAGGATGATACCCAGACTCCCTCCCACTCTTTATCCCAGTTTACCAGGACTCTAACTCTACTCCCTCTTATCAGGGACCATTAAGATAGAGCAGGAATGTGCAGGAGCAGAGCAACAAAAGTCAAACCCAGACCAGATCATTTCTACTAACAGATCAGTCTTACTTCTTATTCCTCCAGACGAGGGACCTTAAAGTGTGAGCTGCTGATTTTGACCCAGGTTTTTAGATGGGACGGTGAGCTGACAGAGCCCTCTACAATAAAGTTTTCTGAGGGTCACTCATTGAAATCTTGAGGCTTTTTTTACACCTCTTCACTGGTCCATGTGGAATAGAAACCAAAGTGTTCTGTGTCAAAGCTAACATTCCTTCATGCTTCATCAGTTTAGCATTAAGAAATGGTCCAAAAGGCAGGGTTATTCCTCACACTTGAGCTGAACAAAGCTGAAGTCAAACTTGGACATCAGGCACAGTTGAACATAGTCACATGTTCAGTTTGGAGAATGAACTTGATCAAGCCAACACAAAGTTTTACAGGTACTACAGGTTTAGGTTTTGACTAGCTATAAACATGGATGTTGCACCTGCATCTCCTTCCACTTTAAAAATGGAGCCAAAAGACAGCCATATATCATGCTGGTGACAGATGTTAGGGCGTGCACAGGATGGAGATCAGTTCTTCTTTTACCATCAATCTGCAGCAGGACTCTTCTCCTACAGAGCCATGCTGTTGTAATCCCTGTAGTCAGAATGTGGTTTGTCATTGTCTTACTGAGATATGAAGGTCGTCCCTGAAAAAGTCTTTGTCCGGATGGAAGCAGATGTTGCTCCTAAACCTGTAGATATTGTTCAGCATTAATGCCTTCACAGATGTGGAAGATACCCATGACATGGACTCAAATGATCCCCATACCATCAGGGTTTGATTCACCACAGGACAGTTTCTGTGGCTGTGTCTCTTTTCAGAGACCGCACCGTCGAACGGTGCATTTGAAGTGTGCGTGGTGTCATCACGTGGCAAGAACGGTGTCCTATTTGGCCCGAAATGCAAAGTGCGCTTCAAATTCGGTCTCAAAACCACACTGCCCCCGTCCCGTTTTTAAGCGTGCATTTATGCAGGCTTTCGTGGCCTAGGTATCCCAGAATTCTTTGTGTGCCGCTGCACAGCTGCGCATTTCGGGTGAGAGGCGGGACTCGCTTGGAGACGCAGCGCGTCTTCAGAGAAAATAAAAGAAGTCCAAAACCAGCAGACAGTCAGCTCAGGCTGTATGAGCGCATGATCTCTGAACTCACTAAAATCTACAAACCAAACATTACAGTATTTAGAGACGAACTGATCCGCTCTGCTACAACAATCAAAAACATTAGAAATAAGAAAGCTGACAAAACTACAGCAGAGGATCATTGACACATTGAGTTTTTTTTTTAAGATTTAGAGATTAAAGTTGTAAATTTAGGAGAATAAAGTCATAATGTAAATAAAGTCATAAAGCTGCTTTTGTGGAGGGGGAAATGACTGAAGCTGGTCATCTGCAGGGTTATCTGTGGATGTATCAGTGGGTCATTCAGAGAGTTTTTGTGGTTTCTGAAGAAACAATGAAACTGATGATGATCAACATTTGTGATCCAGAGGGAGTCGAGCTCCGACGAGCACCACGTCTCTGACACCAGCGGTAACCTACACCTGCAGAGACACCAACACCTTATTATGGCATATGGATTCATATCATAAATTAAAGCTTAATGTCATTCACGGATATTTACGGCTGCATTGACGGATTTATCCTCAGCATATCCATTTCTGCCTCCACAAAAGCAGCGATTTCCTCCAAGTCCACCTGTTTTTTTTTCCCCGTGGAAAAGATGTATTTCTCATATTCTTTTTAAAGTCTTTATACTTGTGACAATGTGATGCTGATGTGCCAAAGAATAAAGTATCTGCTTGTTTGTGAAACCTATACTGAAGCACAGTTCCTTCAAATGCTCCATGGCCCTAATTTTAACAACTCTCCTTTGAAATAACAGGTAACCTTAAGACTTTACTCTTGTAAATTCACGACTTCGATTTTGAAGTCTTTAAAAAAAAAATTCAATATGGCCCTCATACTCCTTCATACAAAACATGCAATCATCGGATGAATTTGTAGGAATGATCTGTGCTTGTACGTATCTACTGTTTTGTGTCTGTGCAAGGTCGCACAGTCAAAAAATAACTTCTGCGCTCCATGGCTTTTCTTCAAGTCAGTCGTGACGCGAGCCTGAGGGCGGGGACATTTGGCGACTCAACCAGGAAGTCCTCCAAAGGGTAGTGTGTCCCATTTCACAAAAACTGAATCATCTCACTCAGGGTACTCCAGTCCACATAACGGCAGAAAAGACTCTTTGAATGGTAATTGTGCAAGTGATGGATGCTGCTGTATTATATTTCTGCACTGCTTTAGAAATTCACAAAGTAGCTTTTCCATTACTTTTAGCCTTCATTCACTCACGTGGTGATCGTTTGTTCAATGAGATCTGCCTGACTACTGCAGCTTAGCAGTTTAATGATGGAATAAGTGAGCTTTACCTCCATGATGTCGCCACATATTTGCTCATAAAATGATTACTTGGGCAAATATGACACCATGACATGACAAAGAGATACAACCGCACATTTTTTTAGGGCAGTGCATGAAGTTACATGAGACTTACATCTGTACTGCTGCGGTCCTGCCTGCTGCTGCTGCTGCTGCTCCGCCATGGTGCGCGCTGCTGTGACCAGTCGGCGTTCGCGACGCATCTAAATAGGCAGCAGCTGGTGGCGCTAGCATCACATGCGCTTCTACAACTTTAAAGAGAACGAAGAAGAAGCCTGCAGTGCATTTTGGGTCAGTAGCATGCCCGTAGGATGCACCGCGACCATACTACAATGTGAGCGTGTCTAGTATCTGAAGTAGTATCTGAAGTAGCATGCTACTCACTCCGGTGGCCAATTCGGACATGCTAGATACTACTTCGACTACTACTTCGACTACTACTTGGCAATTCTGACGCAGCAACAGCTTAAGTTAGATTCCCTTGTGTCTGCTCAGACTCCACTGAGGAGCAGCAGGCACACCTGCTCAGGCTGCAGCAATCAACCACAGGTGTGACCACTGTGCTCTGATCACGAGTCTATAAAGGACTCCTGAGCCCATAGTTCAGTTTGCTCTGCTGCTGACATGTTTCACCCTGGCTGTCAAGTGCGTCAAAGTCAGTGTTGTATAATGTATTTGATTTTTAGACTCTTTTGAAGACCATTTAGATTGTTTCATTTAATCAGTTTTGTGTTGAAGGCATTATCGAAACCTATCAGATTCTGATTACTAAGTTAAAATTATTGAGCATTACTTTGTTGTTTAAAGATAAACAGTTAATGAATTATGTTTATATTTTCCCTTTTTTGTTAAATACAGAAAACACCTCTTGACAGCTTGTAAATAAATTCTTTAAAATGGAACCTCATCTTCAGTTGATTGATTCCTCAACTTCCATTGATGTTGATTGACTCCAGCCCTATCAACTACCTATCATTTAAATCATTCTGCTTTAACTCTTTTAGTTTTCAGTTAAATCAGCCATCTACAGCTTAACTTTTTAGGAACTGCATTTGAACATACAGACATTCAGTTATTTGAAAGTATAAAACATCATTCAATAGCTCTCTTGTCCAGTTTCCATGTTGGTGTGTTGGCAGCAGCTTTTTTTTCTTTGAACACACGTCAAATATTAAATATTTACATCCCTACTCACCACAGAAACTCTGATTCCTGAAGAGTGAATGATATCTGCGAACTGAACTCACCGTTTGTGTTTCAGGTGTTTGTCACCAGAGGATGATCAGAGGGCAGATTTTTAGCTAGTGAAAGATGCCTCTCTTAAACAGCAGAAACCCTCAGATTACAGCCTGTCATGTTGTGTTACAGTTCAAATAAAGATGGTGATATTTTATATCTTCTCTTTAAACAGCTGTGAAACATGCTAAAACACCAACAAAGAGCTGCACCCTGCTACACTGTCCACAATGTGTCACTTTCACAATGAGCCTCTTCTTCTTCCCACTCAGAGAAACACAGAGAACAATGTGAGTGTTGTCAGGCCCGGTGTGGAGGCTCCCTCACCACCACAACAATGAACAGATTTTTCTTCCTCCCACCTCCCAGCGGCCTGCAGGATTTGCTGCTTGGCAGGTGTAGAGGCTCGTACTGTAAATAAGCTGACAAAATATCAGCTATCTAAGGCTCCGACCAGGAATGCAGAGTAACCTGACGCCAAGATTAGACAGGGGGAGAAGAGGTCTCCCAGTGTGTTACAGCAGAACATCACAATGCTCTGGATTGAAAGATTAACACGTCCCAACATCACACCACACAGTACCAAGGTGAAAGATCCATTTCAAGGCAAAATGTCAGTAAGTCTAGCTCTAAAGCCACAGGAATGAGAATCCTTACACTCATGTAGAGGCTCCTTATGAGTGCATCCTGCAGTAATGGAGCGCTTTTAACCATTTTAGCTTCTTTTAGCCAAATGTTTTGGTTCGGTCAGTCTCAGATCTTTAATCTTTTTTTTTATTTGATGAAAATGCTCAGAAAATAAATAATATTTTAAAATATTTTTTAAAATAACCACAGGACCCGAAAAAGCTGGCAAAGTTAGCCATTTCAACAAAGTGGTGCATTTAGTCACTGAAAAGTCTTGTTGTAGAATCAATACAGTAAAATCAATCAGGCTATATATATATATATATATATATATACAGTATATATAGATAGATAGATAGATAGATATCTGGACACAAATCTGTGGATAAGCTGTACGGCACTCATTGTTTTCTATCACTCAATAGGAGGATTTTTCACTCTCTTATTACTCAGTAACAATTCACCTTCATCTACAGTAAGAGTCCAAAGACTGGCAGGGAACTGACACACCTCGGTATCAGTCTGAGTGCAGATATGAGATGCAACATCAGATTTAGGTCTTTAAAGTGTTAATAAAAAGTGGTGTACCTTTCCTCCATGGAACCAGGATGGAGAGAGACTTCTGCCAGCTGATAACCAGCCCGGCTTTTCTCCCCCTCACACTCATGCTGCTGCAATAAATCCTGAGTCTGACGTGAAATGGTGGTGAAGTGGAGGAAAGAAAGCTTCCTCAGAAAGACGTCATCCTGGTTCTGGAGAGTTGAGATCTGTGCAGAGGTTCAGCTGTGAAAAAGTCTTTTAATGTGGAGCCTGTCCTGGAGCAGGGTCATGATACCTGTGTTTCCAAGCCTGAGCGCCTGAGTGAGCGTGTGTGACGGACTGTGTGTGAGTGTGTGTGAGGGTATCCAGTTCCTCCAGCTGACAGGAGTAAAGGGGCGGGACTCAGAGGAGGAGGAGTGGAGGGCTGAGATTTCCTCTCAACCTGAAGGCAAACAGGGAGTGACTGAGCTGGAAGAGGAGCGGGAATAGTCATAGAGGGAGGACTGAGATTAACAAAATAAAGTTTAAACTCTCAGCGGCCACAGCAACAATCTTCCCAGAGGTACCGTGAACCTGCTGCAAAAACACAGTCATTCTGTTCTCTCTTCAGTCTCTAACAATAATTGAACAACCAGCTTCACACTTTTACTGTGCAGTAAAAAATCTCAAAGCAACCACAACAGAGCACTTTATAACATAACCTCACACTGAAGACCAAATTGGGGTTTAATTTGAGAAATGTTACATACTAACCCTTTCATCATGTTAAACTGGGTACACTACTCTTTTAAGGCATAAAAACAACCATGGTAAGCTCTTTTCTCTGAGTCTGAACAAGAGGTTTCCTTGTCAGATCAGAGTTGCTTTGTTTTGGTACGTGTGTGCAGAAAAAAACAGCTCAGTTCTCCACAAATCTGCAAATCTGTACAGCTGACTAATCAAAATGATCAGCTGATTCTCAGTGACACTGTCAAACTCTTCACAGCTCATAAACATTCATTTATGGTTTTTGGTATTGAACATAGATGCAGAGAAAGCAGCAGAATGAGACAAGGCAGGCTGAAAATGTTTGAGGAGTGCACTGATGACCAGTGGACAGTCTGATCTGATCCTACACACAAACTCAGAAAAGATTCAGTTTCATACCTGAGCACTCAGCTGTTTTTCAGTCCAGGTTCAGGTCTTTTAGTGGAGGAACCTCTGACCAACAGTATCAGCAGGAACACTGATAACTCAGAGGGAGCGGTGTCTTCAATTATTAACACTCAAATAAGGAGAAATATGGATCAGATCATGGGATAAAAACGCCCTTCTCTATCACAGTACCTCATAAATTTGGAAAACCTTCAGGAAGATCTGACCTGAAGACCAGCGGACTGATCTGCATTTCTCCACTGATCCTGTCAAAACATCAGTCACTCTCCAAATATTGACCCTTTATTGGATATCAGTCAGTGTGGTGTTTCTGAAACATTATTCCCATGTTTTTCCTCCTGTGACTGGAAAAACAAAGTCAAGTTGAGGAATTCAGACACACCCTGAGCTGCTCTTATCCAGACCGCTGATGTTACATAAAGGATCTTCCTTCTCATCCCTGTAACATCAGACCCTCGCCAGTGAGCAAGACTACGACTTTTCATGATATTAAGTCAAATCTGAGGCATCCAGAACCATTAGCAAAAGAAACTACAGTTCTTTATTCGAATTTTTAAAGTCTTTCATGGCAGGTAGAAGCTAGCCTGGCTGGGCCATCCAGTTGCGTGAATCACTTGCCGTTCCTTCCCACAACAGTCTGGACTTCTGCCAATTGGGCGGGAGTACTTTCCTTGATGGACAGACGACTGTAACCAATCACCGTAACCAAACATCTGACGTCATCACAGTGCGCAACTGTGTTCCCTGCTGGGCTCTCAAGCATCAAGTAAAGGTTTGGTAATATTTCAACGTGTACGAGCAAACAATGTCTTTTACGTCTTCTTCTGCGGATATAAACGATTTCTGCCGACTTTGCAAAGTCAACTGCAGAATTAACAGCGTTCTGAATGAACAGCGCTTTGAAAAGTCCTGCAGCATGTGTTAGACATCACCATCTACACATGGACCAATCAGGGGCTGCCTTTCACTGTTGTGCGGGGAACAGTGGAAACACAGTCACTGATTGGCCCGATTATTTTCTGATTTCTAATTCACGCTCCCAATTGGCCGGAGTCCAGACTGTTGTGGGAAGGAACGGCAAGTTATTCACGCAACTGGATGGCCCAGCCAGGCTAGCACCTGCCATGAAAGACTTTAAAAACACACTGCTGCACATATTTATGACAGGTGATACAAATGACTGTGAAAGATAGCAGAGTTGAACTTATTCTGAGCGATAATGCATCACTTTGACCACCAGGGGGCGCCAACATCAACACAGACAGAAATTAACCTTATAGCAAGTGACCCTGCAGAAATGAAGATAACCAAAGATGTCTGTCATTACACTGAGTCTGGCTTCATAATTTTGGACCAGGCTTAGGGCATGATTCAAGACCTCTAGTGAGGGGGATTTGATGGTCATCAGAAACTACATGTTACTTTTCCAAATAACCCTCAAGTGTGTGGTGTTGATGTGATCATTTTACTGCTCCTCACCAGAGCCTTTCTGATCTGGTATGGATAGTACATTTTAAAAATATTTGATATCTTAGATTTCAGGTTGGACTGCCTCTGACAGAATACCCACAATAACCAACTGTCGTAAAACGAGGCTCAGAACAGGAGGACACAAATGCAGGACCCCAAGACAGTGAGTCAAAAGTCAGAGATTTAGTCCAATAGACAAGCAGAGGTTGGTTTACTGAGAGGCAGTCAGATCAAGCAGCAGTATCCAAAAAACATGAGGCAAAAAGTCAAGATTAGAAAAAGGCAGGTGAGGTAAGGACTATGACTATGAAAGAGTGCTGGTACAGAGGCTGTGAGGTACAACAAACTGGTGACGAGACATTGAGAGACATGAGGTTAAATACAAGAGATAATGAGGGTGATGAGAAAAGGGTGGGCACAGACGATCTGGGGACAGGTGTGACAAGATGGGGCAGACCAGACAGGAATAAATCTGAAACAGAGACAGGTGTCACTGATCTCAAAATATTACAGGAAAGACAAGACATGAAACATAAATGTGCAAAAAATTCAGACACAACATAAAGCAGTCCACCTTCAAATTTCTGGTGGCTAAGAGACTGAATTTTTATTAGTCTTTAGTTTACCAATGAAGTACTGCAGGAACACCAGAGCTTTTTACAACCAGACTTACCCATCAGGGAAAAGGTGAGGGCGTCTGTATGAGATCTGTCAATGCCATGTCTGTCAAATCACCAGCACAAATGTCAAGTGTAGTCTGGCAGTCTCATATTGTGTGTGCGTGCGTGCGTGTGAGGCCCTCCTATGTGTTCAAATCTTGCAAATGTCATGGGATGTGGAGAAGTTTGGGTAAAGTCTAATCTGCAGCAGGGTCCAATCACTGAGGGAATTTCATTACAGAAGAACCAAAAGACCTCCAACAGGCTGCTCTGGTGGATCCTCAACCAAGGCTTCTTCCATTTCCCTCCTCGATCAGCAGTAAGAGCTTTGGGATGCTCCTGGACACGGTACTACTGCGGTTAAGAAAGCACTTAAATGTGATAGGGAGTAGCAGTTAACTGATAAGGTGACAAAGACAATGAGCTGAGGAATGTTTCACATCCTCTCCCTCTCTCTCTCTCTCTCTCTCTCTCTCTCTCTCTCTCTTTCTCTTCTCTCTCTCTCTTTCACAGGAGCACACTGATCAATATGAGGACAGTTCAATAGTAGAGGTGGCTGCACCTGGAGATACACCCACAAACCTGGACTTCAGAGTCCTCTATTTAGTCTGAGTATTGCATCCATTCTTTACCCACTGAGCCACAGCCTCGTACCTGCACTGTGAGCTTCACCAACAGAGGCCTACCTGATGACATGCAGAACCACATAATCACACAATCTGGATTGATTCTGACCTTTGCACACAAAGTTTGTAGACAGTTTGTACGCATTTTGTTTTTACATCAAAGTTTGTAAATGAAACTGCCTGAGCTTGGATGACCACAGTTTCAGTCCTACTTGCTCATGTCTGCAGCAGACGACCAGGAGAGCTCTGTGGGGATGTTTCTGAAACCACAACCTGACCCTCATGATGTAACAGCAGTGTGAAAACAATGACTGCATGTGTTGTCGCTGTTATTATTCTGAAGGATTCGCTATGGCTTCATTCAGACACAACCACAAACATGCTGAGACGTGAACACTGCAGAGAAACATCTCATCACAACACCTCACAGGATGAAGTTTGATTTCATAGATTTTTCTCAGAGGATTTTGGTGCTGGAGTCCCAGACTGAATCAGTAAACTACATCACCTTGACGATATTGCTGTTTAGGTTAACTCTATGAAACCAAACAGTGAGATTCAGTCTCACAGTGGGTGGGTATCAATTATCTGTGTATTTTCAGAATCTTCCCATCCACTCTCCAATGTTGTTTCAATCTTGATGAAACTTTGTGAGATGATTGCATAACAGCCAAAAGTCAATACCTGCAGAGCGTGCTCACATCATGTGAGGAAACGGTCAGAGGTCTTTTGTTTGAAGATCTTTCAGGAAAACACACGTGTTAGATCACTCTGCAGTCTGTGTGCTTCTCTGTGGCTTTTGGCTGCTGCCCTCGAATGTGTTTTCCATCATGTGTGTTTTTACAGTGTCTTCAGAAAACAGCAGAGGGAGTCAGTGTCTTCATGTGTTACAGAGATCAGAGAGATGATTGAGATATCAGGCAGTACAAATTGTGCTTTGCAGTCTTGTTTTCAGTTATTGTCTGTGCCATGGACGTTGATTGTTGAACTTGCATGTTAATCCTCAGGTTTATAATTTTGTATAATTTGGCCATAATGGTGTTATTGAGAGTCCATTTGATCCTTTTATGGTGTATTTTTTTAATTTCAGTAGTCAGAGGCAGAGGGTTGCTCACATTATCTTGTTTGAGGTGTTGAAGTTGATGTTTCCTCATTCTCAGTTTTAGGATCATTGCAATAATCAGGGTGAGGGTCCTGTATACATGGAAAATATTGGTTCAGTGCAGTATAAACAGCCTGAAAACCAACATTACAGTCTCTCAGGGTATGCATTCACAGATGTTCAGGAAATCTTCTCAGAGAGCTCCTAAATGAGCTTCAAATCGTTTTACATGGAGTCCTAGTTTGGAGCGGTTTACCAACAATATCGGAGCCGCTCTGAGCGAAGAAGAGAGAGGAGCTTTTCACTCTGTGAAAAATTAAAGTCTTCTTCAACGACAGGGAAAGATGAAGAGTGAAATCAAGGCGGATCAGACTGTTAACTTCTTAATGTCTTCTCAATGTTTTCATTATTTTGGTCAATTAAACTAATTATATAAGCTACACTAACTACACGTTGAGAGTTGAAGCAGTGTTTCCCACAGACAGGTCTACTTTATCTGGGCAGACTGACCATAAATGCATCATTTTCGCTGAGTATGATCAGCACCTATGATCGATTATCTAATATATGATTTGTCCTCACCCTGCAGCCCTCTCTGACTGTTGTACGACAACTCATGGTATTCGTGAACATTCAAAGCTCATTGTTTTAATCCACACTAAAGTTTTTACCACAGTGTCAACATGCAAAGGGGAAACATGACAGAGTTTTGTCCCTGCATGCTGTGAGAGTCCAAAGTGCTGCTGTTAAGTGAAAGCTGCTAAAGAAGACTCATGCAGGATTTATGAGTCAAAGTTTTATACTTCAGCCTCACCCTGTTGAATGAGCAGGTTGAAGAAGATTATAAAGGACTTGTCCTGTGGAGAGAGAGAGGAGCCATGCAGGGCTCTGGATTACTCAAATATAACCAGGGTTCATCATGTTCCTGAGAAGTGGACTTGACAGAGCCCAAAGCGTCCTATTTAGTGATAACTCTGAGTCGGTATGTTTAGGCTGAAATTATTCCAGAAGATTCAGGCATAAGAGGAACCATCTGTCTGTTCTCTGGCATTAATTCCTCTGGAGCAGATAGAATAATAAGAACACATCTGGGTTACATTCAGAGATGATTTATTCCTCAGACTGCTCTGTCCCACCCTTTTTATTATTATAGGAGAGAGCATTACATCAGAGGTCAGCTTTCTGACCACATCCAATCCAATCCACTGTATTTATGCTGCATATTTTAACAAACAATAACACACGGTGGGATAAATAACTGAAATGAAAAAAAAAAAAAACTTCACAAATAAAACAAATTAAAATACATAAAATGATAGGAGCCTGTAAAACACATAATCAGCATAAAACCACAGAGACCTGAAGGTGGGTGTATGGCGGAGGTCAAGAATGTGCTCTTACCTTTTAGTACCTGTTAAAAAAGAGCAGCAACATTTTGGATGAAGTGTGAGACAGTGAGACAGTGAAGCCTGGCTAACACCAAGAAGAGCGAGGGTGGTGCTTTTCAAGTGAACCCTTAAAAGCTGAAAGACAGTTATTACTGAAACAAGCATGTGGCTCAGTGTTAACACAGGTGGAGATGATACAGGTAAGCTAGCAGTGCGAATTTAAGATGTTACATTATGAGATTCACAAAATACAATTTATGACATGCAAACAACCATTGAAGTTTATGAATGGAGTCAGTGAAAACTTTGTTAAAAAGGAGCTCCATCCCAAAATTAATGTGCAAGTTTGCCTGATTAAAAACCTATTACAGTTTTTCTCAGTTGCTTTGGTGCATTTCTCAGATTAGAGTTCTCACAACTATTCGTTCAACCTCCACAACATTGAGTCATTTGTGCACATCATCATAGCAGTTTCTCATTCCTCTGAACAAAATGCAAATGCTCTTGGACATGTGTCAGTTACTTTCATACAATTTTCTGCTCTTATATAACATTATCATTTGCTCCTGTCATGTCAGTCAAAATGAACTATGCGTAAGAATGCTGAAGAGTCATTCCCTATAAAACTAAAAGTTCTCATTTCATTGCTTGAGTCATTACATACAAAATTGTTGCAGCTGGCTTGACAAACCATTTGACTGTCTTGTTCATAGACAATGGTGTCAGGACTTATTATTTTGATGACACAGACACTTACATTGACATGAATACTTGCTTTTATGGAATCAACTATTAATTTTGAGCAAGCGGCGTGCTTTTGCAGGTTATCCATTAGGTTTTGCAGTTTGTACTAATTGCACCAACTTTTGTGCAAATGTTAATAGTGATGTGAGAAACACACCAAAGGGACTGAGAAAAGCTGTAACTTAATGCTTTTGTCCACAGGTGGCTGCCAATATAAAAAAAAAAAAAATCCTCATAGCTGAGTTGAACTCATAATACAAGACATCATGGATGAGATGTTACTCAGAAATGATTTGGTGGATTTAATGCCAATTTTGCCAAAGTTTGACCTTTCATTCTAATCTACTTTTTTTCCAATAAGCATTAAGCAGTTTGAGAGTCATATTTATTTTTAATACAGACAATAAAGACATTGTGGGACTGATAACCAAAGTGTGTGTATGCTCAACATCAGGTGTTCTGGTAAATCACTGAGCTTTGTGGCCTATTCATTTAAGTATTTTGTGCCAAGCATTTTAACTATTGCTGTTCAGGATAAATCATTCTACAACCGTCTACAACCATTCTGCAAAAACACCAGAAATGTAAATTTTCTTTTAGGTACGTTATTTTCATTTTAAGATAAGATAAGGTAAGATCTTGATTGAATTTCAAAAAATAAAATCAAATAAATTTCAACAGTTTTTTTTCAATGGCTTTATGAGAAAAAATAAATGTTTCACATCATTCTACTCGACCTAATTTCCTTCAGGAGACTGTGATCTCTGGAGTTTGAATGGAAAAGCAGTACACAGTCTCACTTCCACACAGTACGGGGCAGTAACACCCTCGAAGTGTCTAGAGTCACCAATGCAAGTGACGAAGAAGATGACGGCGCCCGTTTTGTTGCTGCGTCGTGACGTTCCAGGAAGTGTTTTATGCGCAGCTGCAGCTAGCAGTGGCTAATAGTCTACAGCAGCATCTTGAAGCTCTGAACAGACAGACAACCAGACATACAGACAGGTAAGAATGTGCACACCTGATCAGAGCCTCTTCTTTCTCTAACGGACATGAACGAAGCAGCAGCAGGAGGAATAGATTACTGACAGAACAAGCAGAGAGGGAGAACATGCTGTGACGGTAGTGAGTTGGTTTTACCCAGGACTGCTAAATTCAAGCAAAAACTCAAAACTCTGGTTACTTTTATTCAAACTGAGATCGACGTTATCCAGTATTGTTACTCATGACTCAATGTCTGCATTACAGACTTTCACAGAAGTTTAAATCTTCTTTAGAAAATCAATGACATGAACTTGTATAAGAAGTGCTAATGTTGTTTGATCAGAAATACAGGCCTGCCCTTTAAGAATATCAATAGACAATACCAACCGAAGAAGAACCATGGGACAGTAGACTGATGTTAATATTTAGCCCTGCAGACAGAGAGAGAGAGAGAGAGGCTCATTTCACGACTCTCTCCTCCTTCTGCTCCCCTTTCTCCTCCTCCTCCTCTTCCCACTCTTTGTGTACACATTGAAGCTGCCATCGTGGGCTCATATTGATTGCCTCCTCCTCTTCACACATTGTCAAACCTTTATTTTGAAGCCCAAGTGATTTTCTGTGTACATAGTCATGGTGTCGATCAGCTGCGTTGTCATTGTCAATGAGGAACGTCCCTTACATCTGTGAATAGCGTGAATGTGGAGAAATAAATGTGTCTGTGACTTAATCATGTGATTGATAAATTTGGTTAAGAAAAAAACACGATTAGGTGAGGGTTTATTTTTCATTAAGCTGCCATTCTGACTGTTGAGTCAGATAGTTAATTCTGGATCCAGCACACATATGTAGATTGATCATGTAGAAGAAAAAATACAATATTTCAACTTCATGTTATTTTGATTAATCCGAATGAAAGTTTGTCCAAACCGTGTTCAGCGGCCTTTTCTGTACCAGCACAATGTGCCTGTGGACCAGCTTTTATTTAACACCTAAGGAGCTGTGTTTGAGTCTCAGCAGATATGAGGAACATTTATGATCATTCAGTGGAGAAAGAAAGAGTGAAAGAAAAGATGTATATGTATTTGACAGACTGTTGATCTGCTACAGTCTACAGAAACTTACTGCTGCTGCTGAGGGACAAACAACAACAGAGGGAGTGACGCTGTAATAACTCTAATTACTGTTTTCATTAATCTGATGGGTCTCCCCCCTCCCGCCTCCCCCTCTATCTCAGTGTGTCTGTGGATGGAAGTGTGCAGCTCAGCCATGGGGCCGGAGAGAGTCTTACCAAACTCCGAGGACGAGCTGGGGGAGGACGAGCATCCAGCTGACGGAGTGCTGCTGCCTGTGTGGAGCGGGGGGGAGGCAGGAGAAGAGGGTGAGGAGGGTGGTGGAGAGATGGATCTGGATGGAGAAGAGGAAGAGGAGGAGGAGGAGGTGAACAATGGAGGATATTATTACCAGCCTCTAAACCAGGAGCCCGATGGGGTTCAAAACAGCGAGCAGCTCGGGGAGGACGCCGAGGAGAGGGGGGAGGAGGGGGCTGCCTCCCACACAGAACAGATGCAGCAGGTGCAGCAGAGGATAGAGGTGAGTTCAGTCTGAAGCTGTTAATACTCTAACAGTTTGATCCACTCCTCTGTGTTTCTGTGGTTTGATCTACCTGCTCATAAGTTTTTGGGTTTCCTCCTCCAGGTACAATCACCTGTCTCACCTGTTAGGCTGTATTGGCTGAGTGAGATCGTGTTGGTTCGTTCCACTTCAGTGGGGCAACATAAACTGTGATTCATAAAATAGCTCTATTGATAGTAAGTACGAAAAAAAAATATCTACTCATGCTATCCTGTCGATTTTTAGTAATCAGTGTTTCGGTGTCGAACTGTTTCCTTTCTGCGGCGTAGTGATACTTGCACACGCGCAATGGAATATGCAGAGGGTGGAGCGATTTTTGTCACCTGGACCAATAGGAGCCGAGTCTCGTTGCCATAGTATCAGAAATACACAAACATGTGCTGCGTCCGAACTGCCCGCTCGGATACTACATGCTACTGCTACGTGCTACTGCTAGATCCTACTCCTACATACTAAAAACGTTGGCCCAATTCGGACACACTAGACGAGCGGTGGGGAAAGACGACCCCCGCAGGCAGAGAGTAGGTACTGCGCCCGTGCAGACAGTGGTAACTGAAGCCCCTCATCTGCGGGCCTGGCTGTAGTACTGCAGCTGTGCAGTTTAATGATGGAATAAGTGAGCTTTACCTCCATGATGTCGCCACTTGCTCATAAAATGATTACTTGGGCAAATATGACACCATGACATGACAAAGAGATACAACCGCACATTTTTTAGGACAGTGTGTGAAGTTACATGAAACTTACATCTGTACTGCTGCGGTCCCGCCTGCTGTTGCTGCTCCGACATGGTGCGCGCTGCTGTGGCCAGCCGGCGTTCGCGACACATTTAAATAGGCAGAGCAGCTGGTGGCGCTAGCATCACATGCGCTTCTACAACTTTTAAGAGGACGAAGAAGAAGCCCGCGGTGCATTTTGGGTCAGTAGCATGCCCGTAGGATGCACCGAGACCAACCTACAATGTGGGCGTGTCTAGCATCTGAAGTAGTATCTGAAGTAGCATGCTACTCGCTCCGGTGGCCAATTCGGACATGCTAGATACTACTTCGACTACTACTTCGACTACTACTTGGCAATTCGGACGCAGCTATGGTGACGAGCGCATCTAGCAGCGAGACAAGCAAAGAGGAAGAAAAGAAAAGGAAACAGCCTTCAAAAGTGCATAAAAAAGGAATAAAACAATGCTATATGCATCTATCATCTGTCCAGAGTGAAGACATTCTCGACTTTACAAGGACACGTTGGGAAACTTACAGAACTAGTATTAGAAAGTGGCTTTCTCTACAGGGTGAGACAAAAGACCAGCCAGAAATGTACATATATGTGAGTAACACAAAAACGATTATATGGTGCTGCTGTTTTTGCTTGTAGAAACTGCTATGTTGATTCTAGCAAGACAGAATCTTTCTCAAATGTCATAAATACATCTACCTAACATCTGAAAGAGTTATTGGTGCCTTAGTATACGCATAAGTGAATTCAGATTATGAAATGTAGCAAATTTCTTGAAGAAAACGTCTCAACTCAAGTGATTTGCACCCAGCACAATGAAATATATACAGTAAATTTAGCTAAAAGCTTATGTTTCATACATAAAAATGACACATCCTACTGTATAATAAAAGCAGTAAATTATAAACAGCACATCATGGCCATAAATAGCTGAAAGTCAATCAAATTGCTACCACGCCCCCCAAAATTGGAATAATGGAAAAAAATGTAACAAGACAAAAATAAATGCACAAAAGGTCTGAATTAATTCAAAATATGGTAAAAAAAACATTTATTCAAGTATCACAGTGTCAAAACATCTGACACTTATCAGTCCCTTCAGAATATGAAAATAAAGATCAAAACACAAACGCAGACAAATGTAGAACAAATATAAAAATAATAAAAATCTCAAATCTTGGTGTAGCAATCCTTTAAACAAAACAAATTGTACATGGTGACATGGTGCGTATATTACGCATCGCTATCTCTTTCATCAGAGTCATCATCCCATACAGCTCTTTCTTCTGTTTCCTTTGAAGCATTCTCACATGCTTGGCGTGTGAAGGGGCACACATTTTACCAGTCAGAGAATGTTTCATCACAGCTGCTTGGTAGTTTGCTCTCATGCAGTGTTGGTACAGGGCGTCACTTGTTGGGGGAATGGACAGTTCAAAGCTGACGAGGCCATGCAGAAAGATTTGTATCTGGCATCATTTACATTTTTGGCAGATGACTGGCCATACAGTCTTAACACATGCGTGTTAAAGGTGTTCGTCAAGGTTAAAACTGTTGCCCAGATTTGCAAACCCAGTCAGGTATTCTTCTTTCTGACAAGCAACAGAAAATGTTTTTCTTTTGCCCTTGCCATGAAATGCACTGGTCGAGTCACAACCTGTGAATGTATGGATGTTCTTGTATGTCTGCAAGACTATCTTGTACAGATTTATGTCGGTGCCAAGCATGTGAGAATGCTTCAAAGGAAACAGAAGAAAGAGCTGTATGGGATGATGACTCTGATTAAAGTGATAGTGATGCGTAATATATGCACCATGTCACCATGTACAATTTGTTTTGTTTAAAGGATTGCTACACAGAGATTTGAGATTTTTATTATTTTTATATCTGTTCTACATTTGTCTGCGTTTGTGTTTTGATCTTTATTTTCATATTCTGGAGGGATTGATAAATGTCAGATGTTTTGACACTGTGAACTTGAATAAATGTTTTATACCATATTTTGAATTAATTCAGACCTTTTGTGCATTTATTTTTGTCTTGTTACATTTTTTCCATTATTCCAATTTTGGGGGACGTGGTAGCAATTTGATTGACTTTCAGCCATTTATGGCCATGATGTGCTGTTTATAATTTATTGCTTTTATTACACAGTAGGTTGTGTCATTTTTATGTATGAAACATAAGCTTTTAGCTAAATTTACTGTATATATTTCATTGTGCTGTCTTGCCAGAATCAGCATAGCAGTTTCTACAAGCAAAAACAGCAGCACCATATAATTGTTTTTGTGTTACTCACATATATGTACATTTCTGGCTGGTCTTTTGTCTCACCCTGTAGAGAAAGCCACTTTCTAATACTAGTTCTGTAAGTTTCCCAACGTGTCCTTGTAAAGTCGAGAACGTCTTCACTCTGGACAGATGATAGATGCATATAGCATTGTTTTATTCCTTTTTTATGCACTTTTGAAGGCTGTTTCCTCTTCTTTTCTTCCTCTTTGCTTGTCTCGCTGCTAGATGCGCTCGTCACCATGTTTGTGTATTTCTGATACTATGGCAACGAGACTCGGCTCCTATTGGTCCAGGTGACAAAAATCGCTCCACCCTCTGCATATTCCATTGCGCATGTGCAAGTATCACTACGCCGCAGAAAGGAAACAGTTCGACACCGAAACACTGATTACTAAAAATCGACAGGATAGCATGAGTAGATTTTTTTTTTTCGTACTTACTATCAATAGAGCTATTTTATGAATCACAGTTTATGTTGCCCCACTGAAGTGGAACGAGATTCACTTTCTAGGCACTTTTTCCTCTGTCCCAATACAGCCTATGTGTGTCTCTCTGCTGCAGGTAATGGGGCTCCACCTCCCTGAAGCTCCACCTCTAGACAGCGATGAGGAGGAGGACCCTGAGGGTGCAGCGGCCCAGAGGAGCAGAGCCTCCATACCCATGGATGCAGGTCAGATCTCCATTATGTTCCCTACCCTCATTTGGGTCACAAATCAAACTTGAAGGGATTTGTCTATCTCTTCCATCTGGACCCTCATATTAACCATGTCAGCGCTCGTATCCTGATGTTAAAGCTTCCTGTATCTCCCTGCAGACCACGTTGAGCTGGTGAAGAGAACAATGGCGGCCATCGCACTACCATCTCTGGGTGTGCCAGCATGGGCCAGAGAGATCTCAGATGACCAGTGGACAGACATGGTCCAGACCACGCTGCAGAGCCGTCAGAGTGCTGCTGCCCTGCGTCTCAGCCGCAGGAGCAACATCAACTGACCTTGAATGCACCACAACCCCTCTGCATCCCTTATTAACAAAAAAGGATCAAACAAGAGACCCTGAACGCCCCACAACCATCTGAAACCCCTCTATGTCCCAGATTTAACAACAAGGCTTAACTGCAACATCTGCTGACTTTTAATGCATCACTACAGTTAAGCAGAATTACCCGTCCTTTTATAGGCCCTTGATTGCACCACTACAGCTTTAACTGTCTTAATTTGCAAAATGCTGCTCAGAGACGCTGATGGTGGGGAAAAGTGGATGAAAGTGACTTTCTGAAATGAAGTGATGACTTGAGATAGTCTGATCTTTTTGTCCTGATAACCTGCTGAGTCTGCAGATTATTATTTCTTTTAGATTGATTAAAAAAAACCTGGGAAAGGGAATCCGTCAGTTTTCTGTCAGCAGGACATGGTAGCCCTTTGGCTGATTTTTATTTTTATTTATTTACATTTAATACCACACAAAATTTTGCAAACTTGTCATTAGGTTTAGTCAGAGTTAAAGTTTAGTGCCTGAAAATTAAGTTACCCTCCAAGGGAAACACATTTAAACAGCATTAACTTCCTTCAACAGCAGTTTTACTGTCAATAAAATACATAGTTTGGTTTTCAATCTGCAGAGCCCCAGAATTAAAAACGGTCTGTTTGAACAGATGTGCACTGAGGTTCCAGGTGAGAAAAGGGTCCAGAACAGTGAATCCAAATGAATGAAAAACCTTACCTGTTTTTAGTGACTGGCCTGTCTGTAAACTTCTGCCGTGCCAATCTCCACTGTGGTTTATCTGAGTGTGAGGGAGGAGGGTTTTAGAATAGAGAGACTGTTATCTTAACATTTGAATTAGCTGATGTGAATGAGTCAGTGAATCAATGATGGTGACGTTTTCACAGCTAAGGACTGTTTTCAAGGCCCTGTGGGGACCATTTGTTCTGTGATTTTGGCGCCCCCTGGGGACCGAGCTGCGCATCTCTAACTCAGCTGATCTTTTAGCAATGAAAACACACTGACCAGCCAATGTACAAGGGGAAATAAAACCAACAGGAGCCGAAACACATGACCAAAATAAATGAGCACCTGAGTCAAGAAAGCTTATTGGAAACTGGATAAAGGAACAGTTCAACAGTTTGAAAATACTGTATTAAAGTATAAAAGTAGGCTTATGTACTGTGTCTATGTGTAATGCAATTTTTCTCACATTGTTATTAAATGCAGTTTAAAGTGATCACTCACAAAGCCATTAATTATTCAGATCAGATTCTTCTAATTGCTTGACAGCACCCGTTTTAAAAGGGTCCTCAAAAACAAGGATTCACTCTTACTCACAACAGTTCTTTACAGATGATAGTGTATCATGATAGGCATCATATCGTGAGGCTGTAGGAAATGTCAGTAGGGTGCTTAAATGTGTTCTACTGAAAAGGTGTCAGTATTACACACCTTAATTTCTGCTGATGAGCTGCTACAACAGCCAGAGTTTCAGTCTGACATCAGCCACTCACAAAGTTTCAGAAATTAAAAACTACAGACATAAAGACATTCCATAACCCTAACCATAAAAAAACCCTTGAAAGAACATTTTTAAAATCCTTTTAAAAGTAAAAAAAAATCACAGTTATCTACCCCTGATGAATTTCCCTCTGGGGATCAGTAAATTTTTTCTTCTTCTAGATTTTGGCCCTCAGGGGAGAGCTCACAAACTTTTTATCACCTGGTTGAGAAACAAACCTGAATTTATACAGACATTCTTTTACAACCTGACAAAGCAATGGAGGCCAGAACAAGAGGAGAGACTGTCTCTTAATCTTGAATGTCTGAAAGAATAAACGCCGATTTCCACCAGTTTAAAAAAGAAAAGGAAAGAGGAAGACATGAACTCTAAAAAAAAAAAAACAAGTAAAGGTTATAACAATGAGATACAAGGTCAGATTGAGAAGGGAAGTCAAAGGTACAACATACCTGATAGTCATGAGTTATAAGGCAAATGTATTATGAGATAGGACAATTTTTCTCCTGTGTTCAAATTTGACTCAAACTTTGAATTCTTATCTCACAGTTGTGACTTTTAACCCACGAGTGTAACTTTTATTCCATATTTGCAACATTTTGTTTCATAATTTTGAGTTTTTGTCTCGGTTTGATCAACCTTGCTGTAATCAAGACTTTCTGGTGCATAATTTTTGTCTTAAATATCATAAGTGACTTACTATCTTATATATTGGACTTTTATCTGTTAACAGACTTTTCCCCAGACTATTTTTCCTCATCATTTTGAAATTTATTCCCATAAATTGAATTGCATCAGCTCTAAGGTTTATTTTAATTCTATTCAATCTACTGTCACATGAATCTAAATGGACAGGTGAACAGATGAAATGATCAGGGGCTCGTCAGTTTTCTGAGAAGAACTTTATTTCTTCTGTTAATATATCAGTGTAAATATAATTGAGCAGACTGGGTCACTGTGGTAGGGAAGTTATAGATATTATTCATTGAGGGCCTTGACTTTTCACCCTCTCTCCTCCTCTGTGTCAGTTGACATGATTTCTGACTGGACTTATAAGACTTCTGTCAGTGTGAATCTGATTGGTTTTCTTTTCCTGTTCATGTTTATAAGCCGAAATATAGATCCATAAAAGAATGAAAGCTGATTAAACCCCAGTGTTTATCTGTGTAAAAACTGAAATAGTTCCACCTGAAAGCTTTTGTTAAGTTCTGTGTTTGATTCTGATTGATTTTGTGTGTGTATATATAAATCACAAGATGTCTGGTTGTCAAACATGTCCTCTTTATTTTTTCTGTTGATTTGCTTCTGTACATACATCAGCATCTGTACAAAATCTGACTTTCATACTATGTAATGCTCTAACTAAATAAAGTACAACATATGTACAAGATGACGGAAGCAGCGTTCAGGTGTTCGTGTCAAGACTCGAGTGAAGAGATCACTGCTGTGTTTCAAACAGTTCACTTTTAGTCCAACCTCTCCTGATCAGAGATCCTTACAGCACGTAGGAAAATAGATTTATTATAATCTGAATGTTTCTTAGCGTCTCCATCCTCTTGGTTTCCAGGGATTGTTTAAGGTACTGTTCTGATATATCAAACGGGTCAGCTTGTAGTTTTAGGGCTCAGGTTTATTGGGAGAGAGCAACAGAAAACTCAACTCCATCTGCAGCTGAGAAACACAAAATTCTGTAAAACCGAAGTAAAATCTACCGAGCCCCTCAAACCCCAGAAGGTCAGGTTTTTTTCCTTGTGCACAGAAGATGACGTGTTACCACAAGATAACTCATGCACACAGGATAATTCTGTGCCCAAGTTCTTTCTCGGGCACACAATGTAAAAAAGTGACTTTATGGGAGTTAAGGTGCTCCACGAAAAACAGAGTATCATCTGTGTGAAAGCACCTTTAAGGCTCATTTATGCTCGTGTTCTTTTCATCCATATGTCTGTACATTTATGGATACGGGCCAGACGGAGCAGTACCACCGGAAACCATGAGGGCAGTGTTGTCTGTCACTACCCAATACGCATCTCTAGAGAGAAATGAAGAAGACAGTGGTGGGCATTTAGTGGCCTGACCGACCACCGCCTCCTCCAATGCTACCTCCGTTTCTGTCTTCAATGTATAATGTACGTTATCACTAGCTCCTCCATAGTTGCCATGTTTCTTTTAGTTTTTTGTTGTCAGAAACTTTTGACTCCGGCCTGCCCCCTGGTGGATGTAATGGGTTACATCCATGCCAATGTAAACGATGCATAGAAGTATGTGGGTAGTGACGGAACCAGCGTTTGAAATGGACGCGTACATTTTCATATGTGTGGCGGGCATAAATGAGCCTAAAGTCTGTCATGAAGGGAGACACAGGCTCAAATGACCGGAGGGACACCAGAATATATCAACAATGATAAAGATAGTTAAAATTTTTACTGTGATCACAATAACTCACCATTTTAAAATAAAGGTGTTACATTTCTATAAAATACTTGGAACATGAAGGGAAAAAAAATGCCTTTTGCAAAACAGCCAAAATAGACGACATACGGTTTTGGGGTGGCCAATTAGACTCAAAGTGGGGCACCGACCACCTTTGCCACTCTTGCATTCGCCCCTGCAGCCCCCCTTGGATTACCTGAGCCCATCAGGCTCAATGCACACACTACCACACATTCAGAGGTACAAGTTCTGCAGCATTATGAATACAAACACAGCGACAGTCAGCTATGTTTGCAATTTGAAAAACCAGACACAAAATAGATCTTGACAATACCCCGAATTAAGCACATCAGGGGATCAAACTCCATTAAAAAGCATAAACCAGGACTTGACGAGCTGTGACCAGCTTGACAAGTGATCAGAAGCTCAGTTACCAGCTGGGCAGTTTATTCGAGTTAATATTGATGCAGCACAGATGTTTCGTAACCAGGATCTGTGAGTTAATGAGGCCCATAGGTTGTGAATGTTACGAGATCCTTCAGTCTGCGGTGTGTTTCTTATACTTCACTGATAACACACAGAACTGCATGGAAGTATCAGGCTTCACCTCAGGGAACAAGGCTCTGAGTACGTTTATTTATGAAGCCGTAGGGCTGAATATGCAGAGGTAAATAATAATCATGGTGAGACTTTAAATTACATAAACATGTTTATGTTGGCAGTCTTTAGCTAATGAAAACACTGAGCGTGACAAAAACCTTTACTCGTGATATTTCAGATGTTAATGAAATGCCACTGAGTTACTGTGTCAGAGGCCCCACAATAAGTCAAGAAGGATAGACGAAATGACACTTCCGCCTCCTGGTGGCCAAACTGTAACTAGAAAAGCTGGACTTGTTTAATTCACACATCAGTGAACAAAAAACTGATGGGTCCTGATCTGAGCATGACCATTAGAAACTGCTCCAAATAACAAAATAATAACACTGGATGAAGATGTTCTGATGTCAGTCAGGGATAAAAAAATGCTTTATTTATCTGTGTTCACACTAGAGGGTTGTTGCACAAAAGCAGAATTCAGAATCCCAGATGACTGAAAAAACCTAGATTGGACCGAGTGTGCGATGCAATTACTGCAAAGTTTTTCTATCCAGGTACTCATCCTAAAGAAGCGGGGCCAGTGAGGTGGGTGGAACTACACCATTGCTGACACTGGTCTTAAATATAAAGTGAAACAGCCAGTAAAAAAAAGACACAAACAGCCCAAAACATAAGGACAGAAATTCAACATTACAGCGGGCGTGGTCTGTCAGACCAAAAAGAGTTTAAAAACTTTTGCTGAGAATCTTGCGGGTCATCATTTTTGCTGAGCCAACCATCCCTTCCTGTATTTTTTTTTTACTTGGGTGACTTGCATGATCACGTTTCCTTCTCTTGTACTGGAGCTACCCTGTTTTTACTGAAACAGTATAACTTTGATCAAAATGTGAGTAGGCCTGTCATGATAACAAATTTTGCTGGACGATAATTGTGCTACAAATTATTGCCGATAAACGATATTATTGACACCGTTTTTTAAATTATAGATAATGATAATATATGGCATAATAATGCGAGTACACCATGTCAAAAGCAATAAACTTTAATTGCTCAAGATTAAGAACTTTGAACTAAGATGAACAAATATAATAATAATATATGGTGGTATATGGTATAATATAATAAACAGACCTTGTCTCTGGTACGGAACAAAAACTTCACTCCACACAAAACTATTAAAACAATAAATAAAGTGGAGTCTCGAGTCTGTAAACAAAATTGCACTAAATAATTAGCTTTGGGTGCTATTCCTCAACAGGTCAACAAAGAACATGCATGCGCATGAGTGAGACCTCTTCTCTCATCCAGCGTGTTTGGTAGCGAGAGAGGAGGAAAACAAACGCACATTAATGATCGAGGCTGGCAAAGTTATCGACCTCGTTTTTATTTACTGAGCGATTAGGCAATTTATTGATTATCGCAACAGGCCTAAATGTGAGGCTTATCCCTTTCCCAGCAGAGAGCTGAAAAATGGCAGGATTACAGGAACTAAATCCACCAATCAACTAAATCCACCATACAGCATCAATATCTGTAAAACTATACTGTATTTACTTCCATAAAAAATGGTCCTGTTTTCTGATAATAAAAGAAGCCAATTATTTTAAAATTACTGGAGAAGTTCTCGTGAAAAAAGAAATTCTTCACTGCTTTCCTGAATCTTTCAGATACAAAGCCTCAGGTGCACTACCCAGTACTTTAAGCTTTTGTCAAATCAGCTCTGAAGTCACCAGGTAACCAGTGTGGATGTGTTTCAGATACATCATGATGAAACTGCCATACGGCCATTGAAAAACCAGGATTCAATAAACCGGATCAGCTCACTGCTCGGTGCATGTTCGCTTCCTCAGTCACCTCAGTGTCAATCCCTTCAGTAATTCAAATATACTCCTGCAAATATCAAATATATGATGTTTGATTTTAACACCTGTGAGGGTCTTTCAGTCTGAGTGGGTTTTGGTACCCCAATAGACTAAGCTTGTAGCCACTGATAATCCAGATCTGGTAATCTTTTAACTCCATATGTGGATCTGATTGTTTAAATGCAGTTTCCTTTAAAAAAACAGGACTATTTCAGCACATGGTGTGATGTCAACTGTTGCTGAGTCAATGTGGGTAGAAGTGGGTCTGTTGTGCTGACACAGCGAAACATTCAGGTCAGGAGCTTTTTTTCAGTTTGCATAATTTCCCTCTGCTCCTTAACCTTAATGACAGGTTGACCTTTAACCCAAGTGAGATGGCTACACATTGAACATTCATATTGAAGATTTTTTGATTTTAAGCAACACAACAAAACCACTGATGTAGTTTCTGACAGAAAACAATTCCTTGTGCAAACTACATTCCGCCTTGGTTTAAATATAATGTAGCTATGATGACATCATAGAACAGTAAAAAAAAAAAAAAGAAAGAAAAAAAAACGGAGAATAAATCCTTCTGGAGTCAACTCCGGTTCTGTCAGGTCCCGTTGCTTCTGCCTACATTCACGTGTCTCTGCGTCATCATCAGTCCGTCCAAAGCTGCTTCAGTCTCCAGTCCACCTCAGGTCCATGCCAACAGGTGATTTGTCAGTACAAGTGGAGGGGCAGGTCTTTAGAGTGAGGAGGACCGAGCAAGGCAGTCAACTAACACGTGGTGCATTCAGGTGTCATTGTACAGACGTGATGTGTAGAAGATTTTTTTTCCCACTGCAGTAGAGAGGGCATCACAAGACCACAAGACATGATCTATGAGGGTTCTCATAGATGTGGTCCAAAAGGGCTCTGGACTCTGCTGTGGAATCTAAGAAGGCTCTGGATTCTAATCTGAGCTCAATGAGGAATCAGAAGCTTGTATTGTAATCAATGAGGTTTCGGGGTTTTGGATTCTACATTGTGATCCATGAGGGTTCTAAAATCTGCTTTGTGGTCCATGAGGATACTTGATTTTGCATTGCCTTTCACTAAGGTTCTAGTGGGATCCATGTGGGTTCTTGGCCTTGTGTGAAGTGTTCCAAAAGAATACTGGATTTTAGGCAGTCAGGAAGTTCTGGATTAGGTAGTATGATCCATGAAGATTCTGGATCCTGCAGAGGAATCTGAGGAGGTTCTGTATTACGGGTTGTGATTTATGAAGGTTCTGGATCCTTACATATGCTCCATGAGGGTTCTGAAATCCACTTTGTTATCTGTGAGAGTTCTGGATTTTGCAGTGTGATCCATGAAGGGTCTTGGCTTTGGGTTGTGATCAAAACTGGTTTGAGATTTTGCAGGTGGATCCAGGGCTTTTAGTTCTGCAGTGAGTACCATGGGGGTTCTGGATTCTGCAGAATCATTTGGGTTCTAGACTCTGCATTGGATCGATGACGGTTTTAGATTGTGCCTTATAATCCATGACGGTCTAGCCTCTTCTTTTGGATCAATGAGGGTTTTGGATTCTGCCATGTTATTCAAAAAGGTTCTAAGATCTGCTTTATGATCAATTAGAGTTCTGGAATTTTCAGGTGGATTCAAGAGGGTACTTGATTCTGGGTTGGGATCCAAAAGGGTTCAAGGACCTGCTATAGAATCAATGACAGTTTTCAAGTGGAATCCATGTAGGTTCTTGATTGTTTGTTGTGATCCATCAGAGTTCTGGATTATCAACTGTAACTTAATAGGGTTCTAAATTTTGCAAGTGGATTCATGGAACCAACAAAGGGACCCATAAAAGTTGTGGATTCTGCAGTGGTAACCTTAGGATTTCTAAAGAGCCTTCAGTGTGGCCGCCCCTCCTCTCTGGAACTCTCTCCCCTCTGAGATTCGCCAAGCACAGACTCTTGACTCTTTCAAGTCTGCTCTGAAGCGACACTTATTTATCCAGGCTTTTGGTATTTAGTTTTTGTAGTGTGTTGTTAAGCGCCTTGGGTATCCTGAAAGGCGCTATATAAATGTAAGATATTATTATTATTATTATTAAATCCTGCTGAGGGAGCCATAGTGGTTCTGGTATTTCTATTGTGATCAATGAGGGTTCTGGAATGTACTGTGGAATCCATGAAGACTTCAGATTTGGTGTCTTGGGACTACTTTTTGTTACATGAAAACATAGGCTGGTCGCTGGAGAGATAGTCCACCGTTTCAGGTCTATGTAATCTGTTGGGCTCTTAAAACAGAACAATCAGCTGTTTCTGCTACAGGAGGACTGGACCAGGATCAAACATCTAAACACTAGTCCTGGACAGAGGCTAAAACAGAATGAAAGGTAAATTGTCAAATTCAGACCCATTGTGGACACAAAGCAGACTCAGAACCAGATCATCTATCAGTTTACAGTCACTGCAGCGGAAAAGGCCTTCTTGTGATGCAGTCAGGGACCTCTGCGACTCTGTGGTCACAGAGCTGGTCCCAGCAGAGTTGGTTGAGAACAGACAGCAGCAGGTATTTGCAGATGAAAGTGTTGGAGGTGTTAGTGCAATATGAAGCTAATGATTTCATCGTCACATGAAACACTGAGACAGCACGTGGGACAGACGGAGCTTCTACAGTGCCCTACATGTGATTGGCCACCAGGGGTCAGAGGTGAGGAAGTCTGGTTTCTTTGTTTTCTTTTGAACGCAGCATTGGCTCCGTCCTGATCTGACCCCAGACCAGTTTCTTCACGACAGCTTCAACTTCCTCCCCAGAGAGACGCAAAGGAGGGGGGTGGGTTCAGGCTCGGAGGGGGCCGCCTCCCCCGGTCAGAGAGCCTCCTGGTTAGCTGTCAGGTACTCCTCAGCTCTCTTGTGAGCCTCCAAAGCTTTGATGGTGTAGACGTCCTGTGGCAGCTCTGACTTCCTCCTCATCAGGACCTTGTCCTTCTTCAGATCTTTTAGGCCCTGGCACAAATGAAAAAATTCATGAGGGTTAAACTGAAGTTAACAAAAGGTAAATAAAGGAGCCTTTCTGATGGTGCTGTTAGTTCAGTACGGACTTTCTGCTTTTGTTTCTATTTCCAGTCCAATGCACAAAACTTAAACCTTATAACCACAGTCTGCAGCAATGACTTAGATGTTACTACAGATTAACATGAGTGTCTGACTGACTGACTGACTGACTGACTGACTGATTGATTGATTGCACTGGCTCAGTACCTGGGAGGCCTCACTCTCCACAGTCTTCTTCAGCAGTTGGATATCTTCGGCTGTTGGGGTCTCTGTTTCCATTGAGTACACAGTCACTGTATTACTGTCACTGTACAGCATGTACTGCAAACACAGGGCATGGAGATTACTTGTCAGAAAACACACGCTTAGTCTTACAGACAGATCAATAATCAATCATATATCATATTAGCCAGCTGGTGGAAGTGTGTTTAAACTGTGTTGCCATAGGTTGCCCTATCCCAAAGGGGGAACAAATCTCTACCTGTGAGGGAGTTTGTGTTTATCCAAACATAAAACAAAAAACAAAAAGAAAACCATTTTGGATCAAATTTGTTTTTTCTTTCTTTCTTACCAGAAGTGTGAGGATGACATTTGACATTCAGGAACACTGTTGAACAGTTTGCTCATGCAGACTCTTTATCAGAGTGGTGAACCTCTTCCCATCTTTCCTTCTGAGAGACTCATACTCATAATTTAAATTTTCACTTTAAAAAAAAGATATGTCTATTCTCTTTCGTCTTTCTCTTTTTATTATTGTATCAATGTTTTCCTGATAAAATTTCATTCCTTTTAATAACTTTTTCAAAAAGTTTTTATCCCGCTTTAATCTCTCTCTGCACCCTGCAGCTAAGGAAGAGGCTCTGCTGTTTTGATGCTTTGTCCAGAGACGTAAAGACATGAATCTTGACTCTTTGTTTTGATTAAACTTTTACAGGACAACATCATACCTCCAAAGATCACAAGTGTCTGAGCACAAAAAGACTGACAAGAGTTAAACACTGACCTCATCCTGTGGATGGAGTCCAGGGCGGAGTGGGTGTAGCTTATTGCTCTAAAAGACAAGATATCACATACATATAATCCCAGAAACTTAACTGAATGACTTGATTTGAGTTACATGGTAAAGACAGGTGAGGAGTACCTGTGGGTTCTGTCTAGCCAGCTCTTCTATCTTATGCCAGATCTCCTCTCTCTCCTTCAGCTTATATTTCTCTCTGCAGACAAAATACATGTTCTGAGCCTCTTCATTCAGTAAAGGTGACACTTTACTGTTATTTCTGGCACAAAGTTATACTGAAAAGTGAGGTCATGTCTTTGTGAAAGAGCTGTCAGTGTTCTGTGGGATGTCTGGGTCACTTACTTTTGTTTCTCAGCCTTGTACTGCTGCGTGCAATCATCAAACAGCTTCTGGTTCATCTCCATGAAGAGCTTTAAAGCATTGTAGATCAGACCATGGATCGTCCTGCAGATCAGCAGAAACACTCTTACACTCTGAGACACAAAATATGAGTCTAAAAATCAACACGAACCAGCAGTCTCTGTCAAATCCCCACACATATCTCTGGGTGTGACAGTGAACTCTTCAGACAAGTAACGAGCACAAGTGATGAATGAATTCCAGCCAAGAACTCCTTTTCCATGTGCTGCATTGTTTTTAGTCACACTGGCAGCCAATGACCATGTGTTTAGATCTAAGTATGCAAATAGGAGTTTTGGTGAAAAGTATTTTACAACATTATGACTTTTACAACTTTTGTTCACTTTACACAAAGTGTCAAAGTTTGAAGTGTTCTCAATCAGGTCGTGGGATGAGTTTCTATGCCTTTACTGCTTTACTGACCTGAACACAGAGAACTGATCCTGTTACAGACCATCAGAAGCTCACAGAGTCTGCTGTGTTCATATGTCACTTCTGATGTTTGTGTTTATTTGTGCGTGTGTGTGTGTGTGTGTGTGTGTGTGTGTGTGTGTGTGTGTGTGTGTGTGTGTGTGTGTGTGTGTGTGTGTGTGTGTGTGTGTGTGTGTGTCTTACTTGTTCCAGTGGCTCTTGGAGTTCTTGTAGAGCGCAGGGAACATGATGGGGAGGATCTTAGCAGCATTGTCACTGATCAGACTCATGATGTACTCATTGTTCCAGTAATACAGTGCTCTCTCTGCCACCTGGGGCAGGCACACACACACACACACACACACACACACACACACACACACACACACACACACACACAAAAAGGTGAGGTGTTTGTGTTTGTTTGTTGCCTAAGAATAATGCAAACGACGATGGTGAGTTTTTATCTAGTGAGGAGTTTCTGGTGACACAGGTACAACATAACTTCAAATGCCATTACAAATGACTGATACATTTTTATATACAGGGCTCTATTTTCCTGTCCGCTGGTGATGCGGCGAAGGGTGGCGGACCCCGCACAGTGGTATTTCCATCTGGCGGAGCCCGGCGTACAGCTAGTTTGGTATTTTCATGGACTGAGGCGCACCGAGGTCTGCCAAGCTGGGCGTGGTGGCAAGGCAGAGGGAGGTGTCGACAGAATCAGCTGGCGCGGTGACATTTTCGTGCTCGCCGGTGGCGTATAAAGTGCGCTGAAAGCTCGCCAATTTAAACCTGGTCAGCTTTCAGCGCAGGCGGAGCGCAGCTGGTCTAATGGTATTTTGGTAGACCGTCGGCATATCGGCATATGTCACCGATGCCTCACCGGCAGGTTTCACAGTGTCAGGCACATTTCAGTGCAATAAATAATCATCAACAACCAATAATCTGAGTCAGCACATACATTTATATCTATATGGATATATTCTGATCTATATCTGATTTAATGAGGTCGTTTGGCACGCGTTTGGACACACAACCTGACCGAATCAACACAGCTGAAACCGCCTTAAATGAAATAAAATATCTAGTAAATAGACACACATGATGAAGTTAACAAGATATGTAATTCATCTCCCTACTTTTCTTTTTTCCTCTTCCTCTTATTTCTCGCGCAGCTCGACCTGGACATGTCTCCGTGTCCTGTCCCCGTCCTGCTGCTGCTGCGGCGGCTGAACAGATGACTTGTTTCAGTGATCAGATGAGTTATTTACTTTAAGCCTACATACGAATATTATAATATTCAGTTTTGTGAGCCAAATTTATTTTATATGCCAACATCTATGAAAGAAAGAGCCACGCCACGGAGCACGATGCGTCATTACGCACAGATGGTTCCGATTTTAATGCCATTATTGGAATTTATGTAGTGATCTGTGCGCACAACCCACCTTTGTCACGTGAGGTTTAAATATATGCAACTTTATGTGAGTGTCTTTATTTGTGGAAAAGGGTGCTTATATGAGAGAGTGTGGAGGACGCCCTCTGCAGCGCTTACAGTGACACTTGTTGAGGAGCTGCCTTCTGTCACCATCGCGTGGCACTGCTGTCTTCAGACATCTCTTGATCTTTTTGAGTTCTTCACGAAAATTGTAATACGCCACGCCGGTGGCAGATTTAAAGGCGAGGAGAGGAGCTGATGTTATTGGTCAATACAGGTCTCGGCTGTGTTAAAATCACTCCACGCCCTCTCTCCTCCCTCCCTACGACTTACGCCGCTGGGAGGAGCTGAGTTAGAGAGGGGGGATACTTACGCCGGGCTGCGCCGCTCACCAAAATACCAAATTGTGCTTGGGAACGCCTTGTCAGCGCGGCGGACCTGACTTACGCCGCGCCTGCGGCACGTCTCCAGCGAGGCACAAAAATAGAGCCCACAGTCTCTTTGCAATGAACACAAAGAGACCCCCAGTCTCAACCACTAAATCTAACCCCAACCCGTAACCCTAACCCCTAACCCCTAGCCCTAACCCTTTAACGCCAACCCCTAACCCTTTAACCCTAACCCCTAACCCCAACCCTAACCCTGACTCCTAGCCTATTAAGTATATTTTATACTTCTTATTCCCCCTGTGCCCGTGCCCCCCGTAGTGCTCCAAAAACCAAACCTAACCCGTAACCCTTACCCTAACTCACAGTCAAAACCTGGTTTTATTGTCCGGATGTAAACCTTACAAGGACCCCAGATAGTTTAAGGTGGACTTAGGTTCTGGTTTTCATTCGGGATGAAGGTTTCTACTGTAGTTCTGTTACTGATTATGTCCAAGTTTAGGTTATGGATCAAGTCTTAGTACCTGGAAGTGTGGGCTGGACACACACTTGGCAAGCTGTCTGAAGAGCGGCTCCTGCACTTTGACAAACTCTGACGGCTCAATGACGTCCAGGATCTCCTCCAGCTCATTCAGGAACATCACCTCTTTTGGACTGTGAGTCTTAGGCCAAAACTTGAGAAGACCCATGATCACCTGCAGGCATTAGAGGATATATCAAGTTGTTCAGCCTACATGCATTACTAAACTGCGGCACATTTTTAAAGACCCAATCCCACAAAAATCATGTTTTTCTCATTGTCTACATGTTCATGGGGCATTTTTCTGATGACACAGGACATATCATGAGAAAACTAAGAGCAAAATCTCATTTCAAAGTGTTTCTGCATTCAAGTCACTGTGAACCTCTAGCAGACCCAAACGTCAGGTTCAGACACAATGGGATTTTCTAATAATAATGATAATTTTATTTATACAGCACTTTTAAAAACAAAAGTTTAAAAAGTGCTTTGACAACAGTTGAAAAGCACAGAACATCAGTACATGGAAATAAAAGCAAATAAAAACAAAAGCTCAGTTAAAAACAAGGCCTCCGAATTGAAGGCCAATTTCATTTTACATGAGAAACCCTTTCTATGTCACAAGTCCAAGCTCCGCCCCCGGAGCCTCGCTCTGCAGGCCAGAATGTTAGGCTACAAGCTAGCATGAACAGGAGTGCGCAGAGCTCCCACAACTCAGAGGTGAATTGCTAAGGAGCTACTGAAGCTCTGCAGAAGAAAAGCTATTAAAAATGACACAGGAAACATGATTTTGGCTAAAAACTTCACAATGACAATTTAAAGACCACTGAGAACAGTTTAAGTAGTAAAAAAAAAAATAAAAAAAAAATATAACATCGGAGTGGGACTGAAAGTGTGGAAGTGTTGTTATTGAAACAGGAGGGGATTCAGGTGCAGACTTACCGGCTCGGTCAGGCTGCTGTCTTTCTCCAGAAATTGGACCACACAGTACGCCAACTGCAGGGAGAGTTCAGATTAGACTAATGTTGTCTTCAATAATAGAGACAGAACAGACAAATGGACAGAAAGACAGATGGAGAGATGGACTCTGACCTGAGGGTGGTAGACGCTCAGAGATTTGACTTTATGGAGAGGCAGTAGAACTCGGATCAGAAACATCTTGTGTTCTTCTTTGAGTGGGAGAGCGAAGCCGTTGATGATGCTGACAGAGAAAAGACAATAACAGACATGTTAAAGAAGACATTTGTTAAAACTGTTGGTTCTGTTTGTCAAGGCTCAAAGTAGGTTGTACTCAATTCTGTACTAATCATATCCACAACATGTTTTTATTTCCATTTCCAACCCTAACAAAGCGTTACGCTCAGTTTCTTTATAATCCTCTTTATTGTTCTTGTTAACCTTGAGCATCCCTAAGTGTGTGAGCCATTCATATCAAAGTGCACTGAAACTGAACATTTACACATGACTGGTAAAAAAGTCTTTGATATTCTTGATGAATAAATAATCAAACTGAGTTACTCTTCATCAGGATTTGGGGTGAACTCCATATCTTGTATCACACATCAGTAATTGCTGCCGATGGATCTTTAACAAAGAGGGTTGAGGTACAGATCATATCAGCCTCCCACCACAGATAATCAGTCCCAGTAGAGAGTCTTTCAGTGTGACCCAGGCTGTGATATTGTGAGCAGTGCTGAATGAACATGACCATGTTATGGATAAGCATATACTGTACAGTACGCGGAATTACTGATCGATTAAACAAATTATGAATCTTTCTATTGCCATTGCTCTGAAACACTGATCTTATGTTGTGTTTAAGCTATAGTGTGTTAACTGGTAAATGCCAGCAGCCATAACGCTATAATGAGACAAGCAGAGATGGCAGTTGGTGGCTTTGTGTGGTGTGTCTGTATTTTGATGTAGAAAATGGAGGTAAAGTTGTATGTAGGCTGTGTCAACTGGTATATGTCAGCTAAAGCAGAGCAATGAGTGATAGGCATGGGCAAATGGACAACAGCCTGCAAAAAGGACTAAAGGATGGTGGTGCGAGCTCTGCTAACCTTAGCCACACTCCACTCGGACTCAGTTATCTTTTGTTAAGCTCTGTGGAGTCTTGACAGTTTTTTGGATGTTTTTCTACCTTCAGAGTGGTCGGTCAGTCAGAATTTAAGTTTCTGTTCAAGCAACATCATTAGTTTGGAGTGTTGTCCAGATCACGTACCAATGTGTGTACATTTACGTGAGCATGCATGTGTGAGTGTGCTTGAGCAGGTTTTACCTCCCAAGTATCTCCAGGAGCTCAGCGATGCCATTGTGATGTTCTGTCTCATAGATAAATCTGTGAAACAACAACAGCATTAGGCCAGACAGACTGGGATCACTAGATTTACCCTAAGCTGAACTATTTCTATCTACCTGTACATCAGTGTGGACAGGTGAACTGAATCATTCTGAAGTTAAAAACAAGAGGAAGACATCTAAAGTAAACTTTCATTTCTATGTACATGTTCAAAGTGAATTTCTGAGGTACTGAAACCGAACCCTGTGGAACACCGTTTTTTAACTGTGCTAAAAGATTTACTTTCATTGTTTTTAAATACAAGAAAAACACTTTGCAGAATCTAGCAAGTAACAAAAGTAAGTGAAACCTCTTTAACATGCATGAACTCAGAGTAAAACCAGACCAAGTAGAAAGATTTTTTAAGCTCTTATATGTTGAGTGATTTCCACTCTGTTGTCTTTTTAGTGGTTGTTGTGTGTCTAATGCTCATAGTTTATGTCCTGACCTGTAGAAGATGTTGTTGATCTGGCGGCGGATATAGGCACGCAGGCCGAGGAACTTGCCGTAGATCCGATGAAGGATTGTCTTCAGGAAGTCTCTCTCTCTGGGATCCTCACTGTCAAACAGCTCCAGCAGCTTTAACACAATCACCACACAATAAGTCAAGGCTCTGAAGTTTGAAGTTACGCATCAGCACATCTCATCACAAGCCTTAGAGGTCACTGCTTACCGACAGTACAAACTTTTGGTCAATGTATTTTTTGGCAATATTTGGCTGAAAGTCTGGAGACTCCAGGAAGCGAAGGAAGAACTCATAGACAAGCTGTGAAGACAAAGACACAGCAGACATGACGCTTACTGTAAACACAACCACACCATAGCACCACAAGAAGGTAAATATGCAGATTTACAAAAACCAGAGCAAAAAGATCAGAGGGTCAACATCTTCCAATTCAAATTTTCAAGCAGCTTCTGATTGTGATATGAACTGTTGTATGAAATGTGAGGTCTGTGCACACCTGCACACAGTCAGAAAGGCAAACCACCAACCCTAAGCGTACCTGCAGGTGAGGCCAGGCAGCCTCCAGTGTGGGCTCATCCTCCTCAGGATCAAACTCAGCTCCAGTCGGATTGGAGGATGGAGGGAGAGTCCGGAACAAGTTCACGGAAAACTAAACACACACGCACAAACACAAGAAATAAACAAAAATCATTCTGTGAGAAAACTTTTTCTTCGTAAAAGACTGTTAACACAAAAATTCTGGCAAACCTATCACCTTAGAATCCAGAATATAAGTCACACCAGCACCTACATCTGCTTTTGAGGGGGCTTTCTGCGTATTGGCATTTGGACTTCTTTTCTATTTCGCAATGTAGTGTCCATGCAGATGTGTAGACGTTTATCATTGCTATCCTTCCAGCTAACATTCAGCAGGTGAGCATAGCCTCCAGTGGAATTTAGAAAAATGGTCAAACTCACCAGTTTTCCAAGATTTGCACCACCCCCCTCTGCTGGTCACTTCTCTATACAATCAGACCAGCACTTTTTGTTAATTTACAGCACACCACTGTTTTCTTAAAACACATGATTATGACCTTCATTGATTTTGTCGACAAAAATGTTTATAAGTTTTCACGACTGAGTCAACACGATGACACAGCTGATGAGTAAACTGACAATGAAAATTGAAATCCCTGTTGTAAAGGCATTTTCAACCAAGATGACTAAAGACATTCTGTCTTTCCACTGAAATTCTTTGGACCAGGAGAAAAAAATGTTTTACAAAATCTATCGCAAAACCCTTTAAAAAGTTTTGACCAAACAGACTAAAGTGAACCCTGTCTGATATGAGACGAAAATGGAAACTGATTTCCTGCCACTAAATCTTGACAAAACAACAAATGACACAAGAAATAAAACCTGACGAACATTTACCACAGTTTCCTGAAAATGACTAACAGCTCAACGATCCTGGTGGCTGGTAGGATTGCCAACACCACACAGTTCCAAGAGATAATATCAGAAATAGGTGCACAGCTGCAAAGTAACCAAAAGCTGTGGACTTTACCAAATGTGTCTAAATCATCACGTAGGAGAAAAGTTCTGACCTTTTTCTCTCTCTCTAAAACACACTGGCCCTCATTTATCAAACTTGTGCAGATCTGAGCGCAGGATTCATGGTACGATGGGACACACGTGAGATTTATGAAAGGGTTCATATCTGACCAATCCCAGCGTACGTATGATCGGGTCTTGAAAAGTGCGGCGGCTGAAATCGATCGTCATTAACATGTTTACGTCCTTAAATATTCATGGTTCAGAAGCCTCGCCCACTGAGGTCAAACGTGAAAGAGGAGAAATATTAGAAAGATTCAAAACTTTTCAGAGCTGAAAGTGGATATCCTCACATCTGTGGGGGAAACTAACAAGGATTTTCTCTTTGGAAGCATCAAAACTGGGATAAAAGCAGTACAGAAAACTCCTGTATGGAGCAGGATTATGGTGGCAATGAACAGCGCTGCCGCGGAATAGCGGACGGTGGCAGCGCTGTTCATCGTTTTTCTGCCATACGCAAGCTTGATAAATGAGGGCCAATGTCTCCTGGGATTCTGTATGCCATGGTGTGGCTCAAGATCAATTACATGCAGGGGAAACCCTGTAGTGGTGTGTCTTCTATCGCAGGTTTTGAAGTAATCCAAATTGACATGATAAGAATTAATCTCAGCAGACAGTGCCTTGCAGATGGATCTTGAAGTGTTTCAGGAGGCAAGTAATTTTATTCAGAAGTAAAACTCTCAATACATGTCTTGAAGTTGTGTGACTTTGTTTACAGTAATCTTCATGCTCTATCTGAGGTAAAAGATCAGATACTTGTTTTTTGTCAGATACAAACTTGTCTTTGATTCTTTGGTCCATCACTTCATACATATCCCAGGGAGAACTGTCACAAAAACTGTCAGAGAACAAGGATGAAGGATGGATTAAACAAGTGTGTGTCTCACCATGAGCACGGCCTCTGGGTAGATGCACTCAGTCACCACGTCACTGTTGTGTGTGATGTACTCCACCATCTCGTTGAGTCCGGCTCTCTTCACCTCTTTGTATTTCAAGTCGCTGAGCGGGTCGCTGACAAAGTCAAACAGGACACAGCATTGACGCAGCTTCTGGACAAACAGCTCTTCACGCTCTGTCATGGGGGAGTCTGAGGAGGAGAGGAAGAAGAGAAGGAGGAGGGTCAGCTGCTGATACCACAGAAGAAGATTGGGCTGCACACTCTACTAAGAAAGTGGTGGACGGGTCACAGATGTGTGTGCTCCACATAGGTGGACAGTCCTCCTAGACTCCTACATCTTTACTTCAGGTCTCCTGGTTGAGTTTAGTGGTTAACAGTCTGCAGGGAGGCTATGATCAATGCAGAGTTATGAACTTACAGCTGAATCTGGAAATATACTCCAACACAATTTTCAATAACCCGACCAAACTGCTAAGAAAGGAGCTTAAATTAAGTTTTTGTTCCATTCACTTTAGTTTAATGCTGGGTTTACGTCTGGCCAACTGCTCTGTGTCACTGTTAGCAATGATCAGCTTCAAGCCCAGAAGTGCAGCATTGTGGTCAATAATTGTGATCAATAATTTGAGAGGTGACTGTGTTCTGATCAGAAATGTAGCCTTTAAAGGGGACCTGCCATCAAAATGCCATACCCATTTTTATCATTTTTTCATAATCCTGCAGGGGCTGTGTGATCACAGACAAAATCTCGGTACTATTTAGTAGCAGCGCATGCCCCTTGCAATAACCCCCGTAAGAACTGTTGTTCAGGACTGCTTACTTGTGCTTCCTACCTATTCGGCTACTGTAATAACCGTTGTTCGAGCCCACACGCAACATTTTTGCTCTCATTCATGAAACGCTTAAATCGGGGACATTTTCGGGGACAGCTTTTGGCCGGGACAGGTCATCTAATTCGGGGACTGTCCCCGGAAATCGGGGACGTCTGGTCACCTTATGCTAAAGGCTAAAAATGGCAGGTATTAAACCATATATTTTAGACCCCGAGTCCGAAGAGGAGGTGGAAGTTGAAGAAGAAGCTGGAGATCTCCAGCGGTGTTTTCGTTCATTCTGCCCAGCTTTAAGTTCATTTTCCCGGCAGTGAACCCAAGGAAACACCGGTCGTTTGGAAGAGACCCATAGCGGATACAGTGGTAGCTGGGTCTCGCTCTGGCTGGAGAGTGATGTTGACTGTGACTGGGTATGAGAACGAGAGAGTGGGCGCGGCTCACAAAGGACGCGCTCGTGAATAACAATGAGCAAGGTCGGCGTGACGTCAGAAGGACCTGCTTTTTCAATTGGCCTGGTTTACCCGTTTCTTTATTTTAAACCTTTACAGAATGCCAACGACTTAACGGTTTGTTTTCACATTTACAACATAAAACGAACAGAATATGGACCTTATCTGACACAAAAAACACACAAAATTACATTTTTGATGGCAGGTCCCCTTTCATCAGCATTTCCACTTAATAATAATAAAGATATGAATAACATATAGTGGGAATGCTTCGCAAACCCACTCAATAAAAATAAAGATATGAATAACATATAGTGGGAATGCTTTGCAATCCCACTTACTAATTTGCCACACTGTCCCCAATATATCTGTCTGAGATCCTATTATCCGTTCATTTCTTTTATGGTATGTTGTCTTTAAGTACCTGGTGATCTTTTCCATTAAAGAACAAAACTTTGGATGCATTTATGGAATGGAGATATCTGTTTATAAAGTGAAATAAATCCTCGTCAGATTACTGCTGAAGGGAGTTAGGGTCTGGTAATTGTGGTTGTTACCTTTGAGAGCAGGCAGTTTCTGCAGCTCTCTGTTCTTGGTCAGGCTGAAACGGGATGAGCTCTGGCGGCGCTCCTTCTTCACCAGCTGAGGACCGCCAGAGTATTTGATTTTGTTGAGCTGAGTGGGAGGAGGTGTGCTGTTACTGGGACGCTTACTGCCACTCTGCTGCTGCTGAGACTGCGCAGACAAACAAACAACCAAACAAATGTCAAAGTAAGAAAGGTTGGTGAGTAAAAGTCAGAATGTGTTTAAGACAGGGAAAACAGAGGAGGAGAGGACATAACAATGAAAAAACGAAGTAGTAAGACAGCAGTACTAATCTGTCATGGTCCAGTTTACTACAGTGGCAAGCAGTAAATGGCCCTGTCGATGCTCATAGTCAGTAGGTAAACATGTTAAAAGGAGTCATTTACTGTCTTTAACCCCATGCAGAAGAAGGCTGCTTGTCTGCAGAACTTCACATAAATCTGCTCTGTCCACTGTTATCTGCACTCACTGATCAGAGGGACTCACTCAGAGGACCTCAGTCACGTCTTAAAGTTTTTCTGGATATTTTCCAGAAGATTCAGTTAACTGCTCTGAAATGTTCACAGCTGATTTCTTACATTGATAAATGCCATTTGTGCCAAATTTCTTGAACTGGTAAAGGAGAACTCCCCTTGACCATTCGTCTAAGAGTGTGAGAGTGCAGAGACATCCCCACAGAAATTACAGGATTGAGAGGAAGAGGAGAGATATTTAGTATTCACAAATCAAAATCCAAATGAAGGTAGAGGTTGTTTAGAAAAGCTGCACTTAAACAGGAAAAGATGCACACTCAGTGAAGTGGGACATAAAAAAAACATCATTTGACTGTAATTGTATTCTAAAATCTGTTGCTGCCAAGTGACTGCCATAGCACAGATAAACCATCATATACCTACACTCACCGGCCACTTTATTAGGTACACCTGTCCAACTGCTCGTTAACACTTAATTTCTAATCAGCCAATCACATGGCGGCAACTTAGTGCATTTAGGCATGTAGACATGGTCAAGACAATCTCCTGCAGTTCAAACCGAGCATCAGTATGGGGAAGAAAGGTGATTTGAGTGACTTTGAACGTGGCATGGTTGTTGGTGCCAGAAGGGCTGGTCTGAGTATTTCAGAAACTGCTGATCTACTGGGATTTTCACGCACAACCATCTCTAGGGTTTACAGAGAATGGTCCGAAAAAGAAAAAATATCCAGTGAGCGGCAGTTCTGTGGGCGGAAATGCCTTGTTGATGCCAGAGGTCAGAGGAGAATGGCCAGACTGGTTCGAGCTGATAGAAAGGCAACAGTGACTCAAATAACCACCCGTTACAACCAAGGTAGGCAGAAGAGCATCTCTGAACGCACAGTACGTCGAACTTTGAGGCAGATGGGCTACAGCAGCAGAAGACCACACCGGGTGCCACTCCTTTCAGCTAAGAACAGGAAACTGAGGCTACAATTTGCTCAAGCTCATCGAAATTGGACAATAGAAGATTGGAAAAACGTTGCCTGGTCTGATGAGTCTCGATTTCTGCTGCGACATTCGGATGTTAGGGTCAGAATTTGGCGTCAACAACATGAAAGCATGGATCCATCCTGCCTTGTATCAACGGTTCAGGCTGGTGGTGGTGGTGTCATGGTGTGGGGAATATTTTCTTGGCACTCTTTGGGCCCCTTGGTACCAATTGAGCATCGTTGCAACGCCACAGCCTACCTGAGTATTGTTGCTGACCATGTCCATCCCTTTATGACCACAATGTACCCAACTTCTGATGGCTACTTTCAGCAGGATAATGTGCCATGTCATAAAGCTGGAATCATCTCAGAATGGTTTCTTGAACATGACAATGAGTTCACTGTACTCAAATGGCCTCCACAGTCACCAGATCTCAATCCAATAGAGCATCTTTGGGATGTGGTGGAACGGGAGATTCGCATCATGGATGTGCCGCCGACAAATCTGCGGCAACTGTGTAATGCCATCATGTCAATATGGACCAAGCTCTCTGAGGAATGCTTCCAGCACCTTGTTGAATCTATGCCACGAAGAATTGAGGCAGTTCTGAAGGCAAAAGGGGGTCCAACCCGTTACTAGCATGGTGTACCTAATAAGGTGGCCGGTGAGTGTATGTGTACAAGTCAGTTATTACCGGCCTGGATGAGCTTTCCTTTCAGCATAACAAACTGATCTCTATACTGTAACATATACTATTGTCTGATCTAATCTTATACATAACTGGTTTAATATGTAATGTTCAATGATCCCCTGTCTAAATACCCAAACCAGTAAAATTGAGGATGATCTCTGACCCTAAAATTTTGAAGAAATTTTTTTCACATCAGTGTTTTTTTAAGGTAAACATTTCAGCATTTAGAAGTTTCAAACATTTTATGAATGAAATTTAAGTCCTCTGTGTAAATAAATGCCTTTTAATAATGTTGAGACACTGGCTCTCTCTTTCTTTCTTCATCTCCCTCTATCAGTCTCTCCTCTGTCCATCTCTCTCTTTCTCCATCTCCCTCTCTCTCCTCTGTAAACCCAGTTCGGTCTCAGCAGAAGACTGTCTAACATGAGTCTGGTTCTGCTCCAGGTTTGTGTCTGTTAAAGAAAGTTCTTGCTCTCCACTATAACTTGATAAATATAAACATTGATTGACTGAAAAAAAAAAAATTCTTCTACTGAAATTAAAGCACCCAAATGTAGGGATGCACGATATTTATCGGACCGATAAAATATCGGCCGATTTGGGGGGAAATTACGTCATTTTTTATCGGCCCGATAGGTGCATTTTTCCGATAGAAAGATCCGATATATTAATGAAATTACGAGTAACGTTTGCAGGCGGAGTAGCCGCCCGTCCGAGACGCGCTGGTTACGTCATCTATCGCGCCTTACTCGCAGGTCCCAAGCCTGACCCCGTCACTACCTGACAGATAATAAAATGTCTTCACCAGCATGGTCGTTTCTCTCAGTGGCAGAAGATGACAACAGCATTGCTATATGCAAAACCTATTCAGCGAGGATTCCAAGAGGAGGAAAGAAGGCGTCAAGTTTTAACACAACGAATCTGATAGCTCATCTGAAAAGTCGCCATCGCGGCGAAGCGGTATTAAAAGACTATGAGACAGCCGCCGAAGCTGCTAGCGGTACTAAAGCTAAGACAACAGCACTACGGAGGATCGATGTCCCCATTCAGCAGGCGTTTGAAAACTGCAAAAGCTTCTCAAGAGACAGCGAAAAGGCTAAAGCCATTAACGACAAAGTGATGGAGTTCATAGCGGTCGACGACCAGCCTTTTTCCGTCGTTGAGAACCCGGGTTTTCGCAAGTTAATAGCACACTTGGAGCCACGTTACACTCTCCCAAGCCGCCGCTTCTTCTCGGATGTGTCTCTTCCTGCACTCTATGATATTGTCGCCACATACATTCACAACCTGATCGACAAGAACGGACTACACGTGAGTTTTACCACAGACATATGGACGTCAGATGTTAGTCCGGTCAGCATGCTAAGCCTAACGTCTCATAATAGCTCCTTTACAGTTTACAGTTCTGTTGAACAGTTCAGGGGATCAAATGAAGTTCTGCTTTTTGCTCTGTTATTGTTATTTACAGCAAATGACCACATTTGAAGAGCCAAAAACTTTTGTCTGTTGTTCTAGATAGGCCAGAGCAACAAAAACATCAGTTTTCAATCACTGCATCCTGCACAAACTGCAGATTATATGAAGATTATAATAAATGTAAAAATATGAATTTATCGGTTATCGGTATCGGCCATGAGAAGAAGAAAATTATCGGTTATCGGTATCGGTTGAAATTTTTCATATCGTGCATCACTACCCAAATGTGTTTTAGAGTGATCTAAGATTTTGTTGTTAGCTAAGAACAAACCCCAGATAAGAAAACTTTGTTGAATGAAATACCTGAAAAACTCCATCAGTAGCTGCATTTACATGGATCATAAAATCCTACCGACAATCATATTATACGCTCCATCAGATTTAAAATGTGTCACGTAAACACCTTAGCAGATCCAATTCACTCGGATCATATTAAATGTTCGGATTCGATTGTAGGAGATGGTCTACGCCAATTGACAATACGATTGATGCTGCATAAACAACTGACTGGATCGTATTTGGTTTATAGGCTAGAAGATTATTCGTTTTGCCCAAGTGCCCAAGAGCATATGGTCACGTAATGACGCTCGCAGGAAATAGGAAACTCAGAAGTTATGGCCAAAACACAAGAAAACAAGGAAATAAATAAATAAAAGATAAAACAGGATAGAACATGGCGTTGTAAATATGAAGCTGGAAATAGAAGTGCACTTCTTCTTCATTCACACCTTTTAAGGTAGAGAGGTGACAGATTCAATTTATTGTTTTACTTACACTACAGGCCAAAAGTTTGGAAGAAAGATCAGATTTGTACAAAAAAATATCATAGTTTTATTAATATACTTTGCAACACAATAAACATGACTATTGTGTAAAGAGTAACTTATCAGAAGACATTTTGACTATAATTATTAGGTATTTTAGTTATTGTTGCTTAGACTTTGCTTTCTTTAAAGTAACCTCCTCTGGCTTTAACAACAGCTTGACATATACCAGGCATTCGTTCCACAAGCCTCTACGGTATGTTCCAGGGATTGCATTCCAAGCTTTCTTAAGTTCATTAAAAAGAGACTGCTGATTCGTGGGACGCGTCTTTCTGACTGATCGCTCCAAATCATCCCACACAAGCTCAATTGGCAAAAAGGTCTGGAGACTGAGGGGTCCAACCCATCTTTCTAAAGAACTCCTTCCTCTTCTTTTTTGTCTAGGTAACCCTGACAGAGCTTGGCAGAATGCTTAGGGTCATTGTCTTGCTGCAAAACAAACTTATGAGCCACAAGTCTTGGTCCAGATGGAACAGCATGGTGCTGGAGGATGGAGTGGTACTGTTCCTTCTACATGATACCCTTTACTTCAAACAAATCTCCTACTCCATCACCTGCAAAACATCCCCATACCATAGAACTACCAGACCAGCCTTTCTCAAAGTCATTTCACGGCTGTCAGAGATATGGGTTTCGACCTTATCATGTTGATTTCCTCCCTTTTTTTGGTGCTTTCTTTCGCCGATCTCTCTTAATGGTGACAATGATATGTTTATCCTCTGCTTTTGTAGTAACTCTCTTTCGTCCAGGCCTTTTTCTATCATCATAACTTCCAGGTTCCTCTAGTCTCTTCAGAGTGTAGTGGACTCCTTTGTTAGACACCATTAGGCGTTTTGCAATTTTCTCTTTCTGTGTATCCTTCTTTCCTCAATGTACATATCTGTACTTTTGTTTCTTTAGTCAGTTGCTTCTTTCTAGCCATTTCTGCGGTATTTTGAATGCAGTTGACATTAATTAGGATCTTTGTACGCAGGCTCTCAAAAGCCAAAACGGTAAAGTGAATAATCCAACTGTGATTTGTTTTTTTTTGCTTTTGCACTTAAGTTGTGACATCCCAAAATACATAAAACTCGTGCTGGATTTTTAAAAAAGCATTGTGACCAAAAACTTGAAGTTACTCCCAACTGTTCGGCCTGTAATGGTCTTGCTTCCAAACTTTTGGCCTGTAGTGTATCTGATTCTGACTGGTTAGAGGAAGACTAGTGCAGCATGTCAAAGATGAAGCACTAAGTTATTTCTACTCTATGAATCTGGAGGTGTTTAATAATGACTTTCGACTGCCGCTGCTGTGGGTTGCAACCATAGACTGTATATACTATGGACAACTTGGCGCCGCCTTCCGTCATTATATGAATTTGAAGCTTGCTGTCTGTATTTCCAGGATTTTCTCCACTTCCTGGAACCACCACTTGTGTAGTAGCGACGTTCACATTTGGCGGGAGAGTAGCTGTGATGACGTTCTGCTTAAACAACGTATTCTGGATGAGCTACGCAATCTTCATACACCCATAGGCTGTATCAAGTGTCAATTATAGAAAACATGAACCCCGTAATAACAAAAAAAAGAGGACTTGAGCACAAACCAGTCTTACAGTAACTACATGTCAACATCACAACCAGGAAGAGAAAAATTTATATTATGTGTAATTAATTTTTAAAGTTTGTCCACAACTCCATAGAGAATGCTGGAGGAGGCGGGATTAATGGCCTATACTGCAAACCATCACCAGAGGGTGCTGCTCTCGTGAAGGCTTCATCCAGCGGGGTTGCAGACCACATCCATTCTATATACAGTCTATGGTTGCAATGCACACACACTCTCTCTGGCTATTTCTGCGTTGGTGTTCGGCGGCTTCTTCTTTGTTGGTGTTTGGCTGCTATTTTTCTCAGTTGGCAGACTTGGCATTGAAAGTTGGAATTGAAATTTTTAAAGTTCTGAGAGAATTGGAATGTTAGTCCCGTTTCCTATCAATGCTCAAGATTTGATGCCCAACCCTACCTGTCTAGTAGTCTCACAGCTACTGGTCTCTGTGCATGGCATCAAAATGAGTACAGACAAGGACATCTGATTAGTCATGCCTAACGCAATAAGTCATCTCCTCAGGATGTGAAACCCTGATCAGCATGATCTCCAATCCCACCACAACTTAAACTTGGTCTGTGCTCAGAGCAGAAGCCAGCAGGTAAAGCACACCTGAACCTGATCAGCAGCTTCTTTGTGAAAGTCTGACCGGAACAAGAGACCAGACACAGAAGCAGACTAAGTCCATCAGGGCCAGGGCTGGCCTCCTGTCATTGATAGAGAGCAGCAGTAACTCCACCTGAGAGTGAGATCACCTGTATTGAGTCACAGAATGTAGCTGTAGACCTGGTCTCCATGCTGTTTAATCTTCAACAAAGCTTCTTTACCAATGATTTACAATGATTTAGGTTTCTTGTTTATCTGACCTCTCATCAACACTCGCAGTGTTTCAGCTCTCCCTGCAGGCTCCATAACATGTGACCCTGAACTCCCGGCTCATGTGTACAGCCAAAGCAGAGATGACAGCCCTCTCCATATTTAAAACACTTACCTCGTCTGAGTTTTCGGCAGCAGTAGTATCCTTTCCTCCACTGCTGCTGCTGTTACTATTCTTCATGCTGCTTTTGGAAGATTTGGTTGTTTCCTGTTAGCACACAGAGGAAGGTGAAAGAAGTTTTAGTTTGACAGTGACAAAAAATATGACAACCATTGATCCATATTTACAACCCCCATACAAAAAACACCAGGCATTGAGGAAAACGTAAATTACTACACACTTTGTTTGCATAACATTTAAACCTTACATTTGATTTAAAATGGCGCAAAGTCAACATATCAAAAGTCGAATTATTATTCTTTTTGCTTCATAGAAGACAAATGCTTATTTTGAAGTTGACACCAGCAATCTGTTTCCAAAAGTAGTTATAAGAATAACCAAACAGGTAAAAATCTTGGCAATGCTACAAAAACAACTAAAGGAACTTCTTGAACTAAGGGTGTGAATTTCCAACAGGTTAGGAACATGACTGGGTATAAAAAGGACATTCAGAGAGTGGTGAACTCAGAGGTTCACCACTCTGTGTGAGCAGAGTGTATCTCCCCCTTCCTCTTCACCCTGTACACCTCCGACTTCAGCTACAATTCTGGGAGCTGTCACCTCCAGAAGTTCTCTGATGATATAGCCATCGTATAATTCCTCCCTTCTGCAATAAGACTTTACAGCGAACTGCAATAAAACTGGACTCACACCACTACTTTTTTCTGGTACTTAAATTGTGTATATTGCATATAGTTTTATTTTATTTCATTTTACTTTATTTTATTCTCCCCTTTTTCCTTTTTCTAAACTTTTTTTAATTATAACATTTATTTAAGTTCTTAATATTACAATCTTTATTTTCATAACTGCATTTTGTACTACCTTTGTCTGTGATGCTGCTGAGGCAAAAAAATTTCCCCCATGGGGGATCAATAAAGGAATATTCTAATCTATTCTATTCTAAATTATATATATGAAACTATGATCTTTTTTCGTACAAATCTAATCTTGCTTCCAAACCTTTGGCCTGTAGTGTATATATTTAAATATATATATATATATACACACATAGATATATATATTTAAATACATATGTACATATACATATACATATATATACATACATACACGTATACACATACATATATATGCATATATACATATATACACATATACATATATACATATGTACGTATATATGTATATATATGTAGCAATCAAGACAACCCTGGGTGCGAAACTCACACATTCCTCACAGGAAAGTTTCCTTATCTGGTCCCAGGACACAGGATATAAATCTTTCCAGACTTGTTTGCACTTTCAGGTTACCTAAATGACCCGACCGGAGGTTGACCAAACCTCTGACTCTTCACGATTGGTCAATTCGGAGAACAGAGACAGAGTTTTTATTACCTTTCAAACTGACTCCATCGCTGACCATCTAAATAAACATTAACGCTTCAACCCAGATCTCCCATTTGAGATTTACCGTCTTAAAGTGTGTGAACATACGGACCCCAAGGTAAGGGGGGACACTGACCTCCAGACCTCGGTCGTAAAACCCTGCTCAACCATACACTGATAAAAACTACATTCCTTTGGTGAAAGAAGACAAATGACTGATCATGACATCTTATGCATTCAGCAATGTACTAATCTGTCTAATCATGAAATTTGTGTTAAAATGAGGTGTCTCCCATTTTCCTATGTGCTCCAGAAGCCGAGTTATCACTCTGACAGAATAAATCCTTTATTCTTTAGTTTCTTTAGACCAACAGCTTTTCAGACTGTTTCATGAACTTTTAAGAGTTAAATTTATTGACTATGAATCATAACTTTCCTCTAAGTAACAGAAATAGTTTAGAAATGTTTGGTTTATATTTTAGTTGTTTATTTAGTATTTTTAACCATTAGGTGGTTATAATGTCATTGAATAATCTGAATGTGAGTATTTAGAATCCATTCTTAATCCTGATGACGTTCATTCACATGTGTTTACTCTTTTGTTGTTCACAGTTTCCATGTGTTACTATCTGTTTCATTTCAGAGTAATTTAGCATGTTCAATGTGATACTTAAAACATAATGAGAATGTTTGATGTGATCCTACACTTCATTCATATGTGTTTAGTATCAAATTATTTATCTGGCTTCGTCTCATACGCTCCGTCCTCGTTGGTGTTAAGCGGCTTCTTCTTCGTTGATTTTCGGCGGCTATTTCTTCCGGTCGGCGGACTCTGGCATCAAAACTTGGAATCGAAATTTGAATATTTGAACGATACCGGAAGAATCGAAATGTTAGTCCCGGTCCCCATCGATACTCGATTCTTGATACTCGATACCCAACCCTATTCTCCACTGAACCAGCCAAAGTGTACTATCAGTGGCAGGGTAATAATACCCGAGCAAACCCACCAAGGCTGGAGACTGAACAATACTGGAAGGGCATATGGGAGAAAGAAGCATCGTATAACAACAATGCACAGTGGCGAACTGATCTAAGAGCAGACCGCATTAATCTCCCTGAACAACATGCAGTGACCATCACCATCCTGGATATGATTCACACCTACTGGCTAAAGAGGCTGACCTCACTCCATGACCGCCTGGCAGCACAAATGAACCAACTGCTGAGAGACGGGACCCACCCAGAATGGCTGACCCAAGGCAGGACAGTCCTGATCCAGAAAGATCCACAGAAGGGAACGGCCCCATCCAACTATTGGCCATCACCTGCCTCTCCACAACATGGAAACTCCTGTCAGGCATCATTGCAGCTAAGATAAGTGGGCACATGGATCAATACATGACAGAGGCACAGAAGGGCATTGGTAAGGACACCAGAGGAGCAAAACACCAGCTACTGGTAGACAGGACAGTCGCTCGAGACTGTAGAACCAGACAGACCAATCTGTGCACTGCCTGGATTGATTACAAGAATGCTGATGACTCAATGCCACACACCTGGATCCTGGAATGCCTGAAGCTGTACAAGGTCAACAAGACTCTAAGGGCCTTCATTGCAAACTCAATGAGGCAATGGAACACCACCCTTGAGGCCAACTTCAAGCCAATTGCACAAGTCTCCATCAAATGTGGTATATATCAAGGAGATTCTCTGTCCCCACTGCTGTTCTGCATAGGCTTGAATCCCCTCAGCCAAATAATCAACGAGACTGGCTGCGGATACCGACTCAGAAATGGGGTCATTCAGACTGGAGAAGTGTGGCCAAATGGTGACGAAAAGAGGAAAGGGAATCCATACAGAGGGCACTACACTCCCAGAGGGCAGAATAGCAGATGTGGGGGAGAGCTATAAATACCTTGGCATACCACAGGCAAATGGCAACCATGAAGAGGCCACAAGGAATGCAACAATGGCCAAGTACCTGAAGCAAGTAAGGCAGGTCCTAAAGAGTCAGCTCAATGACAGAAACAAAGTTCATTATCAGCTATGCCCTGCCAGTAACCAGATACCCAGCTGGAATAATAAGCTGGCCAAAGGAGAAAACTCAGGCCACAGATGTAAAAACTCTGAAGTTGCTCACCATGCAAGGGGAGTTCCGCCCTAAGTCCGGTATCCAGAGGCTACACACGAAGAGCAAAGAAGGAGGCAGAGGATCAGTGAGCATCAGAGCCACTATTCAAGATGAAACATCCAAGCTCCATGACTATGTCAGGAAGATGGTCCACAGAGATGGAGCGCTTAGTGGGTGTCTCAGACAATGGAAACTGACAGGTAAGGAGGAACAGGAGGAACCATCATGGGAGGAAAAACCCCTGCATGGGATGTACCACCAACAGATAGCTGAAGTGGCTGATATGGCAAATCCTACCAATGACTAGAGAGGGCTGGACAGAAGGACAGCACGGAGGCACTCATCATGGCTGCACAAGAACAGGCCTTGAGCACCAGAGCAATAGAGGCCCAGATCTACCATACCAGGTAAGATCCCAGGTGCAGGCTGTGCAAAGAGGGCCCTGAAACAGTCCAACACCTAACAGCAGGATGTAAGATGCTGGTAGGAAAAGCATACATGGAACGCCATAACCAAGTAGCCTGTATAGTGTACAGGAACATCCGTGCAGAATATGGACTGGAAACCCTGAGGTCAAAATGGGAAGCACCTCTCAAGGTAAAAGAGAATGACCAAGCAAGGATCCTGTGGGACTTCCAGGTACAGACTGACAAAATGGTAATGGCCAACCAACCGGACATTGTAATCGTAGACAAACAGCAGAGTAAAGCCGTTGTGGTAGATGTCGCCATCCCAAGCGATACCAATATCAGAAAGAAGGAACATGAGAAACTACAGAAGTACCAAGGGCTCAAAGAGGAGATAGAGAAAGCCTGGAAGGTGAAGGTAACAGTGGTGCCTGTGGTCATCGGGGCACTCGGGGCAGTAACCCCCACACTGGAGAAGTGACTCCAACAGATCCCTGGGGAAACATCAGATATCTCACTCAGGAAGAGTGCAGTCCTAGAAACAGGAAGGACACCCTCAAGCTCCCAGGCCTCTGGTAGAGGACCCGGGCTTGAAGGGACACAATACCGCCCAGGGTGGGCGAAAGTAGAGATTATATATATACAGTGCATCCAGAAAGTATTCATACCACTTAACTTTTTCCACATTTTGTTATGTTACAGCCTGATTCCAAAATGGATTAAATTCCTTTTTCCCCTCAAAAATTATACACAAAATACCCCATAATGACAAGGAGAAAAACTTTTTTTGAGAACATTTGGCAAATTTATTAAAAATAAAACACTCAAATGGTGCATATACATGAGTATTCACACCCTTTGCTATAAAACTCAAAATTGAGCTCAGGTGCATCCTGTTTCCACTGATCAGCCTTGAAATGTTTCTCGACAGCCTGCTTGGACTTTGCTAGAAGGCACCTGAAGGACTCACAGACCAAGAGAAACAAAATTCTCTGGTCTGATGAAATGAGGAACGACCTCTTTGGCCTGAATGCCAAGCATCATGTCTGGAGGAAACCAGGCACCACTCACCACCTCGCCAATACCATCCCTACAGTGAATCATGGTGGTGGCAGCATCATGCTGTGGGGATGTTTTTCAGTGGCAGGAACTGGGAGACTTGTCAGGATCGAGGGAAAAATGAATGTAGCTAAGTACATCGAAATCCTTAATGAAAACCTGCTCCAGAGCGCTCAAGATCTTCGACTGGGGCAACGCTTCATCTTCCAGCATGAAAATGACCCTAAGCACACAGCCAAGAAGACAAAGGAGTGGCTTCAGGACAAGTCTCTGAATTTCCTTGAGTGGCCCAGCCAGAGCCCAGACTTGAACCCGATTGAACATCTTCGGAAAGATCTGAAAGTAGCTGTGCACCGACGCTGCCCATCCAACCTCACAGAGCTTGAGAGGATGTGCAAGGAAGAATGGGAAAAACTCCCCAAATCCAGGTATGCCAAGCTTGTTACATCATACACAGTCCTCCATAAGACTGGAGGCTGTAATCGCTGCCAAAGGTACTTAGACAAAGTATTGAGTAAAGGGTGTGAATACTTGTGTATGCGAAACATTTGAGTGTTCCTATTTTTAATAAATTTGCAAAATTCTCTAAAAAAGGTTTTTTGCTTTGTCATTATGGGGTATTTTATGTAGAATTTTTGAAGGAAAACAGGAATTTAGTTCATTTTGGAATGAGGCAGTAACAACAAAATGTGGAAAAATTTAAGTGGTATGAATACTTTCAGGATGCACTGTATACAGGCCAAAAGTTTGGAAGCAAGGCCATTACAGGCCGAACAGTTGGGAGTAACTCCAAGTTTTTGTTCACAATGCTTTTTTTTTAAATCCAGCATGAGTTTTATGTATTTTGGGATGTATTTACTCCATTATCAGATGTTGCTTTCATGGAAATGCACCATTTTACTCCAAATTTACCTTTAGATATAATTAATGTTAACTGGCCATTGCTAAATATATGTCAGCAAAAGATAATAAGGGCTTAGTTTTAGGGTTAAAAACATTTGCAAGAGTCACAACTTCAGTGCAAATGCAAAAAAAAACAAATCACAGTTGGATTATTCACTTCAACTTTTTGGCTTTTGAGAGTCTGCATACAAAAAATACAAAATACAAAAAAGTACAGATTTGTACATTGAGGAAAGAAGGATAGACAGAAAGAGAAATTGCAAAACACTTAAAGGTGTTTAACAAAGGAGTGCACTACACTCTGAAGAGACTAGAGGAACCTGGAAGTTATGATGATAGAAAAAGACCTGGACTAAAGAGAGTTACTACAAAAGCAGAGGATAAACATAGCATTGTCACCAGTTAGAGAGATCAGCAAAAAACAGCACCAAAAATAAGGTAGGAAATCACCATGACAAGGTCGAAACCCATATCGGTGACAGCCGTGAAATGACGTTTGAGAAAGGCTGGTCTGAGGGGTTGTGTGTAAACACTACTTCATTCACAGAACAAGAAAAAGAGATATGAGTGGGCAAAAGCTCACAAAAATTGGACTTATGACTAGAAACAAGTTTGCACTGTTTGGTTCAAAATGAAGAGTCTATGTCTGTAGATGAACTGGTGAACGTCTGAAAGCACCATGTGTTACACTCACAATTCAGCATGGAGGTGGTAGTTCCATGGTATGGGGATGTTTTGCAGGTGATGGAGTAGGAGATTTGTTTGACGTAAAGGGTATAATGAAGAAGGCACAGTACCACTCCATCCTCCAGCACCATGCTGTTCCATCTGGACTCAGACTTGTGGCTCATAAGTTTGTTTTGCAGCAAGACAATGACCCTGAGCACTCTGCCAAGCTCTGTCAGGGTTACCTATTCAAAAAAGAAGAGGAAGGTCTTCTTTAAAAGATGGTTTGGACCCCTCAGTCTCCAGACCTTTCTCCAATTGAGCTTGTGCAGGATGAATTGGATCGATCGGTCAGAAAAACGCGTCCCACAAATCAGCACATCTTTTTAATGAACTTAAGAAGGCTTGGAATGCAATCCCTGGAACATACCGTAGAAAACTTGTGGAACGAATGCCTGGTATATGCCAAGCTGTTGTTAAAGCCCGAGGAGGTTACTTTAAAGAAAGCAAAGTCTAAGCAACAATAACTCAAATACCTAATAATTTTAGTCAAAATGTTTTCTGATAAGTTACCCTTTACCCAATAGTCATGTTTATTGTGTTGCAAATTATATTTATGAAACTACAATCTTTTTTTGTACAAATCTGATCTTGCTTCCACACTTTTTGCCTGTAGTGTTTAAATATATATATAAAATGTTCAGTGTTTACATGAAAAGAATTACAGTCCAAAAGTTGATTTTAACATGACCAAATGAGCAGTATCCAGGATTACAATGTTGAAATGAAGTCAGAATATCCCAGAGCAGATTTTAACCACCAGTTTTTAACAAACTAAAATACAGTGGACACATCATGTCATAAAACATATAGTATAATTTCTAATTAATGAGGAGAGAATGATTAGGGATGCTCCGAGCAGGTTGTATGCTGCCAATTACTGCTACCCATTAGCCATAAGTGCCAATACCAACAGATCAGTCATGTGGATCGGCTGTAAATTCTTCGATTTAGTTACAAGAAGTGCTACTTGGCTACATGATCTGGAAAAAAGGAAACAATAAAATCATACAAATTTAGACAAAAGCATGTTTTTACTAAACTCTTCAACAGAAAAAATACAAAAATCTTGCATAAAGCGTCAAGCTCAAAAGGAGACAGCACATGTGCTGGTACTTTGGTTGTGCAGCTTTTGACCCCTGGATGCCATAAGTGGGTGACACCTGACAGTCACCAAGAGTCTTCGCAAGAGTTTGGTGGCCTATGTCAGGCAGCTGGGTGATCAAATCCCTCTGTCCTCTTTCTTCTGATTCAGCAGATACTCCTAAACTCTGTGAAACCATAATTAGGACCCAATTTAATACAAGAAACGTGTGATGAATTCTGTGTAGTGGTGGGCAAAACCGGTCATTTCAGTGAACCGGATCATTCCGGGTCGGTCAATAAAAAGACCCGTTCTTTTCGGTCATTTCGGTCATTTGTCAGCCACCCCCACCCCCCCCCCCCCACCCCCCCCCCCCCGCGGTCCGACGCTGTGGCCGCTGCACTCTCCACTTCCCACCCCCGGTCCACTCGGTCCAACGCTGCGATCTCACTGCACTACTTGCACACTAACAAAATATATACGGTATTATATTATTAATGGTTTTTATTATTTTGAGGTGCATTAAAAACAATAATAAAAAGTACAGACAACAGCAACAGACAGTGCAAATGCGTATTAATAGTTGTCTCTCTGCCTCTGGCTGCTGCAGCAGCAGCTGTGTGCCTTTGTGTGTGTGTGACTGTCCCGCTCGCTCCGGCTCGGCTGTCGGGCCTCGTGCGGCGGCCACTCAACTCGGTCTTTCAGTCAACTCGTTCATCGGTCTGGATCTTTTGTTCACTCGGTCTCTCGTTCAACTCGTTCACCGTCTGGGTCTTTCGTTCACTCGGTCTCTTGTTCAACTCGTTCATCCGTCTGGGTCTTTCGTTCACTCGGTCTTTCGTTCAACTCGTTCATCGGTCTGGGTCTTTCGTTCAACTCGGTCTTTCGTTCACTCGGTCTTTCGTTCAACTCGTTCATCCGTCTGGATCTTTTGTTCACTCGGTCTTTCGTTCAACTCGGTCTTTCGTTCATTTGACCCGTTCTTTCAGTCAACTAGGTCTTTCGTTCATTTGACCCGTTCTTTCAGTCAACTAGGTCTTTCGTTCATTTGACCCGTTCTTTCAGTCAACTCGGTCATTCCGGTCTTTCAGTCAGCTCAGTAGTACTGCTGCTGCTTCTCTAAGCCCCACCCACACACAGAACAAGGCACGACGATAGGATAAGACAGGCAAGCAGTCCCTCTTCAGCCAATCAAAAGAACTGAACGGTTTGAACGGGTCATTTGGAGGGGGAGAACTAGTTCATTTCGTTCATCAAAAAGAACTAGTTCTTTTGATCCGTTCGTTCAAGACCGACACACCACTAATTCTGTGACAGAAGCCCCAGTGAAATCTACCAAAACAAGATGTTTGATCAACATCGACAGATTATTGGGGATAACAGTTTTTTTTCACCATTCACCACTTTTCTTTCAATGTCTTAGAATGTGGGTGAAATCTTATGCAACAAGATCTTGTGTCACCAAAGCAGAGGAGTATTTCCCAACAAGGTGAAAAGCCAAGCTGTCTCACAAGTAGAGATGCACCAAATTGAGAATTCTTGGCTCAAAACAAAAACCGAAAATAAGGAATCCAGCGCCAAAAAAAGAAACACAGAAAATTATGCCAATTATTAGTACCATTGCATTTATGACTATGACTGTGTAACCTCACTAAAATCAAGGCATTGCAATTGAATAAATTAATATTAAATCAATACTAACATTTAATATCAAATTAATATTAAAGGAGACCTGCCATCAAAAATGTAATTTTTGCATGTTTATGTGTCAGATTAGGTCCATATTATATTCATCTTATGTTGTAAATGTGAAAATAAACCGTTACATCGTTTGCATTCTGTAAAGGTTTAAAATAAAGAAACGGGTAAACCAGGCCGATTGAAAAAGCAGGTCATTCTGACGTCAAGCTGACCTTGCTTATTATTATTCACGAGCGTGTCCTCAGTGAGCCATGCCCACTCTCTCGTTCTCGTACTCAGTCACTCATCACTCTCCAGCCAGAGCCAGTACCAGCTACCACTGTATCCGCTATGGGCCTTTTCCAAACGACTAGTGTTTCCTTGGGTTCACTGCCGGGAAAATGAACTTAAAGCTGGGCAGAATGAATGAGAAAACACAGCTGGAGCACCGAAATTAGTTCTTTCGTTCTCCGGCTTCTTCAACGTCCACCTCCTCTTCGGACTCGGACTCGGGGTCAAAAATGTATGGTTTAATACCTGCCATTTTTAGCCTTTAGCATAAGGTGACCAGATGTCCCCGATTTCCAGGGACAGTCCCCGAATTGGATGTCCTGTCCCCGGCAAAAGCTGTCCCTGAACATGTCCCCGATTTAAGCGTTTCATGAATGAGAACAAAAATGTTGCGTGTGGGCTCGAACAATGGTTATTACAGTAGCGGAATGGGTAGGAAGCACAAGTAAGCAGTCCTGAACAACAGTTTTTACGGGGTTATTACAAGGGGCATGCGCTGCTACTAAATAGTACCGAGATGTTGTCTGTGATCACGCAGCCCCTGCACCCCCTGCCACCGCACCGAATGTCCCCGGATTTTATTACAGACATCGGGTCACTTTACTTTAGCACACATTAGCAGAATGGATAAACCGAAATCTGAACCTCCACTGCTGAGCCAATCAGAGCACAGCAGGCTTCACAGCAGCGATCCAATCAGAGCAAAGCTAATTACCATAAATGTTAATGAGCCAAAGTCAATTAGTTTTCCTGTAAGGTTTTTTAGGCATACTAAAATGGTTTGAAACAAACCATCAAATAACTTTTCAGCTAAAATTATGTTGCAAACATGATCAGAGGACATCAAGGATTATGAAAAAATGATAAAAATGGGGATGAAATTTTGATTGCAGGTCCCCTTTAATTCATGAAACTCCCCAAAGCTGGTTCAACGCAGTTGACAACAGACACACACAAACACACACACAGAACGAATCCCCCCCCCAGGCGACGTTAATGAGAGACCTGAGCCTGTTTTGCCTTGCAAAGATCCTCAATTTTTGGTGCAATGTTTGATAAACACAGCCACCAACCGGAAGAGAGGCTAAAACCTCCAGTAACATATCGAGGATCCACACACACACATGCATGCACGAAGCAGCAGCAGCGATCAGATGTAAACATCGGTGTTAAGTGTAATAAACTTCATCATCTCCACTGTCTAATGGAGATCTGACATAAAATAACGGAGGGAAAAATGTCTTACCTTCACTCTGGTGTCTAAAACAGTCAGCATTATCACTCATCCAGCTCCAACAGGATAATAATCCACCAATATTATTCCCATTTACATCCTGTTTGAATCCCGTTTACAGCCTCACGGTCAGCGTCTAATCCATTCGCGTGAAAAAAAGTTTTTAGCGCTGTTTCTGGTCGGCTGGCTCAGTTGTTTAACTCCTGGGGGGGTATTCCTCGAAGCTGGCTTAGCTCAAAGCCTGGCTTATTTCGGTTAGCCTGGCTAATTTTAGTTAGAGTTCGGTTCCACAAACGAGGCTTAGGTCTAGCGTGGCTTGGTAACCATGGTAACTCAGCCAGCGCAACAAGCCTGGTCCCAGGCAGGCTTACGGTCAAGCTAACCTTAGCTGCGTCTCAGAGAAGGTCCGACAGGCTTCCAGAAGACGCTTTGTGAACCGCATGTCACACAGTAATTTCATCTTCATCTGTAATAAATGATACTCTTGTGCGGAAAAATAAATTGAGAGCTTTTTAAAAACAACATAGGAATACGTGAATCCAGACATGCCCAATGCTACGCCAAACTCAAAGAGAAAGAGAACTTCAGTAGCTGAGTGGGTAAAGAAACGTGCCGGTAAAATGTGTTTTTCACTGTGGGTTCGATCCCGTCAGCGGTAATTATTTGGAAATATCTGATTTTCTTTCTTTTATTCTGTGACTCTCAATGTACTGTCAACACATAACAGAATAAAGGCACAAACGATCTCATCCAAAACACTGAAGGTGACAACAGCAACAATTTCCCATTAAAATAACTTTCCTTTCACCAGTGGTCCATTCTGATTATGATGATGATAATGTAAAGGTGATGGCAAATGACGACATGACTACTCTTTGTAAAGCTCATTTGTGTCTTCTCCCCTATTTAAATGAAGGGCGCTGTGCCACTATCATCCCAAATAAAAAATAAATAAATAAATTTAAAAAAAAGACATCTCCAGGTACATGTTTTTCTTCACTTTTTGTCTAAGTTTGTCTACTTTGGTTTTAAGTCTTACCTGTAGCTGCTATACTAATCCATTATGGATATCTATTTGTCAAATCAAGAACATGAATTATGCCTACAGTACAGTAGCGGTTCTAGGCACGGGTGAACCTGGCAGCCGCCCGGGGCAGCATTTGTGTCATGACTCATGGGGGGCGGCACGAGCACTTCCAAAAAAGAAAGAAAAAAGATAATAATAATAATAAATCTGCACTGCACCGCGGTTTTGTATTAACTCTTGTCAAATTGGCGCCCCCTGCTGCTGTAGGCGCCCCTGCTTGCTGCGAAGGGGCTGCACAGAGGCTGACAGACTGTATGAGTGAGCTGCACATGAGATGAAAAGTAAAAACAAAGTGTTTACAGTACATACGCAGAAGAGAGGAATAAAATTAGACAGCCAAGCAGGCTGACTGCATCGAGACATGTGTCGGTTGTAAAATATTTGTCAGCTATAACTTACGATCTAAACGGTCCGTGATACTTTACCACGCCATCTCCCTGGCTTTCACAATGGCAACAGTGTTGCCCTTCTTTTGAATTTTTCCCTTGTACTCTTCATACAACTCCATGAGGAGTGTTTGCTCCACCGCTGAGAAAGACTTCGCTCTGCCCTTTTTTTTCCCATGATCTCGTCATTTCGACAATCGATACATCGGGGCGTTTTATGTACCGCGGAGGCGCGCATAGCCGCGGCTTGGATAAGCCTGGCTAGAATAAGCGTCTCCGAAAAACAGCTGAGCCTCGTTAGTGGAACGAGTCGCAGCTAAGATTAACGTGGCCGCTTATTCAAGCCACGATTACAGGCGATAGCCCAGCCCTCTTTAGCCAGCTTCGTGGAATACCCCCCTGGTCTTCTTCCACCGGCACACAGAACGCATCTCGGTTCCAACTCGGTAAGTTAGTCACGGCCTCTCTGGACCTGTGGTCTGGACTTTGTACCAAGTCCAGTGATGCTTCTGCTGTCAGCCTCTATCAGAACACGTGAAGCTAAAGTGAGCTAAAACTTTTTTTCACACAATGAAAATGGATGAAACGTGCTGACCGCAAGACACGGGATGTGACTAATATCGGTGGATTATTGATCTGCTGGAGCTGGATGACTGATAATGCTGACTGTTTTAGACTCGAAAGTGTAGGTAAGAAATTTTTCCTGAAGGTTTGTTCAGTTATGTCTCTGCTCGGATGTGTGGTGGACAGAGATCAGGACGTTTTACATTTTTTGGGTCACGTTTTCCTCTGTTATTTTATGCCAGATCTCCGTTAAACAGTGGCGTGGTGTGATGTCCTCCTGTGAAAGCTGTAGCTTTGTGAACACAGGTGGGTCTGTGTAGATGAGAGGAGACAGGTGTATTAATCAGGGAGACTCTGGTGATGAAGTTTAACCAGTTAATACTGATGTTTACACCAGATTGCTGCTCTGTGTATGTGCATGCGTATGTGAAACGTTGTAGAGGATCCTCGCTGTGTGAGCCTCTCCCCCTGTAGTGACTGATCGTCACTGGTCGGTCGAAGCAGGACACTTGTCCTGCTTACTTGGTCATTTGAGTGGCTGGGACAAAATAGTATGAAACTTTTACTGGCACTTGTCATGCTGTATGTGCAGCTTCTTGATGAGGTAGGCTGTAAATTGGTCAATTTCCAACTGCTTGGGACTCTGCTACATCTCCTATACTAAAAGCCGGTTTTAGAAGAATTATAATGGTCCCTGAAGCTGTGCTTGCTTACTGCCATAAAAGTAGCAGTGAAGTGAGCAGCCCTACATTTATTTAGCAGCTGCGCACCGCCGCTGATGAATTACATGCGGCACTATTGAAATTTCACATGATCATTATATCAATGCGCCACTTATGATTTCAACTCGCACTGTGTGAGCACAGCAACACACGACATGATTTTCAATTTGTTTTGAGTCATCAACGAGCGCATCAAATCCTGTCGGACCAAACACTGGATTCTACCTGACAGTATTGGCCCTATGCTATTTACTGTTTCTTCAGGTGGAGGCAACATCATACTGTTCTTAAAAGTTATTGCACAGTCACACTAATAAACACTAGCAGCTAATCCTGTTTACTGCTGTTAGTAAAAAACATCCAAGTGAGTTCTTCACAGATATCAGCCTGAATACTTGATGGAAAGTACAGCCCCACATATGAGAGCTCTTATGGAAGCAGACTGAGATTTCCCCTTTTCATCACTCTGCTTTTCACATTTGTTTCTGACAGGTTTGATAGTAGACATGGGTCCCTTCTGCAGGTCCAAAAATCCCAGATTACAAATTAATTGGCTTCTTGAATTCTTGTATTTTACAGTTTCAGTTTTCTTAAAAATAGAGTTGCATTATCATCTTGTCTTGTTCTCATGACCCCAATACAGGGATTAAAACAAAAAAAAAAAACCTTTTGACTAAAAATGTTCGACATACTAATCCGGTTATGTAAGCCTTCATGCTTCAGTGTTTTCTGTGGTGGGAAAAAGAAAACCGAGACATCCTCTTTATAAAGTTTGTGAGCAACAGATAAGCCTTCATTGTGACTACTTTAATACAGGGTGGCTTAAAATGTCGTTAAAAACCGAAAGTCTCACCAGGATGTAAAATGTACTCAAACATGACATGTTCAGGCATAACCAGACATGATGGGATGGGGTAACAAACACTGATGTTCGTGTCCACAATCAAAGTCCAATAAACACTACTTTGAACTTGACAACGCGCAGTATGATCACACTGAAGTGCCACAGGTGTGGAGTAATTCAGGTGCAACACATAGGTGACAGTAGAAACTAGGGATGCACCGAAACGAAAATTCTTGGCCAAAAACTGAAACACCAAAAGAACTTATTATGCCAATTATTAGTACCATTGCATTTATGGTGATGACTGTACTTATCTTACTAAAATTAAGGCATTGCAACCACATAAATTAATATTAATTAACTTGAAATATTTTATTAGTATTAATTTCTTTGCAACATGAGTTTTAAGTTTTTGAGTCAGTGTGTTGCTGCATGTTCTGTGTCGCTTACACCTCTAGATGGCACCCGGGAGTCAGGGGCAAAAAGTTCTAAGAGAAGAAGTGTTGTGAGTAGGGATGGACCGAATGGGAAAATCTTGGCCGAAACCGAATACCGAATATAAGAAACACTTGGCCGAATAACCGAATACCGAATAGCCGAATATGATTAATAAATATGTATATAAATTATGAATTTTTATCACCAAGCAATTTTTGTACAATTGCTGTCATTGCCATACATTTGTTTTAAAGCTACCTGATTATGGCAAAACCTGGCAAACTTAAATATTAATCACTTTATGTTTGAACCATGAAACATGTATTCAGCTTCAGCACATGACATAACAATGCTATAACAATAACATTCAATAAAATAAAATTAAGTAAATAACATCCTTGCAATAACAATACAAAAAAAGTGCAATTTTCCCTGTAGGATAGCCTAAAGTAAATAAAATAAAATGCACATATGCAAAATAAATAAAATAAATGCAGGTACGTGCATGCATATACATGATTGTGCAACAGTAAACACAAATCCAGGCCTGAGGCCTTCAACAATAAATACACTTACATGCATGCACATACGATTGTGCAAACTTTTGTGCAGTGAGTTTCTTAAACTCGTCATGTTCGTCCTTATGTTTAGCGCTCAAGTGGTTGATTAGCCCCGATGTAATAAAAGTTTTGCCGTCACACCACCTCGAGACACTTCAGCAGAGCAGAGTTTACAAATTGCCATCAGACCATCTTTCTCTGATATGTCGATATATTTCCAAACCGCAGACATGCCGGTTGAACGGCTTCGAGCCAAGACAGCTGCACGTATCGTGTGCGTCGTATCAGCATGCCGGTGTTATGCCTTAGAATGCACCCCCGACGGGAGCGCGGTTGAAAGTACTTAACAAGGCGAAAATAATCCAAGTTTTCCTTACCATTGGATGAATTCAAAAGCGTGTGCCTTTAATAACTTCATTCAGGCTATTCAGATAAGCCAAAAAAATAGCCCTCTGATTCAGAATATTTGCTGTCCCGAAAATATAATGTATGCCAGCTTGACAGTTTACTGTACAGTTTATATACCCAAGCACACCTCCGTATGTGCATTTTTGAGACAGATAAAATCAGAACGAAAGTTGTAACGATCAAATAGTCGTGTTTTTTAAAATATGAGATCATTTTCTTTCACTTTAAGAAGCTAACGAGTGGATGGGAGGCAGGGGGTGCATTCTACGGCGGGGGTGCTTTCTACGGCACAACACCGGCTTGCCTCTTGTCGCGTTCCGATTACGTCATCAACATGCCACTAAAACAGGGAAAACAGCGCCGTCTGCGTTTTCCGTTTTTGAGAGTTCAGTCTAGACCAGGGGTCGGCAACCCGCGGCTCTGGAGCCGCATGCGGCTCTTTCTTCCCTATGCTGCGGCTCCCAGTGGATTTGGAAAATAAATAATAAATACTTAATTGCATTTTATTTTATTATTATTATTTTTTTTTTTGTAATTCTAAATTCAAAGATTATAATGCTCTTTTAACATTAAATAAACTATTAAGGCTGCAACAACGAATCGATTAAGTAGATTCGTCGTGACGAAAAAATCCGTTGCCAACAAATTCTGTAATCGATTCGTCGGGTCTTTATATATGTCCATGGACACCGGCGTGTAAACATCAGCAGGACGCACAGAAAAGAAACAGCCATGGCCGAGGCAGCGGCTAAGAAAAACATGGACACAACCCAACCCAAATCCCGACCTAAAACATCAGTGGTGTGGGAATACTTCACCAAGACTGAAAAGGAAGGCATTCAGTGCAAAGACCGTTTTGCATGGCTCGGGAGTACATCGATGATGCGTGAGCACAGGGCTCTCAAGTCTCACGCATTCAGCGTATGACACACGCATTCCCACTCGTTCACACGCTCACACACCACACATTGTATTTCTCACGCATTTAAATGAACACGGTGATGTCCACCAAGTTGCACTTCTTTAACTATGGAACAGGTGGAAATCAGCTGAGTTTCTCCGAGAGTTCAGAAGCTGCGTGCTACGCACAAGCCAATCAAATAAAGTATATCTACTGAACAGCCAATCAAAAAGCAGCATTGCTGTATCCGGGTAGATTTTGATATCTTGCGGTTTAACTACAGAAGAAGACAGACACTCGCCGAAATAGTTCATTTATTTCATAAATGCAACTCGCTACAGTTTTTTATATACTTTGTATAAAGGTAAAAAAAAAAAAGATATATGCAATGTTATCTTCATTTTAGATGTCAAAGAGGTTTTGTGGCTCCCTGTGTTTTCTTTTCTGTGGGAAACAAGTGGCTCTTTGAGTGTTTAAGGTTGCCGACCCCTGGTCTAGACATATGTTTATCCACACTATTCGGTAATTTTTTTCAGCCATAACATCTATTCGGCCGAAAACCGAAAATTCATTTTTGATGCTTTTCGGCCGAATATTTTCGGCGCCGAATATTCGGACCCATCCCTAGTTGTGAGCGGTAGAGATGCGTCTAGAAGAAGTGGCATCAGTATGTTTCCCTTTAAGTAGCTGAGAGCGGGAGCTGAACATTAGTTGGCCTTGCAATGTTGACTTCTGTTAAATCTATGAATAAAAGTGTGTATATGGCTACAGCATCCCCCATAGATGAAGTGGATGTGTTCAGAGGAATTTTCCTGTTTTCCTGTTACCAGGATGTTTGGATTTCAGGTGATAAATTAAATCCGACGTGAAGAACTCTTTGTAGATTAACCCACTCTTAAAATTTCAAAATAACACACTATGTACACTTCAGGCCAAAAGGTTGGAAGAAAGATCAGATTTGTACAAAAAAAGATCATAGTTTCATATAATTTGCAACACAATAAACATGACTTTTGTGTAAAGAGTAACTTATCAGAAGACATTTTGACTATAATTATTGGGTATTTGAGTTATTGTTGCTTAGACTTTGCTTTCTTTAAAGTAACCTCCTCTGGCTTTAACAACAGCTTGGCATACAAGGTTTTCGTTCCACAAATTTTTTAAGGTATGTTTCAGGGATTGCACTCCAGGCTTTCTTAAGTTCATTAAAAAGATACTGCTGATTTGGGGGGGGGGGGGGTGATTGAAGATAATTATTAGTATAATACTATGATAATCTCTTAAATACAACAAAGAGTGAGGGCCACATTAAGACAAAAAAACGTTTTTAAATCTTAGACAATAAAGTTAAAGACAATATTATTTAGGAGAATAAAGTCAATAATATATAAGAATAAAGTCGTAAAGTTACCTGTTGTGGAGGAGAGTTGCTAAAATCAGCACTGTGGAGCATTTAGATGAATTGTTCTTTAGTATAGGTTTCACAAACATGGAGATACTTAATCCTTTGGTACATGAGCATTACACTGTCATGAGTATCAGAACTTTAAAAAGAATATATGAGAAATGCTGCTTTTGTGGAGGGGAGAATGGCTGGAAATGGCTGTACAGAGGCTAAATTCATCAATACAGCTGTTAATAGCAATAGCATAGGGCTTTAGTTTATCATATGAGTTTATCTGGCATGAGGTGTTGAGGTCTCTGCATGTGTAGGTTACTGACTTACTGTAATCATCGGGTCTATCTCGTCCTTATAAAAACCTGCTCTATTTCGGCGAGTGTCTGTCTTCTTCTGTAGTCAAACCACAAGATATCAAAATCTACCCGGATACAGCAATGCTGCTTTTTGATTGGCTGTTCAGTAGATATACTTTATTTGATTGGCTTGCGCGTGGCACGCAGCTTCTGAACTCTCGGAGGAACTCAGTTGATTTCTACCTGTTCCATTGTTACAGAGGTGTAACATCACCATGTTCATATAAATGCGTGAGAAATACAATGTGTGGCGTGTGAGCGTGTGAACGGGTGGGAATGTGTGTGTCACACGCTGAATGCGTGAGACTTGAGAGCCCTGCAGAGCAGTAAACGCGAGACGCCCGCTTTTGCTATTTTAGATGGCTCAAAACTTGGATTATTTCGCCTTGTTGTGTACTTTCAACCGCGCTCCCGTCAGGGGGGCATTCTACGGTAGGGGTGCATTCTACGGCACAACACCGGCGTGGATAAGTTCTGCTTCTCGTTCTCGCAGCTTTGCAGTGCTACCACAGGCTCTCCAAGCACACCAAGTACACGTGAAGAGTGTGCGCATGATTGGAATAATGGAACGCAGTTTGGCCTATGATTGGTTCTCGTCAGCGAAGGAGCCAGGAGGATTTGCTGACCGTCCAAGTGTCATTTAAAGGGCCGATTTCTGAAGTGCTCAGTTTACATATTGAGTCGATCACATGATAATAAAAGAACAAAAAAAATCTCCCGAGGAAGAACACCTTCCTCTTCTTTTTAGTCTAGGTAACCCTGACAGAGCTTGGCAGAGTGCTTAGGGTCATTGTCTTGCTGCAAAACAAACTTATGAGCCACAAGTCTGAGTCCAGATGGAACAGCATGGTGCTGGAGGATGGAGTGGTACTGTTCCTTCTTCATTATACTTTACCTTTACTTCAAACAAATCTCCTACTCCATCACCTGCAAAACATCCCCATACCATGGAACTACCACCTCCATGCTGAATTGCGGTTGTAACACATGGTGCTCTCAGATGTTCACCAGTTTATCTGCGGACATAGACTCTGCATTTTGAACCAAACAGTGCAAACTTGTTTCTAGTCATCATAAGTCCAATTTTTGTGAGCTTTTGCCCACTCATATCTCTTTTTCTTCTTCTGTGGACGAAGTAGTGTTTTTTTTCAGATACACAACCCTTCAGACCAGCCTTTCTCAAACGTCATTTCACCGTAGTAAGAGATATGGGTTTCGACCTTGTCATGTTGATTTCCTCCCTTATTTTTGGTGCTGTCTTTTGCTGATCTCTCTTACTGGTGACAATGCTATGTTTATCCTCTGCTTTTGTAGTAACTCTCTTTAGTCCAGGTCTTTTTCGATCATCATAACTTCCAGGTTCCTCTAGTCTCTTCAGAGTGTAGTGGACTCTTTTGTTAAACACCTGTAGGTGTTTTGCAATTTCTCTTTCTGTGTATCTTTCTTTCCTAAATGTACAAATCTGTACTTTTGTTTCTTTACTCAGTTGCTTCTTTCTAGTCATTTTTGCGGTAGTTTGAACACAGTTAAGATTTATTAGGATTTTTGTATGCAGACTCTCAAAAGCTAAAAAGTTGAAGTGAATAATCCAACTGTGATTTTATTTTTTGCTCTTGCACTGAGGTTGTCATTCTTGCAAATGTTTTCAACCCTAAAACTAAGCCCTTAATACCTTTTGCTGACAATTAGCAATGGTCTGTTAACGTCAATGTATCTAAAGGTAAATGGAGTAAAATTGTGCATTTCCATGAAAGCAACATCTGATCATGGAGTATACATCCCAAAATACATAAAACTCATGCTGGATTTTAAAAAAAGCATTGTGAACAAAAACTTGAAGTTACTCCCAACTGTTCGGCCTGTAATGGCTTTGCTTCCAAACTTTTGGCCTGTAGTGTAAATTGCTACCTGTGGTTCTCAGATATACTGAAACACATTTACACCACAGACATGCTGGCCATTATCCAGACAAGCTGGTGCTGGCTGCAGTTTTTGCTTGTGCCATTACAATATTGGTTTCGGTCATGTTGTTTCGGTGATAAGTCTTTCGGCCAAAACAGGAAATGCACATTGGGGCCATTTTCGGCCCAAATTTTTGGTGGTTTCAGTGCATCCCTAGTAAAAACAACCATATTATTTTTACACCAATCGTCCTTGCTTTTATTCTGTTATCCTTCAGTTGACGCAAGCACCACTGTACAAATAAATATGAAATGGACTCAATCTGTCATAGTTATAGAGAACTTTCATTCCTGGTAACATCATATATCATCTGGTGTCTCATGAGCCCAGGCAACTGCACACCACTGGTGGCTCAAGATTTCTATTAACAGTGTATGTTTTCTTTAAACAGATGAGGGAATAAGCCAATCTTTTAAGATGGTAGAGTCGCCTCTTGGGTACCCTATTTGGTTCTACAAGATAAGGACATGCCAACCCTGGCCACCCTCTGAACACGCCCCTGCCTGGTTAGCATCACATATTGCATGTTTAATTGAGGCAGGCATGCAAGGAAGATCGACAGTCTGCAAGAGTTTATATCTGACCCGGCCTGTTTTCTACGAGATGAATTATTAACGGGCAGAGGCAGCGGTTCCTCCCCGGAGCTTCAACAGCAGCATCCCGCTAAATGTCACCAGCTAACGTCGTTAGCAAAGACCCTCCCCGACAGCTGATTAACGTGTCGTTTTAACATCCAGACAGCTTGACATAGCTGCTAAGGTGCTGTTTTAACAGATACCTGCGCAACTACACAGGTCCTTGAAGCTGTTGGCAGCCCAGCAGTCAGAGTCAAGCTCACCCGTCCTCTACTAGCGGGGCCTTAGCGGGTTAGCCGGACAGGACAACTAGCTTCTGCTCGATAAAATATAACGACTCAAGTCTTTATTATCTATAATAACGGCTGCACCAACGCCACCCTGTTACGTCAAAATGTAAAATGTCTAATATTGCAGCCACAGAGCCGCCAGCTTACCTTCTCCTTCTTGGTTTTGTTAGGCATCTTGGCTGTGCTGGAGGGTCCTTTTCCAGGGACGCTCCGTGATGTTCTTCCCCGGGAATCAGACGCTGTCACTCGGTCTGTCTCGGCTCCCGAAGCCCGTCCCCGACACGACCAATCCCATTGGCTGCTTAAGCACACTACTGCCTAGCAACCCGCAGAAAGATTTTTCTGATTGGCTGCCGTAGAGTTTTATGAAGAGGGTGAGGCTGAAGGGAGGTGAGGCAGGACCTGAGTCTTCCCCAGCAACAAAACATCTTCAACCTGATGATACTGAACAGCGTCTGACCACGTGCTCAATGCTAATCACTCATTTTATTACGCAAATAATTTTATCACAATTTTCTTTTGTTGAATCTCTGTTTGAGTCAGTTCTCCAGGTGAGGGATTGAAACACAGGTACAGCGCTCAACACTGAAGCAATTTTACAGCAAACAAGTATATAACCTCAAAAATTTAATAAAGGACAACAATTATTATTTTCCATTTAGGTGCATGGTAAGGACCATCAAGATGCTACGGAAAGCCAGGAAAAAAATTACCATTCTTTACACAAACAAACTCAGGTGTAATTATAAAGGAATATTTACTTAATTAAGAACTTCATGTAGTGATTGGAGGGTTGAAAAGTTAAATAATAATACCAAGCAACACCACCTGGGGAGTCACTCTCCAGGAAATAATTAAATAATTGTAATTGAAAGACACACAAGGTTAAAAATTACCACAGGGCCAGAGACGGTTTGTACAAAATATATGAAAGTCTTTATTAAACAAATGACCAATAACTTCAGAACATCCAAATCAACTGCAACACTCAATTTCAGTATGGCCAAATGGACAAACAAAAGAAAAAACCCTAGGATAGGGCTGGAACATACCGTGGCAGCCCTAGAAAAAAAAAAAAAACGGAAGGAAGAACTAACATATACACACACACACAAACAAACAAACACACACACACACACACACACACACACACACACACACACACAGCAACCATAAAGCAATAAGGACAAATAAAATAACCCAAAAGACAAATAAATGTCTAATATAATCAAACTCAACAAATTTGCTAACGAAATAAACAGCATTCCACTGAACCCTATTAAAAATTCATGGTAATCAACAATTAAAAGGCCAGGCGCTGGACAGGCCAAACAGTGCTCCATGATTGAGGCCAACATTCATTGATACAAAGACAGCAACAACAACACCATTCAATCCTAAGAAGTGAAGCAGAGCAGAAAACAGCATTGCTGTTCAGGAACTGTAACTGTCTCCACACACCAAGTGTGAGTGAAATCACTTGTGCAAACGAATTACATGTTAAATCAATGCAAAGACGCTCGTACTACTCTGGCATGAATGATGTGAATTGGGGGGAGCTGAAAATGTCTCAACTTGAGCAAATATTCGTGTCGCGAAAAGGTTGCCAGGTGACATATGAAAACAGACGGATGGTCACTGGTATCTAAAATGTTGACACAGGTCCAAAAGCAGAGAGGGCAGGGCGAGAGCTACAGCTACATTATCCAGTGGTGCGGTGCCGCCCATCAATCAAAGCTATAGGTGAACTGACACAGCGCCCCGCTGTGAGATAAGAAAAACTTTATCAAACTTTATTGATCCCCAGAGGGAAATTAAATTGTCTGTTGTCTCACGTAACATGTCTATAAAAGTTATCTATTATTTACATAAGAGTTATAAAGCCTGATGGCTGTTGGTACAAAAGATTTTCTAAATCTTTTTGTCCTGCAGCGAAGAGAGAGGAGCCGTCCACCACCATTTGCCCTTTGGTCCATCAAGGTGTTTTGAAGTGGGTGATCCATGTTCTTCAGAATAGTCTCCACCTTCCTCAGTGTAGATCTCTCCACCACATCCTCCACTGAGTCCAGCTTGAGTCCTACCACAGAGCCAGCCTTTTTCACCAGTTTGTTAAGACGTCTTGCATCTTTGTGTTTGATGCGTCCTCCCCAGCAGAACTTGCCACCACAGATTGATAAAACATCTGCAGCATCTTACTACAGATGTCTATTGATTGGAGTCTTCTCAGGCAAAAGAGGCAGCTCCCCTTTCTGTAGATGTAGTCTATATTCTTAAACCAATCCAACTTATTATCCAGATGTGCACCTAGGTATTTATATGAAGTCACCACTTCGATGTCTACTCCTCAGGTGTTCACTGGCTGAAGAGGGGGTTTGGATCTATGACCATCTCCTTTGTCTTTGAGGTGTTGAAGAGGAGGCAGTTTTTGTGACTCCAGTCACTGAAGGCTCTTATTAGATCTCTGTATTCAGCTTCTTGTCCATTTCTGATACATGCCACAATAGCGGTGTCATCTGAGTATTTCTGGATGTGGCAGGACTCAGTACTGTATTTGAAGTCTGACGTGTACAGTGTGAACAGGAATGGCGCCAGCACTGTCCCTTGTGTAGCCCCTGTACTGCTCATTAATGTCCCAGAAACACAGTTCCCCAGCCTGACAAACTGTGGCCTTCCTGTCAGGTAAACTGCGATCCAGGAAACACAGGAAGGATCCACTCCCATCTCTGTGAGCTTGTCTTTGAGTATGGTGGGTTGGATGGTGTTGAATGCACTTGAAAAGTCGAAGAACATGATCCTCACATAAACCCCAGGTTCCTCCAGATGAGACAGGGCACGGTGAAGCATGTAGAGGACAGCATCATCCACTCCAATGTGTTCTTTGTATGCAAACTGCAGGGAGTCCAGTTTGTCTTTGACCTCAGTCCTTAGAAGGCGCAGAATCAGCCGCTCCAGGGTCTTCATGATGTGTGAAGTGAGGGTAACTGGTCTGTAGTTATTGAGTTCAGCTGGACTTTTCTTTTTGGTACTGGCACAATGCAGGATTTTTTCCACAGAGTGGGTACCTGCCCCAGCTGTAGACTCAGGTTGAAGATCTTGTGGAGAGGTTGACACAGTTCTGCAGCACAGTCTCTAAGCAGCCTTGGACACACACCATCTGGACCACCTGCCTTCCCAGGACAAAGTCTTCCAAGCTCTATCCTCACCCCTGTTTCGGTGACAGACAAGGACTGGTGTTCTAGGAGGGAGGCAGTTGAAGTGGTTGAGACATTTGAACGAGATGGAGGAGGAAGGGGAGAAGTTGTAGTGGAGATTTGTTGCAGAGAGGAAGGTGGAGTAGCAGTGGAAGTGGGAGTGACAGCAGTGTCAAATCTGTTGAAGAACAGGTTGAATTCATTAGCTCTTTTCACATCACCCACCACTGGCTGTCTTTTCTTTTGACTGCTGTGTCCAGAGATGGTACTGATTCCTCTCCACACTTCACAGATGTTGCTGTGTTGTAGATTCTTCTCTATCTTCTTTTTGTACTCCAACTTTGCCATCTTCAGTCTCCTCTTCAACTCTTGTTGCACTTGTTTGAGTTGTTCTTGGTCACCATCTTTAAAAGCTTTCTTTTTCTGGTTAAGGATTGCTTTTATGTCTCTTGTGATCCAGGGTTTGTTGTTGGGGAAACAGCGAACAGTTTTTGTGGGTATAACTGTGTCTCTACAGAAGTTGACATAATCAGTAAAGCAGTCAACCTGTTTATCAATGTTCATACTATCCACATCTGTTTCCAGCAGCACATTCCAGTCTGTTGATTTAAAACAGTCCCTTAGAGCTTCACTGGCTTGAGGTGTCCATCCTCTGATTTTGACTTTGGTCACAGGCTGCCTCAGTACACAAGGTCTGTAACAGGTTTGCAGATAGACCAAGTTATGATCTGACTTGCCCAGTGGTGGTAAGGCAGTGGCTCTGTAGGCTTCTTTGACGTTGGCATACAGCAGATCCAGGGTTTTGTTTTCTTTGGAAGGACAGTTCACAAACTGTGTGAATCCAGTCAGGTGAGAGGAGAGGGTGACATGGTTGAAGTCTCCTGATATTATTATTAATGCCTCAGGGTGTTGAGTCTGTAGCCTGGCAACACTATTTTGCAAAACATCGCAACATTCTTAAGTTGATTAGGGAGGAATGTAAACAACTACTGTTATGATATGACTCATTTCTCTTGGAACATGATATGGCCGAAGAGCAACTGCCAACGGTTCAATATCTGGACAACACAACATCTCCTTGACAGTTATGTGTGAAGGGTTACACCATCTCTGGTTGACGAATGAAGCCAGACCTTCTCCTTTCTTCTTGCCACTAGCTCGAGCATCTCTGTCTGACCTTATGAGAGTGAAGCCAGGTAGATCCACACTGGAGTCCGAGTTGCTTTGATTCAACCAGGTCTCAGTAAAACACAGGAAACTTCACTCATGGTATGCTTTCTCAGTCTTCACCAATATCTCCAGTTCATCGCTTTTGTTGGGCAGAGAGTTGACATTTCCCATGATGATTGATGGAAGAAAGGGTTTATATTGCCACCTCCTAGCATTCAGCTTTGCCTTCACCTTTGCACCAGCACGGCATCCACGATAACACCTCCTGATGTCCTCTGGAATTGTATGTTGTTGTCCAGATTTGCTTTTCCTCAATGAAAGGAGCTCTTCTCTTGAGTAAACTCTTCAACCAGCAGTATCCATCAGCAGCCAACAAAATTATAACAAAAATATGAAAAAACAATCTAGCAAAAATTACAGATAATACAGAGAGACCAGACTTGCAGCAACCTCTCGGTTCAAGCGCATCATTTGAGATGGAGTGCACCATGCTCTAACAAGGGGAATGCACAGTGCTCCGTCTGCATTAAGTTCCAATTTAAAATAAGTGATCCTCACCCAAGTCTCTCTTTTTACCCCCTTACATTTCTCACAGCTTACTGAAGCTTTGACTTAATTGAATTCACCAGATTTTTGAATACTCGTACTTTATGGCTAAAAAATACTCTAATCTGTAGAGTATGGTATTTTGTAATAAATGTAGCGACCCATCAGTTAATTCAATTTAGGTTGAAAACATGAAATCCTTTCATCTGCAGCTTAATCTGTAATGTAGCAACTCATAATATAAGAAACTGTAACACTATAACATTACGCACAAAGATGTTATCACTTTTTTTGTTGTTGTTGTTGTTTTTTTACATTATGAGCCATTATTCCATTGAGTTGCTACCGGTGATGCTGTAGGTCATGTTTCATCTGAAAAACAGGCTTTTCTTTTAATAATCAAACTATCTGAACATGTCTGTATTAAATGGAGGCTTGCAAATTAAAACAAACATTACAGAGGTGTTAATTTGGTCCCACCTGCTCCTTATAAGGCTATTATTACACCATTTAACACTGTTCTTTTTATATTCACAGACTGTAATTTTTGGAAGAAAATAGAGACTGTTAACCATCAGTAACATACTACGCCGCCAGGGACTCAAATCCTGCACTGCCAGACGTGTTCCCCTGCTTAAGCCAGTACATGTCCAGGCCCGTCTAAAGTTTGCTCGAGAGCATTTGGATGATCCAGAAGAGGATTGGGAGAATGCCATATGGTCAGATGAAACCAAAATAGAACTTTTTGGTCAAAACTTAACTTGTCGTGTTTGGAGGAGAAAGAATGCTGAGTTGCATCCCAGGAACACCATACCTACTGTGAAGCATGGGGGTGGGAACATTATGCTTTGGGGCTGTTTTTCTGCAAAGGGACCAGGACGGCTGATCCGTGTAAAGGAAAGAATGAATGGGGCCATGTATCATGAGATTTTGACTGAAAACCTTCTTCCATCAGCAAGGGCCTTGAAGATGAGACGTGGCTGGGTCTTTCAGCATGACAATGATCCCAAACACACTGCCTGGGCAACAAAGGAGTGGCTTCGTAAGAAGCATGTCAAGGTCCTGGAGCGGCCTAGCCAGTCTCCAGATCTCAACCCCATAGAAAATCTTTGAGGGAGTTGAAAGTCTGTGTTGCCCAGCAACAGCCCCAAAACATCACTGCTCTAGAAGAGATCTGCATGGAGGAATGGGCCAAAATACCAGCATCAGTGTGTGAAAACCTTGTGAAGACTTTCAGAAAACGTTTGACCTCTGTCATTGCCAACAAAGGGTATAAAACAAAGTATTGAGATAAACTATTGTTATTGACCAAATACTTATTTTTTCACCATGATTTACAAATAAATTCTTTAAAAATCAGACATTGTGATATTCTGGATTTTTTTTTCTCATTTTGTCTCTCATAGTTGAGGTGAACCAATGATGAAAATTACAGGCCTCTCTCATCTTTTTAGGTGGGCGAACTTGCACAATTGGTGGCTGACTAAATACTTTTTTGCCCCACTGTATGTTGCTCCAAAACCTGTATGTACCTTTCAGCATTAATGTTGCCCTCACAGATGAGTAAGTTACCCATGCCTTGGGCATTAATGCACCCCCATACAATCACAGATGCTGGCTTTTGAACTCTGCAATGATAACAGTCCAGATGGTTCTTTTCCACTTTGGCCCGGAAGACACAATGTCCACTATTTCCAAAAACAATTTGAAATGTGGACTTGTCAGACCACAGAACACTTTACCACTTTGCATCAGTCCATCTTAGATGAGCTCGGGCCCAGAGAAGCCAGCAGCGTTTCTGGATGTTGTTGATGAACGGCTTTCGCTTTGCATTGTAGAGTTTTAACTTGTACTTATAGATGTAGCGACAAACTGTATTTACTGACAGTGGTTTTCTGAAGTGTTCCTGAGCTCATGTGGTGATATCCTTTACACATTGATGTCGGTTTTTGATACAGTGCTGCCTGAGGGATTGAAGGTCATGGGCATTCAATATTGGTTTCCGGCTGTGTCGCTTACTTGCAGTGATTTCTCCAGATTCTCTGAACTTTTTGATGATATTATGGACTGTAGATTTTGAAATCCCCAAATTCCTTGGAATTGTACTTTGAGAAACGTTGTTCTTAAACTGTTCGACTATTTGCTCACCCAGTTGTTCACAAAGTGGTGAACCTCGCCCCATCCTTGCTTGTGAATGACTGAGAATTTTTGGGGAAGCTGCTTTTATACCCAATCATGGCACTCACCTGTGGGATGTTCCAAATAGGTGTTCCAAATAAAGTTTATGAGTTTAAACATTAAATATCTTGTATTTGTAGTGTATTCAATTGAATATAGATTGAAAAGGATTTGTAAATCATTGTAGTGTTTTTATTTACGTTTATCACAATTTCCCAACTTCAATGGAATTGGGTTTGTACTTTCAACAGAAATGTGCACTACCTCAAGCTTCACTGACAAACTACTCTTAAGTTTTTCAGCTCATAGTTCAAACTTTTAGTCCAAAAATGCTTTGATGTCATATTACTCGAAAGCGCTGTTGGTATAAATTCTAGTCCATCATCCTTGAAAGCAGGCTGGCAGACACCAACATTACCTTTCAGAGTCTTTGAGAAACCCAGTTACCCCTCTGTCAAAATCACAAACAAAAAGACACTGTCATTCAGTTAAGTCAGCTTTTATTTCAGTCCATTTTCATCCAACACAATTGCATCTTTTCTCCATACAAAAATTACCTCAAAATAAGTATGCTTTATCTTTATAAACCATGCGACTTTGTGTCTAAGACTGTAACCAACAGCTCTGAGCTACGAGTCAAACCTGTGAAATCATAATTCAGTGAAACAAGCAAGAGCTCATTTCCAGATCATAGTGTGCTGTATATTTCAACATATTTCAGTCAAACTTCACCAACACATTCTGAGAAAATATCACAGGAATACCTCTTACAACATAAGACACAGTTTAAATTAAACACTGATGTTAGTTTATAAGTTTGAAATCAAATAATAAAAGCAACAATTTTGTTTTGTATGAGCTGCCTGTCTTACCTTACTCACAGGAAGCATGTCCTCAGAGTGAACTGTGACAGTAAATCCATCCAGGCTGAAGCAGGAGAGAGAAACATTTTAGAGCTGCTGTGCTCACTCAGAACATTTACCCACAATCAAACCCAACACATCACAGCTGTACAGTCACAAACTAACAGAGAGCGGGAGGTTCTTCCTGCAGAAGTTAGGAAGTACTTTGAGGTTTAATCAATGCTGGCACCACAAAACAACCTTGTATACCTTTGCAGGCCTCATTTTGACATGAGTAAGTGGTATTTTCTGAGAGAAAAAAGAAATCTCACTTTTCTGCTTTTTGCATGACTCATTATTGATGCCTACAGTGGGAAAAGCAAAAAATAAGATAAAAGACTGTTCTTAGTCATTTCATCAGGAGAGACAATATTGTTGAGTTTATTGCAGAAGCTCGTAACGTTGCAACACTTTAGATTCCAGTCCTTCACATAAACCATAAAAAAGTCCTTGCAGGGGTCTTGATGTTTGTCATTTTATTTTTTAACTCTTTATAATGGCCTATGTAGTGCCTATAAAAAGGCAGGTAAAGCATTTGATGAGCATTCAATAATACCAATTTCACAATGGACCAAGAGGGAAAACAAGTGAAAAAAAGAAATTCCACTCAATGTGAGGTTGAGCAATTAATGGGTGAGGCAGACACGCACAGAGTCCTATTTGGTGGGTACAGTGTGGGCATTGCTCATGATAGAAAGGCAAAAGAGTGTCACACTGTTGCTGAAGTAAAAAGAATATAAAACTTGATTTGTATGGCACATTTTGGGAACACGGTTACTGTCTGCCTTATTATTTATTTCAATGAATTTCGTAATAACTTGCAAGGTTTGTTTAACAATGATGGAACATAATTGATTCAATAATATAGGCTACATGTGTGGGTGCGTACATGTGTACGTGTGTTCCCTCGCACACTTCCTGGGGCTAAAATATAAATTTCTCCTGTTTCTTCGTTTTTGCAAATATATCCTTAATTTACAATATGTGTTGTGAAATGTGTAATATTCGATTATTTCACACAAATGAATCCATCCCACATCTCTCTACTGTTGGGGTCGCAGTTTCCCATTTCTCCAGATTTTGTGTGTATGGCAGGGTCAGAGCTACCATGGGGGTACGCATGTTCTCTCGTCAAGTTTGTTTTTTAGAAATCCCAAATGTTGCTTACTCATGGCGTATGCTTTCTTTTGCGCTTATGCAGCATTTATAAAGGAGACCGCTGAGTTACATTCAGTCTCAGGAGCATTAAAAGTATAAGGATGAGATGAGTTCGGGTAGAAAAGGTTTCAACATTATTAAGTACTGTACTGACCCCAGTATAGGACAGAGTTGTCTTCCTTATCATACACTCTTATATTCAGAGTTCAATAATTAAACTCTCCAGGGACAAAGCTGTTGTATGTAAAATAATGTTGTGTTTGTTGTATCAGCTCCAATATTAGGATAGTACACAATACCAGCTTCTACGGTAAAATCCACTGACTTTATGAGACCAGTCGTTTTATGTTGATAAACTCCATGTAGTCCTGCACCATCCAGATGCTTTTTTTTTAGTGTTTGATTTTTACAGACTGCCTGTATTTTGTCTCAAAGATGAAGAAAATCTGTGACTATTTATGTTTAAGTCTGCTGAAATTTGTTCCTTCTGTTGTTAGCTAGCTAATGCTAGACAAAAGCAGCCACTTTTGTCTGTTGGCAGTCAGAGGCTGCATCTATAATAGCTGTCCAACAATGGCAACATTTGTCTGGAAAATCTGAGTCACCTGTCAGATACACCTGGAATGCCCCTTGGAGTTGAAATGCTTTAGTAACTTGGAGCAACTTCAGGTACCTCACAGCTGAATGTGAAAAACAACAGGGGCTACATTGAGGCTGTGTCTTAATTCAGGGTCTGCACACTAGGTAGTGGGTATTCGCAGAGTGCATAACGTCATGGCACAGCGTTAAGAGTGTCGCATTTAGCTCCCAATCCCGAGGGCCCTCACAATGCGGTCTAAAAACCACCCTGCCCCTACCTTTTTTGAGTGTGAATCTTTGTGTGCCACTGAGACTTCAGACTGGCTTGAAAGCCAGAGGGACTGCTGGCAAAAAAACACCAATTGTGTAAATTACATTTGTGCGTTCATAAATTTATGGTCCCCTAATATGTTGTCATGCAGTGTGTGTGATCACCATCATCACTGACCTCTTTATTTCAGATGCAACAGCAGTGGGGAAAAATAGGGTGTAGGAGCAAATTAAAAAACAAAAAACAAATGTAAAAACATCCTTCAAAGTGGTAAGTAGGTTTATTGAAAGATTTTATTTGTACATATGTCAGCATGTAAACAGCGATTTCCTCACACTGCCTTGATGAGGAGCTGAAAATGCAGTTTAACATAATATAACAGATTCAGTGAACAGTTTTACCTTGCTCGAGTTTCCTGCACAGCACCAACTACCTGAAGATACGGGAGTCGTGCACAGAACCCGGATTCTTTGCTTCAAGGCTAGTGACCATCATCTGATGGATACATGTCATCAGCAGACACATTTGGGGTTAAAAGGAGTTTTCTAGTCTGCTTCACTAAATTCTAAATGATGACTGAAATGCCACATGAAACTGGAACTTGGCAAATATTAGTGCATTAATGCATTAAGGTAGCATGGTAGCATTAATCCTACTTTAATATTGAGGCTGTGGAAGTTTTTGGGGTTTCATAGTCTGCCCCACCTGGCCCCAGACTGACTGGATTCAATATCCAAATGCATACATAAAGTATTATATGTGAACTTGCCATTTATGAACCTACCTGCTAGTGCATAAACCCCCTCTTTGATGGCATGCAGGGGCAAATGGCCAGGGAAAACAACAAACATGTCCAGCAGATCCGTCAGTGCCCAAGCAACTTTATGAACTGCTTTGCAGCAGGTGTTTTTGCTGAGGCTTTCTGCATCTCCTACAGCATACATGAAAGTGCCTGTGGGTTTTGTAGAAGAAATGAATAAGTAGAGGAATAAAGTAGGCTAATGCAAATTCTTCTTTAGTCTTTTTAAGCACTTTGAGGTCACTAACAAAAAACCCTATAAATTCTGATGCATTATTATTATTATCATGCAAGCCATGCTTTGTCAGTGTAAAATACCATGAACATAATTAGACAACTAAATCTGTATAAATACTCCCCAGTGGCAAAAAACCTCAATGCAAGGCAGACAGTCTTCGGGACTGTGAGCGCCCAACTGCGGTGGGTAACGTTGGTCACGTAAGGCTCCAACAGCTCACAAATGTATCACAGACCATCCAAGGAAAGGCTGTAACGTTCATAGAGAACTTAATCAGGTAAATCAAATCCGTGGGATCCGGCAAAAGTGGGCAAGCCATTTTCCAAGAGATCCAATTGGTCAGTGGGTGGCCTGATCTTATCCTGAAATATAACCTGCTGCAGAGCAGGTTTGGCGTTCCACCTAAGTTACCGGGACAACGGACCCGGATAGAAAGAAATCTACCTTCATCGTACGGAAAACCCAGGTATTATCCAGCAGTTATCTCACTAAGGTCAAATCCAGCGTCATAGTACAGGCCTCAGATCTGCTCTACAACAATCAAAAACATTAGGAATAAGAAAGATGCCAAAACATATGCCATCATGAAGAAATTTTGTGGAAATGATCTTTTGAGTCTTTTCCTCATTTCAGTTGTCACTTTGTTGTTTGTTGTATATCGTCACCCTATTAAAATAATGGCCTATGTCATTTTTTTGACCAAAATGAGTAAAAAATGACAAATCACCTACCTACTATCCAGAAAGGCTATGACAAGGCCGTATCGGCCAATCGAACCTGATTGTAACCATTTACGTTAATGTGTCAATTTCCACCGGCTCCTTCCGTCTGGCTGCGGATCACCTGACTCCGCAGCTGATCACAAGAGTTATTTTTTTTTCCGGACGCCGGAGCATGCCGGATAAATTCAGCACAGACTAACCCGTGCTGGAAAGTAAGTCGGGCACAGACACAAAATGAAACATCCGGCTTCTTTTCAAAATAAAACACTATGTGTTTCAGGTGGATCATATTTCACACCTTGCAAACGTGCGGGACAAACAAGTGAAAGGTTTTTAAACAGCAATTCACCCTGAGGACACCATGGATGGGGAGATGCTGATTCTAGGGCTGTGTCCGAAGTGGATCACTCAATCTCTCAACCCTAACCCCCATATGGGATTTCGCTATGGGGCTGACTATGTAGTGAGCTCAATCACCGGAGATTTCGGACACTACATAGCGCACAGTTGTGACGTCACTGCTCAAACTGCCGTGGGGGAAGCAATGCATGACGGGATGCCCACCATCACTGAGTGACCATCAGATGGTCACTATATTTTGCAATGCTCTTTGGGAAATTTTGAGTCGCCTACATTAGAGGATGACATTTTTCTGGAATGCCCATGGGTCACATAATTCCCGCGGGAATCTCATGGGATGGGATTAGTTAATCCTGTGATCAGGATGGGACGGGGAAAAAAAAGCAACGGGAGCGGGCAGGAGCGGGAACAACATTAATAAATGATCATTTTCAGCCGTGTTAAACAACCAGATGAACAGATGCGTCCATTTTTGTAGTCATCTCTCAGTGAGAGCCAACACTCTTGACCGCGCTAGCAACACAAAAAAACTACAACAGTGGTTTGACTGCCTGTCCCCACCGGAAGTGAAAAGCGACTCAGAGCGGCTGACAGCCGTTTTATTCAAACGGGAGCGGGAGTAAATTTGAGTGGGAGAGGGATGGGAGTGGGAGTCATTCTACGGGAGTGGGACAGGACAGGATTAATTTTTTTACTCCGATCCGGGATTGGGAGGGGACGTGATTTTTTCTCTGGGAGTGGGATGGGACAGGAGTGAAAATCCGCTCCTGTGTCATGTTTTAGCCTACATGGGGCATTGGAATTGCTCACTTAGGTTTCGGACACCCCTCAAAATGGCAGTAACCCCCATATAGTCACCTATATAGGGGTTAGGGATCCATTTCGGACACAGCCTAGAAGTCTAGAAGTGGATTTCCTTCTCAGGAAGGACACAATCTACTGCTTATATGGCTATGTGGCTGTCTTTATAAAGACAACTTGTTATTGCACATGAATCCGCAGGTTCTTGTGAGTTCTCACGATTCCTGCTGTCCGTAATCCACCACGTAATTTGCCCCACAAACAGATCCGGAAGGAATTGGCGAAAAGCAAAAAAATTAGGCCGTTCGAGATCAGAGATGTGGTGAAAATTCAGGGTTACGGCTCAAACCCACGGGATCCAGAAAAGGCAGGGACATTTGGTGATGCAACCAGGAGGTCCTCTGGAAGGTAGACTGTCCCAGGTCAGAAAAGTGCACTTAGCAGTGTGCACACCCTGAATTGAGACAGCCTGAGTTTCTTTTCAAACTCACAACTTTCGAGGTCATTCCAATTCACTTTTAGAAGCAAGTTGTTGGCTGTATCAGAAGTCACAGACTTTTTCTCATTATAGAAATACAAACAGTAGAACTGTTTCCATGCACATCTTCTCCTTTAGCTGGTTCCAGAGCCAATAAACCTGTGCTCTTTTTGCATAACAGGACCTGGGTCCTTCATTTACACTCATGACCACCTATTTTATTCATGTAACTTTTAAATGATGTAGTGTTTTCAGTATTTTCTAAAAAAGTTGTCAAAGATACTTTATACATCTTTTTTTTTTAAACAAGTTTCTTTCTTATCAATCAAGTCATTTTTATTAAGTTAAAATTGTTTCTGTGTTGAGCAAGTTTGCTTTTTAACAAGTATTTTCCTAAAATCTTGTCTTGGAAAGGAAGAGGGTCATCTCATAGACAGGAGTGTCTTGAACTTCGGTCAATAAGGGCATCTCAATTTGGTGGATGTTGAATTTGATGAATAAACCTAAACCACACATTACTCATTTTCAAGTTTGTACAATGTATAAGAAGAGGAACAAAATACTGACACTACGAAACATCTTCATCCTGACTCTTAAGATTCAGTTAAAGGATTCCCATCACCATAATATGAATATTTTATTAGTTCAAACATATCAGCTTCGCCTCCAATTAGACGCATCCTGTCACTACCCTATGACTCCTCAACATGGCGCTAAAGACTGCCATAACATAATGTCTTATGTTATGGCAGAATAACTGAACTGTCATAGCATCGTTATTGAGAGCCATGTATTAGATGTTGCACTGCAAGTTAACTGTTAGGGGCCACTCCCACAGAGCCTGTTTCTAATAGACAGAACTGAACATCATTACTATACCAGGCTCTCTATTTACAGATAAAACATGCAGAGTGAGTCTGTCAGTAGAATAGATTGTAGTAATTTTGATTCAGTTCAAATTTGATTCAATTTTGATTCAAATGATGCGCAAGTCTGGTCTCTCTGTATTATCTGTAATTTTTGTAATTTATGCTAGATTTTTTTCATATTTTTGTTGTAATTTTGTTGGCTGCTGATGGATACTTCTGCTGGGCGAAGAGTTTACTCAAGAGAAGAGCTCCTGTCATTGAGGAAAAGCAAATCTGGGCAAAAACATACAATTCCAGAGGACATCAGGAGGTGTTATCGTGGTTGCCGTGCTGGTGCAAAGGTGAATCCAAAGCTGAATGCTAGGAGGTGGTGATATAAACCCTTTCTTCCATCAATCATCATGGGAAACGTCAACTCTCTGGCCAACAAAAGCGATGAGCTGGAGATATTGGTGAAGACTGAGAAAGCATACCGTGAGTGACGTTTCCTGTGTTTTACTGAAACCTGGTTGAATCAAAATAACTCGGACTCCAGTGTGGATCTACCTGGCTTCACTCACGTAAGGTCAGACAGAGATGCTCAAGCTAGTGGCAAGAAGAAAGGAGGAGGTCTGGCTTTATTTGTCAACCAGAGATGGTGTAACCCTTCACACATAACTGTCAAGGAGGAGTTGTGTTGTCCAGATATTGAACTGTTGGCAGTTGCTCTTCGGCCATATCATGTTCCCAGAGAATTTAGTCATATCATAACAGTAGTTGTTTACATTCCACCCAAATCAACTAAGGAATGTTGCGATGTTTTGCAAAATAGTGTTGCCAGGCTACAGACTCAACACCCTGAGGCACTAATAATAATATCAGGAGACTTCAACCATGTCACCCTCTCCTCTCACCTGACTGGATTCACACAGTTTGTGAACTGTCCTACCAGAGATAACAAAACCCTGGATCTGCTGTATGCCAACGTCAAAGAAGCCTACAGAGCCACTGCCTTACCACCACTGGGCAAGTCAGATCATAACTTGGTCTATCTGCAAACCTGTTACAGACCTTGTGTGCTGAGGCAGCCTGTGACCAAAGTCAAAATCAGAAGATGGACACCTCAAGCCAGTGAAGCTCTAAGGGACTGTTGTGGGGACAAGTATGAACATTGAAAAACAGGTTGACTGCTTTACTGATTATGTCAACTTCTGTAGAGACACAGTTATACCCACAAAAACTGTTCGCTGTTTCCCCAACAACAAACCCTGGATCACAAGAGACATAAAAGCAATCCTTAACCAGAAAAAGAAAGCTTTTAAAGATGGTGACAAAGAACAACTCAAACAAGTGCAACAAGAGTTGAAGAGGAGACTGAAGATGGCAAAGTTAGAGTACAAAAAGAAGATAGAGAAGAATCTTCAACACAGCAACATCTGTGAAGTGTGAAGAGGAATCAGTACCATCTCTGGACACAGCAGTCAAAAGAAAAGACAGCCAGTGGTGGGTGATGTGAAAAGAGCTAATGAATTCAACCTGTTCTTCAACAGATTTGACACTGCTGTCACTCCCACTTCCACTGCTACTCCACCTTCCTCTCTGCAACAAATCTCCACTACAACTTCTCCCCTTCCTCCTCCATCTTGTTCAAATGTCTCAACCACTTCAACTGCCTCCCTCCTAGAACACCAGTCCTTGTCTGTCACCAAAACAGGGGTGAGGATAGAGCTTGGAAGACTTTGTCCTGGGAAGGCAGGTGGTCCACATGGTGTGTGTCCAAGGCTGCTTAGAGACTGTGCTGCAGAACTGTGTCAATCTCCACAAGATCTTCAACCTGAGTCTACAGCTGGGGCGGGTACCTGCTCTGTGGAAAACATCCTGCATTGTACCAGTACCAAAAACAAAATGCCCTGCTGAACTCAATGACTACAGGCCAGTGGCCCTCACTTCACACATCATGAAAACCCTGGAGCGGCTGATTCTGCGCCTTCTGAGGTCTGAGGTCAAAGACAAACTGTACTCCCTGCAGTTTGCATACAAAGAACACATTGGAGTGGATGATGCTGTCCACTACATGCTTCCCCGTGCCCTGTCTCATCTGGAGGAACCTGGGGTTTATGTGAGGATCATGTTTCAAGTGCATTCAACACCATCCAACCCACCATACTCAAAGACAAGCTCACAGAGATGGGAGTGGATCCTTCCTGTGTTTCCTGGATCACAGTTTACCTGACAGGAAGGCCACAGTTTGTCAGGCTGGGGAACTGTGTTTCTGGGACATTAATGAGCAGTACAGGGGCTCCACAAGGGACAGTGCTGGCGCCATTCCTGTTCACACTGTACACGTCAGACTTCAAATATAGTACTGAGTCCTGCCACATCCAGAAACATCAGATGACACAGCTATTGTGGCATGTATCAGAAATGGACAAGAAGCTGAATACAGAGATCTGATAAGAGCCTTCAGTGACTGGAGTCACAAAAACTGCCTCCTCCTCAACACCTCAAAGACAAAGGAGATGGTCATAGACTTCCGTAGATCCAAACCCCCTCTTCAGCCAGTGAACACCTGTGGAGTGCACATCGAAGTGGTGACATCATATAAATACCTAAGTGTATATCTGGATAATAAGTTGGATTGGTCTAAGAATATAGACTACATCTACAGAAAGAAGCAGAGCCGCCTCTTTTGCCTGAATAGACTCCGATCAATAGACATCTGTAGTAAGACGCTGCAGATGTTTTATCAGTCTGTGGTGGCAAGTGTTCTGTTCTACGCTGCAGTCTGCTGGGGGGAAAGCATCAAACACAAAGATCCAAGAAGTCTCAACAAACTGGTGAAAAAGGCTGGCTCTGTGGTAGGACTCAAGCTGGACTCAGTGGAGTATGTGGTGGAGCGATCTACACTGAGGAAGGTGGAGACTATTCTCAAGAACATGGATCACCCACTTCACAACACCTTGATGGACCAAAGGGCAAATGGTGGTGGACGGCTCCTCTCTTCTTCGCTGCAGGACAGAAAGATTTAGAAGATCTTTTGTACCAACAGCCATCAGGCTTTATAACTCTTATGTAAATAATAGATAACTCGTATGTAAATAATAGATAACTTTTATAGACATAATATGTGAGACATCAGACAATTGAATTTCCCTTTGGGGATCAATAAAGTTCTTCTTCTTCTTAACGGCAGTGTTACAGTTTCATATGCAGTCTGAGTTGCATCATTCATCTGCAGCTCAGCAGGGTTTTACTGTGAACAGGTTAACAGTTCATGTGGAGGGAACTTGAAAAACGAATCCATCTGTAGTGATTGTCAGGTGATTAACTTTTGTTTAATCTTTGGAAAGACATCTGCAGGAAAGTGTCTTCTAAGATTTATTTGTTTACACCAGTGATTCTCAATCTGAGGATCTTGGCCCCATGGGGGTCGGGAAACTATTCCTTTGAGTTGCCAAATGGTTGTGGATTGAAATATATTTTTCATGTGGTGATGATTTTTACCTTTCACCCCCTGCACCAGTATTATAATTTGTTTTAGTGCTGGCAGAAGTTCACTCAGTTGGTAACCTGCCCCAACATGGACATGGTTTCAAGCAGTAGGGTTGAGAACACCTTTGATTTTACTGTTTGGAAAATGCACAGAACCACTGCTTTAAAATCTTATTCTATTGTCCAGTTGCCGATCACACTGTAAATTAAGACAATGCACAGAGGAAGTCTCAGATCAGTCTTCAGAGCTGCTGGCTTCATCTTCGAGTTGAATAATATTGACCAATAAAGATGATCACAGCATTGTACACAACTTGAGTGTGGAATTACTTCAGTTTAAGTTTTAAAACATACAAATGGAAATAAAACTACTAACACAAAGTTGTTAATCTAATCAGACATTTGGTTCCTTGGATACACTAAAATTTGAGTTGACTTGAGGGCTGCCAGGGAACACCAATGTTTCACTGCACTATTACTGCCACATTCTTATTTCATGTACACTTTCCCATGTCATCAAACTACCATCCTCTTATACTTTACTAGCTTGAACACATCTTTTTGCAATATGAGATACACACTGTATATTTAGAACATCTAGGAGAGGTGGAGTGCTACACCGAGTCATCCCATGTACTGTACTCTGTCTAAGCCTCAATAAAAAGCTTCTTGTTCAACTGGCTGAATTGGTTTGAACTAGCTGCTGAATAAAAACGAGTGGCTGATCCTTCTTCATAATTGTCTGATTTGATTTTCAATTAATCGTTCAAAAATATTAGCGGTAGAGACAGAAGAGGCACTAAGATCCTTCATGTCACAGAAACTCTGAGACTGTTCATTTGACTAGAGGCATTTGATGAAGTGTTCTGATTGAGTTCTTAAATCTACGATGATGCATCAAACCCCATTAAATCCTCAAAGGCCATCACATAAAACCTCGTCTCTCACTGAAGCCCACTTTCTTCAGCTTATTTTAAAGATGCTTGGAAATAGTGCAGAAATAGTATTATTTAATAGTGACTAGCAGTCAGTTTACGAACTGACACTCCCTTATCCAACCCTCCCACATAGTTACACAGAGAAGAATCACTACACAGAGCACAGCTTGTGGTTTTCACCAACTTTATTAAAACTCTACGAGAAGCAACTACATTTTACAAGACGAGGGGTTTGTTTCTATTCTGACCCACACAGGGACAGTACCCACAGTTCCATGCTTCAGACACATGGGAGGGGGGTGCCTGATGCAGTTTTAATGAAACCGTCTCCTCGATCCTCTGTTAACACGTTAAATGCAGCTTTGAAAGTAACTGAGCCGCTTTTGGTCCATGCTATGACTTTTCTTTCACCAGCTGAGCTCTGCATCAGAAACGCATCATCGTTATAACTCAAAATGGAAATAAAGGAACTTATGAACTGAAATACAAAACATGAAAACAAATAAGTACAAAACTTTACCTTCTGGTGAAGGAAGGACTTGCAGTGTGAAAGCGTGACAAAGACAGCACTGTTTCATGGAGCAGTTTTTAGGAGTCCTTCTTAATGGAGTCCCTCCATTAAGCCCACATGGGAAGGTGGATATCCATTTGGTCAAAAATAAATGAACGTTTATTACAAAGAGCTATCCACACAGTCTGATATGAATTGGATGGCATAGAGAACAGAGCAACGCTGCAACAAGTGACGGGTAACAATCAGATTTCCGTTTGTTGAAACTCAGGTTTACAATCACACTGAGAACACAAGAAGTGCATATCTGTTCTGTTACTTGTACTGCAAAAGAAACTTCCAATGCATTTTTTTCTAACTGTCAGCCAGGGAGGGCTCAGCTGCAAGAAAATAAAACTGTGCTGTGGTCTACAAAAAACAGCTCTTGATAAACCATTACTACCTGTCAAAAGGATCAAGGTCTAGCTATATGCATCTATGTGTCTTTGTCTTGAGACCTCTGGTATCTGTGGAAAATAAAATGGCAAGGCTTGAAAAAAAAAAAAAAAGGATCATAACTTGTGTCCACATCTTAACTGACATTCCAAACCGTTTCAGAGAAAACATCAACCTTTAACCTGGAACAACAAACCCTGTCCCTTTAGTACCATGACCCCTTTCAGTTGTCCTTTGATCCCAGACGAAGGGCCTCTGAACCAACACAGACAAACACTTTTAGACACATAATGTGGCTTATCACTCTGTTTCACAGTGCTCCAGTGAAAGGCAAATTTACCTTTCTCTTGCCTTCATTAAGTCCTTGGTGGCATATAAGTTGACTATGTTTATTCAGAAAAAATCTGTCACTTCAATGCATCAGGTTTTTTGGATAATCAAGTTTGCTGGAGCTGTCTTTATTCTAGTTGGACCCAGTTTTCAATACATAAAAAATTTGGGGCATAAATGAGTATGGAAAACACTGAGAATGAGGAGGTTTAACTGAATGGTAATCACAAAGATAAGGTTGGTGTTTTAAAAGTCACAAGTCTCTCAGGGGGGAGTGCTATTCTTATCACTGCAGTGTAAATGACGTCGTCTTAACATCCTAGAAGGTGAGGTGCTTGTTAAGCATCTCCTCTCTATGTTCCCATCAAACCGTTTGGTGAGCTCCTATTCAAAATTAAAATCATACTCAAAGTCCAGAGAAGTCATGTCAGAGGGGAGGCCCAGGGTTTCAGGTGTGATCTCGCTCATCTCAGGGCCCCCCTCGCTTTTTGTATCCTCTACGACCTGCAAACCAGAGCCAGGTTCTGATTTGCTGAGCCCCCTCGAGTCTGAAGCTGCTGAGTCAGAATCTCCAGAAGCAAGATCAGGTTCAGGCTCTGACTGGCTCTGCTGCTGCTGATGCCTGGTCTGGTATCTGGTTTGGGATCTGGTTTGTCGTACAGGACGGGGGGCAGGAGGAGTTTTCTTTGTTGGAGTTGTTTTGCCTCTAGTTTTTCGACCTGGTTTGGACTCAAGTACTGAAGCTGCGTCAGGGTGGGTCTCTGGATGAGACTGGGACTGGCTGTCCTTGTGTGGTTCAGACTGTGGCTCTGTTTCATTTAAAGGGGTCAGATTGGGCTGGGACTGGATTTGAGAAGGTTGTGGCAGCTCAGCATCCATTTGGGAAGCAGGTTCAGAAGAAAAGGACTGCTTTGGGGGGGAATTCTGAGCCTTAGAAAAATCTGCTGGATTGAGTATTGGTTGGTTTGTTTGGACAGATGTTTTGGATGGAGCAACCTCAGCTGGGGTTGACTGTAATGACCAAACAGATGAAATTTGAATGGGTTGTGGACTTGGTGGCTTTTCATTAAATTTTGGCTGGACATTGGGACTCAGTTGATTTTGATTGTTCTCCGGCTGGGTTTTAGGACCCACTTGATTTCTGTCCTCTTCTTGCAGGGTTTTAGGACTTGGTTTGGCTTTTTCCTTTTCTGGCAGGGTTTTAGGACTTGGCGGGGCTTTGTTGGATTCAGAGTGTGAAAGTGTACAAACTGCAGATGAGGGTTGGGACTGGGTGACTGACTCATGCCAAGGTTTGGGGTTTTGTGCTTGTTGGCTGGATACTTCACTTTTGTTGATACTGCTCCCCTCAGCTCTTGCATCTGTAATGTTTTTGGTGATGGATGAGGTACTTGACTGGCTAATGCCACTATAGAAGATACCAAATAAGTCCTTGGCTTTGGCTGCAGCCAGATGACTCTTATGTTTCTCAGACTTCTGAACTGCTTCACCCATCTTCATAAGAGGTGGAGGCTTGACAAATACAGTGCGAGTCTGCTCACTCTCTGGTACACCAGGAGCTGCCACATCAGAAACAATTTTGATCATTGTGGGTTGTGGAGGTTTAGCTACAGAGGGAGCACAGGTAGTTGTAGATGACAGTGCAGTGGTGGCCTTGATGAATAAAGATGTAGATTCTACTGGCTTAGCCTTTGTTTCAGTTTCTGCAGGCTTAGACACAGGTGGTGCAGGTTTAACCTGAATTTGTGAAAGTTTTGTAACAGGTGGGACAGGTAAAGAAATAGGCTGTGGGGGTTTGACCCCACATGCTGCAGGTATGGAAACAGGTGTTTCAGGTGTGAAAGTAGGTGGTGCAACTGTAGAAACAGTTGGTGCAGGTCCTTTTCCAGATAGTGGTGGTTCAGAAATGGGTGGATCTGTTTTAGCCTTAGAAAGCTCAGGACCTGATCCTGGCAGCAGAGGTTTACTCTGTTCTCTACTATATGATGTACACTTTCCCTGGGGTGGCACAGGAACATTCGGGATATCTGCATATTTCTTTAACATTGGTAGGTGTGGTGGAGGGGGCCCCAGTATACTGTTGCTTTGGGGTTTGATAGACAAGAAGGTGTTAAAAGGTGCAGGTTTACCCATCATTGCTGTTTTTCGCGTGACTGCAGCGGGCGCAGGGAGGTTGGGCCTTATTCCTCTTCCTCTTCCTCGGTTGTTAATGTTGGACACCCAAGGAGGAGGCGTGTTCTGAGGGCCTCCGAGCTTATGGGCAATCTCCTGAGCAACAGCCATAGACTTTGCAAAGGAATCTTCCACTGGTACGTGTTTGTCTGCTGCAGCCTCTTCTTCATCCTTGATGAACTCTGCTGCAGCTTTCTGAGCCTCCTTTGCCAAGACATTCTCCTTCTTTTTCCACGTAAACCGTCCAAATGACATTGTTACAGCCACACTTGCTGGTTTGCCTGCTTCCAGACTCTGCTTGCGGAGTTTTGCCCTCATGGCTGGACTGGGTCCACAGAAGACTTTAGGCAGATCATAGGGTTTTTGTGGAAGCTCTGTCTTGCTAGTCTCTGATTTTGCTGTTGGTTTCTCCGGTTCAGGCTTTTTGGAGACATCCCTCTCGAATTTGGGCTTTCCTTCATCCCACTCTCTGTCATACTTGGATTTGGAGTCTGAATATTTACCATGTTTGTACCTGTCCTCATCATCTCTCGGGCCGTGTTTAGGACGGTCATCATACCTATCATCCCCATCCCTGTGATGTCGGTATCTGTACTGCTCCTCTCTGTCGTATTTGTGTCTGTCCTCTTCTTCCGCCCTGCTGTAGCGGTATTTGTCATCCTTTCTACTAAATTTATACTTGTCACTCTCATCTTTTTTACCATAAATAGGTTTCTCCTCTTCAAAGATTTTCTCATCTTTAAAATCATCCTCTTTCTTGCTTGGCTTTGGTTTTTCCTCCTGCTCCTCCTTCTTTAGTTTAACTTTTTCCTCTTTTAGAACCCCATCTTCATCTTCCCTCTTTTTCTCCTTGTCCTTCTTATCCTTTTTGTGTTTGGACCTTTCCTCCTTATCCTTGTTGCCTTTCTCATTGTCCTCATGTTTGCGTTTCTTCCCACTTGTCTCCAGGGCCAGCCCTGCCTGGCGGTCAAGGTTCCTCCTCTGTTCATACAATGGATTCTCATACATTTGTTTCTGGAGGCAATAAAACAAAAAAACAAGACAGTGATGGAATTACAGAAGGAATTTCTACTTGACATCTAATGCATCTTACATAGTAACATCTTTTAAGGTAAAAAAGTTATATTAGGTACTCCATGAGTTAAAACACTTACTTTTAAGTGCACAGTACAGTGCAAAACACAATAATTGCAATATCTAAATAAAAAACTCATGTACAGCACACTGTCTGAGCTTCTGTTCACACTTCACTATAATCACATTCTTGTAAACTTCCAACTGATAGTTCTTTCTTTCCCTAAAATATAATAATTAAAAAACTTGTTCCCTAGAATCTCAAACATCCACAAACACAACACTGAACAGAAAGAGCCTTAAATTATGTTTCACAGGATGTCTCTCATATTACAAGATTGTTCTAATTTTCTTTGCTTAGATGTTGTCCTTGCTGAGAAAGAAAACATCCTTCTTTAACCAAACTGCAGTACTGGTTTATTATTTCCATTTGTAAGATAAGTGTCTATTTTATATCTGTACCTCTTAAAGCTGAAACCTTTGACCTATTAGAAAGCTCAAATGTCTCACATGGACTTGAATTTATGATTTTTGGGATAGAGCCACTATAATTTCAAATTCCTATCACCTCTTCTTCATATGAAAGCAGCATAATCCACAGATCTTTAAAGGTTCACTTTCTATCAAAAAAAGCAGTCTGTGTCCTGTCTTTGAATAACCACTGGGAACAAGGACTTTTTTTTAAATATTATTTTTATCCCCTAATCATTATAAAAAAATCTACTAACCTTACCTGTTTGGGGGGCAACAGAAATAAAATAAGAGAATTTAAACCCCAAATCCAAAAAAATAAGGACGCTTAAATGTCAATAAAGAATTTAATGGTTTTCAGATCACTGAAACCAGAGCCAAGACAACATACCAGATGTTCAAACTGACAAACGTTTTTGTTTCATAAAAAAATATGATCATTTCAAATTTGTTGCAAGCAACACATTTCTAAAAGTAGTTACAGGGTCATGTTTCCAGGTGCCTGTCAGAACTGCATCAGTCCAGTTTCTCAGCAGGACTCTTCTACGACAGAGCCATGCTGTTGTAATCCCTGTAGTCAGAATGTGGTTTGTCATTGTCTTGCTGAAACATGAAGGTCTTCCCTGAAAAAGTCAGAGTCTGGATGGCAGCAGATGTTGCTCCTAAACCTGTAGATATTGTTCAGCATTGGTGGAGCTTTCACAGATGTGGAAGATACCCATGACATGGACTCTGATGATTTTCATACTATCAGGGATGCTGGCTTTGGGAGCTGAGAACAAGCCAGGTGGACCCTCTACTCTTTGGAGGATGGAGAGTTTATGGGCGCATTCCCATCAGGACTGTTCAGTTTGTTTTAAAAAGGACCATGGTCCCCCTACTCCTTAGGTCCAGGTGGTATAAACGCACACAAGAATCGTGGTCTAGATCAAACAAACTGACTATGGTCCTCTTGAAAATGCTGAACTCAAACCCCTTCTAAACGAACCATGGTCCGGTCCGTGGTGGGTGTGATCGCTGCCCTGATGCAGACGGACTTTTTATATGTCAATATATTCCAATAACATATTTACACTGTAATGAAGCCAGGAAATTATGCTCGGCCTGAAGGTTACAGCAGACAGAAAATAACCGGTAAAAACACTGGACTGTGCGTAAAACTGGACAAATGGCATAGGGTTTGTGTTCCAATACAATAGTCAGGTGGCAGTAGCTCAGGAGGTAGAGCAGTCGCCCAATAACTGGAAGGTTGGTGGTTCGATTCCCCCCTCTCTAGTCTGCCCTGTCCTTGGGCAAGACACTTAACCCACCTTGTTCCTAGTGTATGATTGTGAGTGATGTTTGGTGGTGTAGGCATCACTGTAGGAGAGGCTGTAGGCACAAACTGGCAGCCACTTTACCGTCAGTCTGCCCCTACTAAGGTACCAGTGTGCGACTGTGTGAGCGAATGAATAATGTATCCAATGTAAAGTGCTTTGAGAGTCTCTGATAAAGTGCTATATAAAATCTGATGCATTATTATTTTTATTATTTAAACTCCATACTTGGGTATTCTTCTGTTCAACAAACATACTGCTAACATGCTGACAATGTGTTATAGGCATTCCCTTGCATTAATGCCTGATGTCTTCGCCAGCTCTGGTGAATTGCATGAAGCAAGACACCTATTATTCTCTCTGGTCGGCTACTATCTGTGCATTCTGGGATAATGAAGACTGTGCCCCAAATGACCGGGTGACAGATTTTCCCTCATAATTTTCCCTCTTTTTTTTACCATTTGGTTTGCTAGGCAAAAGTCCCCTATGGACACTTATCAGACAAAATGCAAAATGCAACAATGTAAACATTTGGTCCTTGATCGGACCTTCTAAACAGACTTCAGGTGAGCAAGGCCCCTGCAATTGCCACAAAGAATTTTAGATTTTGATTCTTCAGCCCACAGGACAGTTTTCCTCTCCCCTTCAGTCCACCTTTAATGGACTCAAGTCCAGAGAAGTCTCTGGTGTTTCTGGATCCTGTCTCTATTTGGTTCCCTCTATGCATGGTTCAGTTTTAAGCTCATTTGTAGATGCAGTGATGAACTGTGTTGGGTTTTGAAATGATTTTAAGCCCATGCTGTGATTTCCACTCCAGAGTCCTGTCTGTCTTTAATGTAGTACTGCCTGAAGTCCTTGAGATCAGGACCATCCAGTCTGGGTTTTAGTCCTGTCCTCTTTCGTTGCAACATGGAATTCAAACTGATTGAATTTTTCCAAAAAACAATCACGTTTGTCAGTTTGAACATTCAATAATGCATTTGTTGTGTTGAAATCAGGTGGAAAAGGATTTGAAACTCATTGTATTCTGTTTTTATTTACATTTAACACAATGTCCAAACTTCACTGGAATTAAAGTTTGTAAAATTTTACAAATATTTTCTTTCTGTAACTGGGATTTCAAAGATTGTGTTGAACTGATAAGTAATGTGTCATTAGATGATTGTGTTGTAATTCATAAGTTATCACAGAATAGCCTTTTGGTAATTTTATCATTATAACGATCAAGGTATTGAATATTGTATCATTTCTACAGACAGTTAGCTTGTGATTTCCATCCCTAGTTGAGTGTTGTCTTGTTGTGTACAAACATACATTTCCCTCTCAAGTTCGCACTTGTAACTGTGTTTATTTTTACCTGACAAGAGCTGCAATTCATTTTCAGGTAATTGTTGAGAACAGAGAAACAAAATGTGAATCGAGCACAGTAAAAGACCAAAGAATGTGACTGGAGAAAATATATTTTCTGCCCTAAGCATCAAGATTTTCAGTGGCATGTTTTTCCAACCATGCATGTCAGTCAACATTCTGATTTTGCACTTTAAGGGTCATACCTTGTACTTCTCATTGTGGTTATGTGTGGTGACGTGCTCTTCTGCACAGATGGCGTCTCCGTAAAACTCTTTACACAACAGGCAGAAGAATCCTCTGACAGGCAGCAAGAACTCTGAACCTGCAACAAAACACAGGCAACACAACTTCAACGCTCTAATGGTGATTAATTAACTGCCAATCGTGTTTACCTGCTGGACAACTCCAATTTCAGTACCTGCCAGGACAGAAGTTGTTAGAGAAAGACACCTCAGTATGGGAATATTTGCAAACAGATGATGCATACTTCACTGATTGACTTTCACAGCAGAATCTGACAGAAAGAGGCTTACTGCTCAGTGATTTCTACAAAGGTGAGGGTAATGAGCAGCTCGACACATTTGTGATTTTCAAAGGTTACTGCAGTATGTAATACTGAGACATGAAAAACAGGTGTGTAGACAGGCGTCTCTTCTGTGGTTTCCATAGAATTTCTCACTTCGTTAGAAACGTTTTCATTAAGAGAGAGAGTGAAACTGCAGCAGAGATCCAGTGTGAGCTCCACCTGGAATCAGAAAACGGCTAACAACATTTAGCGGCTCATCAGGAATAAAAGATGCAAAGGTGATGATGAGTTTACAAGAAAAAGATGACGACTGTGCGGCTCTGATACCTTTAGCTGGTTTAGTAAGCTTCTCTTCTGACAGAGTGTTCTTGATGATTTTGATCGGAGTGGAAGCCCAGGGTCGGTCGTATGGATCCAGAGTCTGTAAATGAAACAAAATATCTTGATGTTAAAGGAAACAATACCTGAGGCGCCATGCATGACCAGATATCAAACCAACCTCCATACAAAGCACTAAATAAACAGTCAAGAAAAAGAACAGATTAAATTTTGTATGAATTGATTGAAGGTGTCAAAACTGTCACAAACCTTTCGATGCGATTTGCTGTGCAAGTGCGTGAAAAAATCAAACATGGAACCAGAAGTGACGTTACAGTTTTTGCACCAGTGGTTCCCAGCATCATAGTATTCAAATGGCTCTGGAGGCAGTGTTGAAGGCGGGGGCTCAGATGCAGGCGAGGGCGGGACACTGGCAGGTGGCTTCTCCAATGACAGTCTTGACGATTGTGCCACAGACGTCTGCTAAAAAAAAAGGAGATGTTGGAGAGTCAACATTGCAGGAACAAGCTGACACTGTCAGGATCCACTCAGACAAAAACAACTTTAACTTCAGCTAAACAAAATGTGAAAGGTGAAAAGGTTCTTACCTTTGCAGAGTTTCAGCCTCGGAGACGTTTATCAACGCACACAGTGTAAAAATCACGCCAACGCTTTTCTACCGAGAGTTACTTGTGCTTCACTCATACGTTTAGTCTCGGGTAATTCTTTAAGATTTTTAAAGACTCAACAAATTAGAAGATCAAAAATGTGAATTATTTAGAAGATGTACATAGATTTATACTTTTAACCTTTGTAACCTGCAAATGGAAAGACTTAGCTGCACATCCCATTGCTGACTGACTATATGTCTTCGAGCTACATGATCAGAAATCCCTCTCAGAAATATTCTTGATATCATAACCATTGACTAGCTTTGTGCAGAGGTCTGGTGGGTGAAGTAAAATCAAACTGAGGAGGGTTTTGCAAAGACCAACAGAAAGACCCTAAAATTGAGAACCACACAGACATTGGCTCCAGCTATGCCTGGGACGATAATCAATTAATCAATTCATTGCATGACAAATGAAAATGAACTCGATAATTTTTCCGGCCTTGATATATCACAAAGTGTATGTGTGTATTTGTGTTTCTCATCTTGTGCCTCCAAACACGCTGGATGACAAGAGGGTTCACTCTGTGCATCAGTCTCAGCACCTGGGCGTGTTTGTGCCTTAGTGGAATGAAATGATGGAGGTGAACCCTCTTATCAGTCATTCAAGATTTTTGTATCTGTGGGGGGAGGCAGGGCACAAGCACACACACAGCTTTAAGCCCAATTAGCATGGTGGGACCATCAACACAGACGAGCCAGTATGCCGACTTTGTTTAAAAATGATAGCGACAAAAAAGGCAACAAAAAACAGCGACAACAAACTTGCATGCCCACCTCAAACACTATCACCCAGTTGAGTTTTCCCAGCTGCTGAAAAGAACTGCACCCCGAGATGAAGAGCAGGTCAACCCCACAGTCAACGCTTACTAAAGCGTTTGGTCGACAAAGCAAGTACAGTCAGAGCAGCGAAATATGTTGTGTGCTCACAGAAAGTGTAGTTCGCTACATTGCCAAAGAGATACGGTTAAGAAAGCCAGCATTTTGAGAAATGATACAAGCTTTTGACTGACAATACGAATTGCAGTCTAGAAAATATGTGATATATTAACATTACATAAGAGGTTATGTTGGTCTCAATAATGTCTACAATAATAATGTTACTTGTCAATAGTTTTTGGGACAATATTTCATCCTGCAAAATTTGTTTGTCCCAGGTCTAACTCCAGCTTTCAGAGTCAAACTCCTGAGAATTAACCCAAATTTCAGCCTAAACTAAGTTAGTTAGTTGGAGGGGAGGGACCTGGCTGCAGACATGGCCGAGATCCTGTAGAGCACTCAGACCATCTGTTTACTTTTGGAGTTTGTGAAAAAGACACAAAGAAGAACCACTTTTGCAGGTGAGCGTGCAGCTCAGATCAGGGCAGCAGTCCAACTTTCAAATGTGCATATGCTAAAGGAAGTCAAATTTTGCTACTCGACCTGTGGAAAGATTTTGCTTTAAGATTCAGAAAATATTTCATTGTGGCACAAGATGTCCGAAACTAGTTTAAATCAGGGATCAAACTTAAGGTCCAACTTCCAGCTGCAAATGTGCTTACAAAGCTCGGCACCTGTCAGCCAGGTGCTCCTGGGTTAAAAAAGGAGGCCCTGAAGCTCCATGCTTAGTTTTTAGGAGAGAGTGATAGCAACAACACATTCAGCTCAAAGAGGCAGAATGACATCAAATAAAGACGAGGTTCAAATACAAAGAAAAACACGTCAAATTAAAGTAGCTTCAACCAACAGAAATTCAGGCCTATGAATTATGACAGGTAAGCAAAATCCTTTTATAATTTGCTTGAAATATTTACTAATCATATGTGTCCTTTCAACTGAGATAACTATACTGTACATACTCAAAGTTTGACAGCTTGTCAGACCCAAATACTGCTAACAAAGGAGAGTGTATGTGGTGAGCCCTAGCTATGATTAAAACACAGAATTTCTGAGCTAGCTCATGTTTTACCTCCTCTCCAGCACTTTGTACCTTTATACTGGAGCTGCTGGCTTCTGGTCTCCCCTCAGGACTCCTCTCTGCTGCCCGTTTCTTCTTCTGTGGTGGGGCCGGCAGTGGCTGCTGGTCCTCTTGGTCCTCATCTTGTTTACTAGCCCTGTGTGGACGGTCGGAGGGGTTCAGGCCGAGGATGAGGGCCACCTTGTCGATTTCGCTGCGCTTCTTCTCGGCTGCCTCATGCTCCTTTCGGAGGTTCGAGATCTGAGACATAACCTCCTCCTGTAGGCGACTGATCTCCTGCAAAAGGGGGTCTTTGTGTCCATCCTTCTCCCGCCGCTTCTTCCTGAGGAGCTCGCCTGAAAACAATGGAAATTAGATAAAACAATGAGAGGTACACAACTTGTTCATTTTTGCATGACAGATTTTGTCATTTATGTCTGGGTTTTGACATTAAAACTCTTGTGAGAAACTTTCAGCTTGGGTTGGTTTTGGCGCCCCCTGTGGACAGTGAAACCTCTCATCTCTTTACTCCAGGGGTGGGGTGGGCAATCATGTGCCATGGAGGGCCGAGAGGCTGCAGGTTTTCTTTCCAACCCAAAACTCCACCAGGTGATTTCACTGATTAGTCCCTGCTCTCTGCTTGGAGGTAAGGTAATCAGTGAAATCACCTGGTGGAGTTTTGGGTTGGAAAGAAAACCTGCAGCCTCTCGGCCCTCCATGGCACATGATTACCCACCCCTGCTTTACTCTTTTATCAAGTAAGTCATTTTGTCTGGGAAAAGAATCCTCCTACTCCTCTTCCAGCTCTTCTCTCACCTGCTCTTCTCTCTCCTCCTGCCTCCCCTTCCTTGTTTGAGCTTGGACTCACCTTGTTGCTTCCTTAGTCTCTCCAGCTCCTTCATCAGGTATTCTTTTTTCTTCATCCTGATCTCCCTCTCCTGCTTCAGCTTCTCTCTCTCCTCCAGAACCTGAAAACACACAAACATACCTCTCACCTGACCATGAACACACCTGTTGATCTGTGATGTTCTGCAGCTTTGCAATACTGTTGATTACATAGATTATTTTACAGTGAAAAAAAACAAAGAAGGAAGAGAAACTTCTGGTACCTCATGAAAAAAAATGTTAGAATATAGAAAAGATAAAAAAATAATTGTTAACATTTCCAAAGAGCAGTTACTGGGTTCATTTAAAATATGTGTCCACGGGCTAAACACGTTCATTGGAATAAAAAATGAGAATCCCACCTTCTGCTTCTGGCTCTCGTTGTTCTGCTCCTCACTCACTCTCCTGTCATGGCTGCTGACTTTAGGGCTCTCCTTTTCCACACCCTGAACAGAACTCTTCCCAAGACCTGTCAACACCACAAACAACACCCGTTACACCTTGCATTGACACCACTGTGCGGATAAAATATCCAAGACAACTGCTAGATGAGGAGATAATCCTGAAAGTCCAAGATCAATTTTCAAACTTCGATTGATGCTCAATCTTTCAGTAAATTTTGACAGTGAAGGACAAACAAGTTGAACTTGATCTAAAGCTAAATCAGACTGTGCTGGAGAACCCAGAAGGTGGCACTGTCAGCTGATCCTTACTTAAATGATCCAACAAGCAGAATATTTACTAGTATTGGTGAACCCTGATCAGACTGACCTTTGACCCCTGCATCAGGGGTTTGGTAGTCATATGGCTGTGTGGGGGGGAACTCATCAGGGCTGCTCTGAGGTGGCATCGTCATCGGGGGCGGGTACATGGGCGGCCACTGCTGGTGCATGTAAGGCAGATAGTTCCCGTACTGGCCATACCCTGGTGGGGGGTAGTTGGGGGGCATCATGGTGTGGATCTGTGGGGGGGGGTAGGTGGGTATGGGCACTCCAGGAAGGGAGGGGAGGGAGTTGGGGTCAGTTTTTAGTGGCAGCGGCTGTATGGGCTGTATGTGCTGTCCAGGCCGTGTTGAGGGGGTGTCACATTGCTCAGCCTTGTTTTCTTTCACATCCCTATCTTTGTGAGATTTGGGCAGGGCTGAGCTCTTCCTTTGGCTGTCATCACTGCCCCAGCTGCCTCCCCGTCTGTCCCCCCGCCCTCGGCTATGGCTGCGACTCCTGCTGCTACTGCTGCTGCTCGAGCTGCCACTGTGGCTCCGCCTCTTACTCCTCCGACTGCGTCTGCTGCCATCAGAACTTCCAGAGGAATAGCACCTGCGTGTGGGTGTCTTTGGAGGAGGCTTGTTACCGTGGAGACGCTCTTTGGTCCTCGCAGCCATCTTGCTAATCTCAGTCACGCCAAGGTCCAGGCCAATGGTCTTAAGCAGGTCCTGGATTTTTTCGTACTCCTCCACAGCCTGGCGCTCACTCTCGTCCAGTGGCTCTGTGCCTGGGGGGTAGGAGGGGTTTGATACCCGGACTGTAATATTCTGGTCTGGGCTGATGCTAGGTCTGCTGGTGTACCTTACATCCGCCTCCACTGTGGTGGGGGGAGCTGAAAGGTGGGGAGGTGCCCCAAGAGGGAGGTTATACAACTGACCACTGGTGGTAGCTGGTGGGGGGCAGTCTCCATACAGCGCCTCCTCTGTCACGTCTCCGTACAGGTCCAGCCCGTGGTGTTGAATGGCATCTGATGAGAGAAGGGGTTTGGGCTCTTCTGAGTCTCCGTACAAGAACTTCTCCTCGTCATCGATGTCGTCTATAGACGTCTGAGTCTTGCTCCCTGCTGCTGCTGCATGCCCTCCGAGCAGGTTCAGGATCTCTTTGATTTCAGCATCTAGGCCTGCACGATGAGCCATTTGAGGATCTGAGCGCAGCTCCGACAGCATTGAGGCCACCATATGAGGCTCCATGCCCTTAACAGCCTGCAGCAGCTGGTCAGCCACCCGAGACATGCCGGGGCCCTCTACACCACCATAACTCTGAAACACAGGAATAAGCAGGGTTACACCTCCATGCACAGCATTCTCCTGCTGCAGTAAGAGACTGCATGTGTATATAGTTGAATGATTTCAGAATAATGTTCCTGAGTGTGAAAGAATGAGTGGATTTTATCATCTACAGACCATAATATCATTCAAAGATTCAGAGGATCTGGAGAAATCTCTGTACTAACGGGACAAGGACCAAAACCAAGACTAGATGGTCCTAAACTTCAGGCCTTCAGGCAGCACTACATTAAAGACAGAAATCACTGCATGGGCTCAAGTCAATTCAAAACCCAACACAGTTCATCACTGCCTCCACAAATGAGGTTAAAACATATTGAGTTTCACTGATATCTAAACAGCGTGCTAACAGCTGGATTTGAACCCAGTGATAACAGACGTGTGCAGATAATGAACATACCCTGAGTGAAGGGGAGTCCTCAGAGTCATTGCGTTTCTTCAGGATGGACTTGGTGGGCAGACTTAGCATCTCCTCCAGCTCCTTCCTGCGTCGAGCTGTCTCCAGCTCTTTGAACTCTTTTCTGGATTTCTCCTCACTGTTGTTGCTGTGACTGCTAGAGCTCGAGCTGCTGCTGACGCTACGACTCCGATACCTGCTCCTGCTGCGGCCACGGCTCGCTGCCTTGCTGTAGCTCCGTCCTCTTGACCTAGACCTGGATCTGGATCTGGACCTTGTATGGTGGCAGCTCTTACTCCGGCCCCGGCTCTTGGCCCTGCTTCGGTCTGGACTGCGACTTTTGCTTCGGCCCCGGCTCTTGGCCCTGCTTCGGTCTGGACTGCGACTTTTGCTTCGGCCCCGGCTCTTGGCCCGGGTTCGATCTGGACTGCGACTGTGGCTGCGGGGCCGGCTCTTGCTCCTTGCCCGGCTCTTGCTCCGCCCTCGACTCCTGGCCCTGCTCCGGTCTGGACTTCTTTCTCGACTGTGGCGGCAAGGTTGGCTACGACCCAGGCTCCTGCTCCTCTCATACTCAGGGCGAGGAGTGTAGTCTCTGCATAAAAACCCAGAAGGTGGACTTAAGTTAAAGTCTGCAGACAGAGGTTGTTTCCTTCATACTGTGTTTGTAACACTTACAGTGTTCAGAGAAACCGGGTGGAGAAAAGATCCGACCTCATTAAAGCTCTGATGTTAGGTGATCAGAAATATTATGTAAGACAAAGAGGTGCAGGAACACTGACCAAGAGTGACAAATACAGAAAGCTCACAAATACTGGCCCAACAATTGGCCAGAGTGGTTTAATTTTGATTTTACTGCAAGATTTCAATCATTTTAACACAATTTAAAGTAATTTTAAACATTTTCATCCAATAGCAGGAATTTTTTTTTTTCCTGTAATTCAGAAGCAACAATTTTTCAAAAAGGTCAACAAACTGTTTCAATCACAGTCATACCTGTCTTGATGGCGTGAGGGAGCAGAACCAGGAGGTCCTGTTAGCTCATTGCCAACTGTGATCACCAGGTTGTGATCAAGGGGAACGGGTCCACGTGGAGAAGGGGACCTCTGCAAAACACACACACACACACACACACACACAGACACACACACACACACACCCGCACACACACACACCTGTTATCAGTAACAGTTAATGACACCACTACATCCTTTGTGATTTGTTTTATAGTCTGAAATTGAAAATTATTAATTTGAGCAATAGTTTGAATAATGCCATCATTACTCTGGATTCTGGTGGCTTTGTGATCATCACCTGGTTACCTCAGCTGAGGTACTGTTCACCTTGTTATCACTTCCTGTCTTAAATCCCATTGTGAAGTGGTTTACCTCTATTCAGCTGTTCATAAAACACGAATATAGACATTTCAATCAGTTGTCCATTAGTATGACAATCTAAACTTGACCTAGCGTCACCTTACACCTGGTATTTGCATGTGTCCCCTGTAGTGGTGATCCGTTCGACATCATCGGTTCAGCACACACGTGACCCGCAGATTGATTTCTGAAAAAAAAAAAAGTTGTGCTCCGTCTGCACACAGCTTGTGGCTAGCGGCGAAAGGAGGAAGGAAGACATGGCGAGCGGAGGAAAGGAGGAGCTTGAACGCCCCGCGACACTTAAATCCCCTGTATGGGAGCATTTAGGCTTCCCTGTCAACTATGATGAAGAAGGAAAGAGGTCAGTGGACAAAACTGCGACGGTGTGTAGGCACTGTGGCATAAGAAAGCCATATAACAGTGGAAACACATCAAGCATATTCACGCATTTGAAGCGACATCACCTGGGTGTTTTACTGAACACCCTTATCTTGCAAAGATGGCAGGATGTTGCCTCTCTGTGCCTGGATCTTCAGTACCATCAGAGAGAGTATTCTTAACAGCAGGGGACATAGTGACTGCTAAGAGGTCCACACTCTCTGCAGACAATGTTGACATCCTTGTCTTTTTTTTTAATAAATCTGAAATTATAAGCTCAGGTTCTTTCGCTCTCCTTGTTTTAAGGAAGATGTCTTCTTATGTTTACCTTTGAGTCCTATTTTATTAATGGTCTTTTGAACCAATATTAAAAAGAGATATGCCTTTTTATGTTGCTGTTGCACTTAAAAGTTGATTTTTGGTTCATTGTTACATTTTAAAGTAAGGAGATATGCCTATATATTGCACTTTAAGTTGTTTTTCATTCATAATTATGTTAAAAAGAAGATATTATGCCTTGTGCACTACTTTAATTTAATCATTTAAGTGTTTAATAAACAGACAAAACTTATGTTTGTCTTTTTTTTTTTTTTTTTTTGCTTTTTGCTGATCTGAAAAATGATCCGATCTGTGACTCTTGATCTGAGGAACGATCCAATCCGTGAGTTTTGTGATCCGTTGCACCACTAGTCCCCTGTGATTCAGTCACTAGTGGAAAGCTCTAAGGAAAGGCTTGTTGAGGTTGCACTGAGACAGTCACTGGAGGTGGTGAGGGCCACATATTGTGAAGCTAAAAGAACTGAACTGATACTTTTCCTGAAATTACAGGCCAGGTGTCTGTAAAAGTGAACCTTAACAGGATTTTTCACCCTGACTTGACTGAGACTTATTCCAGACAGCTTCTGTGTAGATTTACCACAGAAGTTATGAGTGAATATCTTAAGGTGAATCAAGAAAATTTACCCTGAGCAAGCAGGAGAAGTGATGATATTTGATACCAACTGACTGATGTGATCTCTGCTTCTTTTTCCACTCATCACTGATACTGTGAATATGTCTGATTACGCCATCAGAGAGATAAAAACTGCCATCACACAGTCCTTAGAGCGTGTGAAAAAGGGCTGTCAATCTTCTCTGCTATGCCAATAGCATTTCACTGCAGTGTTTTTTCCCCACACCTTTCTGATTAAATGTTATGATTTAATACGTAGTGATCTCCATGGTAGCTCTTGCACGGTCTCTGTCTTTTCTCTTGTGTTTCTAGGATTTAAAGTCAGAAAACTTAAGCCGTGTGACAAAAGCATTTTGTGGGTTCATTGGAGGCCTGTTCTCTGGATTCTCTGCAGCAGACTGAAAGCTCTGACTTGTTAACCTGCTCGCTGAAACGAAACTCAGGTCTTTTTTGTGTGTCCTGCCCACCCTCAGTAAGGACACATGAGCACAGCAGTCATCACTCCATGCAGCAAATTACATAAAATCCATAAATTAAATATTCTGTGCATCTTCTGATGAAGCAGGGGGTTGCGTTGGGATGGCGGGCTGCCAGTCAAGAGTAACGGCAGGGGAAATCCTTAAATGTTGCTTTTAGCAGCTGCTTTATGCGTTTGAATATCAGTTATTTTATTAACCTGTTTAAATTATAGACACCGCTGTAATATTGGCACCATCTATCTGTCATGAGCTGGGCAAAAATTCACAAACCTGACACGGTTTTTACAGAAGAACATAGACTCTTTTTGGTATGGATGCACGATATTTATCGGACCGATAAAATATCGGCCGATTTGGGGAGAAATTACGTCATTTTTTATCGGTCCGATAGGTGCATTTTTCCGATAGAAAGATCCGATATATTAATGAAATTACGAGTAACGTTTGCAGGCGGAGTAGCCGCCCGTCCGAGACGCGCTGGTTACGTCATCTATCGCGCCTTACTCGCAGGTCCCAAGCCTGACCCCGTCACTACCTGACTGATAATAAAATGTCTTCACCAGCATGGTCGTTTCTCTCAGTGGCAGAAGATGACAACAGCATTGCTATATGCAAAACCTGTTCAGCGAGGATTCCGAGAGGAGGAAAGAAGACGTCAAGTTTTAACACAACGAATCTGATAGCTCATCTGAAAAGTCGCCATCGCGGCGAAGCGGTAGTAAAAGAATATGAGACAGCCGCCGAAGCTGCTAGCGGTACTAAAGCTAAGACAACAACACTACGGAGGATCGATGTCCCCATTCAGCAGGCGTTTAAAAACTGCAAAAGCTTCTCAAGAGACAGCGAAAAGGCTAAAGGCATTAACGACAAAGTGATGGAGTTCATAGCGGTCGACGACCAGCCTTTTTCCGTCGTTGAGAACCCGGGTTTTCGTAAGTTATTAGCACACTTGGAGCCACGTTACACTCTCCCAAGCCGCCGCTTCTTCTCGGATGTGTCTCTTCCTGCACTCTATGATATTGTCGCCACATACATTCACAACCTGATCGACAAGAACGGACTACACGTGAGTTTTACCACAGACATATGGACGTCAGATGTTAGTCCGGTCAGCATGCTAAGCCTAACATCTCATAATAGCTCCTTTACAGTCTACAGTTCTGTTGAACAGTTCAGGGGATCAAATGAAGTTCTGCTTTTTGCTCTGTTATTGTTATTTATAGCAAATGACCACATTTGAAGAGCCAAAAACTTTTGTTTGTTGTTCTAGATAGGCCAGAGCAACAAAAATATCAGTTTTCAATCGCTGCATCCTGCACAAACTGCAGATTATATGAAGATTATAATAAACGTAAAAATATGAATTTATCGGTTATCGGTATCGGTATCGGCCATGAGAAGAAGAAAATTATCGGTTATCGGTATCGGTTGAAATTTTTCATATCGTGCATCACTACTTTTTGGATAGTCGCGTTCAGATTAGACAGGTCTTAGTACAGTAGTTTTGGATCAGGACCTCGTTTCTGTAACCTTCCTACAACAGCTAAATTTGAAGCTGTGAATCAGATACTGACTGTACATTACAGTTTCTTTATTTTAAAAGAATCGATATGTAAAAAGTATAATTGGGCTGTAAAATTTTAAAGAGATAAGAAGGAGATGGTTAAGTTCATGCTCTGGTCGGTAAGTCAAAAATAGTAAGTCAATAAAATAAGACACGGTGAACCGGAGGCTGCGGCAACAAGGCTGCTTTCTGAATGAGTCTCGACTCTCTTGGTATCTGTACACAATCAAAGGGATGGATAGATAAATAGTAGGATTTCCATGCATCCAAAGGAGGAAGGCAACATCTAACCACACACAGTTTGGTGGAAAACCTTTAGTCAGTTTCACCCTATTTTGATACCCGGCTGACTCACCTCCCTCTGCGGACCACTGGCCCAGTACTCCCCTCCTGGGTGACTTCCTGACCCGGGGGAAGGGTACCTCCTGCGCGGCGGGGAACGGCGATAGGAGTCAGGGTGACCGTGGTCGTGGTGTCCGGGATGATAAGGGGGTTTTGGCCGGTTCCTGTCGTCTCTGTAGTTCGGTGCATTGAAAGGCCTAGGCGGCGGACCTCGGCCTTCGTAAGGCGGCCTGTAGCCCCCTCTCGGCGGCCGTCCACGGTACATCTCCAGCAGAAGAACCTCCGCTCTCCGCGGTCAAACGGCTTATGGTTTCTACAAATATTAATAGCAAAACAAAAATGTGCAGACACGGGACTCCAGGATTATGTCTATGGGTTATCTGAACGAGATTGAACGTCGGGACCTCAGTTAGGATGCACCATACTCTCTCAATGCACACAGACCAGTTTCTTCTTCTACTCGATGTCGACACAACAGGTGCTGCCCTCTGCAGTACAAACACTGCACTAAAACATCCAAACATCTCACACTCACAGGTCCTCTTCTCAGGACTCATTATGTGAAAAAAGAGTAATACTTTTTATTTTTTACCCATTAGAAGCAAACTTCTTCTTCTACTACTACTACTACTAAAAAAATAATAACAACAACAACAACAATAATAATATTATTATTAATAATAATAATAATAATAATTATTATTATTCAGGATAAATCGACGCATGACAACATTAAACCATGCAGTATTATACATATGGAAGCTGCAAGAATTGCATAATAGAAAAAATAAGAACTTGAAAGTTGCCTATAAAACATAAATGAACAGAAAACTCCATATGTAGTTTTTTGATTGGCAGTCATGTCAGTATTGATATTGTAGCAGTGGGAGACGTCCAGATTTGCGAACAGGTGATTTATCATCATGGTCTTCAAATTAAAAAAATAATACTACTACTGCACTAAAGGATATTTTTTCAGTTTTTACAAACAATGTCCCTCTGGAAAAAGGTTTTAAGTGGGACCATACTAAAGCAAATGCATTGCAGATAATAGCCTGTCTCTTGAAATCGCCTTGATGCATTAAACTGTTAAAATTTAATAAATTTGGTTATGGAGCAAAAGTTTTTTTTTTATCATGCATCTCAAGCAAAAATGACAGCAGGGCAGCCCTTTGACAAAAGTAAAAGCCCAGTCAAAACTTAAGTAGAGTTCAAAATCTTTTACTTAGTCCAGGTAAACATTTAATTTCACAACCCAGTAGAAGCATGACAATGTTTTAGGATTTTAGATTTTTTTTTTTTTAATTAAAGAAAACACGTAACAGTACATCAGGCAGTAGAAAAGTATTTACATCCTGTTCTCTGTTCAGAAACTCTGAGGACTGTCAAAAAAACATTAACAATTAACATTTTAACGTGAAACACAGTAACTCTGATACTTTAATCATACATACATATATATATATATATATATATATATATATATATATATATATATATATATATATATGTACACTACAGGCCAAAAGTTTGGAAGCAAAGCCATTACAGGCCTAACAGTTGGGAGTAACTTCAAGTTTTGTTCACAATGCTTTTTTTAAAATCCAGCATGAGTTTTATGTATTTTGGGATGTATTTACTCCATGATCAGAAGTTGCTTTATTGAAAATGCACCATTTTACTCCATTTACCTTTAGATATACATTGCTGATGACAGACCATTGCTAAATATATGTCAGCAGAAGAAAATAAGGGCTTAGTTGCAGGGTCGAAAACATTTGCAAGAGTCACAACTTAAGTGCAATATCAAAAAAAACAAATCACAGTTGGATTATTCACTTTAACTTTTTGGCTTTTGAGAGCCTGCATACAAAAATCCTAATAAATCTCAACTGCGTTCAAACTACCGCAAAAATGGCGGCGATTGTTTGAAGTAAAGGGTATTATGAAGAAGAAACAGTACCACTCCATCCTCCAGCACCATGCTGCTCCATCTGGACTCAGACTTGTGGCTCATAAGTTTGTTTTGCAGCAAGACAATGACCCTGAGCACTCTGCCAAGCTCGGTCAGGGTTACCTAGACAAAAAAAAGAAGAGGAAGGTGTTCTTCAAAAGATGGTTTGGACCCCTCAGTCTCCAGACCTTTCTCAATTGAGCTTGTGTGGGATGAATTGGATCGATCGGTCAGAAAAACACGTCCCACGAATCAGCAGTCTCTTTTTAATCAACTTAAGAAAGCTTGGAATGCAATCCCTGGAACATACCTTAAAAAACTTGTGGAATGAATGCCTGGTATATGATAAGCTGTTGTTAGAGCCAGAGGAGGTTACTATAAAGAAAGCAAAGTCTAAGCAACAATAACTAAAATACCTAATAATTATAGTCAAAATGTCTTCTGATAAGTTACTCTTTACACAAAAGTCATGATTATTGTGTTGCAAATTATATATATGAAACTATGATTTTTTTTTTGTATAAATCTGATCTTGCTTCCAAGCGTTTGGCCTGTAGTGTTTATATATACATATATTTAAAAAATTTAAAACAACCTGATGCTGGGCACAAGACTGCTGTGAATCCATCTTTTATGGCCCGTTTCATGAGGCAAGTGAAGGGTTAAAATCTTCTACATTCCTGTTGGATGCTGTTTTTATCAAGGTGCAGAACTTTTGCTAATCCATGTATCAGACTCTGTTTCTTTCTATCCCTCAGGTACAGTTCATCTGGAGAGTATTCATACCACTTCACTTTTTCCACATTTTATGTTACAGCGTTATTCTTAAATGGATTAAATTCCCCTTTTCCCTAAAAAATTCTACACAAAATACCCCATAATGACAAAGTGAAAAACTTTTTTTTGGAAATTTTGCAAATTTATTAAAAATAAGAACAATCAAATGTTGCATATACATACGTATTCACACCCATTACTCAATACTTGGTCGAAGCACCTTTGGCAGCGATTACAGCCTCCAGTCTTCTTGTGTATGATGCAACAAGCTTGCGACACCTGGATTTGGGGAGTTTTTCCCATTCTTCCTTGCACATCCTCTCAAGCTCAGTGAGGTTGGATGGGCAGCGTCGGTGCACAGCTACTTTCAGGTCTTTCCAAAGATGTTCAATCGGGTTCAAGTCTGGGCTCTGGCTGGGCCACTCAAGGAAATTCAGAGACTTGTCCTGAAGCCACTTCTTTGTCTTCTTGGCCGTGTGCTTAGGGTCATTGTCATGCTGGAAGATGAAGCGTCGCCCCAGTCGAAGGTCTTGAGCGCTCTGGAGCAGGTTTTTTTTTAATCAAGGATTTCAATGTACTCAGCTGCATTCATTTTTTCCTTGATCCTAACAAGTCTCCCAGTTCCTGCCGCTGAAAAACATCCCCACAGCATGATGCTGCCACCACCATGCTTCACTATAGGGATGGTATTGGTGAGGTGGTGAGCGGTGCCTGTTTTCTTCCAGACATGACGCTTGGCATTCAGGCCAAAGAGTTTGATCTTCGTTTCATCAGACCAGAGAATTTTGTTTCTCTTGGTCTGTGAGTCCTTCAGGTGCCTTCTAGCAAAGTCCAAGCGGGCTGTCATGTGCTTTTTACTGAGGAGTGGCTTCTGTCTGGCCACTCTACCATAAATGCCTGACTGGTGGAGTGCTTCAGAGATGGTGGTTCTTCTGTAGGGTTCTCCCATCTCCTCAGAGAAATGCTGGAGCTCTGTCAGAGTGACCAACGGGTTCTTGGTCACCTCCCTGACCAAGGCCCTTCTGCCCCGCTTGCTCATTTTGGCTGGGTGGCCAGCTCTAGGAAGAGTCCTGGTGGTTCCAAACGTCTTCCATTTCTTAATGATGGAGACCACTGTGCTTTTTGGGATCTTCAATGCCGCACATATTTTTCTTTAACCTTCCCCAGATCTGTGCACCGATACAACCCTGTTTCGGAGGTCTACAGACAATTCTTTCGACTTCATGGCTTGGTTTGTGCTCTGTCAGCTGTGGGATCTTATATGAACAGGTGTGGCTTTCCAAATCATGCCCAATCAGCTGAATTTGCCACAGGTGGACTGCAATCAAGTTGGAGGAACATTTCAAGGCTGATCAGTGGAAACAGGATGCACCTGAGCTCAATTTTGAGTTTTACAGCAAAGGGTGTGAATACTTATGTATATGCAACATTTGAGTGTCTTATTTTTAATAAATTTGCAAAATGTTCTAAAAAATTTTTTTTCGCTTTTGTCATTATAGGGTGTTTTGTGTAGAATTTTTGAGGGAAAAAAGGAATTTAATCCTTTTTGGAATAAGGCTGTAACATAACAAAATGTGGAAAAAGTGAATGGTATGAATACTTTCCGGATGCACTGTATGTCCATTGATATAGTCAACCTTAGACGCTACGAGGACAATACCCATCAAATGTTTTCCACACAAGAGTCCAGCTCTGTCTTTGCTCTTTTCAACTTAAAAGAAGCATGTACACTGAACATTTCAGAGCTTGAGTTAATGTTAAGATCTGAAGCTTTTCTTTTTCATGTTAGGGAATAACCATGTGCACATCTCTTGGGTTTGTTTAGGAAAAAGCTGGTAGACTATACTACGTGACTGCTATTTTCTGTCATTCCAAATTTACAGGACTGCATGAAAGTGGATCCCTGTTCTTGCTTCACTGTTTTTCCAACCTTAGGCTGACCAGGTATTGAATCGATGAGGATCAGGTAGAAACTCCTCTGAAATATAATTTTTTACCTGGTAAAAATTAAGGCAAACAAAAATTATCCTCTCTCTATAGTGCCGCAAATGCTAATGTTTCCATCCCCACATTTTTGTTTTAAGCAATCTTGAGAGTGGATAGGTCCAGGTGTTAGTTGTTGCATACTTGCGGGAACTGGGAAAGTGCAGAGGTGAATTAGAGGGATGTAAAGGGTACTGAGCAGCTCATTTCTGCCCTGTAGATTGGACATATATTCTGAGGGTTATATGTGTTCTAGTGCAAAAGACAGTCAGTTCTTGACTTGTAGAGAGGTGTTAATAAAATCCATCTAGATTTTTCTTACTTCAGTGCAGTTTTCTGTTAAAGGGTGGTGTTATACTTTTATCGCATTTTTAACAAAAACTGCAGTTACAAAGTTTGGTGTCAATACTAAATATATGTAAAGTTTCAGATCATAAGTTAAACGTATATTGTCATAAACTTAGAAAATAAAGTACATGGATCACCGACTTCATAACACCTTGATGGACCAAAGGGTCAGTGGTGGTGGACGCACCAGGACCTTGCATGACATACATCTGTGCTTTTGAGGCTTTTTGATCTGAAAATCATGGAAAGCTATTCAAGAAGAATCAGAGAGGAAGAATAGAGAATGCATAACACCCCCCATTAAGGAGTAGTAGAAAAGCCAAAGTGAAGAGAACGCTGGGTGACATTTACGAGACAGAGTCCGAGGTTGTCCTACAGTGCTGAATGAGCCAAGGTGTCTGATGGGTACATTCAGTCCATCTGCTGAGTCCTGGACCCATCCTGAACCTTGCCTGTGTTGGAACCTGCAGAAAAAACAAAGACTTACCTGATCTGCTCCAAAAGGTACATATAAATGCCAAAGGCCAGACATTTTATGGTCGTAGAGATGACTGTAACATTTCTTTTTAGTGTGAGAAATGCTAAGTTTGATTTTACTTTCTAAATCTACTGGGAATGAGATCAGGGCTGCATCAGTTCAAAAATTAAAAACATGAATCATGTTGATATTTACAATCAGGTACACTGTTGTGTTGGGGAAACAGGCGAGCTGTTTTGCAAAGCATCTTATCCTCTTCTCGTCAGTTTTTTGTTTGCCAATATCAAGAAAAACAATGACATACCCCAGAATCTCACCAGATTTGGATTCGGTCCTTCTCTAATCCAGTTTTGCCCCGTGCTACAACCATTAGCTGTGTTCTAGAGCACAGTACGGAGCAGAACCACCAGTCGGCTGGAGTCACAGGACCAAGGATTTTCCACTGCCATGATGGGCATTGAAACCACTGACCTGCTTACTCTAGGCACAACTAGACTTAATTTCATGGTTCGTGCTTCATTTTGTTAAATTGACCTAATGATTTAATGCTGTCTCGGTACCAAACTTTCTGTCTCCCTTGGTCTGACCTGTGCTGATTGATGCTTCATGCCCCAGTCCAGCAGGGACAGGGCAAATATATGACCCATATGAGCGAGAGGACCCTCAGACTTAAGTGAAAACCTATCAGCGCTGCAGCTTTGGCAGAATGGAAATGGACAGAACACAGACTTGTTGGATTGTGGAACATCAGAATTCAGTGCATCATGACTGTAAATCCAAAGTTTGAATAATAACAATAACTTAATGAATCAATAATTTTGTTTAAAGACATCTAGAAGTCGGGGAAAAAAACAGTTTTTGATAGATTTTCTGAAAATAAACTGGCACATCATCAACAATTCTGGTCAAAGTCGACACAAGAAGTTGCACGTTGGTGCAACTTCTACAAGTTGTGAGTGGTGATGGTTTCTGCTTTCTTAAACAGCTGCAGTATTTGCAGGGCCTCTTTATTTGTGATGCAGCTTTATCTTGTTTTTTTAACTTTAAAAAAGACACAAACGTAAAGCAACATGAAAAATATGTGTTCATTGATTTTAAGTCTTTATTGAAACCACATTTACTTGCAGACAAAACAAGCCAGTCACTAGTCATCACAAATATCTTCACTGATCTATAGTAAAAAGTCAGCAAATAATGTCAAAATATAAACTTAAATGTCACTCTCTGAAAAAACATCCACTGTTGTGGATTTGACCATCCTCTTCATTCAGAGGGTGAAAATATCAATGTACAACAGCAGTAGGTAGAGTTTGAGTTAACAGATAATCTTCAGACTGAAATTACTGTATAGGAAATAAACTACATATGTACATAATCAGAAATTTTATTGGCATAATGAGTTAGGAGCTTGAGGAAAAGTTGCTGCAGATACAATCAATACAACTATCATTAGGAAAACAAAAAAACAAACAAAAAAACCTCATGCAACTCTTAACTTTTCTCTGAGGCTGAGTTCACCTCCATTTCCCATTTCTCCAGCAGATCCTGAAGGTTCAGATTAAAAACATCAATGCCTTTAGGGGACAGATGAACACCATCTGCCCGATACAGACCCGTGTTTGACCCACACCTGACATTATCATGAGTCAGTGAGGTGCCCCCCAGCTCAGATATTATGTTTTGGATCCTCCGATTTACTGTGGTTCTGACTAGATCTACTTCATGGCTGTCAGCTGAGTGACGCCACACCCTTCGAGGGAGGATATTTGACCAAACAAGCAAGCACTGCGGAAAGATGCTCCTCATTGAGGTCAAATCCTTCTTGACAGATGCCAACAGGTCGGTGGGGGAGTCAGTACTCAGGTCATTGCCGCCTAAGTGAATGATAAGGACGTCTGGGTTGGGCCAGGTGACCTTCAGCTGGTGGAGCTGGGGGAGTAGCTGGGACCATGTCATGCCCTGGGTGCCCTTCCACCAGATGGTCACCTTGCTGGGGTCCATGCCCAGCTGCATACCTACCTCTGGAGATTTGGCCCGTGACTCTGCCCAGTACACCAGGGAATGACCACAAATCCAAACATTCTTGGGCTCAGAGCTGGTCGGTTTGCCTGGAAATTTTAAGAGAATACAGCTGTTAGTAACAAGATCTTAAAGTTAATGGCACATGGTGATCCTACAGTACCCTTTTTGATTGGACCTCTAAGGCTGGGACTGTGCATCAACCCTCAAGGTGGTTTTACAAAAACCTCTCAGACTGGTTTTGTTCAGATGAGTCCATTGCTATAGAAACAGAAATAACAACTTGAATGCTGTGTATTTAAAGCAACAGATTCCGGGAAAAATCTGTCATAAGTCTGCTAAACTATTGGTGACATTTCAAACCAAAGCCTGATGATCTTTGTGAAACCTGCCCAAGATTCCACAACCCACAAGTACCAATATATAGCTGATGGTGTTTTTAACTTATTTCTATTATACTACTTTAAGATGATATTTCTGCTTTAGAAACCTCAAATTCCTGGAGGTGCAGCACCTCTTTGGTTAAAGCATCCTAGCTTGCGATGTCAATTATTCAATAAAGTCATTGTTACTGTAATAAAATGTAAATCTAGCTCTGCAGGAGGTTTCAGGTGTAGTTGTAACACTACACACATCAATCTAAAAAAAAATAAAAAAAAACTGTCCACAGAATAATGGTATTGATAGATTTATAACATGTATTGGGAGATTTTTCAGTTTAACTTAATGATTATAATAATCATGTCTAAACTAGGACATAACAATCCAAACATTTACAGTCTAATAATGAGCACAATTGAGATATCAATGCGATTTACCTACCTTCACTGCTAAGACATTTTGTAATATGGTAATCAATCTTTCTTTTTTGGTTCTGAGTCATTTCAAAACAAAAAATGCTAAAAAAATCTCCACACCTGAAAGAAACGAATGTCTTTGAATGACCTTTTGTTTGTATTTACAGTCTCGTCTCTCTAGCTGCTGGATTTTGGTGTACACCTAATTTCCCCAAGCAGCCAGCCCACTTACACCCATACAACAAAAATGCCAACATGACATTTGAGTTCAAATACTAGTTTTCTGTAAACCTTATGAAAATAACTAAACTGCATCAAACTTTATAACTTTGACTTACGCTAACATTTCATGGTCACTTGTTCTACATTTTTTAAAACTTTTCACAAATCTACCTGACATTTGTGGGATTTTACATTGAGTCCAGTATTTCATATAGAGAAAAGCAATGGAATTAAATCTGTGACTGTAAATTATTATAAATTTATATCATTATCATGTGTTTGTCTTCACATCATATTACAAATTACAAATCAAAGATTGATTAGTTCTATGTCAAGTGTGTCCCAAAATGGTATTCAAAACATTCATTTTCCATTTCTGTTCCCATACTCCATACTGGACCACTTAAGTCTGAACTTAACTGATCTGAGCTGAGCCTGCCATACTAGTCACAGGTCCAACATGTCAAAAGGGGTTACCTGTGCCGTTCTAAGTCAAAGATGAGACTCACAGTGTGATCAGTGGATCTATATGCGAACAAGTGGGAGCAGTAACAGGTGGCCTATTGCAGTTTGGGTGGTGTACCCGCAAAGTTAAGCCCGACTGGCTCATAGATTGATGAGAGCAAAAAATGATGATCCTGTTCCCGCTTGGAAAATGGTCCTCAGGAGAAGGAATGACTCTACAAATGTGTTTTACAGTATATTTTACAGAAGGACACAATGACCTCAGAAATCCTCAGATGACTGTTAGCAATGGTGTAGTGTCACATCAACTGCTAAAATTAGCATGACAAAGGCCTCTAACTGTGGCTAAAAGCTCTCTATGTTAGCTCCCTGAGCTAACACTGGTTCCATATCAAATAGAATAAAAGGAAAAGCTAGTTTGATGTACCACATTGCAAAGGCTGTGCTGATGTGATTCAAGTCAATAACCTTAGAAAATGTATGATTTACTTAGGTGGGTAAAAAAATAGATGGTAAATTTAGCTTATGCAAACACTAACACAATATAAAAGTCATAGTTAGGAGTAATAGGGTGAAGCTCCTTCACACTTAAATCTGAATCTTCATACAAGCACAACACACATTTCTTACAAACATTGAACATTTCTGATCAACATGATGTTTTGTGATGAGATCCGGTCCAGGTTAATGTTCTTAGGACTTTTCAAAAATCTGAGCAACTGGTACAACACAAATAAACACTTTCATAACCAAGTATCACAATTTGACAATGAGATGGGGTGAATATAATCTGGTAAAGGGGATAATATGGTAAATCTGAGCTCTTCTTTAAATCTTACTTTACTGACTTTGCAAAGTCCTGTTCAAACACACAAAGCACTCACTTTAAATTACAACAATTACACTGTTAAGTCATATTTTGAATAATATCCTTGATAACAACAGATTTACTAAGTTGTGGCTGAAGAATGCCTAGAAATACTCAGAGCCAATGGAGTATGCAAAGACCCTAGCACAGGTTCTACCATGCCCTTTTACTAGGCGAGATCTCTCTTAATCACTTTTATTTACAAAATTGAAGAGGCTGTATTGGGTACAGTTTTTTTGGCTGTCGCCTCCCCAAGTACTGCTAGTCTTGAGAGATCAGTATCCACTTGAGGCGGGCGAGAGAAGTGCCAGAGCCACATACATGCTAATGAAGAATAGTCCATCTTTAGTGAAACAATAAACATGCTTACAATCTGGTTCTATCAACAGTTTAGGTCCATATCTACACAGACCTTATTTTTAAATCACATTTGTTTCAAAAATATTATGTTTTGCAGCATCAGGGGGACAGCTGACTGTATAGACAGGCCAGCATACTGTGGCTGTTGAGGCTCACCTTACTGATGAGTTTCAAAACAGTGGCAACACCCCTATATATTACAGTATATTTTGCGTTGTCCTCCAATCTATTATGTGCTCGCATTAATCTCGTCAGAAGTGAAGACAATATAAGCGAGCTCAATTGAAGTATGTTACAACTACATGGGCTGATGTAATCGCACCCTCAGCCATATAATTGGTCAACAATAATTTCTGAGATTCTAAGACAAATCATTTGTATGTTTATCATTTATGGTATGGCATGGGATTACTTACTGCAGTGATGGTATACAATTAATAGGTTCCTGAAATAACTAAAGGTAGTACTGCTCTCTTTATGAGGTTTTAGTTTTGCACATTAGCTCCCTGAGCTAACACAGATTGTTTCATAATCTGAAAAGCAAAGGAACCATAATACAAATGGCACTATTAAGTTTAGGAGGTTAAGACATCAACCTTATACTCTGACCTAAAGTGAAGGCCTTATACATGAAATGTAAAACCAGCACAGACAAAGCTACGCTGTCTAACTTAACCATATTCTTAATATTGAGGAAAAGTATGGGAGAATAATAAAAATTAAACACAGGACCAAAATTAAAAAATCTATCTGATGTTAGCCTCCTGAGCTAACACAAGTTAGAGACTGTAAGACAAGCTTGGTAATGACCCTGAAAACAAATAAATTAGTTTAATACTATTCTTAATTATTACTGTACACCCAGGGAGAAGGAAAATCAGTGTAATATGGTAAACAATCATCTCTGGTCAAGATGTTCAAAATTCAAGACAAATTGAGCTAATCCTGATTACTTCTGCATTGTAAGTTAGTGATTATTACACTAATGATGTCTAATCTACTGTCTTGAACAACTCCTTAATACTCTCTATTATTGTTACAGTTGTAAAAGCCCTTGAGATTGGCGCCAGAGACGGTCTGTAACTCACAGAAGACCTCATTAAAGTGGGAATGTCTTCAAAAATGCTTTTCTTACCTTCTCCAGACACTTAACATTATTTGGATGAATGTATCCTTGCATGTATCAGGTTGATTAACAGGGGTTCTGGTTTAAGCACTCCCGAGGTGGAACTGGGTTGGTCATGCTCCTGGACTATGTTGCCTACATATGTATTTGAAAATAAATCATCAGATTCAGTTAAAAAATTAATTTAGTCCTCTGGATCTTCTTTAAAAAATTAAGGGTTTAGTGCTCTCTAAGCAATCTGAACTTACCCTTGGTTTCACTTTGACTTAGCCTGGAGACTTGCCACAAAGAAAAAATGTGTTATCCTTCTTATAAGAAATGAAAAATAAAATTTCCATCCATCAATAAGAAATAAAAAATTTGAAGAGATAAACTTGAGTCATTTTTTAGATGAGACGCTAAACTTTTAAAGCCATCCCGTTTTTGAGAGCAAACTTTAATTCTAAGGTGTCTCGAATCAGATGTGGTCCTCATATAGTAAGCTTCAGACTACACTAAACGTAACCGATGTTGAGTCTTGAGTAGTGGCTGACTACATAGTACAGTACATTTACATGCACAGTTCAGTCTAGCTATGGCTATAGCTTGATTAGACAATTGAATTGAACTACTGTCCTTTTTTTGGTCTACAAGTTGTAACAGTTAGCTCGCGAGGGGTGGTGTGAGCAAGAAAAAAGGTATGTCCACAAAACAGTTAACTTGGGACTTCACACGGCTGATGCTCTTTTATTAAATGAAACACCATGTTAGCTATATCATACATGACAAAGCAGTCTCACAGTACTCACTGTTAACTGAGATGAGGATCAAAGAAAATAAATTACGGGAACTCAATAATGGCGTCCGCTCATCGTGTACTCGTCTTCTCAACTGACCACAACAGAGGCACAACTCAGTGACGTCCTGGCGATGTTAACGTTGTTACAGGAATGGTACGACTGTTACAAAGTGCCAGGTGAGAATTGATTTTCAAAGCATATTAGCCTCCCCCGCAGTAGGTGGTGATAGGCCCCTTTTCAGCTCTTTACTACTGGGCCATTTCCGACACATAATACATCAAAACAGTGGACAAACAGATTAGCAAGTTGTATGTCAAATAAAAGACATACCATACAACTTTATAGCTCTGTAGCATAGTTACATACAATACGACAGCTTAGATTTTTTTTACATACCTTTTTCTTCTGTCGAGGGTTTGTTTACTCCAGCTTCCTACCATGTATTTTTGCTGTTCAAAACGAAGCATGCTCGAAATGCTTGTGTAATGTTGGAGCAGATACATGGGAGAGTAAATCGGTCCCAGCAGCAGTATCTAACTATGTTGGTAACACGACAAGATGTTCGATTTCAGTGTAATGGGAGAGTTCCTATGTACAGTTATGGAAAAATTATTAGACCACGCTTGTTTTCTTCAATTTCTTGTTCATTTTAATGCCTGATACCATTAAAGGTATATTACCTGAAGAATAGGACGAGCATAACTAAAAATGCAGTTGATTCCATAATATTTTATGTCCTATTTGTCACACTGAAGCTTAATTGTATTGCCAGGGTATTAGTACAGCAGCTTAAGTCCGGAATATAAAGGAATGGTGCATTTTGTGATAAAAGCATGAAATTTGGTACACTTATAGCCAATGGCCCTCTTAAAAGATTTGGATGTGGAGGTATCAAGAATTTTTAACATGGCGGCCATGGTAGCCATTTTTCAAAATGGCCGCCAGCGATAACTGTTTTCTTATGAATGATGGATATAATATTATATTTCAAAGTTATTTACCATACATAGTACTTGTAAAATGTCTTTTGGATAGTGGTGGAATTTCATTGAAAATTCAAAATGGCCGCCGACTGGTTAGATATGGATATCTCTGTGTCAAAACATATATTTTTCTTGATACAGAATTTGCATTAAGAACTTTAGAATTTCCAAGAGTTATCTTTCCATCTCACAAGGCTAATATTAAGCAAGACAAACCCAGTTTCTATAACAGGGAAGACTATTCACACTCGCCTTCACAGAAACAAAGGGCTGTGCACTGTAAGTGGGCTTTTTTGCACTTGCACTGCCCAACACAACCCTTCTTGCATTTGCAAGAGACCAGTTCATAACTGGACTGGCCAGCATCTGGTAGGGATGTCCAGAAGGGTTTAAAGTCCCCCTCAGATGTCTTTGACCAGCCCCATTCACACGGTGAAGGTAGTTCTGGTGTTGAAACCAGGACTGTACCCCACACGTGGCCTCCTTAGTATACTGCTCTCTTGACATGCTCTTGTAGGGCAGCCTTGGTGGCAGGGATTGCTTGCACATTGTGCCTCTTTGCAAATAACTTCCTCCTTGCCATATTGATTTCTGTGCATGTGCTGGTTCGGTCATAGATTAAGATAATGAACCTCTCAATTGTGGCCATTACTTCCTGTGTTATGTGCTTTGGGGCTGAAGACAGTTTCAACAGGGCATGTGTAAGCTCTTAAAACACAGCCCATACAGCCCATGCAGTCTTTTTCCCATGACCAAGAAAGCTTGACACGGTGTCACAACCGGTCAATGCATGGAACACTGGTAGTGCACATGCTTTCTCAGGCTCGATTGTCCACCTGAAATGTTGCAGCCTCATGAAGGCCTTCATTGCCAGCAGGCTGCTTGCAGAAGAAACAGATGTCCTGTCTCATTTCAGGAGTCTGGCTTGGTTGGGACCTTCTGACTTTGGATTCTGACTGTTGATCAGGACTTTCGCTGCATGCTCTCTTTTTTGCTCTTTTCAACATGGTCTCATTGTACTTCAGCCTGCATGTATGATGGTATTGAGCTTTGTTTGCAACCATGGCAGCTTCAATACCATGACCCTCATCGAGTCTTTCAATTGCCAAAGTTGAAGGGAGCTGGCCAAGTTCATTAAACTGGATCAAATGCTCTGCAAGTGAAGTGTATCCACTCCCCTTGTCTGCTTGTGTGTTCTGCAAAGGACATCTCAGTGACTCTGCCGTGTGTTCTTGGCATAGCATACAGAGCTTCCATTCAGTCTTGGCTGTTCTAGAAGTTGATGGTCCTTGACCACCAAAATTTACAAGTTGAAATGTCTTCGACACTTTGTAAGACAAGAAAAACAATGTTTGCAGTAAAGGCCAAGGGGTTATCCTTATATACCACCTTTTACTACAGGGAAACACATTCAAGTATGGGATACAACTAGGTTCGGATAAGATCACCCGTCACCTAGCCTGATCGGTCATCCAGTACCATTTAATTCCTGTGCGATCTGTACACCATCCGGGTAACTATATGAAAGTCATACAAAGCCCCGTTACCCTTGGCTCGGCTCTCCCGCGCTGGCACATCCTGTCCATTCGGGTGCGGCTATCTAACTACATCTAATTATGTAAAGTAAGTAGATGTGAGGCTAAAATTAGATAGCATTTAGGAAACTAAACTACACTACCATTAAACTATCACCACAACTAGCACATTCAACACAGAAAATGGCATTATTAAGAGGAGCGTAGTTAGTTGGCACTGAACCCCATGCCGAGTTACACAGCAGTGGTGTCACCAGTGTGCCCTGGTTGTGTTTCGACATCCACTCTTTTACATTTCTATTCATTAAATGATTCAGTTGTTTTCATTTTGCACATTAGACTTTATTCGAGCAAAATACATTATAGTATTCTGGAAATATAATTGAAATTTCAACCATGTGGCTGCCATCTTGAAAGTAACAGGGGTCATAGGTCACCAATAGTGTGACTACTGTGGTCACCAGTTGTGAGGTAGAAGGAAGCTTCTGACCAATTGCAAAGTTCCAAATTTGAATTCTGCACCAAAGGAATTACTGGTTTGACACAGAGATCACCATCTTGAAAAATTTCAGCCATCCTGAATATAAAATAGTAACTTTAAATGATCTTACAGACATTTACCAAGTACTATGTATGGCAAATAAGTCTGAAATGCCATATTATATCCATCTTTCATAAGAAAACAGTTATTGCTGGCGGCCATTTTGAAAAATGGCTGCCATGACCACCATGTTGAAAACTCATGATGCCTCCACATCCAAATCTTTTGGGAATGCCTTTGGCTATAAGTGTAACAAATTTCATGCTTTTATCACAAAATGCACGATCGTTCTGGCTATCTGCTGCACTATATATAAAAGGCCATTTCATGTCATAAGCAGCACTGCACATGCAAAGGCCTAGAGCTGTTTACCACTTACATTCATGCCATAGCACAACTCAAAAGTTGTCAGCTCTAGCATAATGCCTAAGACAAAAGAACTGAGTGAAGCCACAAAGGCAGCCATCTTGGCAATGCTTGAAATTGGCATGAGTGTGAGACAGGTAGCCAAAAAACTGAAGATCTCCAAGACAGCTGTTCATTACACTAAGAAAAAGCAAGCCAAACATGGTGATGAATCCAATTTTGCGTTGATGCCCACTCCAGCCAACTTACTGGTTAAGAGGAGGCCTGGAGAAGCCTACAAACCAGACTGTCTTGCCCCAACAGTAAAATATGGGGGTGGATCGTAGATGATTCAGGGTTGTTTCAGTATGGGTGGAACAGGGCAAATGCAGTTGTGTGAAGGGTGAATGAACCAGGTCATGTACAGGGCTACTCTTGAAAACAGTCTTCTTCCATCAGCTGATAAACTCTTTCCTGGCTCGAATGACTGGATTTTCCAACAAGACAATGCCCCTTGCCACACAGCAAGGTCAATTAAAGCCTGGATGGAGAACCAAAACATTTGAACAATACCTTGGCCTGCTCAATCACCAGATCTAAATCAAAATGGAAACTTGTGGAACATCATCAAACTCAGAATGGAGAACCACAAGCCCAAAAACAAAGCAGATTTGGTTGAAATTTTGCAACAGCAATGGGCTGCTGTGACAGCAGAACAATGTAAGAAGTTTGTGGAGGGCATGCCAAGACACATGGCTGCAGTCATCAAAAACAATGGTTATCCAGTCAAGTACTAACTCCTGTGTGTATCATGTGACCAACAGACAGGAAAAAACATGGACTGCCTAAAAGCTTTGTTTTTGGCAGAACAATGCCATAGCTATTGATGCAAGAACTCAAGTGATTTTGGTTATTATCAAGAAAACCATGGAAAATGGCTTGATATCAGCTCTTAAATTAAACTCGTATGAGCTATTTTATTGTTATCATTATATTTGTCCACACAAATGCACATGAAATTGTGCCAGGCATTAAAATCAACAAGACATTGAAGAAAACATGGATGGTCTAACAATTTTTTCCAGGACTGTATTTAAGAAATTCAGTTGAAAAAGCGCAATAAATCAAATTTTCAAACATGTTAACATTTTGTCTTTGTGCTGTCAAATATGCAGAAAGTAGACATGAGAGAGCGTCCACCCAATGTACAGATGAAGTGAGTAGCACAACTAAACTGCAACATACTTGTGCAACCTATCTTAACCACAGAGATCTACCTTAGTTTTAATTATTATTTTGTTTTGGCTTTCCATTTTAACGTTTTTATATATACATATATATGCATTTATATATGTATATATATTAAACAAAACAAAGTTAAAAAATGTAATTAAAAGATAGCCATTCCAACTTTAACTTTATTTATGGAACGGAAATGGTACAGCCAGATCCAGCAAAAGTATCTAGCCTGAAATGGATCACAGTAAATTAATATCTAGCTATCTACTGACTTACAAAAACTGTACAGTGTTGCTAATAATACTGAAATTCAGGGTTTCCATAAAAAGAAGAAAGAGATGCGACTTTGCAGAGCAGAAATTTGAGTTGGCTTCTTTACTTGGTTGCTGGGATGAACCTCTTGGCTCTGCTAACTTGTGCAGTAAAATGTGCAGTAAAAATATGACTGATCTTTGTACAGCAACCAAGCTTTTAGACTGTCTATGTAACCACAAAGACAGTTGGACAGCTAGGGGTTCTTGTGGAAGCTGTATAAAGACTTTGAGGTTTCAGGGTAGCTGACTGGAGCTCCTTACCAAAGCAACCCTGTTTGTGCCACTAGGAGAGCACAAAGGAGCTAGAAAAATGTGGTGCAATGCAATATGTGTTCACTGAGTGAGATTGCAATCCACGAAACGGCGAGTACGCTAGTTTTGCTTAAATTTAGGATTGTAGAATAAGTTTAATAACCGTGAGATGCCAACCAATTCAGCTGGAGTCATTTCACTCACCTCTGCTGGTCACGTGTTGTCTCACAAGGTTACTTAAAGGCATAACACTGTTTTTTTTTTAAAGCATGATCATAACCTGATGAGGAAGTGGAACTGCTAGCCTGGTCCGCATTACTATGTCCCACCGCATGTTCCACGCATCGCAGCAACGGCTTGAAGTTCACAATAGATGAAGGTGGATCTTCATCTTCATCAAATTGCGTCAGGTTGCATGGAGGAGGTGGTAGCAAATGTGCTGCACACACATCCATGATGAAGGTGGTAAAGCACCAACGTCCGGGTAAAATACCCTAACAGTATGAAATGACTGTATATTCTATGTGGTACTTTGATCACACTGGTGTATAGACTGCAGATCACTTTCAGATACAAAAAAGGGAAATAAAAGCATGTCTTAAGCGAAGAATTTCACACTAAATTGAAATAAAATAGCGATGATGAATCAGGTGGTCTTTGACATTCTCTCATCTACATATCTCCAACATTCTACTTCATCTCCGGATGTAGCTGTTAATATCTCTGTCTCGCAAAAGCCTGGCTAACTGTGCAGAAGAAAGAAATCTTCAGTCTACTTAATAGTTTTAGACCGGCATTTAACTTTAAGGATAACATGAATTTCATTTGTTTCTGTTGAACTACCATGTCAAGAAGATAACCTTACTGAATGCTGAACACATCTCTGCAATTCAAAGGTTACTGGTTACAAATAATGTATGTTATTCAATGAGTTTTATACCTAGGGAGGTCAGTGTGCCATCCTTGTTTTTCTCTCCTTGTTTCCTGCGGGCCATCATCTCCTGGTACTGCTGTTCCCTCTTTTCAAGAAGCCTTTGGTTGTACAAATCCAGCTGTAACAAACAAATACTGACCTTATTAGGGCTTTGTTCTGTGAAATATTGAGGCCTTTAATTATGTCTTCAATCATTCTGCATTGTTTGGTATTGTTTGACTGTATTACCATGGTAAACATGCCTCAGATTATCTGAATTTCAATTTCCCCTTCTTGTTGCAGTAAATTATTTTTTCTCTTAACAATTAGCTCCCTCTTTTTTATCCTTTATTGCATCTGCCAGTACTTCTTAGGAAAACTACTGCTCGTCGTACCTTCTCCTTCTGCTTGGTCTTAATGTCATCATCTTCAGACGTCTGAAGGCTGGAGACTGATAGGGACTCTGTGGGTAAGCTGAACTGGACTGATTTAACTGGTTTGGCGGAGGGTTGTCCAGCCAGAGATTTCACTGTCTCAATGACCTTCAGGCATCTGGCTACAGTTGTAGAGATTGGTGACGTGTCATTTACAGAACTGGATGTAACTGGTGCTAATGATAGTGGTGTTGCTATCGCTGTAGTCATTGTATTGGATGAAGTAAGGGGTGGAGTAGCTGAAGACGGGCCAATGAAAGGAGAGATAGTATGACTTGAGGGTGTTGAGAAAGGAGGTAATCCAGTAGAGTGCTGGGGTGGCGGTCCAGTAGGAGGACCTGGAGGCTGTCCAGGGCGCCGTGGAGGAGGCCCATGAGGTGGTCCTGGAGGAACCTGTACAGGACGTCGTGGAGGTGGCCCAGGAGGAGGTCCAGGTGGAGGTCCTACAGGCACTCCAATCCTCTGGAGTGTCTGATCCACAGCTGAGGGAGCTCGAGTGCCCGTGTTCAGGACCGGAGCACTCTGCCCTGGAGGATTCTGGGTTGTGACTCCAGGGGGCCAGTTGGCTGGTGGGGGCTGCCCTGCAGTACTGTCAGAGGATGTGCTTCCCAGTGTCTTGGTAAGACTCAGCATTTGTTGTGCCTTTTTTAATGCTCCCAACTCCTGCTTGTCCAGAAACCCTTCATACTCTGACAAGACTTTATGTTTGCTGAGCGGCTCTAAACTGGAGGACCTCGCAGGAGAGGGGGAATGGATGTGTTGTGATTCAACAGAACCAATTCTGCCTTTGTGGGGATCTTCTCCAGAAGAGGAAAAAGTCTCTCGCTCTGTGGATGAAGATTTTGGGCTGAAGATTTTCTCTTGTGCTCGAATAGCCAGTTTAGACATATCTCCTGTACTCAGCTGCAGGCCAATTGTACGCAGTAGACTCTGGATTTTATCATATGGTTCTGCCTTACTCTGTGGTTCCTCACACGTCCTCTCAACTGAAGACTGTGTGGGCTTCGGTTGGTTCATTTCTTCTTCCAGAGGTAGACTCCTAGTGGGCTGCTGTTGCACCAATCCCACAATACGTGAAAAACCTCTTCCATCTTGAAGTGCTCGTTCATGTGGCAAAAGGTCATCATTAACATAGACTGATTCTGATTTCTTTTCTGCATCCACTTTTTTATTAAGCATGTCAAGGAAGCGATCGAGGGGTGGTTTCTCAGGTGGAGATGACTGGCAAGTTGTTGTATTCTTTTGTTTGGGAGATGGGCTCCTTGGTGGCGGCTCTGTGGGAGAAGGAGGTCTAAAAGGAGGCCCGGAAGATGACGTGGCAGATTGGCTGGTGGCTGCAGGGCCTCTCTCAACCTGAGAAGCTGAGGAACCATTAGGTTCAGGAGAAAGGCTTTGCTTTACTGGTTGATATGGGTCACCTGGACGCTGGTCCGTATATGCTGGATCATGGTAACGATCATCATAGGGTTCATCATAAACATCGTAGCGATCCGTGTAGCGTGTGCTTGAAGATGGAGGGCCACCATATGGAGCATCAGCATAGACACGAGTTTCATAGGGCCGATCTGCATATGGTCGGTCACTGTAAGGCCTATCAGGGTAAGGATGGCTGGCATACAGATCACCATAGCGGTCACCATAACGGTAAGGACTGTATGACCTGTCATAATAGGGATCATCATATGGATGTGGAGGGTGACGAAGAAACTCCGGTCCATCTGGCCTTTTCTTCAGGATGGATCGAACTGGTTTGTACTCAGTCAGAGGAACAGAAATCCTTCCATGGTCGTAGTCAATGCAGGTCCTCTGTCCAGGGTCCAGTCCTCTTGGGTCGACAAGTGCCTTTTTGTAGGCTATCATCTCGTTGAGCTCCTCCAGCTCCCTCTTCTTCCTTGCCAGCTCATCGTCCATTACACCAACACGTCTGGGAGGAGGGCTCAGCTCTCTCCTTCTCTTGTAACTTTGCTCACGCTCTCTGCTGAATCTGCTCTTCTTCTTGCTGGACCTGTCCCTGCTTCTCTCTCTGGATCTGTCCCTGCCTCTCTCTCTAGACCTGTCCCTGCTTCGACTGCGGCTCCTGCTGGAGCTTTTGCTGTGGCTGCGACTCCTGCTGCTGCTCTTGGATTGGCTTCTGTGCCTGTCTCTGCTTCTGCTTCGCCTGTGTCTGCTGCTTTTACGGCCACGGTCAATGCTGGTGCTGCATCTCCTTTTGATGATACGACCAAACTGATCTCTGGGTGGACTCCTGCTACAACTTCTACTTTTACTCCTTGCCATGCTCCTACTGTGACTCCTGCTCCGGCTTCTGCTCCTGCTTCGACCATGTCTGTGCCGCGTAGAACCATCCCTTTTGCTGGTACTACCCTTACTGTCCTGATTTCGAAGGTTTTTCACCACTGCCTTCATCTTGTCTGCCTCTGGTTTGGACTTCCTGAAAAGTCAGAAATCAATCAGACACACTGGACTGTGTTTTGAAATCAATTATGATAATTTATTCAATACTCACTCGGTTTCCTCTGAAGCTTTTCCCAGCTTGATGGTCATCTACCAATAGAGACAACCATATAAAAACAGTAGAAGCAATTACGCTGCCCAACAAGAAACCTTAAAATGGGGTTGATTCTTTTTTTTTGGTGAGCTCTGTAAAATTTAAAGGGGTGTAACTGTATCATTAACATCTCATTATCCAGAGATATCATTGTGTAGCTGTAATGGTTCAACAGGTGGCCACCAGCACTGCTACCAAGGCAGGACAGATTTAGAAATTGTTGATGCTCTAGTGGCTTTTAAATCTCTCCTGTAGGAGCATTAGGGACTTCCCACATCAAGCAATGAGAGAAAAGAAGCATGACAGACAAACAAAAAGTATCATGCAGAACCTGCCATGACTGCAATGATCTATAATCAAAGAATATGAGTAAATAAGAAGTCAAACTGTCACCCCTGAAATAAATACAGCCAGGCCAATAACATTTTCAGGAAGCATTACAGCCTTATTCCCCCATATCTTGATTCCCATAACAAAGCGTAAGCCTTGATATCACAAGGTGTATATTTGAACAGAGTCAAAGACCAACAGTCAACAACTAAGGATTTAGTTGGTTAGTTAGCATGCGGAAGCCAAAAGTTGGCTTTTACATTTTCTTTGATACAAGGGAGAAAATTAAGTTAACTCTAACGCGACATCATTGCCATAACTAAATATCTTTATAGCAGGTTAGTTATGTCAGCTGATTATTTCTACATGCACTGAACAAAAAAAAAAGAAAGAAAAACTTTAAATAAAAATTTCGTTTTATGAAAAAGTAATGTGGTCCACTCAAATCATCTTTTAACACAACCCATGTTTCAGTCAAAGGGGACTCATGAAAAGAATTCGTAAAAAGACAGAAAAGTAAGCTCCTTATTTCTGTCAGGTTTAACTTAAAAAGGTATAAATAATGTCCTTCTTACCTTTCCTTTGTTTGCCCCAACACCACCCAATTTCCGAGTGGGAAAGAATACGCTTTCAGTAAAGCGTTTTATCCGAATGGCCTGGTTACCTCCCTCTGCCATTTCATGCTATGAGAAACAATGAAATACAAAACAATGCAGCAACTTGGTTTTAAGAAGCACAAGCTTGAAGTTACCCAAACAGGCAACTTATAGACAGCATAAAGGGGTACCAAAACCTTTCAGGGGCACAACCCGCACACTCAGCTCTGCTGGTCATCCCACAAATGTCTGTTCCTCACAAATAGGACACCATTAAAAAGAGACATAAACAGGCTTTCCAAAAGTTTAAGATTTACAGCCAAGAAACATTGTTACAAGAAATCATCTACCAAACGCATATTTTCTTGATGTTGGTGATCAGTGTATTTGTAGTCTTAAACACTGAATAAATAAATAAATAAATAAATATATATATATATATACATATATATACACATATATACATATATTTACATATATATACATACATATACATCTATACATATATATACATATACATATATACATACATACATACATATATATACATACATATATACATACATATACATATATACTTAATATATACATATATACATACATATTCATAGATACATATATATATATAGATATACATAGATATACATACATATGGATATACATACATATACATACACACATATATATGGGTCAATGACGTGACGCCTCAATATTCTGTCCGGCTGTATTTTCTTTATGTTACAAAGAGTTTTAAATGTAAAAAAATATACTATCTATGTGTAGTATCTCTCTAATATATGGAGCCACTTCAACTTTTCAAAAATCAGGAGTTTTTTGTAATTTTTCGGAACTTCAAAGTGTCAAAATATCATGTGATGCGACCGTCCGGCCATGACTTCTGTTTTGAAAACTTCTTTGAAATTACTCTAAATCTATTACAATTTAGTTTCTGCAATATTCGGCATAATTTTGAAAGTGTTTTTTATTCCTGTACAAAATTGCAAAGCTTTTGCAGTTATATTATTTTCATAATATTCAAACGAATTTTGTCCGCTTGTGTCCATTTCATTAAATATCATGTGGTGCGACCATCAAAAAATGACAATTTTTGACACTTTTATGCTAAAATTTACTCAAGGACAGGATGTTGGATAATTCACCATTTTGTCGTAGAGCTATGGAAGCAGAAAGAGGGTTGGTGGTTCTCTCATTTCTTTAAAAAAAAAAAGACCTTTTCAACTGCTGAAATGGTGTTTGCACTTTTCGATGTCATGTGGTATGACCTCAAAAAAAAACAATTAATTTAAGTTATTTCCACAAATAAGTATTTTAATTATAAATTTCATAATGACCTTTTGTGGGAAGCTAGTGAGGTTTGTTTATGTGACATATCCTGTATCAGTAAGATTCGACTAAATTTGAAATGTCATGCGGTGCGACCAATTATCATGTGGTGCGACCACAGCAGATTGTTTTCCATCATAAATATATGCCCTCGATTGGCAGTATTTATGCTTTTTATATTCAATTGATAAAGGATAAACACTAAGTACTTAATTTTTAGTATTATTTTGAATATTTTTTGTTATTTGGTGAGTCATTTTGCTAACATTTCTGAAATAATGGTTAGGTCATCTCTGTACAAAATAAGAAAAAAAATATTGAAAGCATGCCATTTCACTTAAGGTATTTATGCCGTTGTTAGCAATGTATTAACTTTCATGTATCAATTTAAGTCATTTTAATTTATTTTACCAGATGCCACTGCCGAGCAAAGTTAAAAGCGCTCGCTATAGGCAGCGTGTCAACTCTGACCCTGCAGCATGTTGTTCATGCCAGGGCTGGTCAAAGATTGGGCCAAGATTGTTGACATCGCTGCGCGGCTGGTGAGAGGAGCGCTTCGCCGAGAGCGTTATATTCATGATCGTTCAAATCCGTTTGATTTACCCGATGAAGTTCTCTATGAACGTTACAGGTTTTCCTCAGACGGCCTCAATAGTCAGGTAACATGAAGTCGAAGCAATACACTAATATTTGCCAAGTTCAAGTTTCATGCGGCATATCAATCATCATTCAGAATTTATGGAAGCAGATTAGAAAACTCCTCTTAACCCCAAATGTGTCTGCAGATGACATGAGACCATCAGATGATGGAGAAAAAAGAAAAAAAGGCAGTGTGAGGAAATCACTGTTTACGCGTTGAAATATGTACAAATAAAATCTTCCAGTAAACCAGCTAACCACTTTGACGGATGTTTTTAGATTTATTTTTATTTGCTCCCACGTACTCTTTTCCCCACTGCTGTTGTATCTGAAATGATGAGGTCAATGATGGAGGTGATCACACACGCTGCATGACAACATATAAGGGGGCCATAAATTTATGAACGCACAAATGTAATTTACACAATCGATGATTTTTGTTGCCAGCAGTCCCTCCGGCTTTCAGCGGCTGCAGCTGTCCTGCTCCTCACTGATATAATGTTGCGGTACTCCTCTTATTAACGTAAAATAATGCTCTGTTCCTCGGCTGTGATATATGACGTGCAGCCTTCTCCATTGTGGAGATTGGTCCGGTGGCACTGACCCCACCCCCTTTACGTGTGCGCGCACAGATCTAGACTGACCACAACTGAATTTAGTTAGCGAGTTGATATCCCGCCTTGTAGTACAGCTGATCGTGTTTACGGAGATCTGGTGAAGTTTAGCGAGTTGTGGCAGAGTTATCCTGGGTGTGTTAATCCAGCTTCGTAGTACAGGCCTCTGGACCACATACACACACACACACACACACACACAGAGTTAAATTTTTGTAAAAAAGGGAAATAAAATGTTCGTGTTCATGTTTGAAATGTTAATAAAATTTGGTTTTAATATAAAATTTGCATGAAATTAATTGTTCATAGGTCTCTTTAAACTGATTTTTAATGATACAAGGTCTTCAAGTCATTTGGTGCGACCACCAATCATGTGGTGCGACCAATAATAACATTCAGTAGCGGTTTTAGGCACGGGCGAACAGGGCAGCCGCCCGGGGCGGCATTTGTGTCATGACTCATGGGGTGCGGCACGAGCACTTCCAAAAAAATAAAATAAAAGATAATAATAATAAATCTTAACCGCAAAGCGGTTTTGTATTAACTCTTGTTGTCAAATTGGCGCCCCCCCACTGCTGTAGGCGCCCCTGCTTGCTCCGAAGGTGCTGCACAGAGGATGACAGACTGTATGAGACGAGGCGGGGAGAGAGTCGCGGGGGGAAAGCTCTGCTCTATGTACGCATGTCAGCATATCAGCGGGAGTGCAGATACGTCATTTTGTAGTTTTTTAATCATTTCTGGAGTCGCGGTGAATGAAATCACTGTACCCGGCTGCCTCTGATAGGCGAGTAAAGCGCTCGGGTTCATGCTCGGATCTTGCTACGTGCTTGATGAGCTTCATGAGTGAAGTAAACAATGACAGAGGCAGAGAGCAGCTTCAGAGGAGAAACATCCAGCAGTGTGAACAACCTCTTCATATGGAGTGCTGTGGCTCACACTATCAGTGTTTTCTGTGAGTGTTGCATGACTTTGGGTGAGAACAGAGATGAACACACTGTCAGCCACGTTTTTATTTATTCATTTTTAAGTTTTTAGAGCTGCTTTTGTACTGGCACTATACTGGGGCAGCTGTATACCCTTTCAACACCTTATTTTCTATATTTACATTTGTATTGAATGGACACTTTATCATGACTGCCACTTGTTTTACAGAAAGCAAATTATTTGTCATTCTCCAGTGCAGAGCCTTTACTTTTATTTATACAGCCGCTTTATTTCATTTGAGTTTGTTTGTTCAAGGTTTTCAAAAATGTGATGAAGGTTTGCAAAACTAAAAGAGAGCTTTCTTGAAAGCCACATGTTTGAGCTCTCAAATACTTTTTGAATTTTGTTTCTATCTACTACAGAGGCCGAGATAGCAGTTTTTTTGTAAACCTCAGGATTGTGTTTTTTTCTATTGAAGGATTGCTGCAATTGAGAAATTTTTTTTTTTTGTTGTTATAATAATAATAATACTACATAGTAATACAAAACTATCTGTTCAAAATTCTATCTCTTTTTGTGTTTGTGTGTGTGTGTGTGTGTGTGTGTGTGTGTGTGTGGGGGGGGGGCGGCACTTGGAGGGGTGCTTGCCCGGGGAGTAATTTGGTCTAGAACCGCCACTGATAACATTAATTATATGAAATACAAAATAAAATATCTAATTTCTGTAACTGAGACATTAAAACCTGATACAATATGCTTACATGAAAGGTAGTTTCAAAACATTTTTATCAGTATTATGCAATTTAAAGAAAAAAATAGTCAGTGAACTACATTTGATATAGCGACTGTGAAATTATAGAGCTAATATATGAGATAATTATTTACAAAAACTCAAATAAAATGCAAATGCTTTTTTCCTATGTACTTGATATTACTGACAATTTGTAAAAAACTATGGAGTATGTTGAAAAAAATGTAATAATTTTGAGATAAATGATGGTCGCACCACATGACATTTTTTAAGGCCACGGGCAATTCATCTATATGAAATAACACTAAAATTGCCTAATTTAAAAATTAAACTTTAGTTTTTGTATACATAACATCCTTAGTGTTTGAACTGTTGCAAAAGATATTCTTTTAACCTTATACGTCATTGACCCATATATAAATATATATATATATACACTACAGGCCAAAAGTTTTCGAAGCAAGATCAGATTTGTATAAAAAAAGATCATAAAAAAAAAAGATATATAATTTGCAACACAATAAACATAACTACTGTGTAAAGAGTAACTTATCAGAAGACATTTTGACTATAATTATTAGGTATTTTAATTATTGTTGCTTAGACTTTGCTTTCTTTAAAGTAACCTCCTCTGGCTTTAACAACAGCTCGGCATATACACTCTTGATCAAAATCTTAAGACCAGTTAAAAAACTGCAAGAATTTATATTTAGCACTGTTGGATCTTAAGACGGTTCTTCGTAGAGCTTCAAAATGCAAAAAGAAGAAATGGGAACAAGAGACCAAAAGTTTCGAGCTGGTAATTTATCGAAAACAACAATTTAACTGAAATCAGCTGTTCATCAGCTGATCAAAAGTTTAAGACCACAGCTCAAAAAAACCTAAACACCTCCAAAAACAAAAACTGACCCAGTAATGAGTAGCTCCACCGTTATTGTTGATTACTTCAAAAATTCGTTTTGGCATGCTTGATACAAGTGTTTCCAAAAGGCTAGTGGGAACGTTGCTCCAAGTGGTAAAGATGGCTTCACGGAGGGCATCCACTGTCTGGAACTGATGTCCATTTTTATAAACCTCCCTTGCCATCCATACCCAAATGTTCTCAATTGGATTTAGATCAGGGGAACATGCAGGATGGTCAAAAAGAGTGATGCTATACTCTTGGAGAAAGTTCTTGGTCAGACGGGCCTTGTGAATTGTAGCGTTGTCCTGCTGAAATACCCAGTCATTGCCACACAGAAGAGGGCCCTCAGTCATGAGGAATGCCCGCTGCAACATCTCCACATAGCCAGCTGCTGTTTGACGCCCCTGCACAACCTGGAGCTCCACTGTTCCATTAAAGGAGAAAGCACCCCAGATCATGATGGTGCCCCCTCCATTGTGCCACGTAGAAAACATCTCAGGTGGCATCTCCTTGTCATGCCAGTAGCGTTGGAAGCCATCAGGACCATCGAGGTAAAATTTTTTCTCATCAGAGAATAAAACTTTCTTCCACCTTTGAAGGTCCCATGTTTGGTGCTCCCTTGCAAAGCCCAAACGGGCAATTTTGTGGCGTTGAAGGCAGTGTTGTTTTCGTCAGGCAGGACGAAAACTTAAATGACGACGTCAGACCCCTTTTTTCCTTGACGAAAATGAGACTAAGACGAACGTCACCAAAGCTCTGTAAAGACTAAAATGTGACGAAAATTGTATTCATTTTCGTCAGACGAGAACGAGACGAGACCAAATTGTTATTAGGTGGACGAACAAAGTTTCAAAACATGCTTTTTTTTGTCCTAACAGTCACGCCCCCATCACACACGCACCAAAAGCCTCGCTCGCGCACAGCTGCGCGCACACACTCATACACATACACAGTGCGGTAGGTGGACGAGGCGCGCACACACACACCGTGGCGGCAGGCACAGCAGCGGTGCCCGGTGGCCGAAAAAAGAGGGATGCTTTATGGTCCAGATACAGTCCAAGTGACAATAAAACACAATGTCTTGTACGGGGAGACGAGACAGACGACAGTTGTGGAGCCACAGCTTCCTCATGCTGCGGCTTCAAACTGTCGGGAAAGAACACCACGAACCTCAAAAGGCACCTTTTTGTCGACTAAAACTAGACTAAAACCGTTTGAGCTTTCGTCGGACTAAAACTAGACGAAAACTATCAAGGATAGAAATGACTAAAATGGGACTAAAACGAAGAAGCATTTCGTCAAAATGACTAAGACTAAAACTAAATCTAAAATGCCTGCCAAAAACAACACTGGTTGAAGGAGACGTGGCCTTTGAAGACGTTTTTTGTTTTTGAAGCCCTTCCTTCGCAGATGTCGTCTGATTGTTATTGGGCTGCAGTCAGCACCTGTAATGGCCTTAATTTGGGATGAGGATCGTCCCGCGTCTTGATGGACACACATTCGGATCCTCCGGCTCAGCGCTGGTGAGATTTTTTGGGGTCTACCACTTGATTTTTTTGTTCCATAACCCTTCGGATCTTTAAAGAAATGAAAAATAACGGTCTTACTGTGTCCAACCTCAGCAGCGATGGCACGTTGTGAGAGGCCTTTTTTATGCAGCTCAACAATCCTACCACGTTCAAAAGCAGTGAGCTTTTTTGCCTTTGCCATCAAGAGATGTTGACAGTGTGACCCCTTGACAAGAAATGACATGGAATCCAAATTTTCGCACAGATTTGGGCTTCTAAAGGCTGTGGTCTTAAACTTTTGATCAGCTGATGAACAGCCTATTTCAGTTAAATTGTTGTTTTCAATAAATTACCTGCTCAAAACTTTTGGTCTCTTGTTCCCATTTCTTCTTTTTGCATTTTGAAGCTCTTCTAAGAACTGTCTTAAGGTCCAACAGTGCTAAATATAAATTCTTGCAGTTTTTTACCTGGTCTTAAGATTTTGATCAAGAGTGTACCACGCATTCGTTCCACAAGTTTTTTAAGGTATGTTCCAGTGATTGCATTCCAAGCTTTCTTAAGTTCATTAAAAAGAGACTGCTGATTCGTGGGACGCATTTTTCTGACCGATCGATCCAATTCATCCCACACAAGCTCAATTGAGAAAGGTCTGGAGACTGAGGGGGCCAACCCATCTTTTGAAGATCACCTTCCTCTTCTTTTTTGTCTAGGTAACCCTGACAGAGCTTGGCAGAGTGTTTAGGGTCATTGTCTTGCTGCAAAACAAACTTATGAGCCACAAGTCTTGGTCCAGATGGAACAGCATGGTGCTGGATGATGGAGTGATACTGTTCCTTCTTCATGATATCCTTTACTTCAAACAAAGCTCCTACTCCATCACCTGCAAAACATCCCCATACCATAGAACTACCAGACCAGCCTTTCTCAAACGTCTTTTCACAGTTGTCAGAGCTATGGGTTTCGACCTTGTCATGTTGATTTCCTCCCTTATTTTTGGTGCTGTCTTTTGCCGATCTCTCTTACTGGTGACAATGCTATGTTTATCCTCTGCTTTTGAAGGAACTCTCTTTCATCCAGGTCTTTTTCTATTATCATAACTTCCAGGTTCCTGTAGTCTCTTCAGAGTGAAGTGGACTCCTTTGTTAAACACCTTTAGGCGTTTTGCTATTTTTCTTTCTACATATAAATATATATAAATATTAATATATATATATATATAAGTCCCACAAATCAGCAGTCTCTTTTTAATAAACTTAAGAAAGCTTGGAATGCAATCCCTGGAACTTACCTTAAAAAACTGTTAAAGCCAGAGGAGGTTACTTTAAAGAAAGCAAAGTCTAAGCAACAATAACTCAAATACCTAATATTTATAGTCAAAATGTCTTCACACAATAGTCATGTTTATTGTGTTGCAAATTATATATATGAAACTATGACCTTTTTTTGTACAAATCTGATCTTGCTTCCAAACTTTTGGCCTGTAGTGTGTGTGTGTGTGTGTGTGTGTGTGTGTGTGTGTGTGTGTGTGTGTGTGTGTTGAGCAAACAAGGTCACTCTCTCTGTTACCAATTCTGAGAATTTGATGTGTGGGAGACTAACAATCTTGAGAATGCTTTATCAGGCAACAGTTATCACTTGCCGGCTATCTGTTTTTCTTACTGCTGTTTCTTAGAATTGTAGACAGGATGAGGATGAAGAGGTGTGTTGAAAGATTTTAAAAACTAAAATATGAAGAACAGGGCTGTGCCATTACTTAGTGTCCATGATAATACCAGGGTAAATTTTTCATGATTGAAAAAATGTCATACAGTGGATATAAAAAGGCTTCATCCCCTGGTAAAATGCTAATTTTTTTCTGTGATGCAAAACCATGAGACCAAGATAACCTTATTTTTGTGATTAATTTAATCTGTAAAACTCAATTGAAAAACAAACTGCAGTGTTTTACGGAGTAATTTAAATTAGTTTAAATAAAAAATATATGAGACTGCATAAATACGCACACCCTCTTAACCAATCACACACAAACTCATGTTTAATAGGAGTCAGTACACACTTGTCTCTGATTAAACTTATTTTCTTAGTCTCGTTTTACAGCAAAAGCCACAGTGCACTGAGAGCTTCCAAAGCATCAGAGTGATCTCAGTGTTCAAAAGTATCAGCCAGTAGACTGGTCCAAGGAAAATCCAAGGCATTAGATATACCAGGGACCACAGTGAAGACAGTCATCATCAAGTAAAGGAAATGTGGCCAAACAGTGATGTCCTTCCAAAACTGACGAGAAGAAAACTGGTCAGGGAGGCTGCTAAGAGGCCAACAGGAACATTTGAGGAGCTGCTGGGATTTCTGGAAAGTACTGGCTGTGTCATACGCATGACAACAGTGTCCCGTATTCTTCATATGGGTCATTCCATGTCAATTCAACCAAGAATCTCCACTCACGTCACAGATTTTGATGAAATTTGGTGGAGTGATTGGCCTTCAGGAGAAACTGTCAGAGCTCAAATGTTTTTGTTCAAAGCAATCTAATTAGTGAGATAGGGGCTACTGAATTTTTGGCTAGTTAGCATGACATGCGTTACAAAAGTGTTCATATCTCTGGAAGTATGGCACCTAGAGAGCTGATTCAGGTGTCATTTCAAAGCTCTCCTCAAGTTCTATCTTTTTGTTCATAACATTTTTTCCCAAATTGGACCAGAAAAAAATATATAAAAGACCAAAAAACTTACATTGGAAATAGCAATAAAACACACATCCTTCAATTTTCTTCATATTCACACTAAAGACTATCAGTTTCAGGATGGGCATTCCATAACTTTTTGAGTAATCAGTCAAAATGTGTGGTACGTTAGGTCGAAAATCGCTGTATTTGGCACGTTATACAGTCCTGACCTCATCTGGAGTCAGCCCCACTTGCCTGCTTGTGTAAAATATTACTTCCTCATAGTGCAAAATGCTTTTTTTGAGGGTTTTCATTTGTATGTTATCCCATATTTATATGAAAAATGGCTAGAATAGCTTATTTTTGCTCAGTTTTCCATCGCATTTCATTTCTATTTGCACCTATATCCAGAATCCTCTCTTCAAGTTCTATCTTTTTTCCCCAAATTGGACCAGAAAAAAATTATAAAAGACCAAAAACTTAAATTGGAAATAGCAAAAAACGTGCGTCCTTCAATTTTCTTCATATTCACACTAAAGAAAGACTACTACTATGTCCACTAGCATCCCTGGAAGTTTCAGGATGGGCCTTCCATAACTTTTTGAGTAATCAGTCAAAATGTGTGGTACGTTAGGTCCAGGCTGTTTATCCTTTGAACGTTTCCTTTATACTTCCTGTATCAAGGAAATTGACCAAGAGTGAATCATAAAATCTGGATTCCCGCGAGCAAGTATTGGATGATACCATACTCAAGAGAAATTATTTTAATAAAATTATTAACAAAAGTACTTCAAAAGTATGCTAAAAGAACTTTTGAAATATCAAGGAAACATTGAAAGGGCTCAGGATTAAAAGCCTGAAATACTTCTCAGGGAAACCAGCAACAAAATTTCAGGGTGCATAGGTAGAAGTTATTTGTCAACCCTAGGATCCAGGACATGCAGGTATGTCCAAATGATTCTCCCATGAAGCTAAGATCATTCATATTCTGGATATAGGTGCAAATAGAAATGAAATGCGATGGAAAACTGAGCAAAAATAAGCTATTCTAGCCATTTTTCATATAAATATGGGATAACATACAAATGAAAACCCTCAAAAAAAGCATTTTGCACTATGAGGAAGTAATATTTTACACAAGCAGGCAAGTGGGGCTGACTCCAGATGAGGTCAGGACTGTATAATGTGCCAAATACAGCGATTTTCGACCTAACGTACCACACATTTTGACTGATTACTCAAAAAGTTATGGAATGCCCACCCTGAAACTGATAGTCTTTAGTGTGAATATGAAGAAAATTGAAGGATGTGCGTTTTTTTGCTATTTCCAATGTAAGTTTTTTGGTCTTTTATATATTTTTTTCTGGTCCAATTTGGGAAAAAATGTTATGAACAAAAAGATAGAACTTGAGGAGAGCTTTGAAATGACACCTGAATCAGCTCTCTAGGTGCCATACTTCCAGAGATATGAACACTTTTGTAACGCATGTCATGCTAACTAGCCAAAAATTCAGTAGCCCCTATCTCACTAATTAGATTGCTTTGAACAAAAACATTTGAGCTCTGACAGTTTCTCCTGAAGGCCAATCACCCCACTCCACTTTTTGGCCATAACTCCAAAAGGTTAGTTTGGCCCAATCACAACAGAGGGCAGCAAACACTTTCAAATACCAGTCAGTGTTAGAATAGAATAGAATAGAATATTTCTTTATTGATCCCCCATGGGGGAAATTTTTTTGTCACAGCAGCATCACAGACAAAGAGTGCAAAAATGCAGTTATAAAAATAAAGATCCTAATATTAAGAACTTAAATAAATGTAATAATTAAGAAAAAAATTAAGAAAAAGGAAAAAGGGAGAAGAAAAATAAAACTATCTACAATATACACAATTTAAATGCCAGAAAAAAGTGGTGGTGTAAATCCAGTTATTATTACAGTTTGTTGTAAAATCTTATTGCAGAGGGGAGGAATGACCTGCGGTAGCGCTCCGTCCTGCAAGGTGGAAGTCTAAGTCTGCTGCTGAAGGAGCTGCTTAAAGCCCCAAAAGCTTCAGATGAAGAGGAACTAAACCTTTCAGCACCACCACAACCCAAAGATATAAGTTCTAGATTGGACGAGCCAGAGCCCAGACCTGAAGCCAACTGAAAATCTGGGTGGTGATCTGAAGAGGGCTGTGCACAGAGGACAATCTTCACAGTCTGACAGGTTTGGAGCATTTTGCAATGAAGAGAGGGCAAATATTGCCAAGTCAAGATGTGCCATGCTGACAGACTCCTATCCAAGAAAAGCTGAGTGCTGTGATAAAATCAAGAAGTGCTTCAACAAAAGTATTAGTTTAAGGGTGTACGTATTTATACAACCCCGTTATTATAGTTTTTCATCTAAACCCCAGTTTGTTTTTTAGTTGATTAGTTCAGGTTACAGGTCACAATACACTTTTATTGTGAAGCAGCCAGATCACAAAATGAGATGTTTTCAGTAGCAGGACTGTTACACAACTTTTGAAAGAGGTAAAACAATGTCTGAAAATATCCAACAAGGTAAGAAACTTAATAAAACTTAAATTGTTGCATGTGAAGAACTTTGAAATCAACGTCAATGTATGGTAAGGTCAAACTGACAGGCCTCTAATGACTCCCACCCCAAGTGTCCGTGATTAATGTTCAACAAAGTCAATTCATAAGTCAAATTTCTTGGACTCACCTCATGAGAGGAAATTCAGCTTTGAATTCAATTCAAATTCAAATTCAAATTCAACATTGAAAAAGTTGTGATTGACAGCACTTATTTCAGCCATGTGTAAGATTACTTAAAGCACTAGACTTTTAAGAATCAGTTCCCAGGACTTTCAGACCAGACTTAACAAGAGACATCTTATTAAGCATTGAAATGAACTGTGATTTTGACGCAGAGCTTGGTAGAGTTTTGAGTGGACATGCCAAAGGTTACCTAATCAGCTAACCTGATAATGACCTTGATTGTGGCCATGTGCTCTGGCTTCTTCACGATAAAAACGTCTGCCCCTGCTCACACGACTTATGTGATTGAGACACCTTCCAAAGTTCAGAGAGTAAGCTGAACTGACACCCTCCCTGATTTTCTCATGTTTTTATACAGGGACAGACTGAAGACTCCTAATGAGTGAGTACAGGGAGGCTCCAAGGCCATCATGTATGTCTCTGAGCCATAATCTTGATTCAGGGTTTCCCCTTTATGTAATTGTGACACACCACCTTGGCAAAATAAGACACCACACCTTAAAATGAGTATTTCTTTAAGTGGCGCTACCTCGGACTCAGCATGTATCAGAATATGCGGTTCACACAGGCACTACACTGCGGGGCTGCATATTACTCAAGTATTAGCGAGTTGTCATCTGCGATCACACAGCAGATGAGTAGTTATCCCCTCTGCTCCTCAAATCACACACCACCACAAATAGATTCCTGTCCTGTGGGAAACACTGTCATCCCAAAACAAACTCTAGGAAAAATTGCAGGGATTGTTAACACCAAATCCTAATTAATCTCTAGAATACTCCTCTTGTGGAGCCTTTGTGAACCTTAACATCTGTTTTCCAGCCGCAGAAGCACCATTAGAGCTCTGGTCTATTAAAAAAGGCAAAGAGGCTAAAAAAGTACTCACCGGAACGACGCTGAATTCCACCTTCTCATTCAGCTCTAGTCTCTTCTTCTCTATCACCTCTGACATGTGAAAGTAAAGCTGAGGGTTCTGGGTGCACTTGATGAGCCCTGAGTCTTCTGAGAACTCAATCACTATCCCCTGGTTCAGAAAACAAACAATTGGAAACCCACCAGCTGTTTTTAAATCCCATTTTGATTTGGTGCAATCTCTAAAATTACGGTGACTTCAACTCTGTTAATTAATAGACTCAAAGTTCACAACTAGTTTCTTGGATGTTTCTGAAAGACTTACGTGTCGCCTCTGTTCGGTGGACTCCTCAAATGAGTCTGGGAGGATTTCCACGAAGGTTGCGTGTTCGTCTTTGGTCTCCTGATGAGTGGCGATGTTGAAACGCACCTTTACAGATCAGAAACAGTTAATAGTATCTATTGAGGGCTTATAGTTTCCTTTAGAAGGTCGAAAACTTTGATAAGAAAATACATTATGTGACAAAGTTATGATGCGACAGGACCAGATGAACTTTTTGCTTCTTCTTGTGTTTTCTTAATGTGGATGGTTTGATACTTTTTACGAGGATCACTTTTTATTTACATTTTTGAAAACACAAACTTGAAGACTCTTAATTCTTTGACTTAAAGCACTGACTGCCTGCGTTTTTCTTTAAGTGTCTACATTACAGTGTTGTAATGTACACCAGACTTTTGAACTTCAGTGTGACTCTTGTGGATTTCAGACCTGCGGACAGTGTTGGTAGGAAACAACATTTGACACAGTTTACCCTAATGACAGGAAATTTAATGTTCTCTCCATGTTTTCTCCATTTTCCTATTGTGGCCCGTTAACAGAGTCAACCATCACGCTGCGGTGTGAAGTCCCTCATCAACAGTCCTGTACAGCTGTGCTACAGAATGGGCATAGGTTAAATGCTGCACATTTAAAACTGCATTTTGGAAGCAAAGGTTTTTTTTCCCACCAACCCTTTGCAAAGTTATTCACACTGGGGAATCCATACATTACTCAGGCTTGTTTGACCTCTAATGACCTTTGAAGTTCACTCTGGTTGGCCTGTGCTTGTGCTCTGTGCCACACCTCGGCATAGGATACTTTCTCAGGGCTTCACAGTTGCGCATCGATGTGCATGAGCACAGCAGAGTGAAGCATGAGCTAATAATTAAATTGGTGACTTCACTGAAATCCTTTTCTTGCATACCAATGCCCGCGACAATCGGAAGTGAGGTTATTTTCCTAGGTCTTTTTTCCCCAGGAGTTGTAGTTTTTCCACGGCACACACTTCTCTTCACTCGCACTCCTGCTTTTGTCTCATCTTTTAGCATCTATTGCTCTTCTGCAAACACACACACACACACACACACACACACACACACACACACACACACACACACACCGGAATATCCCTTTAAAAGAGATATTCTGGCGAAAATACCCTGTTCTTTCTTTCAGGCAAAGCTTCTGTTCACTTTTCTGTTCACTAAAAATTAGGGCTGTCAATCGATTAAAATATTTAATCGCGATTAATCGAATTGTGATCATAATTAACCATGATTAATCGCAAATTGATCGCATATTTTTGATCCATTCGAAATTGATCTTTTTCAAATTGTTATACTTTTATCAACATGAGAATCAACATGAGAACAGATCGTGGATTTTCGTGGTAATGGTGGTCCTACAAGGTAATTCATATGTCCAGTCATTGGATGCGATCCGTATGATTTCACGCAGACCAACGTGCTGCACAATGCTAATCGCCCGACAAGCGGTAGCCACCCATTTAGCGATTTCTGTTTCAAGTTTGCGTTTAGTCGAGCTCTCCATCTGTTTACCTTGCACATTCAGCGTTGTTGGCTGGCGGGGCGGGGGGCTCTCTGCATCAGCTGTGTGCTTGGCCGACAAGTGATATTTGAGACTGGACGTACTCCGGTGGTAACCTGTCAAGAGAGCCATCTGGCAAGGCTTTGTAGCTGAACTTTCTGTTCAAAATAGTGTTCTTATCCATTATATCCCAGTTACTGCTCACGGGGATTTGTTTATGTCTGCTGTGGTATCAGTCAGTGCTCTACTTCCTGATTCGCGAAACTACGGAGTGCCCCGAGGCTCACATAGCCTGGACACCTCACCAACTTTTCCTCTACCCTTTTACAACGGCAAGAATATCCACGCAGTGTGTGTATAGTTTGGTCAAGCCAGACTAAGGCTTGCGTTAATCGTGCGTCAAAAAAATGAGTGGCGATAAGAGTCACTCGAGTTAACGCGACAATAACGCGTTAACTTTGACAGCCTTACTAAAAATATAACAGTATAAAAATATAGTGTTTACAGTTATGTTGCACTGAAACAGTGTTGATGTTTTTGCACTATCGCTGGTTACACTGTGGTTAATTTATGCTGCAAAATGAAAACTATGAAATGTCATTGATTGTTTGTTTTTCTTTCACCCTTTTCACCCTCTTTCATAAATACACAGACGTATCATAGGTTACCAGGAGCAATGTATCGATAATGGCAGTTTCGCCATATCGAGTTTTACCGTTATCGTGAGCTATGTATTGCGTATCGTATTGTGAGGTACCCTGAGATTCCCAGCCCTAATAACTCTGAGAGTTGCTCTTCACAGCCAGAGTCAGCGATGTTGCAGACTTGTTCACTGCACAGCTCAACTTGTGAAACAAGGACATTATACATGGCCAATGTGAGTGCATTCTTACTCTTCATCTTTTTCGTCATCTTCATTGGATGACAGTCACCATGAAAATGGTCAAATCATGTTGTTTTGTTTCTTTTTTTCCCCCAGAAAGTTGCCACAGAGAGCTTCAATAGCTGTATTGATCCTGAACCACCTCCTTCTCCTCTCACCTTGTCTCCATCCAGCATGGTGGCAGTGCTCAGCAGGTCATCCGGACCAAATTGCAGCTGTTTTTGTTCCCCGTTGATGGTCATCACCAGCCGTCCCACCTCTGGGTCTAATTTGGCCCCGCCTCCAGCATCACCCGACCGCTCCTTTTTCCCCTGCTCATCCTCCTCCTTATTCTCCTTCTTCACCTCTCCTACCTCAGGTTTTCCTTCTTTCTCTGATTCGTCTGTTTTCTCCACCTTGATTTTGACCTTCACAGAGACATCATTCAATCATCATCAGTTTAACAAAAAAATAACAAACTCCAGAACATATCCGAGACTTGAAGACTCATGAGTACCTGCTCAAAGGGACTGTGCCCATTCTCAGCACTGATTCCTTTTCCCTCCTCTGTCTCCTTTTTGATCTCCTGAATATGAGGGTTTTTAGAAATGGCTCTGAGGATGGTGCCATCAAACCTCTCCTTGCTGATGTCTTCCATTGTGTTGGGGTTTCTCATTTTGAAGCCAAGGGGGGTCCACTGACAGAGGACAGAAAGACAGAAGAGAAGTCAGTGGGAAGACAGCTGAGAGGATATGTTTGGGGAAAAATGAGAAGCTGTTTCCTCTGAGGTTTGAGAGGTTAAAAAAGGTGTGTTTGTAAATACAAAGCAGCCATGATCTGCAGGACCTAAAAACTGGAGAGTAAAGGCCTGCAGAGAAGAGAGCAGATTGTAGCACATCTACATTTTAACTGCATCAGCAGAAGAAGCTGAGTTTGTTAGTTACCACATTTTCATGAACTCCTCATTTTCACTTCATTGTCTTATAATGTGGATTCATTCTTCTTCAGATTGTGGAGTTATTTCATTATAATCTATTGACAAACCACTAGAATTTCATCAGAAGACACTCACTGATAAAGCCTATTTTTAAAGTTGAACACTACAGCAAAAAGTAGTTTTGTGTCAAATTTTGAGGCTTTAAATCTTTCACTGTGTTACTGAAGGCCAGTTATTTTCAGAAAAGAATGTACCTTTTCCAATCATTAAAGCGACTCGGTAGCCGTGACAGCTCACTGTCACTGGCCTGCTGCTGCCAACTGTGTGCACTACACACCACCTAAAATCAAGACGGAACACCGCTGTCTTTTCCAATTTATCTGGCCAAGTTTGAGCTGGACTCAAAAAATAATTCAGAAAAATTCAACACCTGTCAAACACCTGTGTTGACTCAGTGCTTTATTTTAGATAACTGAGGAACTCACCACAGTCTTAACAGCAGAATAAATTCCAAGGGGTACACACACATCACAGAGTGAAGCCGGCACCACCAGCCACTTCCTCCTCCTTTACGTTACCCTTCCTTATGTTTTCCTAACCTTGCATTTAGCTGCCGCGAGTGCTGCTGCCACCTCCTCTTTCTTCTTCCTCTCTGCCTCCCTTTCTCGCTCCTGCTCCACTTCGGCTCTCTTTCTCTCCTCCTGTTTCCTTCTCTCCTCCGCTTCTCGTTTCTTCTTCTTCTCCTCCTCCTCCCGTTTTTTCTGCTCCTCCAGGATTTTGTCCTCATTCCTATTTGTTCTCAGAAGCCTGATGGCCCTTTTTTCAAATTTCACCTGCAGAGAGAATACTGTAGCGTCACGACTTATTCAGTGTAGCTAAGCAGGTTCAGTCTCTGTCAGACTCACCATCCCCACTGTGAACTCCACCTCTTTGTGGATGTCGGAGGAGTTGAACTCGGTGTCGCTGAAGTTCTCACAGAGGTCAAAGGGCAGCTCTCCATGCTCCTCAGAGTTAACAATACCTGTGTCCGCTCCCAGGTAGGTGATGATGCCCTGTTAATCAATTAATAAACACTTCACATGAGCACACAGTAAAGAGGGTATTGACCTCGGTAAAACCTAACAATGGAGCCTCCGCTTAGGAGGGTGAAATGCATTTAGGTAAGGAGTCTTACTTTCAGCTGTAGTTTGATGTAAATCATGTAAAAACAACAGACCTCTATCCTTTAATAACTGTGATTATCGGCTTGGCTAAAAATCATACGTTAAGGACTCTGCAGTGTGTTATTTTCTGGAGTGATGAAGTTACCAGTTCTCTCTTTTCTCTGGTGTAGCTGAAGGTGAATGGGATCTTGGGCTTGATGTTGGCTGCTCTCCTCTTCCTGGTCATCACGTCAACCAGCAGGTTGATTAACACGTGGTCATTCTTCAGCAGCGTGACGCCGCAGTCCCGGTGATCAAAGGTCACGTTTGTCTTTACAGGGCCAATGTTGGCGTGGATCTGACCCGGGTAGCCTGGCAGGGTAGGCTAAAGCAAGAGAGAACGAGAGATACGGTAAGAGAGAGTGAGAGCAAGCGAGAGAGACAAAGAGAGAGAAAGAGAGAGATTTGAAGCCGAACATTTATTACCCGTCCATCCTCTGTTACACCACTCCACCAAAAACAAACACAAAACTCCAACAGCGAGAAACAAGGCAAAATTAAACGAGCAAAGATGACAAAGGAAAAGGCTCGAAACCTCAGGAGAGAGAGAGAGTACAGGGACGCCAACAGCCCTGCGGGGATCAACCCCTGCCAAACAACTCTGTCCACCTCGACACCCTAACCCGCACCAGAGAGCGGAGATTGGAGACCTCGACACACAGATGGTATGCCGCCCTCTTCCCCAGGGTCTCCAGATCACCTAGCACTGGGGTCCGGAAGGAAAACAGGACGTCCCCCTCGTCCTGCCACTGACCCCCAGCAGGAGAGATTGTCAGAGAAGGAAAAGGATACTCAGCTCCATCCTCCCATTGATCCAGCACAGCCCTGTCTTCAGAAAAAGCTCTGAGGGCTCCTGGCAGCGACCCCGGACCTCCTCTACCAGCCTCAGCAGCAGCCTCCTGAACCTGATGCTCAGCAGCTCAGACAGATGGGCAATGGAGGTCTTCATGAGGTGACCCAGCTTCACACAGCCACCCTCCCTCAGTCTGGACCTCAGGCTGGCAGAGGACAGGGCCTGAGATGTAAAGAGACCGCTACCAAGCAGAGGTTCCTCCAGGATCCACACCCCCACCATCTCAACGTCCTTCCGCTGGAACCTGAGAACCTGCCATGCCTGCAGGACTGACTCATAAAACGGAGTCAGACCGGTCATATGTCATACCCCAGACACTGCTGTACAGCAGTTTCTGGGCTGTGATCCGGGATGCAATGTCCACCAGGCCCTGCCCCCCTTCCTGCACCAGCAGGTACAGGACTGCTGCTCTCCGCCAGTGCAAACCAGACCACAAAAAGTCCACAACTGCCCTCTGAAGTTCTTCCACCAGGCCCCCGGGTGGAGGCAACACGATCATCCTGTGCCACAGAGTCACGGCAGCCACGTTGTTGACAATCAGGGTTCGTCCCCGGTAGGAAAGCTGAGGTAGCAGCCATTTCCATTTAGACAGTCTGGCACACACTCTCTCCACAACACCCTCCCAATTCTTCGCCTGAAACTCCTCTGTCCCCAAAAAGACACCCAAGATTTTTAACCCTTGCCTCCCCCAACCAAGGTTTCCTGGCAGCTTTGGAATGTCCCTGTCTGCCCACTGCCCAACCTACAACGCTTTGCTCTTCCCCCAGTTAACTTTTGCTGAAGAAGCCCTTTCATAAAGATTTAGACTACAACTCAGCAAATCCACATCCTCCTGATCCCGCACAATGACTGTAACGTCGTCCGCATAAGCAGACACTACCAGCGGGAGGCGCTGAGGCATATCTGGCAACAGAAGACCTGACAGCTTGGCTCTTATCCTGGTCAGAGGAGGCTCAATAACTATGGAGTACAATATTCCAGAGATAGGACATCCCTGTCTGATCTCTCTCTGAAAGTGCAACGGACAGCCCAACCCACGCCCCACTTTCAACAGACAGGAAGCATCCATATACAGTAGCCCCACCTGCGATATAAACCTTTCCCCAAACCGAAAAGCCCTTAAAGTGGCAAAGAGAAATCCATGGTCCACCCTATCAAAAGCTTTTTCCTGGTCTAAGGATATGATACCAACATCAATACTGTACAGTTTGCAAATGTCCAACAGGTCTCTCATCTGAAACAAATTGTCCATGATGGATCTGTCCGGTACACAATATGACTGGTCCCTCTGGATGATGAGCTCCAGGAAATCCTTGAGCCTGTTAGCTAGCACCTTAGAGAAAAGTTTGTAATCCGTACATAGCAGGGCCACTGGCCTCCAGTTCTTGAGTAGAGTCAGATCCCCCTTCTTCGGCAACAGAGAAAGAACTGCACGCCTACAGGATCCCGGCAACAGGCCTGTCCATGAACACTCCTGCAACACCGCCCACAAATCGACACCAACACACTTCCAGAAGTGCTTGAGGAAATCAGCCAGCAGCCCATCCAGCCCAGGAGCACGACCAGGAGCCATCTGACCCACAGCAGCAGTAAGTTCTTCCATGGCGATTCCAGCGTCCAGGACCGCTCTTTCCTCTGGACTCAGCTGAGTAAGCCCCTGCAGCAGCTCCTCCTCACACTGTTGGTCACAGTCCTCCCTCCTGAAGAGGTTGCTGTAGAAATCCACAGTATGCTGCCTCATCTGAGTCTGGTCAGTCGTCACCGTACCATCAGGGAGGTGGAGGCCCACCATCTGCTTGCTCTGAGAGGCTGACTTCTCCAGATTAAACAAATAAGATGTGGGAGCATACATGTCTCTCACACTGGTGAAACGTGACCTGACTAAAGCCCATTAAGCTCTCTCCCGTAAAAAGGAACCCAGTTCCTGTTTCTTCTGTTGTAGTGTGTGGCCGTCTGCACTGCCACGATTTGATGACTTATTCTCCAAATCTCTGATTTCTGTCTCCAAATCCTGTATTACTCTTTGGACTGTTACTGTGGAATGATTTGTGTACTGCTGACAGAAGACCCGCATATGTGCTTTCCCTACGTCCCACCACTGACTCAGAGACTCAAACTCTCTTTTCCTTGCCCTCCATATTGCCCAGAACTCCTCAAATTTCCAACAGAACACACTGTCCTGAAGCAGTTTAGTGTTGAAATGCCAATATGAGTTGCATTTCAGGGTATGTGCGATATGAAAATCTAAGGTGACTAAGTGATGATCAGTAAAACCTACTGGGTAAATGTGACTGCTCAGAAGCCTGTTGCAGAAACTCTTTGTCATGTAGATTCTATCTAACCTGGCTGCACTCATGCTCCCACCCACCACTCGAACCCATGTGTACTGCCTAACCCGGGGATGTTTAAGCTTCTAGACATCCACAACATCTGACTCTAACACAATCTGGGACAAAATTGTGGATGATCTGAAATGAGGTTCCTGTCCTATTCTGTCTAATGTGAACTCTGTGGTGGAATTCCAGTCTCCCCCCCATCACTACACACTCACTCTGCTCACATTGTCTTTAAAAATCTCTTATCTTATGGAAAAAATTCAGCCTATCTGCACCCAGATTAGGAGAATAGATATTAAGGAAACAGAAATGAATGCCCTGTAATTCTGCCCTGATGACCAAAGGCCTGCCTGTCACTATCTCTGTGGTGGATGTAATATTTAACTCAAGCCCTGCTGAAAAAAGAATGGCTACTCCTGCAGAGAGGTTTGTACCATGAGATAGAGCATACTGGCCCCTCCACCACAATCCCCAGTCTATCTCATTATAATAATAATAATAATAATAATAATGCATCAGATTTCATAAAGCGCTTTATCAGAGACCCTCAAAGCACTTTACATTGGATACATCATTCATTCGCTCACACAGTCACACTTTGGTGGTGGTAAACTATCTTGGTAGTCACAGCTGCCCTGGGGCAGACTGACGGAAACGGGGCTGCCATTTTGCGTCTACGGCCTCTCCGACCACCACCACACAACACTCACAATCATACACCAGTGGAGGACACACACTGGGAGCAAGGTGGGTTAAGTGTCTTGCCCACGGACACAACGGACAGACTTGGGATAATGGGGAATCGAACCGCCAACCTTCCAGTTATTGGACCGCCGCTCTACCTCCTGAGCTACTGCCGCCATCGATTATCTTCATCACTGTGTGTTTCCTGCAGGAAAACTACGTCTAACCCTTTCTGTAAAACCATCTCGGAGATATCTGCTCTCCTCTGCCGATCCCTCCCCCCATTAATATTCAAGATGCCCATCCTCACCCTATGCATCCCCGAGAGATAGAGAGAAAACAGGTAGAGAAACCAGCCAAAGGAGAAACACCCAGTGCAGCAACTCCATCATAATTTACTTACTAAGTTTTAACTTTCCTGAGATTCTTTTCGGGTTAAGGCTCTTTCTCAAGTTTGTCACATGTTTCTTCAACCTGAAACGTTTTTTTTTCATCCAATAAGTCCACTCCCACTACCTTCTGCAGGGTGTGAACACTTTTATTAAACTTTCCTGCATCTGGAAAATAGTCACCTACTTTAACAGATTTCCCAAATGATTCACAGAGGAAGCCATCGATTTCCTCCAGTGTGTACAGATCTCCCCCCTGAGAGTCTCCAACGGAGGCACAGTCAGAATCCTCCTCCATGTCCTCCTCCTCCTGATCACCATCAGCCCCCTCCATCAGCCCCTGCTGTCCTCCTCTGTGGTCAGACCCCACCTCCTGGCAACTCTCACTGCTCTCTTCACTTCCTGGCTGTCTTCCCACTACTGCCCCCTTCTCTTTAAATGTCCTCTGAGTTTACTAAATACTAACTGCATGAGGCAGTAATGCCCACTCATCCTTTCGATACAGCTTAGTGGTCATACAAAGAGTAAGAGTGCAAACACATTAACTCTGGATTTTGGAAGTCACCGTCCACAACAGTTCACCAAATTGAAGCTCATGGGCCTTAAAAGTACATCTATAGAGAAACCTGTACAGGTGAGCACAATGTACTCAGCCTGGCAGGACAGAAGCTCTGTGAAAACTGTCTGGACTATAGAGCGGAGGGAAATGTAGAAGTGGGTTTTTGTCAGAGCTAGCAGACCAAAAGCTTCTGCTAGGGCCTCAAAAGAATGGATTTTGATATCGTAACATTCAATGCCTTATTAAATCACAGCTTAAAGGATTCGTATCATTGTGCCACATTTCTTAGGACGGCCTGTCACGTGTCTAGTCTTGCTCACCGTGGGCTCGATAATGGTCTGGCTGACAATTCCCTCGTACAGCTCTGTATCCAGCTTCATGTAGAGCCCCAGATCCATTTTGGGCTTTGCTTTTGAAAACTTGAGAGTTTCTTCTTTGTTGTCCTCATCTGAGTTTTGTGCATTGTCCTCCTTAGTGGCCGCAGCAACCGCTGCATTGGCTGAGCAGAGGGTGAGAAGGAGGGGCTCCTTAACCCGCCTGATCCTGATGGCCTGCTTCCCCGCCCTCAGCTGAAAAACACATAGAAAATATCTCTGGGACACTATTCAGAGAAAATACCTAATTTCCAGAACTAGCCATTTGAAACAAAGGCATTGGGTCAAAATAATGACAAAGGACTTTAATAGTGAAGAAAAGGTCAAGAATACAGATTATGAATGGCCAACAGCATCAATGAAAATCAAAGTGAATGCAGGAAACAAAGACGTAAAACGGAAAATTTTGGACTTTTTAAGGGCCGGCAGAAATCCTGTTTTAGGATCTGAAATTGCACTACTCTCATTCAAAACTTTTTAAGAATCTGTGAGAATCCGATCTGGGAACATTTGACGCACAAATAAATAATTTCCTGTTTTTACTCCAAGTTTGAGGTGTTGCCCGGGATTTCCACGGCAGAATTTCGCTGCAGATTACAGACAGCAGGAATCGTGAGAACTCACAAGAACCTGCGGATTCACGTGCAACCGCACGATAACAGGTTGTCTTTAGCCACACAGGCTAACCATATAAGCAGTAGATTGTGTCCTTCCAGAGGAGGAAATCTACTTCTAGACTTATAAAATCAGCATCTCCTCATACATGGTGTCATCGGGGTGAAATGCTGTCTAAAAACCTTTCATTTGCTCATCCCCGCCCGGTTGCATGGTGTGAAATATGATCCACCTGAAACACGGCGTGTTTTAATTTGAAAAGAAGCTGGATATTTTATTTTGTGTCTGTGCCTGGCTTCCTTTCCAGCATGGGCTAATCTGTGCTGAATTTATCAGGCATGCTCTGGTGTTCGGAAAATCTCGCGACCAGCTGCGGAGTCCGGCGATTCACAGAGGAACAGAAAGAAGCCGGTGGAAATTAACACATTAACTTGAATGGTTATGATCAGCTACGGTCGGCGGATACGGCCTTTTCGTAGCCAATCCTGATGCGGTGGAAATTGGGGATGATACTCTGTTATGCTTGGCAAACGTGTGCAAAGTCCTAAAACGGTGAAATGAAAAATAAGGGAAGTCCTTACTGTGATGAGTGTGAACTCCACCTTCTCGTTGATGTCTTCCTCAGTGAACTCCACGTCACTGAAGTTCTCTTTAATGTCAAAGGGAAGCTCGCCATGTTTCTCCGATTTGATGACACCTTTGCCATCCTTCAGGCTGATGATGACACCCTGATAAGGAAGAAATGAACACAAACGGTGTACTGACTGGTGACAGATGTTAAGCAGGATAAGTCTGGCGTATAGTTCAGATTGTTGAAAAAATTTTTAGTTTTATTCCGTCACTAGCAGAGAAACCTCTGAGTCAGCAACAGGTAGATTAGAGATATCCGTTTCTGTAAGAGGGTTTTACACCCCTCAGCAGGTGGAGGAGCTCGTACCTCCTCCCGCTTCTCCTTGGTGTGCTCGAAGGTCGAGGGGATTTTGGGTTTGATGTTTGTGGCTCTCCTCTTCTCGCTGACGATGTCGGTCAGCAGGTTAATGAGCACCTGGTCCTCCTTCAGCAGTGTCACTGTGCTGTCCTTCCTCTCAAACGTCAGGTTCGTCCTCAGGGGCCCGATATTTACGTGAACCTGACCAGGGTACTGACGCTCACCAGGCTGCAGACAAACGGAAAGACAGGGTCAAGGACGGAGAAACAGGGAGGAGAGTTAAAGTCTGCAGTGCAAACTAACCTGAGGTTCTACAATGGGCTGACTGACCACCGCCTCGTAGATCTCTGTGTCCACGTTCTCTGTCCCACCTGGAGCCACTTTCACATCCGTGGCTATGAGACTGTCCTGCTCCAAAACAAGAAGAACAATTATTCAGTCTGGTTTTAATCTAAGAAGACCCTTCATATCAGGAGAATTTTCTTCAAGATAATGAAAGCACCACGACCCGCAGAAACAAACCAGTCTGACCAAAAAGGAAAAGGTTTGACATTGATCTAAAAACCATGTCTTCAGCTTGATGACAAGAATGCTCCAAAAGCTTGATTTGACTTGTTTATTTATTTTCATTTTATCTTCATTTTATTTGACTGTGATTTTCTTTTTATAATCACTGGGTATCAGTGTCCGACTTATGTCCCATGATGTAGATAACAACCCATAGATTTTGTTAAAATCTAATGCAAGTTTCTGTCCTGTCTTTTTTGAGTCGTGATCATAAATGTACCTTTAAATGTATTGTTTTTAAATGTGGACACCAGGAAGACTAGCGGCGCTCCAGAACACAGCTAATGGGGATCCTAACAAATAAATAAACAGATGAAACCATATCATGATCCAGAAAATATTTGAATTTGTCACTGAAGGAAAAAATGAGCACACAAGATGGACAGATCCAGTGTCAGAGAAGATGCATGAAAGAAAAAAAACCTGAAACTTCCACAAGAAAGTAAAATGTTACTCATGAACTTCAGACTTGGTCCTAACGGCAGAGGTCACTGGTTTGACTCCCAGCCAGTGATCTTGACCACTGTACTCTCCATGTTTCCCATCTACAGTTGTGAGTGAAAGTCAGGGCACCCCTTTAAAAAAAGTATAGTTTATTTATTAAAAAATTAACCTTGTTATTTATAGTCTTGCTGGTAAATAGGAAAAAAGACAATATTATCAGAAATCATTAATGCACAGTTACTTTTTATTTTATAAAAAGTACAAATTACAAAAATAAAAATCATCTTTTTGGCATGTGCAAATGTCAGGGCACCCTTCAGCATCAGTACCTTCAGTACTTAGTAAGACCACCTCTGGCAGATATCACAGCTTGTAAACATTTTTTATAGCCAACTACAAGTCTCTGGATTCTATCCTTTGGGATTTCTCCCCATTCTTCCTTGCAAAAGGCTTCCAGTTCTGCAATATTTTTGGGTCGTCTTGCATGCACAACTCTTTGAAGAACAACCCACGGATTTTCAATGATGTTTAAGTCTGGAGACTGTGAAGGCCATTCCAAAACCTTCAGCTTGCGTTTCTTGAGGTAGTCCATGGTGGATTTAGAGGTATGTTTAGGATCATTATCCTGCTGTAGAAACCATCCTCTTTTCAGCTTCAGCTTTTTTACAGATGCGGTGATATTTGCCTCCAGAATTTGCTGGTATTTAATGGAATCCATTCTCCCCTCCACTTGAGCAATGTTTCTTGTCCCATTGGCTGCAACACAACCCCAAAGCATGATGGATCCACCCCCATATTTCACAGTTGGCAAGGTGTTCTTTTCATGAAAAGCTGTTCCTTTTTTTTCCTCCAAACATACCTTTGCTTATTGTGGCCAAAGAGTTCTATTTTAACTTCATCAGTCCACAGCACTTGTTTCCAGAAGTCATCAGGCTTCTCTAGATGTTCTGTTGCATATTTTTGTCGTTGTATTTTATGATGAGGATGCAGGAAAGGTTTTCTTCTGCAGACTCTTCCATGAAGGTCTTGTTTGTTCAAACATCGCAGCACAGTGGAAGGGTGCAACACCACTCCTGCGTCTGCTAATATGCTAAATATTCTTGAAGGTCTTTTGAAGTCAAATGTGGTTTTTGATTTACTTTCCTGACCAGCAAACGAGCTGTTCTCTCTGAGATTTTACTTGGTCTTCCAGATCTCATCTTGACCTCCACAGTTCTCCTCACCTACCATCTCTTAATTATACCTCGCACTGTGGAAACTGCAAGCTGGAAATGCTTTGCTATCTTCTTGTAGCCCTCCCCTGCATTGTGGGCATCAATAACTTTTTTTTTTTTTCTTACACAGCTTCTTAGAGGAACCCATGGTTGCTGGATGAATGCACAAGGTTTGTGGCGTTGAAACCCCTTAAATTGGCATCAGCTGGCGCTTCCTGATAAGAATTGTTGACACCTTCTTCACGACTAACGAGCTGGTGAAAGTCTGAGCTTCTAAAAAGAATCTTTAAAGACCAGACACTTTAAAGCTCTCAGGGTGCCCTGACATTTGCACATGCCAAAAATATGATTTTTATTTTTGTAATTTTGTACTTTTTATAAAATAAAAAAAACTGTGCATTAATGATTTCTGATAATATTGTCTTTTTTTCCTATTTACCAGAGAGACTATAAATATCAAGGTTAATTTTTTAATAAATAAACTATGCTTTTTTTAAAGGGACTTTCACTCACAACTGTATGTTGAACACCTGAACAAATCCCCCACAAGATAACTTCAAAAGGGATTTTTCTGGTTGTGTATACCATGTATTGGTTCACATTGGTTCAGATATCTCAGGTTTTTCATCAGACGGCTGAGAAGTGCAGTGCGGGAGCTGCGTGCCTCTCACCTTCTCTATGCAGGCAGTGAAGTGAACTCTGACTCCAGGAGTCATGGCTTTGGGGTTTCCAAAGAAAGCAGCAAAGCTGAAGGTGAACCTCTCCAGATCTTCTCTCTCAATGTATCCAAATGTGGGCTGAGGAGCAGAGACAAAGGAAAGGCCTCAATCTAAGTGAATCTGGATCATAGTGGTCAGTTTAACAGAAAATGCCTGAAGATAAAGAGGGTTTCTGTCAGGTTGTTCATATGCAGAGTTAAGTCGAGCTACACTCAGAGCTCAGTAAGACGACTTCACTGGACTACTGTCCTTGTCCCAGTTTACACTTGAATTGTTTACAGAAGGATGTCCACCTCTGCTACGGTAGGTGGTGTTGGGTGACATTCTGCTGCTAAGACAGTAAAAACATGTGACCTCATGGCATCGTGTGTTGGGTGTAAGGCTAAAAAATGACATTTAAGACTCCTGAAAAATTCCTGACTTTATCTAGCAGGGCTGGAAGCAGTTGGACACCTATATCAAAGACTTTCCCCTTCACTGTTTTTAAATGTACTGTGTAAAGTCAGGGTGAGTTGAGGAGTGAGTACAACAGGTATCAGTCTGGGACATACACCTCAAGCATACACTTCTCATACAAGGAGCAGATACCTCCTGATAAAGTCCTGGATTTAACCAGGAGGTATCTCAGGTTGTGTTGAAGCTCTTACCCCAATGAATGAGATGATGCCCGTGGACCTTCCTGGAGGAGGCCTGAGGACACAGACACAAAAATGCTCAGCATGTAGTTCATGTTTCAGATGAGTGGCACACACAGGGGAACTACATGAAGTGACATCACACTAAAACCAACTAAACAAGGAGTCACAGAAAAGCAGCTGTCACCTTTTTTAGAGAGAGACTGTGTTGAAGACAAAACACATGAGCGAAATATCTGATAGGGACAACAAACTGATCACTAAAATATCAATCGTGTGTGTCCGTGTGAGGTTGTGTGGTCTTACTTTTCAAACATTCGTTTTCCCAGCAGCCCCAGCGCCTTGCTGGTGTTGCTTACATCTGCCTTGGGTTTGGTTTTAGGTTTAGTTTTGGTCTTGGTTGTAGTTTTCAGGGCAACAGCAGCAGCAGCTTCATTTGTTGCAGTTGTTGTCATGACTACTGACTCCTCTGTGGGTTTTTTCGTTTCAGCAGGAGTTGACTCAGTGCCTGGAGCCGAAATTAAGGCTTTGATCTGAAACACAGAAAAATGCAGTTTTATTTAGGTTTTCCAACACTCAGGGACAAAAAGCTGCATGGACGGATACAAACTTTGTCAAGTCTCGATTGTATTCTGGCCACTGCAGCTCCTTTTAACATGTCTCCATGCCACCTGTTTCATACTTGGAGGGGCTCAAGTCTCCTCTGCACAGACAGCCGTGGCAAAGGGGATGCCATTAAAGTCACCAAAATGTTGAATAATGTGACGACAAGCTCTAAGTTTGGAGCCGACCAATTTCTAAACTACTTCTCTGAGTCACAAGAGCAACTTTTCTGTACGTTTTATCAGCGTATGATTGACAGAATCATCACATAACAGAAACAGGTAGCACGATGGTAAGCCCTAAAGCAGCTATCTGATCCACTCTGTTATCAGTGAACCAGTTAGCATTCTACATTCAAGAGCAGATCCCTGCAAAAATCAGGAAAGACCTCAGTATGAAGGGTGTGGAAGCTCTATGGCTTCAAGTGCAGCTATCACATATGAAGCCTATTTTGACATGTTGCTGCTATAGGCCACCTTATTATGATATGGATATTTAGATAACATTTGCAGGATGCTACAGAATGTAAACGACTCAAACTATGAATTATTATTTGCAGCAGATATGAATGTGGATTGGTTCTCGAGTAATTGTTCTTTGAAAAGAAAGTTGAGTGATGCAGCCATTGTTTTCAACCTGTCGCAGATTGTGAACTTACCTACTAGAATTCGTATCAATAAGGATGGTTCACGCTCATCTAATTGTTCTTTGAAAAGAAAGTTGAGTGATGCAGCCACTGTTTTCAACCTGTCGCAGATTGGGAACTTACCTACTAGAATTCGTATCAATAAGGATGGTTCACGCTCATCTAGATGTATCAATCATTTTTTCACGAATGCACCTGAAAAATGTTCTAAAGCAATTTCTGTGTGTGTGGGTATTAGCGATCATAACTTAATTGCAACAACTTGGAAAGCGATGGTACCCAAAACGGGGCCTAAGATTGTTCATAGAAGAATGTATGGGAACTTTTCTGAAGAAGGTTTTGTGGATGATCTGAAAGTTGCCATTTGGGAATCAGTGATAGACAGAAATGATGCATAGGATGCTCTATCAACTTTCACAACATTATTTTCAGATATATGTGATAAACATGCTCCAATTAAAAAGCGGACTGTTAGGAAGATTAAAGCTCCTTGGCTTGATGATGAGTTGAGAAAGTTTATGAAAGAGAGAGATTTACTTAAGGAGTCTGCAACTGCATCTGGTTGCCTGATTGCTTGGAAGGAGTACTGGACTCTAAGGAATAAAATAACTAAAATGAATAGACAGAAGAAAAAACACTATTTTCAAGCAAATTCATGGAGTGTAAAAATGATAGTAAGAAACTTTGAGCTTTGAACTTTGAGTTAGAATCTGTTTCTATCTCTTCTTTAGATATTTATGTCCCATATAAGTCACTAACCAGTTTTCCGTCTCTCTGAGTGTCTCTGAGTCTCTTAGCTGCCACTGGACTAATGCTGCAGACGGTCCGCTGCTGAACTGCCTGACCCCAGCTGCATTATCCCTGATTGTCCACCCTGGGCCCTGAGCTCCTCCATCTCTTTGGCTCCTCTGGACCGTTGCTGCAGACCTGCCTGACTCTAGCTGCATCGTCTACGATTGTCCGCCTCAGGCCCTGAGCCCCTTCTTCTCTTGGATTCCTCTGGACTGTTAGCCGCATCATCTATGATTGTCCACCTCAGGCCCTGAGCTCCTTCTTCTCTTGGATTCCTCTGAACTGTTACTGCAGACATGAACATCAGCCTCACTGACATTACTGACATTAACAACATAAACCAGAACTGACCACGATTAGGCTTGCTAACTGCTAACTGTAATCATACTCAATTAATTTAACACTGTCCACAATCACTCATATCCTAACCCTGTAAACTGAACTCTTTTTTCTTCACCATTACATGAGCTGTTGTTGTTGTTGCTGTTGTTTCTGCTGCCCCCTGTCTCTCTCTCGCCCTCGTTCTCTACTCTCTTTCCCTCCCCCTCCCTCTCCTTACTCATTCTCTCTCGCCTTCCCTTATCTTGTTCTCTCTCTCTCTTCCCCTGTCCTCTCCCCTCTCCCCTCTTCACTCTACATTCCTCCCCAACCCAGCAGCGGCATGGTGGCTGTCTAGCATGAGGCTGGTCCTGCCCAAGGTTTCTGCCTGTTAAAAGGAAGTTTTTTCTTGCCACTGCTACTCATGTTAGTTGAGATGGGCCAAAACCCATCTTAGGTTGGTTCTTGATCATCAAACAATGAGCGTGGTCTAGACCTGCTCTTGTTCCTTGAAAAGCGTCTTGAGATGACGACTGTTGTGAATTGGCGCTATATAAATAAAATTTGATTGATTGATTGATTGATTTGAAACTTTGGCGAACACTCAATGAATCTATGGATAGGGATAAAACGGCCAAAGTGCCTTCATTCATAGAGGTTGATGGTGCATTTATAACTAAACCAGTTGACATTGCGAATTATTTTAATATTTTTTTCATTAATAAAGTTAATACAATTAGGGCTGAAACGATTACTCGAGTAACTCGAGTAACTCGATTAATAAAATTCCTCGAGGCAAATTATATGCCTCGAGGAATCGTTTAAATCCGGAACCATGTGCAGCGCACGGTGTTTGACACGGACGGTTATTTCTGTTGCGCAGAAGCGTGCTCTTTCCGCTCCTTCCGCTGCCGCGCGTTTGGTTCAATCATGGAGGGAAACGAGGACAGACAGAAGCTGTGTCCGAAATGGCATACTGCCTGCTATCTACTTACCTACTCAAGCAGTAGCTACTGCCTACTGACTACTCAAAGATGATTTGAGTATGCCGCGGCTGCCCGAGCGTTTACACACATACATACTAAATACCCCAGAATGCATTTCGTGCCGGCCGGACGCAGCGCCGGGAAAATTTAAATAGTCCTACCACAAGCTACATAGAACGACTGCATACCGGACAAATTATATAAATTCATTCAATAATAATATTTTTTCTAGCGAGAAAGTAAGTGTTTACATCACGATTATGAGCCCAGTTGTTTGAAATAGTGGCTGTTTGTAAATTTGTCTCGGCGTTTTCGGAGACCGAAGCGTCAACTTGGTCGGTGTTTGCGTCTATTTACCGTAAACACCGGGCAGCAGCAGCTCCCCCTTCACGTTTCCAAATTATTGCGAAGTGTTTTCATAATCAACATCTACACGACACAAACCGGGCGGCAGTGGATGAAAAAAATCACACAAACATCCGTGTATCCATGGTGATAATGCTATACACCACCTGCTAGGCGTGTGATAAGCAGCAGAGGGCTGCAAAATGACCAACACACAACAATATGTAAATAAAAATGTAACACTTTTATATATTGAATAAATGTACATTTGCTTGTCAAATTATGTTAGTATCCAAGAATTATATTATTTCAGCCTATTAATCAAACAAGTAAAATTAGATCCAAAGCCTGGAAATAGTTGTGACTGGTTTAGTGAAAACTGCAAAGATCATTACCATAGCAATTAAAAGACCATCTGCAGACCTTGCCTTCAGTAGTTTCATGTGAACTACATGGTAAAATGTAAAACTTTTGGTTCCTGATTTATGCAGTAAAAATATTCATTTGAAAGACCTGGCCTATTTCAGTTTTGTGTGTTACTGATGGTTTTTAATGAGGCAAACGTGATTCAATGCAAAGTATTACAGTGAGAGCAAAACATTTCTTATCCGATTACTCGATTAATCGACAGATTAATCGATAGAGTACTCGATTACTAAAATAATCGATAGCTGCAGCCCTAAATACAATTAGAGGTAAGATGATAGGCCTACCAGATGGCAGTATATGTGTGGATTCTGTTATAAGAAATAAGATTATGAAGGATAAGGTGTGTAGTTTTCAATTTAAGAGAATAGGACTAGAGGAACTCGAGAGGTTTTTGCTATCAATTAATAGAGATAAACCATGTGGAGCTGATAATTTGGATGGTAGGTTGCTGTGTCTTGCAGCCAAGTTTATTGTGGCACCTATATGTCATATTTTGAATTTAAGTTTTGAAACGGGTGTGTTTCCACAGATGTGGAAGATTGCAAAGGTCACTCCAATGCCAAAAAACTGTGGAGAGGCATTTGCTGGTCCAAATAGTAGGCTTGTGAGCATACTACCTGTATTAAGTAAATTGACAGAAAAAACAATGTATGAACAGATTCAATGCTACTTAGAAGCAAATAACATCAACACTGAGTGTCAGCATGCATATAGAGCTGGCCATTCCACAAGCACAGCACTAACATCGCTAACAGAGAACTGGTTTAGAGATATTGATGAAAAGTTAATGGTGGGCGTTGTGCTCTTGGACTTAAGCGCAGCATTTGATATAATTGATCATGAGTGGTTATTAAAGAAGTTATCAGCATATCATTTTGAAGATGGTGCTATTAGGTTAATGAAAAGTTATTTGTCAAAAAGGCAACAATGTGTGGTGTTTAATGGTACAGTTTCAGATATGGTGACCCTCAAATGTGGTGTACCCCAGGGGAGTTGCCTAGGCCCGTTATTGTACTCAATTTATGTTAATGATTTACCACATGTACTAAGGAGTGCACGCATGGAAATATATGCTGATGACACTACAATGTATGTATCTGGGGAAACTCTGAGTTAGTTAACACATTGCTGCAGGGTGAGTTGATATTAGTCTCTAACTGGGTTAGTGAAAATAGGTTGAAGCTGAATGTTTTAAAATCAAAGAGTTTGATGCTGGGTTCCAGTTATACACTGAGATCTACTCCTAAACTGAATCTTGCTATACAAGGTGCTACTATTGAACAAGTTAAAGAGGTCAAACTGTTGGGTGTGATCATTGAGAAAACACTTTCCTGGTCATCACATATGGATAAAATGGTGTTGAAAATGAGTGGCACTATCTCAATGATAAGAAGGGCTGCACACTTGTTGTCTGCCTCAACAGTTAAACTTGTATTACAATCTTTAGTTCTATCCTGTCTTGATTATTGCCCAGCAGTTTGGTCAAGCGCATCAAAACAAGACTTACATAAACTGCAGATCACTCAAAACCAAGCAGCCCGCTTGGCCCTCCGCTGCACAGGGAGGACTAGTGTTGAATGGATGCACAGACAGTTGTCTTGGATGAGAGTGGACCATAGACTGGCATGTAGTCTGCTGGTATTTCTGTTAAATATTTATCATTTTGGAAAACCAAAAAATCTACACCTACAACTAGAACCTACAAATACTAGACATGGCCATGCTACTAGACATGCCATGGGTGACCACTTCACTTTACCTCGACCAAGAACTAATGCTCTCAAGAGTACGGTAATGTATAGAGCAGTAGCTCACTGGAATAGGCTCCCAACAAATATAACTAAAAAAGACAATAAAGGGAGATTCAAAAAGAAACTAAAAGAAGCCATTATAGACAAAGAAGTGGTGTTTAGTTAGAAATTTCAACTACACTTTTGAAGGACTTATATTAGTATATTTGAGTTATTTAAATTTCAAATGTATTTTTTGTATTTTGTTTGCTCACTGGCATTTTAGTGACTCAGTTATCTGTTTGTATTTTGTTTGTTTTCTCATTATAATTATTCAATGCTTAAACCAGATTGTATGGTTTGTACTTGTGTATTTTGTTTGCTTTATTGTATTGTACAATGCCATGAAATCATATGGATTTTTTTTATTTTAGTTGACTGTATGCATGAGTGGAGGACCCCAGAAGGAATAGTTGTCACAAAGTAAAGACTAATGGGGATCCGTCATAAACATAAACATAAACATAAACTGTGGAGTAACTGTCTAGAGACTAGCCTGAGGGTATTTGTGATGAATAATAAAAGAGAATACTATCTCTGATCAACAAACACAGACTCAAAAATCTCACAATATCAGAAAAAAACAAACAGATGTTGGAGGGCCTTTGGCGGTTTCTTAACAGTTCTTGACCCTTCACTCTGAATTGTTTGTCAGAGAGGAACTGGGTAAAGTGGTCTGACAGGTCTGTGTTGGATTCTTCTCATAGTCAAGGATCTCATAGTCTGTACTCACCCACTCAGGCTGATCTGGAGGCGGGTTTGGCATTGGTTCTTCTACGATCTGACAAACAAAAAAAGAAAAAACCTCTTCGGTCATCAGGTTCAGGTGGACAAAACTTCAGGTGATCCATATAAATGCCTAAAGTCACTAAGCAATGCTGAACAGAGACTCAGGGACCTGACTGATCCAAGAGAAAAGGATCATGGTGCGACATAAGACATGCGGGGTGAAGCTGCTCACCTCACCAGTCCAGCCAGGAGGAGGGTAGGCCGGGTACCCAATCGGAGGGGGGCAGGCTGGAGGGGGGACAGCGGGGACAGGTATGGGTCCGAAGGCTGCAGGGTCCGGAGGAGGAATTGCAAGAGGGGGAGGGACAGGTGGTACAGGTGGTGCAGTTGGTCCCGGTGGAACTGCTGGTCCAGTTTCAGGTCCCCACGGCTCACGTCGCCCGTCCGGACCCCAGCCAGGTGGTCCCCAACCCTCTGGGGGAGGTCTCCAGTCTTCGGGGTGGGGGGGTCTCCAGTCGGGGTGCGGGGGTCTCCAGTCGGGGTGCGGGGGCCTCCAGTCGGGATGCGGGGGTCTCCGATCGTCGGGGAAAGGAGGCCTCCAGTCGTCGGGGTGTGGGGGTCTCCAGTCCGGTGGAGGCAGCCAGCCGTCGGGATGAGGACCCCAGCCCGGCGGTAGGTGTCCTCCTGGTCCCCAGTCGGGTGGAGGACGCCCTCGAAGCTCCCATTCCTCAGGGGGTATGGGGCCCCAGCCCCCAGGCGGCGGGGGTCCCCACCCTCCGGGTGGTGGTGGCCCCCAGCCTCCGGGCGGCGGAGGGCCCCATTCATCAGGCGGCAACGGCCACCCATTAGGAGGAGGGGGCCCCCAGCCTCCCGGTGGCGGAGGACCCCAGCCCGGTGGCGGAGGACCCATGTCAAGTGGGAGTCTGTCCTCGCCTGGCGGTCCCGTGGGGGGTCTGTTCCGGGTTGGTCCCGCTCCTCGCCCCATTATGAACCGACACGGAGCTAATGCAGCACGGGGAGCTAGCAACCGAGCAAACTGCTATTTCAATAAACAGTCCGAGTTAGCTTGCCCGGTCCCATCAATTCTGGATCATAGCTCAAAAAAGACGACGAACTTGCTAAAATATCGTAAAATTTGATGAATTGTGGAGAGAATGAACTATAGAAAGCCAGCGTTTGTACTTCCAGTTACACTGCCGATGCAGGGGGACTGCTTCTTCCTCTTCTACAGAAACGGCCGAATCTGTTGTGGCTCACATTACCGCCTCCCGCTGCACGAAGAAAGAACTGCAGCACAATATGACATGAGTCAGGCAGAAATAATTCAATTTAAAGCAAGTATACATTCATGGGTTGAGTTTTGTGCCACTAGAAACTGAAATTGAATAATTGAATTCGAAAAGCAGGATTTGAAATTGAAATTAATGTTTTGGAATTGAATTTACCTGCTTCGAAATTGTGTTTAACCTACATGAAAATTCAACTCTCTCTTTTGCTTAAGTTCAAAAATAAAAAAAATGATTCCGTTTCAGATTCAGTTTTACAATTATTTTTTTTTTAACAAGCACAGAACATTTAGCACATCTAAAACAAAATTCAAGCCATAAAGCATGACAAAAATATATAAAATACAACTTATGACAACTTTTAAAATCACAGTTAACACAATTTCCATGTAGTTTTACAATTCAGTTTTAGTTCAGTGTGGCACATCCATTAGGTCATCTACGTCCGTGAGGAAGAGTAATCGAGCACAGATTCACACAGCTTTCATTCACATCTACTAAAACTCCTTTTAGGGCCCAATCCCAAACCACCCCCAACTCACCCGCCCTTCACTACCGAGTGTCATTCGTAATGAAGTTACACTTGCAGCTGTGGAGTGCGCCTCAATTGAAATGGGAGGGTATAAACAAGACGGGCGGGTATGGGACCCCCACCTCACTCCACCGGAAAACAGAAAGATTCATTGCCATACAGGGGCGGATCTACCGGCGTGGCATGGGGTGGCATCATAGACTGTATATAAGATGGACACCCTGGTTCCGCCTTCCGCCTGTATACGGATTTCAAGCCAAAAAGCTCTCGGTAATTCCGGGTTTTTCTCCACTTCCTTGAAACCAGAGCTGCGCATTAGCGTTGTGCGCATTCGGCCGCGCAGTCGCCGAGAGTCCCTGTGATGACGCTCGGCTCAAACAGCGTATCCCCCCGGGAGAGCTACGCAATCCCTGAACGCCCATAGGCTGTACCAGGTGTCAATCATAGAAAACATGAACCCCTAATAACTTTTAAAAACAGAGCTGTACAGAAAAAAAAGGACTTGGGCACAAACCAGTCTTACAATAACTACATGTTAACATCACAAGCAGGGGGGAGAAAAATTTATGTTCTGTGTAATAAATTTCTAAAGTTTCTCCACAGTCCCATAAGCTTTGCTGGCGGAGGCGGGATTTATGACCTGTACTGCAGCCCACCATCAGAGGGTGCTGTTCTCGGAGTGGCTTCACCCAGCGAGGAGGCAGACTCTGTCCATCTTATATACAGTCTATGGGTGGCATCTAAAAGACAGGTTTGCCACCTCTGTTGCCACCCCAGTTGGCAGCGACAAATTAAATGGCCAATTTGACATTTACTAGTGTGAATCTCCATTTTATGCATTGAATGCAGCACGAGATTGCATCAGAGCGAGGGTGGCGACGCAGTGGGTGTTGTGGTGGTGTGCCGGCGAGACGAGTGACCTTTTTAATTGATTAATTTTAATTGATTGATAAAAGCGAAGGAGCCGGCCAAGAGTCGCAAAAAAGGAAGGAGACATGAGAGGAATGAGGTAAAAACTGATTAACTATCAATAAATAAATTTGTAATGAAAGCACAATGCTGATTTTGAGATCGTGTTTTAAGCTAGGCTACATGTGCATCAGCAGCAAGATCCTGTGTACGTTATGAAAGCTAACATTGATTCCATATCTGGCAGGGTAACATAAGTAAAATAACTTGAAATCTTGCAGAAATGAAGAGGAAAAGCAACATAATTGGGTTTTTTTTCACCAAAAACAGTGAAAAAGGCAGGAGAAATAGAAAACGAGGTTGAGAGTAAGATTTCCGACTTCCGTTTGATCTTTCCAAACTACGTCTTTTGTGATTTTTTTTTTCTTCTTTTGTCAGAAAGACAAAGGTGGACACATACATAACTTATATTTGTATGTTGTTTATTGCCGGCGCACCACCTGTAAATCCTGCCGTTAGTGTGCATCGGTGCAGACTCGCTATTTGAGGGCTGAACGGTCCACTCACTTTCCTCTCTCTGTGGTTTGGGGCGGCCTTCAATATGGCGGAGCCTCTGCGGGGACGCGGAAAAGAGGGGTAGTGTGTAGGGCGAGTGTGTAGGGGGCAACTTGGGCCTAGGTGTGTCTTCTGGTGCCTTCTAAAACTGAACGTGGGACATTTTCCTTAGCAACTGTATGTTCATTGTGAATATTAAAGCCATTGAGATTGAAAACAACATGGGAACATCACCTGCCTTTCTCAATAGAGGGGTTAAAGGACGATATAAAGGAATAGCTTCAGATAACATAGCACATTTATCTTCTTTCTTTGCTCCGTTGCTGGAGACATGGAGGTTGAGGTTTATCTGTACTTACAGTATGTAGCTACAAGATCAGTCGCATTTTGTTAAAAGAGGTTGGGCGCAAGCCAAGTCCGAGCCTAAATGTCCCACATCACCATGCCTAGGTTTGAGTGTCAGCAGTGTGCGAAATTCCCGGCCTCCATGATCGGGCGGTCCACCCTATCTAGTGCTCCAGTATCAGGCAGAAATCTTACATAACTTGTAGAATACAGGACCATAAGTAACGCACACACACACACACATTAAACACTCAAAACACAGTCTAGCATCATTATCAACAAAGCTGCAAACAGCTGCTGGACCACAGAACAACTCTGCTCTGTGACCAAATAGGACACTTGTGTGCTCACATATTCACATATGACCTTAGCCAACCGACGTATTGTGTGATGAGTTTCAATATGAAGCACAGCAGGTCTATCACAGACAGTCAGTTAAGCTCGAGTTTACACAAAACCACACAAAGTAAGCCTGGGTTTAAATTTTTTTTTTTACCTTAAGCAAGAATGGACCACAGAGGCCTTGGCTCAGCCTCTTCTCTCTGCTGTCCAGTTATCCAAGAAGAGAAGAGATGACAATTTCATATTCGGTTTTAAAGCATTAACTTAAATTTCAAATCCTGCTTTTGAAATTCAGTATAATTATTCAGTTTCAATTTCTAGTGGCACACATCTCAGCACATACACATTCTACATTTTCAGAAGAAATGCATCACTTGCTATCCTATCATTATCATAGTAATGTGTAACGCATGATGTAAATGTGAGCAGTTTTATACAGCAAACTTGGGGTAGCAGGTAGTCTTACCCTGACTCAGCAAAGGTCCCTCTTTTTTAACAGTCCGCCCACTTCACGTCATCCCTTGTGTAACATGGTCACTTATTAAGAAAATTGGTCATTTTAATTTTAAACCTGTAAGTTCTAAAAATAAGACCTTTTGTGTAATTCTTCTGCTGGAGATCTGTGTATTTTTAAAATCCTATTGAAATGAGCTAGCAATGATTCACATTTGATTGAACATTTTATAAAACAAGTCAACTTTGCTGTTGTTCAAACTAACATTTCTGCTGATGGTGAAGTAAATCAAGGTGAACAGGCTGGCCAGTTTCACAGCAGGACTCTTCTCCTACAGAGCCATGCTGTTGTAATCCCTGTAGATATTGTTCAGCATTGATGGAGCCTTCACAGATGTGAATGATCCTCATACCATCACCAGGGATGTTGGCTGTGGACTGGAAGCTGAGAGTAAGCCAGGTGGACCCTCTACTCCTTAGAGAAAAGGATGTGACGGTCGTAGTTTCCAAGAAGAATGTCAAATAGTGATTCTCCGAACCACAGGAGTTTTCCTCTTCCCTCAAGTCCGTCCTACATGAGCTCAGGTCCAGAAAAGTCTCTGGTGTTTCTTAATCATGTTTCTAACTGGCTCTTTTCACGGTTCAGTGTTAAACTGCATTTGTGAATTTATGGAGTCAATGCAGTGATTTCCACTCCAGAGTCCTGTCTGTCTTTAATGTAGTGCTGCCTGAGGGCCCGAAGATCAGGACGAATCCAGTCTTTGTTTTGGTCCTTGTCCCTTTAGTACAGAGATTTCTCCAGATCCTCTGAATCTCTTCATGATATTATGTTCTGTAGATGATGAAATCCACTCATTCTTTCACACTCAGAAACATTATTCTGAAACAGTTGAACTATTAGCTCACACAGTCTCTCACAAAGTGGTGAACCTCTGCGTCTTTCCTTCTAAGGAACTCAGCCTTTCAAAATTTTCTTTTTATACCCAATCAGGTTACTGACCTGTTAGAAATTCACCTCATTGGTTGCAATTTTTGTAGCATTAAACAACTTTTAGCCTGTCTTGTGCGGTCTGTAACAACTTTGTTGTGCATTGTTGTTTTTGTATTTCTTCTGTTGTTTTTGGTTTTTATCCTTATGAGTATCTTATGAGTGTCCTTTGGGTTCAAACAATTTAAGTGTACTTATTTAACAAATGCCACAACTAACTCCTTCAGTTGGCCCATCAGATCTGAAATGATCAAAGATTGCAAATAGAATTCATCAGCCCTCAAAAGAACATTGAAAGACATTAGAGGGTTATGGTTAAGTGTTTTATTTCAGCGTGAAATCAGTCTTCCTGCAGCAAAGCAAAAAAAAAAAAGCTTTTATTTAGTTTGCTGGCTGAAGTCGCTCGACTCCAGCAAAGGAACGAGAAAGAACATTATAGAACATCAACATTATGAATACAGGATCTCTCAAAAATTACAGCAAAACAGGGAGCTGGAATTTCAGACATCCCCTGACTCCTGCGAAGCGCAACTTTTTAACAATAAACTCAAAAATCTGACCCTAAAAGCGTCCTTTTTAAAGACTGAAAACAGAGCAGGGGTCAGCGTCTTTGCTCGGTTACTCAAGTGACAGTGAGCTGCTAATCAATCGATCAGTTATTGCAGTGATACTTCAGACTTCACAGCTCCTACAGACTCTCTGCTCAAGCTGAAACCTCCAAATCTCTCTTTAGATGCATAGAAACATCCAACTCTACATAAAAGAAAAAACAAAACAAAACAAAAAAAAACAACATAAAATAGAAGAAGTTATGCATTTTAATGTTTTCTATTTCTTTTTTAGTCTCAAATAAAGGCAGCCCCCATTGCCAACATAAATCAAGGCAGAACATGTGATGAGACAAATGGGTAATTCTCAACAGCTAACAAGGAGAACAGGATGTAAACTAACAGTCTCTTTTTGACGAATCCCTTTTTCCTGTTTTTAAACTTGACTCTGGAAATCCAAAAGCAGCAACTGGAAACAGAAACACAAAGATTTTGTTCAAACTAAGAGATCCTTCATTGCTGTCGGACAGAAAACACACCAGAACCAGCCAAATCCAGAACCAGGCCGAGCCTGGAGGAAGAAAAAAAAAAAGTTCTGAGATTTAAGTCAGGATTATCAAATCAGAATCACTTTAAAAAGATGTAGATTTTGAACTTATTTACTTGACACTATATTTTGACATTTAAATACCATTAACCCTCTGGGGCTCTTGGGACATTTATGTCCATTTTTGCTGACTCTTTACTTTTCATTTGTTGATCATTTTGGCTGTTTTATTGCAAATGGAATGATTTTTTTTCAGGGTGGTTTTTTCTTTCCAAATTTTAAAATGTGACCTCACACTAGAATATCAGGTCAATATTCACTGTGTGGCAAAAACACTATATGATAAGGACCTTAGATGGACAAAATATTTAACTCCTAAAACTGCTCTAAAAATATTGTACATTAATACTTGTTTACACTTTTTTTCTTAAATTTTTCATCAACTCCAGTCCTGTTCATATCTATCAAATATTCATTCATTTTCAGAATTTTAACCCTTTAAATGCCACTGTTCTTTTTTATGCAATAAGGGGAATTTGGAATTTATTGTGATATGTTATTGATCAGCAACAACATTGGTTTCGATACATTATTTTTTGTGCAATATTAGATTGAAAAATGTCCATTGAATCCTATTACACAGCATTGTTTGGATTTTGATGTGTGTGTGTGTGTATGCATGTGGGTCTTTCAATGAGTGTGTATGTGTGTGTGTGCATCTACTGTCACCAAGGAACCAACATGCCATGCCATTGCCAGGATTTAGAGCATGTAATCAAGCTTTGATCTCCTCATCACAGATGATACTTAATATTCGCATCATTGTGAAAATGACAAATCTTCAGGGGAGACGGTCAATGGAGGAGGCCACTGATGTTTCTGCCTACATTGAGCTCTTGATTCTGGTAGGTGTTTACAGATCCAGAGGAGAAAACACACTCAGCCTGTGGGGCGAGGAAAGTGGACAACCCAGATAAGGTAGTAGGCTCATAGGTTTCAATGAACTATTTTCAGTCTAACTTTTTTTAAATCTGACAGTGCATAAAAAAATAATGCATAAAAAACAATGTTCTAGCTAATCATTAACATATCACAGACTGTCATTAAAAAAAAAATCCTGCCCAGCATCTAATAAATGGAAAATAACTTGGTATTTTTATCCCCTATTAAAAGTAAAAGTGATGTCATATAATCAAACTGGTATTTGAAGGGTTAAAATTCTAAAAATCAATAATTATTTGGTGGCTATGACAAGGACTGAGGATGATTAACAGATATTATCAAAAAAGTGGAAAAAATATTGATGTATAATATTTTTAGAGCAGTTAGGAGATGGAAATCTTTAGCCATTTAAGTCCCACTCCAAACATTTTTTTTCACTACTTAAAGTGTTCTCAGTGGTTGTTAAATTGTGATTATGAAGTTTTTAGCCAAAATCACATCACCTGTGTCATTTCTAAGGGCTTTTCTTCTGCAGAGCTCCAGTAGCTCAGTAGCAATTCACCTCTGAGCCATGGGCAGAGACAGCGCAGTTCTGCACACTCCTCTTCACGCTAGCTTGCAGCATAACATTGTCGGTGTGTTAGAAGTGGCAGGTAACATAGGAGCTATTGAGCTCTCGAACACAAATGTCTTTGGGGACATGATGAAAGGTAATATCATAATTGGCTTTCTTATGAGCATTGTAATCCACTAAAGTGCACACTTGTTCTGCTCTTGTCCTCTCTACTTCTCAGGGTCTGGCCTGCAGAGCGGGTCTCTGGGGGTGGAGCTTGCAGTTGTGACATAGAAAATCTCACTGTGTGTGAACCGGCCGTTTGGGTCTGCCAGAGAATCACAGTGATTTGAACAAATACTCAAAAATGCCAATTTGCTCTTACTTTTCACATAATATTTCCTGAAAATTCAGAAAAATGACATATAAACATGTAGACAACAAAAAAATATGATTTTCATCGGAGTGGGTCTTTAAGGTAACTTTTTAAAGGAACCTAGAGGTTTAACAGGGATCAGCCGGGTCTCAAACTTAGGAATTAAAGTGTCCTTAGCCCCGTCTGAAGCAGGTCTCACACAGTGGTTTGACTGATTTTAAAATAATATAGGACTGATTGCCTCACCTTAAAGCCAAAAAGGTCAAAGCCAAATTTTTGGACTAGGTTACAGGCGCTTCATACCCATTTAATCTGGGTTAGGACTAGTTCAAGTTAGACTTCAAGGTGGTTTTGGACTAAATTCAGACAGGTCACTAACTGTGTGTGAGCTGGTTTATAACTGTCTTTTGACAGTGTGAGGAATTTACTTGGTTTCAGGATTGTGTCAAACTTGAGCTTAAGTGTTTTTTGGTTGGCCTTGAACTTGACTTAGTTTCAGATCAGGTCTTTTTATAATAATTTTACTTTATTTACTGAAATAAGTGGTTTAAAACCAGTTCTCTCAATACTGAGTGAAAAATCATCTCTGACACAACTGTCACATCTTCTTTTATTCAAAAATATTCTCACTGTTTGAAGACTACAGTCAGACTTTCCTCCTGGATGTCTGATTTATTTCCCTCTGCACTACACTCTTAAACTCAGAACTTTTGAGGAAACCTCCTTTCCCTCTGAATGTTGATCCAATGAAACAAAGAAGGTCAAATACAGGAACAAAGAAAGCGAGTGCAGTGGTGTTTGAGGGGGCTGGGGTTCAGATAAAGGAGGATGTCCCTTGGATTGTCTCTGACCCGTCCTTCCTGATGCTCTCAGGTGGATGGGTGGGGCTATGGCAGGATCTGACTCTTCCCCCTCTCTCCTCCCTCCTCTCAGGGAGGTTTCTGTTAGTACCTCAGTCAAACGGGTTGAAGTCCCGTTCAAGGTTCTCAGACTCGTCGTCGTCAGAGAAGAAGTCGTCCTCTTCAATGTCGTCTTCGTCATAGTCCTCGTGCCACTCTGGTACGTACTCTTCATCGTACTCGTCGTCTTCTTCTTCCGCGTCTTCACCGCCCTCCTCCCCGGTGTTGTTGTTGTTATCTGAGTCTCCAGAGTCTGAGGCTCTGTCAGACTTTGACCTAAAGAATGAGTAGAAACCAGTCTGAGACACTTTGAGGATCGGCACTGCACTATTATCCCCTCCTACAGAAACAGGGATTCTTGACTTCCCCTGAGTACGACTAAGGTAATCTGTCACCATACTCACACTTTGTTGCCATCGGTGTGGTTGGACAAGTTGGAGGCCTGACTAGACTCTGGTTCCTGGCTGCTCTTGGACTGATAGCCAACCCGGAAGTCCTTAAAGACAGAAATACAGAATGGTGTCAAATTGGAGCTGAAGTACTCTGAGGTGGTTCACACAGTTTCAAACATGAATATTGTTCAGACTGAGTTTACACTGGCAGTACACCTATTTCAGACTGTTCTAAATCGAGTAAGTTTGAACTCTGTTTCAAAAGTTAACTCTGTTTACTGACTTAGCTGAAACTAGTTTGATACTGGTTGAACAGAGTTAAAGTCACTTTGGACTGACGTCAGGCTTGTTCCGGGTCAGATTCAGGTTGTTTTCACACCTGTATGTAGTTCATTTGCTCTGAATCTGAATCATGAACCAGTTTGTTCAAAAGTTTCAAATTAACCTAAAATTGGTTTGTGTTCACACAGGGACATTTCAAAGCTGACAAAATTCTTACTACCCTGGTCTTCTTTGCCCTGCATAAACTTATCAATAATTCCCTGAAATAGCTGGATATACTTTTTGTTTATTTTTTTGCCAAACACAGTCATGCTCGTGTGCAGAGGTGTGAGGACCCATTTGATACTGCATACAGCTTTAATTTCATTCTAATTTTAGGGGTCCTGTTTTTACCTGAGCTCACTCTTATTGTATCCCTGTATCTGATCTGATTGTACAACATCAGACCAATGTAAACCAGCATGGTAATGTCATCAAAAAATGTGTCCAAACAGCCACACTAAAACAACAGCAGAGGGCAACATTGAACAGGAAACAGCAGTTTGTTTTCAGAGGGACAGACTGAGCGCTCTCCACAGCACAGTGTGTGCATCTGTCACGGTGAAGAGCAGAGTGAGCGGAGGGTATGTGTTTATTTATAATAATTAATTAATTAAATGACTCAACACACCTGAGACTCATGCTGGTTTAAGCCCATCCTTGACACTGCTTACCTGGGTGGAGTGCTGCAGGATCGCTAGCAGGCGCTCTTGAATACGTCGGATCAGTTCCAGTCCAGTGTTGAGGTGTTCAGGCTTCAGCAGCCTGACGCATGAAGCAAGATCAGTGCACTGCAGCAGAGTCTCCTCTAAGAGCACACACAAGACCAGTCAACAGACCAGATAATACCAGGTAACAGACCAGTAAATACCAGATAACAGACCAGTCAAAACCAGGTAACAGAGCAGTCAATACCAGGTAACAGAACAGTAACTACCAGATAACAGACCAGTCAATACCAGCTAACAGACAAGTTCACACCAGATAACAGACCAGGTAATACCAGTTATCTCCAGATAACACACCGGTCAATACCAGATAAAAGACCAGTTAATACCAGAAAAACTGACCAGTTGTTACCAATTACATCAATTAATACCAGATAACAGACCAGTTAATACAAGATAACAGACCAGTTAGAACCAGCTAACAGACCAGTTTAAATCATAGTCTATGGTTAAAACATAGACTGTATAAAGAACGGACAGAGTCTGCCTCCTTGCTGGGTGAAGCCACTCCGAGAACAGCACCCTCTGTTGATGGACTGCAGTATAGGTCATAAATCCCGCCCCCGCCAGCAAAGCTTATGGGACTGTGGACAAACTTTAAATATTTATTACACAGTGCATAAATTTTTCTCCCCCCTGCTTGTGATGTTGACATGTAGTTATTGTAAGACTAGTTTGTGCCCAAGTCCTCTTTTTTCTGTACAGCTCCGTTTTTAAAAGTTATTAGGGGGTTCATGTTTACTATGATTGACACTTGATACAGCCTATGGGCATTCAGGGATTGCGTAGCTCTCCCAGGGGATATGCTGTTTGAGCCGAGCGTCATCACAGTGCCTCTTGGCAACTGCACGCCAGAATGTGCGCATCGCTACTGCGCAGTGCTTGTTTCAGGAAATAAAGAAAAATCCCGGAAATACCGAGAGCTTTTTGGCTTCAAATCTGTATACAGGCGGTAGGCGGAACCAAGTTGTCCATAGTATATACAGTCTGTAGGTTAAAACCAGCTAGAGTTAGATCAACTAATACCAGCTAACGGACCAGTTAATACCAGATAACAGATCGGTTGATATCAGATAATGGAACAATTAATACCAGATAAAAGACCAGTTTAAACCAGCAAACAGGCCAGTTAATTTCAAATCACAGAGCAGTTTATATTAGCTATAAGACTAGTTAGGACCAAATAACATCCAGCTAAAACCAGCTATAATACCATTTTCATACTAGATAACAGACCACTTAATAACTGGTCTGTTATCTGGTATTAACTGGTTTTCAAGCTGGTGTTAACTGGTCTCATACCAGTTTATACCAGCTTTAAGCCAGTAAATACCAGTTAAAGACCAGTTCAAACCAGATAACACACCAGTTCATATCAGATAACAGACCAGTTAATACCAGCAACAGACCAGTAAATACCAGCTAACAGACAAGTTAGTACCAGCTTACAGACCAGTTTATACCAGATAACAGACCAGTTAATACCAGCTAACACACCAGCTCATTCTGACTAACACACTAATAAAGACCACTTTAAACAGTTGGGATCTTATGCAAAATGATAAGAAGTTGGGTCTCACCCAACAAGATCTGCAGGGCGTTGGTGTGCAGGTCCAGAGCCTCGGTTTGCTGCTCCATCACGTCCATCTTCTCTGTCTCCTGGTTGTAGTAGCTGTAGACACAGGAGTAAGCCAGAACCTGCAGACAGAGAGCAGGGAATGATTAACGCCATTACAGTCTGATCAGCAGTATTACAGGGAGCAGGACCACTCTCTGGTGATGGTGAAGATAATTATGCTGATGATGATGAAGAGAGATGCTGGTTACCTTGCGAGCCTGAGCGAGAACTTTACAGGCATCAATGACGAAGGTCAAGGACTTCATCTGCAGGGCTTCATTAATAGACGACACTTTGTTCTCCAGGTTGATTGCAAAATCCTAGGGCAGAAACCAGAACGAGTCACACGGCCCGGCCCCTGATTGTACTTGATCATTTTTTCCTCTTACCCCAGGTAAGAGTGAACAGGACCCCTATGCTTCATGTAAAGGTCCTGTTTCGCCCTGTCAGGAAACCCAATTTTCTATATCTACACAATTTCTCCAGCACAGCACCCAAAGCTAACAAAGCCTTTCCATGCTGTGGCCAATCTAATTCAAGTCAGTATTGGAGCTGCTTGAGATTAAAAGTCTCTCTGTCATGTGGTGGACAGGCATCATACCTTAGCCTGGTTGTGGAATGTGCACCTCTCATTATAATCCTGGAACTTCTTCTCCTGCCGCGCTGCCTTACTCACCTGCAGCAAAAGCAACAAGTTTACAGACGGATAAAGATCAGATGAATAACACTGTTTCTGTTATCTCATGCTCATAACTATCACTGCGCACTGGACTTTATTCTTGGTCTCTGAATGGTGGGTTAATGCGCCCACTCTGATCATGTGCAGTGTGTGAACCAACCATGGCAGAGCAGTTGTAGTAATCTTTGTGCGTTGGTTTCCAGGGTTTCAGACAACGCCAGCAGAAACCATGATTACACTTGGCACAGGTCATACTGAGGACAGGGGAATGAACGAATCTTCCTCATCATCACCATCACCATCATCATCCTAATCACCATGTTATGTGTTCTAGATCTTTAGAAGGAATCATTACAATACGTACTGCAGACAGCCTTCGTTCTTCTCAATCTGAGCCTGGCAGCTCGGGCAACGTTTGGAGATGAGCTTGGCGAGATGTTTGCTCTGAGCCTCCATGCTCATCCCTTCATAATAGCCTCCATCATCCATCCACTGAGACATGTGGCTGCAGCTGGCTGGGTAATGAGCCTGAAGACAGACACTGTCACTGAGTTAGATTGACATAAAGCAGAGAACAATATAACACCTGTCCAGGTAGAAACCTGCTGAGGCCAGAGGAACAAAATCACCAGAACAGCAGCTTATCTCCTTTAATTTAGCTTGTGAAGGAGCTCTTGGTGACAGCTTGAAGACTCTTTTGGGAGCAGCAATCAGTCTTCAGATAATAAAAATGTTTATAACTGTTGTCAATTTTAACATGAACTTTTTTTTTTCTCAGTTTGGAACTTGTCTGCTCCTTCTTTAAGGCTAATACATAAAGCCTTAGAGACACATCAATTCCCCCACCCGCACCCCCAGGTCTAAGTTTTTTGTTGGAAACAAATTTTATACAGGTGTGTGTGTGTGGTGACCTCTGACCTCTGGGAAGTTGCAGCTGAAGCAGGAGGACCAGCAGCACTTGGAGCAGGTCCCCATGCTGCCCATGTTCTCCTTACAGAGGATCTGATCGCAGCCCTGAGGGTTGGTGCACCATGTCAGGTTGGAGCAGCACTCTACGTAGTCTCTGAGTAAGGCATTCTCATACTGGCAGAGGAAAAGGAGAAGAAGGCGGTGGTATTATTATGTGTTGAGGAACTGATTCAGTAGAGGCATCAGCAGAGAGATGGTGAGCTCTTCATTTATTTAGTTTATTTCTTTATTTGAACATGATAAAAATAATGATGAAGTAAAAAACAAAACAAAAAACAAGGCTTTATGAAAAGAAAATAATAGTAGTAATAATAAATAAACAAATTTTTATAAAATCAAAGACAAGCCTAACAGGCAATAATCGGCCAATATCATGATCATGTTCAAAAGGAGTAGGGTGAAGTCAGGACTTATGTGATCCTACCCCTTTGTCAACTACACAGCGTCAACGCTTTACAAACTGTCTTACTGTATACCTATATGTATACTTTAACAAATTAATTTACCACTTATGTATCAAGGATTACTTGGTTGTACACTAAATTGGTGATCTCAATAATAGGTTACATATACGTGCATACGTACATACTTACATACATACATACCTACATACATACATGCATACATACATACATGCATAGATGTCTATACAGTACAGTCATTGAACACATCACCGTTCATGTAATTCTTCCTCCTTATACTTCATTATAATACATTTTTTATACCTTTTTTTGAACTTGTGTATGTTTGAACATTGCTTTATCTCTACATCTATACTGTTCCAAAGTTGAACTCCACATATCGAGATACAGAATGATTTCACTGTTGTTCGGGCACCCAGAGTTTTCAGATTTAACTTCCCCCTAAGGTTGTACCCACCCTCTCTGTCAAAGAACATTTTCTGGATATTCCCAGGGAGATGATTGTACCTAGCTTTATACATTATCAGGGCGGTTTTGTATTCGATGATATCCATAAATTTTAACAGGTTTCACTTAATGAATAGTGTGTTGGTGTGGTCTCGATATGCAGCCTTATGTATAATTCGTATAGCTCTTTTTTAAAGTATAGTTATTCATCTGAAAACAGCAGCAGGAACCTCATGCAAAAATCAAGGAATGAGAAAAAAAATGTGGATCTTGACTGGGAAAAGAAAAAGTGTTGGTTGTTTTAACGTGTGTTACAAGTTAAATATTTTCTTCCTCAGGGCTGACCAGGTCTAGTTTGGTTTTATTGACCTGTCTAAACCTAAGCAGGAACAGTGTGGTTTATTATGTAAGAGCTACACCTGGACAGGTCACCCACAAGTTTATATCATATCACCATCCCAGCAGATTGCTGGTTGACTTTTAAATGTACATCAAGCATTTAAATGTTATCAAATAAGATTAAAAGTACATAAAACCAGTCAACAAGCAGAACACTGGACAACCTTTGCTGCCCTGAATGGACCTATGATGCAGCAGCTTGGTTTTTTGCCACCTTTCCTCTTCTTCTGTTGAGGTTTTTGTTGGCTATCATGTTTCTTTTTTGGCACCTATGCAGTTCATAGATTATACAGGTCCATTTTCTCCCATATTTTCAGACATCAAGAAAACGTGCTGATTTACAGAGGCACTGTTTTTATCTTTAAAGCTTATTCAACACAAATGCAATGACTCTGGGATCAATATAAACCCCCACCCCCCCACCCTCACCCCCAAATAGGTTATCATCCTAGCAGTGACAGCAAGGACGTGTCGTCAAAGAAACCTTAGAGGTAAATCAGATCAGAAATCCTCAGCTCAGTCACACTCTGATTGTCAGGGGACCTGGGGAGGAGGATGTGCTGTTACCTTGGAGATGGTGTCCTTGTCTGTGAGGATGTTGAGGAAGAAGACTGAGGTGGGCTGAGCCTGGCAGTCGGTGATTGGACAGTTACAGTTCATGACCAAGTTCTGTTCAATCCTCGCTGTCAGGTACTCCTGCCAACACGACTGTATGACAAAACAGAGAGAGAGAGAAAAACCAGACCACACACCCAACATCAGGATGAGCTGCTAAGCAGGTTTCACCTCAGTTTGACTAGTTAGCACCAACCCAGCAGGAACCAACACATGAAAGACTAGGAACCAGTTCAGGAAAGTGTTTGGTTTGCACACACAGCCTGGCCTGATGTTAACTGATCTTCATCACCTCTTCCCTCCTCCTGATCTGACCCAGCTCTTTATTAAAGACCTCTCTGTCTTCACTTGACAGCTTGTTGGCTAAATCTCCACATTTCCCTAGCCATCCTCCACAGTCAATGAAGGATTAATCACTAACTCTGCAAACACCAGTGTGGAATTACCTGTATTGACTCTGGCGCCCCCCTCTGGACAAAATGGTTCTGCTTCCATCTATGCTGATTTCACCCCATACGTTTGGGAAGGATTTTTGACCACAAGTCTTGCCTTGTTGTCTTCAGACCTTGAATTTATCACTCCCTGTGGTTATTTGATGAGGTCAAAGTCAACATAGGCTGCTGTCAATCATCTTATTCCCGCCCACCCCAGAGTGTAATCGTTTCTTCAGTGAAATAGCTTGATTTTAAGGTTAAACCTCTGTAATAGTTTTAATCCAGTCAGGTTACTTCTGGTTCACTAGTTCCAGGTTCTGAATCAGTAAAAGTAGGGATTCTGACCTGGCAGCAGTAATGCATGCAGCTCAGTGATGGGACTGGCTCTGTGGCGGTGGTGCGAGGGCCCAGGCAGACAGGGCAGGTGGAGGAGGGGCTTGGTGGGGGCTGAGGGTTTTTGCACTTTAACCCAGCAGCTATGATAAGGGCTTCAGCGTCGTCGGTGTATCTCTGCACCAGCAGGTCCATGTTCCACTTACAGTGAACCAGCAGGTGCTCAGCACGGTCCAGGTCTAGACTCAGAGTGCTGGACACCTGAGAGGGCGAAAAGGAGAGACAACATGTGAGACCAGTTTGAGGTTACTCTAAGTCTCCCAGAGGATTTTCTCTGTTTCTAGTTTAATTTTTTAAGATATTAAAAAGTATTAGGGCAACCTCACCGAATCAATCAACAGAGATGTCAAGATTCAAGCTTTAAATCAACAAGAATAAACTTGTATATGGTCTGTTTTTTAAGCTTTTCAGAGACGGAGATCAGCAGAAAGGTAAGTTTCATGAAAGACTTAATACTGGAAACTCAGAGCATTAGCAGCATCAACACATCCTCATCAGTTTTAGGATTCAGAATAGACTGAGGACAGGCTAACAGACCTCCTGTACACACCACTGTGACCTCACTTGGTCCTCAGCTGCTCAGTTACATGGAGATGATCCTCATTTTGGTGCATGTTGTTGACTGCTCTTCTCATCTCATCCTGTATGGACTTTAGGTATTGATGACACCCAAGCTGTAACTAGCTGACTTTTTTCTCATAAATGCACAACTTTAACCTCCTACAGTTTAGACTTGATGCTCATAAATCTTTTTATTTTGGTCTTTCTAATCTACCACTGAATCTTCATGAATGCACAACTTGAACTTTTGACCTTTGAGGTCCTTCTGTGAAATGATGAGTTAGTTCTCAGTCGCTGTGAGGTCATTTGTGTCTCTTTTTTTCACAGCATCACTGCAGGGTGTTTGTCACTTCTTTGATATGGTCAAAAGCATCCCAGTCACACCTGTTGGACCGTCCTCTGCATCAGCTGACGGACCTCCTCCTGCGTCATTGTTCGACCCATCGAGAACAGAACTGCATCCAGGACTCCATCCTCAAACCGCCGTGGAGCTGACATCATCAGGCTGCAGAAACAGGCAGAGGAGAATAACTTTTAATGCAGAATCGAGATGGCAGCATTACAGGGGGACTGGGGAAGAGCTCTCATTATGTTCTGTCTTTAGCTTTTCAAACAAATCTTTCAGCCCCACTGAGTTTTTGTTTGTGACACTGTGTTTATGTTTGATTATGTGGTCTAAATGAGATAGAAGAAGAAGAAACTGAGAAACTTAAAGAACAGTTTTCTCTTTCTAAATCAGGGAAACATGGCAGACTTCTGTGAATACTGCAGACTCCAAACATGTGATTTTAGGAGCTACGAAAAGATCCCTTGCTGGCATTACACACTTCATCTGAGTCTGTGCTGGTTTCACTGAGCAGAGATATTTTCTGTTTTAAAACACACTCTAAATGTATGAAGAGATTATCAACATTTCTTCTTGTGTTCTTGAAATCCTGCAGTTCTTTAAACTGTAAAGATGTTGACATCCAATCAAAGTAGAGCTGGATTTTCACAAAGATTTAGCTTTAACGTTTGGTTGTTGGAAGGTAAATTCAACTCAGCATTCATCAGTTCATTGACGTTATTACACAATAAGGCAAAAGGAAACAAGCAGGGTTTAGAGTTTTATCTCTTCTTTATTTTCTCTTTGTAGAAAATTAAACATTTTACATGTTTGTTTGTTTTTTTTTGAGGATGCACAGGATGTCAGTGTGTCTGACTCATTGACTGGGATATTCTGTTTTTAAAGGATCTGAGCGGTAACCAGAGTCAGAGCAGGAGAACTGAACTTTAAGAACAAAGTGCAGAAATTAAAGAGTTTTAGTCATTACAGGGTAAAAAAAACAAAACAAAACAAAAAACAGAAATACAGACTCAGGATTCCTGTTTTGTCTGAAGGGCGTAACAAAGGGAAAACATGTAAACAAAGTTGATGGTGAGTGAAAGGTCAGAGGTCACGCTCACACCTGATGTCAGCCCTGCTGTCTGCTGAGTCCTTCCTGACCTCAGCCCGGCTGAAGGAGAACTGGGCCTGGCCTTTCTGTGGCGTGGACGGGTCCTCCGGCAGGAACTCGACAATGTGTGGGTTGTCCTCATTGCGGCGTATGCAGCCTTTGCTGATGACGTGCATGATGCATGAGAAAACGTCGCTAGTGCTGCAGCTGAAACGACCTGAACCCGGGGAGCGAGAGGCTTCCTTTTTCTGACACAAGTCCAGAACCTGCGGAGACAACGAGACCAGAGCACAGAGAAAAAAGGACGATATCAAAAGAGTGAGACTTATTTTAGTGCGGGGTGTGAGTCTTGGTCAGAGCTGCTGTGGCCTGTAACTCTCTGAGATGTCAGCCTCAGAAACGTCAGGGTTCATTAGCTTAAGGGGAGTCCACATTGAAATCCACACTTTAAGCTAGAGAAAACTTCACACCATGTTTGTTTTAACATGGTTTTAACATGTTTGTTTTAATGCACTTCAAAATATCCCTCACATGTAAACCTTCACTGTATATCCTCTAATGATGCCATTAAAAACCTGAACTCAGGTCAGACAAATGATGTAGTTTCATATGTTTTCAAAGTTAAGAGTTGTTTAAAGGAGAAACGGAAAGGAAGGAGAGAGAGAGAGAGAGAGAGAGAGAGAGAGAGAGAGAGAGAGAGAGAGAGAGAGAGAGAGAGAGAGAGAGAGAGAGAGAGAGAGAGAGAGAGAGAGAGAGAGAGAGAGATAGAGAACGATCAACAGTTTCACACAGTGGGAGTCAAAATGCCAAACTCTCATGGTGTGGCTCAGACACTGGACCACTGTGCTGAATGTCCCCTTTCCTCCAACTCAAGAAGATTACTGACTTCCTTGCTGGTTTACAGATTTAGCAAACAGTCAACTCCAAGACTTCAGAAATTTTGTGACAAAATAGTTTTGCGGTGGTTGCAGCTCCGTGTTACTCTGTGTTGTTTCCCGGTCCTTGTCTTGTATGTGACCAGTTGAGATGAAGCTGTCTTGCTCCTTACTTTATTGTGCTTTATTTTGTTCAACCATTACTTCCTGGTGGCTGTGTTGCTTGTGTTGCTCCCAACAAAGACGGGAATGATGCAAGACGTCACACTCCTTTAGATTTAAGCTTTCCAAAACAGATTACACTACCACAGCTCGTCAACTTTTGAATTCATTGGAAGCATGCTTTGTTATGTCGATGAATTGTTATGCCTCTCGTCAGCAGAGACTGTTTCGTCCACAGGGGGCGCCAAAATCAGTAAAAACTAAAAAAAATTTCACAGGGGCTTACTTGACGGCGGTGTTTACTTTCAATTCTCAATCAAAGTTTAGACTCTAATGTTTGCAAAACTGGAGATTTAAATTTTGCGACCACCACCAAATCAAAGCTTTACAGTGCAGTGGAGAATGGCTCCGTATGGCCATGTCTGTAGTCATTTGAAAGGGGAAAAGCTACTGAATCGATTGACATCAATCTTTCCAAGGACTGCATTTACCAGCTTTGAAAAAAGCCGGGCGTAAAGTGTTCGTAATCAGTGCGCTTTTAGATGCAGCGCCCCACAGACGAAGGCAGAATGCTGCATCGCACGCTGATCACATGGGACTCTCCTGTAAACTTTCTCCATCACTTATAAAACTTCTCTTGAGTACTTTTCAACAATGGAAAAGAAACATTCATCTCTTAGAGGGATATGGCGGACATTTTATTAGAAATTCAGCGGGGCTCAGACGGGGAATTTGAGGACTTGTCTGACTCAGCAGTAATGACGTCGGCTCCGAGGAGGAGGCATTGTTTACATTAGAAGTGGACCCAGTTTACTAGTAAGTATTTGCATTTATCGATAAGACCGTGTTGTGTAAATTGATATGCATGGAACACCTTTGTCATAAAACTGTAAACACTGTAGTAAGTATGGCAATCCAATAGCATTGAATATTACTGCAGTTTCACTATATCTGTTTATTTTGGGCTTACTTTGCTTGCAGATACTGCATTTTATCTGTCTTTGAATATATGCTTTATGAGAAAAATAAATGAAGTACATATAAATGCAAACAAAATATAGTAGAGGTCATGGCTACTCAATTTAGTGAATAAGTTTACATATATCCACAACTTTTGTGTCCTTCAGTGAAATGTACAAATGTTATTTATTTTTGTTCTACATAGTAATTGATCACCATTTTCACAGCCACCAACAAGAGGGGAGTGAGGCACATCCACCCCCACCCCCCATCAGGGCTTTTCACACCTTCAGTACTCCCTGCACCAGTCGCCCCACCCCCACCCTTACCTGCAAGAAAGGTGACATTGCTTGTGTCAAGGTTTGTGTACTGATCATTTGTTTGATTCTGGTCTCTTACAGAAATAATACACTCTTTACTGCTTCAATTATGCATTTATATGTATTCATTACATTTAATTTACTCTACCTGTGTTTGCTGTATTTTAAATAGTTTTTAATTGCGCTGTTACTTTTTATTTCACATTGTTTGCACAGAATGTTTGTTTCTCTTTCTGCACTTTTTTCAAATAAAGATACTCCCTGTGAAGAAAGAAATGTAGAAGTTCCTGTTATTTTTCACTATTCTGTATTACATATAAACAAATATATTGTGCAGAATGGTAGAAATTGATGAGGCAAAAGGTATATCATTTCATATCTAAAAGCTCCAATAGGTAGTAGGAGACTAGTCTTATGGAAATTAATTGTAATGTGGAGCCAGTTCTCATCAGAGGTAGAAAATAATCCATTTGGCACAATTGTGCCAAACTGAGTTCTCGCCTTGGTGTATCCTTACAAAAACCTTCATGTAGGCTTCACTGTTTATCCAAATTCTATCAAATTTGGTCAAATTTGTTGTCAAGGAGTGGATAAAGCTAAACAATGGCATCTGGGGGCATTGCTAGCATTGTGTTTTCCTCTGTCAAAAAAAGAAAACATTTTGGCGAGGGTAAAAAAACAATTTTTCTCTTTGGTTTATTCCAATTTACTCAGGCATAATGATAGATAAAACACTTCTGAGAGTTGGACATCTAGAGACTTCCAAGGACACCGAGAACATGCATATACCCTTTAGTAAAGTGTTGTAATTTCTCATTAACTTTGGGTATGTCTTGTTAGGCGTTTTTTCTGGAAAATAGGCTTAGGGCTTAAGAGGTTGTATCTTGAATTAAAATGCGTAACGTCCATGCAGAATCAGATTTACGGTAACTTCAGACGTATTTTTGTTTGGCTGCACCATGTGGACACAGGCTTTATTTCCAATCGAAGATAGTAACGTCCTAACTAACCAAAATAATGTTGCAGAAATGAGGATTGAACTTCCAGTAGCCAATGAGAAAAAGGCTCTTCTTTGCACTGAGTGTTTGTGTAAGTGCTGACCCTCCTGACCCTGCATGGGCTAGCAGCTGAAAACAAACTGACAGAAACTCCCAATACATACCTGTGTCTCATCTTGAAAACGGTGGACTCACAATATAATCTGTGTTACCTTTTAGTTTTTGCTTGTTTGTTTGGCAGTTTTGAATTTCTCGTTTGTCAGAAATAAAGAAACTAACCTATCAGCTTGTGATTAAAAGTTAATAAAATGAAGCCACAGTTCATCATGCTCTACATTATAGGATTAGTCGAATATTTAGAGGAGATACATTCTAGCATGATCCATCTCTTCTCTCCCTGCATCCATGTGTGACTTAACCCCGACACAGAGCCAGTGGAAGATTTAAGAACTAACTTAAGCCCAGGCTGGAAACATCTCAGCCGGTTAATCCCTCAGATGTTAGGAGTGTGTAAACCTAAATAAGTCATACTTAGAAATAAGAAACTCAGAAATAAGTATGAGACCTCTGACCTTGAAGACCAGGTTGTCGATGTGCATTTCTTTCTCCTGCTTCATGATGTGGACGATCAGACAGTAGATATAGTTTCTCTTCCTCTCCAGCATCCCACCAGCGTCCTCGTCCACGTTGACATATGTCTGTCTGGGCAGCAGCTGAACAGACACAGGGACACCATCCAGACTGCGAGACACCACCTCCTGGTTCAACCGTAACACACCTGGAGGGACACGAGGGGGGGGGGGGGGGGGGTCAGGGAGGGAGACAGGTGTGTGTGCGTGTGTGTGTGTGTTATTCTGTGTGTGTTATGTGTCTGACCTTGGCTGGGCTCGTCAGACTGGCTGCGGGTCAGTGGTCCTCCCTCACTGATGAGCGGCTGCAGAGCGTGCAGCAGGATGGCTGCAGACAGGCCAGTGGACTGCAGCAGAGCCTCCACTTGGACCTCCTGCAGAGACACACAGTTTGTTCAGTCTTCACTGAACCTGATGTACCTCTGAGTGATTCAAATCTGTCTTTAAGAGTGTCTGTCCTACATCCTGACTGTTAAACTGCAGCAGGATGAACATCTGCAGGGTGGAGACATGCAGCGTCCAGAAGCCAAACTGCAGCTCAGCGTGACCGAGCCAAGTCCACTGCAGCCGCCGAGGCTTTGAGTGACTCAGACCATACATGGACTGACCTGGTACATAGACGAAGATGCAATTAATACAAATATGTATATACACACACTGGAGCATCACTGACGTTTTTTAACTAAGAGGTTAGGTTCAGATCATCCCAAAATGGGACACACTCGGGCCAGAAATAAAGCTGGATTCAAACAGGGAGTTTAGCAATGTTTGGAGACAGCATGAAACCAGTCAAAGCCAGTTTGTGACAGGTACTGACTGTGTGTGTAGAACTGGGTGAACTGGTTCAGGTAGGAGCAGAGTTCAGATGGAAAATGTTTTGCAGGTTCATCCAGAAAGCAGAGAGATGAGACGGCCCAGCAGCGTGGAGACAGAACCAGAACCTGGACCTCTGCCTCCTCCTCTGACTCAGCCAAGTCTTCCTCCATCATCTGTGGAGACAACAAACGGGTCAACTGCCTCAGACTTGAGAACTTTGGCACGACTTGAACCCCATTTAATACTTGTCTACATATGTTGTCAAGTTCCTTTTGTCCAGAACGACACATCAGAAATATTTCTTATTGGTAAAAAACCGTGTTCAAGGACTTAGTGTCAGATGATGAAAAATGGAAGATGAAGAGAAAACAACATTTCAGTATTCAGTAGAAACAGAGTGACTCTTACAGTAGGACAGACCACAGATGCATTTGAGTCATTTTTAACCTGGTCATGCTCCTGCAGGCAGCGGTCCAGCTGCTGTAGGCGGTACAGGTGAAACTCCTGCTGCAGCTCAGCTGACTCGCTCAGGTTCTTCAACATCTGCTGAGGGAAGCGACTAGGGAAGCAGCTGCCAATCTGATCGATCACCGCGCTCTCCAACCACACATTCCCCTGAGCCAGCAGCCTGTCGCCCAGGTAGTACCTGGATAAGAGAGGCAGGTTACTTTCCTCCAGGCATCATATGGTCTTGTTTCAGGAACTGTGATGACGTTGTGATGTTCACACCTGTAAAAGTGCTCAAAGGTGTTGGCAAGCTCCAGACCTGACAGGAAGAGCATTGGCTCCAGAAACTGCTGAAGCCGCTCCAGAGTCTGCACGCTGCCACAGGCTGCTCCGCTGGCCTGAATCATCTGATCGATGTACTGAGCAAAACGCTCACTCACCTGCAGCACACAACCCATCACACAATGACACAGCACAACAAAAACACAGCAAACATGAGCAAAACAGTTTAATTTATCATAGATAGTTACGTAATGCTGTTTGTGTTCTTCATTGACTCTTTTGTCTTTAAAATACTTTAAAATAAAACACACATAACACAAAAACATCACAAAGTAGTCTGGTCACCTCCTGAAGCCCAGTGGTGGTTCATAATTACTCAAGAAAAAGACTTGAGTGGAATTTTCACATCGATGAACCTTAAAGCATCATCTTTTCAGCTTTATCCCATTTTCAAACTAAATCGTGTTTCATGTGTTAAGTCCTTCAGCTCTTCAACTTATTGGCATCATTTCTGTTTCTCAGGGTCTCAGTAATCCAGACTTGAACCTGACTAGTGCCAACTGAGTAAATCTAGTTCATACCAGATTCATATTAGCTTTAGTGCTGTGTTTGATAAATCTTATTTTACATCTAACTGTTGAGGCTCGGTGGTTAAAGAAAGGATGTATGGCTCTGCAGAGTTCACTTGTGATGTGTGGTTTATAATTAAATGAGGACTTGTTGCATTGTGGTATGGAACAACTCGGGTTTAGCCTTTGTCAAGAAAAGTGAAAGCTCAGCAGGTTTTACTTGAACCAAAACTAGATTAAATATAAAATAATCTCTGATATACACATATACACACATATAAATAGTCAGACACTCAGCTGCTTGTCTATGATGAGCTACAAGCAGACGATCAAAAGACAAAAGTTCACATGTGAATATGGAACATCCATCTGATAGGATCTCACACAGTAATGCTTACATCTCTGATTCAAACAATCTAACATCATACCAGGCAGTTGGAACTAAGAGCTAAAAGGACACTTATGTTATTAAAAGCAGGGTTTAAACTAATCCGCTGGTTCAGCCCTGAGAGGACTCACATGCATGGCCTTGAGGATAGAGAGCTGCAGCAGAGCAGCGGAGAAGCCATGTCGGAGGGCCAGGACGAAGGCAGTCTGCTGTCCAAACAGCTCCTCCATGGCATTCCTCAGCCGCAAGTAAAGAGTCCGGTAGCGCTCCACAAAGTCTGGTAGACTGCAGCTCGTCTCCAGAAACTTCTTCACCTGAGGGTGAGAGGGAAAGGGGAGGGGTCTTATTGATGTTTTACCAAAACCACTGTGATGTATCCTCTGAGAACCAGAAACTCCTGGGCCAAATACGGTGAAAATCCACATCCATGACAGAGCAGGATCAGCAGACTTTGTTTGGCAAGATTATATTTGTGATGCTTTTCAAATGAGATGTTTTTACAAAGAGGAAAGTTTTTAGAGGAACATTTTCTGGATTCATTTTGGTTTCAGGTGGCTCTTGTTGTAATCACAGGTATTGAGTGAAACAAACAAAACAGCAGAGGAAGACACAAAGAGAGCTAACGCTATAAACAAACTTATTTAACTCTGGGTATTTTTTCCTCAGTCTGTGGACCTACATTGATGTGACCGTCTCACCTGTCGCTGTACCACTCCCTGCCAGCAGAGGGCGATGCCTGCGATACTGCTGTTGCTCTTTACTTTGGGTTTGGCAGAGGAGGAGGAGGAGGAGGAAGTAGCTGTGGTGTTGTCCTTGTTTTTTCCCTCTTTACCGTCTGGAAGACAGATTTGAAAAGGTTCAGCATCAAAGTTTACAGAGTTTATCATCATTCAACTGCAGCAGATATAAAAACAACAGCAATGAAAACTGCAGCCAGAAACGTAAAGAGAAAGCAGTGCATCTGCTCTTCTTTTCCATCTGGAAAGAAAACTCATCAGTGTCATGACCAAAATGTAAACAGGAAGTCTGCAGTCAAAATAAGAGCAGTCCAAAGTGAAAAGAAACAGATGGAGTGTAAACGCATCCTGATGACTTCAGGTTTGTCTGAAGGAAGCTGGATGTTTCAGTCCGTTCAGATGAGGAGGAGAAAGTGTCAGCTGACGCCCCCTGCTGGATGAGTGTCCATCAAACATCCTTCTTAGTCTTGCACACCACTAACAGTTTAAGGGTTTGACGTTCAGACTGAGTACAAACTATTGGGATAGTTGAACAATTCTGTCCTCCCTTTCAGGTGTAAATATTGTCCTGACATCTTTTATGATGTGACCCCCCCCTCCAAAATGCACTATTTACTCATTTAAACAGGGTGGTATTATGCTTTTACACATTAACAACAAAAACTGTAAAGTAACAATATTTAGTGTCCATAAGGTAAATGTATGTTGTTATAATCTCAGAAAATAGATGTAAACTGCTCAAACGGGAGCCTATGCAAAGACGCCAGACTCCCTAAAATGCCTACGTCAGCGTTATAGTCTCTCCTTACTGGTTCATCTGCGCTTAGGCAAAGCTGAACAGTCTGCCTCCAACTGCGTGTGAACTGTGAGAGGGGTAATGACATCGAGCTCTGTAGGCTTGTGAAGGGGGGGGGCTTAAAAAGACAGCAGCGGTAATGAAGGGTTTCAGACGGAGGCTGAAACACCAGAGGGAAAAATTTCAGGCTTCTTTAAATCTGAAAATCACATAAAGATATTAAAAAAATCAGAGAGGAAGTATCTGGAGTCTGAAAAATGATAAACTCCCCCCTTAAGGACAAACTGAGCCTCTACTCATTAATCTATACACACTCTATCTGTAGGGTCTTTTCAAGGGGCTCAGACTTACAGACCTATATAACTTCGTTTATGCAGGAACAATGGGGTAACATGTCAGAGGTCAAACAGCAGGGGTCACGTGAGTACTTCCTGTCCTCATTTGGACAAATGAAATGTCACAGAGCAGAGTGGAAACAAAATCAAAATGGCCTCTGGACTCAGCTGTTACTTACTCTTCAGCTCTTTGCTTCGGTTAAGACCTTCTGAAAACAAGAAAAACTCTTTAAACATGGAGGACGACTGGAAACACTTAAGAAAAAACATTTCCCACACCCTTTACAGCTACAGCTATTGTTCGGGTTATTTATATTTGACACATGAATAATTACAGTACCAACCTGCTTATTCTGTTGAAAAAAAACAATGAAACAATCTTAGGCCTTGCAAAGTTGTCATGCCTGTCTAAATATAATGTCCCATATAACATTTATATTGAACATGAGACATCCCTATGAATTTCTGAGCACATTCCCACTTCAGCCCTAGAGAGACTTTCTCTCTGCTCTCTTGGACAGGTTCAAATTTAAGGAAGTAGGACCAGACTGCAGCGCATAGTTTCTACTATGTCCTCATTTTTCTGAACTGGAGTTCAAAATGTCCAAGATTCAAGAGCATCACTGCATCCTCAGCCTGAGTTTCTGCTTGACTGAAGTGATGTAACAATGATGTCAGCAATGATGGAGCCAACTATCGACATCAATGATTACAAAGAGACTCACTGGACTTGACGGGGGGTTTGAGCTCCTCGTTGTCCACTTGACTTGTGTCCACATGGACCAGCAGGTGTGTGAGCCGTCTCACTCTGGAGTTAAAGATGGCCGCTCTGCTCTTGCAGCGGCGGGCTGACTCTGCGTTGTCCAGATACTCACTGAGCAGCCAAGAAAGAGGGCTGGATGCTGAGGATTCTGGGTAAACACAGTGTTTAAGTGAGTTGGTATTACTGCTCTTGTTGATATAAGGGTCAACTGACAGTGTGAGGACATCTCAGCTATTGTGTGTGTTTGTGTGTACCTGCGAGTGTGATGCTGTGAACAATGGGGGTGATCAGGGCCTCCCAGCAGGTTCGACCGAGAGCCTCAGCCGCCTCAGCGTCGGGCAAGAAACGATCTGCAAACATTTGCTCATGTCTCAGAGCGCTATTCAGTCTGAAAACACACACAAGAAAAATGCACATTAATGACCTTCCTGCTGTGTTTTCGGGGACTATTCAGCAAACAGGTAACTGTCACCAAACTGCAGTACGAGCAGTGTAAGAACCGTGGTGCCAAGTGTGGACATTTAATCGGGACAGAAAATCAAACTATGTCAAGAGCAGATGCCGACTCAGGACGCTGCTTAATATTCTTAATTGCATTCTTTGGTTACATACTGATTAATCCTAATGATAACAGCTGATTACTTAACATTTTAGAGAGAAACTAATGGAAAAAATTAGTTTGTCTGAGTCTGAGTTGTGATGACAGCAATGTCAGAATGGAAGTAATGCTTTTGGTGAAAACAGAAGAGTTGTAGTTTGAAGATGTTGAAGAGCTTGAGGAACACCAGCTGTACTGACGGTGTTCTTATATTGGAGCTGCAGTGACAGCACGAGTATGACTGCATTGATTACTTGTTGAAGAGCTGCAGCAGCTGCGTCTTGTCCTCCATCACCTCCTGACACCAGGTGTGGGCCTTGGTGCTGTAGAACAGGTAGGTCCGACAGCACAGCTGCTCCTTAAACACGGGCCAGAACGTCGGCTTTGGACCAAGAACCTCAAAACCGTGAACCCTGGTATCAATGCCACCCTGTCAGATAGCAGAGAGGTGTGGTCAGTAAATGACATGGCAGTTTATTTATGGCAAATAGAATGAGGATGTAACTCAGAGTCTGACCTGCTGACATCTCTTGACCCTGATCTGGATGATGGACCAGAACCGGGTCATGTTCTCCAGGAGAACCACCCGGCTGGCTGATGGAGCCACATTGACCTGCACAAAGACACACACAAACACACCATAAATAAGCATCTGAGACTTAATTTGTGAAGAACTTTTGAGAAGCACAGTGACAGAGTGGTTCAAAACACAGACAGAAAACAACAACTTCAGGGACAAGACTCACCATCAAACAAAAAAGAAAGATAATGAAAACACTCAATTCAAAGACAGGGACAGAGGGCTGCATCAACACTTCTCTGAACAAATCATTCCTAGATGCTTCCTGAAACAGTTCACATTTTCAGAGCTGTGGTGGATTATGGGAGTTGATTCCAGAGGATGGGGGCTACAACAGAAAAGTCATGTTTGGGATGGATTTGATTATCTGAGTGGGAGAGGAGTCAAATATAGAAGCAGGAAGTTTAAGAGTTAATTAGAGGCAAGATCACACTGAGATTAGTTAGTCAGTGTAAGGCTCTTGAAGTTTAAGTGATCGGGGGGGAACAAAAAAGAGGGGAGATCCAGGACTGGTAGGCTGTATTGGGACAGAGGGAAAAGTGCCTAGGAAGTGAATCTCGTTCCACTTTAGTGGGGCAACATAAACTGTGATTCATAAAATAGCTGTATTGTTAGTAAGTACTAAAAAAAAAATATCTACTCATGCCATCCTGTCGATTTTTAGTAATCAGTGTTTCGGTGTCAAATTATTTCCTTTCTGCGGCGTAGTGATACTTGCACACGCGCAATCGAATATGCAGAGGGGTGAAGCGATTTTTGTCACGTGAACCAATAGGAGCCGAGTCTCGTTGCCATAGTATCAGAAATACACAAACATGGCGACGAACGCATCTAGCAGCGAGACAAGTGAAGAGGAAGAAAAAGAAAAAAAGAAAACAGCCTTCAAAAGTGCAGAAAAAAGGAACAAAACGATGCTATATGCATCTATCATCTGTCCAGAGTGAAGACGTTCTCGACTTTACAAGGACACGTTGGGAAACTTACAGAACTAGTTTTAGAAAGTGTCTTTCTCTACAGGGTGAGACAAAGGACCAGCCAGAAATGTACATATATGTGAGTAACACAAAAACAATTATATGGTGCTGCTGTTTTTGCTTGTAGAAACTGCTATGTTGATTCTGGCAAGACAAAATCTCTCTCAAATGTCATAAATACATCTACCTAACATCTGAAAGAGTTATTGGTGCCTTAGTATACGCATAAGTGAATTCAGATTATGAAATGTAGCAAATTTCTTGAAGAAAACGTCTCAACTCAAGTGATTTGCACCCAGCACAATGAAATATATACAGTAAATTTAGCTAAAAGCTTATGTTTCATACATAAAAATGACACAACCTACTGTGTAATAAAAGCAATAAAATATGAACAGCACATCATGGCCATAAATGGCTGAAAATCAATCAAATTGCTACCATGCCCCCCAAAATTGGAATAATGGAAAAAATGTAACAAGACAAAAATAAATGCACAAAAGGTCTGAATTAATCCAAAATATGGTAAAAAAAACATTTATTCAAGTATCACAGTGTCAAAACATTATCAACCCCTCCAGAATATGAAAATTAAGATCAAAACAGACAAATGTAGAACAAATATATAAATAATAAAAATCTCAAATCTCGGTGTAGCAATCCTTTAAACAAAACAAATTGTACATGGTGGCATGAGATAGTGATGCGTAATATACGCACCACTATCACTTTCATCAGAGTCATCATCCCATACACACATTGTGTTTTGATCTTGATTTTCATATTCTGGAGGGATTGATAAATGTCAGATGTTTTGACACTGTGATACTTAAATAAATGTGTTATACCATATTTTGGATTAATTCAGACCTTTTGTGCATTTATTTTTGTCTTGTTACATTTTTTTCATTATTCCAATTTTGGGGGGCGTGGTAGCAATTTGATTAACTTTCAGCCATTTATGGCCATGATGTGCTGTTTACATTTTATTGCTTTTATTACACAGTAGGTTGTGTCATTTTTATGTAAAAAAACAGCAGCACCATATAATTGTTTTTTGTGTTACTAACATATTTGTACATTTCTGGCTGGTCCTTTGTCTCACCCTGTAGAGAAAGCCACTTTCTAAAACTAGTTCTGTAAGTTTCCCAACGTGTCCTTGTAAAGTCGAGAACGTCTTTACTCTGGACAGATGATAGATGCATATCGTTTCGTTCCTTTTTTATGCACTTTTGAAGGCTGTTTTCTTTTTTCTTTTTCTTCCTCTTCACTTGTCTCGCTGCTAGATGCGTTCGTCGCCATGTTTGTGTATTTCTGATACTATGGCAATGAGACTCGGCTCCTATTGGTCCACGTGACAAAAATCGCTTCACCCCTCTGCATATTCGATTGCGCGTGTGCAAGTATCACTGCGCCACATAAAGGAAATAGTTCGACACCTAAACACTGATTACTAAAAATCGACAGGATGGCATGAGTAGATATTTTTTTTTCGTACTTACTATCAATAGAGCTATTTTATGAATCACAGTTTATGTTGCCCCACTAAAGTGGAACGAACCAACACGATCTCGCTCAGCCAATACAGCCTATGGCTGCTGATTTAGGTAATGACTGATCACAGGTTCATTCAGCAACATTCAATAAACTGGACCTCAAACAAATTCTCTGAATGTCCAATGTGACTTCAGACTCAACATCCACAGAGTTCGTGCTTAGCTGTCCTCTAGAGACTTGGACTCACCGTGTTTAGTTCAGTGTTTATGTTGGTCGGCTCATCTCCTCCCAGGACAAGGATTCGGGCTGGCATGTAGCTTGAGTCCTCACTCGCTACAAGGATAGCAAGTTGTCTACACACACACACACCCACACACACACACACACACACACACACACACAAACACACACACACACAGGCATCTCTTTTAGTCATCTTGTCAACACAGACACAGTAACAAGCAAAATGCTGAACTTGACTTTGAACAGGTACTGTATGATGTTTATCATATTGAGCAGATCTTTCAAATATCTATCAGTATTGGTTGTGTCAACAGTGTCATCACCTGATGATGACTCCTTTGTGCATGTAGATGTTGATGAAGTGTGATCCGGTGCAGCCATTGGACTCCCAGTAGGTTTTGGGGTTTTTATCGGTTAGTTTGTTGGCTCGATGGTGATTGGACGAAACCTCCACTTTCTCCCAGCACTTATCCTCCTTCAGCTCCACACTGGAGCCTGAACACAGCACCAGTTACACCAGTTATTACTCTACACATACTTCCTCTTTCTGCTCTTACAGAATAAAAGCATGACTCATTTAGTTACTCTCTTTTTTTATGAAGAACCATCACATCCTACATCCAGAAGAAACCACCATGTATCATTAAACAGACCTTGGCAAAGATTTCGGAGGAAGACATCAAAGAAGGGGATGTTGATTGGTTGATGGCTACGACGATGCTCCTCAATCTGGCCCAACACCATCTGAGAGACATGATCAGGTGAAATGCTGATGTCAGCAGAACACAAATTTACACGTGAAACAACTGATCAGATTCAAACAAAGCAGCACCAGACCGGTGTATTTTTACCTGTATGCTGAACTAAGAACAAGGAGTTGAGTTTCACTCACAGCTGATATCAGACATAATCAGACATTTTCCACTCCTACATTGTGATGAGAATTGTTTAAGTCTAAATTCTCTATGAGCCTACTCGTGTCTTCACTTCAGTTGATTTGTACATTTTTAATTTTGTACAAAATTAAAGATGTCCTCTGAATTACGATTGATAATCCAAAGCAGGTGTGTGGTGGTGAGTGTGACTCTGCAGAGTATAAACCTACGGTAGTTGTTTTATCAACCTCAGTCATTGTACAGCTTAGTGATGCTACATGTCGCAGTCCATAGGTGGACTAATGACAAACATAATGAGATCAAGTGTCCTCTCTGTGTGTTTCCTTTGCTTTCTCTCTGCAGCAGACATTAAATCACATGTGTGTCAGGGCTTGACACTGACTTTTTTCACAAGGAGCACATGTGCTCCTAAGTTCAAAAAGTAAGGGGCACAAAAAGGACTTTAGGGGCACAATGAAAATGGATTAAATAATGTGTGTCTTATTGGCCGACATAAGTTCTATTATTTGAAATCAATTTTAGGTCAGTTTGTCCCATGACATGGAAGCTATTGAAGAAAATGTTCAAAATTTGCCTTTAAATTTAACACAAAATTTTTAGAGGACAAATTAGGGAAATAAAGAGATGCATCTTATCGTCTGACCTTAGTTAATATTATTTGAAATCAATTTTAGGTAAATTGGTCACATGGCATGGAAGAACGTCAACCGGTAATTTATTGATGGTCCCTTATTCAACACCTGACGTTGACAGCGAGGGTGCCGAGTAGATTTAACCACGCTGCTGTTGCTATTCCCAGTTATGGAGAGTGAGAAGACACTGGTAGATCCGCAGTGAACGTCCGTCGAATATCCAACCTAAAACTAACTTCACCGCAGTATTTACATGAAAAACATTTGTTGCCTTTCCTGATTTTTTTTATGTGCACATGTGCCCCTAAATACATTTTACAATTTGCACACATCTATTTTTAGTCACAAATGCGAGTGAAACCGTCGCACTGTCGAGTCAGGTGTGTGTTCGTTTTGTTTACATCAGTGTTTGCTGCAGACAGCACCTGGCATCCACACGCTCATCCAGGAGTTCAGACTTTGTTGTTGTAATGTCAAAACAGCAGTTAACCCTCTTTCATTTGAATTGTATCCAAGTTTTTTTTTTTTAAGTGATCAAATTGTTTTCATGCATTTCATTGTGTTACTATGAATTTAGGGATGTAAAGACTATCATCTGTTTCTACTATTGCACTCATGAAAGCCAGTTTTGCTGCCTAAGTGCTCCTACAGGATTAAATGCCTGAGCAGAAGTGTTTTCATGCCTCTTTAAGATTCCTGACCCGCTCCCCACATACCTGGATACATCCTGCCAAGACACTGGTGGTCATCTTTTTGTAGAGGCTGGCGTATTTCTCACAGTCAGTGATGAGGTCTCGTAGCTCAGTGACCAGCAGCAGGTAGGTGCTGTGTTTGTCCAGAGCTTTTACCAAAGCCTCTTTGGTTCCAAGACGGCACATCACCACTGCGTAGTCTTTGTTCAAGGATGCAAGCCGGTACAGGAAGCGGATAAAGTTCTGGACCACCTGGACACCCAATCACAGGGGGTCACCAAACACATAATCAGAAAGGTTTGATCCTCCTGGTCCTGGTCTATACTGACCTCTTTGTCGTTGATCAAAGCCGTCATGGAGGACAGGCAGGGCTCAATGCTCTCATGCCAGGGCAGCATGTCCTCCTGGTAGTTGTCTAAGAATTTGTTTAAGATCCTGCAGGAACAAACAGCCAATCAGAAAAAAACAACAGCAGCAGCAGCATCACTGGGGTCAAAAGTCACAGTGTTTCCCCGAGAATTTTTTTCAGCAGACCCTGGAATCCTTATAGAAATGATTATACAGGTTTGTATTTTGTCTCAATTTACAGCTTTTGACATTTATCTTAAAAAAATAAAAATAATTAATGTCATTTACTCGCACCTGTTATTTATTTACAGACCAGAGTACTTATATACACAGCCTACATCAAGCCTGTGAAAGTCTGATTTTTCTGGGCTTTTTGAAAAAAGCTCCAGAGCTCTTTGATAGTTGAACTCAGTGTGTGAGCATGTGTGTGAGCCATCTGCATGCTTACACGCATGCAGATGGCGAGATGCTCTTCTTGTAGCCTGTTCCTCAGGTCAGTCTTCACCTAGAAATTTTCGCTGTTACCCCCACTCTCTTGCCACTCAAGGAGCTACACTGTTACGTTCACGTTACATTACGTTTTGCGCTAATCGCTATACAGACCACGGATAAGCTTGAACGTTACCTTTCACATTGATGGAAGAAGGTCTGACAGGATTTGATGCGCTTCTTTGATGACTCAAAACAAGTCTAAAATCATGCCGTGTGCTCTTGTGCTCACACAGTGCGAGTAGAACTCAATAGTGGCACATTGATATTAATGATCATGTGAAATTTTTGTGGCGGTGCATGTAATTTAGCAGAGGGGTAGCCCCGCTGCTGAATGAATGTTGGGGAAACACTGAAGTCACAGTGTGAGGTAGGTCAATACCTGAGAATGGAAAGCTGGACAGCCCGGTCAGCTCGGTGCTGCTCCATCAGACGAACCAGATCCTGGTAAGTGTCTCTGCTGTGAGTCACCTGAAGAAGAAAAAAATGTTTCCACCTTACTTACGGGGTAAAGACCAGCATCTTTCTATCAGCTCCATTACAAGGTATTATAAGTAAGTGCTGTTTTAAGAGCTTTGAGATCCTCAAAGAAGAAGACAATGCAAAAATTTGACACAGGTGTGGCATATCTAATGAACAGTTCCCCTACAATTTCTTACTCCCTTCTTTGTCCTGGGTTAGGGTTAGACTTCCCCAGGATATGCAGGGATACTGGTTAATTTACCTAGAATTGAATGAAGGTACCCAAAAATCAGACAGCACACACATTTGGGTTATTTCCATCATGGGATTTCCATTTGACAGCAGCAGGTGAGTTGTGTGCAGAAATATTTTTGAGCCAAATTTGAAACAGTCAAAGGGATGGGTTTCCTCACTGAGTACTCATCCTTCTTATTAAAGCATTGGTACCATGGAATTTTTTGCTGCCATTCAACTTAATGGCCCTCATTTATCAAGCTTGCGTACGGCAGAAAACTTGCGCACACCTTGCATACGAAAATTTAGATGTGAGGATCTTCATTTATCAATCTGCACGTGAGCGTACGCTACGACCAAATCTCACGACAGGTCTGACATCGTGTACGCAAGTTTGAGTCAGTGTGGATTTGCGGTGCAGCAAATGTCTGTCTCAAAATAATTGATATACAAACCTCAAACCTGTCATTAAGCACAATCAGTCAGATTTCATTAAAGATTAAGACGTAAATAAAATAAAATGAAATAAATTTGTTATCTCCTTGGTGAATAGGCCTATTTAATAACTATGCCCAGAAATACTGCCACAGAGCATGAGCGCCGTTTCAACATTGCGCACACACGCACACGGGGACGTTGTTGTACCCTCCTGAAAGGGTGTGGGACATCATTTGGGCCACAACAGTTTTGCACAATGTTGCACTGTCGAATGAAGTGCCGTTGGCTGTGCCGGTGCAACGTGAGGACCCGGTGCCCTGAGAACAATAATGAGGAGAGACTCCACAAAGGTGCTGTACAGAGGAGACAGGACCTTATCGATGGATTCTGACATGTAAAGTGTAAGTTTAGAAAGTGCTCTTGCTATTTAATCAGTGATAAAAATCCAATAGAAATTTTAAAAAATGTGCCTCAGGGGCAGCGACACACCTTTTGGTGACGTTAATAATTATTTTTGTTCAGCCTCTGTTAGACTCTCCTGTCTGCTCTACATTACAAAGACGCAACAAATTAAAACAAAATACTTTCAATAATAGAAGCAACGTACCCTATGTCATGGCAATAAAAAATATGAGGCATGTATGAGATATTAATTTATCATCATGAGCAACTTACTAATGATTTCTTCAAACTTCTGCCACTGTCGGCTATTCAGCGGCAGCGCTGTTCACCGCCACCATAATCCTGTTCCAGACAGGAGTTTTCTGGACTGCTTTTATACCAGTTTTGATGCTTCCAAAGAGAAAATCCTTGTTAGTTTCCACCACAGATGTGAGGATATCCACTTTCAGCTCGGAAAAGTTTCAAATCTTTCTAATATTTCTCCTCTTTTATGTTTGACCGATAGCCTGTATATAGAATGGACGCCGTCTGCCTCCTCGCTGGGTAAAGCCACTCCGAGAACAGCACCCTGTGTTGATGGGCTGCAGTACAGGTCATAAATCCCGCCTCCGCCAGCAAAGCTTATGGGCCTGTGGACCAACTTTAGAAATTTATTACACAGAACAAATTTTTCTCCCCCCTGCTTGCGATGTTGACATGTAGTTATTGTAAGACTGGTTTGTGCTTAAGTCCTCTTTTTTCTGTGAAGCTCCGTTTTTAAAAGTTATTAGGGGGTTCCTGTTTGCTATGATTGACACCTGATACAGCCTATGAGCGTTCAGGGATTGAGTAGCTCTCCCGGGGGATACGCTGTTTGAGCCGAGTGTCATCACAGTGACTCTCTGCGGCTGCGTGGCCGAATGCGCACAACGCTACTGCACAGCGCTGGTTTCAGGAAATGAAGAAAAATCCCGGAAATACCGAGAGCTTTTTGGCTTCAAATCAGTATACAGGCGGTAGGCGGAACCAGGTTGTCCATAGTATATACAGTCTATGGTTTGACCTCAGTGGGCGAGGCTCCTGAACCACAGATATTTAAGGGCGTAAATATGTTAATGACGATCGATTTCAGCCGCTGCATTTATCAAGACCCGATCATACGTCCGCTGGGATTGGTCAGATACGAACCCTTTCATAAATCTCACGTGTGTCCTATCGTACGATGAATCCTGCGCTCAGATGTGCGCTCAGATCTGTGCAAGCTTGATAAATGAGGGCCAATATGTGTGTGTATGTTTGTGTACCTGGCTGCGTTTCTCCTCCAGCTGTGAGGTGTCTTCACACAGCAGCTGCTCCAGAGTCTGAATCACCTCTTTAGTGGCTGTCAGCTCCTTCAGACTGACCACTAACATTTGCAGCTCCATGTCCTTATAGTCCAGCTGCTCCCGGCACTCTGACCACACACACACACACACACACACACACACACACACACACACACACACACACACACACACACACACACACACACACACACACACACACACACACACACACACACACACACACAAGGGTTAACCTAGCAGCAGTCAAATGTATCATTTTTTCTGTAGCAGCCTTCACTGATTCTGCACTTCAGGCTGTCATCAGCTCCTTTCGTACGTCTTCCACTAAAATCTTTGGATTTCTTTCTCTTCTGCACATTCAGGTTTAACCTAAAAGGCTGGCAAAATAGTCGGTGCATGGGCATGTGTAGGAACACCAGGAATGAGCCACCCAGTCATATGGACAGAGACCTCAGGGTACCTTTGCTCTCCAGCTTGTGCACCATGGAGATGTGGTTGAGGGCGATGATGGCCAGCATGGTCTCGGCTCTGGACAGAGTCAAACACTTTTTGAGGACCGTTGTTACATCACAGGCCACCAGCTGCTCTGCCAGACTCTTGTGGTTTGAGATGAGCATTATAATGACGAGCAGGCCGTTCCGCACTGACAGCATACAGCTGCACAGAGAATCAATGATCAGAGTCACACCCTCAGGGTTAAATAAAACCTGAACCTGCTGCAGCCACTCACCCTTTCGTCTTGAGCATAAGATCGATCGCAGCAGGGATGGCCCCCAGTAGGCCTTTAGAGCCTTCAGGCGTGGCCGAGCCAATGCTGGCGAAAATCTCTAACATCATCTGAGTGCCGGACTCGGACAGGGGAAGGCTGCTGCCGACACTGCGCAGGTCGTGTTTACTGGCTCCAGTGATCACCTTCAGAGTCTGACAAGAAACAGAAACAACAATCACACAGGTTCACAGGGAGCTGACACTTGTCATTTTTTTCATCTTTCTTTTGAGCTGACAGTCACATTTTTAAAGATTGTGGCATTATATTTGGTGAGAGTTCTTATTTTTCCCTAAAAAAGTGTCCTCTATAGAACTCTGTTGCCACATTTTAGCTCCATCCAGCCTACTTTGTCCATGAAACGGACAACAGACTTCCACTAAAAACGCGTTTTTGTGACCATGTGTTTATGGCACCATAACAACATATTGCAACCTTTTTCTGCAGTCACTCAATCACCAGAGCTCTAAATTTTACTTTTTTACAATGATACGACAGATTGTGCCAGCACATAATTTTAACCCCTTCAGTGCTGCACATGAAAGTCTTTATTCATGGAATCAGAGTGTTTGAAGTGCTATTTCATACACTAAACATTATCACAATTGAATGAAACTATGCATGCCACAAGATATGGATGTCTAAGAGTGGGCTACTTGTGTAAGAAAAAGTTTGTGTGCTCCTGCGTGTGTGCACGGGTGCAAATCTTAGTTCATGTCTATAACTGACTAATGCCGTGAGCAGAGTTTTTATAGTCGAAAATGCGACATCAAAGTTCTGCAGTGTGGGACTAAGAGAGGGGGACATTTTGACATTTTCAACTTTGGCCTCACTTCATAACAAGTGGATGGACATGCATGAGGATTCACAGGTCCTTTGGATTAATAGGTGAGAATATACATTACATCTCTAATATGCAGTAAAAAAATTTATGCGCGTAATCAGCATAATCGTGATCATATTTTTGTTGGAGGTGGATAAGCACTTGTAAATGATTCCTATCTTACATACATCTTCAGATTTGATATGCCCACACATAAAATTAATTTAACATGATTAAGCGAATTCGATCGCATTTGATTTGGTAAAGGACGAGGCTCCAGAATAGCAGGTAAAATTTATGTGTTTTTCCACTCCAATAGACACACCTGTTTAGAATGCACACTCTTTCAATAAATCCAAGTCTTATGACATGGTGCACAATAACTGGCATAAAAAGGGTAATACATAATCATTATTTTTTTAATGGTTAGGGCTGAAATTGTTTGAGATATTTGAGTCAAAAAAAGTAAAAAAAACACGATTATTTCATTAACACCTATCTGCATGTCCGTTTTGGAGACAAAGTAGGCTGGATGGAGCTTAAAATTACCAGGAACCGAGGGTTAACTTCTGACAGATACTCTTATGAGACCACAGGAGCATACAGATATCCTTGATTCCACTCTTTTTAACTGCAGTAATAACATTAAAAAAAACAAAAAACAGAGTAGCCAAAGTTTACCATAAGGCATCAATCTCAACACAACAAGCTTGGTGTCAGTGTCTGTCATATTTTAAACAGGAAGAAATTCTTCATCCATAGTGTTTCTGTGAATTTTTTCAGTAGGAAATAAAATCTCATCCAAATGGAGTACTATGTGTACTATTGGAGGCATCCACTTATTGTTTAGTATCTCTAGATTTTAAAGCCTGTTTCAAGGAGGGTTTCTCACAGCGAGCGACAGCTGCTGGACTTGAGTGACATTGGAGAACTCCTGCATGCAGGACAGAACAGCTTTGACCCCTCCCTCAGAGGCGAAGGACACCCTCCACTCGTATTTGAGCATGATGAGGTGAGTGAGTCTCAGTGTACTGATCACAAGGTCTCTGGAGGATGAGGACAGCAGCTCCACCAGCAGCTTGAGCACCTTGTCCCTGTCAGAGACAGAAACAAGAAACTTAAGTTCTGAGAAGGTGTGGAAAACATGATGAAGCTGTGCAATGATGGATTTATATTTTAATTACAGGAGCAAGGCAGGAGGGGAAAGAGGGCAGAGAGAGGAGTGGGAGGAGAAGAAAGAAGAGCAGGAAGAGGAGCAGAAGGAGGAAAGCAGGAAGAGGAGCAGAGGGAGGAGCAGAAGGAGGAAAGCAGTGAGAGGAGGCAGGAGTGTGTGTCAGTTTGTGTCAAAGTATCTTAGGGACATTTGATTTGTCTGATCTGCAGCCTGGGATTAAGTCAAAGAGGTAAAAGAGCTCAAATCCTTTAATCTTTAATGTCACACTGTAAAGTGAAATCTGATTAATAATATGGCGAGTCAACAAAATTGAACAAAACTCTTACTGTCTCCACACACCAAGCAAGAGTAAAATCATTCGCACAAACATTGGCAAATATGACGTGAATTAGGCAGGAGCTGAAAAGTCTCAAATTGAGTGGATGTTTGTGTTGCGATAACCAATCAGTGCAAAGGTTGCCGGGTGACGAATGAAAACTGACGGTTGTTCACTGCTATCTAAATTGGAAGAGAAACTGATCGTGTTGGTGTGTGGGAGCCCTGAATTATATGTTACCTTTTCTTTCAATTAGGCTGTATTGGGACAGAGGAAAAAGTGCTTAGAAAGTGAATCTCGTTCCACTTCAGTGGGGCAACATAAACTGTGATTCATAAAATAGCTCTATTGATAGTAAGTACTAAAAAAAATATCTACTCATGCCATCCTGTCAATTTTTAGTAATCAGTGTTTCGGTGTCGGACTATTTCCTTTCTGCGGCGTAGTTATACTTGCACACGCGCAATCGAATATGCAGAGGGGTGAAGCGATTTTTGTCACGTGGACCAATAGGAGCCGAGTCTCGTTGCCATAGTATCAGAAATACACGAACATGGCGACGAACGCATCTAGCAGCGAGACAAGTGAAGAGGAAGAAAAGAGAAAGAAAAAAGAAATCAGCCTTCAAAAGTGCATAAAAAAGGAGCAAAACGATGCTATATGCATCTATCATCTGTCCAGAGTGAAGACGTTCGCGACTTTACATGGACACTTTGGGAAACTAACAGAACTAGTATTAGAAAGTGGCTTTCTCTACAGGGTGAGACAAAGGACCTTGCAGAAACTTATAAACATTGCGTTGATATCGACTTTGACAATGTTCCTGACGACGCTGGGTTTCACATGACATGCTACCAGCGATTTATTTGCAAGAGGCGTTTGAGAAACAAGAACGTGATGCAGCCGTGAGTCAGTCAAACCCCTCAGGCAGCATCGCCGATTCATCCACGTCCACGGCATCTGAAACTCCGCGAAAGAAACTTTGCTCGAGGTTATAGGCTGTATTGGGACAAAGGAAAAAGTGCCTAGAAAGTGAATTTCGTTCCACTACGCTGGTGCTACTTGTTCAATGCATTTTTGCATAGACAATACCATTCTGGACTTTGGGTTAAAATATCTACTCAGACTATCTGTCCGACTTTTGTCACCAGCCAGAAATGTACATATATGTGAGTAACTCAAAAAGCAATTATATGGTGCTGCTGTTTTTGCTTGTAGAAACTGCTATGTTGATTCTGGCAAGACAAAATCTTTCTCAAATGTCAAAAATACATCTACCTAACATCTGAAACAGTTATTGGTGCCTTAGTATACGCAAAAGTGAATTCAGATTATGAAATGTAGCAAATTTCTTGAAGAAAACGTCTCAACTCAAGTGACTTGAACCCAGCACAATGAAATATATACAGTATGTTTCATACATAAAAATGACACAACCTACTGTGTAATAAAAGCAATAAAATGTAAACAGCACATTAGGCCATAAATAGCTGAAAGTCAATCAAATTGCTACCACGTCCCCTAAAATTGGAATAATGGAAAAAATGTAACAAGACAAAAATAAATGCACAAAAGGTCTGAATTAATTCAAAATATGGTATAAAACATTTATTCAAGTATCACAGTGTCAAAACATCTGACACTTATCAGTCCCTTCAGAATATGAAAATAAAGATCAAAACACAAACACAGACAAATGTAGAACAAATATAAAAATAATAAAAATCTCAAATCTTGGTGTAGCAATCCTTTAAACAAAACAAATTGTACATGTTGCATATATTACGCATCACTATCACTTTAATCAGAGTCATCATCCCATACAGCTCTTTCTTCTGTTCCCTTTGAAGCATTCTCACATGCTTGGCACCAACATAAATCTGTACAAGATAGTCTTGCAGACATACAAGAACATCCATACATTCACAGGTTGTGACTCGACCAGTGCATTTCATGGCAAGGGCAAAAGAAAAACATTTTCTGTTGCTTGTCAGAAAGAAGAATACCTGACTGGGTTTGCAAATCTGGGCAACAGTTTTAACCTTGACGAACACCTTTAACACGCTGAGTAATTATATGTGCCACCTGTATGGCCAGTCATCTGCCAAAAATGTAAATGATGCCAGATACAAATCTTTCTGCATGGCCTCGTCAGCTTTGCCAGAACTGTCCATTCCCCCAACAAGTGACGCCCTGTACCAACACTGCGTGAGAGCAAACTACCAAGCAGCTGTGATGAAACATTCTCTGACTGGAAAAATGTGTGCCCCTTCACACTTTCTTCACAAATCCTGCCCCTTATAGTGTTTTGCAGACAGTCCACTGTAGTTGCAAGACAACCAAATGTGAGACTGAACGATGTTCTTGTAAGACTAAATAAAAGTCAGATGTTTTGACACTGTGATACTTGAATAAATGTTTTATACCATATTTTCAATTAATTCAGACCTTTAGTGCATTTATTTTTGTCTTGTTACATTTTTTCCATTATTACAATTTTGGGGGGCGTGGTAGCAATGTGATTGACTTTCAGCCATTTATGGCCATGATGTGCTGTTCATATTTTATTGCTTTTATTACACAGTAGGTTGTGTCATTTTTATGTATGAAACATAAGCTTTTAGCTAAATTTACTGTATATATTTCATTGTGCTGGGTGCGAATCACTTGAGTTGAGACGTTTTCTTCAAGAAATTTGCTACATTTTATAATCTGAATTCACTTATGCGTATACTAAGGCACCAATAACTCTTTCAGATGTTAGGTAGATGTATTTTTGACATTTGAGAAAGATTTTGTCTTGCCAGAATCAACATAGCAGTTTCTACAAGCAAAAACAGCAGCACCCTCTAATTGTTTTTTGTGTTGCTCACATGTATGTACATTTCTGGCTGGTGACAAAAGTCGGACAGATAGTCTGAGAAGATATTTTAACCCAAAGTCCAGAATGGTATTGTCTATGCAAAAATGCATTGAACAAGTAGCACCAGCGTAGTGGAACGAAATTCACTTTCTAGGCACTTTTTCCTTTGTCCCAATACAGCCTATAACCTCGAACAAAGTTTCTTTTGCGGAGTTTCAGATGCCGTGGACGTGGATGAATTGGCGATGCTGCCTGAGGGGTTTGACTGACCCCAGCTGCATCCCGTTCTTGTTCCTCAAACGCCGTTTGCAAATAAATCGCTGGTAGCATGTCATGTGAAACCCAGCATCATAAGGAACATTGTCAAAGTCGATATCAACGCAATATTTACAAGTTTCTGCAAGGTCCTTTGTCTCACCCTGTAGAGAAAGCCATTTTCTAATACATGTTCTGTAAGTTTCCCAACGTGTCCTTGTAAAGTCGAGAACGTCTTCACTCTGGACAGATGATAGATGTATAGCATTGTTTTGCTCCTTTTTATGCACTTTTGAAGGCTGATTTCTTTTTCTTTTCTTCCTCTTCACTTGTCTCGCTGCTAGATGCGTTCGTCGCCATGTTTGTGTATTTCTGATACTATGGCAACGAGACTCGGCTCCTATTGGTTCACGTGACAAAAATCGCTTCACCCCTCTGCATATTCGATTGCGCGTGTGCAAGTATCACTACGCCGCAGAAAGGAAATAGTTCAACACTGAAACACTGATTACTAAAAATCGACAGGATGGCATGAGTAGATATTTTTTTTATTACTTACTATCAATAGAGCTATTTTATGAATCACAGTTTATGTTGCCCCACTGAAGTGGAACGAACCAACACGATCTTGCTCAGTCAATACAGCCTAAATTACCGAAACCAGAATAAAAAGGAGCTTGTCTGGAGGCAAGTGAGTGAGGTGGTCGGATTACCTGGTCAATAGTAAAACAACCTTTGTCGATCACTTGATTCCGCAGGTTGAATTGGCAGGGATTACCATAGAAATTATGGTTGATGCATGAATGAAGCAAGTAAATACTATTCATTCACGTATCTAGATTCGCGCCAAGTAAGCGAGTAGATGATTTTACTCACGCTTGGTGTGAGCGCCCTATTAAAGTGAGGTGAAAAATGATGCGTGATCCCTCTCAGAAAAGAAAAAAACAGGGCTTGACACTTACTTTTTCACATGGAGCACATGTGCTCCTAAGTTAAAAAAGTAAGGAGCACACAAAGAACGTGAAGAGCACAATGAAAATTGATCAAATAATTTGTGTCTTATTAGTAGGGTTGGGCATCGAGCAGCGATGAGGACTTGGACTAACATTCCAATTCTCCCGGAACCATTCAAATTTTAAAATTTTGATTAAAATTTTCGATGCCGGAGTCTGTCGACCTGAAGAAATAGCAGCTGAACACCAACGAGGAAGACGCCTCTAAACACCAACAAAGAAGAAGCCACCGAACAACAACGAGGACTAAGCCTATGAGACGAAGCCACAGAAAAAGGAGAGAAGAGAGACGGAGAGAGAGAGTGCATTGCAACCTACAGCTGCTCCGGTCAAAGGTTTGGCTGACTTTAGCAAGAAGAATGAACTCCTATCTCAGTGCAACATTAGCAACACAGTTTTATCATGCAAAGGAGGGTGCACGACCAACATGATTAAACACCTCAGGATTCATGGAGGAGAAATACCCGAGTGCCCGTCTTTGATGCGCTTTGCCGGTCTTCTGCTAACCAGCCAGAATCAGATAAGTGAAACAATAAATTACTTCTGTCTTCTGCTAACTTTGAAGCGCAAACAAATTGTACTGTGTACAGTTGGTCAACTTAAATATCGTATAATAACGTTAGCCCTTGTTCTTTTTCATAGACAAACGACCTGACAACAAAAACTGATATTTATATACTGGTTGAAAATAACCCTGTGAGAAATTCATTGTAAAGTTCTTAAAAAGTTAATACAATTTAAAAATTCATGGAGAAGTTCAGAAATTTCATCCAAAAAGAACTACGGTTAGCACCCTCATTTAAACCATTTTAACCTTTTAACAGAATCGAAATAGAGAACCGTTAGGAACCGGAATCAAAACAAGGAATCGGAATCAGAATCGGAACGGGAACCATTAAAATCAAACGATACCCAACTCTATTTATTGATCGACATTAGTACTATTACTTAAAATCAATTTTAGGTCAGTTGGACACATGACATGGAAGCTATTGAAGGGAAACAGCCTTTTTTGAGAGCATCAACCAGTAATTTATTGATGGTCCCTTATTCAAGTAGATTTAACCGCGCTGCTGTTGCTATTCCCAGTTATGGAGAGTGAGAAGACACTGGAAGATCCGCAGTGAACATCCGTTGAATATCCAACCTAAAACTAACTTCACTGCGGTATTTACATGAAAAACATTTGTTGCCTCGCCTGATTTTTTTTATGTGCACATGTGCCCCTAAATACATTTTACAATTCGCACACATCCATTTTTAGTCACAAATGTGAGTGAAACCGTCGCACTGTCCAGTCCTGAAAACACTTTTTTAAGAATGAAGAGTTTTTAAGTTTGAAGACGGTTTAAGCTGCATGAATGCATGGGATGCAGATGTCAAATCATGAGTAACTCTTCTTACTTATTGTGGTCAAAAAATAATAGTAATGATGGTTTTTGACATAATCCTGCAGCCCTAGACATAGCCCTAGGCAGAGTGGGACTCTCGAAAGACTCTGCTTACCCTCAGTCTGGCACAAACAAATCCTTCATGAGGTTATTTGAAAACTATATTCATGAGAAGATGACAAAAATGATACAGCAGCTTCACTAAACTTGAGCTCTTTCATCAGACATGTCATCTCTGATGTCCCCTCATTTCATCTCTGATTCCATACACACTGCAATAAAAGTATTAATACACATCAGGTGCACAACGATGGTGCAACTCATTTGTCCTTTTTACAGAGAATACAAGTGAAAAAATTCACTGCGAAGTTCCGACAATCACAACACACACACACACGTCAAAACAATAGAAAGTCTCCATTTCACACATTCTGGTATTACCGTTCTGCAGAGCTCTCTTACCGTACAGTCTGGGCGGACTCACTCCTCATGGAGTTCTTCTCCTGGCCGCCCTTCTCCTCCAGAAGCCTGGTAATGAAGAGGACGGCTGCCAGCTGCTGGGCCTGGTCTGAGCCTGCCCCTCCCTTCTTTAGGATGTCTACCACCTCCCCCAGCTTCTCCAGCATGGTCTTCTTCCCCTGGACCCGAGGGTTGTTAAACACTGCAGAGAGGACATGACAGACAGTCAGCATGCCCTCACCTGCTCACCTTTAACACCTGCAGCTGTATCACTGGATTTCCTGCAGACCAGTGTCCCTCCTGTTGATCAGTGGACACCCATCTCTCACCTTTAATCTTGTCCTCCAGGTCATCAGGGTATTTACTGTCATCCTCTGATGGTAGCTCGCTCTCTGTCTCTGGGCTGCCACAGCCGGAATCGGCAGGAAGTTCCTTCTTTGCTTTCTTAGAGACGGATCCCATGGCTGAGGAAGAGGAGACTGAGGCGGAGGATGAGGAGGAGGAGCTGGGTCCTCCTGCCCCCCCTCCTCCCAAGCCAGAGGAGCCAAGAGAGCTTTCAGCTGGAAAAGAAAGCAGAATAAGAGTCAGAGTGAGACAGGCTTCATCACAAACACCAAGCGCTCTGTGTCCTCACCCAGCAGATCCTCATCCTCCAGACTCCCCCCTCCTCTCCTCAGGTAGTGTTTGCAGAAGGTGTGAGAGCACAGCAGGTCGCTCAGACATGAGGAAGGCAGCTTCTGCTTCAGGTAGTGCAACAGCTTCTTTGCCAAGTCTCCAGGAACACTCAGACCAATCAGAGACCAGTCATCCAGCTCTGCCTCCTAAGGACAGACAGGACAAAGAGACAGACAGAAGACAAGAGTGAGAGAGACATACAGACAGCCATATACACAAATAATCCCGGATGACTCTGTCAATCTGACTTCACTGACAGTTTATAATAGTTGCTTCATGGATTGGTAACCCAGTAAAGTGGTTTTAGTTTTGGACTGAAGGCTTTTCCCCTGAAGAGTCCTTTACTTTGAGAAGACAAAACCGTGTGCCTTTTAAGACCTTCAGACTTATGCGAGACCCTGATTCACAAGTTTCTATACTAATCATTTTCCAGGAATTTCCAGGTCATTTCCAAGTGTTAATATTCCTTTATTCAACCACATGAATATATTGCAAGTGAGAAATTAAACTTGAGTGAACATTTCACTTTATTCCACTCATGACCATCCATGGTTCTCTGAGCCAGCAACATGTTTGAGTTGGTGGAGAATCCACTGTGTTATGCTATAAAATCCAGAACATGACTAATATTAATGTCAGGAGCAAGATTCAACTATACTCTTCTATAGATAAAAATGCTAGCAAAGGACAAAAAAACACCACTGCCAGGGTTTTTATGTGGTTCATAGTTTAAACACAATACTGAACACACCTATGAAACCTTTGAATTTCTGCACATGAAACAAACTAGCTATCTGACCGGCTTAAACAACTGAACATGATCTGCTGACCAGTCTGACATTATTCACTTACAAGATTTCTTACATCGTGGAGGCGTCAGCTGCTCAAGTTGGTAAGACTGCAGCTGTTACTGAGTGAAGTGTGGCCTAGTCTTGCCTTGTTTGACATGATCCTCAACACTGTTTCCCTTTTTCACATAACAGTCTCATCTATTTTGAGGAACTCTGACCTAACAGGAGCCCTGTTTCACCCTTTAAGAAAGCACAAGATCTTCAAGGTCAAGCAGTTTTTTTCTCATCCTTCATCTCTCTTCGATGACTGGAAACTGGTCAGATGTTTCCCAGGTTCTCCAGTGGGCCTGGGAACCCTGGGGACTTGAAAGGTGTGAGGAACTTTAACTTGAGAAATAAAACCTGAAGAACCTTTTTAATGTTCCCTCAAATACACAGTAAATGTTCAGACACTTCTCTTATAGTCTCAGGATCAAATCTTCCACTCATCAACCACTCCACCCCTGTTTATTGTCTTCAAATATAGCAGTGTCCAATTTTGATTTGCAAGGAAAACAGGATCATTCATAAACTGATCAAAAGTTATGGTTGAAAGGTTTAAGGAATGAATAGACCTTCTCTTAGGTATTCTATACCAACATGTTTGAAGAGGATCTACATTATGATTCCAGCTGCTCTTCTGCTTCTTGCATGTGTTCCTCACCTGGTCATCGAGGCTCTGCAGCAGGATGCTGTTGATCTCCTGCTGCTGCTTTGGTTCCAGCTTCTTGATGAAGAAAAGGATCTCCCACCACTCAGCCCGACTCAGAGCCAGTGGCTCTGTCTGGAGACCCTCTGAGAGGTACGGCAGTGAGTACAATCCTCCGGGGGGCTTGGAGAAGAACGTCTGACTCACTGAGGGAGCACAGGAGGACATTTTTACACCTCCTAAGGTCACAGGAGGTGGAGACCAGCTTTGTCTTTAATGACTGGCATTTGGTACCAGTCATTGGAGACAAAGCTGGCAAGATGGGGAGTTTTAATCATTACTGGCCTATTCTACTTTCCAAGGTCCAAGATCAAAGGTTCTGGAGAGGATTTTATTATAGCATATTGGCATATTGGTAACACAGATTATCTATTCGGCTTTAAATCCAATCATGGTTATGATCTTAGTGTAGTGTATATGCCCTCAAAGAATCTGCCGCGGTTTACAGAAGGATTAATTTCTCTGTCCTAGGATCTATTGATGTCTTCTGATTGTGTCAATCATTGAAAAAAAGAAACATTTTTAATAAATTGAGGACACTAATTATAGTGTAAGGATTTTGGCTTACAGGTATGCCAATCAGAGTTTTTACTGATTATAGAGGAAGATACGGTGTATAATATAATGTCAAAATAAAAAAGTAGATTGATTAAAAAAAGTACTGTATTGACAGGCAGAATTCAAGAGGACAAGAATCTCAACCTTCCAAGCTTTCACCTGTCAGTGTAGGTGCTAAAGTTCAGCAGTAAAACAAATATTTAGGACACTTTATTAAAGATCATCACACTGGTGTGATGACGACTTGGACAGATTATCCCACATGCTACATGCTCTTCTCCATGAGCTCTCACTGCCCCCTTGTGGGTTAGGTGTAAAAAAGCAAGCCTACAAAGGCATCATGTTGCTTAAGAGAATGCTTCAAGGATATTATTTTAAAAAAATTGTTGGGTTTGTGTGAGTGCGCTGTTCTCCAAAGCAGGAGATTTTACTCTTGTGGCTCATTTGAGAAGTCTGACATATATGTTAGTTTGCAGGTTAAAAGACTCTCAGAATAGTGTTGCTTACTGATCCCAGTCTTAGTTTTAAAAGATACTAATCATCCCTGTAGAGACACTGGCCCGTCTCTGGTAATATTTGAGGTTTTCTGCGTGTCAGTTGCTTGATTTTACCTCGTTATCTGATCTGTCATTTTTGTTTTTGCATGTGTTTTGTATGGATTCTTGTGTCTGTCATATAAGATGGCAATGATGACAAAGACAGACACCATTCAAGGTGTCTGATGAGGTTTCTACCTGCTGTGAGTTTGAGGGTCTCTGTAAGGGTGGAGGCCTTTTCCTGTGTCTCCTTTTCAGCCTGACTGCTGCTGCCACTGCCCAGTATCTCCACCATGTGCCAGTGGACCCAGTAAGTCCTGCACAGGGCATTCCAGTACACCTGAAGGACATGGAGAAAAGGAGAGAAATAAAAAAAAAACAATGCAAACCTCATAGAAATGTATGGCTATTGAGGATGCACTCTGTAGGGGCCATGGCAGCCCTGCAGGGTCACACTCCTGCAGTAACTCTGTTAAAGGAATATTGCGGCGTAAAATTAATTTAGAGTCAAACACATTGTAACACTGAGTAAGACACCCTGTCAAGAGATTAATGTTGCCGACCTCTTGCTTCTCTAGCTATACCAACTTTGGTAATGCCCGCAAGATAGCTAAACACAGCGGTCCAGAGAGCCACACGCTCAAACAAAAAGCAACTCTATAGCCACAAATAATGCTCAGAGCAGCACCTAACTTCATCAACAGTACATATAGGGTCCCAGCCATAGCACTAGCCACCAAACATCTTTTTAACTTTGCCTGGTTTCTTTAGCAAAGAGACTAAACACAACTCACCTACTCTCTTCCAGCAGCCGCTTGTTTGTACGAAGATCTCAGATGAGTACATCACCATCTACAGCGAGGTGACGCAGCTCAAGGAAGAACATTTCTGATCACTTCTTAATGGAAATGCAATCAGACCGAGACACTGAGGCAGAAGAACTACCGCGTTTGCAGTGCAAAATAATTAATATGGTGATTATTACTTCATGGAAATGATAAAGTAATGATCATAAATGTTCTTCTTTGAGCTGCTTCTTTGAGCAGTCTTAAATGTCCTGAAGCCATGTTTATAAACAGGGATTCACTCAAACATCTAAACCTGTTTAGAGCAGGACATCTTTCTACATGTTCTGTCCGGTATGTTGTATGATTTCTATTTCTTGGAGACAGGCAGGTTTATTTTTTTCCACCCACATTTTCATTTCACACTGTCCCTGTTTCTGTCTCCAACAGATCCAAATAAAAGAGTTGGCACCAACGTCCTGTACTCACCTGAACAGGTGGCGAGCCATCATTGCTGTACCGAAACTCTCCTTCATCTCCAGCGCTCACTTCCTCGTAGTCCTCGAGCATGCGGACCATCATGCCACTCTTCAGGTTGTCCTGGACGTATTCCACATAGGCAGAGCGGCTGGCAAAGTCAGAGCGAGTCTTGTATCCATTTCCTGTCTTCTTCTTCGGTTGTGTGGTGGTGGGAGCAGCTACAGCAGAGCTGCTGGCAAGGACAACAGGTGAGGCACAAAAGCGAGGCTGGAAAATGGATCGAAGGACGGGGCGAGATTCCTCTCCCTGCTCTTCCCCAGAGATACCACCCGAACCTTGGCGATGGACAGAACTGTCCAGTGGCTGCCTGTTCCGGTCCCAGCCCATGACACGGACCAGCTCTGAGATCAGGTTTGCCATGGCCATGGTGAAGTCAAACTCTCTTTGGATGCGGAGGTGATCAGTCTGATGGAGGGTGCTGGAGGAGGAGGCGGGAGAGGGGCTAGCATCCTGCCGGTCAGAGTTAGACTCCACCCCGGCTGTGCTGAGTTTGTCCATCAGAGATGTGACGCACAGGTAACGCTTCACCAGAGAGAACAGCAGTTTCCCTGGAATCTGAGCAAAGACAGAGGTACTGAAGTGTTCATGTCTCTTTTCAGACTCAGTTCTATTCATAAACATAAACACACAACAACATTCACCAGTGACGTCACTCAAACAACCATTGCCTAGCTAACCTCACTCAAAGGTTCAAACTAATCATCCCTGTGGTGGTGATGGCGCAAATGCAGACAGAAACAAGTCCCCATTGTGTCCAGTTCTCATGTCACTACCTGGTTCCCTTCCCTGATGGATCCTCTTCAAAAAAAGTCCAGGACCATTTGGTCAAAATAAACCTTATGTTGGCCTTTATTTTTTCTGTCTTACTTTGTCTCTTTGAAAAGTGTACTTTTATGATAATTATCAACATTATCATTATTATTATTGAAAATATGGACAAACAAAGGTTCAACAAAAGGAGTTTTGGAATTGGGTGGATGAACATTTTAAAACCCAGTTTCACAGTTTCAGGTCAGAATTTTGTCATAGGGAGAGTGCCGTGTTTTCACCTGAGGCAGGTGAATCCCTTCAAAAGAGATGCCATGCTCCTCCGAGGACGTGGTTTCAGCAAACAGCTCCAGCAGAGTGTAGCGGTTATCAAAGTCCATGTGCTGCTCAATACCATCCTGCTGGCTGAGCGAAAGCAACACGTAGGCCCGACTCCCTGAAGACAGACATAGAGACAGACAGACAGCCAGAGAGACAGACGTTGACTGGGTCAGCATCTACACTCGTGGCACACTTAATCTGTGATGTTCTTAATCAAATTTTCTTTGCTTATCTGTCAGTGAGTTTTCATAATAAGGATATTAAGGTCAGCCACTTCACCAACAGTTAGGATTTTTTTTATTAGCCTGAGCACTTCCCCAATGAAACCTGGTCAAACCTGGTTGAAATGCATCAGTTTCAAACCTGAGCGATGTCTTCAAAGACTGAGATAAATGTCTCTAAAGAGTAAATGAAGCTCCTCTAGTACTTTTTTAAATGTCAGAGTAATTAGTATTCACTGTGCTCTGAAAGCTGAGCTCATCTGACTCTGCTGCTCTGGTATAGTACCCTCTGCTGGAGTAAAGCTAAAAACAAGAGTCAGTTTTGTCTGAAGTGACTACAATGAGGCAGCACAGTGAACACAGTGAACTGAAAGCTGAGCAATCTCTAACTGGGTCTGTTGTATATGCCTTGTCTTAAGTGGTGGGCCTGCTTTAAATCTTCACACTGAATGGAATTAAATGGTATTAAAAAACTTTAAAGGGTTAGGGTTCACAAGCAGTACACCAAGGCCTCAGTCCAACAGGTCAAACATACACATGCTGGGGTCTCTGGTGGTGAAGTTGCACACCTTGTGTACAGAAGCTACAGCCCTTAAGAGAGCAGCCCGGGTTTCACATGTAACCTCTTTTTTAAAATGTTACTTCCTACTCTCTCCCTGTTTTCTGCTCCATCCACTGTTCTACCCTCTCATAATAAAGGCACAGGCCTTTAAATTACATGAGTAAAACTGTACACATGCTGGGAGGAAGCACTCATCATTAACATTTAAAAACCCTTATTCATCTCTCCCAGCTCAGAAATTTTCAGTATGTGTTTCTTGTAGATGCTTAAATTCTGACAACTATGATACGTGATCAATCATGCATCTTTGTGAAAAAGTGCGAGGATTCAGCTCTCTCTGTCTGTACAGAGTGAGTGATCAACATTTATCCCTATCTACACCTGTCAATGTTACACACTTATCTTCTATTGGTGTCAGATGTATCTACTAATCAACAGCTGCAGGCATCGCACAAAAAAAAGACAGCCATGTGACATGTTGGGGAGAGATTACTCTGCAGGACTGTTGAGGATTCAGAGTAAAAAATGTAACATGAGGAAGGAAATACCATTCACAGCTTTCTCTGAGCACTATCAGAAGTCGAATGAGTTCTGATGAGAATTGAAGGATTCTGGTCGTATTATTTCTGTAAACGTTCCCTCCTTATGGTTTCAGGTGTCACTTTATGAGGCTGCTGTCAGAGCAGCCAGAGAGTCAAAGCTTCTGAAGACTGAATGAGTGACACAGACCCTGGTCATGAACACTCAAAGTTCAGTCCGACAGAAATTCCTCAGTCTGATCAAGAATCATATTTCTTGACTCTTGGTTGCCTGGGAAGTGGGAACCAAAAAACAAGGCCTCTTTGTTAAGAAAAATGATGTCATTTCCTGTTGAGGAAGACAGTTTAGTCCATTCAGACTAAAATCTGATGGAGCTGATGAAATATAGACAGAAATTAGTGGAGTCTTCAAAGAGACAATCAGACATTTTTCAGCACATTACCTTTAAAAAAACGCTTTTGGGGTTTTGTGGAGCTGCACCAGCACCAACCTTTTGTTAAATAATCTTCATATTTCTATCCATCCATCCATCTAACTATCCATCCAACTATCCATTCATCCATCTATCCAACCATCCACCCATCCTTCTTGGTCCCTTGCAGCTTATCTAGGACCAGATGGCAAGGGACAGGTGGCAGGAGACTGAGCAAGTTCACTTAGATACCCCACTTCAGTTCCAGCACTTTCCAAGGGATTCATCTAGGAAGGATGTCTGGGAAGGATCTGCCTGAATGGGTGTGTGTGTGTATCATGATGACACTTGTGTGTATTTCCACCCTGCAGCCCTGATGACTCATGAGAAAAACTCTCAGCTGCTCGCCCAGGATTCTCTCAACACATGTGACAAATTGAAAAAAAACAGGAAACTTAGTCTAGTCCATGGCAGGCTGAGAGGAGTGAGGACAGGTTTATTAGGAGTAGGCAGTTTAGTCTTTCAGCATGTTTGGTCACACTTCCATCACAGCTCTCACCAGCCTTAATAAACATTTACCTTTCAGTCTAAACCTTTACACAGGTGTGGACTCAAGTGTTCACAAGACAGAGAAAATCTACTACCAACTGCCTTATCTAAGTACTATATGTTGGAGTGACAATGAGAAGGTTGATTTTAGTCAGACTGAAAAGTTGACATGGATTTAACAGATGTAGTTTCAGTTGAACTGAGGGGATAAGTTGATTTATTGAACAAAATATGGATGAATAAAGATGCAAAGTTTTTAGGTTGGAGTTTGTCAGACCTCCAAAAAACTTGAACTTGAACTCAACTGCATGGCAGAGGGAAAAACATGACATCTATCAGACACATTTAATTTGGAAAGTCAGTGTGTCATATTACTGCATGAACTCAAGCCCTTCAATAAACAAGAGAGAGGACACAACAGGAGGATTTCACTACATCTACAGTCATCTGAGCTTAACCCTCTCTGGTGGGGCGATGCTGCAGAGGGTCAGCAGGTTACAACAGAACAGCAAGCAACTGTTGAGTTTTCCACATTGTGTTTTGTTTTGTTATTCTAATTTTTTGTATAATCCATGTTTAAGTTGTAATGTAGTATCACTTAGTTGAATGATGGAAAGTAACAAAATAATAATAATAATGATAATGTGGAAAAGAAAGTAGCAGTGGGGATTTGAACCCAGATCTTTAGCTTCAAAGTTAAAAGATACTGAGCTTCGACATCGCTTGATGTCTGATGTGTCTCCACTCTAGACAGTTTCACAGTTAACAGGATGAGAGGCAAATGGCTGACAAGTTCAGTGTTGGATATTCATAGTGTGTGCAGGCTGACCAGCTGAACTTCATTTATTCAGTTTTTAAACTGGACATTTGAATATTTTGACTTTATTTCATACTGCAGCCTGTTAAAGCTGCTGTTAAGAACTTTATGTTAACCTGGTTAGGGTTTTGGCTCCATCTATTCTGTGTTAACCAATCACTTAGCTAATTTTTTTTCCTGCTCGTGCTAAGGAAGTAAATCATCCTGCTTTCTTTGAATAGTCCTATGTGTTACTCATGACTTTTAACTGCTGAAAAAGTAAATAAAAGGCTCATTTTCAGCATCCTGTCAACCCTCTCCTGATGCGTACAGCCTCACAGCACTTACATGCATAAAAGTGACAAATTAACATTCCCTCTGAGGATGTTGTGAAGCGACTAAATACAGGATCACAGAGTCTGCAGGTAAGCAGTATAGCCACCATTAGCAGGGCTAGCTCCAGCGGCCTTCAGGCCTCCTGGAAAGGTTAATACCAACATGCCTGTGCTGGTTACTCTTTGCTCGGGTTGTAGGCTAGTTTAGCCAGACACAGCCTTCATATACAGCTTTGTCTGCATTTTCTAGAACAAATTACTGACAAACAATGTCTGAGAGACACTAGCTGACATCTGAGTTAAACATCCAAACAGTAGAGCACTACAGCGTTACAACCATAGACTGTATATACTATGGACCACTTTGTTCCACCTACCGCCTGTATACGGATTTAAAGCCAAACAGCTCTTGGTATTTCCGGGATTTTTCTTCATTTCCTGAAACCAGCGCTGCACGGTAGAGATGCACGCATTCGGCCACGCAGTCGCAGAGAGTCGCTGTGATGACGCTCGGCTCAAACAGCGTATCCCCCCGGGTAAGCTACGCAATCCCTGAACGCCAATAGGCTGTATCAGTTGTCAATCATAGAAAACATGAACCCCCTAATGACTTTTACAAACAGAGCTTAACAGAAAAAAGAGGACTTGAGCACAAACCAGTCTGACAATAACTACGTGTCAACATCACAAGCAGGGGGGAGAAACATTTATATTCTGTGTAATAAATGTCTAAAGTTTGTCCACAGCTCCATAAGCCTTGCTGGCGGAGGAGGGATTCATGCCCTATACTGCCGCCCATCAACAGAGGGTGCTGTTCTTTGCTGGCTTCACCCAGTGAGGAGGCAGACTCTGTCCATTCTTTATACAGTCTATGGCTGTGTCTCATTTCAAAGGACCGCTTGAGGATAAGCGCGCTTAAGTGCGCTTAGCTGAGCGCACTGCCATTATCTACTGTTATGTGGACTTACGTACCCTGTCTGTGTCTCATTTCAGAGACCGCAACGTCGACCGGCACATATGAAGCGTGCGTGAGGTCATCACACGGCACGAACGGTGTCCCATTTGGCACGAAATGCTGAGCGCACTTCAAATTCGGTCTCAAAACCACACTGCCCCCACCCCCTTTTTCTTTCATGCCATTGATATCCCAGAATTCTTTGCGTGCCGCTGCACACCTGTGCATTTATGGGTGAGAGGCTGGACTCGCTTGGAGACGCAGCGCGTCTTCAAAGAAAATACAAGAAATCCAAAAACAGCTCACAGTCAGCTCAGGCTGTATGAGCGCATGATCTCTGAACTCACTTAAAACTGTAAACCAAACATTATAGATTTAGAGACAAACTGATCTGCTCTGCTACAACAATCAAAAACATTAGAAATAAGAAAGCTGACAAAACTACAGCAGAGGATCATTGACACATTGAGTTTTTTTTTTTAAGATTTAGAGATTAAAGTTGTAAATTTAGGAGAATAAAGTCATAATGTAAATAAAGTCATAAAGCTGCTTTTGTGGAGGGGGAAATGACTGAAGCTGGTCATCTGCAGGGTTATCTGTGGATTTATCAGCGGGTCATTCAGAGAGCTTCTGTGGTTTCTGAAGAAACAATCCAACTGATGATCAACATTTGTGATCCAGAGGGAGTCGAGCTCCGACGGGCACCACGTCTGTGACACCGGCGGCAAGAGGAGACTTGTTAAAATTAGGGCCATGAAGCATTTAAAGGAACTGTGTTTCAGTATAGGTTTCACAAACAAGCAGATACTTCATCCTTTGGCACATCAGCATCACATTGTCATAAGTATAAAGACTTAAAAAAAGAATATATTAGAAATACGTCTTTTCCACGGGGAAAGAAAAACAGGTGTACTTGGAGGAAATCGCTGCTTTTGTGGAGGCAGAAATGAATATGCTGAGGATATATCAGTTTATGAAGCCGTAAATATCCGTGAATGACATTGAGATTTAATTTATGATATGAATCCATATGCCATAATAAGGTGTTGGTGTCTCTGCAGGTGTAGGCTACCGCCGGTGTCAGAGACGTGGTGCTCGTCGGAGCTCGACTCCCTCTGGATCACAAATGTTGATCATCATCAGTTTCATTGTTTCTTCAGAAACCACAAAATCTCTCTGAATGACCCACTGATACATCCACAGATAACCCTGCAGATGACCAGCTTCAGTCATTTCCCCCTCCACAAAAGCAGCTTTATGACTTTATGACTTTATTCTCCTAAATTTACAACTTTAATCTCTAAATCTTAAAAGAAAAAAAAAAACTCAATGTGTCAATGATCCTCTGCTGTAGTTTTGTCAGCTTTCTTATTTCTAATGTTTTTGATTGTTGTAGCAGAGCGGATCAGTTCGTCTCTAAATACTGTAATGTTTGGTTTGCAGATTTTAGTGAGTTCAGAGATCATGCGCTCATACAGCCTGAGCTGACTGTCTGCTGGTTTTGGATTTCTTGCATTTTCTTTAAAGATGCGCTGCGTCTCCAAGCGAGTCCAGCCTCTCACCCGAAATGCGCATCTGTGCAGCAGCAGCACGCAAAGAATTCTGGGATACCAACTAGTGCTGGACGATAATTCGATAACAATATATATCGATCGATAGACGTGTGGTGCGATAGAAAAAAAACGGGTCGATAAAAAGTTCGATAGAAAAACACAGTTTCCCTTTCTTTTTCATCATAGCCTATCATGTAGCTTTTACTACAGTCATTACTTCCTCCCAACCAATCACAAACGCAGACCCAGGTACGCTACGGCACCAAGTCCAGCCCCTCTCCAACCACAACAGACAGCACGTGTATTAGAAAAAATGTTACAGCAAGGAGAAGCGGAGGAAATTGTCCCGAAAAAGGTCTCAGTAGTTCTCCAGCATGGCAATGTTTTGGTTTTTAGAAGTCTGACAAAAAGTGAACAGCGGTCGTTTGCAAAATTTGCAGAGAATTAGTAAAAACCAAGTCTGGTAACACAACCAACTTGTTTTACTATCTAAACCGATCGCACCCGCAGGAGTACGAGCTGTGTCGGCCGCGCCGCGGCTCCACGTCGTCGTCGGAGGAGGAATCCTCTGGACCCGCTGCCAGCACCAGCACAAAGCAAGTGAAGCAGACCAAACTGGACTTCGTTTCTTGCCAAAATACGACAAAGCGTCCAAGCGGCATAAGGACGTCACCCATGCAGTAACATGCTCCATAGCGAGGGACATACTGCCAATAACTACCGTTAAAAAGCCTGGCTTCAACAGCTTCTAGCCACTCTTGACCCGCGATAGGAAGTGCCCGGCCGCAAGTATTTCTCAAACACAGCGCTTCAGGCATGAAAATGGGTCAGGGGTTGAAAAGGTGAGAAGGGTGCGGAGGAAATACGTTCCGGTCCACTCATTAGCTTCTTAAAGCGGAAGAAAATGAGCTCATATTTTACAAAGACGCGAGTATGTGGATCATGACTACTAGCAGGGGGTGCATTCGGCAGGGGTGCATTCTACGACACAACACCGGCGTGGATAAGTCCTGCTTCTCGTGCTTAGTTTGCGTATTAAGTCAATCACATGATAATTAAAAATAAATAAATCTCCCGACCCCGGGAGAAATATTTCAGTGTTCAGACACCAGGCTGTGGGCAGTTTCTCACACAGTTAAAACAGGTAGTATGCTATTCCTACCTAAAGCTATTCTGTTTATTTATATATTTGTTTGTTTTGTTTATTTTCATCAAAAGACTATTTAAATATTTATTTATCAGATTTTCTGGTCACTTTAGTCTTTATGTTTGTCAGTATTTACTGACGTCACTCAGGCCACTTATGTTGATTTCTTTCTTTTTTTAAGTTCTTTTTTAAAAAAATTTCAGTTGTGGTAAAAAAAAAAAAAGGTGGTTGAATAAAGGTTTGAATTTGAATTCAGTGCTTGTGTGTTCTTTATTAAAAGTAGGTCATTAAGCAATAGCATAAAACATCCAGGGCTGCAATTAAAATATGTTTTAATATAATTATCGATATCGATCAATATGATTTATTTTTTATCGATATGCTTTTTTTCTATATCGTCCAGGCCTAATACCAACAGCACAAAAGCGTGCATAAATGCACGCTTGAAAAATGTTAAGTGCGCTTAGCATTTCGTGCCAAATGGGACACCTTTTGCGCTGCGTGATGACATCATGCACGCTTCAAATGCGCTGTTCGACGGTGCGGTCTCTGAAATGAGACACAGCCTATGGTTACAACCTATAGCTCCAGCAAGTGGCAGATAGCAGCATTACAGCTTATGCACAACATGTGACCCAGGCCTGTAGTTCAATTATACTTGTGACCAATTCATAATTATACTGCTGACCAATACTTTCATAAAAGTGTCTGCATAGTTCTGACAACTTCCAGCCAATCAGTGCGCAGTATGCCCAAGGTGGTGACATATCTGTTGTATGAATAACATTTGGTATTACCAGCATCATGCGAGGCAAGCGCTCTCAGCATCTTCCCTGCGCTGCGTCTGGTCTGTGTCTCCTTGTTGCACAGCAGCTCCATCAGCAGGTTGAGTGCTCCTGTCTCCTTGAAGACACCGACCAGCGAGCCAATGCTGGCGTAGGCGCTCAGCACGTGGATGGTGTGTGTGATGCTGATTGAGAAGTCGCTCTTCTTGGCCATTTGCTTCCTGGCTCGCCGCACCAGGTTTTTCACGTCCTCCTTCATGTCTGACAGCTCCACCTCATCAAAGGTGACGTCTGCAGGAAACTCGCTGCCGCTCCTCTGACTTCCACCTGATGACTCACCATCCTGCTTCTCCTGCTGCTGCAGGGGACGCTGTGTGTCAGTTTTTCTTTTGCCCAGCAGGGTGGGGCAGTTTGCGTACACATCCTCAGTGGACATCCACATCAGGATGTTCTCCGGTTTGCTCTCTCCAGATGTGGAGCTGCTGGACCCACCACCCCCAGAGCTGCCACTGCCAGTACCTCCTGCCTCACTGGCTCCGCCCCCTGAACTTGAGCCATCATCGATGGTGACAAGGCACCAGCGAATCAGGTACTCTGTCTGGCCATCGTGGTTGCGGCGCTGGCGGATCAGCTCCTCTGGATATGCCTGCAGCTTTGGGCCGAGCTGGACCAGCAGGTTCCCATTGCGGCGCTCGCCCACCATGGTCGCTGGGGAGACACCAGAGGGTGAGAACAAACAACAGTTAGAAGAACTTTTCAGCCTGCCTGAGCTTCCAGAGTAGTTTCAGATACTTTTACTTCATTTCCTCGGGGAGCAGCTGTTTAATGGTAGTACTAATAAATGTCTCAAACAATTGATTTTTCTCAAACTCATTACACTTTTTTTTTTTTTTTTTAACTTAAACCGAGCTCTTATTTTGGAAGAAAACTTTTACATAGGACATGTTACCTCTTACATGCAGAGCAGTGGTTCCCAACACTGAAACTCAGAGTGTAACATAAGCCTTTCATTTTCGGTTTTCAGACACGGTTCCTCTTTCCAGACTTTTCACTGCATCTGTTTTCTCTGCAGCTGAATTTCACTGGTGTTGCTGGGAATTTATCCAACATCAGTTAGCCTCACCAGCACTGGCTAGGATGGCATTAAAAAAATCTGCTACAGATTTTGGCAAATCTGTAGCAGATAGATTCAAGAACAAACATTCCCAGCAGCGAGAAAACACAGAAAGTGAACCCCACTGTTATGGTGTATAAGGCTGTTAAGCAAGAATGTAGTCCGGATGATGAGGTACACTCTTGTGCCTTTCAGAGGGACTATTAGACTTTCATGAGAATGAAGACACTGTTTCTCACAGAGAGAATCTGACATAAATACCTGCCTCTAGAAAAATCCTGTTTCATATAAGACCCCCAGGACAAAGACATGACACTGAGGAGGACCCAGCATTAAGACTTCTACAACATGAGACCACCACAATGTAATGTTGCTGTCATCAGTTAAGACTAAACCTTAACATCAGTAACCAACAAGTGCTCATCTGTACTCTTCATACCAACACTTTACATACTGGTCATTTGGAAGAAATAAAATGCGACTCTGGACCAGGGCTTCTTTTTAAGTCCTTAAAAAGTTGGCTCCTTTGTTAAAAGGGAGTATATACAGTAAGTTTATACAGTATGCAGCCATTTTGCTAATCTAATAACTATCGTAGTTAAATTAAGAGCAATACAAGTCTGACGGATCCTCTTCCAGTGTCATGTATTTGTAACAGATGAGTGTGTGATACCAAAGCTCTGAGGCTCTGAAGCCTGTGTTACCTAAATGAACCGCCCAGCTTCACTCTTAAGAATCAGAGCTTGTTTAAAAGATAAAACGTCACGACTGATTAAATTAATGCTTCAAATGTCACCAGCACTTCAACAACTCTTTAGTCAGCTCGGCAGCTGAGTCATTATGTCTCGGCTAATGGACACATGTGTGGATCCTGTGGGGCAGACTCTGTGATTTTGGATAAATCCAGATTTTTTTTTTTCTCATTTATTGTACACTACAGAAGTTTGGAAGCAAGACCAAAACAGGCCAAACATTTGGAAACTACTTTAAGTTTCTGTTCACAATGCCTTTCATAAAAAAGGATAAGTTAAATGTATTTTGGGATGTATTTATTGCATGACTAGACTTTGCTTTCATTGATATGCACCATTTTCCTCAATTTACCTTTAGGTATACATTGATGTTACCAGACGTTGCTGAATAAATGTCAACAAAAGAAAGGGAGGGCTTCAAGAAGATTAGCAAGAGTCACAAATTCAGTGTAAAAGTAAAAAAACAAATCACTTTGCATTATTCACTTTGACTTATTGGCTTTTGAGTGTCTGCATACAAAAATCCCAATAAATCTCACCCGTGTTCAAAACTCTGACAAACTATTGCAGAAATGGCTAGAAAAAAGCAACTGAGTAAAGAAACAAGAGTACAGATTTGTACATTGAGAAAAGAAAGATACACTGAAAGGGAAATTGCAAAATGCCTAAAGGTGTTTAAAAAGGAGTCCACTATACTCTGAAGAGACTTGAAGAAACTGGAAGTTATGATGATAGAAAAAGACCTGGAAGAAAGTGGGTCACTACAAAAGCAGAAGATAAACATATTATTGTCATCAGTAAGAGAGATCGGCGAAAAACAGCACCACAAATAAAGGAGGAAATCAACATGACAAGGTCGAAACCCATATCTCTGACAACTGTGAAAAGACATTTGAGAAAGGCTGGTCTGGAGGGTTGTGTATCTGCAAAAAAACACTTCTTCGTCCACAGAACAAGAAAAAAAGATATGAGTGGGCAAAAGCTCACAAAAATTGGACCCATGATGACTGGAAACAAGTCCTCTGGACGGATGAAAGCAAGTTTGAACTATTTGGTTCCAAACGCAGAGTCTATGTCCGCAGAAAAACTGGTGAACGTCTGAAAGCACCATGCGTAACACCCACAATAGAGCAAGGAGGTGGTAGTGCCATGGTATGGGGATGTTTTGCAGGTGACAGAGTAGGATATTTGTTTTAAGTAAAGGGTATTATGAAGAAGGACCAGTACCACTCCACCCTCCAGCATCATGCAGTTCCATCTGGACTAAAACTTGTAGGTCCAAAGTTTGATTTGCAACAAGATAATTATCCTAAGCACTCTTCCAAGCTCTGTCAGGGTTACCTAGACAAAAAAGAAGAGGAAGGTGTTTTTTTTTTTTTTTCTGCAAAGTATTATGATCTTTTTTTGTACAAATTTGATCTTGCTTCCAAACTTTTGGCCTGTAGTGTACATAACATTTTTTGTACAGGTCAAAGTTAAATTATTATAATTATCTGTGCACTGTGGGCATGATGAATGTACTTATTTTTCTGTGTTTGCCATGCTGATCCTTTGCCACTGTTACACTGCAAATTTCCACTCAGTGGTATGAATAAAGACTTATTTTAACCTTTCACATCCCTGCTCACTGTCAGTATTACAGTGTATTCCCAATGGAGGCATTATGGTTTCATAAAAAATACTCATTTTGTACTTATTTTCATTTGAAACTTCATTCCATCCTTGCATGAGTCGGTACCCCAATAGGGCCACCCTAGTCAAGAATTCAGGTAACGCCCCTGAGAATCAGCACCAGGGCTCAGTCTAATACCCGATGACTCCGTCTGTGAGCACTGAGTCTCGGCTGCTAACAAGTTTATATGATTGTTAAGAAACCATCTTAGTTTTATCACATTAACCCCCGAAAATTATATCCTACCTTATGTCTGTATTCTGTTTGAATCCATGTGTCAGGCGGCTGGACTCGTAGGGTTACACATTAGCAGTGAATAGCCGGGCCCTGTGTGCTGTAACCTTACGCTACCTGAACGCAACAGACGATCAGCTAAGTACAGATGCTAACATTAGCAACTGTTAACCGCTTCCCGTGTTTTAAATTGACAAACAGACTCCTCAAGCGCGCTCTAACGGAGAAACTGTACACGTATCCCGTTAATTAGTTACTTAAATTGCTCCAAACCGACTTGTCAGCTGGTTAAGTGGTTACAGATAGCTAGCTAGCAGCATGCACGCCTCTGAGGCACCGCAAAGAAACGTCACACCAAATATAACTTAAAATCTGCAGTTTTAAGGTTATGTTTCTATGAGCGAAGATGACCTAAAGTTCCTACATCATCAGAATTTTCAACTCGTATTCTGTCCAATTTTACATGCACACACTTAGACTTAACTAATTTAGAAAAAAAATCAATTTTCATACTTGGATATTTCTTTATCTGTTTACCTACTCGATCAACACTGTGAGACGAGGCAATGAGTGCTGAAAACTGGGAAAAACTGTTGTAAGAAAAGCGGATTTTTTATTTCACTAGAAGCTGTTAAAGTTCCATTTTAACTTCGAACTTATGGGTGAACTTATCTAACAAGTGAAATACGGCTAATATCAGATTTAGCTGTTTATTCGTAAATGTTGTGTAAATTGGTGGATTTTCAAACGCAGTTTTGGTGTCCCGTCCTGATGAGTTAACATAAGGTGTATCTCTGAGACAGTGTGTGCTGTCACTCTGGATGACAGCGCTCAGGAGCCGGGCTGGGCCTGCCAACAAACCCGCTCTGCTCAGCCAGGAAGGCGGCTACGCTGACACACACCCCGGCCCAGAGAAACACCCCCGCGTCAGATGAGTTCGGCTTACCTGCCGAGTCACAGACTTTAACCCTTGGTTCTGTCTTCCCCTTGAGAAGCTGTTTCCTCTTTCGCCCTAACGTGTCGTTTTCCAGCCTGGTAACGTTTGTGTTTACGCTCTCTACCGCAGCTCCGTGCTGTTGGATGCGCATTTGCGCACTGTGACGGGAGCAGCATCGGGGGTCCCTTCTTCTTCTGCGGCGCGTTTTTTTCTTCTTTGTGTGAATAAGCGAACCAAAAATTATCGTAACATGAGTGCACTGCCGCCTGCTGTGAGGAGGGCAGCATCAACCCGAATGAGATCACTGCAAACTATTTTTGCAAATATTTTTTGCGAACCAAGGCTGTAAAAGTTTTACATTTTTTGCATTGGTATCGATGTACTGATAATAGATGAACGCAATAATGATATGATCAGGAGACTAAAACCATGTCACCCTCTCCTCTCACCCGACTGGATTTACACAGTTTGTCAACTGCCTATACCAGAGAAAGCAAAACCTTGAATACGCTGTATATCAATGTCAAAGAAGCCTACAGAGCCACTGTCTTACCACCACTGGGCAAGTCAGATCAAAACTTGGTCTATCTGCAAACCTGTTACAGACCTTGTGTACTGAGGCAGCCTGTGACCGAAGTCAGAATCAGAAGATGGACACCTCAAGCTAGTAAAGCTCTAAGAGGCTGTTTTGAATCTACAGACTGGACTGTGCCGTTATAAACAGATTAGGATAGTATGACCACTGACAGACAGGTTGACTGTTTTACTGAATACATCAACTTCTGTAGACATGCAATGATATCCACAAAGACTGTTCGCTGTTTCCCCAACAACAAACCCTGGATCACAAGTGACATAAAAACTATCCTTAGAGATGGTGACAAAAAAAATATCTCAAACAAGTGCAGGGATCTTATCAGGGATCTGATAAGAGCCTTCAGTGACTGGAGTGACAAAAAGTGCCTCCTACTCAACACCTCAAAGACAAAAGGTAATTATCATAGACTTCTGCAGATCGAAACCCCCTATTCAGGAAGTGAGCACCTGTGGAGTGGACATCAAAGTGGTGACATCATATAAATATCTAGGTGTACGTCTGGATAATAAGTTGGACTGGTTAAAGAATATAGACTTAAAGGGGCAGAGCCGCCTCTTTTGCCTGAGAAGACTCTTATCAATAGACATCTGTAGTTAGATGCTGTAGATGTTTTATCAGTCTGTGGTGTCTACGGTGTTCTGTTCTATGCTGCAGTCTGCTGGGGAGGAAGCATCAAAAGCAAAGATGCAAGACTTCTGAACAAACTGGTGAAAAAGGCTGGCTCTGTGGTAAGACTCAAGTTGGACTCAGAGGAGGATGTGGTGGAGAGATCTACACTGAGGAAGGTGGAGACTATTCTAAAGAACATGGATCACCCACTTCACAACACTTTGATGGACCAAAGGGCCAATGGTGGTGGGTGGCTCCTCTCTCTTTTTGCTGCAGGACAGAAAGGTTTAAAAGATCTTTTGTACCCACAGCCATCAGACTTTATAACTCTTCCATAAATAGTAGATGACATGAGACATGACAAATGAGACGACAGACAAAATGAATCAATTAAGTTCTTATCTTTTCTTAATGTAGGTATAAAATCTATTCCATACTGACTTTTTTTTAAACATTTTTTGTGGTGTATTTTTGATGCCAGGTTGTTTAGTTTAATGTAGCTTAAAATGCCTTTTTTACTCATTAAAAAATACATTATTTTATTAGGACAGTGCAAGCTGTTAGCACATCAGCTTAAAGTCACCTGTTGTCCCAAACTTGGTTTCTAAATAGAATAGGCAACAAATTTTATGGTTTCAGGATATGTCTCAGAACAGTTCATGATACAACACACAAAATAACACACCAATAGATTTATCAACAGGATGGACTATGTAACATGACAAATGACAGATCGTCATACAGTAAGCTGGTAAAAATGCAAGATGAGCTCAAAGCTCCTAGGTATAATCGCCAGACCAATACCAATTGTTTTGTTATGTTTCAATTCATGTAGTCAACTGAGTGCAAGTCCTTTTAATACTTCTAAAACAAGACAAATATGAACATTATTTTGAAACCTATCAGTGTTTAAAATATCAGACTCATCTGTAATGTTGCATTTGTAAAATAAAGAGGCTTTCTGTCCAAAAAAATGAAGGGAAACCTGGTGGATTTGATCGGGGTAGATGTTGAGTGTGAACGGGTTTTATTACATCTCATGTAAGAAAACATTGTGTGCATCTGGTCTAGACCAGACTCTGTTTACAAAGGCCCAAAGACCAGATCAGACTGAGCCTTGTCCTGTAAGATCAGACCTGATCCCATCCCCTAGAGAGGAAGACCTTCCTTTAACAGGCAGAAACCTCAAGCAGAACCAGACTGATGTTAGACAGTCATCTACTGAGACTGAGCTGGGTTTAGAAAGAGGAGAGAGGAAGATGGAGAAAGAGAGAGATGTACAGAGGAGAGACTGGTAGAAGAAGAAAGCAAGAGAGATGGACAGAGAAGAGACAAATTTTTAGACCTCTACATCCTTGTTCCTTGAGAAACCTAATCATACGACCATGTACATACAATGCAAAGATAATCCACCAGGGGGAATAAGCATGCCTCATCAGACCTTTGTAAAGCATATCCAAGTGTCTTATCTTTTATGTTTATTTTGTGTACATTTGTTTGTGCATATTTCTGCAAGTATTACAGAAATACAACAAGAAGTGCAATCGAACTGTTACTGATGATTGGATATAAATATTAACCTGAGCCTTCATATATTCATTTTATATTCTGTGGTCTACTCTGTTCTAAAAATGTGTCACATATATGGAGTGATTTCATCTCAAAAACTTACTGGGGGTTCAAATGTCACCATTTAAATATATATATTTTTTTCACCTAGTAGACCCAGTAGACTGCAGAACTCCCTCCAAAACACTGAAGAAGTGGACCATCTTGCTGAAGCGGTCCACGATGGTCAGGATGACAGTGTGACCATCAGAGGTGGGAAGACCGGTTACAAAGTCCAAAGATATGTGAGACCATGGGCGGTGAGGAACAGGAAGAGGTTGTAGTAGCACAGCAGGAGGCTGACGGGAGGTCTTATGTTGGCTGCAAGTTGGACAGGCCTTGACAAATTCCCGGACGTCCTCTTGCAAGGTGGGCCACCAGAAACGTTGGAGGAGGGCATGCTGTGTCCGTTGAATCCCAGGGTGGTAGGAGAGCTTGGAGGAGTGGGCCCATTGTAACACCTCTGACCTCAAGGCTGGTGGAACAAAAAGGCAGTTAGACAGGCAGGAGCTGGGGCCCGGCTGTCCCTCTGTGGCTGCCCTCACCTTCTCCTCAATGTCCCAGGTCAAGGTGGCTACAAGGCAGGATGTAGGGAGGATGGTTTCAGCTCCATCAACAGAATCTTCTGTCCTCTGGAACTGTCGGGACAAGGCATCAGGCTTGACATTGCGAGAACCAGGACAGTAAGAGAGGGTAGTTATAACGAGCAAAGGACAGGGACCAGCGGGCCTGGTGAGAGTTCAGTCTCTTTGCAGAGCGTATGTACTCCTTTGTGCCCTCCAACCAATGGTGCCACTCTTCTAAGGCCATTTTTACTGCCAAGAGCTCCCTGTTACCAATGTCGTAGTTTCTTTCTGCAGAGGACAGACGTCGGGAGAAGAAGGCACAGGGATGGAGCTTTTGGTCAGTGCATGAGCATTGAGACAAGCTGGCCCCCACCCCAACATCAGAGGCATCCACCTTGACCACAAACTGGCGTTCAGAGTCAAGCATCAGGAGGCTGGGCGATGAGGTGAACCGATCCTTGAGGAACTGGAAGGCCGCTGCAGCTGCAGAAGACCACTGGAAGGGCACTTTGGGGGAGGTCAGAGTGGTGAGAGGGGCTGCTACTGAGCTGTAGTTGTGGATGAAGCGACGGTAGAAGTTGGCGAACCCCAGGAAGCACTGAAGCTGCTTGCGGTTCTCCAGAACAGGCCAGGAGGTAACAGCTGAGACCTTTGCTGGGTCCATCTGGATGCTGCCTTGTGCCACAATGTACCCCAGAAAAGATGCTGAAGGAACATGGAACTCGCACTTTTCTGCTTTAACGTACAGGGAGTTCTCCAAGAGGCGCTGAAGGACGGACTGGACATGATGAATGTGTTGCTCCTTGGACCGGGAGAAGGTGAGTATATCATCGAGGTAAACAAAGACATACTGGTTGATCATGTCTCGGAGAACATCATTAATCAGAGCCTGAAGACGGCAGGGGCATTGGTGAGGCCAAACGGCATTACGAGGTACTCATAGTGCCCGGTAGGGGTGTTGAATGCCGTCTTCCATTCATCTCCTTTTCTGATGCGGACCAGGTGGTAGGCATTGCGGAGATCGAGTTTGGAGAAAATGGTGGCCCCCTGGAGCAGTTCAAAGGCAGTGGAGATGAGTGGCAGTGGGTAATGGTTCTTTACCATGATCTCATTCAGTCCTCTGTAACCTATTCAAGGTCTTAATGTCTTGTCCTTCTTCTTAACAAAGAAAAACCCTGCTCAAGCTGGGGATGAAGAGGGATGAATGATGACTGCGGCCAAGGAGTCATTTATGTATGTCTCCATGGCCCTTCTTTCGGGTTCAGACAGGGAGTACAGGCGACCCTTGGGAGGTGATGAACCAGGCAGGAGATCAATGGCGCAGTCATAGGGGCGGTGTGGAGGCAGAAAGGTGGCTCTGGCTTTACTGAAGACCTGGCGGAAGTCATGGTACTCGGGTGGCACCCCACTGAGGTCAGGTGACGAACTGGAGCTACACCCGGAGGGATGAAGCAGAACTGAGGCACCTCTGATGACAGGAGGAACTCCCCTCCCGGATGGTCCCAGTTGCCCAGTCGATGTGAGGATTTTGAAGATGGAGCCATGGATATCCCAGAATAAGTGGCAGGCAGGAAGAGCTCAGGATGTGAAACTGGACGGTTTCATGATGATTACCAGACAGTAGCAGGTGAACAGGAGAGGTCTGATGCGTGACGGTTCCCATGACGTGTCCATCTAAGGCTCGAGCAGGAACTGGGTGAGGCAAAGGAACCCGCTCAAGCCCCAGCTGAAGGACCACCTCCTCGTCAATGATGCTGGCATCAGCCCCGGAGTCAATGGAGATAGCCAAGGTGTGGGGTCCATCTGGAAGGAGGAGGCGGCCTTGGAGCAGGGGTCGCTGGCTTTGAGGAGGTGACAGGGTAGTTGATCTCACCAGGGTCTCCCCAACTTCTGATGAGCTCTGGCTTTTGCTGGACAGCCGGAGATGTAGTGTCCCGCTGCCCCACAATAGAGGCAGAGATTGGACTTGCGTCAACACTCTCTCTCTTCCAGGGAGAGGGAGGTGCGACCCAACTGCATGGGCTCTGGATCCTCAAACTGCTGACCCAATGAGGCGGAGTTGGCTGCAGCAGCACCCCCACAGGAGCGAGGTGGACGAGAAAGTTGGGTCCCCCCTTGACGCTTCTCTCGTCGACGAGTCTGGACACGAAGATCGATGCGGACGGCCAAGTCAATCACCCCGTCCAAGGTGAGGGAGGTGTCATGTGAAACCAGTTCCTCCTTGATGTAATTAGCCAACCCATGGAGAAAGGCATCACGGAGAGCTGCACTGTTCCAACCGCTTTGGCTGGCTCTGGTGAGGAAATCAATGGAATAGTCAGCCATTGTTCATTCGCCTTGTTTCAGTCCCATCAGTCCCCTTGCCGAATCAGAACCAGAATTCTCAAACCCAAATACCTTTCGAAGCTCAGCAGCAAACAGGTCAAAGGAAGCACAGGCTGGAGACCGCCTTTCCCACTCAGCTGTTCCCCATAGTCAAGCTCTTCCTGTCAGGTGGTTAATGACAAACGCTACCTTCGCCGGTTCTGTAGCAAAGGTGCAGGGCAAACAGGAGAGAACAGTTGGTGAGGAAGGGGCCGCAAGTCTCTCGATCTCCGTCATAACGCTCCGGGGTACCTGGGGCTCAGGAGCATTGCTTGGTGGAGAAGAGGCGGGTAAAGGTGCAGGAGCAGAAGGTGAAGCTTCTTAAGAAGAGGCAAATCCAGCAGATGAGGGAAGCTGGGTTAGTAAAGCTGCTGGCTGTTGCATCTGTGTGGTCAAAGCTGCTAGTCATTGTCCCTGAGTCACAGCAGCCTGTCTGGCTTCAGCGGCAGCCGGAGTCATCATGGCCTCATGTTGCTGCAGGACGCCCTCAATTCTCTCAAGGCGACTCAGTGGTCAGGGACTGTGTGCTGGGTCCACAGTTTGGTCAGATACTGTAACCAGATACTGTACTGTAATGGGTATTGACTGGACCCAATTGCAGCACAAACAAGCAGGTTCACTCGAACAACAGTCTTAATTTTACACCAAATCAAATGAAGCAGCAGAGTATAGCAGGTGGGTATGGCAGGATTCTAACCCGGGTCTTCCGGGTGCCAGGCGAGCAGATTAGCGGAGGACCACCAGGCAGGCAAGAAATCTGGGACTCGTGAGCAGGGAATTGTCCACAGTCTCAATTTGTTCTACGAGTGTGGTGAAAGGGAAAACGCTCAAACTCACAGCTGGAGGAAGATTTCTGGGAGAGTGGTTCAGGTGAGGACTGGGTGAGGATCCAGAGCTTGCAATGGAGCTGGCAGAACCGACGTCTGCAGAGGAGGTGAGTTGGCGAGGTGAAGTTGACGAGAAGGGGGATCTTGACAGAGCAGGAACAGGCTGAGTGCCACCCAGCCGCAGGCAGACGGATAGCAGGAAACAGGCAGGCAGAGCTCGTAGTCAGGGACAGAGGGCAGGTGGGTTTACTGAGGCTGAGGCGTGAAGTAAAGGTCAGGGGTAGATCAGATCGATACCAGGTAAGCAGTCCGGGGATGAACGCTGGAGAGTCAGGCATGAGAGCGAAGACAATCTGGCAATGGGGAAAGAAGCTGCATATATACTGGCCTGATTGGAGATGATGAGCAGGTGAGAGCAGCAGGTGGAAGCAGTTAGCTGATGAGGGGTGTGGCTGAGCAGCAGAGCAGTGGAGGCGCAGAGCAGACTGTTACAGATACATAATGCTTAATAAAAAATCTACCACTATCTCAGAATTGAAGTCTGCAGTTGCAGCAGCAGCAGATAGAAAAAAAAAACTAAGGCCAAAGTTTGTCATCTTTTTTAATCTTGTAGCTGTTGGTGGCTCTGCATGCCCTGAAGGGTCTGGGTATCGTCCACACTGACATCAAACCAGACAACATGATTCTGGTCAGTCAGGACTTGCCCCTTATTGACTCTGGAGAAGCCATTCCTGTCTCCAAACTTGTGGTGTATCACCTGACATTGTTTGTCTACATTTCTTTCTGCAGTTGAAGCAAATAGCCACAGTTCTGGAACAGCCAGAGGACCACTTCTTCTCTGCTGTTCTTTACCATGGACTCCTCAGTTGCGGAGGAGAAACAAGAGTGTCATCATGATCCTATTTGTCTGTAAAACAACTTCATTTGAACACTTTGAAAACACTTTGTTTCTGCAGAGGACAGCAGAATCTGAGGCTGAGAATTTCTGAAGGGTTCTTCCAGATTACAGGCCCTCTCTGCTGTGTTTTAAGGAGAAATCAGAACCACTTCCTGAGCACCGGCTGACCTGAATCAGTCTCCAAATTTAAGATCCACCAAGAGGATGAGGGTGCAGAGTCGGAGGACAGAAGTCTCATTTACTGGTGTTTTTGTGGAGAACTGATTTCCTTGGCTATAGATGCTGAAGACAGCTTTTTTTAGGTGGAGAGATTTCGCCTCTGTTCAGCAGAGATTCACATCATTGGACTTTAGAGAGAGCTTTATCCCCTCTCCGGTGACAAAAATCCACACAGGGGTCTCCTTATTTTGCAGACTCTTACAAAGTTTTTGAGACTCAGTTCTCTGTCAGACTGTTTGCTCTCTGACCTTCATTTCCTGCTAACAAAGGTTACTGAAAAAGAAAGATGTACTGTCCATAAACCAGGATTTAATTTCCCAAATATGAACCCAAAATGTTCCAACACTGCTCAGCATGTGGACCAGGTTTAGTGTCTGAAATATCAAACAATCCAAAGCTTCAGTTTATTTTTTACATAATAGTATCAAAGTGCTCTGTTTTAAGTGGGAGTCTCCAAAAGCTCAGCTTTCATCAGCCATGACAAAGATTTTAAAAATACTTTTTGACACAGTAACTTTAACAGTCTAACGTTTCGGAGTATCTTTGCTCTTGAGATATTTGCAATTTCTATAATGGTTTATATATTCATGCACATGCATGTTTTCTCCACTAGATGGTGTGCTGCACAAGTCATAGTAATAACTTTGGGTTTTCAGGTCGATTTTTTTATTGCACACTCAAAACATTCAAGATTGACCAAAGACAAATTCAGTACAACACAAAATCTGAAATGAAATAAAACAAAACAAACAAATAAAAAAAAGACTAAAACATTATAAAGACAAACAAACTAAGATGGCATGATGAGACATCATCATATCACGTCAGGATGGAAAGCATGACTGGAAGTAGCAGCCAACAGAGAGCATGTTTAGAGTAGAGATAGATTAATTAATCCTAGTTTTGTCATGATTACAGTTAAGTTAACTGTATTTTACGTTTCATTTAATGTCTGGTGTTTCCTGTTTGTTTTTACTTTGAGATCACTAACCCCTGTCTCTGTTTCAGGTGTGTTCCTGTCTGCCCTGCCCCCATCTTGTCTTGTCATGTCACACCTGCCTCCTGATTATGTCTCCCCACCCATTTCCCACCACCCTCATTACCTCTTGTATTTAACCTCATGTCTCTCACTGTCATGTTCCAGCATTTATCTTGTTTTTTATGGCCTGCCTGATCCTGACTTTGATGGTATTGTTTGGACCTGCCTTTTAATATAATAATTTCTATCTTGTGCTATTGACTCTGCAGGCAGCCTTATCAGTGTGACCACTTCTGTGCAATGCTTGTGAAATCTGTAAATGTTTACTGTCTTAATACAGTTTCTGTCATGATAAACAAGTGAAGCAGTTTATTGTTGCTTCCAAAATGAATATCAGTCCAGTTCTGAAATCTGTAATAAACCCAACACATTTTTCTACTTAATAAATTTTAATATCTTTGATGGAACTTTCCCAAAGGGATAACTAAAGTTGTATCTAATCTAATCTAATCTAATCTAATCTAATCTCATAAAAAACAATTTGAACCATCTCACTGGCTAAGATAACCATGGATATTACGAATTGATGTGCATTCAATGAAGGCTGCATTTATCAAAAGGTTTTTATCAAGTAGAAGAAAAAAGATGATGCGCTTTCCATCCATCTGCACAGGAATCAGCCAATGAAAACACATGATGATGGTTTTCTAGATCTAAGTCTGAATCATCATCTTGCAGGCTGAAAATAAATACCTAAAGGAAAACCCAGAACAATATGAGATGCATGAGCCAATCTGTGGTTCAGTGGCAGAGTGGGCACACTGGTTTGTTCAATCCCAGCTCTTGCAATCTGATGCAGAATTGTTCTTAACAGATAACAGATCGTCTAAAAGTCAAACTCCTACATTTTTGAGCTGTGAGATAATGTCAGACTGTGGCTTGTGTTTGGTGGCAGTAAAAATGGCTGAGTGCATTCAGAGTAAAACCACTGTTTTTTTTTCTCTGTGAATATAGAAAACAATGCTGGAGGGTGCAAAACTGGATTTGGCTCAGAGATTGGCCTCTGAGCATCAGTCAGTCCTGATCCTCTTTTGCTCGGTATCCTGAAGAAACCCTCTTACAGTCTCTTTAGAGCTGAGCCCCCTAAAGCTCTATCGCTTAGGTTTGGGCCGCAGTGGGGCCCAAAGCTGCTCTAACGACCCTGCTTTTACGAACCTTAGATGTGAGTTCTGAAGGCTCTAGGACCATGGGGAGGAAAGTTATTCTATCCGTCAGAAAACACACGCAAACATGTACGCGCGTGCGCGCAGTGTCATCTGTATTCCCTACGCATGCCTCCCCCCTCATGTACCCACACAGTAGTACACAAGAGCAACTGCTCTCTCTCTCTCTCTCTCTCTCTCTCTGCAGAACAATCATCCTGCCTCTCCTCTCGTCAGCTCTCTCTGATCACTGGGACCCTCACACCGTGATCTGTCATCTCTGAAGGCGGCTCAGAACGCACGGAGGGAAACTGGCGCACAGGGGAGGGGTCGACGTGAAGCCTGGATTTATTGACTGATTGATGGGTGGAAGAAGGATGCAGGGTCTCGTGTCTCACCTTGGGAGGCGAGTATTGTATACGCCCGTGTGTGTGTGTGTATGTGTGTGTGTGTGTGTGTATTCGGACTCCCGTGATGACACGACATGTTTAGCATCATCCGGATGACGTCAGAGCCCGTGGCTTTGTCGGTATTCAGGTTTACAGCGTGGTGAGATTTGACCACATATTTGTGCACCGTGTATGTGCAGATCATGTGCGCATGCTCTTTGCGCGTACGATAGTGTGTGTGTGTGTGTGTGTGTGTGTGTGTGTGTGTGTGTGTGTGTGTGTGTGTGTGTGTGTGTGTGTGTGTGTGTGTGTGTGGATTGTTCCTAGGAGCTTTGAAGCTCGGCTGTGAGGCTCTGATGTTTATGGATTATTCTAACTGAAGTAAGGGTCGATCCAGACCATAAACACAAAAACAGAGCATTATTATTAAATTATTATCAAAACTGTATTTATTTGATTCAGCCATTAAAAAAATCCCGGTAAACTACCACAGCATTTTAACTAATTATCATCATAATGCAGTGTAACTCAGGTGTAGACTTGTGAATATCTTATTAACAGGGTAAGGTTTGGAGGTTGTCATAGTAACACAGTGACACCCTTAAATAGTGCTACAGATTGCACAGGCACATGAAGCCACAGCAGCAAAGGTACTGAGACAATTTTTACTCAGTAAAAACACAGCACACAGTAAAAATACTACAGCACATGCTACAATTTGTTTCCTGACTCATGATGTCCTCTGTGCAGATTTGAAAAATATTTATCTGGAAACACATAATCCATGATGTGTCCGCTGACTGGTCAGAGGTTGCTTCTGATGTCACACAGGAGTACTTTGTTGCATGAAGAGGTGAAGTCCAGAGGGCTCTGATCAACAGACAGAAAATTGAGGTTGCTTTTTACTGTGATTCAGTTAGCTTAATGACATTTGTTAGTGTCAGGGATGGTCTGAAGAGACGCACAGAGGAAAGATGATCTGCAGCAGGGTGATCTGATTGTTGGTGCACATCTGTTGTTTTCTCTGGGGATGATGGACATGATAGACCATACCAGCTATAAACAGACTAACAACTGAAGACACCCACACAGGAATTTGCACACACTCATGGAAACAGGGGCAGAAGAATAAAAGGATACCTCTTGTTTGTCATGAGGCACCAGAGCACAGAAAGTTCTAGTTCATGAAGACCTATTTCAACAGCGTTTTGAAAACGTTTTGTAGCTCCTCTCTTTTCTGATGCTTCCAGTCTGTCTGTGATCATGCAGTCATCATTACACATTAGACCTGCTGCCAACCTGATGGTGGGCCAGTGCACAGCTGAAGATAAACTGAAGAATGTGGAGCCCACATTTTTCAGTATATCTTCTGAGCATCTAGAGTCTAGCATTGTTTCTCACTCTTTTTTCACTTTCAGCCCTTTTTTATATTTTATTTAGCTGGCGGGACTCCAGTGTTTCATAATGTCATATTTGATACAGGAGCATCCATTTGACATGGATGGACACCAGACATGAGGGCGCCCCCCCCCCCCCCCATCTCAGAGGCTGCTTGGTCTGAATCTGTTTCATGCACACTGTTCAGTAGACATCATTTGCCAAACAGAGTTGCTAAATAGAACACATCTCCTGTCTCTGCTTTGGTCCAACATTCATGGTGCCCTCAGGATGAACCCTGCATACAGCTGACCCCTGAGTCTCTCTGTGTTGTTTGTCTACTAATGGATCCTGTCTGTAGCTCTCAGCCCCCCAAACACAAAGTTTTAAGTTTTTATGACCTGACTCACAGGAGGTGTCTTGTTAGGTTTAAAACCTGCTTGCATTTACCTGAAATAAAAAGGAGAAAGACAATGGATATGTTTGAGAAATGGACAGAGATCTGTTTTAGCTATCTCAGTACCACTCTAAGGATACTTTCTCTGTCCGCCCCTTTTATTCACAGTTGTCCCTGGTTACACAATGTTTCTAAAAAGGTGGGAGTAAATGTGCTGCAAAGTAAGCATTTAATAATGAACAATTTATGAATAGCTGAAGGTCAAGGCGGCATCTAACGAGCTCCTTCTGATAAGGATGGATCCTTCTCAGGAGCTTCCCACGATTCAGCGGAGAATACGTCACCCCCACACCCACACCTGCTGATAAGAGAAACATGGTCAAAGCAAACAGAAAAAAACATTGTGCACTGTGTAGTAAAGCTATTGAAAAGAGAGAAGTTAGGAAAACTCTTATATGATAAAAATACTCTAATATAATGTATAAAAAGATGTCAAAGAGTTTATATTTGTAGTATAAACTCTTACATAAGAATATGAGGAATAATGATAACTTCTATATACATTTATGCACATTATTCTAACATGTCTGCCTCAGGTGCACAGAGCAGAGAGGAGATCCCACAAACAGGCCCCTCCTCCCCCTCCTCTCTGGCACATCTTTGAGGGCTGTTACTCCTTCTCTCACTTTTCTGCTCCTTTCTTTGTTTCTGTTTTCAGGAGAGTTCAGCCTGCCATGCTTGACCTCTGACCTCTGACCCCTCTGAGAGACCCTCTTAGGAGGTGGATCGATCAGTGGATCTCCAAGGAGGGATGGAGGGAGAAGAGGAGGCTGAAAACTCCTCCAAACTGGGGAGGGCCTCACCAAGAGGGGGGGGTGGAGATCCCTGTACACAAAACGGCCTAATAAATACCCACAGACTGGGGGTGGAGCCTCGGGAGTTAATGTTGGTGTACTCAGCTCCTAAGTATCAGGGCCATGTGGTGAACACTCCTCCTCAGCAGGAGAGGAGCAGAGGAGTAGGTACTTCACAGCCCCTGGACCCCAGCGCCCTCCTCCCCCAGCAAGTGTTTACGGAGCCTCACCTGAGACCTGCCCCCAGCCTCCTCCTGTGTCCAGAGAGTGCCCTAAGGGTGTGGGGGGAGACAGGAGGAGGTGACTGCTGCGAGACAACATTTATTGAAGGGCTCAGCCCTGAAGCCTCCTCCTTAGCTGCTGCCTCCTCAACGAGGGAGGCGCTGCTGTTTTCTGATGGGAAATTTCTGGACTTTTCTGGGGAGGACTCAAAGATCCACACACTGTCATACGACATGGATGATGAAGACGAATTCCAGGAGCTGGAGGTGAGGAGGTTTCGTACTGTTTAACCATGAAAACATCTGAGGTTTACACACAGAGGGTTTAGCATCAAACTGATATCATGCTCAGCACATATTCCCTCCTGCTGTACTACTGCTACCCTAGTTGCTTTTGAGTTAGGAAAGTAAAGTATTTAAAATATAAAGCCTGCATTGACTTGAAAAATAAAGAAAACATCTGCTCATTCAGAATTTGAATCATTTGAAGCTTGTATTTGATTTAAAGACAGGACTTTTGAGTGGAAATCACTGCATTGGCTCAAAATCACTTCTAAAAGCCATTGTCTGTAAACACACTTCATCACTGCAGCTTCTCTGGACCTAAGACCATTTAAGATGGACTGAGGGAAAAAGGAAAACATTCCTGGGGTCTGAGGGATCAAAATGGGGCTTTATTTGTGGAAATCATGGACTCTGTGTCCTCCTCTCTAATGAGTAGAGGGTCCACCAGGCTTGTTCTCAGTTCCTAGTCCAAATCCAGCATCCCTGATGCTATGGGTATCATCAGAGTCCATGTCCTGATTATCTTCGACATCTGTGAAGGCTCCATTAATACTGAACAATATCTACAGGTTTGGGAGCAACATCTGCTTCCATCCAGACAAAGACTTTTTCAGGGAAGGTCTTCATATTTCAGCAAGACAATGACAAAACACATTCTGACTACAGAATTACAACAGATTACAGATTACAACAGCATGGCTCTGTTGGAAAGGAGTCCTGCTGAGAAACTGGTCTACCTGCAGTCCTGACTTGTCCCCCATTTAAAACATTTAGAGCATCATGGCACCAAAAACAGGACAAAAGAGACCCTGAACTATTGAACAGCTCAAATCCTCTATCAGGCAAGAACAGGACAGGATTTAGAAGACCACTGAGATCACGCCCCGGTTTTCAAAGATGTTGAGAGTACAACAGAACAAGATGAATCCAGAGCAATACAAAACTCCAAATTACAAGCCAACCATTATACAATTAGAGGCAATTAAACACATCAACAGAGTAATTCAGCAGAAAAACTAAAGGCAGTTTCCAAATGAGGAGTTTTAGTGGTATGTCAAGTCTCAAGAACACGTTGAGTGGTGATTTTGAAATCGATTCAAGAGAGATGTAATATATCGGGGCAGTTTACCAATTATTAAGGCCTTATAGATAAACAAGAACCAATGCCTGTCATGTTGTGATGATAAAGGTGCCTAGCCAACCTTTTCATATAAAACACAATGATGAGTGGAGTAACTGTCTGTTGTGACGGAACTCAGGGCTTTTTGGGAGCAAGGTTGGAAGCAGAGGCATTTCTGTGAAGATTGTCAGCATGAAGACAATCAACATGAATGGCTGACAGAGCAGTGTCTGCATAGCAATATAAGACTGCATCGTCAGCATACAGATGTGCGGCACAATTTGCAATAGAAGGCATTGTATTATCAATAAAACAGGACCTATTATTGAACCCTGTGGTACACTCTTTGTGCTCCTCCCCTTTGACAAGGGGAGGAACACAGAATGTCCATTTCCTAAGACCACAGACAGATGTAACTGCATTTTCAAACTCAAGAAACTGGTCTCCTGGGTTCACTAACATTTACACAGCGCTGGGAAAAGACAGGCTGATGACACATGAGAGGAAACATGACCCTGTAACAACTTTTTTTTAAACTTGATGCTGGTATCAAATTACAATGAGCAAGGATTTTCATAAAACAGGAACATTTGTCTTCAGATGATTGGTCATATTCAGTTTTCATCCACATTGTTCTCAGTGTCCAGTAGAAATGGGGAAGTATCATTTGAAGTCATTTGTTTCGTATTACTGCTGCATTTTTGTGTATAGCATAACTGTAAAGAGTGGGTGGTTTAGGATGTGTGGGATACGCGTCTTTCAGTGAAGGGAGGGACTATATAACAGGTGTAGAGGGTCCTTGTTTTGCTTAGCACAAAGACTGGAAGCACTGCCTGCTTAGCTCAATAACTCAGTCCACCCTTTATACGCACTCTTGGCTGTAAACTATTTTCGTTACATGTGGTTTTGTGAAGGTTTATAGCCTGTTGTGATCCTGGCAGTGTTTTGTCTGCTCTTGTGTTGACCCTCTGTCAGAGAAGGAGTATCTGATAATCTATCTAATTGGGTGCTCTGACTGCCCTCCACACATCCGGCCATGAGTCACAGAGTTCCTAGCAGAATGAGATTAGCGAGCTGCAGCTCTCTGAACGACACATTTGGCTGCGTAACAGCCAATCACTTTGGAGACAATTAGCTAGAAATGCTGTGATTCTGTCTCTGTAAAGTTCAGCTTTAATCTACTATGTCCTCTAACACTGGAGAGAGGGAGGAATACTGCAGGAGGGTGAAAACCTGCTCACACTTCCTCACTGGTAAGGGTTTATGACAGCACAGGTGATTTTACTGTGATCAGGTCTGTGTTAAACCTGTTCCAATGGAGAAACATTTGTCTGCTTATAATATTAGTATTTATTTGTCTGAGCAGTTACTCATGTGTGAGTAATTTAAAGGCTCAGACAGACTGTCATAATAACAAGTTCAATTAATGGTACTCTGCAGAAGTCAGCCTGATATAGCTTTTTTCTGTCTGTGCCACTTTAGATCCATCTTTCAATCAATTCTAATAATAAACAAGTTCATACATTAAGGTCTTGTCCATTTTTAGCATGACACCAACTGAAAGTTAATCTCTCTGTGAAAACCACTGAGAGGAATAAAAAGAGAATAATCTCACAGTGTAGTCTGAGATCAAAACACAGAGGAAGTTTTTTACTACTGTTTGAATCTGGTACCAACTTGTGATTTCAGTCACTGGATCAAGGGTGGACAGCTTACTACTAAGATCTGACCTGTCAGCCCGCACTTAATCCCTCAGCTTTGCCCCATGAGAATCCAGCGTGTCAGTCCAGCATGTGGAGACCAAGTTTTAGCATGTGAGCCAGGTGTGCACAAAAATACAAATCTCAGGGGTGTTTTGTTTCAGAAGGCAAATTATTTGAATCATTCACAATGATCCATAAGTGACAAAGGTATAGGAGGAGTAGGGGTGTTGCAGGTCAGAGATATGATGTAGTTTATTTGAGTTTAGGTTGTTGCACACAATGAAGAAAATATATACAGTCTATGTTTCTTGTGTTTCGGGGGATGAGCAGATTCATTGTTGATCTGTGTGTTTGTCATGCTCTGTCCCCCTCAGTTTTATTGATCAGTCATCATTTTTTTTATCTGTAGATAGAGGCGAACATTCATAGTGAAAACAATTACTCATTTCACTGATAAACCTGAGAAATGAAGGTGTGAGGAGACCCTCAGAAGACACAAGATTGGGTTTGATGAGGACAAGATGAGATAGGACAAAATTTGGATGTTTTCTAAGATAGCCTGGATGATGCAGCTGGAAACATATCTTTGCTGTTTTCCTCTCCAGGGTCTGTAGTACAGTTACTGATACGTCACGCTGTTTACATGAGCTGATTGTCGCCTGTAAGTATGAGCTCGTACCTCAGTGTCTCTCTCCGTCTCAGTGGATATTTTTTAGACTGGCTGACTTTAACTCATAGATATCTATTTTTCTGCTATACTTGTGCAAGTCAGAGCTTTAATAACATCAGTGTAGTCAAGACCTAAGGGTAGTAGATATTTATTGAATTCATATTTAATGTATCCTGAGTGTGCATACGGACATGAGGGCAGTTATGAAAAGATAAGGGGACATTTGATCATGGTGTGTGGCATTGTTCTGTCTAACTATGAGGTCGATCAGTGTGTGAGATAAACTGCTGTCTGGAGTTTCAGATAACAGAGACAAACAGCTGCTCCCATCCCTCTGCTGGTTGAATGTGCATCTAGATATTAGTGTATTATTTCAGACACAGCAGTTACGACAGAAGTCATCACCCACAGCACAAAAAAACAACACGGAAAACCTACCTCTCTTCTTCTTTGGCAGATCTGGTGGTGTCTTTTCCTGTGCACCAGCCTAATTACGGGACAGCGCCATCACCATGTCAGTGTAATACAGTTACTGCAGTTGGAAAATATCAAATTCACCAAGTGCTGTCCTTGGAGACAGGCTCATTGATCTCACTACAAAGCTGATCACCTTGATCACATTTTAGCCTTGAGAGATTTTGTGGTACAAGATCTGGTCAGACCCCCACTTATAACTAAAGCAGGACAGTCTCAGGCCCGTGAACAAACTCATTTGGGCAGTATGGTCCAGCATATACAGTAAAACGAGAAAAGAAGATCTTAAACTAAGTGGTGACCTGAGAAGTATTGGAGAGGCATAACCAGAGCAGGTGTGAACAGCTGTACATGGGGCTGTTCACCAGTGATCAGATCAGCAGGTAAACTTCATTCATACGACATATAGAACACCTTTTTTGAGCAAATTGAACCTGGCCAGGTTATACGTCTTACAAAGAAATAAAGTAAAAACAGGCTCTCCTGAAGCTGAATAAGTCTCATACGGTGTTGAGAGGAAGTCTCAATTCTTCGATTATCTGATATGACCAGATCTGTCCTTGTATGTATGTGTCTCAACAGAGTGAGTACTCCAGCGAATCGGAGAGCGAGGATGCCTTCCTGTTAATGCCTCCCCGAGATCACCTGGGTCTCAGTGTCTTCTCCATGCTCTGCTGCTTCTGGCCACTCGGCATTGCTGCCTTCTACCTGTCACATGAGGTAAGGACACACTTCCACCTGAGCTGGTCTGGCAAGGCTGTTTAAGTCAAGATTGAGTGACTCCTTTTGAGTTATGTTCTGGCTCCTTATTTTCCTGTAAGACCTACAGTTGTGTAGACAGCTGTAATACCCGGACAAAGCCGTGGTTTGGATGGTGAGTTCAGGAACACAATAAAAGAACTTGTAAAATTATCAGGTTGACTCTTTGTGGACATCTCATCATTGTAACAGAAGCAAAACAGTGGCACCGATTTCGGTCAGTAAAGGAGCAGATCAGTAAAAGTAGACATTTTTGGTACTATTACAATCCAAGAAAACGTCAGGCTTTGTGTTAACTGTTGATAAAAAAACTGAATTTGAAAGTTTTAAAATCTTTTAAAGCTTGTATTTGATTTAAAATACCACAAAGATGCTATCTTTAAAAGTACTGCAGTAAAAACAGACAGGACTCTGAAGTGGAGACAACAACAAGCTGGGTGTTATTGTCCAAAGTTAAGTCCAAAGCCAGCATCCCTGATGGTATGTGGATCATAGTGTTCATGGCATGAGTAACTTCCACATCTGTGAAGTCATTAATCAAGTCCACAAAATACTATTCTTTAAAATCCTGAAACCTTTGAGACTTTGTGTCAGACCCCCATTTGCAGGTTGATCCAAGGTCCCTTTTCTGTGAAGAATCATCATTGTTTCAGGTTTTTTGAAAGTCAGATTCAAGTATTTCACACAGAGAGGATGCGATGTTGGATTGGCCAGTTTCTGTGTCTACCATCAAGGAGATCCATTTAACCAAGATCCAGTCAGATACCTTTGTTACCAGTCTTACTGAAAACCTCCGGTAAGAAAGGGCCTGATCAGTTTGCTGCCTGGCTTGTCCCTCTCTTCTGATCTTAATTCCTCTGTATATTTGATAATCTCACTAACTGTGCACCTCTACATGACAGTATGTACTGTGTCAGCTGTTGAGAGGTTACTGTCAGGTGTCTGCAGACTATCGCAGCAATGGTTATACTCATGTCTTGATTGTGTAGCTTACTAAGGAATCACTAGACTTGTAGTTCTTGTGACCACTTTTACGTGGTTTCATTCTTGTCAAAGTCTCGACGATCTTTGGTCTTGGTCTTGTCTTGGTCTCAGGTCTCTCTGTCTCAATTGGTCTTAGACTGACAAAGTGGTCTCAAAGGGTTTTTTAGTCTGTAGTCATTACGATTACGTGCCATTCAGGCGCAACTATGACGTGTTTTGTAACACGAACGCAAGCGCTCATCCTACACCTCCTGTGCAGCACAGTCAGAGATTCATCAATAAGGCAGCATGACAGCTAATCCGTATGTCATCAAGTTTGGTTGTACAGACCATAAATAGTTTGTTTGCCAAATGACACTGAAGAGGAAATATTCTGTGGAATGCAAGTTTTGATAAGTGTGTTTGACAGAGACAGCGGGGACCACCAGACACCTGGAGCGTTCCTCTCTCTCTCTGCCCCTTTCTCTCTCTCTCTCTCTCTCTCTCACTCTCTCAATTTCCATTTTTTTATTTCAATGAGCTTTATTGGCATGACTGTTATTACAATATTGCCAAAGCGTTTTAACACAAAAAAAATAACAACAAAAATGGTGATAATAATGAAAAGAAGAAAAATACAATAATAACAACAACATAATAATAATAATAATAATAATAATAATAATAATAATAATAATTATTATTATTATTATTATTATTATTATTATTATTATTATTATTAGTAGTAGTAGTAGTAGTAGTATAGTTATTTTTATAAAAAATATATATAATCACAGCAATAATAATATTAATAGTAATAGTGATGAATGAATAGTGTCAGTATCATCATGTTTGCAGATAAAAACTCTGGAGCGTCTGTTCAAGTTATTTTCAGCTGCTTCTCTCTTTTCTGATAGCATGTATTCACCTATTTTGCTGCTTCTAAAGCAGTGGCCCCTTGTTCTCCTAAGAGATGTCTAAACTTTCCTGGTCTGTGAGTTGGGTGAAGTTGGGTGTTATTTGTGTGAGTTTAGTGTATGTGTGTGTCCTGATGTGTGTGTATGTGTCACAGTGCGGCAGGAAGTGGAGGAGGAAGTGCTGCTCTGTCTCAAGCTGTGTGTGAGGACATAGCCGACACAGCCACTCCTCTCTGGGCAGCCAGGTCTGCCTGTGGCGGCCGCTCTCTATGGCCAGGCTGTGGCTGCTGAGTCTGTACACAGTCAAGGTTCTCCTCAGTCTGGGGTCAGTTACTGAATTCAGTTAATCTGCCATGGAGTATTGTCTGTTTAGAGTATTGTCTGTTTATTGTCTATTCTCTCTTTCTTCTCTCTCTCTCTCTCTATCTCTCTTTCTGTCTGTCTGTCCATTTCTAGTGAACTCCTGCCTCTGTGTCTGCATGACTGATGGTTGCTTTACCGTCATAAGTTTATTTAAAGGGTGAGATACAGTAATGTCACTGTCAAACAGGAGTAGATAACCTGCTACAGTTATACCTTCACTTTCAGGCTAAGGTAGTGTAGGCTCTGTGCTGTCTGATCTTCGTTTAGGGAGGATGAGGACTTTGTAGGAATTACTGTTTTATGTCAGATAAAACAAGCAAACAAAACTGAACCACTGAGGAGCTATCTAAACCAGAAAAGAGCAAAGTTCCACCAAGCTACGGATAATGTAGTTTAGGTGGGGTAGGCAGGATCTGAATAAACACTAGATTTTGGGAGAAATCTTGAAAGTAAACACTACTCCTCCCCTCCAGTTTTCCCCTCAGCTGCTCCTCTCCCTTCCCGCTCTGCTCCAGCAAGCCTAGCCCAAAAAAAAGACATTTGTGTATGCCCACATTGCTCCAATTTTTCGGCGATTTATCAACAAACCATTTCAATCATTGGAACATGTCTAATTCTGACATAAGAAGACTAAATGACAGCTTGCATCTGATGTAAAATTTCTTAAATCGTGTACGGTCCCCTATTATTCAATGTCTACGCCAATGTTTACTTGGGCCCTATTTCTTGCCGAGTCTCTCTTCTTCTTGAGTGTCTGTTTTTCGGCTACAGTCCTCAGTATTTTGATCTTTTTCTTTGGAGTGTGGGCAGTCATGGCCAAAAGAGAAAACAGCTTTGACTCAGGCTTCTTCAGCTGCTTTCCACTTTCCGCCAGTGTCACAAAATTGTTTTGGGGGAGAATGGTTTTGTTTACAGTCAAAAAGTGCGGCCGCTCAAAAATTTTGAAATGTTGACTATACAGACATAAGAGAACACAACAATATCGTTATATTCTCAAATGTCATCAATAATTAATAGCAATTGACTGATATCAAAGGTTTTGTATATAAACCACAAAAAAAATTGCTTCTTTAATGGATTCCTGCCTCCCCCACCTTAAAGCTACTAATGTCCCAATTTGTAAAGCCATCTGCTGGCTTTTAGTTGCAGATAGCGTGTCACTGATTATCTTGTGTGTATAATCAATGATGTAGTGTGTATCAGATGGTGTTGAGTGTCTGAAGATTGTGTGTTGTGTGCTCAGACTACAGATGATCCGTGTCGTTACTAGTTTATCCTTTTTTTTCTCGGTGTGAGTATCATTATAATGAGGCTGTTCCTACACACACTGGCACACACTGGCACACACTGACACACATTGACACACACTGATCTGCAGCCAGCCCGAGGATGACTCCATCTACCTGCCCCTCTATGTTTGTGTGTTTCAGAGTTAATTCAGATTTCTAAGGAATTAGTTGTTTAATTATAAGTAAAGGTGAGCCTGTTGTCTCTGCTGTCAGTTCAACTGTGTGTAGAAAAAGCTTTTGTTACCTCAGAAGAATAAACAAGAAAGGACAGACATTTAGTGGACAACATTATTTTCAGCCGGGTGCAGCTGAGTTTTGCTCAGGTCATGAAAGTTTACATGTTAGACTTTGGGCTCTATTTTCGTGTAAGCCCGTGAGGCGGCGGAGGGCGGCGGGCCCCGTGCAGTTGTATTTTCATCTGGCGCAGCCCGGCGTACAGCCAGTTTGGTATTTTCGTGGACTGAGGTGCACGGAGGCGAGCCGAGATCCGCCAAGCTGGGCGTGGTGGCGTGGCAGGGGGAAGTGTCAACAGAATCAACGGGCGCAGTGACATTTTCATGCTCGCCACTGGCGTGTAAAGTGCGCTGAAAGCTTGCCGATTCAAAGCTGGTCAGCTTTCAGCGCAGGCGGAACGCAGCTGGTCTAGTAGTATTTTGATAGACCGGCGGTGTATCGGCATACGTCACCGATGCCTCACCGGCAGGTTTCCACTGTGTCAGGCACATTTCAGTGCAATAAATAATCATCAACAACTATTAATCTGAGTCAGCACATACATTTAGATCTATATAGATATATTCTGATCTATATCTGATCTGATGAGCGCGTTTGGCACGCGTTTGGACACACAACCTGACCGAATCAACACAGCTGAAACCGCATTAAATTAAATTAAATATCTAGTAAATAGACACACGTCTCCCTCCTTTTCTTTCTTCCTCTTCCTCTTATTTCTCGCACAGCTCGTCCTGGACACGTCTCCGTGTCCTCTCTCGGCCCTGCTGCAATAGCGGCTGAACAGATGATTTGTTTCAGTGCTCAGATGAGTTATTTACTTTAAGCCTACACACGAATATTATAATATTCAGTTTTGTGAGCCAAATTTATTTAATATGCCAACATCTATGAAAGAAAGAGCCAGGCCACGGAGCGCGATGCGTCATTTACGCACAGATGGTTCCGATTTTAATGCCATTATTGGAGTTTATGTTGTGATCTGTGCACTCATCCCACCTTTGTCACGTGAGGTTTGAATATGAGCAACTTTATGTGAGTGTCTTTATTTGTGGAAAAGGGTGTTTGTCTTACCAGTGGGTCCAATATCACACACACCAAATCCATCTGTGCTCAAATGAGAGAGTGTGGAGGACGCCCAATGCAGCGCTTACAGTGACACTTGTTGAGGAGCTGCCCTTTGTCGCCATCGTGTGGCATAACTGTCTTCCGACATCTCTTGATCTCTTTGACTACTTCATGAAAATTGTAATACGCCTTGCCGGTGGCGGATTTAAAGGCAAGGAGAGGAGCTTATGTGATTGGTGAAAACTGGTCTCGGCTGTGTTAAACCCACTCCACGCCCTCTCTCCTCCCTCGCTACGACTTACGCCGCTGGGAGGAGCTGAGTTAGGGAGGGGGGATACTTACACCGGGCTGTACCGCTCACCAAAATACCAAATTGTGCTTGGGAACGCCTTGTCGGCGCGGCGGACCTCACTTACGCCGCACATGCACGAAAATAGAGCCCTGTGTTGCTTTATACAATAAGGGCTTTATCTGATCATTTTTTAAAAAGCACACTGACAGCTCAGAGAAGTTTTAGGGCCTGATCTACTAAACTGGGTACACCAACTGTCAAATAAAAAAAACAAAACAGCACACGCAATCCATTTAGCGTGTTTGCCTTCATCAATATGCAGAATGTATGCAGATTAGCAGAATGCTTAAAATATTTGAAGGAGGAGGAGATACAAATGGAATCATTTAGCACCCACAATGTGACTTATCAAACCCTGAAACTGGTTGCGGTCACTGTTTTGTATATTTAGCACGTTGGAAAGGCAGGTGCAAATTGGCACAGTGTTACACACAAATGGCTGTGGTCACTGTGGCGAGAAGATGGCATATGTGAAATGACACAGAGGACGGAGAGAGAGAGTCTCCCATGTCAACATATTTGGACAGTCAGAAATAAAGATAGTAGAGTAATAGTTACAGTAATGCCATTTTTTAGCTTGTGGGTGACCTAAGGGCTGATTTGGAGCCTGACACAAAAATGACCCATGTCGTATTTCCTTGTAACACTTCATTTTCCTGCATCTGGATCATTCCAGTGCACCATCACAGTTCATGCCGGCATCTTCAAGAATAGTTTTTCTGGTGTGCTGTCCCAAGTGTTAAATGCTATGTCATGCAGAATAGGCAAGTATATCCAGTTCCCAGGACGCAGTAAATGACACAATATACAGCTTTATGTAGTTGCTGGTTTCCTCAAAATGATAGGTCCAACTCCATGGCTTCAAACTTAATTTTTTATTTACGGACACTCTGCTCTTCCAAACTCACCATAGTGACATACGGTAACACAGGCAAAATCCTCATTTAATAGGGCGGTTCGCTCCACTTCTGCACCTATTACCAATTTGCACCCGATCAAAGTAGATCACTTGCAACATGCCCACTAACAGCACGTGCAATTTTTTTAGTTTGCACATGCATTTTGGCACTCCTTATTTGGGATCTTAGTAGATCAGGCCTTAAGTGTGTGAAAAATGTAAATAAGGTCATTGTGAGTGGAGGCTGAGAGGGTTTTAAATCACTGGTTTGTGTGTGTTTGTTGTTGTTGTTGTGTGGCCGAGGCTGATCTGCTGCATGTGTCGAGGATGCAGTTTCCATGGCACCTCTCACCTTCAGTTCAAGATTTATATCGTGCAGTGGTGAAAGTGGAAAGTGTTGCTACCAGCTACACTGCCCACACTGGAATCCATCACTACACAATATGACACTATGCAGCAACAGCAGGAGGAGGAGGAGAGGGAGGGAAGAGGAGTTAAGTCATGTTAAAGGAGCAGTTCAACACTAACAATCATGTCCATCTGCCCTCCTTTTGTCTTTCAAAGGTCAAAGGTTCAACATTTAAACAGCAGAATAATAATGAAAAAAGACAGACAGAAAATTTGAAAACCTCAGACCTCAGCTTCTTCAGCTCAGTTTACAAGAAATAATAGAAACATCTGACAATTTTTGGGCTGCTCAAGCTTAAAACTAGGATCATCTAATACCTCAGTACCGGTAACATATCTGCAGTGGCTGCTAAAGCTGACCAAACTCTGACAGCCTTCACAATTTCTAGGAGAAAATTCAGAAACACACCTGCAAAAGTAAAAAAAGAAAAATCAACAGCAGACACTTGCTGCAAATGAAAACAATGGGATGACACAAAATAGCTGCAGGAGAGTTATAGTGTGCAGAAATGTGAATAGTGATCAGATTGTAGATTGGTCCATATCCCCTCTCAGTTTCTTACCATTAAAATATCCGTACAGATTCCTAAACACATGACAGCACTCTTCCTCTCTTGTTATTTTATCTTCTTCTTTGTCTTCCAGTCAGTCCATGTATGCAGCCACCTTTGTGGACAATTACTGAATAAAAACGTGTGTGTGTGTGTGTGACTACTTTGTTTTCCCTGTAGAAACGTAGAGCAAGATAGCAGCTGCTGTGAAAGGAGACTTGCTCTTATATGTATGCACTCATAAAAGGTTCATTCATAGTTCACATAAATAAAAATATATTTATATTTTAAACATTTCTCCAAACACACTCAAAATGTCATACTCAATTTGTAATAAGTCTGCAAGACACCAAATATCACACTGTAGTATTATGATTCACAATGAATAATAGAAAAAAGGTGAAATGGAGGATGGCGTAAATCTGTCACTTTGTCAAAAACCTCATACATATTGTATTTTTGCATTATTATCTGAGGTGGTTTATGGAATATAAACTAATCCAACCTAATCCAGTCTGTTACTGATCAAAGAGCCCCTTACCAAGGCTACATCTCAGTCCTTTAAATTTACAGTCATGTTTCACTCACTTGCATTCTCCACTTGAGTCTCAGTCTTTCCCACCAGAGGTGCATTAAGATATGTAAGGAAAGAATAAGAGGGAAGACATGTTAAAGGAGACATTATCTTAAAGGGATATTCCGGCGTAAAATTAATTTTAAGGGTCAAACACACTGTAACACAGAGTTAGACACACCCGCGAGAGATGAATGTTGTCGACAGTTTGCTTCTCTAGTTATACCAACTCTAGTAACAACTACACAACTACAACTACACAATAGCAATACACAGCGGTCTAAGGAGCCAACATGCACACCTCAAAAAAGCCACTTTATAGCCACAAATAATGCTCAGAACAGCACCTGACTTCATCAACAGTACATATAGGGTCCCAGCCATAGTACTAGCCATCAAAGATCTTTTTAGCTTTGCCTAGCAAAGACACCAAAACACATCTCACCCACTCTCCTCCAGCAGCCGCTCGTGTGTAGGAAGACCTCAGGTGAGTCCATCACGAACTACAGTGGGGTGACGCAGCTCAAGGAAGAACATTTATGATCATCTCTTAATGGAAATGCAATCAGACTGAGACGCTAAGGATTAATATGGCCATATTAATCATTTGGCACTACCACCGTGGCACTCTTCCTTGAGCTGTGTCACCCCACTGTAGTTCGTGATGAACTCATCCAAGGTCTTCGTAGCTGCTGGAAGAGAGTGGGTAAGTTGTGTTTAGTCTCTTTGCTAAAGAAATCAGGCAAAACTAAAAATATTTTTGGTGGCTAGTGCTATGGCTGGGACCCTATACGTACTGTTGATGAAGTTAGGTGCTGTTCTGAGCACTATTTGTGGCTATAAAGTGGCTTTTTGATGAAGTTGTGTGCGTTGGCTCCTTAGACCACTGTATATTGCTACTGTGCGGTCAATACAAAAGTTGCTATAACTAGAGAAGCAAACAGTCTGCAACATTCATCTCTCGAGGGTGTGTCTAACTCTGTGTTACAGTGTGTTTGACCCTAAATTAATTTTACGCCGGAATATCCCTTTAAGTGACGTGACATCCATTCATGATCATCAGTGGATTAGCGGTTTGTGTCTGCACACTCCAGAACATCCAGTAACAGTGTCATTGCTGTGTATGTTACCTGTTAAAAAAAGACCTTCACACAAAGAACACAAAGGGCTCTATTTTCGTGCCTCGCCGGAGACGTGGCGCAGGTGCGGCGTAAGTCAGGTCCGCCGCGCCGACAAGGCGTTCCCAAGGCGGTATTTTGGTGAGCAGCGCAGCCCGGCGTAAGTATCCCCCCTCCCTAACTCAGCTCCTCCCAGCGGCGTAAGTCGTAGCGAGGGAGGAGAAAGGGCGTGGAGTGGGTTTAACACAGCCGAGACCTGTTTTTACCAATCACATAAGCTCCTCTCCTTGCCTTTAAATCCGCCACAGGCGAGGCGTATTCCTATTTTCATGAAGTAGTCAAAGAGATCAAGAGATGGCTGAAGACAGTAATGCCACACAATGGCGACAGAGGGCAGCTCCTCAACAAGTGTCACTGTAAGCGCTGCATGGGGTGTCCTCCACACTCTCATATGAGCACAGATGGATTTGGTGTGTGTAATGTTGGACCCACTGCTAAGACAAACACCCTTTTCCACAAATAAAGACACTCACATAAAGTTGCATATATTCAAACCTCACGTGACAAAGGTGGGTTGTGCGCACAGATCACAACATAATCTCCATAAATGGCATTAAAATCGTAACCATCTGTGCGTAAATGACGCATCGCGCTCCGTGGCCTGGCTCTTTCTTTCATAGATACTGGCATATAAAATAAATTTGGCTCACAAAACTGAATGTTATAATATCCGTATGTCGGCTTAAAGTAGATAACTCATCTGATCACTGAAACAAATCATCTGTTCAGCCGCTGCAGGACGGAGAGAGGACACGGAGACGTGTCCAGGACGAGCTGTGCGAGAAATAAGAGGAAGAGGAAGAAAGAAAAGGAGGGAGATGAATTACATATCTAGACAACTTCATCATGTGTGAAAATTTACTAGATATTAAATTTAATTTGATGCGGTTTCAGCTGTATTGATTCGGTCAGGTTGTGTGTCCAAACGCGTGCCAAACGCGCTCATCAGATCACATATGGATCAGAATATATCTATATAGATCTAAATGTATGTGCTGACTCAGATTAGTAGTTGTTGATGATTATTTATTGCACTGAAATGTGCCTGACACTGTGGAAACCTGCCGGTGAGGCATCGGTGAAGTATGCCGATACGCTGCCGGTCTACCAAAATACTACTAGACCAGCTGCACTCCGCCTGCGCTGAAAGCTGACCAGGTTTGAATCGGCGAGCTTTCAGCGCACTTTACACGCCACTGGCGAGCACGAAAATGTCACTGCGCCCACTGATTCTGTTGACACCTCCCCCTGCCACGCCACCACGCCCAGCTTGGCGGATCTCGGCTCGCCGCCGTGCGCCTCAGTCCACGAAAATACCAAACTGGCTGTACGCCGGGCTGCGCCAGATGAAAATACAACTGCGCAGGGTCCGCCACCCTCCGTCTCCTCACCAGCGTACACGAAAATAGAGCCCAAAGTCTTTTTTATTCTGTGCCTTGCTCAGAACCACCTGGACCTTGTCTCTCTGCACACTAATTTACTGTTGAATTATTCATGAATCATTTGAATCTGTACTTGCTGATAACTTGATTGTAAAGCCTGTTTTTATAAGAAACCCAGACACTTTTAAGTGTCCCAAGAGCACTAAAAACTATTTAATAGATTGAACATTTCAGGGCAAACCTTATTTGACACTACATGGAACAGGCGTTTTGAGCTTATAGTCACACACTTGTTGTTCAGAAGCAGACATGTGTTTCTGATCTGTTTTAGGCCCCCCCGTATTTTCTGTTTCAAGGTCTTCCTTTGCTCCATTATTGAACTCTGGTGATGTTGTTAAGTTTCAGATAAGACCAATCAAACCACAAAAACACACTACATCACTGAATAACTTACTTAATATACTGTAAGTGTACTCTGTTTGAATGAAGAGCCAGGGAGATCTCAAAGGCATATACCTAACTTATACCTTTAAAAAAAAAAAACACAACTGCACAGTTGACTCAACATTATTATAGTTTGTCAAGATGACAAACAACAACCAGGTTAAGTTGACTTTCCATTTCACTGTCACCAGTGATCAAGATATTCACAAACAAGTTATAGGTCATGATTGCTGTGGGCTGTAGAAAATAAAAGACAGACAGAAAGGAGCTCAGTGCACCATCTCTCTCTGGCAGTCTCAGGCTCGAACTACACGTATATAGATATTTATTTATCTGGATATTTTTGTACTCCCGTCTAGATAAATGTATCTGTCCACACGTGTTAGTTCTCAAAAATATCTGCATCCACACGTAGCAGTCAAACTCAATCCTATCTGGTGCCGCTTAAAAAAAATTCAGGAACAAAGCTACCTGATTGGCCGATGAATCGTAACAGCGTGATGCATCATGCATTGTTTGCAGAAGCTACGCTAGTGCGTCGGGTCCATGTGATGGACCATGTGACCAATAAAAGTATTGGCCGCAGCAGACGCTTCTGTGAGCTGGCTGACTGGTGGATGTAATTGTATAAAACAAGGTTCACTTGCAAGGCTGAAATTAGCCCCAAAAGGGCAAAAAAAAAACAAAACGTAAAGAATACCCTGTCTGTCCGCCATCGTTGTTGTTGTTTTTCTTTTTAATTCGCATGCGCGAGCTGCGGTTTGACGTCATCGATCCGTAAAAGTCCAACCACACGAATCCACTACGGATACGGGATACGGGATACGGGATTATTTTTTTATTTCTCCACTTGTTTTTTTCGTATTCAGATTTATCCGGTTTGAGTGCTCCAAACTCCTGTTTTGGTGTGGTAGGGAGGCCTAATCGGACATAAATATGTGTGGTTTGAAATATATCCGCATTCGTGTAGTTCGGGCCTAAGCCTGTGGCAGCTGAGGGCTAAAGCAGTCTATCGCAGTAAAAGCCTGTCCAAACCTTTTGCAGTCCAAGTCTTTGCCTGTCTGAGGCCTAGTTTATTCTTCTCCATTAGAACTATGCTGCATCTCAACTGGAGGCTGTGCTCACATGCTTCTGTGTCGCTCTGCAGTGTAATGTCTAGTAAGCAGTGTAATGCCTGTGTGCTCATCCTACTGCCAGTTCCTGATCTCACGACAGAACCACTGAAGATTGAACAGACCTGCTGCTCTTATCACCAAACCTGGTTACAACAGGTAAAGATAAGATGAACCTAACTGTGTTTCCATTATGATCGATGGTCAGGGTGTTTTGTTGTGCAGATCCTGTAGTTTCAGGGTGATTTTCTGTCCTCCTCCTTCCAGGTCAGTTCACTCTGTGAACCTGAGTGTCCAGACAGTCAACTGTGCGAGAGGCAGACTCATACAATCTGTTTGTCGTTAAACTGCTGTGGATAATCTGAATGGGTGCACACACACACACACACACACACACACACACACACACACACACACACACACACACACACACACACACACACACACACACACACACAGCTCTTTACATAACTTTTTGGCTCCACAGATTCAACTCAGATCTACAAGGACGTTTTTCATGATGTAGCAGATACTGGGGGAGCACTGTATTGTCTTTAGCTCAGCCGATCACATGAGGCTCCGCCCATCTGCTCTGGTGAACTGACGTCAGTGATTGGACCTCTGATTGTTCTGAAAGTGTAATTAAATCTTACAGGAAGTGCAGCAGTGATTACAGGAGGCTGTTTCGTGTCAGTGAGCGTTTAAATCTTCTTTAAAGACAGTTTGTCCAGTCTCACTCTCACCTGTGAAAGCACGGCTTCTCAATTATTACACCTGATTTTGATTCTGTGTAAACATAGCAATACCAGGTTACACCCATAAAATCATGGTGTCCTGTTTCTCTACACATTTCAGTGATTTCAATTCCCAACAGCCGATCACAGCAGACCAGATGACCATCCAGATAAACATTAAAAAATGGTCTGAATGTAATTTATCTCTGCTCAGGCTGCCACAGTCATCCAAGGGTTTACTTTCCTATCATCATTAGGATGGTTTGCCTTTCGATTGCATCAAATTATTCAAAAGCTGATAACAGAACAGAGTGGCTGCTGATGCCCTCCCCGAGCCTCATTATCCTATTCTTGATGTCTGCCGTGCTGTTTCCATCTCTGCACATCCTGAAGCATGTTCAACTCATTTTGACCATTTTTTCCCCCAAAAAAACAAAAAACAAAAAACAAACAAACAAACAAACAAACAAACAAACAAACAAATAAACAAAAAAACACACGTGACTTCACAACCCCTTTATACAGTAATAATGATCAGGGACTTTCCACATTTACAGGCCTACGTACATTCCCTCATGAGGCCCTGCCTCCCAACTTCGTATAATGACAGAAGTCGGAACCAAGTTGTCCACAGTATACAGTGTTTGTTTGTACATCTCTGACATGCCTGTAACTCATGACTCTAAATACATCTGAAGCTGGTCCTCTGATAGAGAGACTCAGAATAAGACAACATCTCTAAATCAGGAGGCAGGACAGCTTCACTTCTTTGTTTTCTTTTCTGTCCCTCACCCTCTCCCTTCTCTTCCCCTCAGACCAATAAGGCAGTGTCAAAAGGTGACTTCCACCTGGCCAGCTCCAGTTCAAGGCGGGCTCTCTTCCTAGCTGTGCTGTCAATCACCATTGGGACAGGTATCTATGTGGGCATGGCTGTGGCGCTCATCGCCTACCTCTCAAAGAACCACCACTGGTAACATCATTGGAGGGGTTACCTAACATGACACCAGAGGTAATGTGGAATGTTCAACTTACCTGGAGACTCAGGTGAGCGTTTCCTTGGCACGTCGACCCACAGAGATGAGTTGGAGGATGTCCTCTAACCTGCTGGAGATGGTTCAACAGAACAGGCAGAGTTGATCAATCATTACACTATGAGATACTTTGGCTGAGTCAACCTCAGCAGGCTGGCTGTATGTCAAGTGACTCTGAAGGCTAAAGCCTTTGAACCTATCGGAACATAGGATCTTTGTAAGGAATTGTGGGCATTTTTGAGAAGATGAGATACTGGAGCAAAGATGCTTCAGCAAGTTGTTGTTTTTATTTTTGTTGGTTTTCAGTTTCAAGCAGGGAGCATTTCCAATGCGATATTTGTTGCTCATATTTTCCACTGTAAACAGACAATTCAAGAGAAACGAACTGAAAACACAAAGGGCTCTATTTTTGTGCTCACCGATTCAAACCTGTTCAGCTTTCAGCGCAGGCGGAGCGCAGCTGGTCTCATGGTATTTTGGTAGACCGGCTGCGTATCAGCATACGTCACCAATGCCTCACCGGCAGGTTTCAACAGTGTCAGGCACATTTCAGTGCAATATATAATCATCAACAACTAATAATCTGAGTCAGCACATACATTTATATCTATATAGATATATTCTGATCTACATCTGATCTGATGAGGTCGTTTGGCACGCGTTTGGACACACAACCTGACCGAATCAACACAGCTGAAACCGCATTAAATTAAATTAAATATCTAGTAAATAGACACACATCTTCCTCTTATTTCTCGCGCAGCTCGACCTGGACATGTCTTTGTGTCCTCTCCCCGTCCTGCTGCAGCTGCGGCGGCTGAACAGCTGATTTGTTTCAGTGATCAGATGAGTTATTTACTTTAAGCCTACATGCGGATATTATAATATTCAGTTTTGTGAGACAAATTTATTTTTTATGCCAACATCTATGAAAGAAAGAGCCAGGCCACGGAGCGCGATGCGTCATTACGCACAGATGGTTCCGATTTTAATGCCATTATTGGAATTTATTATGTGATCTGTGCGCTCAACCCACCTTTGTCACGTGAGGTTTGAATATGTGCAACTTTATGTGAGTGTCTTTATTTGTGGAAAGGGTGTTTGTCTTACTAGTGGGTCCAAACTTACACACACCAAATCCCTCTGTGCTCTTATGAGAGAGTGTGAAGGATGCCCTCTGAAGCGTTTACAGTGACACTTGTTGAGGAGCTGCCTTCTGTCGCCATCCTGTGGCATTGCTGTCTTCAGACATCTCTTGATTTCTTTGACTACTTACTAAATATGCCTTGCTGGTGGCGGATTTAAAGGCGAGAAGAGGAGCTTATGTGATTGGTGAAAACAGGTCTCGGCTGTGTTAAACCCTCTCCACGCCCTGGGAGGAGCTGAGTTAGGGAGGGGGGATTCTTACGCCGGGCTGCGCCGCTCACCAAAATACCAAATTGTGCTTAGGAACGCCTTGTCGGCGCGGCGGACCTGACTTAGGCCGCGCATGCGCCGCGTCGCCGGCGAGGCACAAAAATAGAGCCCAAAGAGTCTGGAGAAACCTGAGGAGCCAAAAAAGTGTCAGGATGTTCCTGGTGATTCACTTCCCTGTTGATTGACCAGAAATTTAAGTTAACTTAAAAAGAAGTCTGAACAGAGCACAGTGTGTTTTACATGTCCACACGCAGGATCTCTGAGTGCACAGTTTAACAATGTTAAATTGGTTTTCAGAGTCTGGCTGTCATTAGCAGAGCTAACACCACCAGCTTTCAGCCCTTCACGCTGCACATTAGGCATTGCTCCAGTTTAACAGAGATTTATTATGTGACTCACAAAACTTTATATAACTGTTTTCTAGATCAAAATACTGACAGACCATGCAGAGGTGGGACCTCCACATGGGCCCACTTCAACAAGTTTTTGAACTGGACTCACCTTCAGGGCTACAACACAATTAATCAACATGAACAAAAGGTTATAACGAGTGGAGGAACACACTACTTCATACACTGAGCTAATGGAAGAGTTAACCTCACATATGGCCATCCACTTCTCATAGTTTATGATTTATCCATGTCACCAGCCTGCCTGTGGCTTTGTTGGAGAAAATGAGCATTTGTCATGCTTTTATTTCAGTAATCTTTCTGACTTGCCATTTGATCGCCTATTTTCTACATCATCAAACTTCTTTTAAAAAGTCAACACTTCTTCTGGTGGGCCCTAGGTCGCTTACCTGAATAAAAACAGTAAAGAAGAACAATTAGATTGTATTTTCAATGTTTAATAGATTAGGAAAAGAATGAGACAGAAGCTCCAACATTATTTTTGGATGCCACAAGAACAGCTTTTGTCAACGCTGACCCCTTCTCTAAAACTGGGTTTTCTGAATTTGCATGTCCGTGGTCCCTGGTGCTTCTGCATTACACCCCCCATGGACTAGCTTTTAGCTGAGCCCATTGAAGGGGGTCCTGATGATTTGGACTCAGAGGAGGAAAAGATTTTGTCCACAGAGGTTCAACTTTAACCAACAATAATAATATTAATAACATTAGTCTCCTGTACCTGTTACACAGTTTGATGATTAATCAATTTCAGAGTGGAAAAAAACTCATAGGGAAGAGTTTTAACCAGAAGTCACTGTCAAATGTGCTTAACTTTGCTCCTCCACTACACTCAAAATATTCTTTAAAAGAAATCTGGCAAGTCAGAAGAAAAGGATGAAATAGACGAATATGCCCATTTCAACCATTTCATACCAGCTGACACCTACACTGCTGGAGCTATTATCTTATCTACAAAGACTGAGAACAGACTGCCCACCCATCACACTGGAGATGAACTTCAACACAGAGTCGTGTGCTGGGTCATTGAGACTGCAGCACCAATGAAGGATCACCGGAGCATCATTAAGTACACTGGTATACTGATACTGGGTCACTGGATTACTAATACTGGATCAATAGGGCTGGATCACTAACTCTGGATCCGTTTACTGCTGAGACTAGACACCGAATCCTTTACTCTGGATCACAAATACTTGATCACATTTATGGGGCTAAGGTGTCCATGTTTGTTTTTCAGGACACACAGACTGAGTTTTCTTTTTTGACTGTTAAAGTATTTTCTTTTCTGATAAAAGAGAAATTAGATTTCTGTTCAAACTGATTCTTTCTCTCTGTGAATGTTTTTTCTGCTCGATTTTCAGTGTTTGTCTGACAATTTTATTGTAAAGTCACTGCTTATCAAAAAATGTAAGTCACAGCCTGAGCAGCCGTTCTTTCAGTTGGTTAAGAATATTGTCGTGCCGTAATAACACTTGTTAATTTTTGCAGCTATCATAATCATTTTAAGTGGTTTCATGAGTTATTTCAGTGTGAATCCATCAACAGAAGGATAACCCATCACTGTCAGCCACACACAGACCAGGTCTTTATATTCAGTCAGGTGTTAGTGAGAGCTGCAGGTGGGACCAAAGCCTCCAACATTAGACCTTGATCAAATGCCAAAATAATAACCCCCACCCCCAAAACCAGGGGGTGAGTCCAGACTTCACTGAGAGAGTCATACATAAATTATTCGGGCTCCTGCAGGGCTGGGATAAGAAACACCAGAATCAGAAGCTTTTATACACTAGTTTTATCTCCACTTTACTAAAGCAGCACCGTACTATTTGTACTGTGTTGTTCACAAAAGCCAAACCTTATTCTAGTCTCAAAGCACTTTGAGGAATTCAAAGTAAACTGAAACCTAAACAGGTAAAAAGTTGTGTAATGCTACAAAAAAATAAAATAAAATAAAATAAAAAAACAGCAGGATGAACATCTTGAAGTAATGACGATATGATCCACACTGCAGGTTAAAAACTGAACCTTGCAAGGAGGAAACCAGATAGAAACGAGATCCAGAAACACCAGAGCTTTTGCTGGACCCGAAACCATTTATGATGGGCTAAGGGGGAAACTGCCCTGACCAGTCAAACCTGACACTCCTCTGGGAAATCATGGACGCTGTGTCCTCTCCAGAGAGACCAGCCAGGCTAGTAGAGAGACCACCCGGCTTGTTCTCAGCTCCCAGTCCAAAACCAACATCCCTGATGGTATGGGGATCATCAGAATCTATGTCATGAGTATCTTCCACATCTGTGAAGGCTCCATTAATGCTGAACAATATGTACAGGTTTAGGAGCAACATCTGCTGCCTCTTTCAGGCAAGAATGGGACAACATTCACTTCCAGACTCTAGAAACTGGTCCACTGGGTTCACTAAGGTTTGAGGGAGTTGGGAAAAGAAGAGCTGATGGTACCTGATGGAAAACATGATCCTGTAGCAATTATAATTGAACTATGATTTTGTGGACTATCAAACTCTGTTTAATCAGCATTTAAAGGGCACCCTGTTTTGAGTTGGGGTCAAATGATGCACCGATAAAGTAACTCGCACCAGAGAAAAAATCATTGCATGAGTTAAAATATTTTATATTTCAGATGTAATGCTAGTTACATATTTGGACAACTAAAACCTATGATCAATTTTCTTAAACTATAAATACATCTAAAATTAATTTCTGCACTCAATAATTGGTTATTGGTTGAAAAAAAAGTTAATGGTTGGAGGAGACACTACATAATAAATTAGTATATTAACTCTCTTCAGCTTCACCTTATATTTGAGGTTTTGTCTGGTTGGTTGGTCTGAAGAATGTTTGGTCTCTTTGACATCTCTGACCTGGTTTGACTCTGAACAGGAAAGTCAGACCATTGAATGGATCTGATTATCTGAGGTCTGTTTGGAAACAAAGGATAGATCTTTCTCTCATTTTTGTTGTTGAATATTTGAACACAGGGTTAAAGGGCTGCAAACACCTTCATCTTTAAATAATTCTTCCTACGGACACACCTCACCTGCTGGGCTGTGACTAAACACACACACACACACACACACACACACACACACACACACACACACACACACACACACACACACACACACACTTGCACATTTACTAAATGTTAGAAGGCTTCTGGTAGACGCAGGTGTAATCTGGGATGGTTACCCTTGGATTTTCATTATTAAACTCAGACTTAAAGAAACAGTTGGACACTGAATCGGACTTTGTCAGAATTGGGAGCAGAACCAGAGGTCACATGATGAAAAAAATAAACATTTATATGTTTCTGAGAAGAACGGGTGCATTGATTTTTTATGTGTGTGAGTTTTGCAAAAATTAAAAGCTTTAAACAACAGACTGTGCTTGCCTTACTGGCTGACAGCAGTGTAGGTCATAATCCCTACCTCCTCTATGTTGACATATAACATTTCAGATACACAATTCTCAAACATAGGTCCTGTCATTAGTTGTCACCATTCTGTCCACTAGTCATCAAACACCTAGGCTGGCTGAAGAACATGTCACTCATCAGGACACTAAAACCTGGAATCAGTACATCAGCTGATGCACCAAACCATTGGTGGGCAGCCGAGGCAGTCGACATGTTCACGAATAGTACATATTTGGGGGCTGGGTGACTTTTATCTCATTTAGGTAAATAACTTTCCAGTGACTAGTAATTCACCCAACCACACTTAAAAACCTGAACCATCCCTTTAATTACGGATGACTTCTGACTCTTGTTTAATCACCAGATAACATTTGCTGAGTATGATCCTCTTCAACACGTCACTGTTTTTGTTTCAATTTTCACCTTTTATGCACAGGGTATTGTAGTCCTGAACAGAACACCTGAAGAGCTGCTCTGTGGAGTCACCGGATGTTCTGATGAAGATCTGATAATAAAAGTGTTTCATATTCAGACAGTTTCCATGAGCAGCATGATATTGGTTCAGCAGCTGACCTTTAAAACTACCCGTCACCATGGCAACAAAACACAACAACAACAGGGTCATTAAGCCTGTGAGTTAATCATACAGGCCCTCATTTATCAATCTTGCACAGATCTGAGCGCAGATCTGAGCACAGGATTCATTCTACGGTAGGACACACGTGAGATTTATGAAAGGGTTCGTATCTGACAAATCCCAGCGTTTGATGATTGGGTCTTGTTAATCGATCATCATTAACATGTTTACGCCCTTAAATATTTGTGGTTCAGAAGCCTCGCCCACTGAGGTCAAACATGAAAGAGGAGAAATATTAGAAAGAAACTTTTTCGAGGTGAAAGTGGATATCCTCACATCTGTGGTGGAAACTAACAAGGATTTTCTCTTTGGAAGCATCAAATAAAAGCAGTCCAGAAAACTCCTGTCTGGAGCAGGATTATGGTGGTGGTGAACAACGCTGCTGCGGAATAGTGAACAGTGGCTGAAGTTTGAATAAATCATTAGTCATTCAGTTGCTCATGATGATAAATTAATATCTCATACATGCCTCAAATCTTTTTTATGCCATGACATAGGGTACGTTGCTCCTATTATTGAAAGTATTTAGTTTAAATTTGTTGCGTCTTTGTAATGTAGAGCAGACTGGAGAGTCTGACAGAGGCTGAACAAAAATAATTATTAACATCACCAAACGGTGTGTTGCTGCTCCTGAGGCACATTTTTATGGATTTCTATTGGATTTTTATCACTGAATAAATAGCAAGAGCACTTTCTAAACTTATACTTTACATCAGAATCTATTGATAAGGTCCTGTCTCCTCTGTACAGCACCTTTGTGGGGTCTTTCCTCATTATTGTTCTCCGGGCATCAGGTCCTCACGTTGCATCGGCACAGCCAACGGCACTCCATTCTGGCCCAAATGATGTCCCACACTCTTTCAGGAGTGTACAACAACGTCCCCGCAGCTGGGCCAAGACAGAGACACCTGCCTTTTAGGAGTCAAACGCAGCGCTCCACAGTGGTGCGTGTGCGTGTGTGCCTAATGTTAAAACAGCGCTCCTGCTCTGTGGCAGTGTTTCTGGGCAGAGTTATCAAGTAGGCCTATTCACAAAAGACATAAAAAATTTATTTTATTTACGTCTTAATTTTTTTATGAAATCTGGCTGATTGTGCTTAATGACAGGTTTGAGGTTTATATATCAATTATTTTGAGACAGACATTTGCTGCACCACAGATCCACACTGACTCAAACTTGTGTACACAATGTCAGACCTGTTGTGAGATTTGGTCATAGCGTATGCTTACGTGCAGATTGATCAATGCCAATCCTCATGTCGCAACTCACCCATGCAAGGTGTACGCAAGTTTTCTGCCGTAGGCTACGCAAGCTTGATAAATGAGGGCCACTCTGTTTCATTAAAACCATCTATAAAACCAAGCCTGAGTTAAATTTATTCATGCAAACTTGTTTGTTTGTGTATTTGTTCTGTGTACATTTTTTCAGTCCGTAACACGATCATTCAGACTGTTTCCTTGATGATTTCAGACAATTCGTTTTAATCTTGTGTTCAGTAGCAGAGTTTGTCGTGTTTTTGTTGTTTTCATGCATCAATAATAACCCATCTTTCTTTTACATTCATCACAGCAAATGTTTCATGTAAATCCAGGAGTAATAATTGGGGATCAGCACATGGTGTTTTATTTTGAAATTTACCATCTGCCAAGCTTGACTAATTTTGAATGAAAATACAGGAGGTCCGTATCTGTATCCTGTTTCCAGGATGGATCTGAGATTCACCATTGCTCTACCTATGGAAACGCGAGCATCAACAAGCATAGGCAGCTCTAGTAGCACCAACAAAGGGTGAAGCACCAACTTCCTGTGGGAATTAAGGGTTATTTTCAGGGAGCACAGTGAGCATGTGCATCCATTCTGGCAAGGGCCATGGTTTGGCTCCATTCTACACATCCCAGCTATGACAGAAGAGCAGATCTATTTTCATTTTGGACATTGTGCTTTCTTCCAGTGACTCTGCTGAAGTGTGTGTCTGCTCTATATCAGCTCCAGTGGTCCAGAGATGATGCATGAATCAGCACAGCAGGACAAAATGAGGCAGACAGAAAGTCAGACAACGGCATTGTTGTCCCAAACAGCATTCAAACATTGTACAGTTTTTTTCTTTTTGTTTTTTCTTTAGTGACCTTGAGTTTTAAGAAAGGCGCTTACAAGTAAAATGTACTATTGTTATTATTATTATTATTATTATTATTATTATTATTAGGCACATATAGTGACACAGCATTTCCACTTATTGTTATTCTCCCATTTCTTTATTCTATTATTAAGTGGAAATGCTGACACAGTTTTTCCATTCATACCTTCCTCAGTTTTTCATTTTCAGTTTAGCATTGCTTTTTCAGCTTTCAGCACTCAGCATTTCCACGCATTTTCTGCAAGGAAATGCAATTTTTCTAGTTATTATTATTATTATTATTATTATTATTATTATTATTATTATTATTATGTGCCTGCCAAGTTGAGCCTTGTGAACAAGGCATGCACATATTGTTATCATCTGGGCAGGCTCAGTAACGGCCCAATAATGCAGAGGGCATACTTCCCTGAATTGGGGAGGGGCTGATGGAAAAAAACAAGCCAAAAAAAATGCCCCCCAAAATTCCCCATTAGTGTGCATTGCATGCTATGGCATATATTAGTATCCTAGACGGCAGATTAATTTTTTGTTATTATAGACACATATTCGGCAATTAATGTGGCCCGAATGGTAAGGTGCATCCAGGCATGGCATGTATCAAAACGTGCGTCTCCATCGTGTGACAGTGGGTATTACTTTTCTCTAGCATTACTGTTTCCATGGCGATGCTGGACACCAAAGAGCGATTTTTCACATACTTTGACGTAGAAACGTGATTAAAACATCAAAATGTTGACAACGGACCTGTGATTTCAACAGTATAGACGGCTCGTCAATATCTGGTATGGTTTGGCCACAGTAAAGGTCCTTACACACTGGGACCGACGCAAATATACGACGCGAAATCACGAAATTACAAATTTTGAGGCGCCTGACTATACACATCAAGCCCACTGTGATTTTGCGACTTTCTGGGGGGAAAAAAGATATGTGGAAGTAAGTAGACTGACACAACACCAGACTGAGTGTTTTTCAGTTCTGATTACACACTAGTGTTGAGATGTCTGTCTGTCATGATAGCATGTACTGAGTCGGGGCCAGTACCAGATAAGCACATTAAATTATAATCCATAAACGTAAGGTAACAACCGAGACCTAATAGAGCTGTAACAGCAACACGATTGAGTTTGAGACAGTGAAAATACATATGGTATGTTGTATCTGAACAGGTTAGCTTTCAAGCTAAAGCTACTTAGCACAGATGAAAGTTTAAACAAAGACATTTAGCAAACTGTTAAAGCACACAAACCATCATCATATGAGAAATCTGACGCTATAACTCTCCTTCAGGTCGTTATCTGTAGGAGCCGCAAGGTAAAGGTTTGTGGTTATGCTCTTGATTTGTTTTTGGTATTTTGTTGTGATTGGTGGCAGTGATTTGTGGAATCCGGGTCACGGGAATAGGGGCGGTGTCACTCAGTTGATTTAAGCACCTGGTCACCTGTGTTCACGAGGGAAGAGGTTTTGAGTGGGTCGCCGTATTTTTGTTGACCGCATGCACACATACTCTTTAAGTCCAGTGATCGCTGTTTCTTCAGTTGGTATCGTTTTGTTGATTGTTTCTTTAGTATTAAAGCACGTTTTTTCCTAATCGCTTCCCGTCTCAGCTGATCCATTGACAAAGCGCGTCAGACAATTAGACTCGGCCCGTATCTCATCCTCTAAGCGACATCCTGGTCTCTGAGGTCGCTACAGTTAGTCAACAAAAAAGGCAGATTATAATCACTCACACGGCAACGGATCGAGGTGCACTTCGGAGGAAAATGAAAAGAGCAAGCATCGGAGATGAAGCATGAGGGTAAGCGCTGTTTGATTGACAGCTCCGGACGCCACGCGGCATTGTGAATCTGCGGCAAGGTAAGCTTGTCTGCTCTCAGCCTTACTGAGGAAAGGAATGCGGCTTGCATATGCTGATTGTCAATTTGGGAGGATTGCCTGATATGACCTATGGTTCTCCGGACTCATGCTTTGATATTTTGATGGCTCACGGTGCTGGATGTCTCCATGCTTTTATTTTGAAATCTCCGTTGTGTCTCCTCGAAGTTACTGGTGCTTTGCTGTTGTGGAAAAATAATGTCTGTCTGATGGAGAATGCCTCTTGATTCATGGACGCAGTTTCAAATGCGCAAGGTTTGGGGAAAACATGCGCTGGAAATTAAAGGAGGAAAATGAGTCAAATAAACGCCGATTTTGCAAATGCTGAAATGCAGTGTGGAAAAAGAGAAATTAAACTCACCTTCAAAGCCATGGCAAATAAAATTGAGAAGCTTCAGCAAGAACGCAAGAACATTGTGCACAAAATTAAATGTCTCATACCAGAAACGAAAACTTTCATGAAAACAAAGGAAAAAGTCTCTACTGTGCTACTTCATACTGACAATTTAAATGAACTTTGTGAGAATGCCACCACATTGCACAACATGCTGCTTCCCTTACTCCCAGAGGATGAACAAACTAAACAAGATGAATGGTTCTCAAGCATCATGAGGTACAGCAATACATTTAAGGAGAATGTGAATAAATGGATGAGTGAAACAGTGGAATCGATCCACAATGACAGTCCTGATCAGTCTGGCCAAGCTGTAACAACTGGAGAGTGCATTTCTGACATTTATCACTCTCAAACAGCAGTGCAGGCTGTGTCAGTAATTATGGCTGATGATCCACCGGATGAAGTAAAACCAAGTGACAGTGTGTCTAATGTGGGAAGAGGAGCCAAATCACAAAGTTCTGTGTTTGGAGGAAAATCAGCTGTTTCAACCACTTCTTCAGTTCGTCTCCAAGCTGAAGCTGACTTGGCAGCACTTATGGCGAGACAAAAAATATTAAAGGACAAGCATGAACTGGAACAACAGGAGGAACAACTACGGAAAAGGAAGGAACAGCTTAAATTGGATGAGGAAATTGCAGCTCAAATGGCTAAACTGGATGTGTTGCGATCCAGGAGCATCTTAAGTGGGAGAGGTTCAAGAACAAAACACTCAGATGGAATGAATTCATACCTGGAAAAACAAAAATTAACATCACAACCTCTCAGAGCTGATTCCAGGGCATTTGTTCCGCTGAAGTCAACTGAACCAAAGGAAAACAATAAAGCACCTCAGCCACATTCTTACTCTCTTAATGCACCCAGTCTACAGGCAGGTCAAAATGCTAATGAAAGTATGCACGTTCAACAGCAAGATGCCTTGGGTGCAAGAGCTGGATCAGGAAATGTGGATCAAAATAATATGCTGTCTATTATGGGAAGGCAAAATGAAATAACATCACTCTTAATACAACAACAAAGCCTCTCATCCTTGCCTAGGAGGGCGATCCCAATTTTTGATGGTGATCCATTAAAATACCACACATTTAGAAGGGCCTTTGAGAATGGGGTTGAAGCGAACACGGAGAGCTGCAGTGACCGACGATACTACTTGGAGCAGTATACCAGTGGTCTTCCTAAACAACTAATCAGAAGCTGTCAGCATCTTGATCCAGTGAGAGGATATGCTAAAGCTAAAGTTTTGTTATCTGAGCATTTTGGTAATGAGCAGAAGGTTACAGCGGCATACATGGAAAAGGCTCTTTCATGGCCCTCCATCAAAACAGAAGATGTTAAAGCTCTTCAGGATTACAGCCTTTTCCTTAGAGGCTGTTCTAATGCCATGGAAGAGGTGCAGTATTTGCATGACTTCGATATGCCTGCTAACATGCTAACCATTATAAAGAAGTTGCCTTATAAGTACAGGGACAAATGGAGATCTGAGGCCTGTGAGCTGCAAGAGAGGCGTGGATACAGAGCTACATTCAAAGACATTACAAATTTCATTGAGAGACAAGTGAGAATTCTGACAGACCCAGTGTTCGGAAATATTCAGGATGCCCCCTCAGTTACCATACCTAGAGGTGTACATAAATTTGCCACACAGCCTCGTTCGGGTACGAAAGGGACCAGCTTCGCCACCACTGTGGCCCCTGTGGCCCCTGTGGCCCCTGTGGAAAAGAGAAATCAGCCTGGAGTCAGTGGTCAGGAATTTGTGCAATCAGCAAAGAAGACATGTTTTTGCTGTGGAGGAGGACACACATTGGATCTGTGTCCCAAGTTGGAGAAGAGGACTCACAAAGAGAAGATAGGCTTCTTAAGAGATAAAGGTGTCTGTTTTGGCTGTCTGTGTATTGGACACATCAGTAAAGATTGCAGAAAATGGATTTCTTGTGGAAAATGTGGCCTCAAACATCCTACTGTACTGCACATTCCTGCAAAAGAAAAGGTGAAGGATTCTGATCATGCTGAGAGGAAAGCAGAGATGATGGTGGACAGCACTCTGGTGTCGAGTGGTCTTACTGGGGCTGGTGATCATGATTGCAAACTTCCCATAGTCCCCGTTCAGGTCAAATCACAGAAGGGCACCACAATACTTGCCACATATGCTTTCTTGGATCCGGGAAGTACAGCAGTATTTTGTACTGACAGTTTAGTGCACAAGCTGGGCCTCACAGGGAGGAAAGTGCAAATTTTTTTGCGGACCATGGGCCAAGAGAAGGTTGTGAGCAGCCATATCGTGTCAGGCCTGTCCACAAAGGTAACATTCCCAAACAGTGTGATCTTGAGGATTGGCCTCATTTGAAACATGTATACCTGCCTGATATAGATGCAGGGATTGAGCTGCTGATAGGGACAAATGTTCCCCAGGCCCTGGAACCTTTGCAAGTCATTCGCAGTGCCAATGGCGGACCCTATGCAATAAAGACAATGCTGGGCTGGACTGTGAATGGACCACTGAAAGGAGACAGTGGGAGTACATTGAGTTGTGAGCAGCAACATGTAACAGTAAACAGAGTGTCTGTTGTGAATTTGGACGGACTCTGGCAGCAGCAGTTTGCAGCAGATTTTCCTGAGAGCAGTATGGATGAGCAACCTGCAATGTCAAGAGAGGATCATAAGTTCATGGAACTTGTCACAAACTCTGCGAAGCAAATGGATGGTCACTACCAGATCAACTTACCTTTGAGGAAGCCAGAACTTAGCATGCCAAATAACAGAAGTATTGTTGTACAGCGTGCTTTGCACCTAAAGAAAAGGCTTCAGAGGGACTTACCGTTTCATGCAGACTATAATGCCTTCATGAACGAGCTTGTTGCCAAAGGTTATGCAGAAAAGGTGCCTGAACGTGAGATAGATCGTGGAGATGGCAAAGTCTGGTATATTCCACACCATGGTGTTTACCATCGTACGAAAGGGAAAATCAGAGTTGTCTTTGACTGTGGGGCTAGTTTCCAGGGAACATCTCTCAATGCTGAGCTGCTACAAGGACCTGATCTAACCAGTTCACTGATTGGAGTGGTGACTAGATTCAGAAAGGAACCGGTGGTGATCATGGCAGATGTGGAAGCCATGTTTCACCAAGTGAAGGTACCTGCTGGAGATGCTGATCTGTTGAGATTCTTATGGTGGCCAGATGGGGATCTGAATCAACCTCTTACTGACTTCAGGATGAAGGTGCATCTCTTTGGAGCAACCTCATCACCCAGCTGTGCCAATTTTGCCCTCAGGAAGTGTGCAGAGGACCATAAAGAACAGTTTAGCCAGGAAGTTGTAGAAAAGGTCTTACATTGCTTCTACGTGGATGACTGTTTGGTGTCTGTACCTACCGAAGAGGAGGCAGTAGCTCTCTATCATGACCTTGTCTCAATCTGTGCCAAGGGTGGGTTCCATCTCAATAAATGGACAAGCAACAGGCGTGAAGTCCTAGCTGTGATGCCTGAAACACAAAGAGCAAAGGTCATGAAAGAGTTGGACATGGACTTGGATCGGCTACCTGTGGAAAGAGTACTTGGTGTGGAATGGTGTATTCGCTCTGATACCTTTAAGTTTAAGATTGTCATCAAAGACAGACCACTTACCAGAAGAGGGATTCTCTCCACTGTTAGTTCCATCTATGATCCTCTAGGGATACTTAGTCCAGTCATCTTGTCTGCAAAGAAAATCCTAAGAGATCTGTGCAGGAGATCACTTGGATGGGATGACATCATTATGGAGTCAGTTGCTGAAAAGTGGATAACCTGGTTGCAGGAACTCAGTCTTCTGGAGAACTTTAGTCTCATGAGGTGTCTGAAACCCCAGAACGTTGGAGCCACAACTAAGACACAGTTGCACCATTTCTGTGATGCAAGTGAGGATGGTTACGGAGTAGTTACTTACCTGCTGTCCCATGGTTCACACTCACAAGTACACAGTGCCTTCATTGGGGGAAAAGCAAGGGTTGCTCCACTGAAGTCTGTTACTATACCCCGAATGGAGCTCATTGCCGCAACAATGGCAAGTCGCATGGATGTCCTGTGGAGGAAAGAGCTGCACATGAACCTTCAGGAGTCTGTGTTCTGGACCGATAGCGAGTCTGTGCTCAAGTACATCGGTAATGAGACTTCAAGGTTTAAAGTCTTTGTTGCCAACCGAGTCTCAGAAATACTCAAGGTGTCAGAGCCTTCTCAATGGAGATATGTGGACACTGCAAGTAATCCAGCCGATATTGCCTCTAGAGGTTTGAAGGTGGATGCATTTCTCAAGAATGAAATTTGGGTGTCAGGTCCACAGTTTCTTATTCAGCTTGAGACTGAGTGGCCAAGTAAATTTGGGAATGTTATCCAGCTTCCACCAGATGACCCTGAGGTCAAAAGAGCTGCTGTGGTGAATGCTGCTCAGGTTGGAGAAGAGGCTGACACTGTGAGTCGCATGATCCGCTGCTTCTCATCTTGGATTGCTCTGAGAAAATCTGTGGCTTGGATATTGAGGTACAGGAACTGGCTTTTGTCATGTTATCAGAAAAGGAGACAGTTGATCACAGATTTGGCTAAATCTGACTTGAATGCAAAATCACAAAGACGTTCATTGGAGGAGGCGATGGACACTTTCAAAAGGGAATCAATGGGCAGTCATCTGTCAGTGGAGGAACTTGAAAAAGCTGAGCTGGAAATTGTCAAGTTCTGTCAAAGGAAGACGTTTCCAGAGGAGTTGTCCAGACTCCAAAATGGGCAGTGTGTGAAGGGCAGAAGTCCTATTCACAGACTCTGCCCACAGCTACAAGATGGTGTTCTGAGAGTTGGTGGTCGGTTGAGCAAGTCATCTATGCCTGTGGAGGCTCAACATCCCGTTATATTATCAAAGGAATTCCACATCTCAGACCTTCTTCTTAGGCACATCCATCAGGAAGTGGGACATGGTGGACGTAACCACATGTTATCCAAATTGCAGGAGAAGTACTGGATCACTGGAGTCAGTACAGTCATGAGGAGAGTTTTATCAAAGTGTGTCACCTGTCGGAGGCTGAATGCTCAGCCAGTGTCTCAGCAGATGGCGGACTTGCCACACGAAAGAGTTACTCCGGATGAACCACCATTTACACATGTTGGCGTGGACTATTTTAAACCATTTGAAGTTAAAAGCAGAAGAAGTGTGGTCAAGAGGTATGGTGTCATCTTTACATGCTTGGCCATTCGAGCAATTCACATTGAAGTGGCTCCTTCACTGGACACCGACTCATTCATTAATGCTCTTAGACGCTTCATAGCAAGACGTGGTCAAGTCCTGGAACTGCGGTCTGATAATGGCACGAATTTTGTGGGGGCGGAGCGTGAGCTGAGGGTGGCGATTGAACAGTGGAATCAGTCACAAATCCATGATATGCTTCTCCAGAGGGGAATCAAGTGGACATTTAACCCCCCAGCTGGCTCGCATCATGGAGGATCTTGGGAGAGGTTAATTCGTTCTGTGAGGAAGGTCCTCAACTCCACCTTGAATGTGCAGAACCTGGATGAAGAAGATCTTCACACAGTTCTTTGTGAGGTGGAGGCCATAATTAACAGTCGGCCAATCACAAAGGCATCAAGGGATCCGAATGATCTGGAGGCACTGGCACCAAACCATCTCCTATTGTTGAAAACCTCACCATCCCTACCTCCAACAAACTGTCAAGAAGTTGATGTTTATGCTCGTAGGCGATGGAAGCAAGTACAATACATGTCAGACTTGTTCTGGAAAAGGTGGGTGAAGGAATACTTGCCTCAGCTGCAGGAGCGTCAGAGGTGGACAGGAGTGAAGCGCAACCTCATCCCTGGAGACATAGTGCTCATTGTGGACAACACAGCTCCTCGAAACTCCTGGCTCATGGGGAGAGTTCTACAGACTTTTCCAGACCGGAAGGGATTTGTGCGTCAGGTGCGTGTCAAGACGAAGAGCAGCTGCCTGGACCGGCCTATTACGAAGATCTGTCTGCTACAGGAGGCTGAAACTGGATAAGGAGTACCTGCTGCATACTGTGACATTCTGACATGACTTTGACAAACCCAATAGGGCTATGAACATTCTTTTTTGACTGAGCCTGAGTGTTGATACCTCTGGCGTTGACTAGCTAACAACAAATGTGCATTATGCATGGACTTTTAGTATCAATTTTGTATTTGTCTCATATAGTTGAAAAACATAAGTAATTATTATGGTTGATAACCTAATAATTAGGGGCTGGTATGTAGGAGCCGCAAGTTAAAGGTTTGTGGTTATGCTCTTGATTTGTTTTTGGTATTTTGTTGTGATTGGTGGCAGTGATTTGTGGAATCCGGGTCACGGGAATAGGGGCGGTGTCACTCAGTTGATTTAAGCACCTGGTCACCTGTGTTCACGAGGGAAGAGGTTTTGAGTGGGTCGCCGTATTTTTGTTGACCGCATGCACACATACTCTTTAAGTCCAGTGATCGCTGTTTCTTCAGTTGGTATCGTTTTGTTGATTGTTTCTTTAGTATTAAAGCACGTTTTTTCCTAATCGCTTCCCGTCTCAGCTGATCCATTGACAAAGCGCGTCAGACAATTAGACTCGGCCCGTATCTCATCCTCTAAGCGACATCCTGGTCTCTGAGGTCGCTACATTATCTTTGTAACGTTAGTGTCTTTTATCAAAAAGCACTCTGTTCCCCAACACGGAAACAATCAGGTGTGAAAGGACCTTAACTGTTAAAGCGAGGGGTGCAAACAAGAATTTTCCATTTTTTACAGTGACTCATAATTTTAGAGTGAAGAGAAGTCGTGTAATCCCAATTTTTTATTTTTAAATCGCTGCCACGGCCACAATTTTCACTTAACACACACACATTATATATCAAAACATAGAAAATCTTCCAGCCGGACAGAAAATGTGGACCTTGAAGCTGTGAGACGCTCACTTTTCAATGTACAAGTTTTTTTTTTCGGAAGGAGGTACCTGTTTCACCTCCATCCACCACCACTCAAAGAACACAAATGCTCCACATCCCACTCCTGCTCATTTTGTCCGAACAACTCGCGCTCCCGTCTAAACTGTAGAGCAAAGCAACTTGTCCTTCTAATATGTCGTAGCTGTATTCAAGCAGTCACTCACAGTCCAGAGTTTTTTCCAATACGACATGTAGTTTGTCAGCAACAAGCCTTTTGTGTGCAAGATTCCTATTGAAAGTGAATGAAACTGCTGAAAACATGGGGTGGTCTCCATATTTGGAGCTTGATTGTGATGTCATACTTTGAGGTAGAAATTTGATTTGAACTCTGACCTTTAAAGGGGCCATGGCATGAAAAACTGACTTTGTTAACAGGAGGGGGGTGCATATCAGGGATAGAAAAAAACACGACAATCCCCCCAAATTTCGAAAAAATTCCATCCAGTCATTTTTTAGTTATCTCCGTATTTAGGAACTGTGTGCTCAGAGCCGCCCATGGAGCTGCCCACTGCCCTGCCCACTGCCCTGCCCACAAAATTTTCAAAACAGCACCATTATTCCCGGCCGCTCGCTCGCATTGCTCCGGTTAGAACCATGGCGAAAGTACGATCTGAAAAAGAGGCAGCGTTTGCTCTGTTGTTGGCTGCACAAACGAGCACAAAACTCTTTTGAAAACTCCCTCGTTGGAGGATTTGAGGACTCAATGGGTGGATTTTATTTATAATGGGAATGTACCCGCGGCACTTCCAAAATATCTGTATGTATGTATCTGTATCTGTACGCACCATTTCACTTTGGACTGTTTTATCAACGAGGGACAGTTCAACGCTGGATTTGCTAGATGTCTGAAGATAAAGAATGGATCCGTACCAACTATCTGTGATCCTACTACAAACGTGGCATCTGTAAGTATGAACGTTTTATTTTGACTTACTGTTTAGCCTAAATTCCCCCAGGTGCCTCAGCACGGCCACCACGCTTTGATAAACACACGGGATCAGCGCCGGTTTACTGGATCCTCCCGTATTTTAGCCGCTCGCTTCTTCCCCGACAACTCCGCCGGCGGGGGACAAAATCCCCCTCCGGAGCAGCATGTAGCTTTAGCATTTACCCGTGCGGCAACGCGCCTCTTTTGGCTCAAATACGGGACGTCCCGGCTAATGCTGGACGGTTGGCCATCCTATTAATTAGCAAAGGCTTCAGAGAAGTTTTAGAGCACCAAAATCTTACATTGTAGCAGAGCTCTGGTTGTAATTTTTTCTACATTCATATCTTCCTCCTTAAGCGTGACCCTCCTGGCGGCTTTGAATAACACATAGGATGTGTCGACTAGGTCGCTTCAAGTCGCGTTTGGTCTGAACGCGGCTAAGAGTTTCTTCCGGAGCCTCTCCCTCTGGGTCAGACTCTGGCTCAAACTGGTAGGGTTGTACGAGCGATCTTCTTGCAGCCATGACCGAGCCAGTGTAAACATTAGCACATGGCTATCGGAGCCACAGCCACAGCCACAGCCCCTTTCAGAGAGATGGGTGTAAAGTGGACGTGGCTTAGGTGCAGCTCATTTCATTAAAGAGACATGGCCCAAAACGGAGGATTTTGAGTGGAGCTGTTTTTAGCTGATAAAAAAGAGCACTAAAATAATCGATCCAAATCGAATTTTGACCGAAGGACGTCACAGACATGCTTTTAACACACCAGGGACTATTTTAAGTTGTGTGAAATTGGCATGTCATGGGACCTTTAAAGGTTTTTTTTTTTTATAAGAAAAAAAATTGCTTGATTCTTGATTCTATAAAAGTGGGTTGCAAATTAAGGACCATGAGAAAACGTGGGTCCCAGAGTGAGACCAGTTGAGAACAACTGCTTTACACCACAGGACACTTCAGTTCTTAATCCTCTCAGTAACATGACACAAATATTCAGGACTGACAGAAACCTTGTTGAAGCCTCAAACAGGATCTGATGAGTCCAGAACAAGTTTCAGCCCCCGCACTCTACCACAAATACACTGTAGTCATCATAATAATGGCTATATTACGTAAAAACTAGTGTTAAAATGAGTCAGCGTAAAACTTTGAAAGGTCTCTTTAAATCAATGTATTTAATTAGTTTGACAGAAAGAAAAATCTCCACTTCCATCCTGGGCTGACTCTGGTACATCTAAAATGATCTGAAACCTCTGGGACCATCGAGACCTGGAACCTGCTATGTCTCCTGTAAAACTAAGTCAGTCTCAGTGTTGGAGGCAATCTGACCTCTGAACCCTTCACCTCATGGTATCAAGAGTTTCGAAATAAAAGTTCCTGAGCCAAGTTGAACCAAGCTGTCAGACCAGTTCACACACTCCCTGCACTCTTCCCTGATGGTGTGACTCAGATTACTGTCAAACTGCTGCTGAGTCGACTCCACAAACACCAACGATAGAGCAGGTGGATCTGTCTGAAATCACTGCTCTTAAACTCAGAGAGAAATTCTACAACATGTTTCAAACAGCCAAATAGCATAAAGAAAGATTTCTACAGTGAGCACACTGATCCTGATCCTCAGACATGAACAGATTTCCTTGGAATGATCCTCACCTGTTGGAGTGAGTTCAGGTCAGCTTACAGGCACTTTCTACCTTCATGTGAGGAGAGAAGAAGCTGCTGGTTTTTCCTCATCAGTCCTGGTGTCTGTGAGCATTTGATCTGAGGCTGCCGTCACATCCTCATAACTGAAGGGTGACATTAGAGCAAGTCCCCTCAGTAACCCAGTATAACAGTCGTACTGTTCCTTTGACAACGTTAACATTGCCAGGATGTCCCAGAGTGGCACCTTTCTTTGGTCAGTTGGGAAGATGAGTACAAGATGAGTGGATGTCATTATTTAGCTCCTGTAATTTCTTTTTCTTTGATTCTTACCTCAGTAAACAGTGAGTACTTTATAGTTTATAATATCACTTACATGGTGTTTCATTTAAAAAAGAGCAGCAGCGGAGTGGAGTCCCAAGTTGACTGTTTTGTGGATATGCCTTTTTTTTTTCACACCACTGCTCACGAGCCAACTGTTAGACCAGTCAGAGTGAGATTTCGCACAGATCACCGGATGTAGTCCTACTATTAGACCACTAGATAGTGCTAACCAACCTCCTAATGAAACAAACAGAGGCTCTGACAGATTTAATGAGGCAGCAGTGTGGATCACCCATAATTTAAACAGAGGATTACGGGTCATTTTCCTTCTCTGCTGTCATGAGGGATGGTATCCTATTTTAGAGGAGGTTACAAGGCACGCGATGAAGCTCCTTTCCTTGTCTCTGAAGAATTTGAATGGCTCTTGTCACAGCCAACACTCAAAGGCTTCGGTCATTTCTCTGTTAGGAATTTGACTTTTTGAACAGACCCTGACACTTAAGTACCTGTTTAGCCTCCTGAGAATTAAGCACACACTGAAATCTTTCCTGACATGTTTATATGTGTTGTGTAAATAATGAGCCTTTATAATGTCACAGATTTCACATGATCATTTCTCTAAAAAGGTTTAGGTTCAGTTTGATACCTTTAGCACCACCTTCTGTAAAAACAAGGAGACCAGGAGTAAAAAAACAATAAAAAAACAACAATAAATCTGAGTGTAACTGTAGCGATTTGAATTTATAATAAATGTCTGAAGATTAATAATCTCAAATTATGACATCTATGCACTCATTGAAAGGGGCACCACCCACCCTTAATGGTGGGAAAATAAATTTAATTTAGAAATCAAACATTGAGTCAATCTTAAATTAATCAATCTCATATCTGAAGCCGAAATTCTCATTTCAGGGACTCCACTTCTGGAAGAACACTAACAGACCAGAACTTAGAAAAATAATGATCTGTTTATTACAAGATAAATGATGGTACAACATACATGCAATAAATGATGATAAGATAATGAGGATAAATAATAATAGGTGAATAAATAAAGATTCTGAGTCAAGCTAGGAGCACTAAAGTTAATGATAGTGAGTGAATATGCTCTAACATATTAACCTACACTAACTTTGGTGTCAAGATAAATTTGGATGTGGATTTGGATGAATCTAGGATTACCAGAATAAGTGGATATCTGAGTTATGACCGCATGAGACAGCATCAGCCCTGTTTGGAGCTCTGGAGGTTTGCATACTTCAGTGAGACTGGTCCTTGGATAAGATGGAGCAGGTTCTGAAGGTCTGGGGCTACCGGCGGTTCGAACACTGATTCAAACATCATCTAAATGGAAACCTACATGTACATTAATTGATTTATTGAATCATGTTAGGATTCAATATTGATCCTGATCATCCAACAATCTAATGGTAATCTGCATGTACATTAAATTATGTGTATGCTAATATACTTTAAGACTACATCTTAATAGCTCGTTCAAAATGACCTTTTCCTAAAATGTGAAAATAAATATTAAAAATGAATTAAAAAATAAAGACAGACAACATGATTTTAAACTTAAAATTTATTGAACATCAAGGCAATGACAATTGCCGATAACGTAGCTTAAAAAATAGTCCAGAGTAGTCCAGAGTAGTAGAAAATGTAGAAAATTAATAGAAAATGTCATTTGCCACCTGCATCGGGACTTCTTGGGACAGCTCCCTGCTGCTCCGGAGCATTTCTTGGGATGCCTCCCTGTCGGTTTGGTGCAAAACGCAGCCAAGACTTGACCGTATCCTCGAAGCGCTTCTGGCTCATTTTGTGATCAAACTGTCGAGCAACAGCTGAAAGACAAGATAACAAGAATACTGTTTATGACCATAACATCAAACAAGTCTCCTCCTATAAGAACCTGGGAGTGCTGATCAATAAGGATTTCAACTGGCACACACATGTTACAACGTACCAACACAGATTAAAATTACATTAACGGTAACGTTTGCACTAAAACAGACACCCGACCACCTTTTGTGAACATTAGAGTCTAAACTTTGATCGAGAATTGAAAGTAAAAACCGCCGTCAAGTTTCAGTGCATTTTTTTCAAAAACACCAATATGATCACATTTGATTGGCTGACTTGGCAACGCCATTCAGTTACAATTAACACAATTGGTCGGTTCATGCTCTTGGCACGAACAGACTGATTCCCGTTAGGAAAACAATTCGAACATAAAGAAATATTAACTACTATTTCTTTATGTTCGAAATGTTTTTAAATAATGTATTGGTTTTTAACGCGTTTTTATTGTCCTTTTCACCTTAACTTCCATTTTGAGAAGGGCCCCCAGATCCTGAGGTTTTCCTAACTGTTAAGGCTTACAAAAAAGCTGATATCTCAGCCTCTGTTGCAGATAGAAACAGAATTCAAAAAGTATTTGAGAGCTTACAGGCTTACAGGTGTGGCATCTTATTTTTCGGAACCTTCATCACATTTTTGAAAACATTGAAGAAACAAACTTCAATGAATTAAAGCAGCTGTATAAAAGTAAAGACTCTGTAAAACAAGTGACAGTCATGATAAAGTGTCCATTCAACACAAATGTATATTAAGAAATAAAGTGTTGAAAGGGTATGCAGCTGCCCTAGTATAGTGCCAGTACAAGACCAGCACTTAAAACTAGAAAAATGAATAAATAAATACAAGGCTGAAGTTTGTTCATCTCTGTGCTCACCCAAAGTCATGCAACACTCACAGAAAACGCTGATAGTGTTCGCCAAAGCACTCCATATGAAGAGGTTGTTCACACTGCTGGATATTTCTCCTCCAAAGCTTCTCTCTGCCTCCGTCGTTGTTTACTTTACTCATGAAGCACGTAGCAAGAGCCGAGCATGAATCCGAGCGCTTTATTAGCCTATCAGAGGCAGACAGGTAAGGTGATTTGATTCGCCACGACTCCAGAAATAATTAAAAAACTACAGAATGTCACAAAATGACATATCTGCGCTCCTGGCTTGAAGGGTAGAAATGCGCAGCCGCGCTCCCGGCTGACAGGAAGTCAAACCACTGTTGTAGTTCTTTTGTGTTGCTAGCGCGGTCAAGAGTGTTGGCTCTCACTGAGAGATGACTACAAAAATAGACGCATCTGTTCATCTGGTTGTTTAACACGGCTGAAAATGATCATCTATTATCTAGCTATCATAAAAGCAGCCCCTGATTGGTCCACGTGTAGATGGTGACGTCTAGCACATGCTGTGGGACTTTTCAAAGCACTGTTCGAGAGTTGAGAGTTGAGCCCGGTGAAAACGCGGGAGCTTTTCCAGCGTAGCAAGGAGCGAGGCAGGGGAGGCAGAGGAAGGTCGCACAGGTTTCTAAACTCGGACAGGGGGGACAAGAAATTGAAAGCCTGGATTGGGGGAGGCGGCTGGCACAGCCAGACTGTGAATGGACAGGAGATGGAAGAGGGAAGTGACGGGTTAGGAAATGATGGGATGGAGTTAGGTGGGGGGAGAAATGAAAGTTGGAATGTTGTGTAAGGGGGAAAGGCTAATCGCAAACGCAAGAATAATAGGGGACAGAGAGGATTGGGCACAGCGTCTGAGGAAACAGATAGCGAGCAAGCAAGAGAGGACGAGGAAGAGCACAAAGTAATCATTAGGTTGGAGCAAGAAGGCGCCTCGTTTGGAGAGTGGAATCCTGTACACCTTACTAAAGCAATAAATAAACAAGTGGGCGATGTGAAAAGTGCGAGTGTTGTGCAATGGAGCACTGCTGATTTTTTGTAGAGATAGCGCGCAGTTGGGGAGAGTCATCAGGGTGGATAAAATTGAGGGGAAGAAGGTGGTAGTGTAGCGATTTGAAATGAGCCTCACAAGGCCGCACCAAAATAATACTGTAGCGATTGGAATTTATAATAAATGTCTGAAGATTAATAATCTCAAATTATGACATTTATGCACTCGTATCTGGTATACTCGTATACTCGTATACATGCAATAAATGATGATAAGATAATGAAGATAAATAATAATAGGTGAATAAATAAAGATTCTGAGTCAGGCTAGGAGCACTAAAGTTAATGATAGTGAGTGAATATGCGCTAACATATTAACCTACACTAAATTTGGTGTCGAGATAAACTCGGTTGTGGATTTGGAGGAATCTAAGATTACCAGAATAAGAGGATATCTGAGTTATGAACGCACGAGACAGCATCAGCCCTCTTTAGAGCTCTGGAGGTTTGCATACTTAAGTGAGACTGGTCCTTGGAGAAGATGGAGCAGGTTCCGAAGGTCCGGGGCTACTGGCGGTTCGAGCGGTTCAGCTCAGAAGATGACTGAAGTCAGCAGAAGGATGAGCCAGGAGTTGCAGCACTCGGGCCCGAAGCAAAGCCAGCGCCTATGGATCCTGTGGATGCTCGTTTGGGTACTTCTTTGGTCTCACTCAAAAACTCTGGCACAGAGGATGACCTGGGCCTGCTGGGTTGCGTTCAGAGGTGACTTTGAAAATCACGCAGATAACTCAGAAAAACGAGACTCGAGCAGAGAAAACTTTCAAAAATGGCTTCGCGAAATTAAAGAAAAATCAATCAAAGGCTTAATCTTGAATTGCTATGCGCACAAAAAGTTGAAGTTTCAAAACTTGAACTAAGACGATGTTAAAGAAAAATCAACGTGAATCAACACGTGGCGTAAAACTTAGAAGACTAAGAAAAAGTTCTAAGAGAGAACAAAGAAGAAGAGGACCACAGAAGGGTGTGGACAGAAGAGAAGGGCCCAAGAGTAAGGGGCCTAAAGCCGCGTTCAGACCAAACGCGACCAGGTCGCGTCGCGTCGCGTTGGTCGGTCAGGTCACGTCGCGTGGTGCCCTGGTGTGTCAACACCGGGTCCAAAGCTGCAGTCGCGGAGGTCGCGGCTGGTCGCCGATGACGTCATCACGTTAACGTCAGTAGCTCAGTTTTCAGTGCGACCAGTGTTGAAGATGGACGACATCGTGACCTGTGCTGCCGCATACCTTCATGTCCGACATAGACGCCGCCGGCCTGTATGGGTGCATGAAACCATCCGGAGGAGGACGGAGCTGGGTGAATATCACCGTTTGCTCCAGGAGCTCCGCCTCGACGATGGCCGTTTCCAGCGGTATTTCCGTTTGTCGACGGCGCAGTTTGAGGACCTCCTCGCCCGGGTGGGAAGCAGCATCTCCCGCCAGGACACCAACTACAGGCGCTCCATTCCAGCTTCGGAGCGCCTGTCTATCTGTCTGCGGTGAGTATAATCAAGTATAATTAATTTAAAATGAGCAGATACACTGGGCAAATAAGGCAAAACTGCAACGTTTATCAGCTTTCTGTACACTGAGTTCCTCCTGTGAGCTGCTCTTTGCCTCTGTCCTTTAATATCCAGTCAAAATAAAACTTCTCTTGCACACACTAATGTGATTTAGAAATTCTGTGAATCTGATCAATTTACTAAAGACAGATAATATAACTCCTGTGAAAATAATCCTATCTGATCAGACTGATAAGGTGCTGCTGAAGAAGTAAACAGGATTGGTCTGTGTCCTTTATTTGATCCACTCAGTAAAGTAAGAAGTTACACTGAAAAAAATTAACCCTTAACACATTCAATACATACTGTAAAAAAATTACCTGGAAATCAATTACTTTAAAATGACCAGATACACTGGGTGCTAGCATAAATGTTTGTGTCAAAGAGGATTTATGGACACTCAAATCTTCGGTTACGTTTCTATTTCATATGGCCTCATATTTTAAATAAAATTTGTAATGAAATTAATTTTTATGTGCTTTAGGTTCCTGGCTACTGGAGACTCCTTCAGGACCATCGCATACAGCTTCCGGGTTGGAGTTTCCACCGTGTCGGGCATCGTGGCAGACACCGTGTTGTGCTTGGTGGAGGACTTCATGGCTGTGCCCACCTGTGATGAGTGGAGATCCATAGCACAGGGTTTTGAGGAGCGGTGGAACTTCCCCTTGTGTTGTGGTGCAGTGGATGGGAAGCACGTGGTTCTGAAGGCTCCTGCCAATTCAGGATCACAGTTCTATAACTACAAGGGAACATTTTCTATTGTTCTCTTGGCAGTTGTAGATGCCAATTATTGCTTCCGAGTGATCGATGTCAGAGGCTTCGGGAGGACCAGTGACGGGGGGATTCTGGCCAACTCTGCGTTTGGTCAGGCCCTACGTTCTGGCTCCCTCCAGCTGCCTCCAGATCGGTCACTGCCTGAAGCTGAACACAGGGGACCCCAACCTCATGTGTTTGTTGCAGATGAGGCCTTCCCGCTCCGGAGAAACCTCATGAGGCCGTATCCAGGGCGCATCCTCCCCAGAGAGAAGCGCATTTTCAACTACCGGCTGTCCAGGGCGCGGCTGGTGGTTGAAGATGCCTTCGGCATTCTTTCCACTCAGTGGAGGATGTACCGACGTGCCCTTGAGGTTTCTCCAGATGTTGCAGAGAAGTGTGTGAAGGCCACCTGTGTCCTTCATAACTTCCTGCGAAGGTCTCAGCCTGAAGCTGCCATGGGGTTGGGTGCCATCACAGGTGGTGAGGAGCCTCAGGCAGGGCTGGGACGTGTCGCTTCAAACAACCCGTCCCGGGAGGCCATCGCAGTCAGGCAGTCCTTCACCGAGCACTTCTCAGCTGAAGGAGCGGTCTCATGGCAGGATTCCGTCTAGTGCACTGCACCCCCACAACGGTTCTTTTCAGAGCCACCACAAACAACTGTTGAGCAAATGTCCTACATATATGTACAAGAATGTCTCCATAACTGTGTCTGTGTCCTGCCTCTCATTCTGCTCAGAGTACTGCAAGATACACACACACACACACACCCTTTTTATGCACCTGCAAAAACATGCTATTTACATATCCGATAGGAATGCGGAGGCTTCCTTTTGCCCTAGAAAAATTTAAATTTTTAACACAACTTGGCTGGTCATTTCTCCAAAACACAACCATGAAGCGCCATCTAAACCTGAAGCAGGCAGTTGCTGCATGTGTACAGTCACCTGAGGGGAGTGAGGTGAGTGCTTCTGAGGACAACATGAGCAGTGAAGATTAACCTTGGAGCCAGTACAGGGACATGCACATGATTATACAGGGGCAGGGGCTCAATTTTTTTTCCAGTCCCTTATACAATATGGAAATTAATGTAAAGTGAAAAAACTAAGTACTAATTGAAAGCTAACGAGTGTCCTGTGTAGGTGAAAGTGATATGCAATTGCCATTTCTTTTGTCAACAAACTATTGTCAACATGACATGAAGATGGTAATATTTCAAACACAGATTACCTACATGCTGAAATTACTATCTATCTAACTATCTATTTACTAACTTTATTTCAGACCCAATAAGTCCATATCATTCAACAGGATCAGTATTATTATTATTAATTTGTTAGCCCAGACAACAGTAACGGTGTCATTACATTTTAAGGGGTGCACAAGGGTTAAGTAAAGTTTATACATCGAAGCACTGCAACCTAGTTATTTTACTTCATGACTGCATGTTAAAGAAGGAAACAAGGCAAAGTTGAGAAAACTTTATAATAATATTTATAACAACAAATATAACAATAATAATGTAACAATAATAATACTTTTTATAACAACAAATAAAAAAATTTTTTTAACGGCTGCAACAGCAGATATAAAAATATAATACAATAAAAAAATTCAACTATATACACAAATTTACAAGTTGGATGGGGGGGGGCATGGCTGAAACAGAGGGGCCTGGCTCGTTCCCCCCCGAGGCTGTCACCCCAGCTAAGGTTCCACTGGTTCCAAATTCTGTGTCAAATCCTGAGCTTCAAAAATTAATTTATAAATTTGAATTTTCACTTGCTCCTTAGCCTGGGGTGACAGCCTCGCGAGGGAAGGAGCCAGGCCTAGGAGGAAATGCTCCTCCTCGGTATAGCGAGGTGTGGGTGGTGGTGGTGGTGGTGGTGGTGGAGGGGGAGTCTGCTGCCTCCTCAGGGCCTGACAGAGGAGCTCCTCAATCTCCTCCAGTCGTGAGGAGGGAGGCGTCCTCCTCTTCCTCCCTGTCATAAAAAATAACTAATCGGTTACTATTTGTTTTATAATTTCTATGTGACCTTCAGCAATTTCATTGAATATATGGTTAATATTTAATTTCTATACCTCTTGGCCTGGCTGCAGTGGGGCCCGAGGCATCACCTGCCGCAGTTGAGGGAGCAGGAGAAGTTGACGGGGCAGGAGAGGGAGCTGAAGCAGGAGATGGAGCTGGGGCAGGAGAGGGAGCTGCTGCAGGAGAGGGAGCTGAAGCAGGAGAGGGAGCAGGCTTATCTTTAGTTAAAGTTGTGACAAAAATGTCTGAAATCAAAACTCTGCAATCAGGCAACATTGTTATTCAAATAAAAAATGTTCACACATCACATGTGCATGACTTGATCTGTCCATCTTAAATTAGACTACAATGGTGTGTTTAAACCATGAAGGGACTCAAATTTATTTGCTATGTTTTTCACTCATCAACCAACCGTCAAACTCCACTCCTGAGGGGCCTGCTTCCTCCAGGTCTTCAGGCATCCCAGCAGAAGAAGCAGCATTTTCTGCGGTGAAGTCTTCCTCGACCTCCCGAGACATGTTACTTGATGTGTCCCTCGGGGCAATAAAGGGGTCGAGGAAGGACATCACCGCAGTGAAACGCCACTTCCTCTGCTGGGAGGCCGCCGACCCGCTTCTCCCGCCTTCTTTCTCCCTCCTTTTCTCCCTCAAATAAACGTCCCGCAGCCCCTTCCACCGCTTGCGGCACACATCCACTGCAAAGACACACACACATACGTTGAAACATGTAGCCTAGCATACAGGGGCAGTTAGCTATGTTTTCATAAAACTGTCCGCTCACTGAAATAAATACACAAACAAACTTACCAGAAAGCCCGACATCATGGGCCACCTTCACCCATGCCTCGTCCTTGGAGGTGCGGTCCCGGTACAGTCCGCACCCCACGTCGTACAGGAACAGGTGGAAGCTTACCGCCGTGATTAATTGTTCCTCCATTGTTTGATTTTTGATTTTCCCCTCCTCCTCCTTGCTTCGCCGGTTTGTTGACGTCAGCAGAGCCCTGATTGGCTGTCGCGGCACGGAGTCGCGGCTAGTCTAGGTTTCTGTTACCTAGAGTTAAGTTATGATTCATAGTCGATAAATTTAACTCTTAAAAGTTCATGAAACAGTCTGAAAAGCTGTTGGTCTAAAGAAACTAAAGAGCGATAACTCGGCTTCTGGAGCACATAGAAAAACGGGAAACATCTCATTTTAACACAAATTTCATGATAAGACAGATTAGTACATTGCTGAATGCATAAGATGTCATGATCAGTCATTTGTATTCTTTCACCAAAGGAATGCAGTCTTTATCAGTGTATGGTCGAGCAGGGTTTTACAACCGAGGTCTGGAGGTCAGTGTCCCCCCTTTTCCTGGGGTCCGTATGTTCACACACTTTAAGACGCTAAATCTCAAATGGGAGGTCTGGGTTGAGACGTTAATGTTTATTTAGATGGTCAGCGATGGAGTCAGTTTGAAAGGTAATAAAAACTCTGTCTCTGTTCTCCGAATCGACCAATGGTGAAGAGTCAGAGGTTTAGTCAACCTCCGGTTGGGTCACTTATTTAACCTGAAAGTGTAAACGAGTCTGGAAAGATTTATATCCTGTTTCCTGGGACCAGATAAGGAAACTTTCCTCTGAGGAATGTGTGGGTTTCACACCCAGGGTTGTCTTGATTGCTACAGTAGCAACGCTAGCTAGGAAGGGAGGAGGGATCACTTGAGGAGTAATCTTCGGTGTGCTGTTAAGTGTATCTATTGATCAGATAAAAGAAAATATAAAGGGAGCGAAAGTGAGGGAAGCAAAGCGCCTGAAAACAACACGTGAGGGGGAAAAATGTGACAGTCTGTCGGTTTTGGTTACGTTTTATGAAGAGCGACTCCCTGAAAAAGTGCATATAGGATATATGAGCTACGGTGTGAGGCTCTATGTGCCTCCGCCATTAAGGTGCTTCAAATGCCAGAAGTATGGGCATGTTGCAGCAGTGTGTAAGGGGAAACAAAGATGTGCGAAATGTGCTGGGGAACATGAATATGGGAAATGTGAAATTGGAGCTAAAATTAAGTGCTGCAACTGTGGAGGGGAACATACAGTATATCACAAAAGTGAGTACACCCTTTAGATTTTTGCAAATATTCTGTTATATCCTTTCAGGGGATAACACTATCTTAATGAAACTTTGAAATAATGCAAAGTAGTCAGTGTGCTGCTTGAATAACAGTATAGATTTATTGTCAATTGAAAATTACTCTGTACACAGCTGTAAACGTCTAAACAGCTGGCAACAAAAATGAGTACACCCCGTAGTGAACATGTCTAAATTGTGCCCAAAGTGTCAATATTTTGTGTGACCACCATTGTTATCTAGCACTGCTTTAACCCTCCTGGGCATGGAATTCACCAGAGCTGCACAGGTTGCTTCTGGAATCTTCTTCCACTCCTCCATGACGACATCACGGAGCTCATGGATGTTGGACACCTTGCACTCCTCCAACTGCCTCTTGAGGATGCCCCACATGTGCTCAATTAGGTTTAGGTCTGGAGACATACTCGGCCAGTCCATCACTTTAACCTTCAGCTTCTTCAGCAAGGCTGTTGTCATCTTGGAGGTGTGTTTAGGGTCATTATCATGTTGGAAAACCGCCCTACGGCCCAGTTTCCGGAGAGAAGGGATCATGCTCTTCTGCAGGATGTCACAGTATATGGTGACATCCTGCAGAAGAGCAGATGGTGGACACCATCTGATCCAAACAGGTTTATTTTGGTCTCATCAGACCACAGGACATGGTTCCAGTAACTCATGTTCTTCGATTCATTGTCTTTAGCAAACTGTTTGCGGGCTTTCTTATGCAGCGGTTTCAGAAGAGGCTTCTGTCTGGGGCGACGGCCATACAAACCAATTTGATGCAGGGTGCGGCGTATGGTCTGGGCACTGACAGGCTGACATCCCACTTCTGCAACCTCTGCAGCAATGCTGGAAGCACTCACACGTCTATTTTTGGAAACCAACCTCTGGATATGACGCTGGGCACGTGGACTCAACTTCTTAGGTCGACCCTGGCGAGGCCTGTTGCGAGTGGAACCTGTCCTGGAAAACCGCTGTATGATCTTAGCCACTGTGCTGCAACTCATTTTCAGGATGTTGGCAATCTTCTTATAGCCAAGGCCATCTTTGTGAAGCGCAATAATCCTTTTTTTCAGCTGCTCAGAGAGTTCCTTGCCATGAGGTGCCATGTTGTCCAGCGTTCAGAGAGAATTGTGCCCAAAACACCAAATTTAACAGCCTTGCTTATCATTTACACCTGAATCCTTTTAACACTAACGAGTCACATGACACCAGGGCGGGAAAACAACATCATTGAGCACAATTAGGACATGTTCACTGCGGGGTGTACTCACTTTTGTTGCCAGCTGTTTAGACATTAACAGCTGTGTACTGAGTAATTTTCAAAGGACAATAAATCTATACTGTTATTCAAGCAGCACACTGACTACTTTAAGTTATATCAAAGTTTCAGTAGGATAATGTTATCCCCTGAAAGGATATAACAGAATATTTGCAAAAATCTAAAGGGTGTACTCACTTTTGTGATATATTGTACCTCTGCATACAGGGGATGTGAAGTTAGTAAGAGAGCAGCAGAAGTGCAGAAAATGAAAACATCGCATAGGATCACATACGCCGAGGCAGCCAGAAGGATGAGGGTGCAGGCAACTGAAAGTAATGCCAGGACAACCAAAAGGCAAGAAGTAAGAAGACATGAAGGATGCAAAAGAATTAAGGAAGACACAATGGTTGTGGGGAAGAGAGATTTCATACTGTTCATGGTTGAGGTGGTTAACTGTACAGTGCAAACAGACAAAAAAACAGAAAAAATCAAAATAATAGTGAGAGCAGCAGAGAAGTATCTGGGACTGGAGGCAGTCAGGTGGGAGGAAGTGGAGGACCTGTTGAAAGGAGGGGGGTCCAGTTCACAGAATCCAGAATCCATCACAGCAATCATCAGTATGGGAAGGAGGATCATCGTGGTCCTAAATTTACTGCAATGAAATGCAAGAAGTCTCATAACCAATGAGCAGGAATTTAAGAAGTTTATTTCTGGGCTACAGGACAAGCCCACTATTATATGTGTTCAAGAAACATGGATGAGGGTGCAGTGGGATTTTGTAATACATGGGTACACGGCTGTAAGAAATGACAGGAAAAATGGGACAGGTGGTGGGGTAGCTACCTTTGTAAAGGATGGGATAGGGTTTAATATAGGTCAAATAGGGACGGATCATGAGTCCATAACGGTAAAAATTTGGACAGGAAGATATGAGCTAGCAGTTATTAATTACTATAACCCATGCAAGAGATTGAGTATGGATACGCTGAATAAGGTACTGGGGGAAGTGCAAGGGAAAATATTGTGGTGTGGGGATTTCAATGCACATAGCACTTTATGGGGGAGTGAGAGAACAGACTCAAATAGTTCAATAGTGGAAGAATTTATAGAGGATAAAGGGTTAGTGTGTATGAATAATGGGAGGGGCACTAGGTATGATTGTGTGCGAAATAAGGAGAGTGCAATTGACTTAACTTTAATGTCCAATGAGATGGCAGGTATCACAGATTGGGAAGTGCTAGATGAAATATTAATGGGGAGTGATCACTATCCAGTGATGAGTAAGGTGGGAGTAGAAATGCAGCAAGAGGAGGAAAGGAGGGTGCCAAGGTGGAAAATTCAGAATGCTAAGTGGGATGCTTATCAGGCAGTGAGTAGAAATATGTTTGAGGAGTTACATGAGGAGCAATGGACAGGTGTGGATGAATGGAATGAGAGAGTGGTAGCAGCTATAATACAGTCTGCTGATGGGACAATTCCAAAAGTGTCCGGGGGCAGAAGTGTAAAAAGTGTACCATGGTGGGATAATAACTGCAGACAGGCTATAAGAGCACGCAACAGGGCATTCAGATTGTTAAAGAAGCAGGATACAATGGAGACATTAATCCAATACAGAAGGTCACAGGCAGTAGTGAAAAGGACGATCAGAGCAGCTAAGCGGGCGTGCTGGAGGAAGTACTGTAGTGGAATAGGGCAGGAGGTACAGCTGTCAGAAGTTTGGGGAATGATTAGAAAAATGAGTGGAATAAAAAGAAATATAACAATCCTGATCCTGAAGAAGGACGATAGAACAGCAGTTAGTAATTTAGAGAAGGCGACGCTACTGGCAGAAACGTTGATTCAAGTTCATAGTTCAGAGAATATCTCAACAGAAGCAAAGCAGCATAGGCAGAATGTGCTGACACAAAACACTTGGATTAGAAAGAAAAGGCAGGCAAGAGGGGATGATCTAGATCTGCCCTTTAATTTGTATGAGTTAAGAAGAGCAGTATCCAAAGCGCGACAGTCATCACCAGGGAAAGATGATGTGTGCTACTGTATGTTAGATCACATGGATGACAGGTCGCTGGGGGTAATATTGAAGTTATTTAACAAAATATGGGAGTCAGGGGAGGTTCCACAGGCATTAAAACACTCAGTAATAGTGCCAATTTTGAAACCAGGCAAAGGAGCATCAGATCCATCAAATTATAGGCCAATTGCCCTTACATCCCAATTAGGGAAAACAATGGAGAAGATGGTAACAGAAAGGCTGATGTTTTTTTTAGAGAGTCGTGACCTTTTTTCTTCATATCAAAGGGGGTTTCGCAAAGGAAGGAACGCGATGGATTCAGTGCTCAGTTTGGAGTCAGATATTAGAAAAGCACAGACAAATAAAGAAATAGTGATGGCTGTGTTCTTCGACGTAGAGAAGGCATATGATATGTTATGGAAAGAAGGGCTGCTGATTAAATTAGATAAGTTGGGAGTAGGAGGGAAATTATATAACTGGGTACTGAGCTTTTTATTTAGAAGAACAATAGAGGTGAGAGTAGGGCAGGAATTCTCTCCAGTATATGAGGTTGAAAATGGAACCCCGCAAGGGAGTGTGTGTAGTCCAGTGTTCTTTAATTGTATGATCAATGATATATATGAGGAGGTGGGGGCAGGAATAAGTAAGTCATTATTTGCTGATGATGGGGCCTTATGGGTAAGAGGGAGAAATCAAGAGTATCTCCAGAAAAAGCTGCAGGCAGTGTTTGATAAAGTGGAGCAGTGGGCAAATAGGTGGGGGTTCAAACTGTCAGTTGCGAAAACTCAAGTAATATGCTTTGCTAAGTGACACAAAGAGGTGTCAATAAAACTATATGATCAAACTTTAGAACAAGCCAAAGTAGTATGTTTTTTGGGTGTTTTATTCAATGAAAAACTCACCTGGAAGCAGCATATTGAAAAAGTGAGAGATAAATGTAAGAATGTTAATAACCTTATGAGGTGCTTGGCAGGGCGAGATTGGGGTGCAACCAGGAAGTCTCTGTTAAACATATATCAAGCGATGATGAGGTCCAGAATTGATTATGGCAGTGTGGCTTGTTTGTCAGCAGCAGAGAGTCACCTGAAGAAGCTAGACGTGGAGCAGGCTAAGGGGCTGAGGATATGCAGTGGGGCGTTTAAGACCTCTCCAGTGGCTGCTCTTCAAGTTGAGGTAGGGGAAGAGCCTCTAAGGATAAGAAGGGTAAAGCACATGCTGGCATACTGGGTATATCTGCAGGGGCACAAAAGGTCTCATCCAGCAAAAGCAATATTAGAGGAATGGTCAGAGCACGGCAAGACCAACTTTTGGAGTTTGGGCTGGGTTGGGAATGTAAAAGCCGAAAGTGTTGGTTTATGTAACATGCAATATATGTCAAGTAATTCTTTACCTTTGTGGACTTTGGTATTCAGGGTAAAGTAAAGAAGAAATCAGGGAATACAGGAGTTAATGTGCAAATATACATTGAATGGAACTATGCGAATAAACTGTTAATATTTACGGATGGATCAAAGGATCCAGAGACTGGGCGCACCGGGGCAGCAGTCTTCAAAGGCGATGGCCAAAACACTGAGAGCTGTAAGGTCCAGTGTGCTGCAGCATCTGAAAAGGGAGTGATGTTGAACACAGGGGCGTGTCTGTCAGTATACAGGCTGCTCTCAGATTTCCTCTATCCTCTCTTTTTTCTCTTTTATCCTCTCTACTCTGAGCCACCTAGCATGATGGGTCTATAAATACTTCCTGTTCACAAATCATGAAGGAGGCTGAAAGTTAGGGCTTTAAGGTCTAGGCTACGAAAACATGCTCCTCCTTTCCCAACAGGTTTACGGTTTCAAGTGCACGTAAGCACTTTGAAACAGTAATCCATGCCTTTGTTACAACTCGGCTGGATTACTGTAACGCACTTTACTTTGGAGTCAGCCAGTCCTCCCTCTCACGTCTCCAGTTAGAACATTACTCCCATCCTGGCATCCCTCCACTGGTTACCTGTGCATTTTAGAGTTCATTTTAAGATTCTTTTATTTGTTTTTAAATCTTTAAATGGTCTGGCTCCATCTTACCTCTCTGAGCTTCTCCAACCCTACACCCCTGCTCGGTGCCTCAGTTCAGCTGATCAGCTGCTCCTGGAGGTACCGAGGTCCAAACTGAAGCTCAGAGGGGATAGATCTTTTTCTGTTGGAGCCCCAAAATTATGGAATGAGCTACCCCTCCAAATCAGACAAGCCCCCACACTGTCCATTTTTAAAAGTCGTCTTAATACCCATTTTAATTCATTGGCTTTCAACTCTGCATGAGACTCGGCTCCTGTTTTAGTGTTTTATGGTTTGTTTTTAGTGATTTGTTTCTATGTTTTTAAATTAGTTTTTAAAAACATTGAAACTATATTTTACTTTTTAATTCAGCTTTTATTTTATCCATTGTTCCAACTGTTTTTTCGATTGTTTTTTTACGTCTGCGTTGTTTTGTCTATTTATGTACAGCACTTTGTTCAGCTGTGGTTGTTTTTAAGTGCTTTACAAATAAAGTTGAGTTGAGTTTACTGAGTTTCTGAGAAGAGTATGAGGGTGTTTTGTAAAAACAAAACAAAACAAAAATGACTTGTTTTTGAGAGCTGTGTCACAGCCAGGACTGGCCATTAGGCAATGTGGGCAATGCAAGGCAGCTCGCTCGCCACTTATCACCACTCGCAGTTGCAATAAATGAATAAATAAATAGGCTGCAGAGCGGCTGCATCAGTAGGCGGCCGCGGCTGCAAATAACTAAATGAATAAATAAAGTGGAGCAGCTGTGTCAATAGGCAGCTGCATAGGTACCAATAAGGTTTTTTGGATGTTTTTTGGTTGTCAGTGCAAATGTCAATTGAATGATGGGTAGTGCGAGCAGGTCAGCAACACGGAATGAAACAAAACGGATCGAGGAGTGAGAAAACGGCAAGTAGAAAAGGGTGGAGCAGAAAAAAGGAGAGAGAAGAAGTGTAAGGCTTTGTTGGCTGAAAGTGGGAAAGGTGCAAATATTGTGGAGTTATTCTCGAAAAAACCTGTGCCTGGCGAAGAGCCTAGTGGGACTTGGATGATATGATTGATAGAGTGGCAGAGAAAAGCAAACTATTGCGCTACCTGCTACTGTAACTACATAAAGGTAAAACATTTATTTATCATGTTCTGGTTCAGCTATTACATTATGTGCTGTGGCAGTGTAATGTTTATGTGTAATGTTATGTTTCTTTATTGTTCCCACAAAGACAAATGTGGCCTCTGTCTGTCTAGATTGCCAGGACCTCTTTTGCGAGTCAGCCACTGGTCACAGCTCAAACTCTTCCTCTCTTGACAGTTTACTGTCTGAACCCACTGGAACCTCTGAGCGTAAGCCAGACCCACCTTGAAAAGATCAAGACCAGAAGGTGAGAACTGACATGGTCCCGGCAAGATCCAGTTTGAGGCTGGTTCCACCAGAGCAGTTGGTGACACTGGTTAGACTGGTTTCTCTGTGAGCCTCTACTCCTTCAGATCTGGATTTACTTATCTCATAATCTCTATAACAAAGTTGGTTTTTTGGTGATGTAGAGCAAAAATATAATTTGTAGATTTTGTAATTTTGTAGATATCATTCCATGTTTTCAAGTTCATTGCTCTGCCAGTTGTTTTGTTGGGATCTCCATTGACTACATTATACATTATTTCTTTTTGATTTTTAAGTTCATGTGAAAAATACTTTTCGCAATTCACACAGCAGGATCAGAACTTGTTAATACCTTCATTTGTAAATAACAGGGGCAATGGGGGACTGGGCTGAGCAATAGACGTGTGAACAAGTACTTGGGCTGTGATGAGAGCCAGGAGAGCATGGGTCTTTAAGTAACCCCCAGTTCACTGGAGGGGACAGAATTTCAGAGACCTACAGATGTCGGCATTATGGAGGAAAACTAAACACTGAGCAGCTCGAGAAGCTTTGTAGCAGACAACAGGTTGTGTCTGTTATCAGGACACACTTTTGCTTCAGCAAAGAGTAGACGACACTGAGCTGAAATAAGTCTGATATTTTCACTGCAGAGTCACTGTCTGAGCCACCAAAATTAAAACCACCAACACCAGGGGCTTCAACTCTTTGAGCACTATCACCTACCTGAATGTAAACCCTGCAGCGCTCACTAAGAAAAGAGAGCAAAACACGACAACAGAGAGCGATGACTCCACAAAGTAGCTGATGTTACCATACACATTAAGTTTACAACAACTCTTAGACTTAATTAATTCAAAAATAACTAATCTGATTCTGATGAATTCAGGGGCTGAGACCAAGCAGCAAGCTCTGGTCCTGAGAAACAAAGCCCATGTTAAGGTGTTATAACTGCAGTTACCTGGGTCCACGAGAGGCTGTTTGCAAAAGTACCTGAAACCGCAAACACATTCATTCAAAAAAGCCCATCTTGAGAGCAGAAATAGACACTTTTGCAGCCTGGTTCAGAGCATAGTTCTGGTTGGAATAACTCAGAGCTCCCACAGCGTCCTGGCACAGTGGACATGACTAACAGGTGAGCACACTGTGGTTGTCAGCAAGGATGTCAGCGAGGTGGCTAAAGACCTGCCTCAGCATTGGCTCTTCACCTCTTGTCAGGTTGAAAATTGGGCTAAGTTAGCGTTTCTTATTTCCTGGCGGGCACTTGCAGGCTTCAAATCACTGCTCTGTTAATGAATGGGTGAAATCAAGATGACATCTGTAGTCCGGACAAGTAAAATACTCCGTAAAGTTACACCAATACTGCTTGCCTCAGCATGTGTATCAAAGATAAGCAAGAAAAATGTCTTCCTGTGAATAAATTCCCCCTCTTATAAAGTATAAGATGAGAAAAGAAAAGAAAATTATAAAAATTTAAAATTTTAGTTTGAAAGGGACATTTCGTAGTTTAATAATTTTTAGATTTATTTCATTTAATTTAAGTTTAAGTATAGTGAAAGTAGCCAAGTTATTTAGACTTGAAATATTGAGATGAAAATATTGAATGGTTATTTTAGAGTGGAATTTAATAACAGGCATAAAAAGGAAACTTTTGAAATGTCACAAAATGAATATTTGGTGGATAGCACAAATACGAGAAAAGCAGCTGAGAAACTATGGACAATTTTATGAATATCATTGCAGAAATGATAATATGAAAGATTAATAACTGAACCTGAGATTATTTTATCCTCTCTACTGTCTGTGTTCTGCTCGGTCCAACTTCAAGCAAGATGGCAACGACGTCTCGGAAACATAGAGACTTTACTGGTTAGCCAATGGGAGACAAACTGGTGACGGCACTGTCAGGGATTGGAGAGCTGCTGGGGAGTAGGCTGGCAGATCAGGGCTTTGACAAGGTGAACAACACACACATACATGAAGTTTCCTTAACTGTTCATTCATAAAAGTAAATTCAATGTGTGAACATTGTTTGGCTGGAGTATTCAGTCAGCAGAAGCCTTTTGTTTGTCAACAGTCATCATTAAATAAAGAGGGCACAGCTGGGTTCCTCCAAAATTGAATGTGTCTTCTCTGTCTGTTTTTTGTGTGTCTCTTTCAGGCCTTTGTGGTCCTGGGTCAGTTCCTGCTCCTAAAAAAAGACACTGAGATGTTCTCTGATTGGCTAAGAGATGCCACAGGTGCAAACATGCATCAAGCTTTCTCATGTGCCCAGTGTTTGAGGGACTGGTGCGCCTCCTTTCTTTGAGAGACTCCGCCCCTTCTTGTTCTTCCACTATCAGCCTGCTGTTTTCTCCTGAGCTGGTTTCTGCCTAATTGCTGCTGTGTGAATGTTTCCAGATGAACTGTCAAACACCCATTGACACCGCATCCGTAACGGCTGCGAAAAGGCCATATACGCCGATCGCAGCTGATCGTTTCCATTCTATGGAAGTGATTGTGACTCATATCTCAAATTCAAAAGCATTAGCAGAAATGCTTTTTCATTTCAAAGTCATGGCTGCACTATTTGACTCAAAAAATAAAAATAAAAAGCAATATTGCAAAATGCATTTTCATTTTCTTCTTTAAGACTGCTCATTTTGTGACTAAATTGGAAAGAAAAAACAAACTCAGAAATGCTTTTCCGTTTTCGTGCTCGCCCCGCAAAAAGTGTCTCATAATTCCATCTGATTCGCAATCTCAAGTGGCGCCAGGAAGTGACGTCACGGACCCCACTCGTTCTGGTCCCTTCTGGCCGATAGGGGGCAGTGAATCTGTGTATCATTGAATGAAATCAAACTGCGGATGGCGGCTATCTGTTTCAGCGGACTAACGGACTTTATACTCCTCATTGTTCTCATCACTGATCGGTGGATTTGGGATCTGTTGCAAATAAAGGGCCATAAACACAGTGAGAAACAGACAAAATGGTCATAGAGATGCCTTAAAAATACATGGCTCAGAGGCAGAATCACTGCAGTCTCTGTCCGTGTAAACCTGTGACTGTATGCAGATGTCAGCGGTGTGTCAGGTGTGCTGGTTGATTGAAGATAATTATTAGTATAATTATCTCTTAAATACAACGGAGTATAAGGGGCACAATTAGAAAAAAAACAGAATAAAGTCATTAATATCAGTATTAAGTCGTAAAGTTACGTGTTGTGAAGGAGAGTTGTTAAAATCAGCACTGTGGAGCATTTAGATGAATTGTACTTTAGTATAGGTTTCACAAACATGGAGATACTTAATCCTTTGGTACATGAGCATTACACTGTCATGAGTATCAGAACTTATATTTGAGATAAATGAGAAATGCTGCTTTTGTGGAGGGGAAAATGGCTGGAAATGGCTGTACAGAGGCTAAATCCGTCAATACAGCTGTTAATAGCAATAGCATAGGGCTTTAGTTTATGTTGTGTCTGGGCTGTCCTCGATGTGTAGATGCAGAAGGAGGCTTCGTGACACTGGCTTGCTTGTATAAGAGGAGTTTATTATAAAGACAAAACCAGTATCAGAACAGCACTGCAGTTGCTGGGAGAGGACTGCCAGTGATGTCCAGCTCTCCCTGACCACAGTTTGTAATCCTGTTATATAGGGTCATCCTCTCTTTGTTCCCCAGCTATCTTTTCGTTATCATCTGTTTGTTTGTTGTTTATCTGGTCTGGAATCGTGACCTGTGAACTGTGACCTGTGCTCTACAAGCACTCAACAGCCAGGTGACCCAGTGTCTACAATCCACACTTTGATTAGTTCATGTAACTTTGGGAAATACCTTGGCCTGGTATGTTGATGCTGTACTCCAGATACCACATATTTCCCCCCTTCAAGACTCCATAGAGTCTCGAAAAAGGAAAAGACATAATTACAATTTCAATTTATGCAGTTTCTATTTATTGCTAAAATTTTGGAGTGTGAGGGCGAAAACCTGTCAGGCAGCTGTCTTTCCATTATTATCCATCAAACACTCTAGACAGGAAAAAGTCACTCACGGTCCCTCTGCCCTAGGCGACCACCTATTGTACTCCAATCCAATCGAAAGGTAAGGGTTAGACTTTATGTGGAAATAATGTTTGGCGCAAATATTCTTGGGAATCTCAGAAACAAATTTAAAATTATCCACAGTCAAGCTGGTCATCCCATCGAACTTCCAGTGGACCTATCCCTGCCTAACACCACTGATCCTACAACGAGAAAACAAAGAAAACACCTGAGATCCCAATACATTCACTTTACAACTTATGCTATGAATCACTAAACCCCCTTTCATAGTTTTCATTCTTCCTATGCTGTTTGGTGTTGACATGAACATTAAAATACAACACAGAAAGATAAATTGACATTCATAGCACAGATTATACATTAACAAACTCTATGATTAAAAAGAATAATATATATGTATATAATTTTTTTTTTTTTTTTTTTCTTAACATCTTTGGCTGCTTGTGTAGTGTTCTTGTCCATGGGTGTTTTCTGTTTGGGTATCCAATGCAATGTTCTTGTTCACATCTTCTGTCAGGTTTCAGTTGTGTTTACATTGTCCATGTTTGATTGTCTTGTTGGGAGGTGTGGGTCCATTAAGGCTGTTTAGATCTCTGGAGAACCACCTTTCTTTCGCTGGTCTCCCCAACTGCTGTCCTGAGAATGAAAAAATTAAGCAGTATCTTGCCAAAAACATACATTTTTGTTTGTTTGACATGTTTATCCTATTTTCCCCTACGTAATACTCCCCCTTCATGACATCAAAATGTAAACCTGTACTGGCCAATCTTACCCAGCGGGTTTTTCATCACCCCATTCATTTTTTCACAGAAACCTTGGCTTTGCGGATGGTACACAGCTCCCAAACATTGTTCAGTTCTTAGTTTTTTCAAATCAGTTTCACTGTTTTATCCACACACTCTTCTCCATTATCTTAGAATATTTACTCTGAAAGTCCCCATCTGCTTATGACCTCCCCACACAAGAACTTGGCAACATACTGAGCATGTTTCCACTTGGTTGAATAAACTTCAACTGTTACACCTTCGAACATTATTTTTCAGACACATTGTACATCTACTTATGATAAATCAATTTGCTCACACAAATGTGGTGTCCAGAAACCTACTCCTTTATGATGTTTCTTTTAACTTCCCCCCTTGCAACATGTGCTAACCCATGTGCCTCTTGAATCAATAATCCAAGTAGGTCTGGAGGTGCCACCATCAGGCCTTCATGATTCCTCCACAATCCTGTGGTATCCTGTGTTGCACCTCGGTCACGCCATAACTGTTTGTCTATTTCAGAGGCCACTTCTTGCATTGAGACTATGTCTTTGAGGGTGATTTTATCTTCTAAGTCTACTTCATGAGTGACCAGAAGAACTTTGCCTTCTTTATCTGCCCCTGTAACAGCTTTTGCAGCCTCATCAGCTGCTCTGTTGCCCTGACTTACTCTTGACATGTCCCCTTTATGTGCTGCACACTTAGCTATTGCTATTTCTTTTGGCTTCATCATTGCATGCAGCAATTTGGTTATCTGGGCATGATGCTGTATAGGAGACCCATCTGTTTTCTTAAATCCCCGATTTTTCCACAGTGCTCCGAACAAGTGACAAACATTATGTGCATATGCAGAGTTTGTGTAAATTGTCACTCGTTTGTCTTCTGCCAAAAGACATGCTTCGGTTAGTCCTACAAGTTCAGCCAGCTGTGCAGATGCTGGTTGTTGCACTGTTTTTGCCTTTTCGACAACAAATCCATCTCCTTCAGCTTTTACAACTGCATAGCCAGCGCTCAATTTGTCTCCTATCCGATAACACGACCCATCAGTCCAATACTCTACATCTGATTTCTGAAGTGGAAGGGCTTGCAAGTCTGACCGTAGTTTTGAATGTCTCTCTGATTCCTTCACACAATCATGTGGCTCCCCATCTTCTGGAGTTGGCAGATTCTCAGCTGGATTTATTGTGTTACACTTCACCAAGGTGACATCCTCTTGCTCTAACAGTCTATGATAACTTCTGAGTCTAGGCATAGTCAATGTAAATTTACCATAATTCAGAAGATTTCTGAGACTATGATGAGCAAGAATTGTCACTGGGTAACCCATTGTCACAGATGATGCCTTGTCATACATGAGATGAACTGCCACCATTGCTCTATAACATAAAGGCATCCCTAACTCTACTTCTGAAAATGCAGCCAAATAATAAGAAATGGGTTGAGGGCTTGTTCCTGTTCCTGTTGGCTGACAAAGAACTGCACAGGCATATTTACCCCCAGTTGAGGTAGATACATACAACAGAAAATTCTTGGAGTAGTCTGGGAGTGCTAGTGCTGGGGCTTCTTGTAGTCTTTGTTTGATAGTTTCAAAGGCTATTAGACCCTCCTGTGTCCACATGAGATTACAATGAAGTTGTGCACTTCCTGTCTCTTTAATCATAGCTCTCAGTGGCCCTGTCAGACTGGCATAGTCCTCTATCCATGCTGATGAATACCCAGCAATCCCTAGAAATGTCATCATTTCTCTGACTGTTCTTGGCTTGGGAGTCTTTCGAATGGCTTCTAAATGACTGTCCGAAATGCTTCTGTGTCCTTTAGTTATTGTCTGACCCAGGTACACTACCTTATCCCGACAATATTGCAACTTCTTCTGCGATGCCTTGTGTCCTTTTTCAGCCAGAATTTGCAGTAATTTTATTGAATCTTTGTGACATGTTTCTTTATCCGGTGAACAGATAATAATGTCATCAACATACTGCACCACAGTGCTGTTCAACATTTGTTCCAATCCTTTCAAATCCTCTTTCAACACTTTATTGAAAATGTGAGGACTATGTTTGAATCCTTGTGGTAACCTCTTGTACACATAGGACTGCCCTTCATAAGTAAATCCAAATAACTCTCCACTCTCTGTGCTCAAAGGAACACTGAAATATGCTCCACACAGGTCCAACACTGTAAAATGAGTATCATCTGGCGGGATTTGGGCTAATAAAGTGTGGGGGTCTGGTACATCAGCTGGAAAATCTACCACCACGTCATTTACTGCTCTCAAATCATGTACCAGGCGGTATGTGCCATCTGGTTTCTGCAAAGGTAACAGTGGTGTATTGCTTTGAGGGTTCTGAGTTATCCCTAACACACCTGCTTGTACCAATCCTTCAATTTGAGATCCAATACCTTGTATTGCCTCTTTTTTCAATGGATATTGATTCTTCCAAGGAGGCTTGGTGCCTGGTCGAAGTTCAACTTTTACTGGTTGAGCTGATTTTACCAGTCCAATATCAGTGCTATATCGAGACCACAGATGTTCTGGCACGTGTTGTAGCATGTCTTTTTTTATAGCGTCTGAGTCAAGTTTAGCACTGCAAATTGACTCATGTGTCATCTGTACAGCTTGTGGCTGACCCTGTCCGTGAGCAGAGATAACAATCCTTATGAACTGCTGATCCTCACTCACCCAAATAGCAGGATTTTCCTTAACTGGTGTAAAAATAGCTTTCTCTGCTTCTACCATCATTGAGCCTATATGCTTCTGTTCATAGGTCTCAGCTACCATCAAAGTCACGTGAGGAATGCTTTCCTCGATGTCATGTTCTTTTTCAAGATATTCATTACTCTCTATCTTCATAGCTGCTCCTTGTGGCCCCAAAATTATTGAACTGGAGCTAAGCTGGACTTGTTTTGGTTGCTGCTTCAACCAGTCTGCTGAGTTGGTCTGTGTAGCATCTTTAAAATACTTCAGTGTACAGTGGTATGGATACTCAGGTAATTTCACCTCAGTCATATTGGCCACAATAAATTTCTCCCACAGCTTTGCTGGCTCTAGCAACTCCTGGCTAAGGTTCCCAATCCAAAACACTGCAGATGCTTCAGTCTCTGTTTTCATAAATAGTTGTTGCCAACTATCACTTGGTACATCCACCCGACAGCCGTCTGGTGTGCATCGTATTGTGCACTTCAACCTACACAAAGCATCTCTGCCCAAAAGTGCAATAGGTGTTTGTTCTGACACTAGTATCGGTATTGTGGTCTTTTGATTTTTATAGCAGAGCTCAATGGGTTCTGTAAGAGGTATCAGCTGTTTCACACCCTCAAAACCTATTGTCTGTACCAATTGGCCAGACATGGGGAGATGTATAGCATCTTTGGGCCTAACACAGGTGAAAGCAGCTCCGCAATCTGCCATAACTGTCAATGGTTTATCATTAACTTTCACATCAATGGCTGGCTCTTGTTCTGGCCCTGACATTACCAGCTGACACCCCCCTTTTAGGTCTTCTGGGCACCCCTAAAATCCAGGTTCTGGCCCCCTATCAGGGTTTACAGGTCCTCTGGGTGGGCGCGATTGTCCCCTAGTGCTTCTCATGAAGCCTCCCCTGAGACCTAAAACTTATCAACACCCAAAAAAGATCAATTTGTGTGATTTTACCAAGCAGCAATGACAAACCACATCCACAAGCTTCAGCAAAATTTAGACCTCTTGGAAATGCTCTTTTAATTCAACAATAATCCGGTACTTAATCAGCCCTTTCAACTGGTCAGTCTATTGCCAAGCCTTTCTTTTTACCCACAAAACTACTGCTCTTATTGTCTAGCACTAACAAATGTATACACCCAACTAAATGTGTTCCCACTATAAGTGTGTGTATGTACAACTAAGTAGCAGCAGATGCATAGGAGAAGAGTTTGTAGATAAAACTCTACTGGCCTGTCAAATGGGAGCAGGTCCTGGTGAGCCTCTCATCCGCAAGCCCCCTCTTGTTGCAGCACAGCCATTTATCTTCTTATCTGTCTTATGGGCGCTCCAGCGTCAGATGCTTTTCATTCTCCTCTCCTCTCTCATGCATCAGAGTTAGGGACAAAGAACAAATCAAATGTTTAGTACATTACAATCACTTCATTCAATACAATTTAAAACATTTACTACCACTATTTAAAGATTTCTTCTACTATCTAACTACTAAAATTTATTATACACCATTCCCCTTTACCATGGTATACCATTTAAAATTTTCACACAACTAGGATAGTTAAACTAGATTTTTTAGCTTTCTTTCTGTTCTCAGGCCTGTAAGAAGAGAAAGAAAGGGGGAGGAAAAGCTCCCTGGATTCTCCTAATTTTTAACTAGGACTTCCCTCTAAACATAATCATCAGCAAGTGACCGTTCACTTTAAATATTCACACACACACAGAGGAAAACCACACTCATCAGTTAGCAAATCATTCCTTTTTACTCCACTCTCTTACTCTGTTTTTTTCCTGTATTTGTATGAACACAAATGTGCTTGCTGGTCTTTACAGTTCTTTAATTGCCATTTTAATTGAGGATGTTATCACCATCCAAAGTCCTCCTCATCTAATAAGGGGCTCATTTCTTACTATTAGATGTACAAACGTCCTCTTTATCCTGAGAGGCTCATAGCAGTTACTTATTCTATTAACGTCCCTGTACAAAGAAAAACAGGGCTCATATGTTTTTAACACTACAAAGGCAACAGTATCTCTTCCCTTAAATGTTAAATTCTTATATCATATCATTATATATTTAATAAGCTATCATTTATCACTTTATCATACGTTAATCACTTATACCTATGCTAGACCATTCCCCAACTTTGTGCACACACCACTTACTACACACAGACTCTTTTACACTCACACTCAGCACCCATACACACACTCCTTTCACACACACACCAGAAGCTTCTCTCACACACTCAAACTTCAGCACACCTCGTCTCACTGAGCTCAATGTTTCCTTACTATAGTATATAGGCCTTTTTTTTTTTCTTTAAACTGTCCTTACCGATTTGTTATGCCCAATCACGACTTCCCAAACATTAAGTTAACTTTTTCTTTTTCGGCCATCTCAGCCTTTTGCTTCTCTATTCCTGGGCCATCTCAGCCTTTTTCTCTTTTTCACTTTGTCTCTTTAACTTTTTCTCTTCTTTCTTTTTCTCTCTTTTAACATCTTTTTCTTCTCTACAACTTCTTTTCTTTTCTATTCTACCCAAGTTTAGACGAAGCCTCTCTTCAACAGCACATCACAGCATTTCCACACAAGATAGTTTTACACAGTACAGCCAACCAGCTGAACACAACAGCTCCAACAACTAAAAGGTTGTTTTTACCTTGTTTTTTTTACCAACTTTTTACCTTTCTACCTTTTAGCCGATATATTGATTTTCATGTACAAGTGACTTCATGTTAAAGCTACTGTGGGGAATTTTCATCCGATTATAACTGACTGATATTGATAGGGATGCCTCTGTGTGGCCTTAAAAAGCAAATCAGACCACCTTTGAAGGGTTTGTTCATCTCTACAAAGTTATTTGTGAGGTTAGAAACTGTTGTCAGGGGTATAGGTGTCAGATGATTTAGCTAGATTGAAGCTTTTTAAAAAGGCTTTTTCAAAAATATCTCAGGTGAAGATGACCAATGACTTTTAAAATTGAGCAGGGAGATTTTTTGTTTGAAAACAAGACTTAACGCAATTTGAAAGAGAGGTTATGAAAAGAAGCATAGGAAGCAACACAAACCAAAAATTACTCACGGGAGCTTTAAGAAAGAGTTGATAACACCTGATTTGTGTCACGTGATGATTTAACTCATCAGGTGACACCAAAATTGATCCATCCTGTGAACAAAATGAGTTTGTTACCTTCTCTGGAGTTCCCGAGGAGGCTTTTGCTGATCTTTATGATCAGAGAGAGGAGACACACGCTTTTCTCTCTAATGGAGTAAAAATAATTTTGATTTGTCAGTAACAGAATCAACTGAAAGATAAACCAAAACTAATGCTTATAACAACACTGAAGTCCAGACTGGTATTCCTATGCTTTACTTACACTACAGCATTTAAAAAACCAAGAACAACTCCATTTCTTCTCCTTCGGTTTCTTGTTTTTCTCCCCAGGTGGGGGTGCTGTGGATCCAGCCAGACCATTAGAGGTGAACTCTCTGCAGACACAAGCACACACCATTACCGTGTGGTGACATTTGTTTTAACAACCTGTACTGATGTTTTTAAAGGAGTCTGCAGTGACTAGTCAATATTTATCAGAAGCTTTTGTGGCTGCACAAATAAACAGCTGATTGTTGGAGCAGTTTACTCACCTCTGCTGACTGCTGATTAGACTTCTGACTTTTCTCTGTGGAGTAACAACAAATATAAAAATGAAAACCCACCGTGTCAAATATTTGTAGTGTCTGATTTTAAATGTCACACTTATAAAATGATCTTATTTTAACAGCTCTGAAACATACCAGAGGTTGACCAAACAGCCTGTGCAGCCAAAAGTTCGTTGGGCTGCAGTTTTCTGCGTTAGAAGCCTCTGACGCAGTGTCACTGGTCAACACAGAAACACAGGTTGGTTATTTTAATGAACAAAACAAATCCATAAACAGAAATATCTGCAGAGACACATGACAGTCACACAGACTCAAACCATGGTGATATTCAGACGATAAAATACAATAAACACGCACTGGATGGTCTTTGAGGAAGTATCAGAGTCAAACTGAAAAAGTAATACAGCACACTCACAGTGATTTAAAATACCTGAAGGTTATTCCCTGTGTTTGTGTTGTTGTTATTGATAAATGAACCCCCTCTTTGTTCACACTTATTCATTAAAAACCTAAGTGCTGAATCTCTTTAAGTTGACACAGCGTTTTTAAAACAAAGCTTTTTTAATGCATATTATCCGGGAAAGGCCTCATACAAAACATGTTTTTCCTTCAATTTCAAACACAGTAAATTAAAATGGTCTTTGTTTCCCTTACTGGGAAATTCCCCTTGTGGGACTAATAAAGGAGTATCTTATCTATCATACCTGACTTTACTAGTTTTTGACTAGAGACTCCCAGTAAGAGCAAACAATGATAAAACTTTATTTCATTTAGTGTTTTTACACATTTCCTTTGTCTGACTGATTAATTGATCAGTAAATGTCTTATGTGAAGCCTTTGAATTGTCTTATTCAGTTAAAATAACCACTGAAATGTATAACATAAATACATGTGTCTTGTGACAAAAAGAGTTTGAAACACAACACAGTGTAAGTCCAAAATCAAATCCTAAATTTGCGAATCTTTACATTTTTGCTGGCACTGTCACAGATTTAACTCTGAACTGTCCCAGATTATAATCTGCTGGGAGGTCTCTGTCATGTTTCAAATGTTACACTCTGCATATTAATGCAAAAGAGGTAAAAGATTGTTTTAGAGACACATTGTTAAACTACTGTTTAATATCACACCCCTATAAATTTGAGTTTGCATTTTACTGTCATCATAAGTTAAACGTGTTTCTTACCTCCTGTTGAAGCCCGAGCACGCAATTCTCAGAGCTTCTCCTTTTACAGGAATGGGTTGACTCTTCTGTGCAGATTTAAAGAAGAAATAAGAAAGCATTGGTTAGTAAAGAAACTGTCAAATAAGTTTCAGACTGACGGCTTTAAATAGCCCAGGAGACAAAAAAAACCTCTTATAGAGATTTCTCACAATAACATGAGCTTTTCTGCTCTTAAGCACGAAGAGTCTTTGACATGGTGGGCAGGACTTTCATGTGATGTCAATGCATCACTTTTAAGATAACCATCCGAACGTCTAGACTTTTAACTCACTGTTGTGGCCACATTCATTGTGTTCATGAAGGGCGGAGGATTCGTACGATGTTCTTATTTTCATTCTGGGATATAAGGAAATCGTGCTATGTGAAGAAGTCCAGAGGCAGCTTCTCATTCAAACAGTAGGTCAGTTAATGCCTTTGATCTCACAGCTGTTTAGGATGCAATCATTAACGAGACACACACACACACAGTCTGAAAATGTGTGTGCATGTGTCTGTGTCTAAAAGACCTGCATGTACACACCGTTAATATGTGTCTGCATCACCACCTATCTCCACCCACAAACTTTGAGCTACAGAAAACATTCTGGGCTTCAAAAATTCAGCTCATTGAGGACATTATGGGGTGTACTCAGGATTTTTTTTATTAAACTTTTCCCCACTTTAAAATTATTCTCATTATTCATGCATTATTAAATTCGTCAGACAAATCCAAACTCATTCAAACCGATTCAAACCTTTCTGATACTTCAAACCTGTTTAACACTTTAGGACTTCTAATTATTCAAAATTTTTCCCATTTCAAAATCATTCTCATTATTTATGTATGTTTTAATTCTTCAAACAAAATCCCAGTTCTACCACTACAATTACTACTGATATCACTTTAACTTGTATCTTCACTTCTACCTCCACTGCTCTTGCGTCTCTTAATATTTTTTTTACTTCTACCACGAGCTCTACTGCTTTGACTTCTACTTCTATTCTAAAACTACTTCTACTGCTTACATGACTACTAATATCACTAGTACAACTTTTTTTGCAATTTCAGACAGTTTTTCTAGCCTTATTCAGCATGAACGCAATTTTAATTTATGAAGCACATTCATACTATTTGTACTTCAGCAATTTTCACTTTCATCTAACTTCTACTTTTCTTTCTCCAGCTCTTTAACCAATTTTACATTTAAACCTTCCTCCATTTTTTTTAAGCAGTTTAGCATTGCTTTTTCAGCTTCCAGCACTCAGCATGTGGTTTGGAAATGCATTTCCACGCATTTTCTGCAAGGAAATGCAATTTTTTCTAGTTTTGATAATGCCTGTCACATTAAAGTCATAAACACTGTAAATATCCATGCACACATTTAATCCTTGTCGATGCATCGCTTAACCATCACGAAAGTCTCGACAGTAACACAAGTTTGTATGATAATATTGTCATGAAATCTTACGGTCTCCATGTCGTAGATGTTGTCCTCTTTGTTCAGGTGTTGGTTAGAGGTGTTTGTCCGAGTCCTTAGTCGTCTGGTGAGGTTTTATTTACGATGAAGCCGTCAAAAGTTGTAAGGTCGTGAGCCGCTTAAGTTTTTCGTGCTGTTCTCTTCAGATTTGATCTTCAGAAATGACCGCTCTCTTTGGCTTGTAATGATTTAAAGTTTTTACATCGTTGCAGGTTACCATGGAGATTTAAAATGCTGTTTACTTTAGAAAAACACTTACACTGGTAGGTTATATCTAAAAGTTTAACATTATCTTTAATTTACTTTAATCTCAATGGAATATAAATATCTCTCGAAGTGGAGGTTATTTTTCGTGATTGAAGATAATTATTAGTATAATTATCTCTTAAATACAACGGAGTATAAGGGGCACAATTAGAAAAAAAAAACGTTTTTAAATCTTAAAGAATAAAGTTATTATTTGGGAGAATAAAGTCATTAATATCAGTATTAAGTCGTAAAGTTACCTGTTGTGAAGGAGAGTTGTTAAAATCAGCACTGTGGAGCATTTAGATGAATTGTACTTTAGTATAGGTTTCACAAACATGGAGATACTTAATCCTTTGGTACATGAGCATTACACTGTCATGAGTATCAGAACTTATATTTGAGATATATGAGAAATGCTGCTTTTGTGGAGGGGAAAATGGCTGGAAATGACTGTACAGAGGCTAAATCCGTCAATACAGCTGTTAATAGCAATAGCATAGGGCTTTAGTTTATCATATGAGTTTATCTGCCATGAGGTGTTGAGGTCTCTGCATGTGAAGGTTACTGACTTACTGTAATCATCGGGTCTATCTCGTCCTTATAAAAACCTGCTCTATTACGGCGAGTGTCTGTCTTCTTCTGTAGTCAAACCGCAAGATATCAAAATCTACCCGAATACAGCAATGCTGATTTTTGATTAGCTGTTCAGTATATATACTTTATTTGATTGGCTTGCGCGTGGCACGCAGCTTCTGAACTCTCGGACGAACTCAGTTGATTTCTACCTGTTCCATAGTTAAAGAGGTGCAACTTGGTGGACATCACCATGTTCATTTAAATGCGTGAGAAATACAATGTGTGGCGTGTGAGCGTGTGAACGGGTGGGAATGCGTGTGTCACACGCTGAATGCGTGAGACTTGAGAGCCCTGGCACAGTGCAGGTGCTCCTCAACAAATAAGAATAAATATATTCTCATTCATTGAGATGGGATACTTGAATACATTGTGCAACAGAAGCCTGCAGATGACTTTGAAATTAAAATATTTCTAGTCCACTGAAGATAAAATGTGTAGAGTCCACGTCTCCATGCTGTAAGTGAGTGAGTAAAAGGACCAGCACACCTGACACACCGCTGACATCTGCATACAGTCACAGGTTTACACGGACAGAGACTGCAGTGATTCTGCCTCTGAGCCATGTATTTTTAAGGCATCTCTATGACCATTTTGTCTGTTTCTCACTGTTTATGGCCCTTTATTTGCAAAATATCCCAAATCCACCGATCAGTGATGAGAACAATGAGGAGTATAAAGTCCGTTAGTCCGCTGAAACAGATAGCTGCAATCCGCAGTTTGATTTCATTCAATGATACACGGATTCACTGCCCCCTATCGGCCAGAAGGGACCAGAACGAGTGGGGTCCTTGACGTCACTTCCTGGCGCCACTTGAGCTTGCAAATCAGATTGAATTATGAGACACTTTTTACGGGGCGAGCACGAAAATGGAAAAGCAATTCTGAGTTTGGTTTTTCTTTTCAATTTAGTCACAAAATACGCAGTCTTGAAGAAGAAAATGAAAATGCATTTTGCAATATTGCTTTTTATTTTTATTTTTTGAGTCAAATAGTGCAGCCATGACTTTGAAATGAAAAAGCATTTCTGCTAATGCTTTTGAATTTTCGAACTTGACATTTCAAATTGAATTTTGTTACCTTTTTGGTGGTGAATGTTTTGAAAATTAAATGTTAAATGTGATTTGCTTTTGCTTTTTAATTTAGTCACAAAATTAGCAGTCTTGAAGAAGAAAATGAAATCGCATTTTGGAATATTGCTTTTTATTTTTGAGTCAAATAGTGCAGCCATGACTTTGAAATGAAAAAGCATTTCTACTAATGCTTTTGAATTTGAGATAGGAGTCACAATCTCGGGTTCTTATGAGTTCTTGCGATTCCCGCTGTCCGAAATCCACCACGAAATTTGCCTTACAAACGCATCCAGTAGGAATTGGCAGATGGCAAAAATCGCCGCCGTTCCATAGTGGAAATTGGGGGTAACTATTGCCTGCTGAGGGGTGTGATGTCACAACGCTCTGACAGGTGTCTGTTTACCTGTTTTATCAGCTGTTTCATAGGGTCAAGTTTACATGAATAAAAGCTTTATGTCCAAACAGCTTCTTTGTGTCACAGCTTCATTTCTGCATAGCTGGAGAAAATAACACATGATGAGGTGTATGTCAGAGGAGAGTTCGTGGCCTCTGTGACCTTGTTTGTCCATGGTTGATGCCTCCAGTTTATCTTTTTGTCCTATTTTACGCTGGAGGACAACAATTTGGAGATGGGGAGATGGCAGGCACTGAACTAAGCCGTTATCCAAAGTATATTCTCATATTTAGTGGGATACGACTCTTAACTTATGAAACATCTGCACTTAGACCCTTAAACACCTACAGTCCCATGTGATGTAATTATCTAAATTTACATCTGCTGTACTATCTTACTCAAGAGATTCTCTGAATCTTTGAATGACATTATGTTCTCTAGATGATGAAATCCACTCATTCTCTCACATTTGACACTCTAAAAAAACCTTTCATCTCTCCTTATGAAAGACTCAGCCTCTCTCAATGACCCAGTCATATTGCTAACCTGTTGGACATTCACCTCATTAGTTTGGAGATGTTCCTCCAGCTGTTTTTTGTAGCATTAGCAACACAACTTTTTCCTTGTTTGGTTGTTCCTCTTTAACAACTTTTTACCTGTTTGGTTGTTCCTCTAAAACAACTTTTTGAAGTTGTCCGGTAAAATGTTAAATGGGTGGTGTCTATGTTCTGTATTTAATCGCATATCAAGTTCAATGATTAGCAACCTCTGGAGTTTTTTATCCAGCCGAGTGTCCTAACCATTATAAAAGTGGAGTTATGTTCATGAACCCCTGTATTTGCTTCTTACATTCACACCTTTCATGCTGATAGAAAAGGCCATTGTTCCTTTAGCAACATAAGTGCTAACAATGTTTTTGTTTTTTTATTGTAGTGTCAAAAAGTGATGTAAATAAAGTACATGCTTGGATGGTGAACATCCTTCACTCTGCTGACAGATATTCTGAGGCTTAATAAAGTGCAGATGTAGAAACAACCACCAAATCTTTATTCAAAGTTCAGAAACCTTCGGGTTTTTATTTATTGCAGGTTTCGTTCCAATCGCACACAAATATAAAAACAGGAGATCCTTCAGAGTAGAAAACAATCAGAGCTGCTGTCGATGCAAACAGATTAAGTTTAACATCATGAGGTCAGAGATGGCCATGTGAAGAAGTGAGAGCTTACAAAAGAAAAGATCACATTTAAATGAGTGTTTAGATCTGACACCATAGTAGTGTGACTTTTTACACACGTCTTTACACGTGTCTTTCTCCAGAGCATATCTAATAAAATGTGTTGCTGCAGCGAAATCCTCCAGAAAATAAGCATACTGACAGTTTAAGATGGACTCTAAAAACTTTGCAAAACAGGGCTGACTTTAGAGGAAAGATGACGATGGCTCTGAATGAACAGCTGAATAAATCAAACCTGTCATGATCAACTCAGTTCTGGTCTGTGAAAATGATCAGGGCGTAAAACTGCACATTTCACAGAGAAAGAGGTGAATAGGTTCACCCCTGTTGGAGTACAACAGTTAATTTTTGGAGTTATGAGTGTTTCCCTCTGACAGAAAAAAAAAACTAAACCCAAACTTTAAACTTCATATTTTTGGCACAAACAATCATCAAGTGTACACTCAAACATTCGACTTTTCACCTTCACTTACGGAATAAAACACGTCATTATAAATCCAATGCGAAGTTCAATACTGTAGAGAGGGTAGAGGTGAGTTCTCAGAGGAATCAGCTGTCTGATGTCTGTGCTGAGGAGGAGTGTCCCTATGAGGTTGGTTTGTTCAGAATGTACAGAAAGGTACGAGTTTGACTCGTCCTTCAGCGCTTCAAATCGAACCAATCTGCAGTCAAGTTTACCTAAGAAGTTCATAAAGAAGCCGAGCATCCGATTGGCTGTTTAGGTGTGATGCTGTACTGTTTAATGAAGCCTTGCAGCTGAGGGTGGTGATGTGGGAGCAGTTTCATGTCCATTCAAAAATAATATAAATCAAACAACAAAGGACCTGACTGAGAAGATCTAAACACTCCAGAAGTCTGAAAACTGGAGAAGCTGCAGTTCACAACTTTGGCTCAATCCTAAAGTCAAACCCTTCTGACATCAGGCCAACTGTGTAGCTGTGTGTATGTGTATGTGAGGACTGAGGTAACACTGAGGAACAGGACAATGTAATGACATCACACTGTTAATGGCATTTTGAGGTAATGGTCATCAGTAGGTGGATCTGTGCTCCTGAGGCTCATTCTATTAACCCAAAGATAAATCCTGTCTACAGACACTGGAGGCATCCTCATCTGTAAATTTCTACTTCAATGATGTTTGTCCATCCTGATTGACAGCAGATCAAATCTATAGAGAGTTTTACATACTATGATGTATCCAATAATTTACTAAACGTGTTTAATTGATTATTCTGCTGATTAAAGGAGTTCTCTGATAATGCTAGTTTTTTTTTGCCTTGACTGTTGTAAAAATGCAGATCTCCCTGATGTGGTAATGATACAGAGAAATGATGAAGAATTATCTTATTACTAGACCTAAAAAAAATATACTTGATGTTTATTATGAACATCTAAATACATGGTAGACATTACAGTAGATAAGGTAAATGCTAATAATCTGCGTGTGCAAAGGCACCCTGGCCACCCCTACCTATGTCAGTACCTCAGCTGGGCCACCCAGGTCAAAAAGTCTGAGCATGCCCCTGCAGAACGTGCAAAGAAAGTAGAAACTTAGCTGAACTTCATCTCCTGTCTGAGATCGACGGGAAAAATGGATAGAAAAACAGCATAATCAGCATTAACCTAGCCTGAGTGACAGGAAGGGCTCTGCTGCTTGTGCTAGCTTTATAGATTGACATGAACATTAAAACAAACACTGCTGTCTGACTCACAGGATGCTTACAAATGACATGAGCATTGTCACAAAAATAATGAACTAAACGGTGAAATATTTACTCAGCCACACATTTCTGTAAACACTGGTTTATGAGAATACTCACAGAGGTCTCTTTTTTTCCTCTCCATCTCAGAGCAGCAGGTCAGTACTGATCTCTGTCCCTCAGTACATGGTGGGATAAAAAGCACTACGTTTTGATTTCTTAAGGGAAGAGTTTGTTGGGTCACTGTTTTTGTAGTCATGCTGCTAAATGAAGGTTATCCAGAGTTGACATCTGATAGTTGTTTCATGGCTTGAACTCTGTACACAGCGAGCTGCAGAGTTGGATTTAAATAAAAGACTCCAGTGACATCACCAGACATCAGCTTTGGGAGAGGAGGCAGCAGATGTTAGGCTCCACACAGAGACATGGGGGGGTTAACAGTCTGAGGTCGGTGTGAGTCTGCAGGACTTCAAGAGGTTCAGAATGTCCTCAGAGCAGTCAGGGTGTTTGTGAGATTATCAGCCTTTCAAAATAAAAGCCTCAGTGTCCCTTTAAAGACTCAATGTAATGAAAAGTCGCTCCAAGAGCCCAACTGGTTTCCACCTGGTTGATGGTCCTTGCCAGCTGTAATGCACACGCACGCACACGCACACGCACACACACACACACACACACACACACACACACACACACACACACACACACACACACACACACACACACACACACACACACACACACACACACACACACACGTCATTTAAACACACCACAGTCTACCTGCTGGTTCAGACTCAGACTTGGTGGGTTCTCACCTTGAACTGTTTGTGTGGGGGGAAGCCAAGCTCCTGCAGCAAGACTGAGATGTAGACCAGGTCCAGACAGAGGAATGGGCTCTTTGGTGGACTGATGGACAGACTGTCGCACACTGAACACAACACAGCAGTTAAACAGGTTTAAAGGCTGAAGAGGTTGTCCTGCTCTCAGATTATTAACTCTGCATCAATTACTGTGATATTTCAAACACATGCAGCACAGGTCATTGTTCGACTTCAGCATCAGCTGGACTGCTGAACTTGTGCCTGTTTACACCCTTGTTCCAATGCTTCTTCTCAGAGTTGGACTGAAGTTTTCAGGAGGTTATAAATCAGACTGATATTCCTACTATTGCCTCCTCATTACCTGCTTAAGCAAACTGAGAGGTCACTATAAACTAGGCAAAGATTATAAGCACCTCTTTGCCCACAGGGAGTGACTGAATCAACAGAGCTATGAGTTAAACTTCTTTATACTTCCTCCACTTGTAAGAGCAAGTCTAAACATTTAGGGTTACAGAAACACTCAGTGCGTTTAAATGTACAGCTTAATCGGACTATGCTCATTATTAGTTTTTTTTTTCAGCTGAATCGGACATCTCTCCTTGTCCAGGTATACATGCAGCTGAGAAAATCGAATTATTGACCTGAACATGTCCTCCTCCCCAAAACTTGGGGGCAATATGGGTCTTTTCAGCGGCGCTGTTTCCGGACCTTTTTAAAAGATGTCTCCTTTCCTCGTTTTGCGACCATCCATATGCTTTAAAATGTCCATTTCAATCAGGAGGGAAAGCACAACGCCACTTTGCTCGTCGCTCCAAAAGTGAACATTTTTTTGTGCTTCAACCATGTTGTACCACTTCTTCTCTGGTGTTTTTGTTCTGGGTTTACGGAGGCATGGCGCACGCACACGTGCATTGTCCGATCATACTGGCCCTCATTTATCAAGCTTGCGTACGGCAGAAAACTTGCGTACACCTTGCGGACAATTTTGATGTGAGGATCGGCATTTATCAATCTGCACGTGAGCGTACGCTACGACCAAATCTCACGACAGGTCTGACATCGTGTACGCAAGTTTGAGTCAGTGTGGATCTGCGGTGCAGCAAATGTCTGTCTCAAAATAATTGATAAGCGAAATTCAAAACTGTCATTAAGCACAATCAGCTGGATTTTATCACAGATTAAGATGTAAATAAAATAAAACAAAATAAATTTATGTCATTAGTGAATAGGCCTATTTGATAACTCTGCCCAGACACACTCCCACAGAGCAGGAGCGCCGTTTCAACATTACGCACACACGCACACGCGCTACTGTAGAGCGCTGCGTTTGACTCCTTAAAGGCAGGTGTCTCTATCTTGGCCCAGCAGCGGGGACGTTGTTGTACACTCCTGAAAGGGTGTGGGACATCATTTGGGCCAGTACAGTTTTGCACAATGTTGCACTGGCGAATACAGTGCCGTTGGCTGTGCCAGTGCAACATAAGGACCCGATGCCCGGAGAACAGTAACGAGGAGAGACTCCACGAAGGTGCTGCACAGAGGAGACAGGACCTTATTGATGGATTCTGACATGTAAAGAATAAGTTTAGAAAGTGCTCTTGCTATTTAATCAGTGATAAAAATCCAATAGAAATCCATAAAAATGTGCCTCAGGGGCAGCGACACACCTTTTGGTGACGTTAATAATTATTTTTGTTCAGCCTCTGTTAGACTCTCCAGTCTGCTCTACATTACAAAGACGCAACAAATTTAAACTAAATACTTTCAATAATAGGAGCAACGTACCCTATGTCATGGCAATAAAAATATGAGGCATGTATGAGATATTAATTCATCATCATGAGCAATTTATTGACTAATGATTTATTTAAACTTCTGCCACTCTCCACTATTCTGCAGCAGCGCTGTTCAGCACCTCCATAATCCTGCTCCAGACGGGAGTTTTCTGGACTGCTTTTATACCAGTTTTGATGTTTCCAAAGAGAAAATCCTTGTTAGTTTCCACCACAGATGTGAGGATATCCACTTTCAGCTCGAGAAAGTTTCGCATCTTTCTGATATTTCTCCTCTTTCATGGTTGACCTCAGTGGGCGAGGCTTCTGAACCACGAATATTTAAGGGCCTAACATGTTAATGATGATCGATTTCAGCCGCCGCATTTATCAAGACCCAATCATACGTACGCTGGGATTGGTCAGATACGAACCCTTTCATAAATCTCACGTGTGTCCTATCGTACGATGGATCCTGCGCTCAGATCTGTGCTCAGATCTGCGCAAGCTTGATAAATGAGGGCCACTCTGACTACGTTGGTTACATGGTAGAGGAAATCGAATTCCAATCACATTATCTGGGTGTCCTAATCGGAGTTCTCTGACTCCAGTCGGAGGTCTCAAACTCTGATTATAGTCGGACTAAGGTGTTTACATGCATTTCAGTTGTTTGGTCTTAATCGGAGTGAGGCAATAATTTGGTTTTCTTGAGTGTCATGTAAACGTACTGACTGTGAAATTGGCTGTGTGAGGTGAACTTTCCAGCAGAGTGCGATAGTGAGTCTCAGTGCATTAGTCGCGGGAAGCATATCTGGATCTCGATTATCACTGAGCCTACTACAGACTGAGCTCAGATACATGACAGGCAGCTGGCAGGAAGAAAGAGCAACTCATCTGCAAAGAAACAACATACTACTGAACACCACGAAAGTCTTCATGCAGGAGCAGGTTTGAACCTTGGGAGGCCTTCAAAATCAGACTATGGCTTCTTATGGTAATAATCAGTTTGGATCACATTTACTTCACATGATCTGACATATCTTAGTTGTTATTCCTGTCGGCCATTTTTCTTTATTATTATTATTATTATTACTAAGTGGAAATGCTGATTAAGCATTGTTCTTCCCGTCAGACATTTTTGTTTATTAAACTTATTATTCTTCCATACCTTTTTTGTCCACTTTCAACTCCTTCCCACTTTGTGCTATTCCAACCGTTCAAACTTTAAACTATTCCACTCCTTCAGGACACGACTACTTGTATTTTTTACCTTTCTACCCTTTCTACTTTTTGTTTTTAACTTTTTGTGCCAAAATTTTAACATTGAAGTCAATGGGGAAATCTTCCAATTTTTCCTTTTATTCTTCCACCTTCTGAGCCTGATAACTTAAGCATACTTTCACCTAGAGACCTCATTTTTGCTTTAAAATGTTCATTCACTTGTAGACTATTAGAGTTGTATTCAATTTTTTGATATCTTTTACAGTTTTCCCACAATTTAGCTTTAAGCAACTCATGGTTTTCAGCAAATTTCAGGCTTTATAATGGGTGTGTATTGGAAGAGCTAGAGTGACGATGTCATAGCTACAGTGCAGAGCTCCACTTTTATCGACAAAACCTAGCTCGAATATATCGCTCCTACGCCCACAAATTACACTCCACAGCCATAAAAAAATACATAAAAATGGAGGAAACTAAGTCCTGCTTCTCACAAAAGAGGTTTCAAATCCTTAATTCGTACCCCTTGCCCAGCAGGTGACCATCTGTCCAAAAAAGCAGAGATTCCTCCCATTGACGGTAATGTAATCTTTCTCCCAGAAAATCCTGCTCATCACTCAGGCTGAGACCTGTTTGACTCACTGTTGTGGCCACATTTTTTAGAGTACAGACATGAAAAACACATCATTGGGTTCATGAGGGGTGGAGGATTACTACGATGTTCTTATTTTCATTCTGGGATTTAAGCAAATCGTGCTATGTGAAGAAGTTCAGAGGCCCTAAATTCACTGCAGTTAGGCAGCTTCTCATTCAAATAGTAGTTCAGTTAATGCCTTTGATCTCACAGCTGTAAAGGATGCAATCATTAACGAGACACACACACACACAGTCTGACAATGTGTGTGCATGTGTGTCTCTGCCTATGACACCTGCATGTACACACAGTAAATATGTGTGTGCGTTAGTCTCTCTCTGTCTATAAGATCTACATCCACACACTTTGACCATGTATCTGCTTCACCACCTATCCTCTTCCACAAACTTTGAGCTACAGAAACCATTCAGGGCTCCAAAAATTCAGCTCATTGAGGACATTATGGGGTGTATTTAGGATTTTGTTAATTAATTGTATCAATATGTTCAGTAGACTCTTGCGGTTCTCACAAGTTCCTTATCATGTATATAGCTGTTACAGAGGATGAGCATCAGGGCATAGTCTGGGATTTGGTTTCTCAGCTTCAAGCATCCTTTCTCCTGCTGTAGTGATGCATCTACGGTCCCCATGGCAACCAATTAGTGCACCTGGAGACACACAGCTGACTGGAAAGCTGCTTCTAACGGCCATATGAGACACATTAAGCCACGCTCAGCACACAGAGCACTAGAGCACTTGACAAACTTCGACCTCTATCTCCTCCCACAAACTTTGAACTACAGAAACCATTCAGGGCTCCAAAAATTCAGCTCATTGAGGACATTATGGGGTGCACTCAAGATTTTTATTCATTTAAATTTTCCCCACTTAAAAATTAATCCTGTTATTAATAGATTATTCAATTCTTCAGACAAATTTAAACTCATTCAAACCGATTCAAACCTAATACTTCAAACTTGTCTAATACTTGAGGATTTGTAATTATTCAAATTTTTCCCATTTCAAAATCATTCTCATTATTTTGCATTTTTTAATTCTTCAAACAGATTCCCAGATTTACTACTACAATTACTACTAATATCACTTCAACTTGTATCTTCACTTCTACCTCCACTACTCTTCCTTCTCCAAATATTATTTTACTGCGTCTCTAACTTTTACTGCCACTATTACTTCTACCACAAGCTTCACTGCTTTGACTTCTACTTCTTCTATTCTAAAACTACTTCTACTGCTTACATGACTACTAATATCACTACTACAACTACATATTATTATACTACTTCTAGTACTACAACTTAAACTTATGCCACTTCTCACTTTTCTGTGTTTTAAGGTAATTTTCTTCCTTATCCAAGTTTTTTGCAATTTCAGACAGTTTTCCTCCCCTCTATTAGCATTAATGCAATTTTAATTTATGGAGCACATTCATACTGTTTGGACTTCAACAGTTTTCACTTTCATCCAACTTCCACTTCTTCTTCTTCACCCCTCTAACCAATTTTACATTTAAACCTTCTTCTATTTTTTATTAGCAGTTTTGCATTGCTTTTTCAGCTTTCAGCACTCAGCATTTCCATGCATTTTCTGCAAGGAAATGCAATTTTTCTAGTATGACTTTTGTGACCTGTGTGACCCTCGCAAACTTTTCCCTTAAACTGCTGATTATTATGTTACAATTTTCAAAGAAGAGCCTCAAAGATCTGCTTGTATTATTTGATTTTCACAGCCGCAGAGTGGTCTCGTTAATTAGCAGTTATTTTATCATTTTGTATAAAGTGCACTACTCAAAATTATTGAGACTGAGAGACTATAACCTGTGTGTGAGAGCTTTGATAGATTACAGATTTATAACTAGAAAACATTAGTGTTTATCAGCTCTCTTTACTCTCCCAGTAATAACACAAAAATGGAAATCATTTCCACACTGTGTAAGAGCCCTGATAAAAGTCAACTCTTAAGACTAATAAAGTGTTTAATAAATGCAGTGCAGTTCACTGAGTGTACACTGGGTGGTGCCCTCTCACCTCTTTTAGCTGCATTGATGTAATCTGACACCAGGATGGTTCCTCCCTTACTCTCCTCTACAGACAGAAACAAACGCAGACACAGGTCAGACTACAGACAGACACATGTTAATAACAGACACACACCCAGAGGTACTACAGAAGAATACTTGAAATCCCCTGCAAAGTCTGTCAAACCAGTAAAGAAAAGGGCGCTGATGTGTATCCAGGACTCTTTTCAGTATGAAGGCCACAGGTGAGGAGTCAAACAGGCAGACAAACTGTTCACCGGCAGGATGTACCATGAATCCAGATTAAACCTATCAAGTCCAGCTGCAGCATCCAATCAGTGAATGATATCTAATGTGCAAGCATATACACTGTCTAACTTTGAGTCTGACTGTCACAAGTCTTGTGTGAAGGGTGCTCTGGTGTATCCTCGGTTGTGGCTCTGTCCACCCCCACCTCTCTCATTTGAGCTGCAGCGAGAACTTGAGACCTGGTATGGTGGGTTTGAAACTACTCCTGGTTTGCTGTAAGACTGAAGACAGATGAGACAGAATAAGGAGACACATATTGTGGTCTGATTCTGGGTTCAGTCAAAGACTTCCACCTGATGAGTGAGGGGGCTGGATCGGGTTATAGTCAGTCAGTCAGCTAGAAGAAACACACCAAGGAGCTAAACCAATTTGTGGACTGATGACAGGACTTCCAAAGTGATTCTGTACTGAATAGGGACAAATGATTTGTTTAAATTCTTCTATTGTCAGGACTCTGGATAAGCTGGAGCCATCCTTCAGACTCCGTACATTTCCATGCACAGGTAAATTTGAGCTGCAGTCATAGCTCCATGAGGAGATTTATCTGGACTACATCATCAGTCCAATTTCAGTGGGACTGATGCTGTACGTTGAGTTTTTTGAGCACCTAAAGATAACGATTGTTTGAAGATGTTTTCTAAAAACCTTAGATGACAGTGAAACATGTTACCGATGATTCCCAGGTCCACAGCACGGTCGTAGTAGTAAGAGAAGGCGTAGAAATCCATGTCTGCCACTCCAGATGCCTTCGTCACCCTCCTGTACAAAACCTTCTCCACTTTTGTCCAACATGCCTCGTAAACTGGCTCTCCTGAAACACACACAGTCTGAAGGTTCCCATATGTTCCCACAGCATGATGGGTAATCAAAACATTCAATCAAGTCGCAGCAGTGACCCTACCTGCCTTCTGTCCCTTTACAGTATAGACAACCTCAGCGTGCTCCCAACTGCCCGAGTACTCTGGAGCAAGGCAGGGGCTGACCAGCTCAGTGCTTTCACCCACTGCTCACACACACACACACACATAAACAGAGTTGCAACAGCTGCAGATGCTAGCAGACCAGAGTCTACACATTAAGTCTGATGTACAGATATGGACGCTGCAAAGGGAATTCTGTGAATTATGTAAAAACATCCGACATTTTATCTCCTTTTTTTCCTGCTACACCTCAATGTAATCAGCCTTTCTTCAGTTCAAGCATCCTATACTGCTGAGTTTAAAGCTCAAATTACAAACAGATAGATAGAGAGTGAGATAGATGCAGAGAGGCAGATACAGAGAGACAGACAGGTACAAAAAGGCAGATACAGAGAGAGAGAGAGATTCAGAGAGACGGACAGATTTAAAGAGATGGATACAAAGAGAGAGATCAGAGAGACAGATACAAAGAGAGGGAGATTCAGAGAGAAAGAGAGATTCAGAGAGACAGACAGATTTAAAAGGGCAGATACAGAGAGAGAGATCAGAGAGACAGATACAGAGAGACAGACATGCAGCAGGATGTATCTGTGCTGCAGCTTCTTACAGCAGCTAAATCGCAGCAACAGCTGGCAGGCAAGGAATTAATCTTGCAGTGTGTTATTAAAAGATTAGATAATGGCTTATTTATCTGAGAGGACGGGCTGTGTGTGTGTTGGGGGGAGGTATGAAAGGCTGACATGAAAGCAAACTAAGAACTAAGAAGTCAAAACTGGGGGGGGGGTTACATACAGGGGGAAGCTTCCACTCCTCCTAAGACAGTGAGCCGAGCCGACATCAGACCCAGACCCAGATAACTGCATAGAGAGCACAGAAGAAGAACTCAAGAGGACCAACACTGGACCATGATACTGTAAATCAATGTGTTCACAGAAGGAGTTCAAAAATCACACCATCTCACACCAAATTATGCTGCAAATAACAACTTCAGATGTTACCAGTACAAACAAGTGTGTGTGTGTGTGTACCTGTGTGTGTAGACAGTGTGTGTGTTGTTGAACATCTGGAAGGACCTGATGTAATCGATGGGTGAGGTTTGGATGGTTTTCTGGCAGGGAGAGAAACAAAAGGTTCACAGATGTGACACAAGTTAGGGATGTAAGCTGATGAATTTAACTGTAGTTAACCAAACAAGAGTACACTAAGGTCATCTCCCACTTTACTAACTGGTGTAGTGAAGCCACAACATCTGCAACCTCTTTAGTTCCTCTCCACAACACACACACACACACACACACACACACACACACACACACACACACACACACACACACACACACACACACACACACACACACACACACACACACACACATAAATGTATTAGGTGTATTTTATTTATTTAAAGTGTATTTATCTTAAACTATTCTTTAAAGCTCCTGTGAGGAACTTAAAAATAGTTTGTAAACTTTGGCTTTCTTTGCTTTTCTTGTCCTCTACCTGCTTAAGTCATGATTTTTATCAAATCATCTGGCTGACTTTTGACAGTCAAATAAATTCTTTATCCTGAAAATTTAATGTTGAAATGTTTCTACAGCTGCTTGGCTGATACTCACCCCCTGACTCTGGGAGTCTCAGCAGGGGTCACACCGTTCTCAGGCATTGCATACTACCGTGTAAACAGTGCCAGTCTTGCTGCTGATGGTCTTATTTGCAGTTTGTCATCACTAAAAGGCATCAGTGTGAATTTCAGTCTATTTTCTAAACGTAGAAAAAAACATTCATAGAAAAGTAAAGTTGTGTATCTGAACAAGGAGCTCCAACACTATATAATGCTATACAATTGAATAGGACACAACACCATACAGTTCGCTATGACACGATATGACGCAACATAACCAAAAAGTTTAGGATTGTTCATCCACAGTAGTCCCAAAGTACCTCCTGTCCTAAGGCCACTGCAAACAAACAACTCACACTGCACATGACTCATACTGTACAAGAAAACAGAAAAACGCAGAGAAAAACTAAAGCAGCAAAGATGACAGTATCATGATGTTCACACACAAACCAAAGAGCCTGAAGACAGATTATCTCACATTTTGATAGGGGTGGGCTAAAGTAGTTAGGTTTGCAGCAGGGGGGCCTCTCTGTCGTCTGTCAGATGGTAAGCTTTCAGAGTTCAGTGATGTTTTATAGTCATTGAGTCTACTTTGGGTTCTACTAATCCACTTATCAATTTCAGTTCTAAAAGGTTCTGGTTCTAACTGGTTATTCTTGGTATTTCATCATGTTGTATTGTACTTTGCATAGAATAATGACTTTTATCTGTCTACATTTAATTAAGAAAATGTTCATTCAAGTTCAGTTCCCATTTATATGTTCCCATTTCATCCAGCTGTTTAAGACAAAACAACAACAACAAAACCTGATAATGGCTTTAAACATCGGCCACTGGCTGACCTGCTCTCTTGTAATCGACCATAACTTTCCAGTGTGTGACTGTCAGCAGCAGCCTTTAATCTGTCCACTCCTCAACCATCCTACTCAGCCCAGTTTGAACTCCTCACTCAGTTTATCACAGGACAATGAGGATCTGCTTTACTGCATCAGACAGGAAGGTCAAAAGAACGAAGAAAAGCTCCCTGAGAGGGAGGAAAGAAGAAGAGGAGGAAGAAGGATGCCTGAGTGGAGGTCTGATGGTGAAGTGCTCCTCAATCCTTCATGTACACATTCTGACCTACATAACAACCCCCTGTCTCCCATTCTGCCCCCCCTCCTGATATGAGGGTGTTTATTTGGGATTAGCGGGGCATTTACAGATTAAAGCCTCTAAAATGGAGCCATCCTGGTAGTTTGACAGAGTCGCCTTCATTATGACAGAGAGAGAGATAGAGAGGAAGAGAGAGAGGGGGAGAGAGTCCTCCTCTCTCAATCACTCCTTTGTCGATCACCCTCACCTCATCCTGAGGGCTGAAGGTAATTTGTGTCGATCCACCCCCCAAATCCAACATCCCCACTGTGGGTGAGTCAGCACTGTGAAGATCACCTGCAGAGAAGGAAGAGAAATGGAGGGGACGACAAAAAAAGAGATTAGGAAAAAGAGAGAGAGCGGCGGGATAATCCAATAAGAGGTAATCATAATTTCGTGTCTGCAACAATCTGTCTTCAAAAACACCCATGCTAAAAAATCAATCTTACAACCTGTCATTTAGAAATGGCACATTATGTTCCTCCTGCTTTCAAGCATGCGTTTCAAGCTGCTTGTAGTTTCCGACACCCTGTGTAGTGTAGTGTGTGTAAATGTGTGCGTTTGTTGTACTCTCACCAGTCAGGAAGTTGACAGTGATCCAGGCCGAAATCCCTTGGTGAAAAGAAACCAAACTGAATCAACAGGTCGATACAAAAAACAACAACAGCAGCAACAACTGAGGACACAAGGAAAATAGTTAATCTGGCACAAAAGCTCTTATTTTAGTTATTTTAGTCCAAACATGAGATGAGCCCTCCATGGGACCCACTGAGGTTTCCTTCATTTTTAGAAACAGCATCAAGTGGTCACTTGATGGAAAGCAGGTGTTTACACTGGTTTCCTTTTTTCAACTCCAGAGCTTACAGATGGGAACAAATACAAGGTTAACTCCTTGTACACCTTTGAACAGATATTATCCAAAGCTTAAATTAAGCTTCTTTGTGCCCAGTTAAGTTCCTCTAATTCACACTTAGTCACACTGAGGACAGTACAGACTTGAATGTAAAACAGTGCTTAGCACATTGAAGTGAAATTTTCCTCCTGCTGATTGAAGACTATCAGAGTCAAAGTTACCACCTCTGATGTCTTGATGTACAGACAGAAGACACGTTTAAAAAAAGCAGCATGAAGTTGTGGATGACTTCTGGTGAAACTAAATCTAAACTATAGATAGTCTAACATGTGGAGGTCTCTGAGGGTCAGCTCATTTAGGTCAGCTCAAAGACAACATTGGCGTCTGCTGCAGAATATTTGCACTCAGCTGCATGCATTAGAGCCTTTTATCAGCGGCCTTTGACCTGGTCGGCATGCAGGAGCGGGTGATTAAAGAGCTTGATAGAAACTGTATCATAGGAGCTTTACAGTAAAACTCTCCAGCAGAGACACTAAGAAGTAATTTCAAAACAAAACAAACAAGTAGAGAGAGAGAGAGAGAGAGAGAGACTAAGCCTTAGGTCGAGAGGCTAAACACCGGCACTTAGCACTTAGCACCCTGCCCCCCCCCCCCACACAAACCACTCAGAGATCTGCATTAACAATAAGTCGCCTCCATTCAGGACGCTCAGAGGGTAATCTCAGTCAGGGATAAGCATTCGGGCCAAGAACGGCAAAATATCTGAGCGATAATAAGGCTGATGGAAGCTGGTTCGACTTGAAAGGATGGAAGAGGTAGCGAGGGATGGAAGGATCTGTCCATTAGAGGCTGGCTGAGCAAACGAAAAGTGGAGCGGGATAAAAAGTTAATTCACTAATAATCAAAAGATCAGCAGAGTAACAAGCTGATCCCACTCAGAGAGAAGGAGAAAACATTTCAGCTTCAGAAATCAACTGAGGGGGAAATAATCGTGCCCCCCCCCCCCCCTTTAAGATTAAGAGGGACATTATCCCACATGGCCATAATTGCTTGTATGAACTACTTTAAAAGGATTGGATTAGACGTGGGCGAGTTGGTTCCATACAGAGCCAGCATTTCAAACACTGAACCCACATGTGGTTCCTATACATCCACCAGCAGAGGAATTAGCGCAGACAGGTTAGAGCCGGTAACTGCAACCCCACAGCCAGACCTCAACCATCTAAAGGTCCAGGAGCTGGGGGTGGGGATGGGTCCACATCTGGATCCAGCAGGGATTTTATTAAAGGTTCATTCTGCTGTATTTAAATACTCTGATGAAAGTTTAAAGAGATATCTCAGTATTTATGAAGTGGAGTTGTGCGAGTTTCATGTCACTCACAAGTGTATCAGCAACAAAGGATGCCGGTCAGCTCTGCCCCTTTGATGAGAAACAGCTGGGAGAACTGACAAGCTAGACTAACACTTGTCTACCGACAGATAGAACCCAGTCTGCCATGTTAATTAGCTCATTTTGTCAGACTCTGACCCAAACACTCATCTGAGTGTAAGAGTACGCTCCACTCAAAATCTTTCAGCAGCGCCTTACTTTGCCATCAGAAAGACCATTTGATTTTGCACTTGATGCAGATACAACATATGTGATCCTTGTCTACAGGAAGTCCAATCAGCTAATCAGGTCGATGACGTACGACTCTCTGAACTATATTTGAAATTTTGAGATTTTTGCATCTTCTTATTGCATTAAGCCTGAAAGAGTTTTAAAGTCTTCACTTGTATGGCAAACATGCAGAGATGTGATGAGCACAGCACACATGAAGACATCTTTCACTAGCAGCCGGGGTCCCAACGGGAACTCTCGTGAAGTCCCTTGCACTCAAACATGCAGGACTACAAGAGCTAACTGTTGCTAGCTGCTTAGCTTCCTTGTAGTTCCACTGAAGTAATTATTTCTGTTCAGTTTTTCCCCTTCTCATTCTGGTTGAGGAGTAGTTTACAAATTGTATTAAGTGTTTGGATGTTGTTGTTGTTATGACTGCATTTGTTGTGCTTCCTCTTACAGTAACCTTGCCTCCCAGTTGGCTGTCTAGCAGAGCATGAAGGCAGGGTTTTATGACTGCAGTGTTTCCCCTAGGTTGAGAATTTACTTGTGGTGGTGGGACGGGTGGTGCAGGATGGCGCCGTAGTGTTTGATAAGTGCGTTCAAAATAATCTAGTTCAACTAGGTTTATGAACTATGCGTTATTAACCCAAAGGTTGACATAGCTTTCAATTGGCTTCATGTCTTGGAGAAAAAAAAAGACACAGTCAGTCTCTGAGACAAAACCAGTGGTACAATAACAGAAGGTGTATGAGGAAGAAAACAGTATATAATCAACAATAAGTTAGTGTAGCTGGAGTGCAACAGTTTGGGTGCGCTTCCGTATATTCACCAGCGTGTCCTGCGCTGCGCTGTTTGTCTGGAGGAAGCCCTGCTGTCTGTGTGTCTGTATAACCACGCATTTTTTTTTTTTAAATTCTATTTTCATCTTCTTGGGCGGGTGTCAATCGTCTTGGGAGGGCCACCCAAGTAAAGTCTGTAGGGGAAACACTGGATTGAAGAAGGTTTCACTTCATTGTTTTCTCTCTCAAAAATGGACAATAACCAGCAGACTTCATATGAGGACAAACCTCCCCTGATTCATCTAATTTGTAATCCTCCTTATTGTTTAATCCTCCATATTGGCAGTTTTCATTGGGGAAATCAGAGTCGGACCGCTGAGGTTTGTTGGTGTAGTGAAACATCTGAGCTGCTTCACAGATTAAACCAATGAAATGATGAGGCAATGTAGAGAGGCACAAATTCTCTGTAATCTAATAAACTTATAAAGAGATGAGGACCATGTTCAGGATGAAGATGTTCAGAGTTCAGCAGCCAGCAGAAAAACTCTCCATGGCCCTTCAGCTGTTTCTGTATGGAGGTTAAGCACCACACTGCACTTACCAAGTCCACATGCTCCAGTTTTTAGATTCAATATTAGCTCATCTATCCGACAGACATGATAAGTCATGGTAGTCTTAAATTAGTCAGTCTGGAAATAAAGAGTAAAAAAGGAAGCAAAAAATCTCAGGGGGTTGAACTAGTTTACCGACCAGACAGCAACATTCAGAAAAGATCCATCTGATAAAAACAGCAGGCTGATGACGAGTTCAATCACAGGATTTCTGTAAGTAACCTAGAATATGTTCAGGCTTATGAGAGGACACTGACTGATACAGCTGAGTCTGTGATGCTTTTGTTTTCTTTTTTTTTCCTGCCACATACCTCGGTTACTCTGCTGCCTGTTTGATAACAATTGAAAGAAAACAAATTCTTCATTTTGGCGAGATGGTACATGTCAGACTACATGAGGGATCAGGAGGATCAGTAAAACTGTTCAGTATCAGTGCCCCCTGTCTGCAACATCCCTCTTTAAAGAAGAGATATCAGTCTTATATGTATAGAAAATTCTATTGTTTGATGTCCATGGTTTCTCCTTTGCCTGTCTGTCCAGGTATTGTCAGTGTAAACGAAACTGTGCATTTACAGCGCATCAGGAAAGTATTCATACCACTTCACTTTTTCCACATTTTGTTATGTTACAGCCTTATTCCAAAATAGATTAAATTCCCTTTTCCCTCAAAAATTCTACACAAAATACCTCATAATGACAAAGTGAACAACTTTTTTAGAACATTTTGCAAATTTATTAAAAATAAGAACCCTCAAATGTTGCATATACATAAGTATTCACACCCTTTACTCAATACTTGGTCGAAGCATCTTTGGCAGCGATTACAGCCTCCAGTCTTCTTGTGAATGATGCAACAAGCTTGGCACACCTGGATATGGGGAGTTTTTCCCATTCTTCCTTGCACATCCTCTCAAGCTTAGTGAGGTTGGATGGGCAGCGTCGGTGCACAGCTACTTTCAGGTCTTTCCAAAGATGTTCAATCGGGTTCAAGTCTGGGCTCTGGCTGGGCCACTCAAGGACATTCAGAGACTTGTCCTGAAGCCACTCCTTTGTCTTCTTGGCCGTGTGCTTAGGGTCATTGTCATGCTGGAAGATGAAGCGTCGCCCCAGTCGAAGGTCTTGAGCGCTCTGGAGCAGGTTTTCATCAAGGATTTCGATGTACTTAGCTGCATTCATTTTTCCCTCGATCCTGACAAGTCTCCCAGTTCCTACCGCTGAAAAACATCCCCACAGCATGATGCTGCCACCACCATGCTTCACTATAGGGATGGTATTGGCGAGATGGTGAGCGGTGCCTGGTTTCTTCCAGACATGACGCTTGGCATTCAGGCCAAAGAGTTTGATCTTCGTTTCATCAGACCAGAGAATTTTGTTTCTTCTGGTCTGTAAATCCTTCAGGTGCCTTCTAGCAAAGTCCAAGCAGGCTGTCACGTGCTTTTTACTGAGAAGTGGCTTCGGTCTGGCCACTCTACCATAAATGCCTGACTGGTGGAGTGCTGCAGAGATGGTGGTCCTTCTGTAGGGTTCTCCCATCTCCTCAGAGGAACGCTGGAGCTCTGTCAGAGTGACTATCGGGTTCTTGGTCACCTCCCTGACCAAGGCCCTTCTCCCCCGCTTGCTCATTTTGGCTGAGCGTCCAGCTCTAGGAAGAGTCCTGGTGGTTCCAAACGTCTTCCATTTCTTAATGATGGAGACCACTGTGCTTTTTGGGATCTTCAATGCAGCAGATATTTTTCTGTAACCTTCTTCAGATCTGTGCGCAGATACAACCCTGTTTCGGAGGTCTACAGACAATTGTTTCGACTTCATGGCTTGGTTTGTGCTCTGACGTGCTCTGTCAGCTGTGGGATCTTATATAGACAGGTGTGACTTTCCAAATCATGTCCAACCAGCTGAATTTGCCACAGGTGGACTGCAATCAAGTTGGAGGAACATTTCAAGGCTTACCAGTGGAAACAGGATGCACCTGAGCTCAATTTTGAGTTTTATAACAAAGGGTGTGAATACTTATGTATATGCAACATTTGAGTGTCTTATTTTTAATAAATTAGCAAAATGTTCTAAAAAAAGTTCTTTGCTTTGTCATTATGGGGTATTTTGTGTAGAATTTTTTGGGGAAAAGGGAATTTAATCCATTTTGGAATAAGGCTGTAACATAACAAAATGTGGAAAAAGTGAAGTGGTATGAATACTTTCCAGATGCACTGTAAATGCACAGTGAAGTGGAGCTTGGTTTGCAGCTCAGTAAAGTGATTAAGGGGAACTATGTGCAGCACGTGGACTTGTCTCAGACCACACAGACGCACACAGGTGATTTGTGGACAGAATCCATAATGTGTCTATCTCTGCTGGGGTTGGTGATGGCATCCTCCCTTTCAGCTTAAACAACAATCAATGAATGTGTTGAAAAGAGACGAACAGCGAACCATGACAACCTTTCCACTTTGTACATTTTTAAAGACAATCTGAAAGCTCTCTCTTATTGTAAGGTTACCATGCATTTATGCTTGTTCATTTCTGGGTCGAAGCCTGGCATACAAATAGAGTATATGCAGAACACTTGGGCAGAGCTGAACAATATTCCATTGTGTGACTTTAATTGGATTAACGAGTATGCATTTCATGAGTCCAGTTCCAGTCACAACAAATTCAAAAACATCGAATTGTCATGACTGGTGTTGAGTCTAGCTGCCTGCCTTAGCATCTCAGGTACAAATGAAGAGACAATGACATCCAACTACAGAAATTACAGGCAGAGAGTGCCCTCTGCTGTTTCGAAAAGGGTATCAATCTTATTTTTTCATCTCACAGATTTACATTGTTTTCTGTCTAAACCGATTGTCAGCTGTCTGGAGATAGTTACACAGCCCTGTCTGTCTGCTCTAAAGTACTGTTTGGTGACCATAATGCTGTGCTAGTAACCTTATGCAGTAAGCTGCTGACCGAGGTGGAGCTGAGAAGCTCTGTAAAGCTGAGAGGAGCTGGAGTTTCAGCTGATGATCCACCTGAGACAAAAAAACACTGGCCTTCCAGAAATCATTAGAAAAATAGACATTCAAGTCACTTTAAAGACTCCATACCTTCATCAGTGCCCTCCATAATTGAGACACAGTCTCTTCTGGACAGAAAGGGAGACTCCAGAAACAGCGCCCTAACCTGGACACAAAGCAAAACACCTGACTGTAAACATGCTGTGATCTGTTACAGGTTAAAGTTCTACTTAAAGTTTGTTAGCTGTAAACTCTGAAAGAAGATGTCTGCCAGGTGAAAAAGAGCCCAGAGTGGGACTGTGACAAACATCACATCAGTCCAAACTTCTTAATTATCAGGAATGCAGGGAATTGATTAAAAACCAATTTAAGGATCTGAAACCATGAAACCACTGAGGTGAAAACTAGCCTCAGAAATGATCAACACTGACAATTTGATGTTTGTCAATAACCCTCCAACAAAAGCTTCTGACCTGGAGACAAAAAGGGACTTTGGCTCAGGTTAAAGGTCAGCTAAATGTGTTCTCACAGTTGGATATTTAGATTTATAGCTAAGCATCAAATAAACATGAATTAGGTCAAGTCAGTAAGCAACACAAAGATGCCACCATTAGCATACAGACATGATCACTCACTAACTCAGAGAACATCAGTTGTTTCTTTTTGTTTATAAACCTGACGTCCTCAAGCTTATTGAATCATGTATGTTGCCTGATACTTTAGCATTTCTAAAAGATATTTTAACATGATTGAGTAAAACCTGGTGCTCCTCCCCTCCCCTGGATAATCAGCTGTGTTTGGCTGCACCAGGATCTGTTTGATAATAAGAGCAAAGCTCCAGATGAAATCAATGTTGGCTCACTGCTATAGGCCTGTTATTACCGATGACTTAAAGCTAGCTTTTTGGGCACTGTGTTGATGTTGATGTTGATGATGTTGATGTTGATGTTGATGATGATGATGATGATGATGATGATGATGATGATGATGGTGAAGAGAAAGAGGGTGAGACAGTTGTAACACTACTTTAAAACTACTTTTGGGCTGTGTATATATGCATCAGAAGAATCCGATTCTTAAGGAGCCCAAGGTGTGGGTGAATGATTCACAGACAACAGATATGGTTTTGTTTTATGTTTTGTATTGAAGCAATATTTTTGAAGTGTGTACAACACAAAGAAAAAAAAACAGTTATTGAGAATTAACAATGATGGAAATTTTGGCCAAGAAGAAAAAAACAAACAAACTTGTAACTAATGCCAATGTAGTACCGGGGATAAATAATTTTTAAAAAATGCCACACAATTCAAATTCCGATATCCAACAACACCATAAAATCCAGGGGTTAGCTTGCCATCTGGTTGGGTTGACTGTGGCAGTACTGGTTGAATGGTGTGTAACAGGAGTCCGCCAAGCTCTGAGTACTGTAAGCGTTGGGGAGGTTTGCGTGGTCGAGTAGATCGGCATAGTGATGGTTATGACTCTGGACTTGAGGGTTCCACTGTTGGATCAGACTCACTTGACATACCGACTGGCTCTTGCAATTCAGCAGGTACAGAAGGAGAGGAAGTGATGTCCTCGGTTTCCGGGATGTCAGCAGAAAATGATTCTGATTCAAGGTCAATAAGAGTTTCAGTGTCCAGATCAATAACAGTGTCTTTTTCAGGTTCAGAAGCAGCAGGTTCCTCTCCAGACTCAGATTTGTCTTCCATCTCAACAGCTCTCTGTCCCTTCTCTGAGGGATTCTGTGACGGCTGGCCAGGTGAAATCACAAGTAAGTCAGTAGGAATAACTGGAGGAACAGGAGCAAGTAGGACAGGTAAGTCAATCAGAGTTGTGAATTTGATAGGGTCTGAGCTAGAGGTATCAGGTAAATCAGGTAGCAATTCAAACAGAGCTTGTTCTTTGCTTTCTTGGAGAACTGGTGCGTCTGGAATTACTGAGTTCATCGGTCTTGGCTTTGGTTTTTCTGGGGGTTTAGTGGATGGGGAGAGGAAACCACAAGGCAGCAGCTGATCTCTATGTAGGGTCCTGACAGGGCGATCTTTGTCTCCGGGCTTGACTGTGTATACTGGAAGAGTGCCGGCTTTCTTCATGACAGTATACATTTCCGGCTCCCATTTGTCAGCTAGCTTCTGCTTGCCTCGTGATTAAGATTTCTGACCAAGACTCTGTCCCCCACCATGTCTTTTTCAGGTTCAGGAGCAGCAGGTTCCTCTCCAGACTCAGATTCGTCTTCCATCTCAACAGCTGTTGTTGCTTCACCGACAGCTCTGAAGCAACAACATGTTTGTCAAACCTGTGCTTGTTGCGACCCATAACTTTCTCTGAGCTCTTTATTGCGATTTTGTAGATTTCTTGCAAGTGAGATTTCAGCTTCTCAACATACTGTGAATGAGATGATGATCCAGACACAGGTAGCCCAAAAGCTAAATCAACTGGGAGACGGGCTGTCAGCCAAACATCAGCTCTTATGGAGAGTAACCAGTGACGTTGTTCTTGTACAGTTGTAGGCGTGTACTAACGGCTTGACAAAATCATTTCAATGAGACTTGTCCTGTTTATGCAGCATCCCTAACATGCTCAGAAGTGTACGATTTAACCACTCAACAGGATTTTCTTGTGGATGGTATGGTGTAGTCTTTATTTTATGGATTCCAGCCATTTGACACAGTTCTTTAATTGTGTGTGACTCAAACTCAGGACCTTGGTCACTGTGAAGTCGTTCTGGAATGCCATAATGAACCAGTAAATTGTCCCATAAAGCTTTGGCAACAGTCTTGGCAGTCTGGTTAGAAGTGGGAACTGCTAGGACGTATTTTGTGAAGTGATCTGTTATGACAGGTACATTCTTGGTATTGCTCCGATCTAGTTCTATTGACAAGAAGTCCATGCAAACAAGTTCAAGTGGTCTACAAGTCTTGATATTGACAAGGGGTGCAGCTCTCTCAGGTTGTGCTTTTCTTTTCACAAATCTCTCACAAGTTCTGATTTTGTTGCTGATACCAATTGACATTCTTGGCCAGTAAAAGCGAGTTCTGATAAGATCCAGTGTTCTCTCCGTGCCCAGATGACCCATTTCGTTGTGGAGCTGCATGAGGACTTCCTGCTGACACTCCTCCGGAAGGACAAGTTGGTAAGTTGGCTCACACCGAAGTATCTCCTCCTAATGAGGACATTATTTTGTAGCACCAGACGTGTAAGTTGTCGCAGGTGTAATGGTAGGTCAGGGAGCTGTTGTCTCAGAGAAGGTGGCGGGGTTTCCTCTCTCTCTAATTGGGCAATGACATGCTGGATAATTGGATCCGCCCGTTGTTTGGTGGCAGTCTCAGCAGCTGAGTATGATGGCACGACAGGTGATGAGAACTGCTCATGATGCACAAAGCTGCCTGGCAGGTTGTCAGTGTGGATGGAGAGTGCTTGAACTAGAGCAGCAACTTAGTCTTTGTTGAGAGAGCTGTTGGAGAGAGAGGTTGAATGTTGGTCCATAGAAACACATGCAGGATCTTTGAGGTGTTGCTCTGTGAATCTGAGTATTCTCTCTCTTTCTTTTTGAGACATGGCGTCATCTGGCTGTTCAGTGTGTGGTCGCCAGGAGAGACCATCGGCATCAGTGTTTAGCTTTCCTGCACAGTAGGTGATCTTGAAAGAAAAGGTGGAGAGTGCTGAAAGCCATCTGTAGCTTGTGGCATCTAATTTGGCAAATGTTAGCAGATATGTTAGAGGATTGCTGTCTGTGATTACAGTAAAATCACCCCCATACAGGTAGTCATTAAACTTCTCAGTTACTGTCCACTTGAGTGCCAAGAACTCTAACTTGTGGGCAGAGTATCGACTCTCACTGCGGGACAGTCCTCTACTTGCATATGCCACCACCTGGTTTCTTCCCTTATGCTCTTGGTACAAGACAGCACCCAGGCCTGTAGAGCTGGCATCTGTGTGAAGGATGTAAGGTTTGCTGGGGTCAGCGAAAGCAAGTACTGGGGCCGCAGTGAGCTTCTGGATAATGTCCTTAAAAGTTTCTTGACAAGCTGGGGTCCAATGACAAGCAAAAGGTTCTTTTGGATTCAGAAAATGTTGAGATTTCCCACAATTCCTCATTTTTTTCTGGCTGGGTGGATATCCAGATACGAGCTCATTCAGGGGCTTGGCGATAAGAGACTACCCTTGTACGAATCGCCACTAGTATCTAGCAAAACCAAGGAATGAGCGAAGTTCTCTCAGATTTTGTGGGACTGGCCAGGATGTTAAAGCAGCAATCTTGTCTGGATCCATCTCTACCCCATTTCTTGAAACCACATGGCCAAGGTAGCGAACAGATGTATGAAAGAAGACACATTTCTCAACAGATAGCTTCAGGCCAAACTCTTTCAGGCGTTGAAGAACTTTCATCAGACGTTTCTCATGTTCTTCCAGAGTTGGGGCGAATACTATCAAGTCATCAATGAACACCAGAGCTTCTTTCAAGTTCAGGTCCCCCATGCTCGGGGCATTGGTCACTCCTTGGGGCATGTGATTGAACTCATAGAATCCAACAGGGCAGACAAATGCTGTTTTGCTTTTGTCTCTCTCCTCCATCTCTATCTGGTAATACCCAAATTTTAGGTCCAGTACAGAGAACCATTCTGAGCCTGAGAGTGCTGGAAAGGTGTCCTCTAGCTTTGGCAAAGCATAGGCATCCTTGATGGTTTGAGCGTTCAATCTCCAATCGTCAATACAGACCCTCACAGAGCCATTCTTTTTCCTCACAACAACTATTGGAGAAGCAAATGGAGAGTTAGATTCACGGATGACACCGGAGTCTAAGAGGTCTTGAATATGTTTCCGAACAGCATTGAGATCTTGTGGATGAATCGGACGTGGTCGGTTTATGAATGCAGTTTGATCAGACAGCTTGATTTCATGTTTGACTTTGTCTGTACATCCGAGGTCGAGTTCATGCTTTGCAAAAACCTCTGGTATACTGTCGAGCATGGATGTCACTCATTGTTTCCAGTCAGTTGAGAGTGGAGAATCTCCAAAGTTGTAGTTGAGTTGGATTTGGCTCGGCTCTGCAGCATTGGATGGCTGGGATACACTTTGCTCTTTATGCAGGATGGAATGGATGGCACTGATTTCAGCAATGGCCGCTCTGGCAGGAATCACAACGTCATGGTCAGACTAATTAGTGATTACAACTGGGAGATGAAATGGTTGGACTAGGGGCAGATCGACAAGGCAGGACTTGACAAGCAGACCTCCTGGCAAGGAGAACAATGTTGGGTGCTGAACAACAACTTCTTTTTCACCCTGCAGACATCAAGTGAGCCAACAGTGCAACATCAAGACCATCTAGTGCAACAGTTTGCCCAGCAGTGGTTTGTGGCCTGGTAGACTGCATCTTAAGGATGCCATGATGGTCATCAGCTGCCAGCTTGCATCTGATGTCCAGACTGCCCTGTATCCAAAGAGCGCAGGAAGTAATGCAGTTCCATGTGTCTGACAGTACTTTTTATAGAGAACATCCAGAGTATTGGTGCCAATCAGAACAGGGGGCTGTGTTGTTCTTAAGTCTGGTACAACCAGAGCAAGGGTGTTGATGGCTGTGGCTTCTCCAATGAACTCCAGTGGGAAGGTCACACTGAAAATTAATTTCCTTCAATATCAATATAAAACATGGTCAATATGCTTTCAGATAGTTGGCATTCTGCCTTGTTTTGAAAACTTGAATGCTATCAAAACAAAACAATTACAAATACACAGATGATACTTGTTCTCTTTTTTGTCATTTTGTTATCTGTCCACATCACTGTATCATTTCACAGGAGTGTATTAATATGTCCAGCTTTATGTGTGACATACATTCAGTCTTTTTTAGTTAGTGAGATGACTGGTACTGCATGGAGTCAGCAGGTTCACTCTTAGAGTCATTCATGTAGATTTGTTAACCCTTTGGCGAGCTACTGGTCTTGTGAGTGATGTTTTGGAGACCCCTGTTTTAATAAGTTCATCAGCTTATTATTTTATAAATTAGATTTTCAATTAATTTTGTGGGTTTTTTTTATAACTCTATCTGTCATATTTCTATGCTGTAAGCACACCCTGAAGTCTCAGGCTCCTCACTGGTCCTTAGGGGTCAGCTGGTCACAAAGTCAGCCTCTGATTGGTTGAGTGACCAAACACAGATCAGCCTCTGTTTAGCATGGTGCAGTTACATCTAAATTAACACCACGACTCATCACAGATGACTTTTTTTAAGGGCTGGATCCTCTCAGACTCTAGATAGACTCTGATCTTCTCTTTGAAATAAGAAAGTTCCTGATGTCACAGAAACACAGAGCTCATCTCTGAAAGCTGCTGGCCTCACAGAGTAAGTGGGTTTTACAGGAAGTCCCTATGTTGTAGAGTTTAAATGAGCAGAAATTGCAGAGCGCCACCTAGTTTGGTCTCTGATTTAAATACTCTCACACTTCAGATGATCATGGATGAGATTTTTCTCCTCCTCCAGTTTGCTGTTCAGTGCTGCCTAGAGACTGGCCCTAAAGTTTCTGAATTAGGTGGCTTGTCGAAGCCTTTGCTAGAGCAGGCATTCGGGTGCCTGCACAGTGGGAAGGAGACCACCATTTGAACCAGGACAAACACTGTACTGTAGCTGACGTACTCCTTTAACTGAGCTGATGCTCCTGTCAACCTAAAGCCACAAGCATCAATACTGCCATGGGACAAAGTTCATTCTGAGCCCTTTTAGACGTGGTCAGAGTCTCACCTGGTCCAGCAGGTCTTTGGCCTTCTCCCCAGGCAGCAGGCGGAGGCCGGCTGTGGCCTTCAGGACCACGGGAGTGATGTTCCAGACAGAGGGGGGAATGCTGGACTTGGCCACCTCCAGGAGCTTGATGATTCCTGCCTTACACTGAACACAGACAGACAGACGGACAGGGAGCAGAGGGCAGAGGTATAGCTCTGATCCTGCAGAGAGCATAGAGATGGAGAGCAGACATCTCGGCCCTCATTTATCAAGCTTGCGTACGGCAGAAAACTTGCGTACATCTTGTGTACTTAAGTTGCGACTTGAGGATCGGCATTGATCAATCTGCACGTAATCGTACCCTACGACCAAATCTCACGACAGGTCTGACATTGTGTATGCAAGTTTGAGCCAGTGTGTGGTGCAGCAAATGTCTGTCTCAAAATAAGTGATATACAAACCTCTAACCTGATATTAAGCACAATCAGCCAGATTTCATTAAAGATTAAGATGTAAATAAATTAAACTAAAATAAATTTGTTATGTTCTTAGTTAATAGGCCTATTTCATAACTCTGCCCAGAAACACTGCCACAGAGCAGGCGCGCCATTTTAACATTGCGCGCACACGCGCCACTGTGGAGCGCTGCGTTTTGACTCCTAAAAGGCAGGTAGCTCTGTCTTGGCCCAGCAGCGGGGACGTTGTTGTACACCCCTGAAAGGTTGCAGGACATCATTTTAGCTAGTTCAGTTTTGCACAATGTTGCACTGGCAAATGGAGTGCCGTTGGCTGTGCCGGCGCAACGTGAGGACCCGATGCCCGGAGAACAATAATGAGGAGAGACTCCACAAAGGTGCTGTACAGAGGAGACAGGACCTTATTGATGGATTCTGACATGTAAAGTACAAGTTTAAAAAGTGCTTTTGCTATTTAATCAGTGATAAAAATCCAATAGAAATCCATAAAAAAGTTTGCCTCTGGGGCAGCAACACACCGTTTGGTGACGTTAATAATTATTTTTGTTCAGCCTCTCCAGCCTGCTCTACATTACAAAGACGCAACAAATTAAAACTAAATACTTTCAATAATAGGAGCAACGTACCCTATGCATACCAATAAAAATGGAGGCATTTATAAGATATTACTTTATCATCATGAGCAACTTATTGACTAATGATTTATTCAAATTTCAACTACTGTGCACTATTCCGCGACAGGGCTGTTCACTGCCACTATAATCCTGCTCCAGACAGGAGTTTTCGGGACTGTTTTATACCAGTTTGATGCTTCCAAAGAGCAAATCCTTGTTAGTTTCCGCCAGAGACGCAAGGATATCCACTTTCAGCCCGGAAAAGTTTTGAATCTTTCTAATATTTCTCCTCTTTCATTTTTGACCTCAGTGGGTGAAGCTTCTGAACCTAAATATTTAAGGGCGTGGCATGTTAATAACCCTCGATCTCAGCCGCCGCATTTATCAAGATCCAATTATATGTACGCTGGCACTGGTCAGACACGAACCCTTTCATAAATCTCACGTGTGTCCTTTTGTACGATGAATCCTGCGCTCAGATCTGTGCTCAGTTCTCTGCAAGATTGATAAATGAGGGCCCTCATGTGTACCTGCTCTGGATCATCAGCGTAAGCAGACAGTCCTGGTTTGATGGCTTTAAAGGTCTCGTGGGCCAGTTTAGGAGCGTCTGCAGGAAACAGAACAAACACACATGGAAAAGTGCAAAAAACAGTTGATGAAGATCCTTATTTTTCCCTTCACTTGTCAGAAATGATCAAAGCTTTTATTAGATTTCAGCTGTCTCACAGGCTGAGCAGGGATGTGTGCCTCCATGTGAACTGTCATTATCCTAGTCTGTATAACTAACAAGAGCTTCCATTAGTCTGGTTAGCTCTGATGCTGCTAACAAAGGAGCCAAAACAGCACTCAGCCTGTCTGATTTAGCTTAGCAATCAAATGCGATAATGAAGGCATTTGGAGCGAGCTCTGCAGGAAACTTCCTCTAAGCCTAATAAAGCCAAACCCTCTCAAACACACTAATGAGTTTTTGTCCATTTGGACTCTGGCAGCAGCCCTACAGTGGAGCACGACTTTACAGGTTGAAAGCTCCTCTTGTCTGCTGGATTTACATCTGGTAATTAATGTTTGGGGCCAACACGAGTGGATTTTAAATACATTAAAAGCAATTCAGAGAGGTCTGATTCAAAAACATCTCAGTTTAATCTAAAAGGATCAGGACAAATCCATTTAGCATCGATTATAGAGCTTTAACTTCCAGATAACCTGATTAATAGCTGGAATTAATATCTGCTCAGGATCCAAAACTCTGATCCAGCCACGGGAATCATTTTGTGGTTCATTTTAGTTTCACATTTCATCACACAGACAGACAGACAGACAGACAGACAGACAGACAGACAGACAGACAGACAGACAGACGTCTCTGATACAAGTTTCTCTTTTCCAGATGGGCAGGGATGCAGCAGGAGGGCTAAAAAAGACACAAATCTACCCACAGTCTGTTTATTCAGAGAAGACAACAGTCAGGAAATAAATATAAAAGAGAGGTGTCTCTACAGCTGGACAAAAAAAAAAAAGAAAGAAAGAAAGAAAAACACAGTCACCAGAAATCAATCAGCAGTAACTTCAGATTAAAAATGCTGAATAAGAGGAAAAAGTGATAAGATAAAATGAACTTTATTGTCCCGAGGAGGGAGCGTACTGTTTCAGTGAAACATACACATCAGACCCCAAACTAGTGCAACAACCAAGAGCAGATCAAATCAAAGAAATGATTTAAATCTTATAAATTTATGAGACCTTCATTTTACCTGAGCTGGTCCTCTGCCATAACAAAGAACTACTGTTAGTATTAATAAAAAATAGAATTACGGTCACTGTGACTGAAGGGAAGGATCATAACAAATGATGTCGATGCGATAATGAAAAATCTTTGTCAGACAAATCATTTGACAAAGTCGAACAGTAATGCTGGAAAAGTGAAAACAGAAACTAAGAGAGAGAAATGTTGGCAAAATAAAGTCTTGTTGAAAATAAAAGGGTGAGAGACATGAGGAATTTAGCTTTGGTTAGGCAGGTAGGAGCAGGGCATTACAAACATCAAGCAAATAGAGATCTGTGATATATGATATGAGATATGATATGATATGATATGATATGATGCGCTTTGAGTAAAGATATTCAATATTCATCAAAGGTGGGGTAGGTAGGATCTAGGAAGTGCCATTTTTTGGGAGAAATCTTTAAAGTAAACACTACCCCTCCCAACCAGTTTTCCATAACCAGTTTTCCCTCAGCTCCTCTTCTCCCCTCCCTCTCTGCTCCAGCAAACCCCACCCACAACCAGACGCTCCTGCTCGCTCGTATCGTTTCAATTAAATTCAGATATAAAATGCAGATAAATACTTCAGATAATTACAAATGAGGCCCAGTTATGTCAAAGTAAAAAGCATTGGTGCTACCGTAGATGCCAACAGATGACCAGCAAACACAATGTTTTCAGGACTTCTACAACTAGGATAAAGTAACATAGTCCAGGACCCGAGGTAAACAGTTAAGCGGCGCTACAACACGCAGCAGGTCCTGTTTGACAAGAAACACTTCTGTTAGAGACACTTGACTTACTTTGTTAAAGTGGTTTACCTGTCTAGCAGAAATTCCGCCAGAGTCTCTGGTACTTACTTTGTTTTCTTGCTTGTGTTGGCAGTCGTGGCCAAAGGAGGATTCAGACAATTTTTTGTACTTTCTTGTTGGTTTCTACTGTCTAATATTGTAGCACGCTAACTTTGTTTGGGCTCGTGAACGACATGGGGCAGCAGCATCTACTTCACAACCAATCAGCACTAAGGAGCAGCTTCCGCCTCACAACCAAGCAGGTTGAGGAGGTGAAGAACGGCTTTGTTTACATTTAGAAAGAGTGGGATGCTCAAAAAATTTTTAAATGTTGACCACACAGACATAAAAAACACAGCGATATCGTTATATTACCAAATGTCTCAATAACAAATAGCTATTGACTGATATTAAAAGCTTTTTTTGTAAATACACACTACAAAAAAAATGATGTTTCTTTATCGAAATCCTGCCTACCCCACCTTTAAAGCTAAACAGATGCAGACTTTCCAAACTGAATGAATAATTCTCTAGATCCCTGCTACAATGACTGGGTGATTTTATCATTACTTATTTGAATAAACTTAATAAATTGCTAAGCTGGAATTTTACATATAGCTCTTAATAATGAGACTGGAGTATCTAATCTGTATTTATCACTGTTCATGTTTTTTTATTGATATTTGGACATCAGAATCAGACTCATTTATTACTGGCCACACAACAGGAGAGGTGGAATTTGTTTTCTGGTACAGCACATCATGCTCCCATCCAGAACTCTGCAGAACAGCTTCTCACTCACAACCGATCCCGTGACCACATTACCCCTGTCCTACAAGAACTGCATTGGCCCCCCGTGCCCTTCTGTATTCAATACAGGAGCCTCCTCCTCACCTCCAAAAGCCTACACCGACAGACCACCCCCTTACCTCACTAACCTCCTCCACCATCGCATTCCTACCCATGCTATCTGCTCTTCTGACACCAACCTCTTCTCCCCATCACCCAGGATCAAGCAACAAACCCGGGTGGGGGGTTGGGCAGAGTATTCTGGATAGCCGCCCCCTCCCTCTGGAATTCACTCCCAACTCATATTCAAAATTGCATGGACCTCCCCACATTCAAATCACTCCTACAAACTCACCTTTTTAAACAGGCTTTTAATCTGTTATTGTGTTGTTTTGTCTGCCTGTGTCTGTCTGTTTTTCCCCCCACTTTTAAATGTTCATTTCTGTAATTTTTTCTCTTTGCATTGTACAGTGTCCTTGAGTTCTATGAAAAGCACGTTATAAATAAAATATATTACATTATTATTATTATTATTATTATTATTATTATTATTATTATTATGCTGTAATGATGTTTTTATGGTCTGTCTCCATCCTAGGATATATCATATGTTTGGACCACACTTGCCATCATGCCTGCTTTTATCTGGGAATGGAGAACCAAATGTTGACAAAACCAACAATAAAATGCAATAAAGAGGTGTCAGAAAGGAACTAGAGTCTGAAAAGAATGCATGTGATCTTTAAAAAACAGCCCTGAAAGGTGTCTAACTCTTCCAAAACAATCAAGTGTTCTCAGTTTGAACTTTTCATTTATCTTTGTCATTTTACCTAATATCTTTAATATGTCATTCTGTTTCAGTGGTCTCCACCTCAGATCGTTAAATTTCACACAAAACCTGAGGCTGGTTGTTATAGTCAGCTGAGGACAGAGATTATGTCACAGTTTATAAACAAATCGGACAAAATTGTATGTATTTTATTTGTATTTGTGTAGGACTGTTGCTATGGTAACTGAAAACGTATTCCAAATGTTAAGCTGTCCCATCCAGTATTCCTGCTGTAAAGTGTATTTTCACAGTTTGAGCTACAAATCACTTCAAATGTTGGCTGGTATGTGAATGAAGTTTGGTTCAAGTCTCTGATGTGTCCTCTACAGTACCTCTGCTCTCTGTCTGGAACTTGAAGACATGGATTCTGGTGCCAGTGCTCCCAGCATCAAACATAATGCCATACTGGAATTGAGCATGGGAGGAGGTCTTCTCATCTCTGAGCTGGTCTGAACCGGGTCTCAGATGTGGAGGTAGTCTGAAGGCCTCAGACTTAGACGCCATGTAGTGCCGCTTTACAAACATCAGGTAGGCAAGCAGGCAGCCCACGCAGAGGAAAACTCCAGCCAGCCTTGGTCTCTTCATGACAGATCATTCTGTGTGCAGCTACTCCCACTGAGTCCTCACTGCCTGTGGAAACAGTGAAAATATATAAAAACTCCATTATCCTCAAAAACCAGACACTTTTATCAAGAAGCCAAGTCCTTGCTGCCTGTGAATGTAAGAAAATAGCCTGTTCTAAGAGACACTTTTGGGACTACATTTTTGATACAGCATCTATATCATCTCATCAACTGTCTCTGGTGCTGGAGTGCAGGAGAGAATAAGTGCTCCCCTGATCTATGAACCAACATTAGTTCATTCTTTAAAAGTATGTTGAATTAAAATGATTTTTATATGACTTTTTTGTTTAGATTACAGGTTGGTGATGCTTGATTCATCACTTTCTTCAACAATCAGTATAAGTCAGTCAGACCTGTTCAGGGTAAATGCTAAAGTCAGCTGCTGAGCTGGATCATTACTGAGTCATGTTTAGCCCCAGGTGTGGCCAGCTTCTGTCCACTTGAGTCCATGAGGCACTGATTACAGAGCTCCTTCTTAATTGGACAGAAATCGGGTAACTTGGTATGAAAGGTGGGGAAACAATAAACTGGTTATACTCTGTTATATCACAATGAAGAAAAAGCCAGTTTTTCCAGTCATAGTCAACTTTGTCAAGTTTTTGTTAAAAGGACCACTAAATGAGTTTTCCTTTTTTGTGGTCAGTCTAAATAAAATGTATCTCATTCAAAAATCCAAACCCAAACACCAGCTGCTGTCTAACCTTAAACAATAATCACATCACTGGAGCCTCCGGGGAGGTGGCCAATTAGAGGAAAAGGGGGACCTCCACAGGCCAAAAAATCACATAAAGCTAATAAAGAGGTGTCAGAAAGGAACTAGAGTCTGAAAAGAATGCATGTGATCTTTAAAAAACTTTTGAAAGGTGTCTAACTCTTCCAAAACAATCAAGTTTCTCAGTTTGAACTTTTCATTTATCTTTGTCATTTTACCTAATATCTTTAATATGTCATTCTGTTTCTGTTTACATTTAATACACTGTCCAACCCATTTTAGAAATTAGATGGTCTGTGTGTCTGATTGTAGGAAAATAAGACCTGATATCGTTCATCTGCTTCTTATTTCTTCAGAGTTTACTCAGGGGGGCTGTATTTCTTCAACAAATCAAGGAAACTTCATCAAAATTATGAACACAGACTGTCAGATGTGTTTAACAGTTTTTAATTAGATTGACGGGTGTGTTTAAGTGTTCTTAATTAGGCTGACAAGTGTGTTTTATAGTTTTTAATCAGACTTACAGGTGTGTTTATATGTTTTTGAGCAGATATCCTTATGCTAACGCTGTTAGCCTCATGGATATACTGTTGCTTAAAGGCGGTAAACTGTCAGTAGTTTCTCGTCAGATCGCGGACTTTTCCGCCGAGCAAACAGAAGTAACACATGTTTACTCACCGGGCTCACACCGTCTGCAACTGCTCCGGAAAAATCACAATTTTCAATAAACTCATGTTATCACTCGCCTACTCTCTGCTGGACTACAGATACAGCACGGCGCCGCCTGATGACGTAACAGTGGCGTAGGTGGCAACGTGGCCGAAAACATGAGCGCACAATGACCCTCATTTATCAAGCTCGCGTACGGCAGAAAACTAACGTACAACTTGCGTACGTAAGTTGCGACGTGAGGATTGGCATTTATCAATCTTGAACGTACAATACGACCAAATCTCACGACAGGTCTGACATCGTGTACGCAAGTTTGAGTCAGTGTGGATCTGCGTTTCAGCAAATGTCTGTTTTAAAATAATTGATACACATATGGGGTGCCGTTTGTAAAGCAGCCCATTATAACAACAACAGCAAGATTTGGTCACACTTAGCTTCAAACAGCATTAAACGTGATGTGAATTTTCGGCAGTCATTTTTTTGCACATTTAGAACAACATTTAAATACTAAATCTAAATGTTAAATGTTAAATCTAAATGCTAAATATAAATCTTAAATATATATGTTAAATCTAAATGTTAAATCTAAATCTAAATGTTAAATATAAATCTAAATGTTAAATATAAATCTAAATGTTAAATGTTAAATGTTAAATCTAAATGTGTTGGGCGAAACTAAATATTTAGCTAATATGCAAATTCACGGTCGGAAACCGGAAGTGCCAAAATAAAAGCTCCAGAAGGTCATATTGACGATTCTTGTGTCGAAGAAAACGAATTAAAACCAATTTAAGGGGGGAACAAATACTTGGGGTGACGTTTCGTGTCAATAACTACCTACAATAGCGACAGCAACAACAAAAACTTCATTAGAAAGACTCGAGTTTTCAGTGTCGCTTCTCCGTATGGCGCGGACACTGTAAGAACACACGCACACACACATGCAGGCGCACACGTCATACTACTCCATGGCACCTTATCTATTCATGAAGTGCTTTGGCCATACGGGTGACGCGGACGACTGGGACGCAGGAAGCCGGGGTTCGGAACCATAGACTGTATATAAGTATATACAGTATGTATAGACTATATATATGTATCTTATATATAGTCTATGGTTCGTACAGTGTCCGCGCCATACGGAGAAGCGACACTGAAAACTCGAGTCTTTCTAATAAAGTTTTTGTTGTTGCTGTCGCTATTGTAGGTAGTTATTAACATGAAACGTCACCCCAAGTATTTGTTCCCCCCTTAAATTGGTTTTAATTCGTTTTCTTCGACACAAGAATCATCAATATGACCTTCTGGAGCTTTTGTTTTGGCACTTCCGGTTTCCGACCGTGAATTTGCATATTAGCTAAATATTTAGTTTCGCCCAACACATTTAGATTTAACATTTATATTTAACATTTAGATTTATATTTAACATTTAGATTTAACATATATATTTAAGATTTATATTTAGCATTTAGATTTAACATTTAACATTTAGTTTAAGTATTTAAATGTTGTTGTAAATGTGCAAAAAAATGACTGCCGAAAATTCACATCACTTTTTTAAATGCTGTTTGAAGCTAAATGTGACTAAATCTTGCTGTTGTTTTGCTAAATATGACCAAATCTTGCTGTTGTTTTTATAATGGGCTGCTTTACAAACGGCACCCCATATACACAAACCTCAAACCTGTCATTAAGCACAATCAGCCAGATTTCATTAAAGATTACTACGTAAATAAAATAAAATAAAATTGTTATGTCCTTAGTGAATTGGCCTATTTGATATTACTGCCCAGAAACACTGCCATTGTGCGCACACGTGCCACTGTGGATCGCTGCGTTTTGACTCCTAAAAGGCAGGTGTCTCTTTTTGGCCCAGCAGAGGGGACATTGTTGTACACCCCTGAAAGGTTGCAGGACATCATTCGGGCCATTTCAGTTTTGCACAATGTTGCACTGGCAAATGAAGTGCCGTTGGCTGTGCCGGCGCAACATGAGGACCCGATGCCCGGAGAACAATAATGAGGAGAGACTCCACAAAGGTGCTTTACAGAGGAGACAGGACCTTATCGATGGATTCTGACATGTAAAGTGTAAGTTTAGAAAGTGCTCCTGCTATTTGATCAGTGATAAAAATCCAATAGAAATTAAAAGAAATGTGCCTCAGGGGCAGCAACACACCGTTTGGTGACGTTGATAATTATTTTTGTTCAGCCGCTGTCAGACTCTCCAGTCTGCTCTACATTACAAAGACGCAACAAATTAAAACTAAATACTTAAATAATAGGAGCAACGTACCCTATGTCATGTCAATAAAAATATGAGGCATGTATGAGATATTAATTTATCATCATGAGCAACTTACTAACGATTTCTTCCAACTTCAGCCACTGTCGTCTATTCGGCGGCAGTGCTGTTCACCGCCACCATAGTCCTGCTCCAGACAGGAGTTTTCTGGACTGCTTTTATATCAGTTTTGATGCTTCCAAAGAGAAAATCCTTGTTAGTTTCCACCACAGATGTGAGGATATCCACTTTCAGCTCGGAAAAGTTTCGAATCTTTCTAATATTTCTCCTATTTCATGTTTGACCTTTTCTGAGGCTTCTGAACCACGAATATTTAAGGGCGTAAACATGTTAATGATGATCGATTTCAGCCGCCGCATTTATCAAGACCCAATTATACGTACGCTGGGACTGGTCAGACACGAACCCTTTCATAAATCTCACATGTGTCCTATCGTACGATTAATTCTCAGTTCTACGCAAGATTGATAAATGAGATAAATGAAGGTCAATTTTAAACATTCACAATTTACAAGATAATCGTTGGTGTAAATAGACTGAGAGAAAATATGCTTTCATCAATCCAAGACTAAAGCAAAACTTAAATCTTACCAGGATCATCTGGAAAACCTGACACCCATACATACATATATATACTATATATATATATATATATATATATATACAGTATATATATGTATGTATAGTATATATATGTATATATATATATATATATATATATAGTATATATATGTATGTATGGGTGTCAGGTATATATATATATATATATATATATATATGTATGTATATTGCGCTTCAAGTGAACGGACACAGTCAGTTGCAATAGCCAATCAGGTCTCGAGCATAGACTGTACGTACTATGGACAACCTGGTTCCGCCTACCGCCTGTATACGGATTTGAAGCCAAAAAGCTCTCGGTAATTCCGGGTTTTTCTCTACTTCCTTGAAACCAGAGCTGCGCAGTAGCGATGCGCGCATTCGGCCACGCAGTCGCCGAGAGTCCCTGTGATGACGCTCGGCTCAAACAGCGTATCCCCCCGGGTGAGCTACGCAATCCCTGAACGCCCATAGGCTGTACCAAGTGTCAATCATAGAAAACATGAAACCCCTAATAACTTTTAAAAACGGAGCTGTACAGAAAAAAAAGGACTTGGGCACAAACTAGTCTTACAATAACTACATGTCAACATCACAAGCAGGGGAGAGAAACATTTATGTTCTGTGTAATAAATTTCTAAAATTTGTCCACAGTACCATAAGCTTTGCAGGACTAAGTGGAACAGCACTGAAGGCACTGAAGGCCTAGGCGTGAAATGCGCATCCCACCACTGGTTGGACACAGTTAAATAGAGCACAAACTCCTTATGTTACATGTCTTTTGTTGCTGCTGTTTGTTGTGTATGACTTGCTTTTATTGCTACTGCTTCGTTATTGTAAAGCACTTTGGTAGGCCACTGGCTGTTTAAATGTGCTATACAAATAAAATTGACATTGACATTGACATTTTCTTTACATCATAAATTCAGATCAAACTGCTTCTAATTGGATGGATTGATTAAAAACTATGAATACCTCCAACAGCTGTTCTGATCCTTTAGCCTACTGTAACATTGGTGTGCCTATTTGCTTTAATCATGGTTATTCAGTGTATTGATTTATTGATGACTAAGTTATTCTGAGTGTGTCATACTGATCACCAGAAAAATAAAAACCTTCTGATATTCATCAGAAACAAGCATGTCTGTTTTTACTTTCCATTTCATGATTAAAGACAGTTTCGTCATAACATCTTGACCCAACAGTATTTTTATTAAAGGTTTTGGGCAACAGAACAGCATTTTAATGTGTTGTATTTCCTAACCAATACTGTCTTGTGTCTGCGCAAGAAGTGGAAACTACAGAGGTCAATAGATGGTCTTCATCAGGGAAAACATGCAATTTCACAAATGACACAACTTTAAAAGCACAGGCCAAGGTTCACTACAAACACAAAGGTGGTTAAGTGCTTCAAATAAAAAATATGCATCAGCAGCAAATAAACAAATGATACAATGTGAAATGGCACGAAAGCACAAAGCAGCTGCACACAAAGAAAAAAGCAGTAGATAAGTAAGATGTTATAGGCATTGAGCGACATAGATTTGTTATTGACCGACCAGCTGATATTTAGCTTGATATCAGGTAGTAACGTTAAGATCACACTGCACCTGCATCATTTCTCCTGATGAAGAGCGATTGCCCTGTTAGGCTGCCGTGTGAAAAGGACATGACTACTGACACAGTGGCCCTCTGTGGGGGCATGCACAATTGGAAGATGGACCTCCTTTGGATCTCAGCAGTTGTTTCATTTGAAATGATGAAACCTAAATCCTGATGATTCGAGTTTTAGGCTTGTGTCTGAACACCATCAGTGGGAATCTATCTGTATTTTCTAAACACCATTTCAACACAAGCACAAACATCTTATTATTCTGTTTTCTGCTTCTTTAGACTTAACAAGTTTAACAGCAGAAGTGAGAGAGAAAGAATGAGAAAATAAACATCTCCTTTGAGGTTTCAAAATTAGCTTTCGATTTCTCATAGCAAATTTCTCAAATTGCACCCTACTGTACTCTGTTTTGTACAATCAGCCTGCTTGCACTCCACCTACTCTGCTACTTTTGTGCTCCAGTTTGTGCGGTGTTTAGATAAGGTTAATTGTAAATAGTATTGTTATTTTTATTTAGGTATATTTAGATGAAGGTTGCTGTAAATATTATAGTTATATTTTTAAATGCAAACATTATTGTTGATTTTATTGAGATTCCTTTAGGTTTCTAATTAAACTTTTACTTGTCATCTCTTTTATATGTCTTATGTTCTTATGGCTAATAGTGGATCATCTGTTCTAGTTTCATTCTTTTCTCTTGTAGACTGGAATGACAAATCTTATTGCTGTGGCTGTGCATCAGTACCTACCTC